GTGCGGGACCGGATCCGCCGAGGGGAGAGGAGGTGTTGGAAGGAACCATCATCATCGCTGCTTGGACGGGGGGCATCGGAAGGGGGGAGGCGTGGTTTTGTGGGACGGGTCGCCTCCCGCTTCCGTTCGAGACGCTCGAAGCCGATGATCCGGGTCGATGGAAGTCGTGGCCCGGACTGGGGCCGGAAGGCGTTCGCGTCCGCGGGCTCATAGCTAACGGTTGTGAAGCGCCTCCGAGATGAGGCGAGGCGGGGAAGGTGGAGGGTTGCGCGTTGTCGACTGCGAATCCGAGCAAGACCAGATCGGGTTGACCTCGACCTGCAGCGAACGGCGCATGTCGAGAGGTGTGAGTGAGCTGCTCGTGGGACAGTCAACGAGTCAAAGCGCGCAGCTTCACCGTTCATGAACCTCCTCCAACATCGCACGACGGTGACGAGAAAGGCGGCCTGTTGGGACGAGGGCATGTTGGTCTTGTATCGGTAGGCTTTACCGGCGATGGTGAGGACGAATTCGAGCGGCTGGGGGAGGGGAGGGGAGCGTAGCTTCTGTGGTCAGTTGAGGCCCGGAGCGCATGTGGGGGGAGCGAAGACGAAGACGAAGACTGACCTGCGGATTCGGGTATCCGTCGACCATACGCTGAGCACCCAAGCTGCACGATCAGCCTCACCGTTGAATTCGAAGTATACCCTTTCGACTGGCTCATGGCTCACCTTTGCGACCTCGACCTGAGTGAGCTGCTCGAGCGGCCAGGTCTTGCCGATCGAGAAGGTGCCGTTCGAGTTCTGTTTCGCCTTGTGCAACCTGAGTCGGCCATCCCTCGCGGCTGGTGGAGCGGTGAAAACAAAAGACGAGGGGTCAGCGAGGTGGGTTGCTCTGCATGCCGAGGCTCGGTTGTTGTATGGGGACGGACCGGAGAGGATGAGGAAGCGCGCTTTGATCGGGGGTGGTTGACCCGGCTGGGCGTTGATGGGTGGGACGACCTCCCACGTCGGACAATACGCGACATAACGATCATTCGCTGCGGCCCAAGGAGGTCTCATCAGTCTCGCTGAACGGCCCAGTCCGACAGCGTCGTCTCTCTCCCGGGCCAAGCTCACGTGGCGCGCTCGATCCGGGCGGAGGCGTGAACAGTGAGCCGATGATCGCTCGTGAATGGTCGTGCGTGGCCATGCTTTTGCCCCGAGGGGGAAGGGGGGATCTTACCGGCCGAGTCTGTGCGGTTGGTCGTGCAGAGTGGAAAAGAAGGGGGCGGGCTAGTATCAGAGCTTGGAGCGAGAGTTGAACCGGTGAGCGTGTCACAGGTCACGCGCGCTAATAAGGCACTGCGAGTCAATGGAGCATTAGTCCAGAGGGGCAGCTCATTACAAATGATCCCCGGGCCGCGCTCGACATTACAAGTCCAATCGGCCAAGACCGCGACCGTGACTGTCTATGCCATTCACCACCCACCCACCCACCCTCCACACCTTGTCGCACCATGTCCTCCACCCGCTCCAACCCGACCTACGCCAGCACGCCTTCGCATCTCCTCGACGCGCTCAAACAACTCTCCACATGCGAAGCAAGTCGATCCGTTCCTCTGCTCTGCTCCCGCTCGTCCAACTCGCCGCGCACGACCCCTAACCCACACACACCTTGCCCCCCCCCCCCCGCCCCCCTCCCCTCCTGGCTCTTCTCCTGCCACCCGCACGACCTCGCAGATCTCGGACGCGCTCGTCAAGCTGCAGATCCCCTCCGGAGGCCACGTACCCGACCTACAACCGTTCGGGGCTAACCCCACCTCAGCAAAGGACAGACTCGTCGGTGAAGTGTTTACCGTCCAGGTCCGTTTCGCCGGTACAGTTCCCCAGAATCGACCCTAGCTCCAGACCGAGGCATAGCTCTGATCTGGCTCACCCCAATCGAACATAGATGGTCGATGCGAACGACTCACAGGCGCCCAAGCTGGACGGAGGACACTTTGTAGGTACTCTCTCTTCCCCGAGTCGACGCGGTCCGAAAGAGCAGCAGCAGCAGCAGCTCATCTCCCCCTCCCTCCCGTCTCCTCAATCACAGGTCGACCAGGCCCTTCCAGGCAGTATCGTCTTCATTTCCTCGCCTCATCGTAAGCCCTCGGATAGTATCCACCAGCGCCTTTGGACCTCCCTTCCTGACTGACTCGCGCCTGACGACGAGCAGACATCAAGTCCGCTTCCCTCGGTGGCCTCCTCGCCGCCGGTCTGCACGTCAAAGGTGTGCAAGCCGTCTTCATCGATGGGAGGTGTAGGGATCTACCAGAGATCCGAACCCTGGGGATGCCTGTCAGTCTTTTCGAGTGCAACCCTATATACTCTGCCGCAACTCGGATCGACCCCCCACCCCCACCCCCACCCCCACTTGCACTAACCCCTCTCCTCGGCATGTAAAAAATAGGTCTGGGCGAGCTCTCACTCGACTCTAGGTCAATCACCCTTCACCCGACCTTCGACGATCCAACAACCGCTGACGATCACCCACCCCCACTGGCCCGCTCTGACCATCTCCCCGCACGACGTCTTGATCGCCGATCTCGACGGCGTCGTCGTCGTACCCTCTACCAAAGTAGAGCAAGTGGTCGAGTTGGCGATCAAAGCCAAGCAAGTCGATCAAAACTGTATGAACGATATCCTCGAGGGGAAAGGGATCGCAGAAACTTTCGCCAAGCATCGAGGCAAGACGGGGAAGCATTAGCGTGGACGCGGGAGCTTCGTAAAGCGTAAGAGGTGGTATTGGTTTGACCTTTGCTTTGCGACTGCAATTGCACTTTATCCCCCACCCTCTAAAACTGATACAAGATCGAACCGGGCCTCGATAACTTTTCCCTCTCCCTCTCCTCTTCCTCACTAGGTACGTTGACCCCACCGACTGCGCTGACCAAACCTTCCTTCCTTCCCCTCTCCCTCTCCTCCCTTTCAAGATCCTTCCTCCCCCTCTCGAGCTTGTACTCTTCCACTTCCCTCTCCCCTTCCTTAACACCTCTCCACTCCCTCCCCCTCGCACGACTCTGAACCCTACTCCTCTGCGCCTCAACGAACCGACCCCTCAACCTAATCTGTACTTTCTGCCACTGTTCCTCCGTCAAAGGAACGACCTCGAACGCATTCATCGTCTTAACCCTCTTCTCAAACAACGCACTTCTTCCTCCTCCTCCTCCTCCAGCTGCTACTGCTACTCGTTCATTCCGCGCACTCAACCCCAAAGCCAACGTCATCGGTAATCCCATCAATCGTAAAGCTTTATCCTTCTCACTCAAACCACCCATCCCCATCCCCGCCGAACCTACTAAACCGATACGCGTATTCTCGATCGGGGAGGGGAAGGAAGAGGGTGAGAAAGAGGGCGAGTTGGCGGAGGTTCGTATTCCCGTGGTTGATTGGAGTGTGGCGATGAGGTTGGGGGAAGGGAGTAGGTATAAGAAGATGAGGATGAGCGCTTGCGCGATTTCTATAAATGACACGAGAGGGGGGGGGGGGGGGTTTAGTTTCGACTCTTTGACCCGACCAATGGACGAGAGGAGAGAATTTGATCAAAACGTACCAGTATGATCCTCGACCTGACCGATCGCCCAACCCTCTTCCAAAACGACCTCTTCCCCTTGCCCTTCCCACAACACCTTGGCCAACCAGACCAACCCCTCCGCACAAACCGAGGCAGGCCAACTCAACCCGACCGTCGTCCTACCCAAATCGACCCCGAGCACGAACACCAATTTCGCGAATCGTTTACCCGTGCCGAGCGAAAGACACAATCTCACGATCGCGGTGAACAAGTCGGTTTGGGGTAAGTTCTCGGTGAGGGTTGGATCGAGCGATCGATGGAGGTTAAAGTTGAAGGAAAGGGATTGGAGCAAGAGACGTTCGATCGCGATCAATCGCGGACGATGAGCTTCGAGTGCCTGTGATCAAGTCGAAAGAAAAAAAAGAAAGGGGGGGAGAGATTCGTTTGAGCGAGAGAAGGTAAAGGTGTCGTTAGGACCCGGACGCGCAACTGACTTGGGGGTCCCCTTCGCCTAGGCCGTTCCCCCTTGAACGATCTGGTTGACTTGCGATCCGGCGATTTGAATCTCGCGTAGCTTTTTGAGCGTGTCGTGTAGCTTGGAAGCGACGAGTAGAGCGGCCAAGCTGACATCCTGATGATGGATGAAGAGAGGTATTGGAAGATATGAGGGAATTTGTACGCCTAACCCTAGTAGTAGTAGTAGTAGTAGGATGCGACGTACCTGGTAGGCGAAATCCTTGAGCGGATGATGAAGATGGAATCTATGCCAACACGATTGAGCAGTCGCGATCGTCCTCCTCGGACTAGAAATCGCCCATGATCATCATCCTCCATCAGCTTTGGGAGATGGTGCCACTCGCGACAGAGAGCTTCTCTCCACTCACAAACCCAACCTCATGCCGACCCTCTCGATGAAGCCGATCGCCACCTGTCGCATCTGCTGGATCCTGACCAAGCTCATCTGCTTGCGTTCCCAACTGCCTTCTCCGACGGGTACGCGCATGTAGGCTTGCAACTGAATGAGTTCGAGCACTTCGGAGGGGGCGTAGTACGGTCGGAATCGTTGCGTTCGAGAGAGCGGGCGCGCAAGGGGGGTGGTGGCCATGGCGGTTGGAGTGGGTACGGGTGCGGGTGCGGGTGCGGGTGCGGGTACGGGTGCGGGTACGGGTACGGGTGCGGGTGGGGCGGGGTGGGAAAGGGTGGCTGCCATCGCTGCACGAGTGCGAGGGTCGTGAAAGCAAGAGACAGTGAGTGGGGGCAGGGAGTGAGGCTGACCCAGGCTGGACCAGGCGGGCGGGTCGGCGACGCTAACGGTCTTGCAATTATCGAATACTAATCGCCACTGGTCGAGTCTAGTGCCGCAATTCGACACGCGGCGCGCTCTCTCACTCGCTCTCCCCTTCTCGCTCTCCCCTGTCATTGCTCATTCTTGCTACACGGCCACCTCAATACGCCCAACCACACCTCCATCCCCAAGCGCCAGGATGGGCTCCCCCTCCTCGACCTCGACCTCGCTCGCAGGAAGCTGCAGTTCGCTGCCGACCCTCCACGAATCGACGACGCTCCCTCCTCGAGAACGGATGGACGTCGTCGCTTATTACGCCGAGCTGTTGGCGAGCGATGATGTGAGCGCACACTTTGGCGATCATCACCGGGCGCGCCCAAGATCTCGCGAAAAGCTGACTCGCTTCCCCCTATCCTGCCCCCCCCCCCCCCTCCCCTATCCTGGCCCCCCTATCCTGGCCCCCCAGTCCCTAAGCATGCCCATAGCAGCGATCGAAACCCTAGCCCAACTCATCTCCCGATCCGACTCTTCGACGACCACGACCGAGCTCTTCTCCCTCTTGGACCAAGCCTCGACCCGTTTAGCTCGAGCGAGTTTCAACCCCATCTCCTTGACCTGCGGAACGTCCTTGTTCGTAAGTGCGCAAACCGTTTCACTCGAATTCCAATCGCCCCCATCTCATCTCATCACTAAACCCACCTCCTTCCCCCGGGTCCCAGCTGCGCTTCCTCACCCTCCAACGACCCTCCCCCGATACGTCCTTCCAACAATTCAAAGCCGAACTCGTCGCCCGCGCCCGCGAATTCGTCCACGAATCGGGGCGGTGTCGTCAGTTGATTTCGGGCGGTATGAATGAGTTTGTTCGAGATGGCGCGGTGAGTTTGATTCCGGAATGAAGATGAAGATGGGGGGTAGCCACATGGGGAGTGGGCTACTGATTGATCATATCGCGGGGGGGGGGGGGGTTACGGGTCGCGCAGAATATTCTCATTCACAGCTACAGTGTAAGCTTTGATCGCGCACCAGCTGTACGACTTTTCAAGAGGGAGCCTGTACCCAATCTCTAAGCGTCTAATATCATTACAGCGAGTCGTCGTCCAAGCCCTGCTCCACGCCGCGCAGCAACAAAAAAAGTGCTTCCAAGTCTACGTCACCGAGTCGAGGCCCGTAGGTCCCGAATCCCCCCCTTCTTCCAACACTCCCATCCTCACACCACTAACACCCCCCATCCTTGCTCACCTTGCCCTAAAAAAGTTCGGCCTCGGATTGAAAACCCAAGCGATCCTCGAGCGAGCCGGAATCCCCTGTATCGTCGTGCTCGATTCGAGCGTGGCGTACATCATGCCCAAGTGCGATTTGGTCATCGTAGGCGCCGAGGCGGTGTAAGTGCCCCCCCCCCCCCCCCCCGTTTTGTTTTGCAGTGGTGTGTGGGAAGAGCGTACAGAAGTTTCAGCAACTGATGCTTTCTTCTTTTTTTTTTTTTTGGTTGGGGTGGGGGTGGGGTGCGCCAGTTGCGAGAGTGGCGGATTGGTCAATTTCGTACGTCGGAGGAGGAGCAGAAGGAGGAGGGGAAACGCTCGATGACTCCTATCCCATCTCCATCAACAAAGTACCTCCGCTCTGACCTCATCCGAAAAAATACTTCTTCCCCCTACAGATCGGGGGCTACCAAGTCGCCGTCGTCGCCAAAGCCATGGGAAAGCCTCTGTACGGTAAGTCACGTCACACACTCAAAAACTCATCTCATGTCCCACGATTCTACCTATCCATCATCGAAACCTTCGCCACGAACGACACTCGGTCCCCTTCGTACAACACACCTTCTCCTTCTAATTTGCCTTCCGACGTTCCGGCGTCCTCGGTATACGGGAGGTTGTGAAGAGGGGCGCTATGATAGAGGGGGCCTGATGCAACGGGTGCGTGTTTGGTGATAGGATCGTGTGACTGACTCCTGAAAACTCCTTATCGATGATTCCCCTCTCGCGCACCCGACTTTCGACCCCTTTTTTTCGCTGTTCGAAACCAACCCGATCCCGATTTCGAAACCCCCACAGCCCTCGCCGAATCGTTCAAATTCACTCGGCTATTGTAAGCCTCCTCGTTCATTATGTTACGTTTTTTCTCCCCCAACCCATCTGAACCCCCCGCCCGCGCCCTCCCTCCCCCACAGCCCCTTGTCGCAATACGACCTCCCAACAAGTTTACCGAACCCACCGCTCACGTTCCCCAACCTCACGACCACCTCCCCATCCATACCGCACGCACGTGAATCCACCACCACCACCACCACAACAACAACAACAACAACAGCCTCGGACTCCACACTCGACCCCTCCTCCCCCTCCTCCGAGAAACGCCGCACCCGCACCTCCGAAGCTACAAGTTGCTCGACCGCGCTCCCTCCGACCCCTTCACGACCGATGATGGACAGCGCGATGCCCCAAGCCCTAGAAATGACGGACCAGATGGTGAGGAACAACCCTACGTTGGATTATACGACTCCGGATTTGGTACGTTCCCTTCCTTTTTTCAACTTTTGAGATCCCAAGCGGTGTTTTTTTGACCTCGATTGACGCGCTATCGGACCTCGACCTTTTAGATCACGTTGATCATCTCGGATTTGGGCTGCTTGACGCCTTCGGTAAGCTTTGATCATTCATTCATTCATTCTTTTTTTTTTTTTTTTGTAAGTTCGACTCGTGTGGATCGATGATTGACGAATACCCCCCCTCTTTTGATGTTGTAAAAGGGCGTCTCGGACGCTTTATTGTCGATCTTTGGAGGGACGTAATAGGGTTCGCATCTATAGATGAACGCCAGTGTTTAGGGGGGATAGAGGGTTGAATCTTCCTGCAAGTTTATAATCGTTCTTATCATCGTACTTGCGTCGAGTTCGCCTCCCCCCCCCCACCGCGAGTCTGCCTCTTAAAACCACAGCGATCGGTCCGCTTCTCCGCTTTGGTCGTGGACCACTGCATGAACCATGGAAAACCTGTCCAAAGCTTCTCGCACATAGACAGAGGTACGAATTGCCCCAAAAAGGCCTCGTTCTCTCCGCCACGAACGACCCAATCAAAGTCATCTCATACGCATCATGCTGACTTGAATTTACGCTCAACGCTCATTCAACTCGCTGCAAAAAAACAAAAAAAAAGCGAACGCACCAACCGCACGAAAAGGTCAACGAAAGCCCCCAAAAAAAGTCCTGCAGTGAGTAGTAGTGGTGTCTGCTGACGTGCGCCGGACGTGCGGACGGTGACCGCCGATGACGACCGGGTGCCTTCAAGTGCGCGGGATGCGTCGTTTATTTCGGTCGATTGCAGTGGGTCGGTCCCCAACGTCGGCGGGGCCGACCGAAAACTGAAACTCAAAAGGGGGTATAGAAGAAGAAAGCAGCCCCCCCCCCCAGAGTTCAGGCTTAAACTGCCGGCAATATGATGCGCCGAGGCTTCTGCTCTTTGTCATAGGCGAGAGAGACTCGGGACTCCAAAAAAAAAAAAAAAAAACTCCTTCAAGTGGCGGTAAGTTAAGTTGATCGGTCCTCTTCCCAAGGTACGCTCACTGCACTTCTCTTGAACGCGACTCTCTTTTTTTTTTGAACCAAGCCAGGACTTTTGAATCGATGGCTGAAAAAGAGGGCAATCCGAACAAGGACGAAAACTTGACTTGGGGGGGAAAAAGGGGAGGCGGGATCTACGAAAAGAAAAGAAAACATTGCACGAATAGTAGAACTCGATCGATTGGAGAATGAATCATCCACACGGCGCAGGGGGTGTGTCGAAAGGCGGCCCACTGACGGTGAGCTTGGAACGGTTGATCGACTGGCGAACGTTCGAGGGGACCGGCCCCAGTTGGACGTCTTTTTGGCTCATCCGCTTGATGTGTAGTTGCATCCATGGGCGACTAACGCAATTTGCAAGTGACGGGAGTTTGATCAGCGACGATACAGAATGGTGTGCGTGCCCGGAATGGCAGGCTACGTGGTGTAGAGCCGTGTGGCTGTGTGCTATCAAACGGACTCACCGGTGATAGGGTCACCCGGGGCGTGTTGTAATGAATCAGAATAGTATGCGAGGCATTTAGAGCAGCGCTTGTCCCTGTCGTTCTGGATGTCGTTCGCCCATTTTCGGTTCTTCGCGGCTGCGGGACGCCGAATTGGACAGTGCGTAAGCTACCTTAAAGACCACTAACATCACATGTCGATTTCAGGGAAGTAACCGACCGGTCGTGAGGCAGGAGTCGTAGACGTCGTGCCAATGTAGATTCCCACATAAGCACCTTCCGTCGTACTCGCCACCCGAAGCGGAAAACTCAGCAGCGTTCGCAGCGAGGTGTGTACAGTCATAATATCCGACGATCTGCTCGGCGGCCAAAGCCAAGGCGGTCAGTGGAGTCAGTTCAAATGACAAGTGAGCTCGGAAGGACCGCCAGAAGAACGCCAGCACGCACGGAGCTGTCGGCATGGGTTCGACAATCTGAGTCGAAGCTTGCTAGCGCTGAGGGGAACTGGATCGCGAGCCCGACTGCGATGAGTCCAACGAGGTGGAAGCGGACCATGGTTCGTGCGTTGGCTTGGAGGTTCAAGTGGGACTTTGACGAGTGGGAACTTAGTTATGAGAGCACACAGGAAAGGGAAGGAAACAGACGAGCGTGGCCCGCGGTGCCACGGATTCAGGACAACAGGGGAAGAGGGCCAATTCGAGGGGGTTTGGACGTCGCCCGGGCCAGGGTTTTGCCACGTTCAGGGGCTGGCGACTAGCCAAGCTGTTTCAGAGCAGGTACCTAGGGTCGTTGTGATCGCACCGGTCGACCGTTCGGAGCTTCCAGTATATTAGATATCCGTGGCTCCTAGGCAGTGTCGCTGGGTCGGGCGGGTGATGCACGGACCTAGTGAATCAGACGACGCGGGCCAGGTGACTAAAACAGCTCTGCCTTGAGACAGTTCCGGCGGCATATGTGGCAGGTGACAGAGAGGAATTCCACTGATCATTATAAAGATCCCAAGCATCTGATTCAATGCCGAGCTTGGCGTCCGTTGGACCGCTGGGGTAGAGCGGGGAATTCTCCTCGCACGCACAGCCCTGGCGGCGTCGACCCCTTTAGCGGCAACCATTTCCGAGACACCGAGGCGCTCGAGTCTCGTCCGAGTCTCACCTGAGCGTGTCTGACCTAGGTCTTCACAATGCTTGGTCCACCTACCGTCTTGGACGATTAGACCGATTTTGCAATGGATTGAAGAAAACCTCCCAAAACTATTCCCACCCAGCGTAGTTCCACTAGCGCTTGGGCCTCGGGCGGACCGGCGGGGCCTTGTTCTCACACTAGATTCGGCGGCGCGCGGACGACCTCACCACCGTAACCGTTGAGTCGTTGACCCGCTGCGATGTGACGTACTTTGCTGCAACAGCTGCGGGACTGTTCAGTAACGGAAACCGAGTGGTTGAAGCCGGGAGAGGACCGCGGGAGGACGATCAAATGTACAGAGCCTTCATTTCATCACTGAACTACTTTTTGTTCTCTGGGAGCCCGATGATGGGCTCAGACCCGTCATCGAGACTCGCGTCGAGTGTCGCAACAGCAAAAAAAAAAAAAAAAAAAAAAAAAAAAAACCTGAAATGGGATGATCCCGGGATCATCCCGGGAGGGGCCCCGATTTGAAATCGGTGGAGCGATTTGAAATGCATTTGGGATCGCGCGCACCGATTTGAAATGCGTTTCAAATCCTCGCGGGATCGATCCCAAATGCGTTTGAAATCCTCGTGGGATCGAACCATGCCCAACGGCCGATAGGGGGCATAGAACTCGTGTGAGAGGGCCGATTGCGCAAGGCAGAGTGGACGAACATCTCATCAATTGTATTGCAACACGAGTATTCGCACTAAGACGGGTTCCAAGAGAGGGCTGCACACGGAGGAAACGCCCCGGGCCGGGGACAGCCGTGACCAAGCGTGGGCACGGAGCGGTCGTTGAACGCCGCGCACGGTTCCAGTTGAAAGTTGAACAATAGCATGCATATGCGCCCATCAACTTCGGGAACGGGAAACCACGGCCAAGGACAGCCTTGGAGAGGGAAACGAAGGATCGGACCGCGCCGAGCCTGCGAAAAGTGACCGCGGGCGAGAGAATAAGGATCCAGGTCGCTCGATCCTTGGCCGGGTACGGTCAGCGGAAGACGGGTAAGATAAGTACACGGGCTGTCGAGTTGTCCAGGTACAGATCGAAGCTCGGATTGCTATCGCAAGACCGTCGCTGCGGGCCGTGCCGAAACCTTGTACCCAGGGATTGTCGACGGCGCAGTGAGGCGTCTGGTCAGGTAACGGGCACCGGCTCTGGTACAAGTGCCTGGATGGTGAAGCCCTTCACCATTCCCGACTCTGGGGGCAGGCTTTCACAAGCGGGGCCCGAGCCGGGTGTCGCCGGAACAGGACAGCGAAGCAGTCGGAACGACGCAGCACAGAGCCGCGTACGTACGGCGGGGGGACATGGCCAACTTGGTCATCAATCATTGGAATCGCTTTCTTGGCGGACAGCCGAGCCGCCATGGGTGCACTTGCCATCGATTCGCACTGGAGGAGCTGCGCTCAAAGGGTTACGCTCCGCTGATGGGTCGAAGAAGTCCACCTGCCGAGAAAGATCTGCACGTCCTGTGGAGACACCGTCAATGATCCCGGCAATAGTGGCAGACGAGCGAGCGATGACGACACGAGGGAACCAGTCCGATCGCACCGGTGCTCCACACCTACAGCCGGTGAGGAAGCACACGAGCCGACATGGTGGTTGTTGTCACATACCGAGGTAGGAGTGGAACATCTGTTTCGGTGTAGCCATCATTGCTGTGTCGTGCGAGTCGAGACCGTGCTCGATCGACACCGGGTGCGAATACAATCCCTTGAAGGACGATCAGCTCGCGGGAGAACGCCGTTCCGTCGCGACGATAGTTCTGGCGTGATGTCGCCTTGTGTTGCAAGGTGTCGCAGGAGCCGGGTGGGGAGACAAGCCACTGTTGCGGTGAAGCGCCGAGGTGAAAGGCGAGTGCGACGGTGACTCGTGCTACTCCTGCTGTGGCGTGAGGCCGTGAGCCTCAGCCTGGCTCTGCGCGAGTTCGCGCGCCGGGGTGGACTTTGCAGACTCACCTATGCGGGTCAAATTAAGCCTGCCAAAAAAACTAGGTCGCGCGCAACGCGTTAAGGCAGCTTTTTTGAAATTTGGCCCAGGAAAACGTTGGTACAGGCATGGTATACCATCCCTCGCCCACCGCCCGCGCCCGGAGGCAAAATAGCGGCTTAAGTAGTGCACTTGCTACTCGCCTACGCTAATCGGCCGTTTGCCTCAGCACACACTGGCACCCCCCACCTTCAAGCTTCAACCCTCCCTCACGGCCTTGCACCCACCGAAGTCGCTTCAAGCAAAGCACGGACTCCCTGCGACACACTACCACAAGCAAATCCAGCGTCCCTAGTAGGGAAAGATAAGGAAAAAGAGACCAAGACCAAGCGTAAGAAATTCACGAGGAGGAAGAAGAAGAAGAAGGCTGACACGATCATCGAGAACGGGGCGACCACGGGACCAGAGGAGGGGGCGAAGAAGAAAAAGAAAAAGAAAAAGATGAGGTCATGGCCTGTGCGAGAACGAGAAAAGGAGCAAGTCTTGTCCCCGGCGCTTGTCCCCGGCGAAGAGCGAGGCGTTTGTAAAATCCTCCGCCTACGCTGCTGGCATTACGGTATAACGATCAAAATCGATCAAGGATGGTATGATAATATAAGCGCTAAGGTATGATTAAGAGCTTTTAAGACACCCAAGGCGAGAGACACCAGAGACTGGGGGTAGAGCCGAGAAGCGAGGTGACCGAGTTCGAGAACGAAACGCTGAGATCGGAGACTGGAGACGATGCCGAACGAGACCTGAAACACGCAAGTGAGAGACGAGCAAAATTTTGTATTGGATCGTGGAAGTCTACATGAAAACAAGAAGCGAGCTCCCCTCAAACGTCCCGGACGTTCAAACCGCTGCTCTCTCTTCATTCCCCTTCCGAGTCACCGCTTGATCCGCACATCGGGCCCGGTCTTCCTTCCAATTCCTGCCCTACTGATCCCACTATTGCTCGTCGTTTTCCGAGTCTTTGCGGCGCAAAAGTAAAGGCTCGTGAAAACCCACCTCCTCTTCCTCTCCCTCCAGTAAGCCGTCTTTAGCCTCCCTCCTCTCATGGCCGCCGGAAAGGCGCCCAGGTCCAAAACTTGCTGCCGCTACGACTTCTATTAACCTTGACAAGTTGAAATGGAGGATGCGACCGGATCCCGAATACCACAGTATCCACGGCATCCCGACGAGGCGGGACCGAGCCCTCCTCCATCGCCATCGATCCCGAGCCTTGTTTACCTGTGGCAGTGCCAGTGCACCCAGGACACGGGCGAACAACAGAAGTGTGCGTGGAGCTTCGGCTTTGGTGTACCGACGTCGCTGAACTTTTTCAGCGAACGACAGCTGATGACTTGCCGAATTTGACTTCGTTTGCCGGCAGCCCTGGTGACTCCATGCCAATTGATGAGACGGACGACAACACAGACGAAGGAGCTGACTTTGACATGAGTGATCATTCGAGCGACGATTTGAGTCATCGCTCTATCGACGACACAGACAACGGTGCATGTAGGCTTGAGGAGTGGGACTTCAATGCAGATGATGATGGCAGTGATGACGAAACTTCATGAAATCTTTAATTGCTGTCTGGAATCGAGGGCTCTTGTTCCAAATGCCTCGATCCAAACAGATGATGCGACTGCGCTCGCGTGCTTTTGCCTTTCTATTAACTATTGTCTCTTCATGTCAGACAATATGACCCTTCCCGGGGAACTGCAGAGGATTCAAAGTAGCAACCATAAGACTGAGAGGCGACCACATCAGCAACTTTACCACGCGCGCTTCAGAACAATTCAGAGCAATTCAGAGCCGATCTAGAACAATTCAGCCGTAAAGCGCGTAAAGCGCATTCAGCCCTGCGCTCCCAGAGCTTTCAGAGCATTTCCAGTGGATTTCCAGAGCATTTCCAGTGCCATTTCAGACCAATTACGACATATTCAGGTAGGGTTATGTACAATGGTATGATCACATTGCATTTACAGAGAAGGGGGTTAGACTCTACGTTCTTCTAAGAGCACAAATTAGGCAAATCCGAACGAAGCCGCTTCAGCGGCGGCCTCAGCCGGGCCTCCGTCAATCAACGAAGTTCTTTGTGCCCGACCCAAGCTGCGACGCTAGTCCACACACATTGCGATGACACACCTGTAATCGAGGTATACGAACCATCATAGCAGTGACCCATGATCTTGAAGACGACTGGTCCGTAGACCTCCGCAAAGAACTTGTCCACCGTGTAAAGCAACTTGCCCAGCACGCACCGCAGCTAAAGCCAGCAAGAAGTTGCATGGAATGTCAGAGACCCTTTCATGTTGGAATGAACTGATGAGCAGGTGTTTCTGAATCTCCGGGCAAACATGTGACTTACCGTGGCAACGATGACATCATTGACGGTGAAGGACGCGATCGGAAGCTTTGTAGCAATTTGGTCCAACGGTTAACGGACTTCAGTGGGATATGACCCACAGTCCAGATCTGCGGCGGATGCTTTGCGCAAACTGGTGCTTGCACCATATGCCGGCCACATTGTCTTCATCTGGCGTCATGTTGTCTAACGCGGGGGTTCGGCGGCTCCGTGACGGACGACCCAAGGGCGGAGCGAGGAAAGGTTTGCCGCCATAGGCGAAGGGCTTACCACCGTCCAATGAAGGAGCAGGGCTGGTCGCAACAGTAGGTGAGCTTGCAACTGTCCATGGGGTCAGCTGAGGGTAGTGCACATGATATTGCGAACGGGTCGACGATGGCGTCGACTTCACGATGGCGCCCGTGGGGTGAGATGAGAAAGGTGAGGGGTGGACTGCAAACGCGCTGTCATCCTCACCAAGAACAGTGCGCGCTTTGGGCGCCCTCGAGATGGAGTGGCCTTGTGCGGGAGGAACGCGGCGGGGACCTGCATCTGTTGCTAACCGTGTCCGTCAGACAAAGCTCAAAGCCAGCTCAGGGGGCACGGTCATCTAACCTTTCGAAAGTTGTCCCTTTCGAAATTCTGCGCGATTTGAATTCACGTATCGAGCAGAGGCTAGCACTTAGCATTGGGTTGATATACGACTGTAATCAATTGTTGTTGTGGATGTGCGCACTCACCTTGGGCACCACTCGAGGACACCATCGTCGCCGTCATCGTCTGCGTCGAGGTCATCGTGAACAGCAGCATCTTCGTAAATATTGTCTTCATCGGACAGTAAGAAAGGGTAAATCTCGATGTTGTCGTCGGACAGGTCGTCCCTTTGAAGTCGTCTGCCGGTGAATACGACTCCTGGCATCGCTGCAAGCGGTTTCACCCAGTCAGGCTCGACGGCGGCGGCGGCAGTACTAGCGATCGAGGCTTCAAGGTAGGAGCTGTAAGCCATGTCACGAGACCAAGATACCACCGGCCAGTGTGAGAAGTAAGCAGACTGTCTCACTGTAGCTGTAACCGACTTTGCGATACGCCAGTTCTTCGACAACGGTTGAGCCCCTGAGTTAGCCGAGGCGGTGCGAGCGCGTTTACGCTTGGGCCTATCTGAGATCATTTATCAAAAGTAGCTGGCCTATTGGCACAGATGGTATAGGACCGACTTACTAGGTGCTCATTTGTGCCGCCTCATTGGCGACTGCAACCTCCACCTGAGCATCCTCCTCAACCTCCACCTGAGCATCCTCCTCTCCTAGGCGCGCGTACGGGTGGGCTCGACGCAGGCAAGCGCGACCAACTTGGCCTTGCGGAGCGAAAATGTTGGAGACTGTAATACTCTCTTTAGCCACTACTCACCACTCAATAGTCGTCACCTGATATCACCTTTCGTCTTCTGCCTCTCAGCGAACGAAAGGTGATTGGGACGGACGGCGCTCAAGTCGGTCCGCGAGGGTCAGATTTCTTTCGATGCTTTTTCTGTACAATGCAAACCCGAAAATGACTTTCAATGCTTTTTCTGTACTACTGGTATATTGGTGAGAGTTTTGTCAATATCCTCAAAGATCAGAGGGAGGGGTGATGCGGAGCAACGTGCGGCGGGTGGGCCGACGAATAAAAGAGCCCCTATATAGCATTTGAAATGTCAGTACATACTGTGTATGCTCCGATTAATGGCACCCACTTGCTGGAAAAAAATTATGACTGTGTTTGCAATGACTACATCAGGATATGTGCACTACTGCCTGCCGTGTGGTATAAGACTCTGACTAGTGTGTATAAGACCGTGACAGCGAAGACAATTCATTGCACAAGTTGCTACTTCAGTGTGACGAAGTGGTAGATCTAGACACTTTCCAGAACGATCCAGAACGATTCAGAACGATTCAGACGATCCGGTCATTTTGTGAGCGGTAAAGTCATTTAGACAGATCTAGCCGCGCGTCGGGAAGTGGTAAAGTTGCTGATGAGGCTGCAGTGGTGCAGTGGTGCAGTGGTGCATCCGAGTCGCACCACCGCATGGGGCCTCGTACCGTTTCAGTAGTATACTTGCACATACTTTGAGCAATAGTAACATGTCCGTCCACTCTACCTTGCGCAATCGGCCCTCTCACACGAGTTCTATGCCCCTATCGACCGACGACCGTTGGGCATGGTTCGATCCCACGAGCTGAGGATTTGAAACGCATTTCAAATCGGCGCACGGATTTCAAATGCATTTCAAAATCGCTGCGCCGATCCCAAATGCATTTCAAATCGCTCCACCAATTTCATTTCACTTGCTTTTAGCCTAGCGGTCAAGAACGACAGATTGCATTTTATGCACATGAGCGGTGCGGACCTTACTTTGAACCCGTGTCTACCCTCACAGTGTCATAATTCACCGGATCGAAGGCTCTCGAGCTGCCAGAGCCCCTTTCAATCGCCTTCATCCATCGCTATGCTTTGGTAGTGGACCAAGAGATGACGAACGCCGACAAAGGGCAGTTTCGAGATGAGCAAGAATCTACGTGTATCCACAAGAGAACAGCCAGATAAGGGGAGAGTGAACAGTAAGTGCAAGAAGATTTTGGAGGAAGCTTTGTTGATGCTTCCGTCATAAGAATTGATCTGAACAGGATTTGGAGCCTTGAAAACTAGTAGCCGCGCTCAATGAGCATTGGATGTCGTTTGTTGAGAAACGACTGCCTACCAGGGGCGGGCATCGCAGTCGCAGCGCATCTCTTGGTACTTGCCATTGCTATTGGCCTGACCCTCGACCGTCAAAGCACCGGCAAACTCGTCGGCTTCCCCGGAGCGCAGGCAGTCGCACATTGCCCTGCCCTCGTAGCGACAACCGTCGGAGAAGCGGCCCGCGATTATTGTGCCCGCCTGTATCCTCTCGGAATAAGTGAATTCCCTGACGTGCACTTGTTTGGAGACGTAAGCGTTGTGGAAGATGATCTTGGCATTGGTGAGGATGTCGGTACGCTTCTTGAGGTCCGAGTCCGAAGGGACCCAACTTGGAGCGTAAGAATTGCCAATGTAAGCTGCGACGCGACCGCCCGTCAGGTTAAGCTCGGTGTAAATACCGTCGACGCTGCCATTGGCGAACAATGTGGTGTAGTCGACGGTGTGAAGATTACCTCCATCGCGCTTGCGGTTCTTGGTGCCAAAGATTTCATCGACCGCCGTACTGAACGCCTGCAAGGTGACGTTATCCCGTTTGCCCGTTACGCCGATGTGAGGAGTCGTTGCCCTCACCGCGGTGTACGCGAGGGCGCCGGTGATGATAGTGGCGATCATATTGATGAGCTCCCCCGAGTTTTCGATGACCGCACTTGACCACGTGAGACAGTTCCAGGTACAGGCGGGCATCGAAATCGAATCGAGGCGGGTCCCAGGAGGACAGGTCGGTTTGCAGTTCTGGCGCTTGATCAACCCCTGTGAGCTCATCGAGAAGCTCGACGAGCCATCGCCGGATTGTTTATCGTCCGAAGATGACTGTGAACGCGACGAACCCGAGATAGATAACGATTGTGGCAACGCCAACGCGAATTGCAAGTAAAGAAGCGCTGTTAACGACTTGGCGAAGCTCTGGAGACATCCTCCTGAATTTTGGACTCGCATCGAGGAGACACAGCTGTCGGTCGTGGCGCAGGTGAGGTGGTGGCGAGGCAGGAACAGGTAGGTCAGTTGTCGTGCACGAGCGAGGAGTTTCGGATTTTTTCTGGAAAAAAGGCTCACAACGAGGGCAGGAAGCTACAAAAGAGCGCTGAAGTAGACGAGGCAAGTGGAGAGGACCGGACGGTAAGTCGGTGACTTGACTTTAGGGGTCGGATGGGCGTTGGAGATGGGAAGCACTTTGACGGGATAGGTGGAGGAGACTTGGCTAGGGTAGTGGTGGTGTAGAAGAGGGAGAAGAAGGAAGTGTATTTCGAGCCCCCTTCTACACTATGGTACTCGGTACTCGGTACTCGGGATGCCGGCGAAATCGTTTTTTCAGACTGTCAAGGCCAACAGCAGTTGTAGTGGCAGCAAGTTCCGGACTTTATCGCCTCGACGACGAGCTCGAGTGACTTCCGGTGCTCGACGGCGGAACTCGGGTCAGGCGCCTCGACAACAAGTCACCTCGGGCGATTGATCGGGTCAACGACAGCGGCTTCGGCAGAAATCTCGGCAATAAAGCCCTTCGGGTAAACTCAGTACTTCGGTGTCCTGACCCGAGTTCCGCCGTCGAGCACCGGAAGTCACTCGAGCTCGTCGTCGAGGCGATAAAGTCCGGAACTTGCTGCCACTACAACTGCTGTTGGCCTTGACAGTCTGAGACACTGACACTTTACTACCTCTTTACCCTAACTGTAACTATAAAGAGCTAGTAAAGTTCCACGACCCATGTACCTAAAATCGCGGTTTTGACTTTGAGTTGCGGCCCGTGGGGCCGCCTGTGGTGAATGTACCAGCATACTGTTGAGTCTGCCGCAGCCATCTGTCGTATCTTCGTTCCGATCAGACGTCATGTACGAGCATTTCTGCATTTTGTGAACCATAAAAGTCGAGCTACAGCCCGAGTACATAACAAAACAAGAAGAAAAAAAACCCTGAAATGGGATGATCCCGGCGGGCTGCATTTGCATTTCAATTGTTTTTGTTTTTATTTGATAGACTCAAATCGGCAAAGCGATTTCAAACGCGTTTCAAATGCGATGCGACATTTCAAATCGGGGCCCCGGGATCATCCCATTTCAGGGTGTTTTTCTTTGCTATGTACCAGCGCTCCTGGAGGCATGCGCGTCCCGTTGGTATGGCGTGGACCTTCCGACGATCCTCAGCTGAAGGACAACTGTCCAATTGTCGCGGCTTACGTACAACGATCTTCGCAAAGCAACGGCCTTTGAGGACTTTGTGACCTCTGGGATCCCGATATGATGCTGTACGAAATCATCCAGACACGCCTGAGAGCCCTTTGCTGAAGCAGCCTGATGGCGGGAGTGAGAACGTGTTCAACATCTCTTTGAAGAATGAAATGCCAGACTATATCCGTGCTCTGCCCACAAACCCAGTGCATGGGTTATAAAGCTGAGGGGCGAGTAGTCCTTTTGAAGAATGAAGAAACTGCCCGTACAATGCTACCTCATAGTCTTAACATGCCCCTTATACCATTACAAGTGTTTCAGATCGCCCGTCTACCTGTACATCACATCATAATGATTGACCGTATAGAGCAACGCGCCATCCAATCTCTCAACCCCTGTCTTCTCCTCTCCCTCCACCTCGAACTCGACGAAATCCACCTCCCCGACCTCCCCCTCTTTGCCCGTACTCTGATCCAGGTATGCGATCCTGAGCCCTATCCTCAACGCCCTACTCAACGCCGTAATTTGTACATGATCCGCCTCCTTGTTGACGGCTTCGACATGGAACCCACAGAATTGCTCCATTGTGGGTACACCCCCTTCGAAGAAGCGCGGGTCATCGTCGAGAGCGAAAAGGAAAGGGACAAAGTCGTCGGCGTTGGCGCGGAGGTAGGCCGATGTCAACAGGCGGAGGAAGACGACGATCGAGTTGGATACTTCGGGGTCGTTGAAGGACGCTTCGAGTGTTGCTGACGCAGGCCTGTGGGTCGCCGTCCTCGAATTCAGGTCCAAGCCAGTCTTATCGGGCTCGCCTGAGGAATCCGAAGCCGAACCCACCTCTTTGACCGATCGTTGGATCCCAACGCGACCAGCAAGCCTCTCATAGGTTCGTAAAAATCTTGGTAAATGTCCTTTGCGAATCCACTGTAGGAAACGACGAGGTTCTGCATCAGAGTCAGCTCGGATCGGCTGGTCGTGCGCGCTGAAGCGCTCGGCCGGACCCACGCTTGATCGAGCAGAGGCAGTAGTGACTCGATCTTGGCCAGCGACAGTTGAGCAGAGGATGGAGGTAGAGGTACGAGGCGTTCGAGAAAGCTGAATGCGAATGCTGTACGAGACACCAGGAGATGTCAAACGTGTCAGCTTGCACCTACCTCGGCCCCGAGACACGCCCTCCACCACCCTCAACACGTACATCGATAGAAACAGTCCCCATCTCCTCTCGATCTCCTCAACCCCGTCCATCCACTCTTTCCCAACCACTCGATCTTGCCCCGGACCCTCTCCGAGTCGTACTCGTGCTTGAACCGTTCGAGAGGCTCGAGCGCTCCGATCAGAGGTCGCACGTTCGCCGACTCGGCCTTGATCTGTTGCGTCAGGGAGGCGATCTCGAGGTCGGTCAGGTCGGAGAGCTGACGTTCAGAGAGCGGGATGGAGTTCGAGTCGCCGCTTGATTGAGGTGCGAGGGGTGGTGCGACCGCCGAGGGTGGGGATGACGACGACGTGGAGGTCGACGCGACGGGTTCGTCAGCGACAAACTGGCCACTGCCTGCTGCTGGAGGATCCGGAGACATGTGTCGAGTACGATGCGGTTGTGTTGTGGTGAACGATTGAGCAAGTCGTACGTACACCGGGTGTGGCCGGAGTGCGAGGTGCCAGCACGCGTGTCTCGACTGAGTTGGCGCGCGCCTGTCGCCCACAGCCGCCCACAGCAGCGCGGCATCACGCGCGGCATCCATCCGCTCGTGCGGGCTTCTATGACGGCATCGTCCGGAGGGTCACGGTCACGTGTTTTTCATTTTGGGTCGGCTCGCGTCGGCCAGTCGGCCGCTGAAAGCCGCGCGCGTATAACGAAGCCTAGAACGTCGACTTTCGTCTCCTCGCAGTTCTCCGATGAGATGGACCAACGGGACCCGGTCGAGCTGTTCAACAGCAAAAAAAATTGCAAAAAAAATCTGCAGTGTCGAGCTCCAATTTATCGAGAAAAGATCGGGGACTACTATCAAAGATCGGGTATCTATTTCATTTTGCGATCCATCGACTCGGAAGGAGTGAAGTGTCTCACTGCGTGCTCGCATGTGTGCCCTGCCTGCCGCGCTCGATATCGACGTTGGCTGCTGCGGTGTTCCCGGGTGTTCCTTGTTCCTTTCCAACCTTCGACGTGCACACCCGCCTCGCCCTCCTGCTTCGTTCCGGCCTTCACATTACGCCTCATTGCGCTCGAGAGTGCGGATCACCACGAGCTGCATCTTCCCAACATTGTCACCCAACACTCACCAGCTTACAAACGTCTACAAGACGCTTCGGCGCAGTTTTCCGAACAGCCGTTCCAGCGTCTCTCTCGACTCGACTTCACGTTCACCGACCGGCGTCCTCGATCGGTTGCTTCATCCCGCAAAGGGCCGCCGCTGTAAGTCCCACTAACCCCTTAATAGCGTATGGAACCCGTCTGGCCTAGTACCTTGAACTCATCATCGCTTCCTCCCCCTCTTTCTCATCCCACACAGCTCGTCAACTCCACCGACTTTCGCGGCGCGAAAGAATCTGCCTGTCCTTCCTTTGTTCGCGTCGGCCTTGCTCTTTCGACCATCCTTTTCCAACCCGGCGGCGTATTCAGCTACGACAGTAAGTTACTCGTGTACCGACTTTCGTTTCGGACCTTCTTCAGCCCTTCACGAGCACTGCATCGAGTGTTTGTCCGTCATCTGTCGTCCGACCTCCTTCTTGAGCCGCTCTCCGACGCTACGCGCGAGTCGGACTAGTGTGGCGGCGCCTTGCTGGCCGCTGCGGGGTCCGCGCGGGCACGCATGCGCGCCAACGGCTCCCTCGCCGCTCGACGCTACCCAACGGTCGGCCGACCCACTAGTCCCTTCCAGAGTCCCCGATTTCATTTTCGGTCCACTTCGGCCGGCCCGGCGACTCGTGTGTGTTGCAGCGAACATGCGGAGCTTGTGGAGACAACGCCATGGCCTGTTTGTTCAAAATTGCACACGTTTGTCCGCCTCCGAACGCCTTCGGCGATAGGAATCCGCCCCGCGCTTGGTCGGTGTCGCCGATGTCTCGGCTTGGCGGCGTCGGCAGCGGCGCGTCCGTCTTTCCGAGGTGGCCCATCACACCCTTTCGGGCATTCGAGTCTTGACATGATCACCACCACACCATGCTACAAATTTGATCATCAAAACTGACACTCTCTTTTACTGTGTACCCTCCGCCTCATTAGATTGCTTCGATGCAACAAGTCCCCTCGTCGACGCCTGCGACGCGCGGACCCCTAATTGCCTCCTCACCCCGGCGAGCCGCCGTCGCCGCCGCCACCCCCGAAACAAGCCCAACTTCGAGTCCTCGCTCCCACCACCTCCCCACGCGTCTGCAAGAACCTTCTACCGCTCTGCTTGGCTCGACCTCGCAACGTGATCACGTTCGGGTACCCATTGCCGAAGCATGGGAGCAAGACCCCTTTGCGTCGATCAATTCGTCCGGTCGGCCATCTTCGGTCTCGGCCGAATCGGACCCGCCAATCCTGAATCAGCCATCATCCTTCCGTCGGCCATCAACGCAATCAAACAATAATGATCCTTTTCAACGTTCCATTGTCCGTTGGTCACAACACTACCAGCATGACTCCCCCGCTTCGCTCGACGATTCTCCGCGTCGCGATCACTCGCACGTTGACTTTCGCCCCAAATCACAAGGCTCAATCGACGATCAAGAGCCGCACGAGGACACGTCTTCAGCCTTCCGTTTCGCTATCAATCCGTTCCGTTCGTCATCCCCGACCCTTCAAACCTTTGCCGACCGAGCACCTCGATTTCCGACCGACGAGAAGACCTCTCGACCGCACCGCTCGCGCCGAGCTCGCCACCCTCAGATTCCTCATACCTCAACACCTCCCAAAAGCTTTCGTGACCGCCCTCTAGGCAAATACATCGCCTGGTTCCTGATCGTCGCCTTGGTCGCCGTCGTCGTCTCCGTCACCGTCACGCTCTCCCTCCGTTCATCCCGACGAGCAAACTCCGAAGACGCCATCGGGTCCATCGGTAGTGGAGTCACCTACTCCCCACCACCCGTATCCGCCTCTTCCTCTTCGCCAATCCCATCCTCGAACCAAGCTTTCAACGCGCTCAGCGCTTCCGCGATTTTTCTCTCCTCAAGTACCTCCAACGTCCAAGCCGCGACCGCGCTCCTGACTGCTCCAAGTTCAGCAGCAGCGGTGAATGCCAGCCCGACAACGACAAGTGCACCTTCCATTCGAGCTGGAAGGGCTTCGAGTACGACGACAACGACGTCTGCGAGGGGGAAGAGGATGAGGAGGGAACGAAGGGCCGCGCATCCTTAGGGTCCTCCGTCTATTCGGACTCGTCGCAACACCCTCGCTCGCACATCGAAATCGCTTTGCTCTATTCCCACTTACGCACTTACGACGCATCATCCACCTGCACATATTGGAAAAAAACCCTATTCGTACATTATTTTACCCCGCATCCCTCTTACACCTTCTTCCCCGCACTCGGAACAGGATCCCCTTGGAGTTGTCACACCCCCCCACCCCCACCTTCATTTTAATCTAATCATCTTGATGGGTCCTTAGTTTCTCATGTAGTTAATCACCTTAGTATTCGTACACTGTGCAAACTAAATAGTTCTTACCCTCAACTGTAAAACGCGGGTCAAAAACATCTCGTCAAAATCGATTGATTACAACAAAGCCCCCGCATCCACCCTTCGACAACACACGGCGCGCCATATATTGATGAAAAAAAAGAGAAAAAAGAACAACATACTCTCGGTTGATCTTCAAAGTACGAAGACTAGGTGGGATAAATAGATACAGTCAACCTCATAAGGAATTAATTATACCGATCGCTCCGCGAACCCTTCTCCGCCTGGGCGCATTCGAGAGAAAAGAGGGAGAAGAGCACTCTTTTTCAGTTCTGTGCCGAGATGGAGACGGTATGGGCGGCAGCGAGTGCGCACCTAACGAAGGGAAAGAATGAGTCCAAAGTCCTCATCAGTTTTCGAATCGGGTCTGGTCTGTAGCCGAGCCCCCTCATCGACGACGGCCGAAACTCAACTCGCAAATCACCTGCGCCCTCCTCACGACCACGATCCTCGTCTCCCGCCTCGAGCTAGTTCCCAACCCTCTACTCCCCGCTATACTCATCCCGACCGAACTCCCCCCATTCGTCGCCGGAGTCATAGGACTCGAAACGGCCGTTCCCAACCCAGGAGGACCCATTCCGGAAGTGAGAGGGATTCCGTTTCCCAAACGGTCGTTCAAGTTCGGTGATGCGGTTGTTGGACCCGGTTCGGGTGAAGTGAAGGGGGAGTTCTCGATGGCTGATTCTTTAACGAGCCCTGGGAATAAGCAAGCTCCTACGCGTTCGGGTTCACCTGCAATGACGAGGGTAACGATCGAATACCCCAAGTCAGCTCTGCTCGCTCATTCTCGTTTCTCGTTCTCGTTCTCATTCTTCGCAACCCTCACCCCGCTTCGGTCACTACGAACGTACCTCTCTCAGTCCTATAACACCTTTTGATCAACTCCAACCTCCCCGGATCCAATAACGTCCCAATCTGCGGTACATAAGCCCTATAAAACCCCGACCCCTCCACTCCACCTCCACCTCCCATCGCCGTCGCCGAAGAATGCAACGTCCTCGCATAGAGATGGAAGGCTGCCAACATCGTCGATAGAGAGGGGGAGAGATGCGATGGGGATGGGTTCAAGAGGTAGGATAGAGCAGGGATGTGGCGTGAGAGGAGGGAGAAACATGTTCGGTCGGAGAGGTGGGTGAGCGAGGCCGAAAAGGTTTGCCGTCGCCAAACGGAAGCGACGAGCGGTTCACCTATAACGTGAGGTTGGCGCCATAATGATATTCGCGTCCAAACAAATCAGCTTCAGCGCTTCAAGCGTAACCTCTTTCGCGTCTCCCCCCTTCCACAAACTCACGTTCAAACAACGTCGCATGCAACCTTGTCAATTCCTCATTCGCCTCCTCTGAATCGGTGACCAACAATGAATTCACAATCCCATCCGCCAACAGACTCGACAGTGCATGTCGAATCAAACTCTGTAGAATGATCCCCGATTCGGGATCTTCGAACCCTTGTATCGAGTTGAGGAACGGGGATTGGGTGATGCTGGGGAGGTCGGCGTAGATTGCCGAGGCGAGTTGGTTGCGAGAGTAGTCGCGCGAGTTGAGCGTGTCGGCGGCGAAGCGGTTGATGCGGCGCTCGAGGCCTGTGAAACATGATCATGAGGGTCAGCACAAGTTTCGACCGACTGGGGTAAGCGTGAACGCACCTGACGAGCTATTTTTGATGGTGAAATCATCGACGGTCGAAGTCCCGACGACGGAAGCCGCGGCGTCAGCGACTTCCCCACCTTCGAGCAACGAGACGTGTTTGCGCAACGACGCGTTCTGAGTGTCCAAGTCGTATATCTCAGCACAAGGTGCTTTTCTCGCTCGAGACGAGACTGACCAATCGTTCTTGCATCAACAGCTGTTGCCTCTGGTCCTCGATCCTCTCGTGCGCGAGACGATAGTTCTTCAACAGCCGGCTGAACAATCACACCCATGATCAGCCATGTACCCCATTTCCCGGTCACGACACTCTGAGCACTCAACTTGTACTCCTCATCGCCGACCAAATACGGCCCCGGTGGGTGCTGCGAAATCGGCGGCGACACTGGACCTGGCCCCACGGCGGCGGGAGCGGGGGACGGTGTGCCCGAATAGGCCAAGATGGCCTGCATCGTATTATTATAGCCCGAGACCGATCCTGATCCCGAACCCGATCCCGAACCTGGTCCTGTGCCTGTCCCGTATCCTCCTATGCCGTTCGGTCCTACGGAACCACTACCACCACTGCCATTCGAATAACCTCGCCCGTGGCCATTGAGCATCATTGCCGCCGCCGTTCCTCCTCCTCCTCCTGCAGCCTGTACACCATAATTCGTCTGCGGGACATACTGCTGAAACTTGGTCGGTCCAACGGTTGTCGACCCTTGGGAAGGCTGCTGCAGATGGGGTTGGGTAGGTGTACCCACTGCGGCTGCTGCGGCTGCTGCTGCTGCGGCTGCTGCTGCTGCTCCGGGTTGAGGAGGAGGAGGAGGAGGAGGTTGCCCCGCAGCTTGCGCGCCTGCTGCTTCGACCGAACTCGCGAGGGACGTTTCGGAAGGGAGGTGCTTGTGCTTTTGGGCTTTGTTCTTGCGCAAGAACATGGTCAACACCCCCCCTCTTTTCGCTCCGCGTGCTTGGGACGAGCGGCGAGTGTGGTGGGTGTGACGGCGCGAGAAGAGCGGCTCCGGTTGCGGCGCGAGTGTGGGGCACAGAGAGAGAGAGAGAGCAATGCGACAGAATTCAGAATGGGACCGACCGACTGGCACCAGTCTGGTGGGACCCGACACCGGGGACCCGACACCGCGCGATAAGTTATCGAGCGCGCGCCCACGCGTATGATAAGAGCGCTTTCTGCCCGTTTTAAACCGGCGCCAAAATCGATTTCAGGAGGAGTCAACTATACTAATGCCCACATAACTAAATTGGGGAGCTTTCCCTCAAGTTCAAATTATCATTCCGTCTGCGGTGCTCAAACTCATACCGCTGTTTACTATACATGGCGTTGTACTCTCGAGTCATTGACCCAAATCAAAAAATCAACGATCACTGCAACTTGAAAGCGAGCATTGAGCTCAACATCTTCCCCACTCTACATCTTCAAACGTCTGAACCCATTCGATGCGGTACCGACTTTCCCTCAGCTTGCTTCAAGCAACGCTTCACTAGCTTCACTCCTGACGGACTCTTGCAGCCCCCACCCCCACACCCGATGCGAAACCGGCCCACAGATCATCGCGAATCGAGTTGCCGTCGATGCAGTGATGTTACCCTCTGACGCCTGTAGAAGCTTGTCGCGCGTGCATACAAGAGTACAGCACATCAAATCCATCCACACTCCTCTCTAATCCATTCCACACCTCTGTACGACGCTGCACAGCTATCATATGCACCCGCTCGAGCACGCTCGGATCGAGTCGGCCTCCCCGGGCCGCCGCGATCTTTAATTTGCTGCGAACCCCTCGCCGACTCGGAGTGCAAGTACGACCGAGGTGGAGAAGGAGCAGCAAAGCGCGAGGACCATAATCCACGAGAACTGATCAGCGGAACCGTATGCGGTATGAAAAAGTCCGCGACTGAGGGTGAGGAGATCTGTGGGAGAAATGGCAGGGACATTTGCCTTGAAGGGCACGTGCGGCGCAGGCAGGCTCGAGCGCGGGACACTCGACTTCGATTCCTTGAAGCGCATGCACAACTGTGCATGACAGTGCAGGACCGTGCCAAACCCGGGACGCAGTTGGCCCCCGAGCAGCCTCCCGTACGGAATTGTAACTGACCCGTGTCGAGCGATCGTTCCTTCAAACCGAAACGTGCCTAGACGGGTTGAGCCCACTGCAACTCTGAAGTCGAGCAGAGTCGACTCGGAGCGCCGCAAAAAGTCCTCGGAATGAGCTAAGGCTCGCTTCATACGATTTACGTCAACGAATTCTCAATGCACAAGCAACACATTCGTTTATTTTTTGGACTGGTCCCAAACCTATCACTCCCTAATGCAAGTCCTCCCCTCCAAGGACCTTCAACTCGTCATCCCTCAAACTCTTCGCCATCTCTGTCCCTCCCGGAATCCCACTCATCTCCCTCTCGTCATCCTCGACTTTCCTCCCCACCTCGACCTTTCTCTTCTTCACCACCTCTTCTTCCCTCTCACCCTCACCGCCACTGTCCTCATCCTTGACCTTTCTCCCACTCCTCGCCTTCCTCTTCGGTCTCACACTCGTGCTCTCCACCGCTTCCCCCTCCTTCCCCTCCTCGACCTTGGTCTCCACCACCTCATTCTCATTCTCACTCTCCACTTTCAACACCACAGCCCCAACCCCCTCTCCCTCCTCCATCTTCCCCTTCCTCCCTCTGCTCCCAATCAACTCCTTCAGAGGACACCACTCTATGAAATCCATTGAAGTGACCCCCTTGGCCGAACACTTCTCGCACCCTCTCCCGTGCCTGACCAACAAAGAATGTAAGCCATACTTGAGATGATCGGGTATACGTACGTCGAGGTGGAAGAAGGTTTCGTCGCGTGAGGCGGTGGGGGGTACCCAGTTGAGCGATTTGGTGATACGGTGTACGTGACTGAGAGAGGGGAAGAGGAGATAGAACGGGGACGGGGGTGGGGGTCAGTTTGGGGATCGACTTTGAGAGGTCCGTCAGTATCCTAAGGACGGGACTCACGTATCAACGGCGAATGATTCCCTCCCGAGACAGAATAACAACACGCATGAAGCGGTCTTCACTCCGATCAAGTCGAACGAGCACAATTCCATCATCGCCTCCTTATCGGACTGCCGAAAAATTAAACCCGCACGAACAATCAGCACCAGTTACAAGACCCGTCACGTGTCGCGAACTCACCATCTTGTGTAAATAATCCAACGTCAACTGCCCCTTCCCTCGTTGCCTCTCATCCAACCTCTTCAAAATCTTGACAATACTCTTCGCCTTGACCTTGGCCAAGCCACCACACCGAATTGTCTCCTCCAACATCTCCTCCCCACCTTCCAAGACCTTCCTATACTCTGCCCTTCCATAAACGCGATCCATCGCGTTCTTCGCATTCGTCGAATTCAAACTGGTCGTGTTCTGACTCAAAGTCGTCCGTATCAAAGCATCCAACACATCGGGCGTCTGACCACAACCCGCTACGGCGTTCGGTCGATCTTCCAACACTTGAGGCCTCACCGGCACTTCATGCCCTTTACACAACCTCGCGTACACCTCTTGACATTCCTCCGGTGTCGGTCGAATCATCTCGGGATAAGGTGAAACGCCCAACATCTTATCGAGCTTCGCGAGTTTCTTCACCGAAGCGGGTGAAAGACCGGTGGGTGGCAGTGTTTCCGAACCGGCTTTGAAGGAGTCGAGCGTTTTCTTGACGGCCGTCTTTTTGATCGGGGTCAAGTAGGCGTCTACTAGTACCTCGGGCTTGATCTTGGGATCTTTGACCGTCGAGGAGCGAGAAATACTACTAGACCTGGTCGCTCGTCTCGGTGTCGACAAAGGTGTAGTAGGAAGGGGAGCATCGGATTTGAGCGGCGAAGATTTCTTGGTGGGTGTACTACCGAGCGCGCCGGCCGAGGTCGTCTTGGTGCGGGTACTCGTTCGAAGCATGCTGCTCATACATTTGGAATTAGTACCTTTGTCAGTAAAGACATTCTCTGCGCGTGGGTTCAAGTCCAAGTACAAGCGGTGAAGTGAATGTCGTCCTTTTCGGCAAATCACCTCCAAAAAAGTCCCCAGCTCGATGCCCGAAGCTTTCGACGATCGGGGATCTGAAGAGCGTTACCCACTCGGCCTCGAATGACGCCTACAGCAGGACCCGGTATGAACAACCCAACGTTCGAAGCGCACTATCCTCGTAAACGTTCTTCAAAGGGTGATCCCTTTGCTTCCCCAAGGGACGTGGCGACCTTCCTCAGGATCCACATGAACTTTCAGCCAACGTCACACGATAGCCCGGCGCGATGGCACTGCATCATGATGCCGATCGCGACTGAGGCCAACACCCTTGCCACGCTTTGAACGTCTCACAAAGGACGTTATATACTCCAACGGGCCGCTCAGAGTGAGAATCCTGACGAACTGACCTGAACACTTGCGAGTGATGAGGTGCAGGTAATGAGCAGTGATGACGATGGTCGATCGGAGCGAGGAGGGAGAAAGTGGGGTAGTACGACTCGGAGCCGGCCAGTCCGTACGAGAGGGCTGTCCGGAGGATGATCAACCGTCCAAGTATGTTTGCAAAGGGCGAGGGGTTGAGGGGTCGAGGATACGTCTTTCAATGTGGTGAACTGTGTGTAGTGGGAGGAAGCGAGAGTGATGAGCGACCGAACGACCGAGCGGGTGGACGTCGATCACAAATTGAGCTCAGCTCGCGCTCACGATCGTCATCGACAAGACCAACGACGAATTCATTTTGCAAGGATTCGAAACGAACACTTCTCTTTCGGTAGCAGGATTCAACTCTGGAGGTGTTTCCTTCGATAAATATGGATTTCGACAAGAAAATCAAAAGAGTAGCAATAAGGACCCGCCCCGGCTCCCCCGGCTCTATCACTCAGCTCCAAGAATTCAGAGCTGCATCCCCACTCCAAAGTCGACGCTCGCCCTCTTCCTCAATTCCTCCCTCGACCTGACTACCGGCTGGTGCACCTTCGGGTTCTTCACACCGCCTCTTTCAGCCGTACCCGTCGATCGAGGACGAGTTGTTTTAAGCTCCACGAACACGCCGTCAAGGGTGCCGATCGTGTAGCCTGCTGGGTTGACCTGGTCAGAGTCCGAAAGTGGGGGCGGGGGGCAAAAAAAGATAGTCAGTTCTCGCGAACGGTCTTGGGCAGTGGTGTGCTCCCGACCCTTAACTTCACATCCCCAAGGTTGGCCCGTCGGAATGCCAGGAAAATCTTAACTCACGATCGGTCTCGTCGTCTTGACAAAGGTCGCCGTCCCCCCATCCTTCCTGACCGAATACGAGTACTCCCGCCCATCCTGGTCAGGTACGGTCGTCACCGTATTCGGAGGGACGCTCGGTGTTCCTTGCTCTAAAAGTTGTTCTTGGGCGTCTTGGTCGAGGGATCGCTTGAGGCGTTTGGGACCGTTGACGAGGAGATGGAGGAGCGAGTCGGCGATCGTAGGGGGGTCAGTCGGTGTGGGAGCCGAGTGGTGTTCCTTGCGCGTTGGGGAAGCCGTGTTCGTGTTGGAAGGGTGAGAATGACCTTCAGCTTCAGTGGATGAGGTAGACTCTTCGTGCGTCGAGTCGGTCGGCTTTGTGGAGGTCAAAGTCGATATTGAAGTCGGTGCAGAGCTCGACGTCGCAGCAGGAGCGGCGGAGGCGGTCGTCGAGAATGGCTTGCCGGTGTAGGTGACATAACCCGTCAAGGTGCCAATGGTATAACCGCCTGGGTTGACCTGTCGAGAGGACAAGGCCGAGTGAGCCTCTGCCTCCGCGCCAGTCGAATCGAGCTCGCCCCAGCTCCGATCATCCAAGCGTGCTCACAATTGGTTTGGTCGTATAGATGTACGTCGCTACTGTCCCATTCTTGGTCGAGAACGAGTACTCGGACCTTTCATTCCTCTTGGCCCACCTCCCCCTCCGCACCGCACTCGCACTCGACTTGATAGCTCCATGGCGCTGCTGTTCCTCGATGACGCTCTCCCACCTCTTCTCCTGGCCCTTCACCAAACCCAACATAACCCCGAGTAAGATGAGCAAGACAAGTATGACACCCCCCAAAGAGATATACCACCTCTCGTTCCTCCTCGCCCTGCGTCGCGCATCAAGTTCTTCCTCCGCCGAGAGGTCGATCTCGCGAGGAGTAGAAGAGGAGGAAATTTCCTCTTTGACGACGTCATGATACGCTTCTTCGTGGCGTTCGTCCTCCTTTTCGGGGACGTAGATTTGGGACATGACACGTTTCGTCGAAAGTCCCGTGTGTGGGGAGGGGGAATAGGGAGTGGAAGAGGAAGAGGAAAGGAAGGACCGCGACAAACCAACCGCCGAAAGCCTCGACGCGTCCCCTGCGTCGGCTTCTCCGTTCTCGGTCTCCGCGCCGCGACGCGCTAACGCCCGCTTTCGCTAGCCGCTAGCGGGGCACGGACCCGTTTGTTCCTTAGCCGACCGTTTAGTGGCAGAAAGGGCATCGAGGCGTTTAGGCGACGTCGAAATTTGTGTCGTATGTACCTTACCGTCACCTTTCTCCTAGGTTTTGAGTTTTTTCTCTTCGACTCAGGGTTTCGGTTTAAAATAGGCACCCCGCCCCGCCGTCGGATGGACCATCGCGCTGCCTCATTTACCGGCGACGCAAGGCCGGCCGGCGAGTCGGCGACCCCACCACGCGTCACGCGTCACGCGCCGGGCCTGAACGCCTGAACGTCGATGACGTCGTTGACTGCGCGGTCTGACACGGTCTGACACGCAGAGAAGACGACTGTGCGAAAAGCGGCCGCGGGGTCTTGACTATGTACTCTCCTCTCTCCCGGTCGACTCGGGTGTAGGAGCGGCTCAAACACCCGACGTGCCGTCAAAAAATGTTGACTTCATCCGTTGCAGCTCCCACGGACTCGACCCCGAAATCCGCACCGAAAGCGCCGAGCCTGACACGTTTCCCTTCCAGTTGGATCCCGCTCTCGACTTCGCATCCTCTCGGATCCTCAACGCTCTCACACCACCTCGAACCAACCCAACGGGTGTTTCTCGACCCTCAGAAGAAGGTGAAATATCTCTGGAAATCGAGGGGTCATAGGAAGGGTTGTGCGGTCGAGGTTCAGTCAGACGACGCGCACTTGAAGGCAGAGGCCGCAGAGCCAGAGAAGGAGGGTGTTTGGAAGGAGGATAGAGTAAACGGTTTGAGGTGGTGGGGTTGGGATTATTGGGATATTAGTTGGTGGGTGGCCAGTGAGTCGTACATGAGTTTAGACTGCAGCTACAAGTGGGCTCAGAAGCTGATTTGTCCTTCGGCTGTTCCGGGAACGCCGTAGTAATCTTTGCAAGTCAAACTCCAGCCTGGACATGAGATTGAGACCCAAAGACTGACTCGACGCATCCCCCCCACCAGACCCTCGGTTCCATGTGGTGGTGCATCAACGCGATCCTCTTCTTCTGCTACTTCTCGCGCACCCCTCCCTCCTACACCAACACCGAAGCCGCGACGGCCTTTTTGGGCGGTTCGACTTTTCTCGTCGGTTCTTACCTCGGCTGGGTCGAGAGTTTGAATCCGGCGAGAGATGCGGAATTTGGGTGGGAAGTGGATGAGTTGAGGAGGTTAGTTTGAGATGAGGGGGAGCAGAGGGTGAATGGATGCTTCGGCTGACTGGCAAGCTTCGTACGACTCAGGACGCTTCGCGAACCAGCTCAAAACTCGCACCAATCCCTCGGACGAAAACGCCGTCATTTCGGACGACATCTTCCCCATCCACGTCATCACGACCACCACCATCACTCCATGAACTCCGACCAATCCGCACACCTGCGTCACCGTCTCGCGAACCCTCATTCCCCTTCCCCTCCCTCTCGGTCGCTCTCCCGATCCTCTACCCTCGTCCCATCCCCAGCGTTCTCCACAGCCTCCCCTGACCCTCCCCCTCCCTGGCGCTGGTATGGTACGACCCCCACCCTGGCCTACATCGCCAACACGGTCCAGTTATTCGGCTCCGTAACCTTCTTTATATCCGTTCTCTGCGGACTTCCCGGAATCCTGCCCGTCTCGGGTCAAACAGGTGGTCCGGAACAATCCCGCACCAGTGAGGGGTTATGGATTGGGATGTATTGGAGTATGCAGATCGTAGGAGCGCCTTGTTTCATGTTCGCCGGAATGGTCTTTGCATTGGAGACGCAGGAAAGGTGGTGGTTGCCTAAGGTCGGGGATGTGGGGTGGCAGATGTGAGAATTCTTTTTCGTGAAGGTGTTTCCGAATCGGATGAGGGATCGGAGACGCTGACCACATGACCATGTCTTTTCCTTTTGTCTATTCTACCAGTGGCTTCTGGAATTTCTGCGGAGGTGAGCCCTAGCGTTTCGCACAGTCTTCCAGAAACAGTGTCGAGCCCGCCCACTCACCCCCCACATCATCCCCCTTCCCGCCCACCCACTTAGGCGTCGGTTTCCTCCTCAGTCCCATATTCGGTATCTATCGCCAAACTTCCATCGGAGACCCTTTTAAATTCCAAGTCCGTTCTCTTCGCTTTGCATAGTATCTCGCCACGTCATTTCCGCGGGAAAGACGGACCACTGACATTCCGTCCATCTTAACCCCCGCGCGCTCGCTCGCTCGCTCGCTCTCAGTATTGGGGTACGGCTTTCTCGACTTTTCTTGGTTCATGGGCTTTTTTAATTGGGTCGTGAGTACATTCACCACCTCGTACGGACGTACATCGAGATTAAAGACTGATGTTATCGTATCGCTTCATCATCTGGGTGCGGGGGAAATTGGTTAGGTATATCCAATTTTGGGAGGCGTTGAATAAGCGATGAAATATATGGGGGGGGGGGGGGGGGGGGGAGGTCAAAGGAAATGAGAATGTGTGTAAAGAGTGTGGGGAAGGAATGTTGTTTGATCGAGACTTGTGTAACTTATCTTTTGTTTTTGAGTATTCCCAATGTTTTTATGCGTAATTATCGAGTTGAGGGCGTCGCACAGGAATTTTACACACACGGCGTTGACGTAGACGGATCGAACTCGAGTTGGATCGGAGGGATGTCCAGAACGGCTGAACGGCAACAGCGATCATTACATAGCAAACCGATTTGAGCCATGAATTGCCGGCCTGCTATCGTCCGTCCCACTTTGACAAAACCCCCTTTATTAACGCCAGCGGTCCTTTGAATCGCTCAGACCTCGTCGCCTCGATCGATCGGAGGGGGGTGATCGGGCGTGGATCGCCGAGCGAGATTAGAGATCTAAGATCTGCCGTTCAAGAGGTCTGTGGTGCTCAGAGAATTTGGCCTAGTTGTTCGTAAATCACTTATATCCAGAGAAAGGTAATCGTCGTTACAAAAAATTCCTCTTTCCCTCTTTCTCGAGGCTCTACAAAGCTGTCGATCAGATCGATTCGGTCCGAATCAGATCGAAGAACGTAAAAAAAAAAGGCTCCTCTTTGCGGCGCTGAGCTGAGCGCTGTGGGCCCAAAACCTCGAACCCGGTTCGGCGTGCAGGCTCGTCATCGTTCGGGGGCGGGGGCGGGTTCGCTCGGGTCGCTCGGGTCGGCCCATCGGGCAAATCGCATCGTTGAAATCGAAAAGGAAAGTAAAAGCTCGGTAAAAGCGAACAAGAAATCGAAAGCGCTTGGCCCTTGCTCCGTCCGTCTCTCGCTCCTCTTCCTTTCTCTTCCTCCTCCCAACCACATCATCACCCACACCCTCCCAACACCACCACCCCACCCCACCCCACCTCACCAATAACCCACTCCAGAACCATGGTCGCTCCCGTCCCCCCTAACCCTCAAGAGAAAGGCCAGAAGGGATGGACGATTGATTTCGAACAAAAGGTACGCTCGTGGCTCGGGCTTCTTTCACGCCGGTGTCGTCGGCGTCGTTGTGAGCGATGACGTGGGATGTCCCCCCCCCCGCCCCCGTTCCATTCAGGCGCTGAGCGCTGCCCGTGGCCCCCCGCTTCGACGCTGGTGCCCGCTATTCAATTTTGGGATGTGACCTACACAAGACTGACATCCAGCTGTCTTCGTTCGCTGTTGTAGACGATCGTCGTCACGGGCGGTAACCGCGGTCTCGGCAAGGGCCTGACCGAAGCGCTCGCACAAGCGAATGCCAACGTTGGTAAGTCCTCTCAGAACTACGTCGTTTTCGTCGAGATCATGCTCTCGTTCTTCTCTTCGATTCGATCTGCTGCGTGGCGATGCGGTGGAGGGTCGCGCTTTGGTGCCGCTGCAGTTGGCGGGGCGGAACGTACGCCGAGCGGCCATCGTCATCGTCATCGTCATCGATGGCGCTCCGATGCGAACTCGGACACTCTTTCTGGCTTGCGGTGATATGGGACTTGCTTCCTACGGAACCCCATACCTAGGCGATCCTCCAGATGGCTCACTCGGGTTGAGGCCACAAATCGAACTTGGGGGAGGTCGTGTAGCTCTTGCACCTCGAGGCGGGATCGGGCGGAAAGGACTTGCCCATCTTCGTGATTGAGCCGGTTCGCTCGGGCCCTCGCTCTAGTGCGGCTTCAGGAGCGTGCCGTTGGTCGAGGGGTGGCTTTCCCGGTTCATCTCTCTCTCGCTTCCCACCGACGGCCTTTGATAGTCTGTACATACAAAGTTGAGGGTTCCGGCCACTGACCATCGCCGTCTTTCGTACGTGCAGCCATCATCTACAACTCGGCCAAGGATGCCGAGGACGTCGCTGCCGAGCTCTCCAAAAAGTGGTCGGCCAAGATCAAGGCGTACCAATGCAACGTCGGGGACGCCGCTCGCGTCAAGGAGGTCTTTAGCCAAGTCGAGTCCGAGATGGGTCCCATCGTCGGTGTGATCGCCAACTCGGGTATCTCGATCGTCAAGCCGATTCTGGACTTGACCGCCGACGACTTTAAGAAGGTCTTTGACGTCAACGTCTTGGGCGTCTTCAACACGATCCAAGCCGCCGGTGCTTTGTGGATCCCGCGAAAGTTCCCCGGTTCGATCGTGATCGTTTCGTCCATGTCGTCGCAGATTGTCAACTCGCCGTAAGTGGAGAGAGAGACTTGACTGAGATCTCGAGGAATTTCATCTGACTCGATTTGGGTCTTGCGCTCGCAGTTTGACGCAATGCTTCTACAACTCGTCCAAGGGGGCCGTGTCCAACTTGGGTCGCTGCATCGCCGCCGAATGGGCCGAACACAACATCCGCGTCAACATGCTCTCGCCCGGGTTCATCAACACGGATCAAACGGCGCACATGCCCGCCGAGTTGAGGGAAGGCCAGGCGAAGCAGGTACCGATGGGTCGCTTCTCACAGCCGTTCGAGCAGGCCAGTCAAGCGTTGTTGTTCCTGTCGCCTCACTCGAGTTACCAGACCGGTTCGGAGGCGTTCGTCGATGGTGGCTACTTGATCTGGTAGACGCTCAAAGGTGTGTCGTCTCGGCTTTCTGTCTTTGCAGTCGTGCTCTCTTCTTTTCCGTGTGAATACAAAGAGTGATATCCCATTATTGATGCGAATGAAAAAGAGGCCGAAATTGTGCCAAGTGAATAGATAATAGGTGCCAGTTTATCGCATGCCGAACTCTGGGCGCCCGCGTCGACCGAATCGGTTTCCCTCTCTCTCTCTCTCTCTCTCTCTGTCGGCCTCTCCAGATAGTCAAAAGCTCGACTCTCAACTTTGTCGTTTTAACACGAAATATTGGACGTACGGAATTGTCCTTCTCAAGCGACTTTGTTCGTTCGCCGTTTCGCGCGCCGCCCTCGCTCCAGTTCGGCCTTGTGGAAACGCTCGACCGTTCCGCTCAAACCGTCTACACCCCCACACGAGGATCATCTTCTTCCATGGCCCGCTTCTGGTAACCCAATTCGATCAGCTTCTCCTTCGTCTCGAACGGAATCATTCGGCTCGTCATAATCGAGCCGGAAAGGATGATGGATACCCCACCTCCTCCAGCTTGTACGATCCTACCTCCCTCCAATCCGACCTCTACATCAAGTCATGACCCTATCCAATCGATCCCAACGATCTCTAGCAAAAGCCACGCCAGCACGCTTCATCGGACCCCATCATCGTCGACCCACTTCGTCGCTCCTCGACCGACCTCCCTGGGAGACCACCACCCCCAGCAACCTCAACCTCAGCCTCAACCTCAGCCTCAACACCGTTCCTCCACCGCTTCTCGACAAGGTTCCCCAGCGTCCAATCGGAACTTTCAACAGTCTAGTTCAGGAGGGTCCGTATCCGTAAGAACCTCTAGAACGCAGCAGCCTGAGAAAGAAGTGGGTAAGGGGTCCAAGTTGGGTCAAGTGAAAGACGGGGAGGAGCTGGGGAATGAAGATTCGGATGGGGAGGAGCACGGTTTGGAGAGAAGGAAGAGGCAGGCTTGGGGGAAGGGGTATGTGAGTTGGGTTTTTTTGGGGGGCAAGGTTAGGTGGAGTGATTTGATGCGAGTGCTGCGTGAGGGTTGCTGATTATCATTTTATTTTATTTTCGTCCCTTTCCCTTTTCGAACCCCCCCGACCTCACGACGAAAAAAGCTGCACGAACACGATTCGATCCGTAACGATTATTCGCACCACTACGTATCGACAGGTCAAAGACCACAAAATTACATTCGGGGTGCGAAGGTGGAGGAAAGGTTTTCAGAGTCGGTTTTTGAACTCAGGTCCGATCAGAGTCTTAGTTGATTCGTCCGGACTGAACCCCCTATCCTTTTCGATCAGGTATCCGAAACTTTCCCGCCTGCTCGACCTCAAACATACCCTCCTTTCCTCCCCCTCCAACTCACTCCCTCCAACCTTCCTGAACTTACCTCCCTCTCAAACTCCCCTCCGGAAAACCCTCTTCACCACTCTCGATCCAACGACCCACAAATTCGACGTCATACTACTCACACCTCCCCCTTCCACGAACTTTGACGAATTGAAAGCGTTGGATTTGGGTAAATGGAGTCATAGTCCCGGTTTCGTATGGTTGTGGGTTGGGGATGGCAGGAGTGGAGCGGGAGGTGGGGTCGGGTTGGAGAGAGGAAGGGAGTTGTTGGGGCTTTGGGGGTATAGGTAGGACAGAGTTGGCGACGTGGTTCTGAGAGGGGAAAGAAGGTGCTGATTGGTTTGACCGTTGACGATGCGCATAGACGATGCGAGGATATCGTATGGTTAAAGACGAACAAGACCCAACCGGATTCTCAAGACAACAGTTCGGTACGTTTCATCCAGACCTTCTCATAATCGAGACCCTTCTTTGAGCTCATACTTCTCCGCAACGCTCACCCTTCAGCCGTCCCTCTTCACCCCCTCCATCGAACACTGCCTCATGGGGATCCGAGGCATCGTACGCCGTTCGACCGATCCTTGGTTCGTGCATTGTAACGTCGACACGGACGTCATGGTGTGGGAAGGTGATGAGCTCGGTACGTATCCCTCCCTAAATATCCCACGCTCGTCGAAGACGTCCTCGGCTGAGCTTCGATTTTGCGTCTCAGATCCCTTACTCAAGCCGCCGGAACTACAATCCCTTATCGAAAACTTTTGCCAAGGGACGAGGAGGTTACACCTCTATGGATCTCCAAGGTCGTTGAGGAGGGGTTGGTTGACGGTGGCGATCCCTATCACGCCAACGTCTTCAATAACGAATGACGAGGAGGTTTCCGAGGTTTTCTCTGAAGGATCCTTCGTCAGGCCGATCGAGCGTGAAAGCCAAGAATGGACTCCGACAGCTTTCGATTCCTCGATCTACGCATCTCGCATCCAATCCATATCCGCTTCCGCTTCCTCAACTCTACTCACCTCCCTCTCGCAACTCAACTTGCAAGACCCCGTCAGCACCTCATCACTCCCGCCTTATCTCCCCTACCACCCCGAACTCGACACCCTACGACCCAAATCACCTCCAGCTCGCGCAGGCCAAGCATCTTCCGGCGGGTTAGGCCGAGGTCGAGGTGCTGGATTGGGCGTGACGAAAAGTTTAATTGCGAAAGGGGCGTCGGGGTTGAAGCAGCGCGGAGGGGGAGGTATTATCGGAGGCGGAATGGAAATGAGAGGTGCGGTGTTCTTACCCCCTTCTTCTGCTGCGCCAACTTTGTCGACTTTGTTACGAAGCGACTACTACGAAGCGATACAACCTGATGCGATGTTGGACCCGATCGAGCTTCCGGATCGGACGACGATGGAGGATGGGAGGACGGGATGGATCTCTCCGAGGTTCGCAATTGCTCAAGGACAGGGTCAAGGAAGGGGACAGGGCGCTTCGTTCGAGTTGCCTTTGCATCGACACTATCAATACCAAGTGCCATATCCGGTTTTTCAACAGCAACAGCAACAGCAGCAGCAGTCTCACTACGCAACAAACGTTTCGCACGTCGTCCGAACCCCAATTTCAAGCTTCCCACCGCCGCCCCACCCCCACTTCCTCCCCTCAGCGTCTTCGATGCCTTATTCGACCCCACATGGTCAGGCGCATAGCGAAAGTATGCCATATCATCAGCAACAGCAGAATCAGCATCCCCTGGGTCGTGGTTCCTCGTATCCGACTTTTGACCCTCATCAGCACCAGCACCAGCAGCAACACCATTTGGTTCCTCCGACTGGGTTTTCACAATCGCAATCGCAATCGCAATCGCAATCGCAATCGCAATCGCAATCGCAGTATTACGCAGGACTGCATTATCAGCCACAGCAACAACTCCAGCAACAGCAGTCCTATCATCCTCATCATCAGCTACATCCTCCTTACCCCTCGGTGCCCGCTCCTTCGGCGTTCCCCTCTCCGAGATCAGTAGCATCGGCAGCAAGTGGTGATGGGGACTGGGTTTATCCGATCGGACGACCAGGGCTATGAGACATGATCCTGATGGAGTGAGGTGAGAGTGATATTTCATTAGACAGACGAAGTTATAGTGTATATTACGAAATGGTGAAAATATTGCAAATTATCCAAACTGTACCCTTCAACCTTTGCGATCCCGACCCCCGATCGACTCCCATCGCCTCTCTCTCTCTCTCTCTCTCCTTCCTCATGACCCTCCACATGATGTCCCTCCCCTCCCCCATCCCCTTGCCCATCCCGAACCTGCCCGCTTCTTCCATCCACATCATCTACGATTTCATTACGCCGCGTGAGGAGGAGTATCTGATCCAGGTAGGTCTCTTACTCCCACTTGGACGAGCGAATGAATGACGTGTCTGTCATTCCTCCCTCTCCGCTCTCTCCTCCGTACGATCGAAGCTCACCTTTCCCCCGCACTTGGAGAAACAGAGGATCGACGATTTAGGTGGTGACACCACTTCACCCGACCAAGCCCAATCTCCTCAAACCGAGGATGCACCAATTCAAGGCCAAGTTGAGCCTGAGCCTCGGCCTGCTCGACCAGGGAAAGCTTCAACGAGGTGGGGTTGGACCGAGTTGAATGGGCGTAGGTCAGTGCTGTACCATGTGAAAGGATGAAGAGGTGATTTTTGCGCTGATGGGATGGGGTTTGATGGTGGGATTAGGTCCATGTATTGGGGTGAGTGGTGTCGTACTGATGCGGAGGGGGGGGGGGGGGGGATGCTTTGCAGCGAGTTGGGGGGTGGATGTCGAGTGTTGAGCGGCCTCTTTAGTGGCTAGTCACATCGTCGTCAATGCCATCGTCTTCCCAACCCTCTCCACGGTCAATTTTCCCACCCCACCCATCCCACTAATAATCCGGCCCCTCTCTTTCCGCATTCCACTAGGCGGCTCCTTGACCAAAAAAAGCACCCTACTACCACTCCCCATGCCCGATATCATGACCTCAAAGTACCCACACGTGTTACGTCGGATGCAAGAAGCGACGACAAAACTGGGCTGGGTCGAGGGGTTGAATCATGTATGATTTTTTCTTCTTTTGCCTGGTGATTTGGAAGAGGTCATGTGGGGGTTGGGGGGGGGTGCGAGATCGCTGATGCCTCGGTTCGTTACTTTATGCATTAATGAATTGCAGTGTCTGGTCAACGAGTAGGCTTTTGACTTTCCCCTCCCCTCCTTATGATGAAAATCGACAACCTGGCCCAACTCACAATCCGGAATCAATTTTGATCCCCAGATATCTCCCAGGTCAAGGTATCCTCGCGCATACGGACGGACCCGCCTACGCACCGATCGTCACGACCTTATCCCTAGGGAGTCATACCATCCTTCAATTCACACCTCGAAGCGACCGGGCCACACCTTCCGACGAAAAATCCGACTCTACAGCACCTCTGAACTCCTTCGAACCTGGTTCCAACTCGAACGAACAAAGCGAACCGTTCTCCCTCTTCCTACCCCCCCGTTCCTTAATCCTCGTCCAGGACAACCTATACGAAGATTGGCTTCATTCGATCGAGTCGAAGAAAGAAGATACGATGGATGATTTGATGAGGTGTAGTAATTGGGGAATGTGGTGGGAAAGAGGAGCGGATACGTTTTCGACTGGTTCAGAAGAAGAAGAAGAAGAGGAGCGGCGGCGGGAAATGAAGCAAGGGGACGTTTTGTCGGAGCGGGGAATTGAAGAATTGATTAGGAGAAGGAAATTCGTGGAGAGTGGGAATGGATGGGATAGGGGGAGGAGGGTCAGTTTGACTTGTCGAATCGTCGAGAGGGTCGTCAAGGGTTTCAAAATTGGGTAGGAGACTGGCTGGGGGGGCGTTTGGGGAGGGATCACTTTGCGGTCGATCTGGAGGGTCCTTGTATGATAGAAAAAAAGGGGTCTTTATGAGAAGTAAAATAGCGCATGTATTCCAGTAACTAAATCGAATGCAAACTCCTCCACCTGATGCTGAGATGCGGCCGCGAAACCCCCATGGTCCCCTATCCACTGACCGCTCACAGACGAGAATCAGACCCTTAACCCGTCCCATCAGGCTCCACCTCCTCCGTCACTAAAACACACATATAATCCCCACTCTCCAGCTTGACCAACTCCCACTTGGACGTGCCAGTGTCCGCGCCCGAATCTTCCTCCTCGTCCGCCGAGTTGGGCCCACTGAGGACACCCGAAGAATTTTCGTACGTTGAGCCGGGCTTGATGCCTTTGACGTCGGCGTTGTTCCGGGGCGGACAGGGCGGTACTTGGGGTGGGCAGGGGGGTACGTGGGGTGGACGGGAGGAGGAGTCGTTTGTTGCGTTGGTCGAGTTGTGGATGTCTGGGAGGATAGGTGGGGTAGAGTTGGTGTTCGGTGGTGGAGTGGGAGGAATGACGATATCGCCAGCGCCATTTGAAGTCCCCTGATCGAAAGACTTGTCCCCACCCAACCGCTGCTGTCTCAAATGCCACAACAAACAGCCCGCACCCACCAGCACAAACGCCACCACACCCAAGACCACGCCAATCCAAATGCATCTCCTCTTCCTCCTCAGCCGATCATCCCTCTCCACTCTGACCCCTCTCCGTCCCTGAAGGACGACGTGCTTGCTCGCGCTTCCGCGAACTTTGCGTTCCTGCAACCCATCAGCGAGAACCCTCCATTCCTCTTTCTCCCTCTCGCGAACCCTCTCCCTCTCTTCGATCCTCCTCTTCAACTCCGTCGCTTCATCCCCCCATCTTCCCAACTCTGCTTCGACCCTCCCCCTTCACCCTCATCACCACCACCACCATCAACCTTTTTCGTACTTGCCGCGCTCCTAAACCCCTTGGCTCCCTGAGTCGCAGTCCTGATGATCCACCTCTGGGCCTCCCAAGCTTGCCCTCCCAAATAAGCCGAGCCCTTGCTCAACGTAGACCCATCAGAACCCCTCTTTCGACTTGTAGGACGAGAGTTCGTCGTCAATGGTAATGGTGCTGCATCAGTTGGGGAACGCGCCTCTGAATCGGAGGATATGGGTGAGAGGGAGGAGGTGAAGGGGAAGGGGAAGAGCAATCGATGATGATTCGTGGGTGGAGCTGAGTAAGGTCGGTTTGGTGAAGCAGGGTCGGTATCGACGCTTAGGAGTGGGACGGAGATACCTCGTCTTAATGAAGGTTTCCGAACTGGTGAGCCGGTAGGAAAGCGCTCCGAGGCAGGTGAAGAACCGGTATCCCCATTCCCCTCCCCAGCCGTCTCGATCCCGAACGACTTCGTTTCGTCGGAATGATACACCAAACTTGGAATATCAGGTAAATTCGAAGGCGGTATCACTTCCTTGATGGACACTTCTTCGGGATTGATGATGAGCGCACGTTCGAACGGATCGCTCGCTACGCTCTCGCGTTGATTGTCGGGATCGGCGTAGGGATCGCGATCGGGATCGGTCGACCTCGTCTTCGGCCCAGTACGGGAAGGGCCAGACGAAGGCTCGATCAACGGCGCTTGCGTCGGTGCAGCCGAGTTCGGTGACGACGCTCCACCACTTTCCGACTCATCGACGATGAAGATCCACGCGTCGTCAATCGGAGACGACTCATCCAGAGGCGGTAACAGCGATGATGGGCAACGGTCCGAGGGGAGTAGCGGGGTCGGAGGCATCCGAGGTGATGACTTGGGACTGGTGGGTGCGAGAAGGCGTGAGGCAGGTCAATCGACGCGTGAAAAAGAAAGGGGTGGGTCTCAGAAGGCCCGAAGCGATTGAAGGGAATCGGACGTGGGGACTCACGGTGTGAACTTGGTCCGAAAAGACATTGGGGATGCACAAGCTGATCTCCCAAGGGTATTTGTAAGACCTGTCTCAAGGAGGCGAAGCCTCCCGCTCGTTTCGAGCCAGTTCCAGCCCAAAGTCGGGCTCGCTCGGACTCACTCTAGAAAGGACACAGGAGGCGGTATTTGCCCCGCGCCTCGGATCAGCCTGATCGGTGTCCCGGAGCGCAGCGGCACATCGGTTTTGGGCGGGGTTAAGCGATATTTCGATCGGGGAGAGGGTTATGGCGTCGTAACATTTAATACGTGAAACTTGCGATCCGGTGAAACACGTCGTCTCAGAATTTCGGAATTGAAACGCCCCTTATCCCACGGCGTTTTTTCGATCCATCTGAAACTTCGCGAGAGGACTCGAGCCGTCCTGGTGTCCCCAGACGCTCGAAAAGTTGTCCCGTCGTTGCTGATGTCATCAGTTTTCATCCTACTCTGGGAAAAAATGATCATGCTTGAGCTGGCCCTCTGATTAAATCCGACGTTCATTGTATTTCATTATTTTGTCACCAGAATTTTCGCTTTTACGCAGACGACCCACGGGAAAGAATGCATATACACTGGTTAGATAACTTGAATTGAGTATGGAAAGCATCAAAAGATTCTTGAACACTAAAACCTGATCTAGTAGCCTAAATGTGAGATAGGACTATAAGCTAAACGTTAAATATTCCCTCACAAAGCTCGTGATGAAAACCTCGTTCTCGGCCTCCTCACAAGCCACGTTCCCTTCACATGGCCATTATCCTGAACCGTCCTCCTTAAGCCAGCCTCGTCGAATCTATCTGCGCGCCAACGACCACCGCTCTCGGCCTTCGTAGCAGACCGCACACGAGCGCGGTCGAAAGTAACGCGACAGCCACGATGATGCCGATGACGATAAAAACCCATTTCAGATAACGACGATGTCGACGTGCAGTAAGAGTGATGCTTGGGAGATCGGCGTTGTCCGTATTTTTTGATGATGGTCTGAGCTGATGGGGGCTCGAAGTGGAGATCAACGGATTGGAGAGGTCGTTGACAGTTCTTCCTTGACCGTCCGCAGTGCTTTCTTCAAGAGCCGAGCTCGCAAACCCGTCGCATCCTTGCCTCAACGTCGCCATTGACAAATCGACCTTGTACTCCTTCGTCGTCGTCCCTAAGTCACACGTCCCAATCGTCCATTCCCCACTCCTCGTTAACCTCGAGAGCGTCGAAGCGTACTTCGCCCCCGAAGAACGACGTTCCTTGCCTGCCGGACTACTAATGGCCGATCGTGCCGTCCCATTCCTTAATGAACTCGGTCTGGGTCGGGTGGGCAAGTCGATCCCAATCCCAAAGTCATCTTGGAACCAAGTGCTGGATCGAATGGTACCTGATGAAGGGCTGGATTTATGTCGAGGTGCTTGTTGCAATGAAGATGAAGTAGATCTTCTTCCTCGGTTTGTAGCGAGGGTCGTTTGAACCGGCTGAACCCAAGTCGATGCGATCGCAGGTGCAGGCGCGCGCGGCTGCGAGACCGAACTCTCCGCGACGGTCGGCGAAGCGGAATCGGGGGCGGACTTCTCCTGAAGGCGGGGAGATGGGAAGGAATCGGCAATCTTCGAATTAGGTGGGTCCAAGATTGCGAATGGGGGTGGCGAACTGCGTGGATCAGGTGGTTCGGCCTCGCCGGGCATCGTGTTCGAGTTGGCGACCGGCTGGGGTGAGTTCAGGATCATGAACCAAGCATCCCGTGCGTCTCACAAGACCTTTTCACAACTCGCTTAAACTTGATCATGGAGGATCGCTAGCCGTGGCAGGGCTGTACTCGCGAAATTGTCTCAGGTGGCGGTAAGGCGCATCATGGAGGATCGCTAGCCGTGGCTGAACTCGCGAAATTGTCTCAGGTGGCGGTAAGGCGCGCTTTCACGCTGGTGAGCTTGCAAGAAAAGGGGCTACCCGGGTGGGCTAATTTCACCGGCCGCGGCGGGGAAGCACGTGGCCTCAAACGTGCTTCAACCACCGGGTCGGTCCGCTTTGTAACCCCATCACTTAAGAGACCACAATAGCGGGATAACTCAACTTGTACAATGTATCAGTTAGCTGGTTTCTAGCTTAGGTACACATTATTAGAACAGATGCAGAAGTACGTGCCCTTGTTCACTTTGTCGTCCAATCCCGCTCTCAGCCCCCACCCCTCCGTTTCTGGGCTACAAAGATCGCACAAATCACCACCGTTCCCACCACAACCGTTCCGCAAACCCCCACGATCAACCCGAGCGTCGTCCTCCTCCTTTTCTTCTCCCTAATCAACCATTCCTCCCCCGTCATCTGCCGTCGTCGCTCTTCGGCCCTCTCGAAACGCGTCTGCTTCCTAGGTCGAAGAGGCACGGCTTTCCAAGTTGGTTCGACGACTTCAATGATGGGGTCGTCATCTTCGTCAAGGTGCTGGTGCTGTATCGTATCCGAGCTGGTGGCTGAACCTTGAGCCGGTGAACTCGTGCTACTTGAAGGTGTCGTCGTCGACGTCGACGTCGTCGGCTCGATCGCACCCAGCTCCCGCGCTGCGACGTTGTCTCTAGTCACCTCGGTCATCGACATCGGGCCAAAGTGTCCCGCTCTGTGGGCCCAGTACGCCCCATCTGACCGATTACTTCTGGTCCCATCGTAATCATCTCGTGTTGCCCCAGGATCATCCGAAACGACCCTTATCGAACTCTCGACGATGAAGGGCGGTGTCGAATCGGTCCTGAACTGCGAGGGGCCGTCATTCCGCATCATCGCCGTCTCCGTAGTTCCTACGAGGTTCGCCTTTGGGTCGACGGTATCAACGTTCGTGATGTAGTATCTTCAAAGAAGTCTTTCTGGAGGATCCCGATTCTTCCTTCTTGACCCAAGAACGGTGCTGCGAAGCGAGGGCGAGAGTGCGAAAGGGAGCGAGAGAGGGTGGTTTAGCAGAAGATCGTCAGACTCAGGAGGTGTTTTTTTTTTTTTCCTCTCGATTGAAGCGATTCTCGGGGATGGAGTAGTGCTCACCTGCTTCGGGCTCGGCGCACTGCTACGCGCCTCCCACTTTATGATGGCTACTAAAGGATAGGTATGGAATGGTAGGACTCCTGATCGTAGAGGTCGTTGTACGAGCGATTGCGCAGAGCAAAGAAGACGAAGAGCGGCGCCTCGGTCAAGACGCTGCGACGGGACTTTTGGCGCATTGAAAAGGCCGAGCATAGCCTTCAGGAGTCGTGATCGCAAGAGCAAGAACCTGGAGTATACCGCTGATTCCATGTATCCGCTTTGAGTCCACACAGCGGCATAAATCATCCGACTTCCATGTGAAGAGTCATTGTCTCAGACATTTCAGACGCGAGGGTAATGAGACATGCGATGACTCGCGTCGAGTCAAACGTGAGATATTTTACAACAACGCAAATACAACAATACCATCCAATAACAATATTCCAGATTATATTGACACCCTCTCCCAACCACCCCACCTACAGCTCCATCACGAGCGCAAAGATCGCCGCATACAACACCACACAGACCAAGCAAAGCACAACGACGACGTCCCCGCTTGTTCGAAAAGGGCGACCCCAGAGTTTAGGACCGACAGCATGAGCGACGTGGGGAGGTGCGGAGGCAACTATGGCTGCTTGGGTGGTGTTCAGTGGTTCGGGATTGGCATCGGGGTGCGGTTCGGAGGGAGCGGTGCGGGGTTCAGGGGTTTTGGATGTCTCGGCTGAAGTGGAGGGCGGAGAGATGGTCGTTGTGGGTGATGTTCGATATTCGTCTGTACGAAAATTGAAGCATTAGTTCAGCTACTCATCATTTGCACATGTAGCCAAGCCGGATGCCGGCCGACATTAGAGACGCACCGGCAAAATCGACATCGCCTCTTCTGGCGCGATGGTACCCGATCAACAAGATGAGCGTCCCCAGAATGACATAGAGAAGACCGACTGAAAGAAGAAGTCACATGCCAATCAGTCAACAATACTTCCCCGCCTTCTCGAGTGTGAGTTTCTGATGAAAGGGAGAAGCTACTCACTCTTCGCGAACTCGGCTGAAAAGATCTTCAAAATGAGGAGCGCGTAATCGAACAACCCCAACGCCGTCCGGGTATAAGCACCTGTACGACCACCCAAACCTCTCCGCAAGCCTCAGCTTCCTCGTCAAGCCTACGGCACGAGGGCGTACGTACCGTCAAAGGTCCTTTGTCGGGCTCTTAGCTCGGTCAGTTCGTCGATGTCGGGGGTGATGAAACTGTTTCTTCGGTGACCTTATGTTCGGAGATCAATGCCGAGGTTCGAGAAACAACAAGACAAAGGCGTCAGCTCGACCGTCTGCTCGTCCTCTCAGCTCCTGAGCCCAGTCGAGCACGTCACCTCATCCTCAATAGACTCACCATTATACGTCGCAACGGGTTTCGAGTTCTGCTTCCGATGTGTAAGGCGAGTGACCGTACGGCCAACATCTTCACCCAGCATGGTCCTGGTCTATAGTGTCGAGCTGTACTACGTTCGAGTCGAGCGGAGGGGGCTGCTTGCCAGGTGCGGAACGGAGCCAAGAGACGGAAATGGCGTGCCGAGTCGTCCCGTCGATCACTCGATCGGGCCGATCAAACGGCAATCACGTGATCCCGCTTGGTTCGTCGGGACTCTCATCGATCTCATGGCCGAGCCGGAGAGCGCCATGGTCACCTCCTCTCTCTATCTCTCTCTCTTTCTCTGCTTGCCATTTCCAGTTAAAAAGTGTGCGAAATAGGTTGGTTAATAAAAAAATGCCAAGTAAAGGTTGCAAAGAACGAAGGGGCCGGGGATGGAAACAGACCGTCTGCGAAGATACTCCAAAGAGGTGGACAACATGAATTAATGAAAAGGGAGTAACAGACACTGGCCCCAAGGGTCTGGCGAGGAGTGAAGAAGAGGATGATGATAGGGAAGAAGAGGTTCAGTTTCCGCCTACAGGTTGATGAACAGGGGGGTCCTTTTGTGGGGTTTGCGGGTTTTTCCAAAGGAGCGAGCTTCGGGATCCATTACTGATCTTGGTCCGTCCGTGTTAATACAAATCGATCCAAGAAGCACTCGAGGTCCGATCAAGCCAATAATCGCAAAGCGACAACGAGCACAGCGCCCAATCCACTCGAAATAAGTCTGCCCGCCCCGGACTTGGCAGTAGTCGCCGACGCGGGCGCAGCGGATCCCGTCGCCGTCGCCGTCGCCATCGCCGTCGCACTGCCGGCAGAAGAGTTACCGGCAAGGGAAGCGACGGGCACAGCGGATACCGATCCAGCGGTGGTGTAGACGGCTCGGGATGCGGAACTGGCCAAGGTGGTCGTTGCACGGGGGATAGCGGATGTCGATTGACCAACGGAGACGGTACCGGTCACGGTCGCGAGGCCGTCCTTGACGCAGAGATCGACGAAGGCTAATTTTTGGGTGGGCGCGTATTGACTCTCTCATGTCAGCACGATCCGCATCGCTTGGTATTCTCAATACGAACTCACAGTTGTAGTTGCTAACAGCACTCGACTTGGCCGTCGCGTTCCCGTTGTTGGCAATGCAATTCGCGCATGTACCTAATTTAGCCAAATGCGCGCGAGGGCTATTGCAATCAGCCTTGGCTGTACAAATTGGGTAACGCTGGCATGGCCCACGTCCCGAAGAAAATGACTGACGAAGATCACCAAGGGATTGGGCAGAGCATGCACACATGGCGACGCTCGATTGACTGGTTTGATTGGCGCATTGCTATTGTGTGTGTTGTGCAAGGCGTCGACGGAAGAAGGAGAGGTGGCAAGAAAATGCACCGGAGGCTCGTCAGCAAAATGAAGGAACCGAATTGCGTTCCCAAGGCGCCGTAGCGATCTGCCGATCTGACGCGAGACCGCGAGATCCCAGCGCGGCGCAGAGTACAGCAGCAAAGCCAACCAGCGTCTCCTGAGTATCCGGAGCACGTACACTGTAATCTGTGGTAGCGGTGTTGCACGAGTCGGCGCAAGCGCTCGGGGCCATGCCGAGGATGTTGGCCAAGTAGGACGAGCTCGTCTCGGACGCGTCCGCGCGGCGAAATAAAGCCAAGTGCGACGCGACGACGAGCTCCTGCGATGCCGCGACGGCGAGGACTACGAAGCAAAAGAAGATAGGAATTTAATTGTCAGTTGACTGTACTGCTCCATCATCGCACACTGTCTTGCATGGACCCATCGCCGTGCCGTTCTCCTGATCGGGGTCCGGTGATCGTTCGGCCTGCACGCAGGCTGCATGCATGCACTCGCGCTCGCGCCGAAGTGTTCCCGCGCACACCGCCCGTCCAGAGGAGGACACAACAACTTGGCGCTCGCATGCGAACGGACGTCCGACGGCGAGAGTTAACGGAGACGAGCAACTGACTTGACGTGGAAAGGGCCATGGTGGCCGTCAAGGAAGCGAACAACATGATTGCAGAGTTATGTAGTTGGAACGAGCGTCGAAAGAAAGAGGCGAGGGATTTGCGGATCGTACGGAGGAAGGGAAGAGGGGAGAGGGGAGAGAGGGGGAAGGGGGCCAAAGCACTTCGCGAGACCTTGGCAATGAATGCGCTTGAAAGCGTGGGCCGGGCTATGCGATTGGCGCTGCCGGCGCTGCCGGCGGTGCCGCGACCCGACCCAGCATTAAGGACCCTCTACTATTTCATGGCACCTCTTGCGTGCTAAATACCTTTCGCGGCCCTAGGTGTGGGAACGCAAACCTCTCCGATAAAAAAAACTTCATGTTCGAGGGTTCCAACGGCGTTCACAATTCCTCAGCGTGGGAGTGGGTGTCTCTGATCAATCTCCGAGCTTTCCCCCTCGGGAGCGGGGCCGGGCGCGCGGGGTGGGTGTGTCGTGCGCAAGCAGGGCCTTCGCGCATACACCCAGCACCCTCGTTTTTGACTTTTTCTCATTCGCGCGAAAGCGGCGATCGTTCTTGGATGTGCTTGGCAGGGTAGACGACGGCTTTGGCGGAGCCCCTGTGTTGTCTGTGTTGTGCTCATTCTGAAACGATGTTCTTGGCTTGGGCGGCCCCTCATATCAGCAGCTCAAATCATTTAATCCAGCACCTCCAGGGAGAGCTGCAAGTTGCGGAAGAGCAAGGCCGTTTTTGACTCCTCAAATCTACAGCAGAAGCATCTCTACTTCATCAAGGGAAGCAGTCCACGCACTTAGGACAAGACGATGTTGAAAAAAGTCGCACGCCGACCACCAGCAGAATAGGACGGCGATACCGTGGGCCCGGAACGCCGGACTTCGCGCGAGGACTTCGGTTTGGGGACCCCAAAAAATGTCTCGGATCTATTCCACGGCGGCGGCTCATTTCAATGATGGCCGTGAGTCTGCGAAGGACGATCAATTTCACTACGAGCCGTGAACGGCAGGGAGATGTGCATCGTCCCTCAGTCGTCGGTACGTAGCTACAGCTACTACCGCCGTCCCCTCGACGAAGCGGTGCCAGTCTTGGCTGCCCTTTTACGAGGGTCTCTCGTCGACGACATGGAAGCAAGTCACGTGCCCGGGACGTCTCCGACGTTGATGAATCTACTGGAGCAGACGTGCTTCGATATCCCGATACGCGCTTCAAGATACGCAATTCAGAGACAAGCACGCGCAGACCATCTCTTCGTCAGTACAATGAAATGACTGGCCACTGACTAGTACGCAAGCGCGGCCGGCGTGGATGCTTCGCGGACCTGGAGAGGCGCATTAGATGAAGCACACGCTATTCGAATACTTCCAAATACTCTGACGACGCAGAATTCCTTTTGCGTAAGAGCTCTTCAACTCATTTGTAGCCAGATATCGATCCCGGGCGTTCGGCTGCTCGGAGGACGAGCCATCGATCAGCCAAGCCCCTGTCCGCATCCGGCTCACAAACTCTTTGCCGAGCCGTGTGTTGAGCGAAAGCTTGGATGCATTTCTCAAATTTCACAATGTCTTGATTCTTTCAGCTTCTAAGCTTAACCACCATCAACCGCTCACCACTCCTTCTGCCTCTCCGCCAAGCTCCTCGTCATGTCCAAGACCGTCTCCTCCACACTCCTCGCCTTCAATCCCAACACCGTCTCCATCCTCGTCGTATCGATCAAATTCTGCTTCACCCCCTTGACATCCCCCTTTCCACTCTTAGTCGCTTTGGGGAACTCGCTCAACAATTTCTTCCCCTGTTCCGAACCTTCGAGCAGGTCCAAGATATCTTGGTACACGAATTCCTTCTTGGAGACCAGGAACCTCTTGTTTCCGGCTTCTTCCTTCTCCAAAGCGAGGACATGCGCCAAAGCTACATCACGAACATCGACCAAGAGTCCAGCGGGCTTGGTCGCGTCCTCGCTCGTCTTGTCACCGAGGAGGTAGGAGTAGAAGACTCCGACGGAGGTGTTGAGCGATTTTGCCGAATGGATCTCATGGATCACGGGACCAAAGATCAAAGCTTGAGAGCAAAAAAAAAGAAGTAAAATACAAAAGGATCAGTCCGGCTGTTCGCAACTGGGCTGCCTTTCTGTGTCGCTACGTTCGACTCACGAGGGTTGATCGTCGCAATGTCGAAAGGCGCTTTGCCGTCCTTGGTGTTCTCCTTGAGGAAGTCCCAAGCCGCTTTCTCGGCCAAAGTCTTGGAAGCACGGTACGAGTCTATATATACACATCGTACACCGCAGCATTAGCGCTCAGCTCCTTTCTTCCTGTCGAAAACTCTGCCTCATCCAAACTCACGGAATGGGTCACAGTCCTTGCCCTTCTTCTCCAACTCCTTGGGTGAGAACTCGTTCCAGTCTTCCTCCGTGAATGTGTAAACAGGATCGTAAGGGTTGGTCACGGCCGCGAAGGATGAGGTGATGACGACGCGCTTGATCTTGGGTTCGAGCAGAGCCGAACGCACGAGGTTCAAGGTTCCCCTGGTAGAGCCCACGAGCAAACGAGTCAGACTCCGTCGTTCTCTTGAAGCGGCATTGCTCCAGCCTGGGCTTATGTACTGACTGGACGGCAGGGTTGATCAAGTCCTTTTGGGGGTCGGTGACGTTGAAGTGGAACGGACTGGCCGTGTATGCGACTGCATCGACGCCCTTGACAGCTTCATCGAAAGCACCTTCCTGTTACACCCACATCCAAGCCAGAATCTGCATCGTCAGTACTTTATTCCCCGTTCAGCAACCCCATGCCTTGTAGGCGAAGCGTACCTGCTCAACATCCTCAACAATCACAAAGTCGAACCGATCCGCCTTGCCATCCTTCTCGTACAACTTCTTGAGATACTCGCCCTTGGCCTGGGAACGGACCGTTCCTCGGACTCGGAATCCGCGCTGGAGCAATTGTTGGCCGACGTGCGCGGCGAGGAAACCTGCAGGACGGATGGGTGGGGAAGCGATCAGTTTGGGATCACTGGGCCGGGTCGGGAGATTGTGACGTACCTGAGGCTCCGGTGAGAAGGACTGGGGAAAGAAATTGCTACTTCACGTCAGCTTCACTCATCGCCCAGACTACCCGACGCGCGAGTACGAGCGAGATCGACGGCGATCATGTGGAGGGGCTTCCCCCCCGCGGATGACGTCTTCGATGGCCGCATCGACGTTGCGCAATTCGCTCAAGCGGATCGAGCAAATGCTATTGTGTGGTACATACCGAGAGAGTCTTTAGCAACAGCGGGCACTGCATTGAAGAATCTGAACGATCAGTCATGTACAACAGCTGGGTGATGTGCATTGGCAAGCAGCGCTCACTCTTGTGGATTCGAAGTGTGGGCGACAATGTGGGGAGAAGGAGAGCACAGCGCGCAGGCACTGGCGAATCTTTCGGGTCGGGGCGGGAGGAGCGCCGGCGCGCGCGCGAGCGACGAAACCCGTTCGGTTCTCGTGATGACAGGTCCAGCAGATTCAGATTCGCTGGGGACAATCTGTGACTTGGAATCAAATGGAAAGAGTGACCTGGAATGGAACTTGTTTTTTCTGTTCCTGCTCGGTGAAGTACAATTCAGATCGAGCTCGTCAAGAAGAAAGAATGTCCGGCGATTGGCGATCAGGACGTTGAATCCCTTCTCTCACCTCAAAACCTCACCCAGGCTCGAGACATATAGTCGAACAACTTCATAAAGAGCACACTACGCACATAAAAGCAAGCCAAAAGCGTCCACCAAGCCTCGCCAGCCCCATTCCGCCGAATTGATCCCTAGCCCTTACCCCCCTCCGAAAGACCCTTTCCTCCCCTTCCCTTTCCCATTCACAACCTTCAGGCGCCCACCCCCACCCCCAGCCCGTCCCCCCAGTCCATCCTTCGCGACAACCCACAACGCCGTCACACTTACAACATCTTTCAATTCCTCCTCACTGATCCCCGCCCCATTTCCCAATCTCACATCCGAAAGTGTCGGCGAGAAAGAAAGGTTCGCTACGAGGCGAGGGTGGTAGGGTGCTGGGATGAGGTGCGCGAGGGGAAGGGACCAGGGTTCGGAGGAGGATGTAGAGGGAGATTGTGGTGCGTTGGTTTGGGTGATGTAGAGTGTGCAAGACCAGGGTCGATCAGAATCCTCGAGGTCGGAATCTTCTTCTTCCTCCATGTCCTCGTCATCGCCTTGCTCCGCCAGAGCTTCGTCCGCCGAGCCCGCGGACGAAAGTCGAGTCCCCTCAAGACCCATTGCGGCTCGATCCAGTTCCCCCGACGTTCTCTCGGACCCAATCGAAACGTCCGACCCCAAACCCTCCCCCTCCGAGGCTCTCCTACTTCCCTTCTCCTCAAGCGACACTTCCAACCCCCCCTCCTCATCCTTCCTCACCGTCCTGTCCGAACCCTCCTTCCTTGGACTCTTGAACCGACTTTGATTCCTGGTCCCTGTCGAGCGCTTCTTCTCCATGCGCTTCCATTCGAATCGCACATTCATCCCTATCAAATGTCTTGCTTCGACGAGATCGTTCCTCAGGAATTTGGTTAGGGTGAATGCATGCCCTCTTGCTAGTTTTCGAGGAGGTGACACGACAGTGATGTTTTGGTCGGGTAGGGCGAGACTAGGACGAGGTTCATTGATGGAAAGTCGTCCTGACGATGTCGAAGCTGTCATTCCTCCGGTACTTCCGCCTCCATTCCCTTTCATCGCCGCTTTGCCCATCCCCAGTTTTTTGAGTTTTGACAACAAACCTCCCGGTGATTGCCCGCCATTCGTCGACTGCTCCGCGACTCTTGATCGCATCAATGCCAAAGGAGAAGTCACCGTCGACAACGAAGTCGACGATGTTGAGATGGTCGGAGGTGCTCTTAGGTCGAGTGGTTCAAAGAATGCGAAATCCATCATCTCGATCGTGCCCTTTTTCGAAAACTTGGCAATCTTCTCGTCCGTTCCTGTTCACACCAGTTCGTGTCAGCTCGTCCGAGTCACACCGATTTCGAAACGAAGCCCCCGTCATTCGGCAACTCACCCGCATCCGTGACAACGGTCTGCAACAACGCATGAAAAGTCAAATTGTACAAGGGCGTAACCCGTCTCTTACTACCTCTGCCCCTTCTATCCCTCCCACTGCCACCGCCACCTCCACTGCCCTTGGGCCCTACACTCGACCCACCAATTGAGTACCCCGTCCCCGTCGAGCGAATGGAAGAAGACAGCGAACTCTTGGTTGAGATCGCACTCGAAGAGGATTTGTCGGATTGCCAAGACGTACTTCGAATCATCTCTGTTGAACCCGGATGACGCGGTCTTGGAGCTGTACTAGGTGCCGTGAGATGCGGACTAGAAGGATCGATCTCGTTCGGCCCCGATTCGATGGGTCCGTCGTGGGAATCGATCGTCGCTCCCGCTACGGCATCGAACGACTTGGCTCCCAATGTCGAAGTAGACGCTGTACCGCTCGTGATCCAAGGTCTTGGATGTGCTGAGGACCCACCACTCCCTTGACCACGTCCTTCGGATCCGACGCCTTCATCCGTTCCCAAGTGACCTTCCGTCTCTTTGCCAAGAGCATGTGGGGGTGGGGTCGGCGCACCTGCTTTGGCCTGACTCGGATGCGCAGTGTTGGTTCGTGTGGTATTGACGAGTTGGATCTGTAGGTTCCTCATATCTACGCCTTTTGAAGGGGGTGGGCGAACGATGATGAAGACTTGATGGGGTGGCATGGGCTGTTGGGTATGCGGACTGGTTATCGGGAAGTCGCGGCAGTCGGACGATGATGATGATGATCAGTCACCGACACATACACCGTTCCACCTGCACGTACGCCGCTCTGATCACTTACTTCATCGCCTTCTCTTGACCTCTGTCTTGACCCACAAAACGTAGAGTGTCCGTTCTTCCCCTTGGCTTCCTTCGTCAGTCAAAACTCCGCGTAGGCGTTAGCGCGTCAGCCTGTCTCGAAAGCGCCCGTGCGCCCGTGCGACCGTACGCCAGAGCTCGGCGTGCCTGCCGACGAGAACAACCGTCGTCGCCCGGGGTTGACGGGGTGCTCCAAGCTTAAAGGCCGAACCTCTCGTTCTGGACGATAGAGATGTGAGATAGTAGGTGAGGGACGATCTCAAGTCGATCTTGGTAAGTTGGCGTGGTGGATGATTCCCGTCCAACCAAGTCGTAACCCAACTCGGAGGCAGTCGAAGGAAGAGAACGCTCAGGAGAACTTGAAGGAAGGGTCCGAAGGTTTCGGTAGGAAGCCAAGCCCAAAACCCCGCCCAGGCTGGCGCGCGTCGGGGGCTGTGCACTCAATCTCCGTGCGGCCCGGTTCGGCCTTCTTGCGCGTGATACGATCAGGCGTCCACGTCACGTACCACTGCCACGCGTTCGGATATGAAGCGGACTAGTGGTATGGAGCGTCTGATGGGTGTAGCAGGCAATCTTGGGGATGGTATCGATCTCACGGTCCACTTTTGAGCACATTCCCAGTTGCAATCATAGCGACCCCTTCGTTAAGAAGGCGACTTAGACCAGTCTCCTCAGCTTTCACTCACTAATAAGTCCCGCCGCGACGCCCAGACCCGGAGTCAAGTGGCATTCGAAACACAAATGACATCACAAATTTGGGTTTCCGTGTATCAAGCACACACAGGTACACAGACACATACACGCAAGCTAGAAGGTTCCTAGCTATGTAATTGATCCGATTTCCTTCCTCACTATTCCACAAACACAATTCACCGAACACAAATCGACCAAGTCTTGCTCGTGCTCTTACTCATCCTTGGTATCGTACGACGAATCAATAGGACCGAGCAACAACTTGACGAGCCTGTGTGAGTCGGGCGTAAGATTTACCGAGGCTAAAAGTCAGTTCCACTACCTTAGAGAGCCTCATTGAAGCCGGCCGAACAGACTCACCACAACGAAGGCGTCAACTCGACACCGGCGTTGTTGCGCGCGAAATCGTCGGCTTCGTTCTCGTAGTTGCTGGTCGTATCGATCAAATCACCAATCTCGGGGTGCTGTTTCGCAAATGAGGGTAGCAAACCCTTCTCAGTCAGCAACTCGACGCTTCCGAAAGTTTATCATGCCCAGTCGCGACTGACCTTGTCCAATTCCTCCAAGAACGCCCTGGCCTTCTGATCATTCCCAACCTGCGCGAACTGATACGAGATCGCATCCGGTCCATATCTCGTCCTCGCCAACTCCCTATTCGCATTGATGATGACCCTCGTGATGTTGTCCCTCGGCTCCGAAGGGATTCCATCGGTGACGGCGATGACGACGACGGGTTTCTGGAGACGACCTGCCCGCGCGGGTCCGAGTACGAGGGGTTGCAAGACTTTTTCGTCCAACGCTTGGCCGAGGGGAGTGAGGCCGCTGAACTTGACGTTTTCGATCAGCTGCATCGCGCCGGATTCCGAGTTGATGCCATTGCCTTCGACGCGTGAACTGTCAGGTGTGTTCGAGGTGTGGATCAGTATCAATCAGAACGGATGCTACCGATCATGCCACGAACGCAGGACTGACTTCATGAAGCGGACTTGGATACCATCGAAATCGAACAAGCTCGTCGCGTATGCACAACGTGAGATGACGACCTTGAGATCGTCGATCCTCGTTCCGCCTTCCTCGAACGCCATCGATCCCGAATCGTCACAGTACAGAACCGTGTCAAAGAGCGCCAACTTGGCCGTATCGATCGCGACTTCCATGGGGATGTTCCATTCGCTAGCTAGACGGGGCAGGGCACCGGATTGGGCGATCTTGGCAGCGATGGGCTCGAGCGAGCCGGGAGGGTAGAAGGCCGTGATCTTTTGATCGACGACGCATTGACGCAAGGTGGCAAGGATAGCGTTGGCGTCCGGCCCGCCGCCTGGGGCTGCACCCCCGTGGTGCTGCTGCTGCTGCTGCTGCTGCTCCTGCTGCTGGTGAGGTTGGCCGTACTGAGGTTGCTGACCATAGCCTGTTTCAACTCGAAATCAGATTAGCTTGATCGTTTCAAAACTCGGAACTTGTTTGATAAGGAACTCACCTTGAGGGGGTTGACCGTACTGAGGCTGCTGTCCGTAACCTGCCCGCACCAAAACAAAGGGCAAATCAGTACCCAGACAATGCCTTACCAAAGGGAAACTCTCGACGATTTTGGACTAACCTTGCTGGGGCTGACCATATTGCTGCTGCTGGCCATATTGACCCTGTTGAGGTTGGCCGTACTGTCCTTGCTGGGGCTGACCGTATTGTCCCTGTGGAGGAGCAGCGCCGTAACTCGTAGCTGTATTCAATCCCTCGCTTTATCAGCTCTTGCTGATCCCTACCGTACTATCCATTTCTCCGGTTGACTCACGTCGATTCCCACTTGGAGGTGGCGGACCCGGAGGAGGAGCATACGTATTACCCGCCGGTTTCTGCTGTGATCCATAAGCCGGCGTTCCACTTCCCGGAGGTGCACCATACGCGGGAGCCTGTTGTTGCTGAGGCGCGCCGTATTGTTGTTGTTGGGGAGGCGCACCGTACTGTTGTTGGGGTGCACCGTATTGGGCTGAGGGAGGGGCAGCTCCTCCGGTTGTGCCTGATCCCGAGGCGGCGAGTTTGGCGGCGAGTCCCTTGAGGGTGGTTGACGAGCGATGTGGGACCGACGAGACACCGTGGCAGAGAAAGAGAGTGGGTGTGTACGTCAGTTGGGGTAAAATACAGGTGGATATCCAGCATGCTGGAAGACGCCAGATGCCATGTCGGTGCTGATCATAGGCACAAACGTCAAGGGTGGCGGTCTTCCCGAGGAGACCAGTTCCAGCCTGAGGTGCGATGACGTCGTCCCCCCCCCCCCCCCCCCCCCGGGCGGGCGCAGCACTGTCAGCCACACGAGGTGAACGGGGGCTGCGGAACAGCGACGATGTAGTACCAAGACGAGTCAAGGCATCCGCAGAGGCAGCCATAATAGAAGACTGACCATGTTGTGTCAAGAGTTAGATTGGACGGGTCGTAGTGAGGCAGGAATGTGGCGCCAAGAGGGAGAGAAGACCGATCGCGGGTGAGGCCGGTGAGGGACAGCGTCGGCCTTTGCGCGAGTTTGCGCCTGTTTGCGCTGTGTTCCGGCTGGGTTAGGCTGGGTTGCTTACGTTTGAAACCGAAAAGCTCCCGGGCTCGTCAAGCTCAGGAGTTCTTTCAGCCCGAGTGACCCTCAGCGGTAAATATCGAGGCCGCCTCTTGGCAATGTGGAAAATCACGCTGTTGCATTGACAAAGCTTTTTGGACATGTTGAAGAGTCTACTCAAGTACGAGGCGATCCATATGGAGACGGGCCGGAACGTCATAGCAAGAAAGGCCAAAACGAGGCTACCGTTTAGACCGGTGCCGCACCTGGCCGGGAGGTTCGCCACGGTTCGGCGCGCGCGCGCGAAGTTTTTCACGGTGTGGGACCTCGAGGAGCGTCCATGACGGTGTGGGCACCACTTGAGGTGAGGTTGGTCACCGTGCATTCACTCGGTCCAAAGGTGGCAATTTGGTGCTCAGGTTTTCAGATTGTGCCAAGGTTCTCCAACTTCAGTACGAGGTTCTCCAACTTCGGCGTCAGGTTCTAAAACCTCGGTGGTAGGTTCGGTAACTTCGGAGTCAAGTTCTCCAAGTCCTTGCCGAGGTTGCCAATGGTTCAAGACCAGGGCTCGGGTTGCGTACGGTTCGCTTCGTTTACCAAGGGTGGAAGACCGGTTGAAAGAATTCGCACTCACCCTGGCGGTGGACACGGTCATAGTACACTATACTGTTGGATTATTTTTATATTGGCTGTAGCATAGGAGTTCTGGGTATGCAAAACTGAGTAGTAAAACAGAAGATCTACAGAAATACAGTGTGCAGTATGGCACACGGCAGAAGCGACGTTCAGTCGTCTTTGACTGATAAGCATCTGTGTACAGGCTCGAGTGGCTCTAAGCTCTCCATAGGGCCCACGGCACAGTACAGTGCTGGGGCGGCTGAGATGATGTTTCTTCTGTTGGCGATGGACCATGTCCCGGATATCAGAAAATTGAGTTGTTTTGCTGCTAGTGAAGTATTGTGGCTGGAATTGCTGCGGTACACGTTTGGTTGTGTTGTCATACACTCGTAAGGTAAGGTGGAAGAACGTGTGCACATACGGTGCTTGTCTTTGCTTGGCTTCCCCTTCGACAAACCCGAGTGCGACCGTTCCGAACCGGACCCACCGCCAGGCTTGATGGCCTCGATCGACGATTCGGAGGCGTCCGACTCGTCGTCCGACGATGTCTCATAGTGGTCAGAGTATTCAACGGTTGGGTAGCAAGGGCCTTTATAGATTGATTAGGAAGAGAGCTTGGGGGCACCCTGCAGTCAAATGAGCGCGTTTCCCTGGGAGTCAGCTGCAGTACGCAAGAGCCAAACCCAGCAGGTGTCGACTCGAAAATTGACATCGCGCCAGCGCTGCGCCCGCGACTGACTGGTTTCGGCAGCATCGATGCGTGGCAATCCTGAGGCGAAGGGAACAGATCTTCGTAAAGCATCTTCTTCGTCCACCTGGCCTCCGGCTTCCGACTCCATTCCTTGCGCCAGAGCAGCTCGACGGCGTGCGGGAGAAGTATGACTCGGTCATCGAGTCGCCCCTTGGGCCTTGGGTCCGAACATCGCGGCCATTCGGACGCCGATGCCGATGCTGACGGCGATGCACAACAAGTCCGCGGAATGGTGACGACCTCGATCAAAGACTGGTCAGTACGCCCTATAACGATTTATTGCGCAGGAGGGCCGGAATTTTATCATTAATTGGACCGACTTTCCTTTCCTCTCCAGAAAACAGCGTAGAAAGGGTTCGTCCCATGGGTCGTCTCGACAGGAAGCAAATCCGTGCGCTCGACCTAGAAGTCACCCTCGCATCTCGAGCGAGCAAGGTGTGCCGATTCTGAGGGATTACACAGAGATAGGACTGCACATCATAGTACCCTACCAAATTCCGACAAGCTGATGGGGTCTTCATGTGATCTAGGGTCACCTGCAATGACGTCGCGTGAGAAATGCTCCAGTCTTCGAAGCACTTTTCTTGCCGTCGGCCTTGTCGGAGGCATGGACATTTCGATGTCTTGCTCCAACCTTGTCAATGCATTTTTTTTCTCGATGCCACCTGTTGATAAGAGACAGTCTTCGCTTGCGAGTGTGATTGTGAAGCTTTGGAGTAGTTGATCTGTCTGCGGAAATTCGACTGAGGTGAGTATAAATAGCCTCCCTGTCGTCGGTCCGCTCTTCTCCTTTGGCCAATCACTCGCCGCTCGCTCACCCGCCCGGTACCGCTTTTCCCGTCGCGATCTCGAGTTGGACCTTTCACGCAGACCTCGGTGACCTAGTGATCAACAAACGTATATCGCGCACACGACCCACTTTGAAGAACGTCGCGTCGTCGTCATCGTCATCATCGTCATCTCGCTGACGACTACGTCGCACCACCTTGCTCTCTAGGTCGGCATCTCGGTCCACATTTTGCGGACATTCGTTCCAAGCCTACAATAAGGCCTTTGATCACCCGTTACAGACCAGTCGTCGTCTTCTTCCGATTCTCACCCGCCATTCGAACACCTGTGGACGCTCGTTCAAGCCTGCTCGCGGCCATGACTCGATTCGCTCCCACCCAGGTCTTGCGGTGCCCACGCCCACGCCCACGTCCCCATGACCACAAAGATATCTTAGCCCGAACCATCACCTCCTTGTAAGTGCTTCACCGCTCTGGCTACTCCTCGTATGGTCGTGGCGATACCACGTTGTGCGACCGAGACTCGCTGTGGTGATGGCCCTGCGGGAGCTGCACTTGCGCTGACGCTTTCGCTCGTGTCTTAGTTCCTCAACAGCGATGTTACAGGTGAAGAACCCTCTGTTCTGTTTCGAGCCCATCTATGACAATCCCGGCCTCTATTCGTGCAGGGTGGGATGGCCGAGCGATCAAGCTCCTAACCAGAAGCATGACGTCATAGCCTGGCTCAAGCTTGATCAACAATCACCTTAGATCTCATGTAGATCATAACCCTTCTCACCCATGCATCGCCAACAAAGGTGAGTACATTCCATCAAACTACTGGTGCGCTTTCACGTTCCTTCCGAACCGTGGGATGGCGTTGATTGCGTCGCACCATCACCTGCTCACCATCACGGTCTTCCTCCAATCGATGACACACCCGTGTGAGTGAGCTTGTGCTGGCACACTGCACTGCTGATTTGGCTTGCTTCACAGCACTGGATTGCCTTGGGATGGTGGAACGTTCAAGTCCAATTCATAGAATCGACCTCGGCTGTCGGAGCTTCGCACCCTTTCTCGTCACGCTCGAGCTCCTTCCCAAAACACCCGAAGGACTGGCCCTCCTCAATCTCTGTCCTTGCTCAAGATGATATACTGACACACTATCATGATCCACCCCATTCCTGTCCCGAACCCAGACCCGACCGAGTCAAAGCTTTGGCTTAGCACAGCTGTTTCTGATGATGATTAAAGTCAGTGAGTCCACTCAAGTTCATGGCACTATCGCTTGTGATATAGTAAGCGAGTGTGGGCTGGGTTTGCTAGTTCCTGTGCAAGGCGATCGCTGCCTCTCAATTTGAAGATGACCGTGCGAGTCCCACTGCTGCGGTTTGAAAACCTCAGCCGAGGTGAAAACTTTCGCCGCAAAGTTGTGAACTAGTAACTAAAGTTTAGCACTATGAGCTCAAGTTCTAGACCTTCGCTCAAAGTCCCTCGCCCAAGCCCCAAGCTCCAAACTGTATTGTTCAAGTCCTATGACCCTGCCCCAAGTGTCGAACCTCGAGGCAGAGTTCTCAATCTCAGACCCAAGTCCCCAACTTCGCCCCTAAGTTGAGAACCTCGCGCCCCAAGTTGAAAACTTCGCCTTCAAGTTCAGGCCTACGGGCACGGTTCCGCAACCTTGGGCCCAAGTTTTACCCGGTTCCCACCCCTGGCACCTGGTGCCACATGGTGTAGGGGTTGCCAACTTCCGGCGGTGGTGCGGAACCGTGCGACACCGGTCTAAACGGTCGCCTCGTTTTGGCTTTTCTTGCTATGGTGACAAGAGGAACATATTTGTGTCGGTCACAGGGACGGGAATGCGCCATGACTGACAACAAGCTGTTAGAGCTCTATGCTCCTGTTCGAGAAGTACGCTGCGACATGAAGCTCTGCAACCCCCATGACGCCCATGTCCCCAAGCCATCGCACCGTGAATGGCAAGACCCACCTGCTCGGCACGGTCTGCCAACCCGGTGACACGTCAAAAAGCCACGAGTGTGTCTCTACAGACGACGGAATCCTCGTTGAAAAGAGTTGAACCAGTAGTACGTGCGCTGGAACCGGCGTCTTGACACGGCCACTGCACATATGCGACACTGCCAGGCTCGACCAAATGCATTATCTCAAGGGCCTGGCTCCTCGATGCGGAGAGTCGAAGTATCAATTTTCATTGGTATGCTAAACTAACAAAGACGGGAAAACAGTAACGGATACAACATGAAGTCGGAATCGAGGGCGGGTCGAGCAATGATGATGGCGCAGAGGAAAAGCTTAAGCTTCGCAACCACCACCGCCCAACCACCGCAATCGATCGCTTGCAACCTGGACTGAACAAAGTCAACGCACACCGTGTCAGCATCATGCGTCAAAATTAACGATCAAAATCGTATGAGTTCCCTTTCTCCTTCATCAGCAAAGAACGAAAGGTATGGGGGGTGACGGTGAGCTCAGTTTAAACTAGCTGATTCGAACGTTTCTCAACAGGCCACCTTCCCCCCCAAAAGGAGGAAGGTGTTCGTGATGTCCCTATCAAGGCATGATTGTCGTCATAGCTCGGCGTATAACTCTGTTTGGATGAGGGACTTACCGTCTGGGATGTGGGTGGGTGAGAGAAGAGAGAGAGAGAGAGAGGTGGCAGGCCGCGGGGGTCGGTTTCGTTTCTTCGTCGACGATTTTACTGCAGTGGTCGGAACGGGTCTGTGAGAGAGAGACCCGTGATGGGGACGATTGGCTATGTACTAAGTTTTGGGGTAGGAATAATTTGCTCCAAAACTCTCGTGCTGCTTATTGAAGCCGGAAATTACGGAAACGAAATTCCAACACGCCGCATGGCTGCGGGCTGCGGGAGCTGGGTCGCGCCTGGCTCAGCGTGCTGTCCTCCGGGACTTCTGATTCAGCCTCTGTGAGTCTCAATGCTGACAGCAAGTTCCCCAAGCTAGTCGACCCTGCTTCCTGCACTTCGATAAGTCCGATTCTTTCCAGCTGTCTGAAGTTCTCCTAGATCAGTCGTCCAAGCTCGTGAATGTCGTGTTCGTCTTACGATCGGTTCGTCACGTCGATTCGACTCGAAGGGAGCCGCATTTGGTGGCTCATGCCTACAGTCCACTCGTCGGGAACCACAAGTACTACACTGCGACAGCTTGATGCGACAACCTCTGTAGGCCACTTTGCATATGGCCAGAATTGGGACAATGGCGACCGCGCTGTGAGCACCCACTGCCAGCGGCCGGTGAAGGTCGACTCGAGCTCCCCCGGATCCCTACGAGACTTCCAAACCGCCCGGCCAGCGCCCGCGGTCGAGCCAGAGCAGGGGCTACAGCGTTCACTATGTAGCCAGAACTTGAGCTTACCTGCACGCAGAGTCAATTTGCTATGTTACAGGCGATACCGAAGGTCTGAACTTACCCGTGACACGGTGGCCGTGGCGGCGCAAGATAACTTATAGAAGGACTGACTAGTAGTACTACTTACCACCCATGCTTCGTCCGAAATGCATCAAAAAATAATATGTAACGATTGTTCAATCTTGGTGTAGGTGTATGCTCACGACGGTCAATCCGTTGTCGATTGGCCCCCACATTGACCCCACAGCAGAGCCTGGCCGGCGGTCGCCACCGAGAGGACAAGGGGGTCTATGAGCGCAAGCCGTGACCTGAACCTGACTGCGATTTACTCGCGTATGGCAGGTATAAATACAGGGTTCTTCCAATCGTGTTCGAGGTCGTGTTGTAGATCCATTGGGGTTACTTCGAACCCCTTCCGGAGCCGTATCGCATGAGGTCTGATCCAAGCCGATTTCAAGAAGAGGTTCGAATTCGCCGCCCGGGCCCCGAGATAGCTTCACTTACTGGTCATTCAGGCGTGTCACTAACGCGCTTACGGCGCCCATGCCTTATAGGCCTGTCCGAATTTTGTGCGCATTTGAGTTAGCAATCCTCGACGTAGAAAGAATCGTTTGGTCACCACGAAGAGCTGGCACCGATGAGTACCGGGCGCCGAGAGGAACAGCGGGCAGGGGCCGGGAGAACTATGACTTCGGATTTCAGTCGCCGGATCGGGCCAATCCTCCGGGTAGGATATTGACCTCGCCTGGGCCCGGTCAGGTCCTTTGCAGAGTGCATACTTCTGAACCATACGCGAAGAGGTAGGGATTGGAACAGCATTGGAACAAAGCTGATTTTGCGAGATTTACAGAGATACGAGGCGAGCCTTGGACGCCTCCTCGAAAGCCGTTTGGGTGATCAGTTCTATGTACTAATGGTTCCGATGAGAGCCAGCGGAGGGTTCCGCGTGTAATCGATTGTTTCCTAATCGGTCCTAATCGATCTCCTCTGTGCGCGGATCGCCCAATAAGGAGCGCGCGCACATGTCGATCTCCTCACCTCTCGAAAGCACGACAGTGCAGAACCCCGCTTTTCTAGCGATTCGGGCCTGGGCCCCATGTCAGAACTAGGTTACGTATCGAATCAGAGCCAAGACGATCAAGCGGGCTGGGGTGCATCCGCAGACGAATCTTTGAATGGGATCGCTTTCGGCCCCTCCGACTCACTAGTCGTCGCCCCGCGGCCATGACCGAACTTTCGGCAAGCTCAGGTCGCTCGGTCAACTTCAATTAGGATCACTGCAGCTGCCGCAAGAGTTTCATGGAACGACTGGCATGCCAAATTTCTGTCCGAGTAGTGGGCGTACGATTCGAGACTATAAAGACTGTACATGTCTTCGCTTTACTTTCTTCTCATACCGTCTCCGACCTTCAAGAGGAACGGTCCTCACCTCTCCTCACGTGACCGCTGTCTCCGAAAACACGTCCGCCTCGTGCCGAATAATGCGTCCTCTTCCCTCGCGCCAGTTTCCTCGCCGCTGCCCTGCTCGTCCTCCAATCGGCACTCTCGCTCGCCGCTCCCTCGTCAGAGGACGCTGTCCATGAACTCGAGAAACGCATCACGTGCCATGACAACGAAGTCGCCATCAGTGAGTATCATTCCTCATACTACTGCGGTACCTGCTCCACCGCGCCCCACATTTCTTGCTTCGACCTCGTTCTTCCGCCCGTTCCTCAGCTCACGACGATCATCGCTGGTCAGCAAACATCATATTGACCTCGTTTGGCACTCCTTCCTTGACCGCAGACAATGCTTGCGTCTCGTGCGCCTCGTTGTACAAGAACGCTTCGACCTGCACGCGGTCGGCGCCCCTGACGTGCACGTATGGCGCTGTCAACTCAACTCGCAAGTGCGTTTACTAGGGGGTGTGCTCCCTGACCATCACTTGTCTTGCACATTATTGCAAGTGTCAAGGCGCTAGTATGGCTAACTTCTCATCACCATGCAGCTGCGCCCCTGTGGACTGCACCAAGCTGCCTGGAACCTACCGAACCGACGATGGTGAGTTGGCTTCCTGCACGCTGGTTCTGAGGGCCTTTGAACTAAATGCGTTCCCATTGGTGTTCTTCCATCTACTGTAGCCAAGCAATGTCTTGCTTGCCCCGATGCTCCTAATGGCGCTCTGACGTGCAACAGTACGGCGACCTTCTCCTGCTTGCCCGGGTACGACTTTCACGGCGGTCAATGTTACCTAGGCGTGCCCATCGCCAAATTTGTCGGCTACGGCCTGGCCAAGCCTTTCCTAGCTAAGCAGCAACCGTTCAAGCCTTACCTGCTCACGGACACTGTGCATATGTATTGTCTGGCCCAGCATCCCTCGGCTCGTGGTCAGTTCCGATAATGTTTCCTGTACTCTGGAGGATCTTCCTTACTGACCTCGATATCTGTTCCGTCCTCTGACGGTACAGTTGCCGCCCAGACTGGATTCAACAGTCCGATGCGACCTACCTGCTCCGGCCAGATTGGTGCCATCGACCAGCCCCTCGTCGTGATGGATGACCACAGTGCCGCCGTCTTCCTCAGAGGGTGGTGCGAAGACCTATCGACGAACCCTTACGTCACCGCGAACCGCGCCAACAGCTCTTGCGTCCAGTCTCATCTCCTTCCCGATGGATTCGCCAGCCTCCCGTAGACGGGCTCGTGATATGTCCGCAAGGCTCGTCTAGGACCATCTCTTCATCTTGTGGGGCTCTTTTTCTGTTCTTCTTCTTCTTGGCTTGCATTTCATATTCTGTGGCTCCCATGGACTCGTCCGGGGGTTTTTTTTTTTTTCTCGAGAAAAAGCTCGCCTTCTTCGTGATAAATTTTGCTTGTAGACTGATGCCGCATAAAAAGGAAAGATCACCTTCGGGATGAATGAGATAGGGGCGCCAACTAGGTGTCAACCAGATTTGGGAACTGGCTCGGTCACCCCCCCCCCCCACCGATGCTTGACACCTTAGGTATTTACGACTTGACGCTTCATTCTTCGCGAATCCCCTCGGAACTTTCTTTCGCCGTCGAGGTGGATGATATCATGTGACGCTGGGCGGCGCAACGTTGACTATCAGATCTCTCCTTGTCTCCCAGTTCTCTCCACTCGAGCGACGAATTCTCAAGTACTGCTCTCTCGTGCCCTTTGGCTCACGAAAAGAGTTGAAAGAATAAAAGAATAAAATACCCTAACAAGCACCCTCTCGATAGACAAAGACCCCGAAAAACCCTTCGATTTACTATGCAAGTACTGCTTCACCACCCTCCTCTTCAACCCCTTCCTCCCCCTGAAAGAACTCCGCCAACCTCCCCAAAGCGGGACTGAACCCCTCCCCCTCACTCAACTCATCCGAATGGAACGAAGACGAACATCTTTTCAAACCCGGTCTCGAAATTGGCGTGCTTGGTACCGACGAAGGAGTTGGACGGAACGAGTCACGGAAAAGAGCTTCGAGGTCTTCGTCTTCGTTTTCGTGCGCGTTGGAGTCGTGGGTTGTTGGGTAAGGGTTCACTTTGCGAAGTTCGGCTTGGGTTCGATCTAGGGCTTCGAGTAAGAGGTCCGAACGGAGCTCCACCCAGTCCGATCGATCCTTGCTGTCCGTCGAAATAGGTTGTATGAAGACGGACTGAAAAGGACTTGTCCTTTGATGAAATTCGGGTCCGAAACTCGGGGATCGACCGAACACTGTGAGAGACTTGCTCGTTGTCAGATCCCGACTGCTCACAGGAACTTCACTCAGATGCCATGCGTACGAAAGCGCAACTCACCTTCCTTGACCCTCCACGCCCCTTTGAAAACTCCGAGATCGTATCGCTATCGCTATCCGCTCCTTGGGCATACCCCTCAAGTCCTTCAACCTCATCCGCATTGCTTCCCGCATCTTCACCCAGGTCCAAAAACGGTCGACTCCCTCTCTTGAACCCGGTCAATTCTTCCACTTCATCGAACACATCCTCTTCTTCCCAATGATCATCATCATCATCATCATCATCCCCCGGCAACTTACTCCCCCTCCTTACTACAGAATTCCCAAACGATGAACCGGCCGAAAACCTCGACCTCGGCTTCAACCCCTCTACCTGACCGAACGAACGACGTCCTCCCTTACGTCCTTCTAAAGCTTCCAAAGCGTGCCCTCGTTGTGATCGTCGTCCGACCGATTTCAAAGAGGAATTCGTCATGGGCCTTTCACCGCCACCCCCCGCCAACTTGACCTCTTCCCTCATCGGAAGCGCAGTCACCCCGACCCCATCCGGAATCGGTGGTAGCGGTAAGTTCGGGACCGGTAAAGGCGGTAATTTACCCACGGGTGACAGGGACTTGGGAGGACCTAATAGAGTTTTGGCTCGTTCTTGGGCTCTAGCGAGCGAACCTTCGGAGGGGGAAAGGAGGGAGGAGGTACGCTTTTCCTTTGCCTGAATGGGATCGGGGCAGAAAGAGGACGTGGTGGAGTAGATGGAAGAATCGCACGTCGACGAACGGAAGCGTGGTGTCGAAGCGGTAGGCGTCCTCGGCGTCCTCGGTGAATTCTGTTCATCCCAACTTGAACCTCCACTTTCTGGTCTGACCCAACATCCAGGCTCATCAATATCCCAGGAAGAACCCCTCGAACCCCCTCTCCATCCACCCATTGTGGAAGCGATAGACGACCGAATGGAAGGTAACGCAATCGATGCCAACGAAGGTACGACACTGACCCTTCCATTTTTTTCCGATCGTCCAACGGGCGGCCAACTTTGGTGATAGGTTGAATCGATGAGAGAATCGATCGAGCCTCGACGACTTAGGTGGGGTGTGGTGGAGGGAGGTTGGGCCTCGTTGATGGTTGATAGGCAAAATTGAGAGTGTGATGGGGCAGGAAGAACTTTCTTCCCTTGTCCTTGGCCTTGAGCTTGGGCGTGGAAGGTTGCAGGTCCTTCAGTGAACACGTCCGAGCTTCCTTCGTCCTCCGAATCCGAATCCGACGCCTCGTGTCGTCCTCGACGAGCAGCCATCATGCTGCCCAATTCATTATCACTCGACGTCCTTCTCAGCCGACGAACGGGCGACGAACGTGGTGGTGAATGTTCCGGCGTGAGAAGTTTGATCGAACTGCGGTGCGCGTTATCGAAACCGTCCGTCCCTGTCATCGCATGACGGTTTCGAGTCTCGAAGGAGCGGTGATTATCGTCATAGCTATAGAGGGTGTTGTGAGTATCATCGACCGATGAGTACGCAGCCTAACCGTACTAACTAAAAGTTTCTGAACCTGACTCACCGATCACCTTTCCCCCCCTTCATCCCCATCGTCTTTCGTGCGCCTCTACCAGCTGCCCCGATCTTGACCTGCCTCAACCCCTGTTCGGTACCCAACAACCTCGCCGCCTTCCCCGTCGGGACCGTCACCTCCCCCAAGATCCTCGCCGCCTTTCCCCTCACTCCACCGGGTTGTGATTCGGACCATGCATGACCCATCAAAGGAGGATCGATAGGATCCAAAGAGGGGGGAATGGCGAGGGGTAAAGGGAGGGGGGATAGGCATGAGTTGGAGGAGGAGGATTTGGACGGTCGTCGGGAGAGGGGCAAGGAGCTTGTCGCTTGGGAGTGAGGGGAGTTGGGTGGGGAAGGATAGGGATGAAATGAATTCATCGAGGGTGAATTCGTCATCGTCGAGGCATTTGAACCTGTTACCCCCGTCCTCGTCGATGAAGTAGCCGAAGCGGATGACGAATTCGGTAAAGAGATTGCGGAAGCGATACTCCTCAACGAGAACTTGCTAGCCTTTTGTCCCAAACTCTTGAATCCCGAAACAGGTGAGCCTAGATCTCTGTCATGCTGACTCGCATCCTGGCGGGATTTCTTCGAGGCTCGTAGGGTGTGATCGGACAAATGGTGGTGAGGGTTGAAGTGCGCTCCGAAGAGGGAGTAGAGATCGTCGTCGAAATCGTCGTTGTCGAGCCAGCTTGTGGTGGATTCCATTCGACCTCGATGAGAAGTGGATGACTGAGGAGAGTTTTGCGTCGAGTGTGTTGAGATGTCTGGAGAGGGTGGCGACTCGTGAAGGGCCGAAGTGGTTGAGCAACTTGCAGACGAGTGCTCGTACGACGATGACGACTGAGGCGTCGGTTGCGGATGATTGACGCGAGGCTGTCGATCGCGCGACCAACCTCCTTTTAATAATGCTTCCCTATCCATTCGATTCCCAGTGTTGGGCAATACAGGGGACCCTTGACCCGTCGCCATCGTCGTCGAGGGCCAATGATCGTCAAGACCGTGTTCAGTAGGGATAGGAGAGGGCCACTGCGTCGAATGATGAGGTGATGACGACCATTTTGACGGTTGCCTTGGAATCGTACGCGAGCACGCAGCCGAGACCGAGGGCGAAGCCGAACAGGCGTAGTCTTGGCACGATCGTAGCCCGACCGAACTACCGGCCGCAGCGCTGGCAAGGATGGGCGACGACGGGTACGCTTCGGGGAACAACGATGACATGCCCAATAAGGGTGACGAATCGGTCGAATTCGAAGAGGTCGATGACGAGCATGAGCTTGGGCTCGTTGGGAAGGCGTTCGTGTGAGGTGATCGTGTGGCAACGACGGCGGTTGAGGTGGAAGCGTCCGTCGTGGTACGAGGTGGGGAAGGACCGTCGTCGTGGCCGTGGCTGACGCTGTGTTCGTTCGCGTTGGTGGAGCTGAGGCTGCTAGTGCGTGTCATGCCAGCACTTGTAGACGTACGAACGGATGGGGATTGTAGGCCTGACATGTAGGCTATCCATTCGTTGTCGTAGTGGCTATAGTGGCTGTAGTGAAGCTTGAGTTGCCGCTCCCCCACCGCCCGCTTGGGTGTCGTCCTTCTGCCTTCTGCCGCCTCAGGGGGTCGGTGCCACTCGAGACTACCACTGACGACGACGACGACGACCGCTCACTCGGACTCGAGACCAACCGACGAAGAAACTAAGCAGCACCACTTGTCTCAGCACCTGTGGGCCCGGTTGGCGGTCAAGTGAACCGTATCAGTCGATCGGAGCTTGCCTCTTGCTCTGTCCTTGGCGACATCGAACCCACCTTGGATGCTGTTGGCTGTAGAAAGACCTCCGAGTCGAAGGCGCCCGTTACGATTCGAGGCGCGCGAGAAAGACCGACCGGCGTTCGGCTCGGCTCGATGATCCGCTGAGCTGCAGTGCCGCGTCCCCGAATGACCGACCGACCGGCGAGACCGCTTTGCACAGGCTTACGTTCGCCGATGTATCCTCACTAGTCGCAACGAGGGAGAAAGAGCCGGCAGGTCACTTCACGAACCACTCGAAGCAAATAGAAACGGGATAGAAGTTGATGGAGAGATGAAGGACGAGAGAAGGAAGAAGGCCCGTGCGCACAGCCGACCCGAAAGCGGCGGCTTCCTTTCTCGAAATGAGCGCATCAACGGGCAGTCGGCCGGGTCCTTGAGCTGCGAGACACCGAACTTCGCAAGGAAGTTTGCTTTGGGGGCCACTAGGTCTTTTTCTCTTCGTTTCTTGGTGATTTTCATTACACTCGGTTCGTTCGCTACCACATGTGTACTAGAGCTCATTCAATTATTCGGCCAAGTGGACCACGAAAATTTGTGCCTCCGTTCGATAAGGGAGTAGAGACCCTCACAAGCCTCAAGGCATTCGATTACCCAGACTTTCGTTTGAAGCCTTTCGGACGATCTCTCTCAATCGCGGCGGTATCACCTACCCATCTCAGGAAAGGCCCTCTTCTCACAAGCTGATGAGGCTCCGAAGCGTTTTTCGCTCGGTTCCGAGCTCGGTTAACGGCCGTTAAATCGGTCTAGTCTGTGCTGTTGAACTACATCGCGGGTGGGCGGAGCTGAAAATATACTAGTACCACCGCAATACAACGTATCGTCACATACTCTCTATTCCCTAGCTTCATTACCTCACTCCCACACGTTTCTAAACGAGCGAATGAAGTCGCTTCAGCTCGATTGAAAAGACGACCCCTTTGTTCCTCCCGGCGCTTTGACGCCGCGGCGCGCCTCGCTCGACTCGTGAATGGGGGGGGCTATCGCCGGGTCGGGAATTTGAATACTTTAGGCGCCTTTTTGCTTGTTTCTTGGGGCAACTTCATTCGGCCGGCTCGTACGAGTTTCAGATGCAAGACAGAGGATGAAAATCCATCTGTCAGGACCGACGGGTTACTAAGCTCGGACCTCCTCCATCGCGGGAAGGATTTCGTTCTGCTCCTCGAATTTTGTGAAGGCTTTTCGATTCGGCGTGTTGACCGGGCGCAATTTTCAACGTATGTTACCCTGCCCATTCAAACAAGTCTGCATGCCGTTCCTCTGATGAACCCTCTTGGAGAAACGAGTCTGTGGCCGACGACCCGGCGCTGAACTCGTTTCCCGCATCTAGACCAGCGGAAGGGCGCTCGCCTCGAAAGCCGATGCAGAATGGGGGTGATCGACAGTTTGTATTTGGCCTCGGAAAGCGCGCATTTCCAAAAGTCGACGAATCGGCGCTTAGCCTTCTCCCCACCAGGTCTCTCGGGTCTGTCCTCGAGAGAAGGACACGACCTCTTCTTTCGCTCGACTAGGTCCAGCCAGGTATCTCTACTTACGAGCGGTGGTGTCAGGGTGTAGTGTGTGCCAAGGGATCTTTGATCTTTCTGTGGGACGCGGGCGGGGTTTCCATCATCTCGCTGGTGTGTCTGACAGGTCACGCGGCGTGTGCGGTCACGCGACGACTTCTCGACTCGAGCTCACGCAGGACGGGACGAGTCGACTTGGTCGCATCTCGAACTCGGTATCATCAAGCTCCACCTCTACCTCTACTCAAAGATGGGCAAACCGACCGCCAACGGACCGGATTCGCAGCTACACGCTCTGCTGCCTCTGACGCGCGAGCAGCATCACCGCATGCTGACCGTCGATGTCGAAGCCACTCGCAACAACAACCGTCACCACAGCAACAATACCCGTTCTAGATCGACCTCCCCTTCCTCTCCCACCATGTCAATGCCGTCCCACTCGCCTTCATCGCCTTACACTGTAGGATCCTCACCCCGATCCTCGTCAATTCCAAGTCCGAAAGAACCCTTCGGCGCTCCACCTCGATGGTCAGAACGACTCTCTTCTCTCCCTCGATCCTCATCGATCGTCTCCAAGGGTAGGGAAATCCTACACCGCCCATGGCGTTTACCACGTTGGCGATCCAGTCTGTTCGCTTTGCTCTGTCTTCTCTTCCTCGGCACCTCTGCCAGTTACGCGACTTACCACCTTTCAAATCCTGATGAATTCGATCTGGCTTATCGCTCAAACGCGGAGCAAGATCATTGGTTCAAAGATGGTAGCTCAGCCGATCTAACGGAGGAACAAACGAGGGACGGGGAATATACCGAACCGAGTTTGATGAAATTGAGACAAGCGGTAGGGGACGAGCCTCAATTTTTAGCCAAAGATGGAATAGCTTGGTATGGGTACGTATGCGTCGATTCGGCCTTTGTTTGGTTAGCCGTCTTATGCTGATATAGAGCACTCTGGGGATGTACAGTTTCAACAATCGACGATACATGCTCGAAGCGACGATGAACTTGGCGCGCGTCTCCCATCGCATACCCATCCTCCCTTCTCACATATGGGCAAGAAGTTGCGTCGTAGATAGGTGAGTTAATCACTCTTTCCATCACAACTTGAATTCGAGTCTGTTCGCTCATTATTCGCTTGTGGGAATAGTGCGGATTGCACGAAGCATGCTTTACAGCATTTGGCCGATCGGAAGAACGCTCCCGGGTTCAGGGACGAGTTCATCACTTGGAACGAGGATGGCGAAGCTTGGAAATTGGGGATAGAGGTGAGAGAAGACTTTTTTTCTCTCTTCTCAAAAAGATCCATTCGAATACAAAACTGATCATGTTCTGATCGTTTTCGCACACACCCACAGCATTTCATAGATCTACCCCACCTCCGTCGAACTTATGGTCTCTTCCTAACTCAAACCGAATACTTTTCACTCTACGCCTCTTCCCTCCCTCCGAATTTCAAGATTGACTTGAGAGGGTATTGGGATCCGATCCTTTATAATCCTAAAGGAATGACGACGCGGGTGTTGAATGGGACCAAGCAATTTCATGACAAGAGTTGGGTCAGGATGGATAGAGACATTGTGGGTGTGGGAGGAGCGCCGGTCAAGGGTAGAAAAAGTTGGGGGAGGAAAGGAAGGGACGCGATCGAAGGGGTTGATGAAAATGTGGTTAAGGATTTGATGAAGGAGGATCGGACGTACGTTTGGTCTTTGGAGAAAGCGATCAAAGCGATGCGGAGAAGGGGGATTGGAGAGGGGAAACATTTGGCAAAGGAGGAATGGGGGAGGGCGTTGGTGAGAGAAGCGGGTTTGAGAGAGGTGTACACGTTCGATGACTCGTAAGTTGGTCACTGTCGGTTTACAGGATCAGGCTTTAAGGAAGCGCTGATTTAGAACGCTCGAGTGACCACTCACAGTACCTTGATGTGTAAAACCGTGGCGCGTCCGTCGACCGAATACGTCGACCCTTCTCACCTCCGTCCCTTCCAAATCGAAGCCTTTGAGAACTATTCGAACGCGACCATCCTCGCCATCTCGGGCCAAATTCACGACCAACGCAAACCGGGCGCCACGCACTTCTCGACCCCTTACGCACGGGACCAATTCCGCGATTGGGTGATCGAAGGTATTCGACCACCGCGTGTGTACGTTTTAGCGGCGGAGAAGATCGTTCAAGAGATGAAGCGAAGGACCAAAGGACGACTTTGGAGGTCCGCGCATTTAAGAAGGGGTGATTTCGTGGGTATCGCGTGGGCACCGGAGAAGGACCCTGTGAGGCATTTCGATAAACTCAAGAATGCCCTTGGTGCGGGTATCGAAGTCCTTCGACAACGACGAACCAAGAAACCTGGTCGAGGGGCATTACAACCTTTGAAGAACGAGGAACTCCCTTTTCCGAACGATCCGTTCTACCTCGCTACGGATGAGACGGATCCGAAAGCTTTGGCATATTATAGGAGACAAGGGGCCGTGTTGTTGCATGATGTGATGGGGCAGGACGAATTGGAGGACGTGTTGGGGTGGAGGGCAAAGTATTGGGATTTGTTGGCGTTGGTCGAACAGGAGGTTCTTGCGCAGAGTGATTACTTTGTTGGGTCTAGGATGAGTTCGACGACTGGCGGCGCGTTAAATTCGAGGTTGAGGAGGAGGAGGGAGAAGGAGGGCAGGGAAGGGGAGGGGGAGGTTTTCGTGGATGCGAGGGACGATAATTGGATCTTCTTGGAGGAGTTCAACGAGAGGGAGAGGGAGGATCATGACTAGGTTGTATTCGACGTGATCATTGGGGGCTTACTGTTGTTGTAGGATTACAGTGTTGCTTGTTCATTCTTTGGTAGTATTCCAGGAATGATATTATATCTTGTGCACAGAGCATAGTCAAGACTTGGGGTGAAAATGGGCTTTAATGGGTGCTCGGTTCGCTCGAGTACCTGACATGCCGCGTCCGCGGTTCGGAGCTCGTTCGTTCGTTCGTGGAGTCGTTCACGTTCATCACGTGTCAAGACTTTCGCAGACCGCTCTTTCTCTTCCGAACCAATTCTTTAAGGCTTGCAAATTCTCGACAATAGGTCTTACAGCTCTTGCACACCACCTACAAAAACCCATGCCACCCACCGGTCGTTCGTCAGACGTCTTCACCGCTTTACCCCCTGCACGGACAATTCGAGAACTGCCGTCGGCGGCGCGTCGAACTGAGGATGAGGCTACTGGTGGACTCAGGGGCTCGAAAAGGAGTTTGGCTGTTCGGAATCGATTGAATAGAATAGGAATGGATCACGTTGACGCTAAAGGGAACAAGGCCGAGCTCTCCGAGGATCATGTGGGTGGTACTCGCGACGGTACTTTTCCAACACTCGGAGCGAGTGATCCCGACTCGAAGGGGACCGAGTGGAAGAAGATCGGATCGGGTGATACGAGTATCATAATTTTAGACGGTGTTGAATACGTCGTCTCAGGTAAGTTCGCCCTCACCGTGCATCATGTTCCGCGAATGGCACCCACTTCAAAACGGTCCAAACTGATTTTCTCGCAGGTCCCAGCGCGACCCTCTTAGCGAACGAACTTCTACGATCCCACCGCGGTCCACAACAACGTCTTCGACGAAGACGAGTTCTCTGCGCCGTAACGATCAATTTCGTTGTGGTGGGTCTGTCTAGTTGGATCATCGTCGAAAATGTGATCGCGGTGATCAGGAAAAAGACTTTGGGTTTGGGAAGGGCTGTCGAAGTGGTGAGATGGATCGAGTTGGGCGTTGGTACTGGATCGCTCGTGGTGGGTATAGGGGTATTCGGTTGGTTACGCGTGAGTTAACAATTTCAACCTCCCATTTTTCCGAGGGATAGAACGAAACTCATTAATCCCCCAACCGGCTACCGATCGATCTCTTTAGACCCGTCGAGCCCATTTCTCAACCTACCTCATGCTCCCCCTCGCAACCCTCTCAACTCTATCCCACCTTCTCCTCGCCTTCACAAACCTTGCCCTAACACAAAAACACCGCCTCTCACTTTCCAACCGGTGTAAATGGGGCATCTCCCTAACCTGGTCCTCAGGCGCTTCAAGTCGACTCTGTCCCCCTTCCAAAGAGATGGCAAAAGCTTGGCTCTCAGCGGCTTTGCTTCGGATCATCGTAACGATGTTGATTGGGGTACTTTGGTTCGTGGCGCTATGGGCGTTCCAGAGCTCTCTCACGAAAAGGGTCTCGCCTCTTATGAGCGGGGAAAGAATTGACACGACAGGCGAACGTGGAATCGCGGGTTGGAGACTCTCGAATGAAGCTCGAGCTTTATTGGCTCAAAAAGGGGCTTCGGTGCGACTTTCGACTGACAAGACGGACCATTTACGAACTCGAAAAGGGAACGAGCATTTATTACACATGCCGGAATATGAACCAGGAAGATTGGAGGTCGACGAAGTAGACGATGAAGAACAAGAAGATGATGAAATCGTGCACTCACGGTCTCAAACTGAGTCCTCTTTCGAGATCTGGTTAGGAGCCAAGCTATTCGGGTGGATGAGTTGGGGGATGGGCTTGGATTCGCACAGCGAGCCAAAAGATAAAGGCACAAATGGAGCTGACGGAGTTGATGATCGGGAAGAAGAGAAGGATTGGTCCCGAACAAGGGTCAACTCGAGCCGAACTATCCCGGTCAGAGAGCGATCGACGATCGAAGGAAGTGAGAATGGGGTTGGAACGTAGGAGTTCATAGGATTTCATAAATCAGTCTTGATTATCGAGTCTCCAAGAGTATAGCAAATGATGAAGAACATGCCCGAAGAAACTAAAGGAGGAGTACAAGAAACTAAGGTGAGATGGAAAAGATAATACAGATTATAGATAATGTACAAGAGTGCAAAGAAGGATAAAATCAAGAAATAAAAAATGAAACAAGAGTGTGGAAGCATTGTATCGTTATGGAATGATCATCGCACATCTACATCATCAATTGGTCGGAGACACGAGGGGAAAGAGAGAGAGGGGGGGTTATACAAGTCGACCGTCCCTCTCGTTCCCGTAAACCGGCGAAGAAGAGAAGTTACAAGAATTCGAAAGCTGCGAGAAGAGAGAGAGCCAAGCGAGAATCAGCAACATAGCCCCTGCAACTTCGACAGTATCGAGCCAGTGACAGAGAAAAAAACGTACTAGCGGTCCCACAATCGACCCCTTCATCACTCATCAACACACCCCTCACCTCTGCCGAATCCAAACTCAATCCCAAATCAAACTCGACGTAACCCCCACCCAGAGCGGCGATTTGAGCGAACGAAGGCAATGCGGCAAGGTCGACGGTCCAACGACACAGTTCTGTAGCGTCGCCTTCGTCGGTATATCTGAGTTTGCAGAAGAGGGTTTCGGAGAGAGGTCAGGGAATGCATTCGAGAAGAGAGGTGACAAGTCATTCACGTACCGGTAGAGTTCATCCGAATCCGAGGTGTAGAGTTGGGCCGCGAATGTCGAGTCGTTGGCGTTCTTGACGAATTTGCAAAACCTCGAACGAAGCTTTTCACCTTTGCGGAGGACGGCACCTTTGGCGACGAGATCTGTCAGAGAGTTGGGACGAGTCAGTGATTATGCTCGTCTGCTATGACAAAAGTCAAGTGGCTCACATGACAATCGATTGGCACACACTTCCATCCCCGCATCGTTGATAGTGATAAAGTGTGGCCGCTCGTATCGATCGACTTCCTCTGCCGGCAACTTGACCTCTGCCATTTGGAACGATGATCTCCCCATCAGTTACCGTAGACCACCCAACCACGACACATCAAGCGCCTCGCACTCACTCATAATATAACTCCTCGGCGTAATCACCGCACTCACTGCCTTCCTCCCCTGCGTCAACCCCAAACCGTACCTAGCCGCCCCCCTCAAAGTAGCGACATCACAATCGTTCGGTCTCGCAATGACAGGGATCGAAGCGCCGAATTCTTCTTGGACTCGCGTGTAGAGGTATTCCGAAGCGGCGAAACCGCCGACGAGGATGATGGCGTCGATTCGGGTGCTGGCGACTTTGGAGAGTTGGTGGTGCAGGAGGTCGAGGACCTGGTCTGTTCGAAGGTTATGAATCTTGTCAGCACCTGGACCAAAAGTTTTATCTGTACCAAGCACATGGTCCACTCACTGATGATAGGATCAAACACTTCCACTCTTAACACGTGGCCCGGGATCGCCAATTCGCCATACTCGAGTCCAACAGAAGGGTCATGCCCATCCTCAACATTGAAACAGTTGAAGCGATACATCGAGTCTGTCAACATTCGGCCTCGAGATCAGCATCTCGAAAACCGATCGACAGATCCCAAGGATTTGAGAGAGCGAGGGCTCACCGTCGTCTACTCGACCGTGATAATCGAGTTTGTCGGATTCCGAGAAGGCGTGCATGAACGAGGTGAGAGACGGTGGGTCGAGATGGACAGGATGATCCTTCAATCTATAGGTGAACCCCGCGACGAATCGAATCAGCGTCGATGATGAGGCCTAGGACAAGCGGAAGTAGGCAACTCACATCTTTCTCACCAGTTCCTCAAACATCAAGTCGACGAACAGACTCCCTGCATTCGCACCGCTCCTGACGCACATCTCGGCAATCTCCAGCTGGCTCAACTGACCCATCAATTTGTACACGGCCGTATCGACCGTTCCACCACCTGCGTCGCAGAGGAGGAAGGTTTGCGAGGGTCGGAGATGGTGGAGGGATGCGAGGGTCGAGGCGTGAATGGCTCCTGCTTCGGGCTCGCTAATGGGAAACACGATCAAAGTCGTCAGTGCCACGTTCGAGGCCAATGAAACCGATATGGACGTACGTGACAATCTGTAATCGATCTCGCCAATGGATATCCCCACCCCGAGACGATTGAACGAGATGAGCTCGGATCGCCGCTTCGCGCATAAGGTTGCAGCCCGCCGCGTCCCAAGCCGCTGGGACAGTCAACAAAACCTCGGCGGAATCTAAAGACAGAAGCCACAATCAAATCAAAGCGCGTCAGCTGGGAGCTTTCCCATCAGACTGGCTCGTTCGGGAAGGCGACTGACCCAGGTCCACAACCGAACCAATCTCCTCCGTGATCTGCTTCTTGGCGTATCTCCAAAGAACCCTCAAGAAATCCGCAATCACATCGACGACGTCCTTCCCATGTGGCAATGGCGGTAATCTCGGATCGGGCCGACCGGAGCGTAGACTTTCGGGGGAGAGGAGGAGCTTGAACCATTCGCATCTGGGGAGGGCGAAGAGGGGATTAGTCTACGACAGTTCACGGGTCCTGATAGACAGGATTGAAGGACTCACTTGACCATTCCGGGTTGTAATGCTGTATTCTTCGCCTCCAAACCCCAAGAAAGAACAGTCGCTTCCTCATTGGGCGAAGATTGGTGATACAAGATGCAAGAAGGGACCTTTCGATACCTGTGAAACGTGACGAGGCAATCGTACGATCAGCAAAGCCGGCTATCGTGTGAGCCAACCTGCGGACTCACGTTTCATAACTGCCTGGCCATACGAGTATTTGTCGAATTTGCCCTGCAAACAACCTCGTGGAACCGTAGGCGACGCCGGAGAAGGTCGTTCTGAGAGAGACGTCACCGAGGTCAGCGCAGCGTATCGAGCCCACGTAAAAGTATCGACTTACCCAAAGTCAATTCCAACCGACAGTTTCCCCTCGTTCCCTGGATCCTGTATCCTCGCTCGGACACTATGCGCCGCAGCCGAGCCGGTATCGACGTTGTACACGGGACCGGTCGTCGGCAAAGGCGACGAATACGTCTGAATCGGCGGCGGTGGTGTGGGGTACCCGACAGGCGGTGAAGCGTACACGGGTGCGGGTCTCATGACCGATGCCGAGGCCGATTGTTGAGCGTGGGGGTGAGTCGAGGGATGTTGAGGGATGTAGCCGTTCGGTATCGGAGGCACGGGTGGGATGCCTTGCTGCTCGCTCATGGGTATCCCTGTACGAGAAGGAGTGATGGAAGCGAACGAAGCATACGATTGTTGAGGTTGTATTTGGTGTGACTGATAGAGCGGTTGTTGAGGGTACTGCTGTTGTTGCTGCGGGGGTTGTGGTTGCTGCTGCCTCGAGCTCGAGCGAAACGGTCGGGCCGTCTGGGCGTCCCCTCCCGAGCCGACCCCCGCGCCGGCGCTATCAGTGTTGCCTCCCGCGAGGCCGATCGCAGCAGCCGCGCCGGCGGCCGAAGCAGCGGCGACCCCGGCCAAACTGGACCTACTCCCCGACGAAGTTGACCTCTTGATCGCGCGTTGAGCCACGATATGTTCAGCTTGGTAAGGCGTCGGCGTCGTCGCTGTGGTCGGTAAGAGGGGTGGACTGGTCGTTCGTGCTCGATTCGGATGGCCTTCCCTCAGGTGCGGAGAGTAGGACAAGACCCTCGGTGGGTGGGGCGAGGTCTGACGATGAATCGGGTACTTGAGGATCTGGAACGACTTGGGTTCCTTCTTCTCCTTGACTTTCTCCTTCCCCTTCCCCTTCTCGTTCTCCAATCGAACCTCATCACCAGCATTCCCATTCCCATTCCCGTTCACAGCTCTCAGGTCGGCTCCGACGGCGCCTTCCCCGCCTCCGCCGACACTACTGCTAGCTTGGGTCTTGCGCATGCTCTGAAACGACGGCGTTGTCGCGGCGGCTTGCTCCATTTGCGGTCGCGGTGACGGCGGCGGCGACGGCTCGTAACCGCGTCCTCGGCAGCACCTGTTGTACATCAAGAAGGAACACGTCGGATCAGTTGCGCCGTGTGTGTACCTCGTGAATACAAGAAGTTGACGAACGACATGGCGGAGCGATCGCGATGAACACTCTCCTTTCAGGATCTCCGAATCGTGGTGGTGATCGGTGAGAGAGGTCCAGCCGAGCCGAGTCGAAAAAGGGATGGGAATTCAAAACGAGCTTTGCAAAAGACACGACGTCGGAAATCGGAAATCGAGTGGGACTGGGAGGCGCGCGCGCTTTAGGCCGATGTGTCGCCGCCGGCCAACGGTCAAAGGCGGTCGGAACCGACAACGGTAGTCTAGAGAGGCGTTTGGGGCTAACTTGGGGCTAACCTGGGGTTGTTCCAAGTCACGAGTGGTAGTCGTAAGGTGTTGAGCGTGCCGCACGATTGGAAAGGCGCTCTTGAACAGGCTGATACGGTGGAGGAGGACCGGAATGCTTGTCCGAGGAAAGGATCGACTTGTCGAATGAGATCGAGCTCAGCAAGGTCGATGCCGAGTTCGACGACGAACAAGAAAGAGGAAGAAGGCCAAGGAGCAGATCCTAGGTATCTTCGAGATAATACACCAACTATTGTGAACAAGTAGTCACTTGTCTAGGGAGGAAAGTGGTAGCCGGCATGTGGCTGGCAGTGGACATTGCCTCGGGCCTCGGGCCCCGGCCCCGGCCTCAACGTCGGCAAAGAATGATCCTTCGAGTTGCTTGAGATGCCCGACTGGAACTGCGTCCCTTCGCGCGGCATGATCTCTTTGAGTTGCATAGCGGCTACCCCAGAACAACGACCTTGTGATCATCACTTGCTAGACTCCCAACAATTCGCCGCTTTCCCCAGGCATTCCGTGACGAGATGATTGTGACTCATCCAAAGTTGGGAGCCTATGCGGATTGGATTCCCCCGACGCGGGAATCGCCTTGGAGCTGAAGCAACGGTTCCCTTCGGGATCTTTGGGAGGTGGGTTTAGATCCGCCTGGGTTGGATCTCGGACAAACTTTAGCTCCGAGGGTTCTCCTTTTTTTCACTGGGCGTGTGTAGTCCTCGAGGATCCGGTCGTCGGAGATATTTCAGAGGTCGGAGGTAAGGAAACTGGCACCCGAGACCCGCTGTGCGCGCGATCCAAGGGGAAAAGGAGAGGGGTGAGCGCGCGTCTTGAAAGGAGAGGGGGACTGCGGTCGTGGGACAAACTCGGGAGGCGCACTGGATGACATGGCCAGCGTCGGATCAAATTTCGAGGGTGTCCCACTGTTGGTGTCTATCACTCCACCCATCCTAGGAATGATGACCTCGACCCTCGTCGTCTCCGATGCGACGGTCAATCAAGCGCTCACCTCGTTATCGACTGCTCTCGACCGCCTGCGAGCTTTGACATTCAAGGCGCGTGGCCGCGTCAGTAGTGGCGACCCTGCGTCCCAACTCGGACGACCTTGCAGCGACTCTCTCGTTGCCGCTGGTGCAGGTCAGACTAGTATCGGTCTCGGACTCTACCCATCGACCCCTAAGACGTCCTCGAGCGGCCCTCCCATCGTCGAATGGCACGACGTCGCGGCTCAACGATTCGCACGCCTCGCGTTGACGACCTTCATCGAGTGGGCGAGCGTCGTGCGCGCTCTTCAGGAAGTGTACACTTCCACCACCCACTCCTCTGACCCTGTTGGATACTCTGACAATCCTGGGTCCGAGATCAAGATCGCTGGCGAGTACGGCCTCGAATTGGTCCTGCGAGTGCTCAAGCGCTTCCAACGCTTCGAGTTCGACGATGACAAGGCGGAATGCGTCGAGTGGTGTCAGCGACTGGAGGGGATGATTCAAGCTCAGATGTGAGGGCTTGATGTCTGCTTCGACGGTGAGAAAGTCTCTTGATGTCTCTTGCTTCTTTCACAGTGTCAAGTGCCAGACCGCCACGGCTCCCCCCGTCGTCAAGGATCCCACCCTCGCTGTGACGAGCTCGAACGTGAACTCGGAAATGGTCCCAAGCTTCTCCCGACCCGTTCTGTCAATAAACGCTTCTCAGTCGGTCGCGTGAGCTGCACAGCGCTGATAAGAGTGAAATTGGAGTACAAGCTGATCATTTTCCGCTCAACAGAGCTGAGACTCCCGTCGCAGCAACTCCAGCCGCGAACCCACCTTCGATCCAAGACACCGCTCCTAGCCCTCCTGCTCAACATGCATCACACGCCGCAATCGACTCGTCGCCCAGTGTCCGAGCAGGAGGTGTAATCAGCTCGAGATCACATGTTGAGGAGACCCCTCAAGCTTCCGAGATGACGGCTCCCCTCTCACCCGACGATTCGGTTCCCGAGTTGACGAGGACCAAGAAGCGTTCCGCTCGAGCTGCGCAACTCGATCAAGTCCAAGTTCTTTCAGAACCAGCATTGGCCACTGAAGCCAATAAAGAGTCAAGAATCGAGACCACAACTTTGACTGACCGCGGATCATCTCGTCATGCAAGGAACGTCTCCCACTCGAGTACCAAGTCCGCGAGCCCCGGCCTCTCGTCGCCGACTTCTTCGAGCAGCATGATCACCAAGCAATCCGCCGAATTCCCCGTTGGATCCGTCGTACTCGCTAAAGGACTTGAAGGTCGAGAAGCGTCAAGTTGGACTCCAGCAGTGGTGCGTGATGACCTTTTATCCAATTGTTTCGAGCTGGTTCTAAGCTGAAAGCTGATTACGATTCGGTACACGCGCAGGTGTTTGACGGCGCGACGGCCCCTGTCGAACAAGCTGAGATTCTCGGAAAACGCAATTTCGCTTCGTTGCTCGTCTCTGTTCTGGGAGGTGATACTTGGTGGGTTATCATCCTGTTCCTGGGCTGACCTGTTTTGATATGGCGTATATTGACATGCGGGTACTCTCATCTAACGTCTTGAACGTGAGCGAAGGCACTGGATCCCAGCCTCGCGCCTCAAGCCCCCCAGCCCCTCCCACATCTCTCGTCTGACCAAAGACCTGGAACATCGCCTGTCCCGAACCAAGAAGACGGACAAGACTCAGATCCAACACCTCCATGCCCAAATGACTGAGTTGAAATTGGCGATGGATGGGAGGGGTGTGGAGAAGTGGGTGGAGGCGAGGATCAAAGGGGGTGAGGAGTGGGACAAGGGGAGGCGCGATGCGGCGGTGTGGTTGACGGGTGGGGGGGAAGGGGAAGAGAGTCAGGGCACTGACGTGAGTCTGATTTTATGGGGATAAGAGCGAGTGGGATGAGCGGATGCGCTTCGTGGGCTAGCGCTGATAGGGGGTGTTTTTTGGCACTTGCAGAGGACTGAAGTGTGCACGTGTCGCAAGATCTGGCAAGAAGAGGCGAGTGAATTTAGTCCTACAGTTTTATCGGACTCACTGATACTCACAGTAACATCAACCTACATCATTAGGAGCTGATCGGCTGCGAGAGCGGCGCAGCATGCAAAGGCTACGAATGGTATCACGCCTCTTGCGTCGGCCTCGATCCCGATAACATTCCGGACAAGTATTACTGTGAGGCTTGTTCGAGGGGATGAAGATGGGGTTTCGCTGTTGTCATGACGGTTTTGGGTAAGGCCTTTCAGATAGTCAGTATCCTGTGTTCGTTTCTTTGCATGACTCTTGCGGAGTTTGCAGTTGCGAGATGTGAGCGACTCCTTGTAGCAAAATCTAGCTTCAATTCGATGATGTTTTCCACCAGCCTCATCTATTCTTCACTTCGAGATAGTATGATCTCCGGGTTGAGCACCCGAGAGAGCTTTCGGCATTTCGAGTCTCGGGGCTCGAAGCTCGGCGGCTCCGACCCTCCAAACTGGGTCCACGCGCGGTGGCCGAGACCGATTTCATTACCGAGCTCAGGCCGAAAGGGGCACCCGCTGCAACTCGCTCCAGACCCCCGATTTCCCTCAGCCTCAGTTTATCAGATCACCTCTACCCAACTTTATTCACCTTCTTTACTTGACCCACGCTCGTTCAATACATTCTACGACCCTTCGCGCACTGGTACTCTCGCCACAAACGCGCGACGTTTCGGACACGCTGCGAATCATCGAACACGCGACGACGCGCTCGTTCCAGACGCCACGCGAGACCCGACTCGAAAAATCTCCCACTTCACGTCACCGACAATGAAAGTTGACTCAATGAGGAAGCGGAGGACGCTCAAGGAGAGTGATTACGATGAGAGAGGCTCTTTGGGTGATGTGCGTCCCTTTTCTTTTCGCTCAGGCAGTCGGATCACGTGGAGCTTGAAAGGAGAGCCTGATTCGAGTGCGGCCCACAGTGTACTGACGATGGTGCACCTTCTTACTCCACAGCGATTCCAAACTTCGAATCCGAGGAGATCGAGCTCGCACAAACTCAGTCCAACGGCCAAACATGACCCACAAGCTCCTTCCAAAACCGACGGCGCTGGATCAGCCTCCTCAGGCTCAGGCTCAGACTCAGACTCAGGCTCGGGTTCGCCGAGCCAGGGCGTCCCAACGGCCTACGTAAATGCGAATTCGAGCGTGCCCTCGGCGAATGGGACGACGATCGTACAAGGGCCGGTGACGATTGTGGTGATTGTTAGCAACAGTGGGTTAGGCCGTGCTCAGTGCTCAGTGTGGGAAGAACTGTGGGCTGAGGGGCGCCCCTTTATGCAGATCCTTCATCGACGTCGACTCCTTCCGGGTCTACACCCCTCAATTCGACCGTCTCCAACAATACCTCGACGACTGAACTCCCTACAGCTCCTTCACCAGCTCCCATCCCACCTACCACCCCCAACCCCAACCCGACCTCCTCCGATCCTATCACATCCACTTCCTCCAACTCCCCTCTCGTCGCTCCTAATTCGCTCTCCTCATCGTCGTCGAAACATCTTTCGCATGGCGATATCGCCGGAATCGTCGTTGGGAGTTTGGTAGGACTGAGCTTGTTGGTGCTGTTAGTTCTATGGGCTTGGAAGAAGTGTATGGGTCTGAGGAGGAGGGGCGTTTATGAGGATAGTGAGTTATGCTCACCAATCTGTCCCTCATCAAATCGCCGAAGGAAGGAACTGACCCTGCCTCCTCTAATCCTAAAAGTGATGGCTCCTACCCGACCCAACCCTTATGACCAAATAGACCCCACCTCATCCGGATACGGCGCTTACACTCAGAGAAAAACTCAAGGGTCCCCTTCTTCCCTCCGGAATTCAGTCCGATCTGGCTCGCCTCCTACGAGACATGTGACGAGGAGAAGTAGTGCGGTCAGGTTCGGGAGTCAGGGTACCGGTGGGGTTGGTGGGGGTGCAGGAGATGGGGAGGGCTTTGGAGGAGGAGGACAGGGACATGATACGGGTGGGCCTATGATGGGACAATATCGCTAAATCTCCTGCGAAGAAACTCGTCAGTGCTCGCGTTTGAGTTTTCTCTTTCTTACCGGGGAGTGGGCGGGCAGTCAGTTTGATATACCCCTATATTTGGCACATCATATCATATTTCGTCAACATTAATCTACGATCAAATTGCGTATTTCAGCGTGCCTTCGTACTTTGAACTGTCAATGCAATCAAAACACACCTCGCTGCCGTGTTTGATGTTGCGTTGAAGATGGCGGCTGACCCTACTGACGACGGGGAGAGGAAGCGTACGGTTCCCTTTGCCTCCGATGAGGTTCTCCATGAAGAAACCGACGCCAACTATCCCCGTCAAGTCGAGAAAGGTGATTCCCATCAATCCGTCGATAACCAATTTTTTATTGACGGAGACCGTCCTCTTCTCGGCGAGTCCGAGATTTTGTGTTGATGTAGACGAGTTTGGTGTCCTTCCCTTTATCACCCGAATGCCGCAACTCCTCGAACCGGTGGGGCGCTGAGTGGATCATTTCAGAAATTCGTGAAAAGGAGCACTGGGCATGCGATAAAGAAAATGAGATGATATTATGAGAGCTTTTTGTAAGTAGGATCCAAGCCTGTAATACGATAAAAAGTCACCAGGACGCGGAATAAGACCAATTTGAAGAACAGAACGCAAGGCTATCCAACGCGAGTCGAGCTCATTATACATGGTCCCTCACAGGCGCGATCCCAATCGAAGCTTGACCATGTTTCGAATAATTGAAGACCGAATAAACCGTCTTGAGGAACGCATCCCCTAGGATAGCCATCGATTCTCCTTTCGAATTTTGAAATCGATCATCGGCGAAAATGCCGAACGTGCATTGGCTCGGATCGGCTTCGTCATAGATGCCCATTTGAATATCGACCAACGGGATCTTATACGTTTGACCACCAAACGAGAAACCGAAGGACTCCACTGAGTGCGAGTTGCACGGCATCGTAATGGTCCCGTCGGAGCGAAGCTTGCTGCTGCCAGGCAGGTGCTTGACGAGATTTTGCGCGACCAGGGTGGGGACTTTCATCAACGCCGATCCCGTATCGAGCGCCGCGAGCATCTTGGTCCCTTTGATCAAGGTATTTCCGATGACCAGGCCGTCGCATTCGACTTGCCATAGCTCTGTCTCCTTCACAGGGAGATAGTTCAACTCGCCTTTGAACATGGAATCGTCGATGCATCCGAGACACATCTCACCCCCGGTTGTGTGACCGCGTTGAAGGTGGAAACTTGCGACAGGAAGGGGAAGAGGATGATCGCCTTTTCCATGGATAAGGTTCTCCATGAATGAGGTGACATCCATGCTTGAAACAGCGGGGAAAGCGAGACCCATCACACCGTCGATCTTGAACCCATCGAGCACGGCAAGGGTTTTCTTCGCGACTCCGAATTGTTGGTCGGGAATGACGTAGCCCCCGACGGACACCCTGTCTTTCACCGAGATGCCTTCCAGACTTCCGGAACCGTAGACCACGCCCCATTTGTTCGGATGCACGCTTTGCGCGAAAGTGCGAGACTTTTGAGCGTTAAATTTGGTGTGCGGGTGTTTTGTCACGGCGTGGTGTCCTAGGACCCAAGCACTGGACGATGTAGAAGGCTAGGTTATTTGAGCGGCTGAAATCGGGACCGGCGATTTTACGATGACTTACTCCCCCGAACCAGTGTCAAAGTCAATCATTAGATGCTGAGCAGGCGTTCCAAATGAAGCAGATCCTGCGTAAGAAACGTCGTACCCGTGGGCAAAAGCTGGTTTCGATGTATGGAGCCAGAGGTGATCAATGAGACCCGTCTCTCGTGCAGGACACTACACAGTATACTTATCATCAATAACCCACCCACATCAATCAAAGGCACGTGTCCCCGACCTTTCTCCGGGTGCCGAAGTTCCCGTCTGGGGGCCAGCCGCTTGACCTCCTCAAGCGGCGGCGCTCGTCTTTCGATCGCTCGAGCGGCTTCGAACAGGGCCTCTTCGCGAAGACGAACCTGAGCCGCTTTCTTCTCGTCAGATAAGTTAATTTGGCGGTTTCGAAACGTTTTGGTGTACTTCTGAGAAATCCGGGTATCCTCTTTATGGAATGCTCTGAAATGAATTTTGGGCACCGGGCACGGCATGAGTCACTCATCACAAAATGCTCCATGCGGCTCGGACCTCGTGGGCGGGTCTCACAAATGTCGGCGCCGAAGCAGCCACCCCCGATCCACGCACCAACCACGACGGTTCAGCCAGCATCAACTCACACCATGTCGAACACACCATCATTTACGAACTTGAACGAACGTCGAGCAAGGCGAAGCTTGTAGCCACCGTGGGGCGGAACGTGCGACGTGTTGTCACTGTGGTGGTGTTGTGCCAAACCGAGCGCGAAGGAGCTGGCGAGCAAGGTGGACGTAACGAGGGAGAGGGAGAGCAGCATAGTTTGGCAGTACGGATGAACGAGTGTGTGGTGAGGTTACCGAAGTGATGCTGGCGGCTCAATTAACTGGGCAGGACTCCAGTGAATAGGAGGCTGCGAAGAACGAATCGCGGAGGGGAAGAAGCTGGTGAGGCCGAAACGATAGAAGAGGGCAAGCTGCTGGCTCTTCGGGAGATATTTCCACTAGAAGAGGTAGATAAATGTATTAGAACTTTTCAAGGTACGGGTCTCCCATTCTACATTCAGTTGAACGTGCAGTCACCCGTGTCTTAGACACGTGCCGTCATGTGGCAGGGCCGATGTTGTCAGCCAATATACTCGTTGCAGTGAGTGACAGATACCGGCGCATCATGACCTTTTGCGATGTGGAGCCAGTTACTAAAGACTCCACATGGAGTTTGGGCGCTTTCTTGGACTCCTGAATACTGGATCTCGATCGCTGCGGGCCTCTGACAGGCTCTCCTTTCATCGTCCAGCGCAGCAAGAGAGGAGACCCCTGACTGTTAATTGATATGTGTCTGTGCCTGTGGTATCTGCGCGGATGCGCGTGCGTTTAGTCATTAGCCACTTTGGTATTGGAGTTTGATCTGTTTAAGTTAGGGAGCGCGCGGGGCTTTCTTCCCGCGCGGCTGTTTACTCTTGGTAGCTTTCTCATCACTCGCTCTACATTGTGGTCCTGACTTCTCGGCGTCGTGCACCCTCACCTATCGGAAGGCTTTACTTCCACGCTCGCATCGTTTCTGCGATAGGTTATGAGCCCAACGAGCTACCAAGCCCGAGTCAGTAAAGCGATTCCCATCGCACCACCATCGGAATGGACACCGATACACCCTCCACCGAAACGAGTGATCGTGGAATACATGTACCAATCCTTCGCGCCACAAACTACATGGATTGGCGTCGACGTCTGATTGGTCGTCTTGTATCCAAGGACTTGCATCTTTGCGCATCGAGGCCGTTGAGGGCCGCTGCGGAGGCCGTTCTTCAGGTCGCAATCGACGATCGATCGCGCGGCTTCCACTCGCCACTCGAGCGGCTCGACTTCGCATCTATGGACGTGAAGATCGCCAAGGAGCGTTCGGAGTCATTTTCAGCCCCTGCTATGGTTGCGATGACCACCCACCATTCCCTTTACCTTGCTGGTTCGTCCTCGAGAGCTCCCGATACCGATTTCGTTTGGATCGCGGATACCGGAGCTGGTCACCACTTCGTTGGCGATCGCTCGCTGCTCTCGGACTTCAAAGAATCCCCGATGCAAGTCCAGTTGGCCGACAATTCGCTTGGTCAAGCCACTGGATACGGGCGAATGTCTGTTAAGACTTCGCAAGGTCTCGTTCTCGAGTTCAAGGAGATGTATTACCTCCCTGGATCGAAGTATGGTCTCATCTCAATGTCGTTGCTCCGCGCTGGAGGCGCGAAATTGGTTTATGGCCATGGGGGAGATACTCAACAGGTTTGGCTTGACGGCTCTCTCGTCGCCGAAACTGTCAAGACGAAGGCCAAGAAACCAAGTTACGTCTTCGATTTTGAGATCGTTCCCCCACCCTCGCCTGTGCTCGTCGCCACTACCCGTGCCTCCGTTGGAGCTTCGCTCATGGAATGGCATCGGAAGTTCGGACACATGGCACCTTCATCAATTCTTCGTCTCGTCAATTCCAAGGCTGTCGTTGGGATTCGTCTACTCGACAAGAAGATTGAAGACTGTGAGCCGTGCATTATCGCGAAGGCGCGCGCGGGCCCTCACAATCATGTCAGTCGAAAACCCGAACATGTTCTTCAACGGGTTTCGATCGATCTGGGATTCGTCAACGATGACGATACCAAAGGACGATCCATCTACATGGTTATCGTCGACCAACTTTCAACCTATAAGTGGGCTTTTCCACTTGGTTCGAAGTCGGCATCCGAAGTCCTCGAGGTCTGGCGCTGCTTTCAAGCGCAGGTCGAGAGGCAGTCCGGTCAGAAGATCAAGTTTGTTCGTTCTGACAATGGAGGCGAGTTCGTCAACCAACTCTTTGGCGACGAATTCAGGGCACTTGGCATCACCCATGAACTGGCTGCACGCTACACGCCGCAGCAGAATGGTCAAGCGGAGCGCGCGAACGGCTCTCTCTTCGCGCTCGTCCGTGCCATGCTCAAGGACTCCGGACTTCCCAAGAAGTATTGGTCTTACGCAATGGAAGCGGCTGTTTTCGTTTCCAACCGCGGTCCTCACCCGCATCTCAAGGGCAAGACTGCGTTCGAGGTCTTCTTCGGCAAGCAACCCGACGTTTCGCATCTTCGCGCGTTCGGATCTACTGCCTACGTTCTCATCCCAAAGGCGATTCGTAAGAAGCTCGATGACCATACTGTCAAGGGTACTTTCCTCGGCTATTCGGGGGAGTACAACTACAAGGTTCGCGTCGAACACGGTCGGTCTTTCAAGATCGTCGTCTCTTCCGATGTCACCTTCTCCGACAAGGCTCCTTCGATCGCGGACTCGGCTGTCGAGCCTCGCATCTACGAAGTTGAACCTCTACAGGAATACGAGTTAGTACACCATCTGTCGTTTCCTGGCTTGGAGCAGATTCCGGCTTTACGGCCTGTTCCGGAGCAGTTTCCGGCTTTACGGCCTGCTCCCCTTCCTGAGGCAGGTTTGGCTTTTCAGCCTGCGCTCTTTCCCGAGGCAGATCCGGCTTTACGGCCTGCGCTCGTACCCGAGGCAGAAGTTCCGGCTTTACGGCCTGCGCTCTTTCCCGAGGCAGAAGTTCCGGCTTTACGGCCTGCGCTCGTACCCGAGCTTGGTCCGGCTTTTCGGCCAGCTCCCGCTCCTCTTCTTCGTTTCCAACATATGGACGATGACGACGTTGCTCCCCCTCCTTTACCGGCTGTCGGCCCGTTGGCCGAAGACGCTGAAGTTGAAGAGGACCCGATCGATCATCGACGCGAGGAAGCAGTTGAGGCTATCGACAGTGACGCGTCGTTTGGTTGCGATCACAACAACGGCAGATCTGTGGGAGCGTATGCCGTTATCATGGCTGGCGCTGCCATCTCCTGGAAGTCGAAGCAACAGACGATGGTCGCTTCTTCTACAGCAGAGTCTGAGACTCTGGCTGCTTCAACCGCAGCAAAGGAGGCTATCGGTCTTCGCAACCTGGCGTCCGAACTTCGCATCAATCAAGGTCGATCTACTGTTCTGCACGAGGACAACCAACCTTGCATCGATTTGGTGAAGAATCCTGGAGCTCGAGGTCGTACTCGCCATTGGAATGTGCATCATTTCTATCTACGCGAACGAATCGAGGTTGGCGATATCGATCTCCGCTACTGTCCGACCGATTTGAACACGGCCGACATCTTGACAAAACCCCTATCCAAGCTCAAGTTCTCTACGCATCGCGAAGGACTCGGGATGGTCTCGCTGGCTACCTTGGCATGTGGGAGTGTTAATTGATATGTGTCTGTGCCTGTGGTATCTGCGCGGATGCGCGTGCGTTTAGTCATTAGCCACTTTGGTATTGGAGTTTGATCTGTTTAAGTTAGGGAGCGCGCGGGGCTTTCTTCCCGCGCGGCTGTTTACTCTTGGTAGCTTTCTCATCACTCGCTCTACATTGTGGTCCTGACTTCTCGGCGTCGTGCACCCTCACCTATCGGAAGGCTTTACTTCCGCGCTCGCATCGTTTCTGCGATACTGACAACTGGCCGATCGGGGAAGCCCCTGCTATACAGCATCGCGCTCGCTTAGGCGACACGTTCCCACCGCTCTGGAGGTCTGCCCCATAGAGATATGCTGAAGACCCTCTCCGAGTCACCGTTCCTTGTGCCAGGCAAACCGGGCAGGCTTGCACGGAACGCTACCAGCTTCTGCGGCTGCGTTCACCACCTGTAGGGGCAGGTGCTTTCCTCACTCGCAAGACTGCCTCCCTGCGGACGCCGACGTTGCTGACCAAGCGTTCGGTCTTGCTGGACGTTTAGAGCTGCGAGCTATGTAGCAGCTTGTCTCAAGTCCTCGACGTCACTAGCCTTACAAAGCTCGGAGCGAGTGCCTTGATTCATCTGCACTTCTTGCGGCCTGTACTCTGCATTTTGATCCCTACAACATGTTTGTAAGCGCAGATGGCTCTGTAGCCTTTTTTGGACAACGCGCTAAGTGCATCTCTCCCAGCAGACGCTTTGCCTCCTTTCGCGCCGTTTGCGCCGATCCGCGCTTATTAGACAAGTGACTTGACTTTGTCGCAAAGGCATGCTGAGACGATCGATGAACTTCTCCATCATCAGTTGTAGCTCACTGACACCTGCAAGCTTTGGTCGCAAAGATTCAAATTATGATTCAACCCCCCCAATCATCCCCTTTTTCTGTTTCTTCTTTTATTTCTGGCGAACTTTATGCGCCAATGTTGTCCCTCGTCTTGCTGCAGCTCGAACCATTATTCCGCTATAATCCGGGCGACTGTTCACGATATGTTCACGCTTATTTTCAATTGCTGTATTCATCAATGTTGCAGTCGAAAGCGCGCTCAGTTTGAACTTCTGGTTCGTATGTCTCGAAACTTTGCTCCCGCCGCCACCACGAAACTCTCAACGACGACAGGAACTTCACGAGGATCGCTTCGGCCCCCTCTTTCAGAAGTTTCCAACGTCTTAAGACGCCGACGTCACACCTCCCGTCCTATGCCGGTTTGATAAATTAGATTAAAAGAGAACGAGTAATTGTAGGTATTGAAGGTGTTAGTAGACCTTGCACTGATATCAGGGGCCGGATAGCTGAGAGGTCAAAGCTTTTCCGATTAATGGAAGCGACCCAGGTTCGACTCCTGGTCCAGCCGTTTCTCTTCTTTTGTTGATCATTTTCGGAATCATCGCTGATTCCAACAGTAGGCTTTGACCTCCTCCAATAATCGTAGGCTTTTCAGTTCCCAAGATGGCAAGGCGCGGTCTGACTAGGAATCCTCGCATTCTTGATCACGACCTGGAACAGTCGACATCATTCAAACTTCTCCCCTGGCTATGACACCTTCGATAGATTTTTCTTTTTTCCTCTTTTTTTCTACGTTTATTTTATGTTACCGTAGCGCTGCTGTAGGGCTACTCCGTATGTCTCTGAAGAGTCTGCAACCTCCCACTTGCTACCCTCCACTAGCCAACCTCCACACGAATTGTTTCGACAGACACCGGTCAAGCTAGCTCCGAAAGGGGGCCGAATGCGCTTCCCCGTTTGAGTCGTTTTTGGCAATTGTTCTTGAAACAGTGGACAGGGCGCAATCGATTACACAAGCTCGACAACTGTGCGAAGGAAATGAAATGTATCGGTACCATTATGCTCTTGTCAGACATAATTAAGGACCGGCGACACGTGTCACATTTGCCAAACTGTACATCAGCCGCCGGCGTCAAAGTTGGAACGGGAAATCACTAGTAGTACCTCTCTCTACCCAGCGGCAAACCGGTTCAAAGCAGAAAGTCGGGTCATCACCTTTTTCAGCCAGTATCACGATCTATGACTCATGATGGCGACAGCAATGGCGTGCTTGACGACCCCCGTCGAACGATTTCCGAATCACCCGCTTAATTTAGGGGCTGTTATGCGTTCCAGGACCGAATCACCCTCCCCCAAAGCCGAAGTCGGCCGAGTGAACGCGATTCGCGGAGGACGGGCTCGGGTGTCTCCTTCTGGCGATGGCCGCATTCGACCTCGGATCAACCCCAGGTTATTGTGTAGCACGCTCTCAATTATCACGCGTGCCTTCCATAAGGGGAAGTCCTTAGTCTGGTCCACGCCCCCAACAGAAAATATTGCCGAGGGCCGGGGCTCGGACGACCAGAGCGGGCCTCACCTCACGGTCTTCGACGCTTCGAGACCGAACCCCCCCACCCCCTCTCTCTTGATCACCTAGCCATCACATCCACATCCACACCTTCAACCGAACCTCGAAATCCTTCATCAATCCGAACGCACGCATCCAAAAAATGAAGCTATTGTTCGTCGTCCTACTACTCACAGCCATCGGCTTCGTCGCCGCGCTGCCGTTCGATAATCGCCAACAGCCCGACCCTAGTACGAGTTACCCCTCGGTGTATCCCAAGTCAGTTCGGCCTGCAGTTACTTTTCAAGGAGCAAGCGTTGGGCTCGGACTGCATATGATATAAAGCACGTTATGAGTTCTCACTGAACAAAATCGTTTACATGCTACTATTGTGATAGGGAATGCAAAACATCCAAGGCTGATCACAAGTGAGTTCTACGACGCGAGTGCACTGGATCGCATATCCGATGACTTGCCCTTACTAAAGTCATCATAATACTACGAGGTGATCAGGGCATGCTTAGACGACAAAGGCAGTACCTGCCCAAAATTAAACGTGGAAAACCATGCGGCGCAAGGATGTGCGGAGGCAAGGCCCGGGCTACTAGGAGAGGCGTAAGCACGCCGAGAACATCATTCATCCATGTTGAACTCGGGCCTGATTTCAAATTCTTTTCTACGCCCTGTTGGATTCCATCAACTCGGCCTCTTCGCAGTGAAGCAAGACTCAAACGCACTCTCAAAATAAGGTCGATCACTGGAACTCCGGCCGCTGGCACCCCTGGCAATGCCGGTCTCGACGACTCAGTGCACGCTTCCAAGTACAGGCTGAAGGACAAGCCCAGGCAATTTCGTAAACCCGGTGGAGCATTTTCGACCATGTCTCACTCGAAGGACCATGTCTCACTCGAAGGACCATGTCTCACTCGAAGGCTGCGGTAAAGTCCTCTCGTACTCGAGCGAAAAACTGAACGAGGGTGAACATCAAGAAGCGAACGTTGCTTGGCAGGGAGCTGAGGGAGGAGGTCAGTGTCGACCGAACTTGAAAGCCGTCATGATTGATTTTCGGTCTATCGCAACCTATCTGACTTTATTGTGGGCCCTACTCAGCACCCCGAAACCCATAGGGCCTTAGGCCGAAACTCCTCCCAGTACGCCCTCGACGTTGCCTGTAGAGGGGAAGGCTGCTTAGCAACCTACGCGCAGCCCTCCTAGATCCTCAATCACGTACCTTGGCTCACATGTTTCTTCGTTGTTCGCCTGTAATCTCCCTTGGTTCTATTTCCTCCGTCTTCTGTAGATGACTTGAACGCAACCGCACCCCTGACATGCTCCATTCGCAACGTGTAAAAAACTCCGGGTATCGAACCATCATCATATTGAAATACCACCAGAAAAAAGAAAGAACGCCAGAAAAGCATCGGTGGTGATTTCTTCCAATCTTGTCAGTACCTAGAATTAAGATGGCATACAACATAATTCACGGAAAAAAACACAAAACTTTGTTCCGCCCCCCTTCCCCCACCCACGGGCTCACCTCCCACTCTTTTTAAACTTTTTGAAATCGACCTCTTCCCCGACCTGACCCAACAAGTGTCGTCGAGCATAAGCGTTCAACAAAACGCCTTGCGGATCGACTCGCTCCCTCACGTTCAAGAAGTCCCCAAACTTCGGGTACAAGTTCTCCAAACCTCTGGTCCCGACTGTATGGCTCTTGGCCCAATGAGGTCGTCCGCCGTGTTGAAGCAATACGCTCTCAAACGCCTTGAACAATTTCTTGTACGGTACGGGAAGGTTGAAAGGTCGATATTGAATCGCTCCTATGTAGGTCGCGCGTTGACCATACGTCGGGGATAACCAAACGTCGTCCGCGGCGGTGTAACGAATTTCGATGGGGAAATGCGAACGCAGACCTTTACGATCGTACAACTGTTCGAGGTTCAAGGTCGAGAGCGATTCGAGGCATTTGCCCGTCTCGGTGTAAGGTACCGCACCCTCGTAAGTGTACTGAGGGAAACCGCAGTCGTAGTTGAAGACGTCAACCGATGAAGCGACGCGATATGTAGGCGTCGTCAAAAGGGGCAGGGGGATGTTCTCCTGCAGAGTGACCCCCTCGGCGTCCGAAAGTGGGGGACTTGGTAACGGTGTGACCTCGACGGTCGGATGCGACGACTCCTTCTCGTCCAAGATAATGGTAGGTCTTGTAGCCGTCGTTTCGTGAGAGCTCGCTACGGTCGGCCAAACGGGTCGGAGCAGATCGGCGATACGAAGTGGCGCAGGTCGATGGACGAGCGCCCACATGACATGGGCGTGATAAGGCAAGATGTTGGGGAAGAACCGCGCAATGGCGAGGACGACGGCGTGAAAATGTTTGGCCAGGACGACGTCGAACCAATACGTTTTGAACCGAGACGGTAGCGCCGTTAGGGGCTGTGGAGAAACGAAAGCTCAAGTTGGCTTTTTGGTCATCGCTTACTGGCACGAGCGCGCCTTGTTAACATACCTTGTCAGTCCTGTTCAACCTCGACACTTTGACCTGCCCAACTTGCGGGAACCACCAACACCGGACATGCTCGGCCGATTCGGCAATTTCCTGCCACCGCTCGACGAAATCTGCGAACGAGATCGTCCACAATTCCTCCTCAAGGTTGAAAGCACGTTCGCACCGCATGCCGACACCGACGATGACACCGACGAGGCCGAGGCCACAAGCGGCGGCGTAGAACAAATCCGAATCCTGTTCTTTGGACACTCGAACGAGCGGTGCACCAGGGGTCGGCAGGACGAGTTCGAAAAAGTCGACGCAAGACGAGAGATTGCCATAGTTGACTCCTGAACCGTGAGTTGCGGTGGAAAGACACCCGGCTAATGTTTGGTCCGAGATGGAACCGAGCGACGAGATGGCAAGATCGTGCTCGTGCAGGATCGGATGCAGCGCCGAGAGCTTGATCCCTCCCTCGGCATGGAATTTGGTGTCGGTGGTGTCGACCTGGGTGGGGGATCAATACGAGCGTCAGCTTTGGCGGCTTCAGTCACGTCGTTGTCGATTGTGAAGCGTCGAATTCTGACTGAGCCGAGCGCGTGCCAGTAATCGTTCGATAGCAGCCCTCGATGATGACGACGACAACGAAAATCGCACGGCACGAGGGGTTCGCAATCGATGACCTTCCCCCAACATCGCGCGGCAGGTGCATCCACCCTGTTCCCCCTGGTCTCAGACTGGAACCTGACCAATCCAGAGTTGTTTCTCGCGGGAAACAGTGGTGCGTTGATTCGCAGCAGCTGCGGGGGCAGCAAGTTGGGCACGTGCAAAGCCCACGGGGCGGATCGCGCGCGCGACCTTCGCCGATCGATCGACGTTTCGGAGATCGACGGAACCACGCCTCGGCCGAGGGAAGATGTAGGGTGAACAGCACAACACAGCATTGCCACTGCCGGAACATTGAGTTTCCCCCGAGAGCTGAAACTCACCTCGAGAACATGGTCCAGTCGATCGAGGTTGATGATGTACCCCTCGGTGCAGACCAAGTCACTCGGCGAATGGCCGCTTCCCGAAGCCCTCAACTCGACGCCTTCCCTCCTCGCGAGCTCGACGACGTAGCGCACCTCGTCGACGGACGTAGGTCGCAACAAGGACAAAGTTTGGCACGAGTAGGTCGTGGCCCAGTTGGTGAAGATCGATCGGGAGGACGAGGGCAGCGATCGGATCGGGGCGACGAGCTTGATTAGGTCCGAGGTTGCGAGATGGGCCAGCGAGGCACCATCGGTGAAGGTGATCGTCTCGTTGGGTGTACTGACGGGGCCCATAGTTGTTGCGCTGTTGCGACGTGGATACTATCGGGCACGGGCAAGTGGCAAGTGGCAAGTGGGGAATGGGGTCGGATGAGCTGGTGTGGGGTGGGGCAGATGGAGCAGAGCCAAGATGGCGCATTCGCAATTCAGCGCTGTTCAACAGTGCTACGATAGGCAACGATTTCGTAATCGGCCCACGCGCACGCCCACCCACCGCGCGGCTGCGTTCGCCACTCTGGTCTCTGAGCTGGTGTGGGCCTCGGCATGTGGGCGATCACCAAACGCCCATCGCATCATCTCGATCGGATTACTGCCCGACATAAGAGGGACGAGATAGTCTCAGAAAGGAGGCAACCTCGTATCCCATACTCAGATCCAACCCGAATCTTGCCGAACACAGAACACTCCAGAGTAAGCCCCCACCCCCCAATGCTGAAACCGAGTGCCACGAACTTGTCCGCATCCGCACATCAAGGCCTCTCCCTAACCCTCGTCCCCTTCACCGTTTAGAATTACAACCCCTCCTAGGTCTTCTACACGTCGTCGAAAACCCCATATCGTTAATCAATAACCCTATACGAAAGAAGACGGAGCGCGAAACCGCGGGCTAGAAAAAGGATCGTCATTTACGTTCTCCGTTTCTCCGTTCTCCGTTCTCCGTTCTCCGTTCAGAACAATAGATCATCGAACCCTCCACTCTCGACCGGTGGTGGTGGCGGATGCGTTGAAGTTTGAATTTGATTCGATGATAGGGAGAGACCGTTCATTGAAGAAGGGGGTGAAATGGCTGCTCCGTTGGATTTGGGGGAGGTGAAATCGTCCATACCGCCGAAGGGCGATTCGAATGACATGGTTGGCATCGCTGCGCCCGTGCTTGTTGAAGAAGTCAAGGCAGGTGCAGTTGCGGGCCCTCCGAACAGGCCCAAGAGATCTGAAGGGTGATGGTAGAAATGAGATTAGGACGAGTCGAAGTAGAATCAACTCTAATCGTCTTGCGACTTACCATCGAGTGGGTTCGCACTAGCGTTCGTTGTCGAAGGTGCCGCAAACATGTCGCTCACGGTCTGCGATTCGCCGACCGGTTCCTCGTCATCAAAGTCCAGCAACTGTGAAACAATAACAGAACTCAAGAGATCAGCTTTTGCAACTCAAAAAGGAGCAATTTGAAACCTGTAACTACTCACGTTCTCTGCCTTTTGGCCAGCAACAAGAGTGGCGAGCGCTGCCTCCCGCGTGACTTGCTCGTTGACGCGTTGCTGAGAAATCTGATCGGCACCGAGCTTGCCACCGGCGATGAAGGCTTGCACCGGCTTGTGGTACACCGCACTACGTGAACACGAGGACGCGATCAGCATCGATATGAAACCCCCAAAAAAACACGGACGCTCGCTATGTTACTCACGACAGACTGCCAAGCTCCCCAATCAGATCCTCCAACAACCCGGCACGCACACTTGTCGCCGGCAAAGAGATCGGTGGTCGACTAGCCAAAATGACCCTCTTGGCTGCCTCCGTATCCGAACTCAACAACCTCCATTGAATGTAAGCCCGATCCCTCAAATCAGGGTTATCCGCGGTCTTGGTCGCCAATGCCAAGACTCGTTGCACTAAAGCCTGAGCTTCGTCAGGACGTTGGAGGAAGAGTTTGACCACGGCCGTCAAAGCTTGCAATTGCACTTGAATCGGTTCTTCGCCGTAGTTCGTCAGGAACGACCCGATCAATTCGGCGGCGTTGTCGATGTTGGAGGCGTACTCGCCGAGGATCCAGATAAGCGAGGCTTTGGCTTCGGGCTCGTCCAGCTCGTCCAAGGACGCGCATAGTGTAGGGATGATGCCTTCGTAGCGTTGGGGATATTTGCGGAAGATGTCCTAAAAAGCAAGCCGAATGCGATTCAGTGGCCGATACTTTCCCGCAAACGGATCAAAAAAAGTGACTCACTTTGATGACAATGATGGATTCCTGAACGACGTAGCTGACCCTCGTCGAGATGAGCTCAAGTAGGACATTGACGCAACGCTCCGCCGCGCCTTCGATCTTGATCGCGCATTGCCCGATCGCTCGTACACTCTTGCGCACGAAATCGACGTCGACCTCGGAGGCGTACTCCTTGAGTTCGGACAAGAACGTATCGACGTTCTTCTCGGTCGCGAGTTTGATCATGATCGCCAGTTTCTCGACCTTGACGTATGGGGGATCGTTGTACTTGCAGAAGAAGACGCGCATTTCATTCGAGAGCGCGTCGGGGCGGCGCTGGAGGATGAGGTTGATGTTGCGCAGTGCGACCCATTGCACCTCGGGTGCGGAGGATACGAGCGTCACGAGCGGCGGCGCCATTTTGCGCAGGATCGATTTGACAAACTCTTCCCGTGAGACGGATCGGATGTGGATCATGATGACCTAATGCAAACGAAGCCGACGAAGTCAGCTCTGGAGCTGGACATTCAAACTGTCTGGCCCAACGCACCTTGATAGCGGCCAATACGACGCTCCCGTTCGCGTGTTGGAACTGGGGAATCACGCGTTCACAAATGTGCTCGGCCTCCTTCTCGTCCTCGGCCTTGTACTTTGCGACCGCGTTGAGGATCGCTATCCGGCCCCACTCGGTGCATTCTCCGAGCGCAATCAGCAAACGGGACAAGGTCGTCGAGTCGAGCACAAAGATCGAGTCGTCTTCGGCCGACTCTTGGATCTCGGTCAGGGCCAGCACGGCGTTCGCAACGACCTGGGCGGGGTAGGGATGACGGCATCAGCCTCTCTTCCACGTATGCGTAACCCCAAAGCTTAGAACCACTCACCATCGGGTTCGAGTCCGTGACCATCTCCTGCAGTTGGGTGATGAAACCGTTGTCGATGCACAAACTCGGCTTGAGATCGTACAGCTTGACGACGCCGATCGCTGCCGTCTTGCGAACGTAAGGGTTTTCGTCGCGCAGGCACTTGCGCAAGGGGTCGCAGACGTAATCGAGGATTTTGTCGGCGCGGAGGCAGCCCATCGTACGGATGGCAAGAGCCCGAATCAACGGGTTCGGGTCATCGGTGTCCTGTACAAAGCAAGCCGAGTAGGTGAGCAGGGGTGGGTGGGGGGCGACCGAGGTCGAAGCACGACGACTGGCGCACCTTTACGAACGTGTTGACGGCAAGAATGACGAGTTCCGGTTGCGTTTTGGCATAGTTCATGAGGTAGAGGTAGACGAGCTTTTTTTGTTCGAGACTGTGCAGTAGGAATGTCGCAGAGGGTCAGCGCTGGCGGTCGCTGTTGCCGTCGTCATACTAGGATGGCCAGACACACTCTTCGGTTTGCATGTTCTTGAGCACATCGGGAAAGAGGGCTGTAGGCAGGGACAAGCCGTGGTCAGTGCGGTGGTTCGTCTGCGCGGTGTGAGGTCGGGGAAGCAGAAGCAGCTGGCCGGCCGAGGCAAGTGACACGCGTGCAGTCGCGAGCGTGGGTCGGCGTCGGTGTCCACGAGCCATGCCCCACTGCGCACTGCGCTACGGCACCATGAGCTGCCACGTACCCGATACGTCTTTCCCGACTGTACCCAACACGAGGAGAAGAATCATCGTCAGCCGGTCACCCATGATCCCGGCTCGGCCCCCCCTCCCCCGCAAACGGTAACTGACCGGTCATGCTCGCAATCACGCGCTTGATCGCCTCCTTGCGAGGATCACGGTACTGCGAGTTGAGATCCGCTCGCAGTTCGGCATTCTCTCCTCTTGCTCGGGCATTCGGTCCTGTACGGGGGGCGGGACCACGCGACGCCATCGTCGTCGACGCAGGAACGCGGTGGGGCGGTTTCAGGCCGTTCGATCAGCGTTTAGCACGCGCTCGGCGGATCCCTGAGCTCGTGGATGAGGGGAAGGGGAAGGGGAAGAGAAAGAGGTCGAGCGGTATTTCTCAGTCGTCGATACACAGATTCTCGAGCTCGACCGTGTCGTAAGTGGGTGTGAAGGAAGCGGTGAACACCGTTGAACAGAGGCGAGGCGCGTGTCGACACGACGACAATTCAGATTAGTAATACACCCAACTGCTCTCGAACGACTGCAAGTCTCTCATTTACCGCGGGCGAATGGCAATTGAATAACCCCCCCCCCGCCCCAACATGCAAACTACACTTTCGTGATATGACTGTGAAATGAAGCGGAAGTGTGGCATACATTCTCTGCGCGATGGCGGCCCGGCAGTGCCAGACTCACGGAGATTTTTGTTTTTGTTTTTGTATCAAGCCTGATTAGATTTCACATATTCGACCCCCAGCGCCGCAAACAGGTCCGTGCGCTTCGCAAGCTTGCGGAGCTCAGCTTCCTCCACCACCTCACCACCTCCTCCTCACCCATACCCAACGCCTCCCATATAGCTCAACAGGGTTTGGATACTCACATCAGCTTCTCGTCGTATCTTCTAGCCTGCATCATGCCTCGAGCGACCTCGACGCGCTTCAACTCGCACGCTCACGAGAAGGCGCCCTCGACTTCGAGTTCGGCCAAGACTCGAGCAGGCTCAGCCACGACCGGGAAAGGTGCAATGAACCCCATCTTCAATACCGATACCTTGGGTCAACATATCCTAAAATCACCCCAGTCAGTCTGCGGACGGAGCGTTTGCGATGGAGGATGTGATTTGAGTGAGAGATCACGTGCAGTGACTGATCTTGTTCTTCGTGTGGATGCTCGTATTGTGCAACTGTACAGAGTCGCTCAAGCGCAAGTTCACAAAACATCTCAGTTCCTTCTCGCTCATTCCTGAGGCTTACCATGTCCTTTCCCCCTCCCCCGCAGTATCGTCGACAAGGCCAATCTTCGCGCCTCGGACGTCGTGCTCGAAGTCGGTCCCGGAACAGGCAACCTGACGGTCCGCATCCTCGAAAAGTGCAAGTCGTGTACGGCCGTCGAGATGGATCCCAGGATGGCTGCCGAACTGTCCAAGCGTGTACAGGGAAAGTGAGTTCATGCGCGGGGTCATTCGGAACTTGGGGGTGGTGTTTGATTTCGGTAATAGTAATGGACCCCTGCGTTCTGCTTATTCGTACAGACCCGAGCAGCGAAAGTTGAACTTGTTGGTGGGCGACTTCGTCAAAACCGACTTGCCCTACTTTGACGTCTGCATCTCCAACACTCCTTACCAAGTAAGCCCTCACCGAGGTCTCATTCCCTTTCGACGACTGAGGACTTACTTCTCCTCTGTCTCGCCCCAGATCTCTTCTCCCATCGTCTTCAAGCTCCTCTCTCAACGCCCTTTGTTCCGAGTCGCCATCCTCATGTTCCAACGTGAATTCGCCATGCGTCTCGTCGCCCGACCCGGTTCAACACTCTGGAACCGTTTGTCCGTCAACGTGCAACTGTACGCCAAAGTGGACCACATCATGAAAGTCTCGAGGAACAATTTCCGTCCCCCACCTTTGGTCGAGAGTTCGGTTGTCAGGATCGCACCTTTGGATCCTCCCCCTCCCGTAAGATTCGAAGAGTTTGATGGGTTGACGAGGATTTGCTTTGGGAGGAGGAACAAGATTGTTAGGAGTAACTTTACGGCCAAGGGCGTCGAAGAGATGCTCGAGAACAACTACAAGGCTTGGTGTGCCGAGAATGAACAGGTGAGTGCTGAGCTCTCTTGGTCAAGTTCTCCAATGAACAGGTTCGCTGACCGGGCCTCATTTCTGTTTGAACAATCAGATGATCGAAGACGACTTCAACATCTCGACATTGCTCGCCCAAGTCCTCGAGGAGAGTGGCTTCGCCGAACAACGGGCGGCCAAGATGGACGTGGATGATTTCCTCAAGTAAGTCCGTCGTCGTCCCACGATGTCCGATGAAGGAAGGACCTTATAGCTGACGTGTCGTTGGTTGACTCTTCGCCTAGGCTGCTGACCATCTTCCACAAGTATCATCTTCACTTTGCTTGAGAAGGGCGCTGGCTCTCACTTGCTCTCTTACTCATCGTTCTCCTTTTCCAATTCGTCGAATCCCGGTTGTTGTACTGCATTACTTCTTCTTGGGGATTTACCACCTTTACCAATATTAGACCATTAATCATCTTCGCTGCGCGTGACCTCTTGAACTCAAGGACAAATATTTTCATCAACCTCGTCCTACTCAACATGACCGCCCCGGAGCACAAAGGATCGCCAAGAGCGTCGTTGAGCCTTAACGAAGAGCTGGACGACGAAATAGTCACTTCCGCTTCATCGGCCAAGAGATGAACTCGTTCCTGCACCAGGCGCGATTTTTTTTCTTCTTTGCGCTTCGTCTAAAAAACGGATACCGAAGACCACCCCGCCGTCGGGGAGACGTAGTCGTTTCGATTGCTCAAAAGCGACTCGGAGATGCGTCATCAGTGGGTCGTGGCTTCGCGGTGGGTTCGGGATGATGACGAGGTTGGAGGGGAGGGGAGGGGGTACGTGAAGGTCCAGTAGGATAGGATACGGAAGAGGAGGAAGTATTGCTGGTTGGAGTTTTTGTCGGAAGAATGCTACAGTCGGCTGTTGGTGGGAGATTGGGAAGTGGGGGGGGGGGGGTGGCGGGCAAAGCCGGGGTTCAGGAGGTTTTAGGAGTCATGTCTTTGAGGATTGTATATGAGAGTGGGGTATTGTGCTATCCACCTGGACCAAGTTCAACAGTTTTGAGTACGATCGTTGCTCTAGAACCCTCGTCCGGACACGCGTTCCATGACCTCTTGCACCCCCCTAGCGGAATTCGACGAACGTACTTCGCTGTTCCGAGACTTGGTGTTGAAAGAGGCAGGGAAATTTATGTAAGGACCTTGGTCTCTATGTATCAGCTCATCAGGCACCCGACCTGCAATAGGTACCTAAAGACGTGATTTGTTTTCGCAGGGGGTGCCCCGTAAACTTTTACAAGGGCTGAAACTGCATTGACGGTGCATGCAGTTGACCAGGTTCATGATAGGGGCTACGCCGACAGATGCATTTACGCCGTCTTGCGACTCTTGAGGCGTCTTCTAAGTCACGTAGAATGTGGATGCTAAATACCTTTCAAAACGATGAAATACATCTTGGTCCTGAACCAAATTCACAAGTGAATCTGTCGTCCCAGTTATTCATGATGTTCTGAAAATTACACTCCGGCGGGATCTCCATTTTGTCAGACTAGCGGCTGCACGAAAGTCGATCACAAAACATCCTCAATAGGAAAGCCACACCCAGCACTCCATCGCTTTTGGGCTAGTGTGTTACGCATGCTGCAGTGAAACGGGAGTGTTCCCCGCCGTCATCCGGATCATCCACCTGGTATTCGACCTAATATGTCTACTGATCCCATCGATAGCCGCGCGTGTCTCTCGAGAAGGTGATCAACCTTAATGCGGAATTTTCAGGCGAATCCCAATCACCACCATTTGTTACGGCAGTCATGACTCTTGCTCGCAGCGGGGGGTATGCTTCATCTTCAGAACTCATCACGAACTTGCGAATACGAGCGAGTGTGAAAGCAGCGTGGCCAAGGACTCGTTCAAAGGGAGTGGGGGCCGTGGGGACGGACGAGAACCTATCGTGATCTTCTTACGTATCGTATCATTCGGCACCCAAGTCAGCCCAAGTGCGCGGACCTCCGTCGCCCGCTTCGAACAAGTCTTTGGACACGCTGCTTCGACATTCGCCCACGCTTCATGATGAGTTCTGAAGATGAAGCATACCCATCGCTGCGGGGACAAATCATTATTCTCGCAATGGGCGGTGATTAAGACTCGCCTGAGAACTCCGCATTCGGGTGTGTCCCCTTTTCGAGAGACACGCGCGCCTGTTGATGGGATCAGCAGTAAACAATAGTATCAGTTTTGACCGCGCGGCGCTGGTCCCGCCGGTCGCTGACGCCACGTCTTCGTAGGCGGCTCTACTACCTCCTGTCGCTGGCGGGGTCTTTTGACGGTAACTGCCGCGCATCAGCCACACATTTCGATACCTGTAGTGGGTATCATACGGTCGATTCATTCGGTTAAAGTTCAGGGCGAGATCGATAGGTGATGATGGAGGCAAGAGGGACGGGTGAGGATCTTTTAGCGCCTGTGGCGGTGAGTGGGAGGAAAGGAAAAGGAGGCCCCTCGCGAGGGCGCGTGAACTCGGTAAACACGACGCGGCCGTTTGGCCTAAAATTGGGTCTTATCTGGTCTAATTGGGCTTAATTAGGACCCGGAAAAGCTCTGACCAACGTGCGTCAAATTGTCCTGAACGCAGTGTCGCTATTTATTTATTTTTTTGTCGGCGAGCTTTGTACCTCTGGGCCATGCAAACGCCTTCCAGGCATATTTCATTAAAAAAATGGGTGGGTCTATCTCGCACAAGCATGAGAAGAAAGCGGCTGAATTTGCAGCTTCAGTACCTCTTGGGTCACCAACTACTGCCACAAGCCTCCAGCAAACTCTTGCCAAATTCATCACTCCAAATCGGCCTCCCCGTTCTCTCCTCCAATATCTTCCCCATCGCCATCAAGCGCAGTTCGACATTCTCCCGATCCGTCCGTGCGACTTGCGACAACTGTTTCAAGACAGAGAGAGAAGGCGCGCGGTGGTGCACGAGGTAAAGTGAGAACGCTTGGGCTTGAATGGGGTCCGAGGGCCAGGTGCCGTAAAGTACGTAATCCGTGAGCGATGAGGAGAAATCGTCGGCGTGGGTAACCACGGACTTTGGAGGCTGAGCGAGGTAGTCGATGAAAGTAGATCGAAAGAGTTTCTCCTTGACTAAGGGCGTCGAGCCAGTCTTTGAGGTAGTCCTTTTCACCGAAGAAGGAGCTTTCCCATCCCCGAACCAAGTCCCAAAGACTTTACTACCATACAGATCGACGATGAAACTGATTTGTTCTTGTGCCCAAATCCTGTCGTACCCTTCTGCAAGTTGTTGGGCATGGAACAGACCATGGTAAACCCCGACGAGGTCTTTCTTGTCCCGAGTGAGGCATTCGAGCAAAACCGTTGAAGCGAAAGCTTCGAATTCGGTCGGTGGCTTGTACCGCGTCGAAGAAGGGTCGCAGATGTACGAAACCATCGCCAAGGCTTCGACATCGTCTGAGAAGCTGTTGACAAATTCTTGTAATCCCGCAGAAGAAGGCGACAGTAGACGTACGGTCCGACCAAAGTCAAGGACGGCCGATCCGGTCTCGGACTTTGAACGCGTGAAAATTGAGCGGACACCTCGAGGATCTTGAGCATACGACAAGTGACCTGTACGTCGTTTGACCCAAAGTGTAGTGTGATCGGCCAAAAAAGCCTCACGTTGGTGCGTCGACGAAGGTGAAGTCAGATTGAGCGCAAAGGACCAGTACCGCGGTGTATCGACTTGGATGGTCTGGATCAGTTTTAGTTCGGGGATCAACGTAGGCGCGACCAGTTGTTTGGCGCGCACTTCGGACTGCGCACCGGCGGTCGAGGTCGACATAGGGTCGACCAAACGTAATCGTACGGGTAAGAAAGTCGAATCGCCCGTGTCGATGTCCCGAGCTACGAGGCAGCGCGGTTCGACGGCAATGGTCCACAGATGCCTGTAGGCTTGCAGATGAGAACGGTTTTCACCGGGCGTGGGTGGGAAGGCGGGGAAGAACGAGATGACAAGTGCTGCAATGGCGGTGTTGGAGGTCCCTAGGGTATATTGACCGGAGCCGGCGCACAGCAGCCCCAGTGCCATGTGTGACGCAAGGTGCGTGCCGTACGTGACACCCTCACCGAAATGACCGTGGGCGACGCGTAGGCGACGCAAGACGTTGATCTCCCCCGTTCCTGCCATGACCATCGACAACGCGACCGCAACAATGGACAAGCACGACCGGATCGCGTGGCGCCTGATCTTGGCTTGCACGGTCGGAGCTGCGCAATTTTGGTAAAAGGCGGGTCAGCAAACGGTTTTCAGACAGCATTTAACGCTAGCTCGCTCTCAGCTCGCACCTTTGGTATAAGCCGCTCTCGTCAATCGATCCAGGTAGTGAATCAAAGTCCCGTGGGCCTCCGCGGCCGCTGTTCCTGCAAACTTGAGTCCGATCGCAAAGCATGCACCGGCAATGATGCTCCATCTCGCAATCTCGAGATCCGCATCCGCTGCAACGCCCTTCTGCTTCGCCGTTTCGACAGCTTGGGAGATGAACATCGGTACGTGGGATTCAACCCACGTCTTGGAGAGTTGGATACGGTTCCAGAGGATCATCGCTCTGGCTAATGTGCGTACGAGAAGAAGATCAGCGCGAACGTAATCGAGGCGACGAGGGGTGTCTGGTATCTCGAGCAAGGAAGCGACGTCGTGGCGCTCGGTGCGGAGGTACATGAATGCGAGTGCAATTGTCGCTGCTGAGCTGGTCACGTTGATATCGGTGACGTTGTACGCTTTGGACGTTGACCCAGCAGGCGTGGGGAGAGGTCGATGGGATTCTCCGGTAACGAGTGCCCTCAACGTCTTGAGCAGTGCCACCTCACCCGGTGTGGCTTCCGTGTTCGTACCGCTCGCGAGCATGATGAGGCCGAACGAAAACCCTGCGGATAAAGCGTACGCTTCTCGACAAGCCGCAGCGTCCTCGGTGGTCGTCACGTGAATTGCGCACAATTCCCTAACCATCACGTCCGCAAGTGTACGTTTCGAAGACCCTAGATGCAACAACCCTAGACCAAGTAGCGAAGCGGCTTGCGTCATACCCGAGACGTTCAGTGTCGACGAGTTGGGTGGATGCAGAGCCGCCAAGTGGACCGAAAGAAGGCTCGTGACCTTGGGGTCGCCAGTTCCGAGATACGTCGCGGCCAATCCCAGCAAGAGCCCAATCGAGGTCGGATCGTGCTTCATCCGGAGGTACTCAAACACTTGGTTGAACGCGATCTTGCTCAAGTGGCCCGAAAGACCGAGCCCAAACAAGAATCCGGCATGCTTCGAATCGAGTTCGGCGGGCTTGTTGAAGGAGATGTGCGAGGCGTCGAAACCGAAATCGTTCATAGGACCAACAGAGCTCGTTGTGGAAGCGGCTTGGTACTGCAACGCCGCAGCGACACCGGCATGAAAGCTTGGCCACTCGAAACGCTCGCCATGACCCGGTCCTCCGCTGTCGCGAGGCTCCTTTTCGACGAGTGAGACGGGCGAAGGCATGGGCAAGATGCGCGCAGACGTATTGATGGACGGAATCGTCACAGCGTCCGTGGGCGGACCCGAATTGGTGCGGTAGGTGAACATCGCATAGCCAACGGGAAGAGCGAGCGTTCGATGGGAGAGGTAGAGCAGGAGCGATTGTTGCGTCTGAGGTGTGAGCTGGTCGAGGGTTCGTTCTGCCCGATCTCCGCCAATAGTGACGGGGTCCACAAATTGCAGCATACGCATGACCTCTTCTAGACGCCGATCCTCGTTGAATCTGACCGCGTTCGAGGTGCTGACGGCAAGGTCGTCTCTGTTGGCGGATGGGTGGCTCGAAAGGAACAAACTCGTCGCCTTGCCTGCCTTTGTCGTCTGTGCGATTTGGTCGATCGCTGTGGAAACACTCAAACTCGCGAGCTGGCCAGTCACAAAAAGCTCAGTTCAGCCGCTGTACCAAGTCCTCCCTTTAATCGACGATTCTTTCTTACCTCCCTGTGCCCGTCAGTCGCATCTCGCTCCGGCCCTCTTCCTTGCCGCGCGAGATCGGGTCTCCTGATCAGCTCGTACGCCTTCTCGCCCATTCCAGCCGGTGCAGCACTCTGGCAAGCTCTAACCGCTTCTCTCAACACCATGCCTACCCCAAGAGAAAGACGATCGAGGGCTGCGGCATCGATACCCAACTCGACCATACGTTCGACGACGGGTTTAGAACGCAAGAGTGGGGTCTTGTTTGGGTCGTGGGATTCGACGAGGGTCGTAAAGAGCTGGAATAGCGAGTCGATCGTTTGGACTGGATGAGGCTTTAGAGCGCCATAAAAGTAGGAGCCGTCGGTACCGAATTGGTCGGCAATACCGGCAAGCATACACCATGACCGACGAAGTGGCAAGGTCGAATCCGACGAGGCACTGCCTCGCAGAAGGATGGAAAGCTGATCCAATACTCGTGGTGGCGATCGAGGCAGCGGCGAGAGATGACCTGCAAGTGCCACATCTGTGTGCATGAAAGAGATCAGCGTGGTGAGCTTGTCTTGGACGAGACGAGCTGCGAACGTACTGTACGCCTTCTCATCCGAGGGGATCCCCAAAGACCGTCGGTAAACATCGACCCATTCCTCCAGACCCAATGACGCAGCCAATGAGAACACCAATTGGCTGAGCCTTTTGCAATCGTCCCTCTTTAGGGTCGACAGCTTGAGATCCTCGGCGACGAGATGAAGCGTTGCGACGACTACTTTTAGATCGTCCCTTTCGGTTGCATCAAGTGGTGACGCGATCTGACGAGCGTTCGACGGTGCGACCGTGGCCGACTGCAAGCTGCGAAACACACCGAGTACCGGGTCGTTGGGCGCATCATTCGTAGCTTGGATGATCACGGTGGCGGCATCCCGGTGGTTTTCGGAAACTTCCACTTCACCCTGTCGCAGCAGTACAGCGGTGAATGCTGCCCACGCCCCTGACCGGTCTCTCCGACATGTGACGCGAACCTTGCGCTCGAGTGAGACAAACTGGTCCGTTGACAACGTGAGGCTGAGCGCCTGCAAACATGTCCTAGTCAAATCTTCGCGAAGCAGTTCATTCGTAGGGAGCTCCACGAGCGATCGAGTGCCGTCCAGAGTGGTGACGCAGACGTGACCACTGCCATTGCCCTCGAGCTTTCGGATGGGCCCATCTCCGATTCGGCCATTGAAGGTGATGGGCTCGTCATGGCCCTGGACATGCGCAATTCTCCATCCCTGCGCACCTGGCTGCTTGACCAAGAGATCTTTCACATCATTGCCTCGTAAGTGAGAGACGACACATGCGTGTGTGGCCGAGGTTTGACGTATCGGTACGACTGAATGCGCGTCGACGGAAAGGTAGAGTAGAGTTTGGCTCTGGGGCAGCAGAATAGCGAGCATTGACTTGTCCCGTCGGCTGTCGAACAGGAAGGCTTGTATGTCGTCAAAGACGGACCTGCGGGGGTGGTCATTGAGAGTCAGACATCAGGATATGAGCTCCTATACCAGGGCGAGGAATAACACGTACGGTCCATGGTTGTTTGAGAAAGCCATCCCCCACTTCTTCTCGACGACCCATTCGCTCGTTTCTCGCTCCTCCAACAAGCCTTCGACGTCGGCACCTAGTACCGGGTTGAACCATGTGCGATCACCCGCATCTCCGGTGATTGCGCCGACGGTCGTTAAAACATGACCTTGGCTTGAACCTCCACCTTGCCCGAGGGCCATCCGATCCATGGTCACGCTCAGTTCGTTCCGTGTGAGGGACGTCCGTCGATTCTCGTGGGCCAGCCCTGCCGACGATGCACTCGTCGCGTTGCGTCGCATCCCGACCGATCCTGAAGCGCCCGAAGCAGCCAACGCTTCCATGAGAAGGTGTTCCTCATTCGCTTCTGCGGCGTACGAAGATGTCGGTGGAGCGGAGAGAGAGATGCGTCGATTGACGGAAGTCGAAGCCCCCGCGGCCAGCGACGATGAGCCAACGCTCATCCGAGGCGCAGTAGCAGCGACCGAACCGTTCCTCTTGCGCTTCGATCCTACTCGATCATTGGCTGCAGGGTCGTGGTGAGCTATTTCGTCTAGTCCAGGAAGGATCATCGAGCGGCGCGCCGTCAAGTCGGACTTGGCTCGCGCTTTACCCTTTGTCGAAGATTCTTTGGGTCTGTCGAGGTTCGATCGGGTGCAGCTCCATACGTCGAGCTTGGACTCGACCGTGTTGATTGTGACAAGTAGCGCCCGATCGTCCGTGTTGAGAGCGAGAACCTGAACGATCTTGTGCGGTCGCAGGGTCGTTGTTGTGGGTTCTGGGTCTTGGATGCGTTTGATCGAGTGTTTGACATCGTCGAGCGTATCCCAGTACCCTCCCTTGGTTTCGATCAAGACGCCGCGGGGTAGGGACCACATCTTGTGCTCCTCCCCTGATGGGGGATGCGTCGAAGAAGGTGGTGAAGATTCGTGTTGGGCCGAAGCGAGAGGGACAATCCATGGTCCGGCGCCCGTCGGTGCGAGTGGGTAAACGTACAGTTCGTCGGTCGACAGGGAAACGAGCAAATGCCGTTCGAGGACTTGTTGCGTTGCCAGATTCTCTTGTTCGTTCTCCGAGGTGGGTTCGGGTGGATGCAGGGGCAAGGGTAGAGGGTCGTCGGTCCATGGCATCGGAGGAGCAGGTTGGAAAGGGCCGAATAGGGTTGCGTGTCGATCTGGTCCGGCAGCGGTTGTCCTGGACGGGGACGAGGATGAGGTTGAGGACGCGCCCGACCTGTTGACGGATCTGTTGTGATTTGTGGCTCGGGTGGGAAGTTGAGCGAATACTGCCTGTCGTACGACGGCGTGGGGGAAAGAGTACGTGCGAACGATCGAGGACCCCGAGGCGTGCACGACGCGATGGCCCGACCAGGACAGGTGCTCGATGGTCGACGAGGACTCTGGGGACGCAACGAACGAGTGGGTAGATGAGGACCGTGAGCAGGCCGGCGCTTCTGCTCGGCGCGAGAGCTGCACGAGGCGGTGCAGGTAGCTCGAACGCGTCAACGTCGCCGCTGCTGTTGAGCCATCGTCGCGCCGCGAACGGGACGCCGAGGTTGATGCGAGCGGTGGTGGGCCACCCAGCGAAGGGGAAGGGTCAGCATCGAGCCTCGGTACGGCGCATGCGAGCATGTCGGCTGCGTTTGTCTGGCCGCAAGCGGTGGGGGGAGGGAGCTTTCGTACGACCGACCCGCGTTGAGGCCGCCACTCGCCGCTCCCCGAGCCGGCCGTCGAAGCGGTCCGAGCTCAAAAAGCTGGCCCAAGCCCGAAGCAGCCCGAAGCAGCCCGAAGCAGCCCGAAGCTGCCCGAAGCTGATGCGCTGATGATCGACAATGATCGATGTTCGGCCGCGGCTCTTGCGCTTCCGACTCTCACCACCTCCACCCTCTTGCACCAACTCCAACCCGCCGACTCTTCCTCACTTTACAAACATGCCCGGACTCAAAGTGAGTTCCCCCTCCTCAAGCTGTTATCACCCACTCTACGAGCGAGTGGTGGGCCCCTCTCTCTTGCCTCTCTTGCCTCTCTTTCCTCTCTTTCCGCCCCGCCCCCGCCTTACTCGGCAAGCTGACCCAACGTGTTAACGTGTTACGTGTTACCCCGGTCGTGGTTGGGTGGTGCGCTCCTCCGTTGCAGGTCGCTCTGCTCGGTGCCGCTGGTGGTATCGGACAACCGCTTGCTCTCTTGCTCAAGCAGGTAAATTCTTTCTACTCGACCAGTCTCGAGTAACGCTTCTCTGCTAACTGACGACGGTGTTGGGTTTCCCCCCCGCCGTCCCGCTCTCCGCCCGCTGCGACCGTAGAACCCCGCCGTCACCGAATTGGCCTTGTTCGATGTCGTCCCCGTCGTGAAGGGTACGTCCAAACGAGCACACCTTTTTGACTCCTCAACTGCTGTGACTGACCCGCCCGTGAGCCCATGGCTCCAGGTGTCGCTGCCGACATCTCCCACGTCGACAGTCCCGCGGTCACGACCGGCTACACCAAGGACGACGACGGACTCAAGCACGCCTTGAAGGACGCCCAGGTCGTCGTCATCCCCGCTGGTGTTCCCCGCAAGGTCAGTGTTTTCTTGATTCCCGCCCGCGTCGATGCACGCCTCCGTCATACACCGCCGAAGTGGGAGGACCCCGGAGAGAGTCGGGATGGCACTCTCTATCCATCCCCGGAACTCCGAATTTCCTCTTCGGCTGGCCACGGAGCGTACAACCCCCATTCGAGAAGGGGCCTTTCCTGTAGTACTCGACTGACTCTGTTCTTGCATCTACTACACTGCTTAACCGCGTGAACCTTCGATGACGATGTTCTCGGCGAACTCGTAGCCCGGTAGTGAGTGAATACCACATCCAGCTTCCCGAGCAGCCTGCGCCTAGAACTGACTCGAATACACCATCGATTCGCAGTGACCCGCGATGACTTGTTCAACATCAACGCCGGCATCGTCCGTGACCTCGCCACCGCCATCGCCGAAACCTGCCCCAAGGCTTTCGTCTGCGTAAGTGATCTGTCGGCGACACCTGACTGCATGACCACCAGATCTGACCCATTTCATTGCCATTACGCGCGAGTCAGATCATCTCCAACCCCGTCAACTCGACGGTGAGTGCCGAAGAGCCACGTCCGCTCAGGAGCTGAAACTTACCGCGAATTCGTCCTTTTAGGTCCCCATTGCTGCCGAGGTCTTCAAGAAGGCCAACGTCTTTGACCCCAAGCGGTGAGCACAACACTGCACTCTTCCTGTCAACACTCTTTGGCCGCCCGACTCACGCCTGGGTTCTCACAGCGTCTTTGGTGTCACCACCTTGGACGTCGTTCGATCGTCGACCATGTCGGCCCAAGCGATCGGCGAGCCGACCCATGGTCCCAAGTACACGATCCCGGTCGTCGGTGGTCACTCTGGCGTGACGATCCTACCCCTCCTCTCGCAATCCGAGCCCGCCTTACCTTCTTCGCTCTTGAACGACCAAGACAAGTTGTCCAAATTGATCACCCGCATCCAACAAGGTGGTGACGAGGTCGTGCAAGCCAAAGCCGGTGCAGGATCCGCTACTTTGTCGATGGCTTACGCCGGCTACAAGTTCGTCGAGAGGTTGATCGACGCCGCTTTCAAGGGAAAGAAGGGCGTGATCGAACCTACGTACGTTTACGTCAAGGACGACACCAAGTTGCAACAGGAGATTGGAACGCCTTTGGATTTTTTCGCCGTACGCGTCGAATTGGGTCCCAATGGTGCTGAAAAGTTGTTGCCTTTGGGTTCGATGAGCGAATTCGAGAAGGGCTTGTTGAAGCACGTGACGGGAGAATTGGGAGGTTCGATCACGAGTGAGTGGAGAGTGGTTTCATTCGTAGCGATGGCTGGTCTTACCCCCTTCGGATGGGCTGATCGCTTTTTTTTTTTCGCTTTTTCGTCGTCGCAGAGGGTGTCGAGTTCATCTCCAAGCTTTAGATTACGTTTGCGATATCTTGCTACTCCTGCCTTTTCGTTCTTTGTTCAAAAAAAAATCAATCTGTCTTTTTTCAAAAACAAACTTGGAATGTGATATGAATCAAATCAAATCAACTCTGACAATCTCCTTTTCCCTCAAAAGTCACCCCCCACAATATTTCTCAGCAAAGCCAAGCTTACTTCCCTTCTTCAACAACTTTATTAATCAAACTACCAATACCCCCACTCACTTCGACCGTAAAAATCGAACCATGTACCAGAAGCTCTTTAGGTTCATAGAAGAACCCTATACCACTTGGCGTTCCGGTGAGGATGATCGTACCGGCTTTGAGAGTCGTACCTCGCGAGAGGAAGGTGATGATCTTGGGGATCGAGAAGATGAGATCACTGGGATTTTTAAGTGAGCGTAGGGTTAGTGCATGGGGAGAGATTGTGAGATTTTGGTCTATGTTGGAAATTGGGCGGACTTACTTGAGAGGACTTTCTTGTAGCGTCTTGGTTCGACCATCGGGGTTCGTCTTGTGACCTTTGATGACGAGTTTACTAGGGTCCGGGATCGAAGAAGTCGAAACGATCACCGGGCCTGGTGGGAGAATGTAAGGTGGGAGTTGAATACGGCACCACGAATTTGGTATAGTCTCGTGTGATTGCTGACGAACCGATGGGGCATGCCGTATCGAATCCTTTCGAAAAGCACCATTGAGATTGTTCGAATTGCACCTACCAGTCGGTCGAGCAAAATACAATCAGTCGACGCCAAGAAAAAAACAATGACGATCCTCGTTCTTGTTATCTGAAGAAATTCACCTTTCTGGATGAAACATCATTCCCCGCCGTATACCCCAATACATAATCCAACGCTTCCTCCTCTTTAACGTCCTTACAATCTTTGCCTATCACGACGACCAATTCGGATTCGTAATCGGCCGCTTCGTCGTCGATGACCGAATGAGGGATGATGATTTTGCAAGGGTGGGAACCGGTTAGGGAGGTCGAGGGCTTGAGGAATAGGATGGGAACGGTCGGGATGGGGAGAGAGGCTTCTTCGGCGTGCTTGCGGTAGTTGAGGCCGCTGCAGTGTCAGGTGGGGGGGAAAGGGAAATTGTGGAGGTTAGGAATGGCTACACTCGAAGCGAATCTCTATCCAAGTCCTTCAGTTTCATATAGCGAGATTTGGGGACTCGACGGAGCGGCACAGAATGTTGAGAAGGAAAGTGACTGACATGCATCGAATGGTCCCCACTTCGTCCTGACCCAAAGGACTTAACAACTCGCCAATCTCCACCTCTTCCCCCGTAGCTTGACCAGCATTCAAGACCGATTTACCCGAATACAACTTCACTTTGACGGGTTCTTTGGCTTCGTAGATCGCTCGACCGATGTCGAGAGCTGCGTCGACGGGTTCACCAATCATCGGTGAGGAGGATCCATGTGGGGAAGAGGAGGGGATGAAACGAACGAGACGGGACCATTGAGAGGTGGGGGTGGTGGTCATGTTGCGTTTAGGGAGAGCAGATAAGGTAGATCGAAGCTGTCTCAGAGGGATAGGGCTGAAGAGCATCAAAGAAAGATGAGGGAAGAGGGAAGAGGGAGGGATGAATCGAGAACATAACTGGCGGCGGAGTCGAGATTGCGGAGCTCCCGGGCCGGGCCGGAGCACTCAAAAGCGTGGCTCGCGATCTTTCACCTCCTTTCGCGTCTCGGAGTCCGATCCAGGCCCCTAACGACGACTTGACTCTCTCCGAAACTCTCCGAGGATGCGGCTTCACACCTTACCGGTCTCGTTCATTGCTCTATTGCAACTCTGCATCGGAGCTTCATGTTCGTCGTCAACTGACACGTCGAACGCGACCCATCCACCGTTGTTCGTCGCCCCGAATCCTCGACTAAAGACCTATCACACCGCCCTATCGACACTGCTTCCGATCCTGCCCATCCTCGCACCTCCACCAACACATACGCTTCTGGTGACCTTGGCGACCTCAGCTTTCAAACCCTTGCTGTACAACTACCTCTGTTTCCTCCGCTACCGAGCCAAGTGGGGGACGACCTCGCCGACGCACGAGCAATCCAGAGGAAACGAGACCGACCCCAACGACCGATGGTCCTTCATACGACGCAAACAACTCTACGAGGATACTCAAAAAATCCTCATCGTCACTTCCGATCAAGCGCTCGCGGAGGAATTGAGCGAGTTCGGCATCGTCGTTTGGTATTTGGATGCGATTGATTGGCATTCGACAGAGGCGCGGGAGTATATCGATGAGACGTTGGAGGATGAAAAGCTCAGGAAGGAGTTTGAGCGAATTATAAGGGATGATCCGTTCGCTACTGTGAGGATGATGGATCTCTTGTTGCCGCCGACGAGGATCGAGTCCAATTCGTCGGCGATAAAGCAGATTCGATCGAGGGTGAAGGGTTTCGGCGCCAAGATGTTGGAATGGGGGTCGTTGCATTATCAGTCATTGATGCTCGAACGGACACTCGTCATGTCGACACTGGTCGGAGCACTGGTGGAGGCGCAGCAAGTTGACACGAGATGGAGGGTGCAGCAAGAGAGGGAGTGGAAGGACAAGTGGGAGGATCATGACTGGGATAACGAGCCGCCGTTGATCGAAGAGCCTTTTGTGGGTGTCAAAGGCGTTTTGCTAGCTGATAATGATGCGGTCTGGTGAGTGCACTTATAAAGCCGCTCTCTCGCTTGATGACACAGCAGTGCTGACTCCCTCAATCTTCTATTCCCAGGCTCTCCAACCCAGCCTCATTCTTCGCCCATCACTATCGACCCCAGGGCTCGCACCCCTCGTTTGTCGTCGCATCCGACACCGATCCCTACTCACCCCATATCAGCCAATACGGTCTATCCTACACCCCTTGCGCATGCTTCATCTACTCTCGAACCAGCGATGCCGAAGCCCCTTCGGCTTCTCCGAACCCCCTCCCCGAAGCAAAGGATCATTACAGTCCTTCAACTGGAGCAGCAACGGGTTGGCGATTCACAGCGATCTGTCATATCGCTATGGTTCTTCGATCTATCGAAGACGGTCTCGCACAAGTTATTGGAGCGGATGATGCGGAATTGGACGCCGAAGGTAAAGCGAGGTTATCAACTCTGCGTCGAGCGATCGCCCCTTCTTTTCAAGGCACCTCGTTGGGTCCGGCGATGTTCTTGGCTGAGGATGAGGATCCGGTCTTACCCGTCCTTACGCATGAGGAATGGATGGAAACTCTTGGATCGTTCGACGAGTCCAAAATTGTTGGCTTACTCAAAGAAGCTGGCCTGGGAGGAGCTCTGAGGGATCTCATTAATGACCCGGAAGCTTACGCCAATAACGCTCGGGATCGTCGGAAGATGTGTGAAGATTTGGCGATCAGCAAATCCAAACGAACGACCTGTCCGAATCCCATACCAGAGATGGACAGAACCTCGTTGACGATTCCTGCTCAAAAAGGGAGGGCGTTCCATCGGGGTATCAAAACCGAAGTTTTGCCTTACGACATCTTCCCGCCCGGGATGCGATACTTTGATGGTGGTCTCGCAAGTGGGGAGAGGCCTTGCGTCGTTCATGCGAATTATGCGACGGGAAAGACGAAGATGGAGCTTTTGAAGAGGGAAAAGCTGTGGGCTTTGGTGCAGGATGAGCAGGGGCAGTATAGATGCGATGCTGAGGTTATGGACAGAGCCAAGTAGAGCGTGGAATGCCCACACGAGACTTTAACGAGGGAAAGACCGCATAATGATTGAATCGTAACGATTGCAGGGCATGAAATGATGGACGGAAGAGAGCCACCTAAAAGGCGGCCAAGGGTATATTCTTGCATCAATCTTATATTCAAGAGCGGTCACTCAGTTGTTGGCGACTCCGATGATGCGAAAGTCGTACCCACCAGTTGACGACGAAGGCAGGATCTCGCACGTCAACAGATGTTCTCCAAACTCGATCGGATCCGCCACAGTAGCCCAAGAGCTTCCCGCCGCTTCCCCAGACTTGTGCGCATCGACAATCACCCCGCTCTGTACCTTTGAAGGAGTCGGGGTCGATGGTGCCTCTGACCTCGGCGAGTTGCCGCTCGAGCTCGATGACCTTTTCCTTGAGGGCCTGGAAGTCGTCGGCGGAGGGGGACTGAGGAGTAACAGAGTTGGTGGGGGTCTGCGAGGTCGGACATGCTGGAGGATCGAGTGTCGCGGATGGTGGAAGAAGGAGAGAAAGAGAGGCCTCTCAACACAGACGTCTTTTAAAGTCAGTCGGTCGGGGCGACCTCCTCGTCTGGGGGGAGTTGTGGTACTCGGGATCCGTCGCGTGCAGCAAAGTCGGAAATGAGATGGGACTCCTGATCTCGTCGGCTGAATTAGGGTACTCGGGTCACGCATACTTACTTGTCCAGTCATGTTCACTGGACGGCTGTGCAGATCCCAAAAATCAATTGATTCGCAAGCCCCAACTCTCGTCATGTTTCGCTGTATTCTTTCCCTAGGCAAGTTGGGATTGTGATTTCGACAGCATGTACATGAGAGGTCTGCACACTTCAGGTATAGTGGACAGAGAAATGGAAAAGAATTTAAGAACAAGTGACAACAGAGATCAGCTTTCGAACGTGTGTTGGTTGAGATGTACGGCCTCGAATCGGCGAAATAAATCAAGGTGTCATTTTGGACAGGTTCAAAGTCGGTCGTTGATTCGGGCTGTTGAGCGAACTGTTCGAATGACTCGCGAGATGACTCAGGACGTATCCCGCACTCCTAGGTGAGGGCTTATCGTTCGGAGAATCAAAACCCGTCGGCATGGCTCCTGTCACAGGCGTCGAAGGACTAGACGTCCCATCCAAACCCAGACTAGGCGAAGCGCCGCCCGTTCCTCCTGGAGTTGAGGAACTCGATTTGGATCGACCGCTGCCGTTGGGGTTTTGGGCGCGTTTGCGTTCGATCAGTTTCTTGATCCAGTCCTTGGTGAAGGCTTTGACTTTGCTCATTTTTTCGGGGGTGAGCGAGTCGTACGGTTCTTTGTTGTACGAGGGGTGCTTCTTCTCCTTTTCGCAAAGGAGTATGGTGACCTGTTAGAACGCAAATGCCAGGTCAGTGACCCGAGACAACGTACCGAGAGGGTACAGATAGCACGACACTTACCTCCTTGGCGCGCTTCTTGAATTGATCCGGATCCAAAGCCCCCTTGTACTTGCTCATCACCTGAACAACCACACCCGAGAACAAAGCCATCACCTTCTTATCCTTTGCACTAGCCGACCCATGTCCATTGACGTTCGAAGAAGACGTCGATCTCGAAAGGGAAGACGAGGGCCGCATCTTGAGTTGTTCCAATTCGGCTTGTTTGAGTTCGAGTTCGCGTTTGAGGCGTTCTTTCTCCTCTCGTACTGCAACGGCTTCGGCTTCCCTTTGGACTTGCGCGATGATTTCGTTCACGTCGATAGCTTTCATCTTGGTCGTGATGGGGGTGTGAACCGTCTCGGCCGAGGGACGATGAAAGGTCGAGGAGGAGGATGATGGAGCGGGGTCGATGAGATGTTTCGTCGGTAAAGTCCACTGCACCTCCCTCGTCAAAGTATTCTCGTAATACGGATCCCCAGAATTCTTGTCGATATGCTTTTTCCACCCTCTTGGAAGGGTCGAAGAAGAAGGAGGAGGGGTCGGAGCGACCGTCACGGTAGCGGAAGGTTTGACCCATGCCGGTCTTCGAGGTGTGTCGAGATCGTAGGCTTTGGCTTCCTCTTCCGCTCGTGCTCGTTTGGCGATTTGGTCGATCGAGTACTCCCCACCTAGATACCGCTTCCTTTCGTTCAAAGCCGTCGAATTACCCCCATCCCCTTGCCCACCATTCGTAACCGAGGGATCCGCCTCCGCACCGCCATTGACGTTCGTCGTCGATTCAGTTCGTACAGCCCTCGGTATTCGGTAACCCATCTCCAACGAGTCCCAATAATCGAGCAGGTTTTGCGCGAGGGTCTGAATGTTCTTATTTTCGACCAAAAGGCACGCCTTGACGCACGGTTCAATCTTGGACGACTCGACCTTGTTCCTCGTCTTCAACTCCCACTTGGTCAAGATCTCCAAATCCAAAGTGATGACCCTCTCGTCCGTAGGGTACTCTTTCAAGATGTGCGTCATCAGGTTGAAGCCGTGGAGGCGGAGAAGGTCGGAAAGGACTTCGGGGTCGTTGGTCATCTGGATTCGGGTCAAGATCTTTTCGAGGATCCGTCGCGTTTGAATCGATTGACGGACCGCGGCCGATACTTTGGGCACTTCGTCGATGTCGATGGGGCGGAGAAGGGGGAGGAAATCTTCGTCGAGTTTCTTGCCCTTCTTTTTCTTGGTTCCACGTAATCCGAGCGCTTCGACTTCTTCGGCGATACCGAGAGCTGTACGGGCAAGTGTGGTCACCATCAGCTCTAGAGACAGACCCATCGAGATGACCAAACGAAACCGAGTACTGACCATCTAGGTACAAATCATCCATCCCCCCAATATCCGTCTGCGTCTTTCCGCCAATGAAGCCGACGCAATTCGGTTCCCCACAATAACATTCCTGCGCGACGTGACCATACCGATCGACGTTGTAATTGAACGTCAATTCCTCGTTGGCCTTGATGGAACGTTTGGTGAATATTCCCATGCGCATCTTTTTGCCAATGGTCCATTTCGCGACGAAGCAGTTGGGGTTGCACGAGTGATTCAGGAAGCGCCCTTTGCCGCCTTTTTTGGTGGCGTCGATGAACTGAAATCGAGGCCGTCGAGTCAGTATTGACAAAAGTGCGCTCCAAGAAAGATGTCCAGTGACTTACGATGTCCTTATCAAGAGCCATAAAGTAGAAATGTTTCACCCCCTCATTCGCATAGTCCTTCATCCTCTTGGCGAACACCGTCGGCCCAATGACCTCGCCTACATACTCGTACACGAACGTATCACTTTTATGGTGGAAGAAATGCGTTTCAGCTTCATCGCGTCGTGACCGATTCATGATCATTTCCCATCACTCACGCCGTCATGTCCTGCGTTGCACGAACGCCGAAACCTTTCTTCTCCGTTTTGACGATCTCGATCTTGGCGTATTCCTTCTTTTGGAATCTAGTGACTCACGCCAAACAAGATAAGGAAATCCAATTCCCCGAGAAAAAGGAAAGAACGCTCTGAACTGCCTCATTCAAAGACGCACCTTTGGTTCTGACACCGTTGACCGCACCGACAATCGCCCGCGACGCATTCGATCTGCATCAACCGATTGACGCATTGAGATTCCTCACCGCAGGCTTGCTCGAGAACGGGGAAGCCTGAGCATTACAAAAGGTGAGTTCTGAAACATCAGCATCATGGACGTGAGTGTGGTGGAGAGGGATATGGTGCGTGGACTGACCAGCCGTATAGGAGCATTCGCACCGGGTCGAATCTTCGTCGAAATAGGCGAGATTGCCCAACGACTTGTTGGCGTACGTGCAATCGCTAATTTCGGTATAGGACCTTCCGGCCTACGACGAGAACAGGAAGCGTGTGATGGGTCAGTTCTCCGGAGTCATACGACGAGACCGGAGCGCGGCGTTCGGACCATACATGAGCGTGCGTAGCCTACGTAACGTACCTGATCTTCCGCGAGGGGTAAATCCTTTATCAACTGAGGTTCGGACACGACCTGCACCTTTTTCGTCTTTTTGGCCGGCCTTCGCATCGGCTTGACCTCCTCTTCTTCTTCAGTGTCCTCCTCCGGTTCTACTTTGGCAGTAGGTTTGTTCTCCCCATCCCCATCCCCATCACTCGTTTCGTTACCTTGGTCCATATCGACTGAGCCACCTTCGTCTTCCTCTTTGGGGTCGGGGTTTTTGAGTTCGGCCGAGGAAGCGAGGGATGCGGATCGTGATCTCGGTCGAGTGGTGATGGGTGGCGGCGCACGTTCGAGCGGTGTATTGGCCCAGGCCGAAGTGGAAGCGACCGGTATGACCGACATGGAATCGTCGACTACGGGGGTGCACAGCGACAGGGAGGTGGAGGATGTCGCTGGTAGGTCGTGGGAGCTCAGGGTCGGCTGAGCGAGCGAGGTGGAAGGTGTAGAGGGAGGAGAAGAATGAGGACGCGCGCTCGTCGAGTTGGGAGCAGCCTGAGCGTCTGCCATCGGGCGATCGATCGAGACGACGGCCGCTCGTTCAACCCCGATGGGAAGATGACAAGGCGTACTCGAGAAGAGGTGTAGGGAGCGACTCGGTCGGCCGGGCAACAGCTCAGAGCTGGCAAGAGTCGCGTCGGATCTCTGTCAGACCAGGAACCGGGCCCCCCGAACCAACGCACATCACAGACACAGTCCATCGATCGTATAGAAAATAGTCAGTACCTCGTCTACTACATGTCGCGGCGAGAGTCATGCCCGGTGCATCGCGTGCTGCAGCCAGGGCAGATGAATGAAAATAGCCTCCACTTGGTCCCCCAAGTTTGCCTTCCCGCGCCGTACGCTCTGACCGACGGAAAGCCTAGACTGACCTGGTACAGTCCCCGCGTGGTACCTGCCTACCTGATTCGATAGGATCCACACGATCTGCGGAGCCGGGTCGGAGAACGAAGGTGGTCGGTGACGGTCAGACCGGAGTCAGACGATGTTGAGCGGTCGAAAGGGGGCCGTACAATGGCGATGGCGAGGTCTCTGACCCGGAACCGGAACAACACAATATCGTATCGCACACCTTTCTCCTTGAACGTGTTTCGAACCGGTGTAGTATGTCCGCTGAGAGTCAGAGGCCGGGCAGTCCAAAAGTCGATCAGGTCAGCGCTCGCTTCCGTGCTTGGGCCCACTTTGAGCGGCGCATACCGTGTACATACCTCTGTAACGTAAGAGCTCGGGAAGGTCACAACCCCCGCGTAGAACCTTGATCCGGTCTTTTGGATTGCGGTACACGCCAAAAGAGGAGCGGCCGCTGACGTTTCTCGCGATCGGGCGCACGTCACGTCTGGTTCAGAGCAAAGAAACACGCCGGTCGGGGAAAGCGTTCTACGCGGGTCGTCGCGCCCCCCCCCCCGAGGACAGAAAGTAATGTTTGCGGTTCCGAGCCGAGAACGAGCCCTCTTTGGAGAATTGTACGGCGATTTATAATCATTACAACAACAGCATTTTGGACTTGAACCCCTCCTTCCTAGTCCTAGACTCGCAACTTTTACGCCTTTTCCCACGGCATCTTTTGTCGCCTCCTCTGCAGACGCTTCACGATCACGGAAAAATCCCCCGAATGAGCGAGCACGTGAACTTGGTATGATGGTGGATCTGTATCCGACGATTGTTTCTTGAAGGACGCGAATGGGATGGAGGTGATTAGATGATGCGCCGAGCTGTGAGAGCTCGGATTTTCCACCCGAGAATAAGGGGAGGTCAGCAAAGCTCGCCCCTTTTGCCGGATTACTTCGAGTGGAGGTAGACTGACCAAGTATCAACCCTCACTATCCCAAGTCGGACATCATCTCCCTTTGCTTTTTCAGGTCCTGCTTCGGTCGAGGCGGCGCTCAGAGCGAGTACGTCGAATTTGGTCGTCGAGCCTCCTACGCTACCGTACCAGTCGGCCATTGTCTTGAGCATCATCTGGTGCAACGTTACGGCGTCCACCGGGGCTGAAGAAGACGAGGTTGAAGACCTTGGAATTCTGGATGAACAGGGGAGGCCGGGTCAATAACGCTGTGAGGACCCTCGAAGGGAGAGCTCACATTTCCAACAGAACGTAATGCCATGGACCCGAGCGGATATCGATCGGGATCCGGGAGTGGAGCAATGTATCCGGCTTGGAGGCTGATCGAGGGGTGGGCGCCATGGATGCGTCGGCCATGGCGGATGACGGCGAATGGAGAGGAAGACAAAGAGGGAGCGAGTCGGCTTACGCGGTCACGTGCGACGAAACGCGAACACCTTGGCGCACGGACCTCTTACTCAACTCGATTCGACTCGGGGGGGTTCGCTGTCGAAGCTTCCTTCTTCCGTCCCCACACACAGCGCCTCGGTAATACTTCACTCCCCTCCCGAGCCTTACTTGAAGCCGAAGGAGCCATGTATGGCTCATACCTCAATAAGGAGCATGTCAAGATGACCCAACAGATCTATTCGACCGCCGAAAAAGGTACGACTACACACGCCTGCCTCTAGAGCTTCTCAAGCCAATCCTCCCGCCTTCTCTCCCGGGCCTGACTAAAAATTCTCGTTCACACATGTACAGACCTTCGCCCCTGCGGTCCCGCAGTGCTTCACCTCTTCAACTCCATCAAGCCTCTCTACATTGGTCAACCGCCTCAAGATCCTCGAGATCATCATCTCGAGCTTGAGCATATCACCTCTTCCCTCATCCGTCTAGCAGACGAAAGGATCCTTTCCTACCACTACAAGGATGTCCCGACCTGTTGGAGACAACTTTACACGGACGCGAGTCTACTCGAAGCCATTCTGACCGTTGTGTCTTATATGAACGACTTGACACCGGAGGAGCAAAAGGCTCGATTCCTCAAGACGATTCGTCAGTTGGATTTGGTCATCATTGTCGCTGGGGCTCCGGGGCAAGGGAGGTATGAACTCGTACTCGATCTCATCAAACGTATTCAAAAAAGGTATACCGAAGTCACGGATGTCATCCAACCCAGGCAATCCCCTGCGAAGAGGAGAAAATTTTCCGAGGAGGACCGAGAAGAACAAGCCAAAGCTCGACCAAAGATCCCTTCACCTATGGTCGACCACCCAATCATACGCCTCCAAAATTTCCCTTCCTTCGAAGCCTATCTCAATCTTTACCACAAGGAACCTTTCATCGTCTTGGGAGGAAGCCTCGATTGGCCTGCAAACGAACTCTGGTGCGATCAGGAGTATCTACAAGAGAAAGCTGGCGTCGGTCGGTGTGTCCCTGTCGAGGTCGGCAAGGAGTATACGGATCGGGAGTGGCGGCAAGAGATCTTACCTTTTGAACAAGTCTTGAAGTCAGTGTTTGAGGTGTCCAAGCATCGATCAATGACCCGAGTCATACACAGTGAGGGCCAAGTAACGTGGAGGGACAAGCCAAAACCCGTCCATTACCTCGCCCAACATGACCTCTTTCGACAAATTCCCGATTTGAGAAACGATATCCTCATCCCCGATCTTGTGTATAGCGCACCGCCTGAACGCTCGAAGGAATTTCCGGAGTATGTGGCGCCAAAAAATGAGGATGGGTATGTGCTGAACGCGTGGCTTGGACCGAAGGGGACGCTCAGTCCGGCGCATACGGATCCTTATTATAATTGCTATGGTGAGTTGACCGGGTACAGCAGCATTCTCGCTGTTTTGCAACTGATCAGAGGAAAGCATCTACAGCTCAAGTCGTAGGATCGAAATGGATCTGGGTCGCACCTCCTTCCTGTTCCCCAGCCATGTCAGCCTTCGGCCTCTCCTCCTCAACCGAAGATCCCGCCTCTTCTCCCAACAATGAAACCGAAGATGACGACCAATCCCCTCACCACTCCCACCTCCTAACTAACACGTCCCGAGTTGACGTTTCCTCCCCCGACACATACGACGCAGCCTTCAAAGAACAAGTCGTACCGTTTGCCCGACAAGCCGTGTTGCAAAAAGGCGATGTGTTGGTCTTGCCTCCGGGGTGGTGGCATTCGTTGAAAGGGTTGGAAGCGAGCTTTAGTGTGAGTATTTGGTTTTGAGTGAGTGAGGATGGGGTGGAGGTTTGAGGGATTCTGCAGATTTCGCTGTTGTTAAAATAGAAGTTGGACTTTTGGGCATTGTTCGCGCGGAGGTGTCTCCAACAATCTGTATTGTCCGATGGGCAACTATACATTCCGACCTATCCCCAAAACAATCTGACATCTCGAAGTGCGTCTACAATCAAGCCGCCTCAATCTGTTTAATCAACTTCGCCCCCAAAACTTTATCCTCCGCTCTTTCAAACACCTCCAAATACTTGCTCCTTGCATCCTCACACGAGATGCCTTTATAATTATTCCATAGATCCCAATCCTTTCCCCCATTAAAGAACCACCAAGGTCGACTATAGTTGACGTCCCCTATTGACCCTTGTCGCCAAAGGCCATAAAGTTCTTGGTGTTCGCGATAAGTGAGGACCCAGGGGTTTTGCAGGTCGATTTGGTATTGCTGAATCAGCTTTTCGGAGAGTTCGAATTGGCGCCAAAGGTCTGGTTAAGGATGAGACGACCGAACAAAGCGATGACAATCGGCCGGTAAGTATTTATCCTTTCCTGGTACGGCTCCTGTTTTTTTTTGTTTTTTGTTCGGTCTCCTCGGACTGACAGTACTCCATGTTGAGCAAGGTTTCGGCCGGTTTCGAGCACACGACACGAGCTTTACTTCGCGCGCAGTCGGTCGTGGCGTTCACTGGCAGGTCGGGAACATCACAAATTAGTACAGTTCCGAATCATCGAAAACAAGAAGGAGGTTCGATCAGCCAATGGGCAGCAAATAGCTATGGACCATTTACTCGATCTGGCGGCACTAAGGACAAAGCTCCACAACTCCGGGGTGGATCACCATTGCAAACCCAAACTTACTGGCTCGACGGCTTATCGTACCGACATTGGTGTCTGGTAGCTGGACAGCAGCAGCCATGACGACGTGCAGCGATGCAGCAAAGATCGCCATGAGAAGGACGAGTGACTTCATTGGCGCAGAATTTCAGGAGGCGGTGGTGCAAAGACGAGAGTGCGGTGCTGGGCAGCCCAAGAATGAATGTCGGACTCGCGGTGAGATGGGAGTGAAAGACCTTTGGGATGCGATGAAGAAGAGTTGAGTACAAGGGAAAGGTGGCTTCAGACGGAAGTTCGAGTTGTATCTCGAAGGAGTACAAGGAACCTGCATCGCCTCCCCATAGCCTTCGGGCTGGGCAGTGCGATCGTATCGGTTTCCGGCGCCCTGATGGACTCGCAAGCCCCTTGACACTTTCCGTAAACGGGCGCGATGCGAGTCACGGCGCTTGGGGCGCGCCGATCTGATCGGTGGGAGTGAAATCTCGAAAGAACACAACGGACATGGTAAACTTCTTGATTGGCTGATTTTTGACCAGCCTAACATTACTTATTGAACGTGGTCGGAAATCACTTACCTTATAATCCTTGCGCTCCGCGCCCACCTCCCTGCGTAAATGGAGGCCCACCTCCCTGCGTAAATGGAGGCCCACCTCCCTGCGTAAATGGAGGTCGTTGCGAGCTCCTTGAGCTCGCAACCGCCCGTACCTCCCGGACCGTGGGGGGGGGGGAACGATCGGCGCGCGCGCGCGGGGCTGAGAACCTTATTTAGTCGTGCATTATTTTATGTAGATGTGTAGATGTAGATGTGTAGATAGATAGATGAATAGATCGCGGTGAGATCCCGGAACTTCAAGTCCGCGTCGGCGTCGCGCCGCGGACTTAGCCGAGGCAAGCTCATTTCCTTGACGACCCGGCCGATTATGATATGCATCTCATCTAGCTACTCCCCTCTCCGCTGTCGTCTGATCGCTCCTATTGCTTACCTGAGCTCTTCGAAGAAGATGGTATTGGCGTCCAGCTCGACGAAATCCTGCCCTCGCACCACCGCAAGGTGGACCCCTATAAGGATCCCGATCATCCCAAGCAGCTCCAAACTTTTGTCCCAACATGAGCGATCGCCGGGCTCGGTGGAGGCTAGTCGATCCAGGTTCTGGCGAGTAAGCCTACACGCACTGACAGTAGAACCGCCGACTCACCTATCGCAAATTTCATTCAGCGTGGCCAAAAAAAAGGTGCTAGCAACGGACAAGTTATACCTTGAGGCCTCTTTAGGAGTTCTCAAATGTATTAGGTGCGGTACAATTAGGAGATTAGGAGTCTAGATCCGCCTGCCGAATCACGTGCACTGGTGTCGAGTGGCGTGCCAGGGGCTCCGAGTTGGTGGAGGGGGGGGGGGGGCGGGGGGGCGGCAGCGGCGATCTTCAAGACGTTGACAGATTGCGGGGGTCTTACTACCTCTGAATACCTGCACGTTCGGGTTGGTGTATACAGGAGCTTGAAATTTGAGAAACATCGAATTTCCGCCGCTTTCGAGGCTGCGGGCCACTACACTACTGCAGGCGCGGCCGCCGGTGGAAAAGGGGCGCGCCGTCGAGCCACTTTGCTTTCACTCAACAATTCCGTCACTGCGCTCGCGCGCGCGGGGTGACCTTTTCCCGCCCTCAGCCGCCCTCTGGCAGCCACTCGCTGAAATCGGCCCGCGCGAACGCATTCACTCACCTTTCCTTCGCTCCTTCACCTTCTCCCTACTCAATCCATCCCGTCCCTCACGTGCTCGCCTGTCTGTTGTACATAATGCCAGAACAATACACAGGTAGGTTACATCGACTGAACTGACCGAATGTCCACGCTGGAACATTGACCCTTCCTCCCCACATGCGGTCCTTTCTCCTCCGCTCGCTCCGACATGCCCGTCGCTCGCTCACTCCTTCGCACATGGTCACGACGCTCAAATAGGACCTCTGAGCGGCTATCGCAAGGGCGAGCTCAAGGAAATTGCATCTGCAATGGACAATGGCATTGACACGACCATCATCCGCGCTGAACGTACGTTCTCACTTCTGAGCCGGTCGCGCCTCCCTGACAATCTCGTTATTGACCCGATGTAAATCCATCTTGATGGGTTTTCCACCCTCCATCAGTCGAGAACCACATCCGCAAGGCCCTTCGCGAAAGGGAGAGCTTGCGCACCGACAAGCAGTTCAAGGGCCTGTGGGATGCTTTGCCCGAAACCGAACAAAACACCGAGATCAACACCCTTGGCGAAGCGGCCTCCCAAGCCGTCTCGGCCATCAAGTCCATGTCTCGTACCCCGAAGAAGAGTCTTTCCAAGTTGGCTTCCAACGTCTCGACCCCTGCCGGAGACGTCTTGGCCAGTGTCGAGAAGCACGCCAAGGCGCTCGTTCCTTCGAAGGAGACGCAGGCCCGCCTCAGAAAGTCGCACAATGACACCGTCACCGTCTACCGCCGCAAGAGCTCGATGAACCTCCGAGAAGCGGCGTCCCAGGCCCGTGAGGTCGTTGCCGCAACGCAGGAGATTGCCTCGTCGGCTTGGACCATCACCTCGGTCTTGATCGCCGCTGAAATCTCTTACCTCGCCTGGTCCGCCATCCCCTGGGGTGCAAAGGTGAGTTGCAGTGATGGGAGAATCTTCTAGGGCCAAGTCACTGATCTGCCCGCCTCTTTCATTTTCCCTAGGCGTTCGGCCCTCATGAATGGCTCACGCGCTCAGCGACGCCCGCCTTCGTCGTTCGATACCCCGATGTCTCGGTCCTGGCGCACCCGACCTTCACGCACGCGTTCCTCAAGTGGTCCTTCTTCACGATCCTCCTCCCCTTGATCGCCTCGGTCGTGCTCGCTTTCCCGCAAAACTCCAAGCACACCTCGGGTCGACCCGGTCGTCGTTCGGCGAACCAGGACGACGTCTCGGCTCCGAACCCGCTCTCGTTCGCATTGGCGCGTACTTCGATCGTCCTTTTGAACGGTTACATCTTTTCCCGTGCCGTGAGCAAGATCCACTGGTCGTTCGAAGCCGTTGAGGGCTACCCTGCCATCTCTTTGCTCACCAGTGCTCTGTCAGCCGTCTTTGCGGCTTACGAGCAAAAGTGAGCTCTTGCTCCACGGCTTGGCGGTAAGGTGTGAGTATTAAGGATAGCTTTCATTCCATCTTTGGCTCCTCTGGATACATTTTGAAGTTCGGAGTGTCTCTTGCTCTTTGTATCCGCTCATCCGAATTCGTCTGTCGTCGACACCTCCTGTTCAAGTTGACCCGCTTCCCCCATTTGACTCTTTGATATCCTAAGTATTTGAGAGTTTTGTAATGCAAATATATCTTCTCCATCATCTTTGCTTCGGCATGCCGAGTGGTTCCGTAACCCTAAAGGAGGAAGCACCACGCCGGCCCCCGGCCCCTCCGACCGGCGCAGACACATGGTTAGTGTGATTAGTCGACTCGAAAAATGGTGAGTAATCACAAGGCACGGTAGATCGGCCCCGAGTGATGGTACTTCCCCTCGTAGGTAGTGCATGACTTTGCAGAAGTGATGATCCGGGCTAGTTCTCCTCCGAGTCACACCCGAACCTGGCCGTGTGGGGCCTCCACGGTGCCAGGATGTACTAACATTCGGCCCTCGAGTAAAATGCGACAATCTGGCATGGCAAGGTTCTAACCTTATAGTTCTACTCGGTTCTTACGCCCCTGCTGAGTTTCTTTTGAACATCCTTTCACGGCGCTCATCGCTTTCGTTTCGTTTCGAGGTCGGCAACCGACTCGTTCCCAAAGAAGAGACCTCAACGACGACCCAATTTGCCCGAAACGGCGCCGAGGCCACGGCCGCGCGGGCCGACTGGGTTGAGTTCGATCGATGTTCAAATGAACTCGCGGGACTCGAATCGAGACCCACAACAGGAGAGGCTTTTTTGGAGGAAGGTTGCTTTAGTCGGCTACTACTCTTGACCGGATCCGACTGAATTTGCAAGATTCGTTTCCGGCGAGGTCGTGCTACTTACCTCGAACTCGCCAGTCCGACCCTCTTTCCATCCCACCCTACCTTACCTGAGATTCATTTTCAGATCCCAATTTCATCTCGTACACCCTCTCAACAGGATGCACTACCTCCAGAACAGCGAGACGCAGTCCAAGTCGACGGTCGAGTCGTCGCTCAAACTGCACAAGGGTACGTCATGCGCACGGTTCACATCTGACTCGGACATCAGCGCTCAGCACCAACTTCCGACCGCTCTGACTGCACACCGTTTCGAGGGATGTGCTGACGACTTCCTTATCTTTGCTCCATGGGTCGCTTTCACCGGCGTTCAGTCAAGACTGTTGCACTCGAAGGTCATATCGCCACTGACGTACATGGCCCTTCGTTGATTGCTATCGACGAGAAGGCCGAGGCGGCGCTGCGGTGGAAATTGGATCTTCACATCTTGCCCGTGGTGGCGGTGCTGTACTTGTTCTGGTGAGTACAGTCGGTCAATGAGCTGTCCTCATCGGTGGGATTTGCTCATGTGGGTTTGCGTACCCAATCTCAGCTTTATCGATCGATCCAACATTGGAAAGTAAGTCAAACACTAGGAGCAGGCGCTGCCCACTGCCCGAATATGCTGAACCCGTGTCCTCCCTTCTTACAGCGCTCGTGTAGCAGGCCTCGAAGCCGATCTCAAAATGACCGGCAAATACGACTACAACATCCTCCTCAGTGCAGTCTACGTCGCCTTCGTCTTCAGCGAGATCCCTTCCAACTACTTGTGCAAAGTCATCGGTCCAGCGATCTTCATTCCGGCATTGTCACTCGGGTTTGGGGCGTTCTCACTCGCGATGGCTTTCGTCACGACCTTCAAGAGTGGAATTGCGATTCGTTTCATGCTCGGAATATTTGAAGCGGGAGTCTTCCCCGGTCGGTCCCTCCAGCTCTTAACCGCCCTTTCCCGATCTCCCGACTGACGATGACCTTCTTCGGCGATTCTGACACCAGGTATCGCCTACTACCTCTCTCGCTGGTATCGCAAGGACGAGCTCGGATTTCGCCTCGCTCTGTACATCGTCTTTGCCCCTCTTGCAGGAGCGTTCGGAGGCTTGTTCGCTTCCGCGTTACTGATGATCCCCAAATTTGGGATGGTGACGTCGTGGCGCATGAGTGAGTCGAAGCTAACCCTCCTCAAAACAAAAAAAACTACGAAAAATTTCTAACTCCTATCTTCCGGATTTATCACTCGGTCATTCATAGTCTTTTTTGTCGTGAGTCAACACACGAGCGCGATGTGCCTGTGCCCCCCTCAACTGATGAATCATGTCCGTCCGTCCGCGGTGAAATAGGAGGGGCTCATGACGATGACAGTGGCAATCGTCGCCTTCTTTCTCCTCTCTGATCGTCCTGATACTGCCAAGGTGAGTTCCTGTGCTATCAATGTTTATGTAAAGAGGGAATATGCTCACTGGCATAACATAAATCTTGCGCCACTCCTTAGTGGTTAACGCCCGAAGAAAAGGCACTTTGCGCAGCGAGGAGCAAAAGTGAGAACGTCGGCGCAGTCGTTGTTGTCGACGAACTCAAGACCCAGGTCTTCCTTTCGGGCATGTTCAATACGAGTAAGTTCCCGGTTCTTTGATGTAGAGAGTGACTATCGATTACTGATGGCGATCTACTGGACTCGTGTGTTTACGCAGCTTCGATTGTCGTCGCCGTCATTTTCCTCCTGACCAACCTCACCGTACACAGCCTTAGTTTCTTCCTCCCCACGATCGTCAAGACCATCTTCCCCACCATGAGCGTGATTCACCTAGAACTCATGACGGTCCCCGTCTACGTCGTCGGAGCGATCATGTCCCTCATCCTGCCTTACCTCTCCTGGAAGACCGGTCGTCGAGCCTTATGGATGACGTTCGCCGCGCCTCTGATGATCATAGGCTATTCCATCTTTGTCGCGACGAATAACCCTAGCGCACGTTACGTAGGATGTTTCTTCATCGCTTCGGGTACTTTTGCGTTGATTTCATTCTCGAATACTTGGTCCGCGATTAATACGACTTCGGATACGGCGAGGGCAGGAGCGATTGCGATGACGGTCTTTGGTGGGAATTTGGGTGGGGTCGCTGCTACGTGGTCGTTCTTACCTCAGTGAGTTTTTTCAACGATCGAAAGTGCGCTTACTTGAGGGTTCTACACCACTATCAAAGCTGATCTTTACCTCCTCCCCTCCCCACGTTTGAAGATACGCACCCCATCAACTGCCAGGCAATGCTCTCAACCTAGGCACCTCGACCCTACTCCTCGTCTTGACTTTAGGGTTATGGGCCTGGCAGAACCGACAGAACGAACTTCGTGATCAGGGGAGTTTGGATTATTTGTTGGAGGGTAAAACGAGAGAGGAAGTGGCGGCGATGGGGACCAGCCATCCGGGTTTTAGGTTTAGGACTTGAAGTGTGGGGAAGGGTGGGGGGGAGTGGGGGATCGGACCGGCGGGGGATTTGTTTGGGATGAGAAAGAGTTCGGGGTGTGGTAGGGAACGAAAGTCGAGTTACGTCGAGTCAAGTCGGATTTTAAACCCCGGGCTAAAATTCTCCTCGGATACTTACGCGATTGAGTGCAGTGGCGCGTGCGACCAGTGGGCCGACTCAGGACTGAGCTTGATAGATATGGACACGCCTCAGTCGTAGCATATATGAATTTAGATGAATGTAGTTGAACTCAAATTTGTACAGCATCAAAAATCGCAAGGTGAGCCTCTCCCCTCGTCATTATTGGAGCCGGAGAGGATCACACTGGGCAGCGGTGCACAGGGGCTTTCCACCCGTGGCGAATTGGCGCAGATATTTTGTACTTGAAAATGAATTGCATGATTTTGATTAGAGACCTTGTTTACTCAGAACGTATTGTTGTTACCCTTGAAGGATTAGAGTGCATCTACGACCCGTCGAGCCCTCATCGAGCCCTCATCGAGCCCTGCACGGTGACTACAACGGTGCCCGGCCATGAAACGAAGCGGATCGAACAAGCGCGGACACGTCAAATGACACGTCAGCCAAAAAAAAAAGGACGAGGCACCTGCCGTGCGCGATTCGATCCGCTTCTTTCACCTTGCCTCCCCTCTCTTCTCTCTCGCCTTTTACACACCGACCCCCGTCTCGTGTCGGTTGCTAACCACTATCCACCGAGTGCACCATGCGGCTGTCCTTGGCTACACTGCTACCGCTCTTGAGCTTCTCGACGACGACTTTATGTTCGGCCGCGTCCCTGCTCGCGATCGATCTCGGTACGGACGCGCTCAAGGCTTCGCTCGTCAAACCCGGAGTGCCTTTCGATGTGCTGTTGACGAAGGAAGGGAGGAGGAAGACGCCGGTGGTGATGACGATCAGGAAGGGGGAGCGTAGCTTTGGTGGCGAGGCGGTCAATTTGGTACGTTTCGCTGGCCTCAGCTCGGGTCGCGACTTTGCGCAGGCGCACGGACGGGTGTTCACGTCTTGCAAACACGACCGGGTGGCAGAGACGTGATGAATAGGAACTAATTCCAGCTCTGGTTCGAACAGGCAACGCGTTTCCCACAAGACACGTTCTCCTCTCTCAAGCTCGTACTCGGCCACCCTTCCTCGCACCCTCAATCCCAACTGCACTCCTCGCTCTACGATCTCCCCATCTCCACCACCGCGCGAGGATCCCCTTCTCTTTCATCCTCTTCAGGTTCGTTCGCGATCGAAGAATTATTGGCGATGCAGTTCACGAACACGCGCGAGTTGGCCGAAGAAGTCGTCGGTGAATTCGTCAAGGACGTCGTCGTGAGTGTGCCCGCTTGGTGGACTCAATCCGAACGACAAGCTGTAGTCGATGCGCTCGACTTGGCTGGGCTGAGATCGATTGGTTTGATCAATGATGGAACGGCTGGTTAGTCTCCCCTTTTTTGAAAGTTACGGCGGCGAGGAAAAAAAAAAAAAAAGAAAAGAAAAAGAAGAGAAAAATACTGATCCCCCCTTTTTGGACGGCGATTTTTCATTCCAGCCGCGGTCAACTATGCCATGACGCGTTCGTTCCCTTCCGAACCGTCCTACCACCTCTTGTACGACCTCGGAGCTGGATCCCTACGTACGACCTTGGTCTCCCTGAAATCGTCGCTCCTACCCGACCCTTACTCGTTGGCGTCCAAACCCGAACTCAAGAACGTCACTTCCCTCACCGTCCATGGCGTAGGTTTCGACGTCCACGTCGGTGGATACGTGTTCGATAAGATCGTGAGGGATTTGATGGTCGAAGAATTCGAAAAGAACGGTGCGGGTTCCAAGTTGGATAAGAGGGCTATGGCCAAGTTGTTGAAAGAGGCGAGTAAGGTCAAGCAAGTTTTGAGTGCGAATACTGAAAGTACGGCTAGGGTAAGTCGAAAAATCTAGGCGTCTCTTGGAACCGATCCCCACTTTATTTTTGGGTTGCTCATATCCTCCTTCTCCAACCCGACTTTAACCCAGATCGAAGGCCTGATCGACGACATCGACTTCCGCACGCTCATCACCCGTGACCAATTCGAACAACGCAGTCAAGAGCTCTTACCCCGTTTCACCCAACCGATTCAAGACGCCCTGCTCTCCGCGAACATCACCATCCCCCAACTCGAATCCGTCATCTTGATCGGTGGTTCTTCCCGAGTGCCAATGGTTCAAGCCGCCGTAGCCGCTTTCGTAGGTGAAGACAAGATCGCCAAGAACGTCAACGCCGATGAAGCCGCCGTTCTAGGCGCGGCTTTGTACGGTGCCGGTCTAACGAAGGGGTTCAGGACGAAGGATATTCGAGTACAAGATATCACACCTTTCGGTATCGACGTAACGTACCCCATCGATACCAAAACGAACGAACAAGAACCTAGGATCATCACCACTCATTTATTCCCCTCCGGTTCGAAAACGTCGATCAAGAAAACGATGACGTTGAAAAAGACTCAAGATTTCGCTCTGACGTTCTCTTATCAAAGTCCTTCGAACGAAGCGTGGAAGGAATGCGTTCCTAAAGATTTGTTCGAAACGAGTTTCAAGGGGATTGGAGAGAAGACGGTCAATTTGACGGAGGAGGCTTTGAAGAACGTTTCGGTTTTGGTGACGATCGAATTGGATGGTTCGAATATGGTTAGGATCGATTCGGCGACGTTGAAGTTGGGGGAGGAGACGGAGGAGAAGGAGAAGGATAAGGAAGGGATTAATGAGAAGATCAAGGGGTTGTTGTCGAAGTTTGGTTCGAAGAAGGATAAGCAGGAAGGAGGGGAGGAGGAGGGGGAGCAGAAGGATGAGGAAGGGGGTGAAAAGGGAGAGGACGAGAAGGATCCTTTGGAAGGTCTCGACGCGGAGAGATTGGACGAGTTGCTCAAGATGTCGATGCCACCTCCCAAGACCAACATGAGTGTTCGCTTGACACCTACGACGGTTTCGCTCGAACGCGTACCCATGTCCGCGGAGGAGAAGAAGGATGCCCGTGCGCGTATGAGGGAGATGAAGCTTGCCGAAACGCGCAAGTTGCAACGCGAGGAAGCGAGGAACGTCCTCGAGGCTTTCCTCTACAAGGCGAAGGAACTCATTACGTCACCCGAGTTTGAAGGGGCTTCCCAACCTCATGAGAGGAAGATCTTGGAAGAGAAGGTCGCATCGACGAATGAGTGGTTGTGGGATGAAGGGGATTCGGCACCTACCAAGGACCTCAAAGCCAAAAAGGCCGAATTGGATAAACTCGTCAAGCTCGTTTCGAATCGCATCACCGAGGCCAAGTGTCGACCCGCTTCGATCGAATCCCTCAAAGGCACCTTGGCGTCCGTGGCTCCTTTCGTCGACGCGGCCAAGAAGAATGATTCAAAGGCCGAGGTACCCAAATATACCAAGGAGGAAATGGAAGGGATTAGCAAGATGGCCAAGGATGCGGAGGAGTGGTTGGCTGGGTCCAAGAAGAAGCAGGATGCGTTAAAAAAGTGGGATGATGCGGTGTTGAAATGCGCGGATATGGATAGAAAGGTCAGAGAGATTGAGATCGAGTTGACGAGGTTGAGGAGGAAGAAGCAACCGAGGAAGCCGAGGGTCGTCAAGAAGCCCGAGGAGACCAAGGAAACGGAGGAGACGAAAGAGGAGACAAAGGGCGAGGCGAAGAAGGAACCAGAGACGGGTGGGGAGGGGGCGGAACACAAGAAGGACGAGTTGTAGAGAGTGACCACATCTTTTATTCACGATCGCTGCATTACACGTTCCATCGTAGAATACATTTCTTTTCTTTCCCCTTTTCTGCAATCTTTGACGACAATATAGCATTTACCTTTGAGCGGACCGATACTACATTCGAGGGGCTACGCTCCTCGAATTGTGATCCGACGGGAGTCTACCAAACAAGCAGCAATTAACTTGAAATGTCAACAACCTATTATGCCCCTACCCAAAGCCTCTTTCACTCTCCACTCGTCTCCCTAACCTCCCTCGCCGCGGCCTTCAACGTCGCATCCACATTCGCCTGATGCAACCAATTCATCATGTCCTGATCTTCAGCACTCAAGGCCCTCAAGGCCCCTTGTTGGTTCGACCAATCGGCTTGGAACCCTTGACGCGTTAATTTGGTGGAGGCGGTCGTGGAAGTGGAAGGGGTGGCGACTGGGAGGTCGGTGGGGTCGTTTAGAGGGTGCGTTGAGGGGGTAGGCTGGCCATTCGAAAGAGGCTGTGGGGTCTGGGGGACGACTTGAATATCCTCGATGGTGGCTTGGGGTTGATGATTCGTCCCCAGTATGATGGACATCGCCGCGTTGACGGAGGCATCCGCGGTAGTATTCGTGGGGGGTGAAGTCGCTTCGTTGGAAGGGACTTCAACGTCCAGTAGTGTTGGATCGAGTGGTGGTACGGGGAGGGTTGGGATGTCTTCTTCGACGTTCACGTCGAGGTTGGAAGTCGAAGGTTGAGCATCCCTCGATGTTGAATTCGAAGCATGTGCAGGCTGGGTCTTTCGACGCGTCCTCACTTTTTGTTGCGGTCGAGGTGGAGTCGCGACTGGCTCGGGCGTTTGAGAGGCCGATAGAGCGAGTAGGACTGGATCGACGGGGGGAGGGGAACGTTTGCCACGTTTTCGGTTGGATGGTCCTGGCCCTGGTTCATCATCGTCCTCGTCTTCGGATGCGGGAGGTGTTGCTTTTGCTGCGAGAGAGATCAGAACTTTTAGCATCAGCGTCTCAGCCCTTTCTCTCCAACCAAGGGACACTGCACTCACCTTTGCGCTTCCCTTTGCGCTCTTTCCTTCTCTCCTCCACCACCATACCCATATACCTCCTAATCTGATACTTTGTACTCTTGACGCCGCCCTCCATACCCTCTTCCCTAGCCCTCTTTTCGATTTTCTCCAACATCGATTCATCCGTATCATTCTCCCCCATCAACTCCCTCACCCACCCTAAAACATCAAGTTCGACGACCCTCATCTTCTCATAAACGACGTGCCAAACCTTATGCACGAGACGAACGACGACGTCCCGGTTCGTCATATCAAACACCAAACTGACCATTCCACCACAAGCGAATTTTTCGACGCGACCTCCCTCACGTTTGTGAAGCGTCTTGCGAGCTTTCTTCCCGTCGCGTGGTCGATCGTTGCGAGAGGTTTGGGAACACGTGTAACGAAATTTGAGACCGTGACTGGTCGGGATGGCGTCTTTGTAGACAAAGTGCCAGCGAGAGGAGAGGGAGAGGTCCGAGATGAACGTTGTGGAGAGGGGTTTGAGCAGGTTGCGCAGATCGGGTATGAGGTGAACGTTTTGGATCGAGCGCTGTGCGGCGCGCTCGACTTGTTCAGCATGAGATCGGAGTGAGGTCGGAGGCTTGCTTGAACGCTGTGGGACGCACCAATTCAGGAACCAAGAAGGCCGCTTCGAGGTCGATCGAATCCGTCTTGTGCTCGACTTGGCTTTCCAACCGATCCAAAAGATCTTGGAAAGGTGTGTATTCCGCTTTGCTCGGTTTGTGATGTTTCGAACACGTCTGAAAAAAAAAAAAAACCCCCGCCAAAAGAACGATGAGTCTCGGGAAAGGGACGTTGATCGAGAAGAGGATGATCTGTGAACGCACCTTGTGCCACCTCGTCCTGAGAAAATCCCACGAGTCGACCGGAGTAGGCGCCGCACCGCCTTTGCACAATGCACAGTCGACGCGTGGGGGAGGGCGCCAGTGGGGATTGGTGCTTATGAAGGCGGTGGGGACGATACTTGACGGGGCTGGTCCGACGGGTGGAGGTTGGGCTGGAGGTGCTGGAGCCAAGGCCGGGATCGGGATGGCGATGGCGATGGCGATGGCGATGGCGATGGGCGATGCTTGAGCTGGAGCGGCAGCGGCAGCGGGGGCTGTGGTAACTCTGAGACCCTCTTCCTCCACTGCGCCTGGAGCGTCTTCTTCCTGATCCGACCTCTCTTCTTGTTCGTCGTCGTTCATCTCCTCTTCGCGCTCAGCTTCAGCGGAAGCGATCTCTGATGAAGTATCGATCCTCTTCGCAAGTGACGACGATGGTGGTGTGCTCTCCGCTTTGACGATCATTGACGACGACGAGGAAGAGGCCATTGCTTCAAGAGTAGCACGAGTCCGATTCAAAGATGGGTTTGCTTGTCCGGGTGTGACTTCGTGTGGGGGGAAGGGAACAGGGGGAGGTGATGCCAGGTGATGCCAGGTGATGCCAGGTGATGCCACGAACGCCAACCGCCGCGCAGACGTCGGAACGCGCCTCGGTCCCCCCCCCCCCCCCCCCCAATGTGGGCAACAAGCCCCCCTGCAGATCCCGTTCGAAACACGTCAACTTGTGCACAGTTTGCATCCCTCCACTGCCGCTGGTTATTGTGTCTCTCGTTATCGTCTTTGAGGGCGCTCTTCAATATCACATCTTGCTCAGGATGAACACCCAATGTATTGTCCAATCTTTTCCGACTACGGTCTTCTCACCTTTCTTCTTCCGAGACTCGGCGCCCCCAAAGTTGAACCAAGTCTTTCGCCAATCCGATGATCAATCAGCTCGACTCGTCTCTCGAGAGTTCCCCCCTCAAGCACGATCGAGTTTCGAGGAAGTCGAAAATGCAAAGTTACATCAACCCGAAAGCCCCCAAGCCCCCCCCCCCCCCCTCACTACACGCTCTACAACAAATTATGTACCCTCGCCTCCCTGCCCGTCCCCCTTTCCCTACCCGCAGCACTTTGTACGCCTCGCGCCGCTGCCTCGACCTCGACCTGATCTAATTCCAACCCATTCCCAAAAGGTCGGCCCACGATCCTTCGACTTTGATCCCTCTTCAATTCGAACCAACCCATCATCAATTCGACCACGTCCCTCATCAGGAGTACGAGACCACCTCCATAAGCGTTACGTAACCAAATGGGATCTAGTAGAGGGCTGGAAGTGGATGGAGTAGTGAAAGTTGAATTGAAGGAAGGGAACAAGATGGTGGAGAACCAACTCGTTTTCCTCGTCAGAGTTGAAAGTGGACCGTAGCGTGAGGAGAGGAGGGTGTGTACACCTAGGAGGTGACGTAAGGAACGTATCCAACTTGATTTGGGTTGGGTCCCTCCTTTCGAAGCGAGCCAGAATAATCCACTTCCGGCTGTTGAACAAATCGCGGGGAATAATAAAGCACCGACCATTAAAGAAGTCAGTCGACCGAATCCGAGTCGTAGTCGATTTTGAATAAGCGCTGCTCCTCCACCACCACCACCACCAGCTGGGGGAGGTACGACAACACCTCCCGCGGGTTCGGGTTCGGGTTCGGGTTGTACGATTTGTTCGAGTTGAACTTCAGCGACGACTTGAAAACGTGCTGCACCTAATCCTCGACGACGATGATCGGGATGATGAGGTAAGACCTCCGCTCCTTGTGGGGCGTTGATCTCGTCTACCTCTTCTTGCAAGTCCATCAACATCCCAGCGAAACCTTGTAAATCTTGTCCACGACGACCCAAAACGGCTTTAAAGACCTTCCTCCTCAAACGGAGGTAGACCAATCGAATCCAGGGGAGTGCGCATAGCAATAGAGTAGGGGAAGGTGGGTAGGTGAGGGAGAGGTTGTTCAATCCTAGAGGGTCTTGGCTGGAGTGGAGGGAGTAGGAGGAGGAGGAGGAGGAGGAATGGTTCGAGAGGACGAGGGTGAGAGGGAGGAAGGGGAGGAGCGAGTCGATCAAAGGTGTGCGAGCGAGGATTAGGGTCAGCGGGATCAGGGGGAGGTTGACTGTGGGAAGAGAGAGGGGGCGTCAGTGCCGGTGTCCCGAGTCGAAATAAAAAATAAAAAATAGCCGCCCACGTACGCCAATACCTCCACGGCATCCTCTCATGCCTCAGCAGCAACGCGCGGGCGACCTGATTTCCCGCAAAGGTCTTGATCGCCCAAGCACCCCAAGCCCCCGAGACGAAACCGAAACCGGCGACGAGACCCGATCCGGCGAGGACGATGCTGAGCGAGTGCCATCGTCGACGGAGGCGCTTGTAGAGCGCGAGAAGGGTCGATCGATCTTGGACGATGACGTAGGGTGTAGCGCAGACGGGGCATTTCGCGGGGGTCGATTTGTTGAGTTGGTCGGTGGTGACCCATGCGAGGAGGCACTGGAGGAAAGGAGTGCGCGCGAGAGTGAGTGTAGGTTTTAGTGTGAGGTAAGGGATGCAAGAGAACTGACATCGGTGTGAGCGACGAGCGTACAGTCGCACGCATGAACGAAATCCCTGCCCGGTGTCTCGGACGAGTCCTCGTAACAGACCCAACAGGTCTTGGTGCTCATATCGGCGATGCCTCGAAGGGGACCGTTTGCGGCGGTTGATCGCGTGGAGGTGGAGGGTGCCGAGGATGATGACGAGGCCGGCGGCGGGGAGGTCGCCGATGGGGAGGTGCTCGTCGAGGACGGTGGCGGTCGGCTGCCGGGGACAATGGTGGGGGGTAGGTGTGCACGACTTGAATGCTCGTATGTGATCTCGGTGTTGGTAGAATCCGCTGCTACGGCTGGCTCGTGATCATGATCCTGTTCTCCTTGCTGCTGTTGCTGTTGCTGTTGCTGTTGCTGTTGCTGTTGCCTCCTCGCACGATCGACCGACCTAGCGCTCGCCCTCGCGGATCCACTGCTCATCGAATCGAATGGGATCCCATGCTCATTCCCGATCGCACTCGATGTCGCCGAAAGAGACGTTCTCGCATCTTGCGACGACAAAGAGAGGATACGGTCATCGTCGTTGTGGTCGTGGTGGTGGTGGTGGGGGGTGCTTGGGAGGGCGAGGGGGACGACCCGGTGGAGGATGGGAGGGGTGGTCGTAGAAAGGGAAAGGCTGCACCGGAGGAGGACGACATGGGCTGGGGATTGGGGGGGGGGGGGGGGGTGAGGGGAGGAGCGGAAGGGGAGCGGAAGGGGAGCGGAGAGCGATGATCGAGAAGGGGGGGGGGTTGGTTCGACCAGATCGATTTCCGAGTTTCTAATCCAAAGTTCCAACGCGTATAATGAGCCCATAATGACTGCACGCGCCTCGTCCGTTCGGATGCGACGTCAACGCTCAACGTTCAACGCTCAGCGCTCAGCGCTCAGCTCCACACCCCTTTGCCGCTCTCCTCACGTGCATCCCACAAACACCTACACACCACCCCCCACCTCCGCACCGACTCGGATCATCGCACCCACCCACCCACGATGCCCGCCGCCGCCACGCCCGAGCTACTCGCGGCCGAACCGGGGGGGCCTAAACACCATTGGAGTCTCGACGTGGCTTTCCCAGGTCAGTCCGTCCTCCACAGTTGTGTACGTTCCTGCGAGAATGTACTCAGAAACTCGGTTGACGATCCTCGACAGTGTATGCGATCGCGTTCATCGATGATGAGACGATCGTGTTGGCCGGCGGTGGCGGTTCGTCCAGGACGGGGGTCAAGAACAGGTTGGTCAGTTTCATCCTCTATATTCGCAAGTTGTAACTCTCTATCAAACCATCATCTCCCGGTCTAGGCTCCTCTCTCTACATCACCTCTTTTGGAGCTCGCCTTGATCTCGTTCCGATGACGTGCAGTTAGTACTCTCCGCGCTGACTCCCTCTGCAAACAGAGCATGCACAAGATCGACCTCGAAAAACGTCAATTCCACCTCAAGACCGAACACGACTTGTCCAAGACCGAAGACGCGCCGATGACGATCGTCGTTTTACCCGAGGTCCGTTCGGAGACAGAGAGATGGGAATCAGCGAATAGCTGATCGTATTTGTGATCAGACGAAATCATTGGTAGCGGGCATCAATTCGGATGCGCAGACGCTCGCACGGGGGAAGAATGAGAACCTCAGAGTTTTCACCTATTCCGACAAAGAGTGACTTTACTCTCGTGTCCTCAACCCCCCCCCCCTCCACTCCCACAGCTGACCCTAATCGTCACCCCATAGGATCATTTACGAGAAACGAAAACAGATCCTGCGCTCGACTTCAGAAGATCATTACCAAAAAGTGACCGCTTTCGCGAGGACCAAACCTTACCTCCACATGATCGCGTTGGGTTCAACGGACAGTCAATTCTCCGTGTTGACCTTTCCGGAACTGCAAGAGGTTTTACCGACGATCGAGTACGATGGTGACGAGATGTTCGATGTCGATTTTCATGATGATGCTACGATGGTCAGTTTTGGGGGGGTAAATTCAGGAGCCTTTGGGGAACAGACTGATTCAATCCCCGCCCTTATCTCGAACCCTTCGATAGGTGCTCGGAGCCAGCGCCAACAAACTCTGCATCTGGCCTACCCAAGTCCCCGAGGATAAATCCGAACCCCTTTCCGCTCTACAAGTGATCGAACGCCCGATCGTAGCCCCCCATCTCTCGTGCACGTTCCGCGCCGCCAAATTCGGTCGGAAACTCACCAAAGATCATATCTACACGATCGTCAATTCGACCCCCAAAGTGAGGAGTCGTAAGCCGGGCAAGAATGATAAAAAGAGTTTTGTGAGCGTTTGGGACGCGAAAGAGTGGAAGTTGAAGAGGACGAGAACGGTTAGCATGAAGCCGATTACGGCGTTTGATATCAGGTTAGTTTCCAGCGTTAAGGACGAGTGATCGATAGCGCGGGCTAGAAAAAACTGATGTGATGATGGGTGAGATAGTTTGGACGGAACGATGTTGGCGTACGGTTCTTCGGACCTATCAGTAGGAGTCCTAGACGCTCAAACACTTAGACCGATCGTCACCATCCTTTCCGCGCACGGCTTTCCGGTCACTTCCTTACAATTCTCCCCTTCCGGACACCTCGTCGTTTCAGGCTCAGCGGATAATTCGGTACGGATCATTCGTGTACCGCCGAGGGATAAGAGGGGGACGGAAGGGAGGGGTTGGAAGATGGGGTTCGTGTGGACGTTGGTGGTTTTGGCACTGGCGGTTTGGGTTCAGGGCGTTTGGGTCGGGCAGGGGGTGAGGGAGGAGGAGGGGAGGGGGAGGGGGGCGGCGGTGGGCATGTAGCGCTCGAGGGTGATGAAAAGAGATTTGAAGCCAGCGTGGTGTTCTTTGCTGTATAGTCTTCCGTTCTTCCCAGTGTTGCATCAAAGGTGCTTTGCCATTTACAATTTGCAGTGCGTTCGAAAAGAGTGAGGGCCAAGAACGGCCTCCAAGTTCGAGTCAGACGACGCGCACGCTCACGACGACGTTACCTCGTGACCGACCGCTTGCGGCGCGCTTTCACTCTTACACCGCGCTCTCGCCACCTTTCAGCGCACTCCCTACTTCACATCGACAAAGCGAACAAAGGTCATGTCTTCCCCACCCAATCTACTCGCTGGATACCCCGCTTCAGGTCAGTGCCCATAAAGCACTTTTAGTGGTCCGTCTAAAGTTGTGGGAACGAGGGATGACGGTGGCGGAGATCGATTGTGGGGCAGGAAGGGGAGGCGGAGAGGAAGGAAGGTGGGGGTGGGGTTTTACCGCCTTTGCGCGGGAACGACGTCTGGTAGTTCGATTGCGGAGGGATGCAAAGGAGGTATGAGATTCACAGGTTGTGGCGAGAAGGTTTACTGATACACACTTTTTTTTGGCGTTTGAATTATCATCTTTTGGGGCTGGGGAAACACGTAGTCAAAGTCGGTGGAGTGCGCCATGTCGATTTGAGTAGTTCACCACCGAAGCATCTTCAGTGAGTTTCGAAACTTTGACCGATTCAATGTACCCTTTTTCGTCTCCCAACGAGAATGGATCGGAAAGGAGAGGGGTTTATGGGAGAGAACTTAACCGAGCTGATTGACCGCCTCGATTTATCATATTAGTTTCAAACCCTCCTCCTCTACCCCCGGCGGCGGCGGTAAACGAAGGACTTCGATGAGCAAGCCTTCCACTGGAGCTGCTCAAGAGACGGAGCAAGGCGCCAAAGAGGGACACGAGACCTTGAAGGTCGATAAGGAGGGGGAAGGCGGTTATCCGAGGCCTGAGTGAGGGGGTGGGCTTGGATGGATTGTCATTGATCGACTCGGAGGGGGTTGGCAGGGTTTTCCGAGCACAGTGGGGTGTTTGTGGTGTCGTGCGAGATCCGGTTCCTTGTAATTCTAGTGATTTGTCAGCATTGGCTTCCCTGAACTGGACCGAGAATTTAGACGATTTGCCCGAGTCGATCGCCAAACTAATTCGGAACGGGCTAAAAACGAACGAGCCTTTCGTTCTTGACATCATCCCAATCAGCAGTGGGCGCGCTCGAATCGCCCGTTTCTTTCTTTCAACCACCACATCTTCATCCCAACGCACCCAATCGCGCATCATGTCGGACAAGGAAACCTTGTTATCGATGGGATTCTTTGAGGCGCAGGTAAGGTCGAGCAATACCTAACCTATACGACGTTGTTCGAGAAGAGGTGCTGACGTATGCGCTCCACCTCACCCCTTTGTCGTGTTCCTGATTGGGCCTGCAACGCGTGGTCATGCTCCTCAATCATCTTGTCTCGAATCAAACATCGTTCCCTCCTCCCCTCACCCACAAACACCTTCCCACACCTCGTCCAACCCACCTCTCAACAGGTGATCAAAGCCCTTTCAGCGACGAAGAACGCCGGTCTTTCCCAAGCGTTGGACTACATCGATGAACACGCGAATGAACCGAGCGGGTTCTGGGACGTACCATTCGAGCAACCGGCGAAGCCTACGACGGGGGTTGGGGAACATGAGGAAGGGGACGAAGAAGGGGCGCCTGGTGGGGCGGCGGAGGCGAAGGTACGTTTTAGGGTGTTATGTTATCAATTCTAAGAGGAGGGCTGGGATTGAAGACTATGTTTATTTTCTTGCCGTCATTCTTACACTGCTCCTCATGCTCCCACATTATCCTCTTGTTCGCCCCCCTCGGCGAAAAACTTTACCCCTCCCCCATAGAGTCTGACCTGCACCGACTGCGGTAAACGCTTTCGCAACCGCGCGTTGGCAAGCTACCATGGAGAGAAGAGTGGGCATGAGAACTTTGAAGAGGTGCGTAGTTGGACGAGGGGTCGGGTTGTCGAGTTAGAGGAGGGTTCGCAGAGTTTTAGGCGCTGATTCGCCTTGGTTCGTTCTTGGGTTTGTTTGTCGTTGTATTCGTTCGTTCGTTTGGTTCGATGACTCGGCAGTCGACGGAAGAGATTACCCCCTTGACTGAGGAAGAAAGAAAGGCCAAACTAGCCGAGGTGGGTTACGCTTATGGGAATGAGCTCTTTACCCCGCCCTTTTTCCCTTTCCTCTCGCTAAAGCTCTTCCCATCCTGCACCTCCCGATCACAGCTACAAGAACGTATGCTCGCCAAGAAGAAACTTCAACAAGCCAAAGATCGAGAAGAAGCTTTGAAGAATGATGCGATTCGTCGTAAAGCCGGTAAAGACCAAGCGCAAATCAAGGCCGATCTACAACTCAAAGCGGCGCAACAAGAGGCTGCGCAAAGGGCCAAGGATAAATTGGAGGATGCGAAAGCGAGGGCGGCAATCAAAGCGCAGATCGAGGCGGATAAGAAGGCGAGGTTGGAGAAGGCGAAGAAGGAGAAGGCTTTGAGGGAGGGTGGGATCGTCGATGTGGGGGAGGAGGCGGCGGGAATCGCGGCGGGGACGAGTGCGGGTGGGCTCAAGAGTGCGAGTGCGCCCGTCAAGACGTATGATCAGACGAGGTTGCAGATTAGGGTACCGAATGGCCCGCCGTTGGTTCATGCCGTAGCTTCGACGGAGACGTTGGGCACGGTGGTCGAGTGGATCAAGGGGCAGACGGGCTTGGATGAACCGAGTTTGAGTTCGGCATTCCCAAGGTGAGTGCTGCAGTCATGGTATGATGCGTTAGTTGAAGATTTTGCTGGGCCTGACTCTTTGTGTTTGCTTGGCGTGGTCTTGTAGAAAAACTTACTCGCCGAGCGAGTACGGCAAGACGATGTCCGAGTTGGGTCTGGCGCCTTCGGTAAGTTGAGGTTCTTCACTTCCTCGAGGTCGAGGAAAAGACTGGTTCACTGACTTTGGAATGAAATCTTCTTCGTGATCTCATCCTATGATCGCTCGCATCTACACCCTCCTAGGCCGTTCTCATGGTCGGCTGAGTGATTAAACAAAACACAATTGTGAAGGTTCGAGCAAACTTTCCGGGTTGCCCCACGTGTGTTGATAGGTCCTTTCGTCTGGGTATTGTTTTTTCTCTTCGCAATTCACAACCGTAGTGCACCCAGAGTCCCAGATCTTTGTACAATGGTGGACTGAAAGACAGCGACGAGTCTGCCGCCGCTGAGTTGATCGATCACGTGCCAGCTCGGCAAGCGGTCCAAGCGCAAACTGGCGGAAAGTGACGACCCACTTCGCAGGCCTCGATTCGACTCTCCGCTCCCGACACGATCACTCGCAACTTTGGACCGTGTAGGAGCCTCGTAACTGTCCACGAGCCTACCCGGACAGTGATCTCATCAAAGTCCCGATCTACCGTCCGTAAGGTGTGTTTCAACATTTTTTCTTTACTCACTCTCTTTGCTCCGCTCCTGCGCGATCTCCTTCGTGAGCCATTGGCATCGATCGCACTACTCTGAACTGACCCCAATTTTTCGCAATTCATTACAGAAACCACACTACTATAGGTTGTGGTTCATCTCGCTCGGACTTCCCGCATCAACGTCCCAGACCCCGCCAAGATGTTCAACATCAAGCGCTTTGACCCCAACTCGACCACCGTCCCGAATGGAATTCGAACCGTCTTACCCTCGGAAGAACGAGTCTTGGATGATGTCGCACTCAAGATTCAACAGAGGAAGAATAAACGAAAAGCTTTCCTAGTCGAGGAGGATCCCCCTTTAGATCCAGTGGCTTCGACATCGAGTTTGAGATCCGCGCCGTCGTTGAGCACGAAAGGTGATCAAGGTTTGGGCTCTAAAGGGATGGATGAGGTTGGTGAGGGGGGATGGAAACCTGCACCTGGTGAATCACCTGCGGAGAGGGAGAAGAGGTTGAAGAGGGAGAAGAGGGCGGCCAAGTTCGGATTCGATCCTTACGCTCGAACTCGACCGAGCGAAACGAACGAAGATTCCACTTCGATTTATCAAGCACCTTCAACGACACCGCTCTTACCGATCGGTACGACGGGTATTACGGGTGAATGGAAACCTGCTCCTGGGGAGTCACCAGCGGAGAGGGAGAAGAGGATCAAGAGGGAGAAACGAGCGGCCAAATTGGGATTACCGAACCCTTCGCTTGGTGAATCGAATTCGAATCACTTGGGTCAATCGATCAACTCGCGTTTCGTTCCACCCCCTTCTTCGTCGGCGTTCCCAAAGTCGTATCATACAGAAGAAGGAGCGCCGCAAACAGAAGGGGCAGGTCTTTCGACCATTCATCCTGATCGATTGGCCGCACCGGCACTAGCGAGGGAGCTCAAGGCGAAGAAACCGCAGGCGACGACACCTGCCAGGTTGAGGTATTTGAAGAAGAAAAAGTTGAGGGCAAAGGGGAGGAAGAGGGGGATGGCTTCCGGTGCGGGCAAGAAGGATGGTGTGGGGTCGACGGTGGGGGGAACTAGTATCGGGGGAACGAGCGTGGCGGGGACTGAGGTGGGGAGTGATGAGGAGGAGGGGGAGGAAGACGTAAAGGAGGACGGGAAGACGATGGAGAGGAAGATGGAAAAGGATGAGGAGAAGCTGAGGATCATCGCGGAGAAGAAGGCCGAACGCAAAGCCAAGAGGGACGCGAAAAAGGCCGAGATTCGGAAACTCAAAGCAGAGGGAGGGGTCGTCCCGCCTACGAAACCAAGGGTCATTGCGGCGAAACCCAGCTCACCAGTGGCTTCCGCTGTGAAGACGGGTTCGGTCACGCTCAAGGTTGTCCCCGAGGTCCCCGAGGTCGTCGAGGACAAGCCTGCTGAACCGACAGAGGAGGAGCTTGAGAAGCGCAAAGAAAAGGAGGCGCGCTTGGCGCGCAAGGAGGCGAAACGACAAAAACGAGCGACGCGACACACCGTCGAAGAACCCACGCAAGACGAGGATATCGAACTCGAAGGACCACCGACATTGATCCCTACGGCTCATAAGGTGGAACAAGATGTCCCGATCGCGGTCTCGGACAAACCCATCCCGATGGAAGCGGATCCGGTACCTCAACGAGCGGTGGAAGAGGAACCGAGCCCTTTGTTGAGGTTACCGAGCGCGACGCGACCTGCACCACCGAGCAAGAAGACGTTGAGCGAGCTCAACGTGCACGAGAGTGTGAGAAATAAGAGGATTGTCGATCCGGAGAGGAAGGTCAGGTTCGATGATGAGACGCTGGGGTTGGCGGAGAGGGGGAGGAAGAGGTTGGCGGAGATGGGGTTAACAGAGGCTTTTGCCGGTGAGACTCCTGAGCGTAGTAGTCGAAGGTGAGCCACAGCTGCTGACGAGATCTTCTTGATTTGTTTCAAAGTGCAAACTGAGGTGCTGCCGCTACTCTTGCCACCTGGGGAACCCAATTCGCTGTACTCGCCTTTCCGACCCCCGCGAGACGTGTGTGTCTCGGCTCCGACGGGTAGCGGAAAGACGCTGAGCTACGTCATTCCCATCGTCGAGGTGAGCTTGTCCCCTTCGCACGTGAGGTAACGCGCACTGATCACTTTCTTTCCTTCCGATTAGACCCTCGCACCCCGCATCGTCACATGTCTCCGTGCCCTCATCGTCTTGCCCACCCGAGACCTCGTAGGCCAAGTGCGAGAAACCTTCGAAGCGTTCAGCAAAGGCCTCGGACTCAAGATCGGCACCGCCACAGGCCAACACTCTTTCACGCACGAACAAACCTCGCTCGTAGGCGAGAACGCTTCAACAAGTTTTTTGCAAGGTGGTTCGAGTTTGGTCGACATTTTGATCGTCACTCCCGGTCGATTGATGGATCATCTCAGGTCCACACCGGGGTTCTCGTTGCAGCATTTGAGGTACCTCGTTGTCGACGAGGCGGATCGGTTGCTTACGCAGTCTTTCAATGAGTGGTTACCTGCGGTGTTGGCGGCCTTACACCCTACCCCATCGACGACGAGAGCTTCTATCGAGCCCTCCTCGCGCTCGGACCGAGCCGACATTCAAGCGCCAGCATGGTGGGATGCCGAAACCGGACGCACGTGTTCAGAACTCGACGTTCGCTCCGTCTCCTCATGTCAAAAACTTCTCTTCTCCGCGACCCTTTCCCGTGACCCAGCCAAGATCGACTCCCTTCAACTCCATCGACCCCTCTACATTTCCGTCGAAGACGCTCTCGACCCTCACGCCGAAGACGAAGCGATCGATCAAGAATTGAAATTCACCTTCCCCGCTTCGTTGAAGGAACAAATGATCATTTCACCCTCGACGCATAAGCCGTTGTATTTATTGCACTTGTTGCATGGGATCAAGGTCGAGGCGGCGTTGTGTTTCACTAAATCGGTCGAGGCGGCGAATAGGTTGGCCAAATTGGTCGAGTTCTTTGAACAGGCTAGGAAGAGCAGAGGTATTGGAGAAGGGGAGGGTGAGGAAAAGTCGCCAGTCGTAAAAGCTTATTCGAGTGATTTGGCACCGGTGGAAAGGATGAAATTGTTGATGGCGTTCAAGCAGGGCGAGATTCAAATGTAAGCTTTCCATATCTCCCCCTTGCTCCACGCTAGTTCGCTGACCTAAACGAGTCGACCTCTACCTAGGCTCATCTGTTCCGACCTAATCTCCCGCGGTATCGACCTCCCTCACGTCAACCACGTCATTTCGTACGACATCCCCGCCGACATGCGTAAATACGTTCATCGAGTAGGTCGTACCGCTCGAGCCGGTAAAGCAGGTAACGCTTGGTCCTTGATCGAAGATCCCGAAGTCGCGCCCTTCAAAGCGATCATGAAAGCGGCGCAACATTGGGAACGGATCAAGAGGGTAAGGGTCAAGGATTCGGATGTGGAACGCTTCGTAGAGGATTATCAGGTCGCTCTGGAGAAACTTAAGAGTTATTTCGCGACGGGTCAGGCGGCGCGAAGGGAGGTTTGAGGGGGTCTCAAGTACGATAAGAGGGGTTTTTTGAGAATGCAATATGTAACAGAGGGTGAAGGTGCGTTCGACTAAAGTGTGTATGAAGAAAGAGACCAACTAAGGAGCGAACGGACAGGATAAGAACGAAAGTGCTATGCGAAAGGAAACGCAGTTGAAGGGGGTAACTGTAGTTGAAAAGGAGAACGAACGACGAAATGGAAGAGGTCGAATTAAAGTGGAACCCAAGACGAAAAACAGATGCTAATTGAAAAACCAAGAAAACACGGATAAGAGGGAAAAAGGGATTGACGCCTAGGTTTCGAAGAAAGCGTCCGAATCGGCCGTCTTGAACGAGGTAGCGGTCTCGGCGATCGAATAATCCGAGGCACTACTGGGTAGAGACGCAGGTGGGTGATCGAACGAGTGGGAGTCCTGCTCAACTTCTTCAGCAGTGGTCGCTTCGACGGTCGTGGCTGGGCTGGGTTGGAGGATCGATAAGTCGGGTTCGACGTCCAATGAGGGTTCTTTGTGGCCTGCGAAAAGAGGCGGCTTGGCACGAGGGGTGCCGTTCGAATCGGCGATGAAGGGGTCGTTCCCTTTGATGGGTGTAGGAGGAGCGACGTTCATCGAGGAAGGCGAGGTAGGGGAAGCGACTTCACCAAAGTCAAGCTGAGGAGGATGATGGTCAAAGACGGCTGTCGAATCCGGCGTAGGGTCCGTCGCGAGAAGTGGAGTCGAGCATTCCTCCTCGAGCACGGGCGTAGGGGATGGAAGTGGGGAAGGGAGTTGGTCGAGCGTCTTGGGGGCTTTGACGGCGAGGTGTTGAGATTCCTGAGGTTGGGGAGAGGCACTGACACCACTCGCGACGGCGACGGCTGCGGCATCCCCAGCGACGGTGGCGATGCTCGCTCCTTCGGCCAGGGTCGCGATCTTGGAAGGCATCTTCAACGACCTACGCGCCAGAGTGGGCGACTCGGGCGAAGAGCTTAGAGGCGATGCCATCCCACCACTCTCACTCCTCGTCATACCCGGGAAGCTCCCGCTGATCGAACGACGAATGGGCGATTCGACACTCGCCTCCGCCTTGGCCCTCTCGGCCTCGAGTTCCAAAACCCTCGCACGAACGGACGACACAGGCGTAGGCACCTTCGTCTCCCTGTTCCTGTTCGAATTGCTTAGCTTCTCTTCATCCTTGAGTTGACGTAGTTCACGTTGGGTCTTCTTCTCTTCCTCTTTTTCGAGCTTGGCTTGTGCTTTCTCCGCTGAGGTCTTGCGGCGTAACATGTCGCTCATACCGCCGAGGAAACGCTTCGACGTCGTCGAGCCGGGCGATGAGTCCTTCGAGGGGGTGGCCCCGATAGTTGAGCTTGAAGCTTGAGACAGCGTACGGACGCGCATCACCTCGGACTCGAGGACGCTAAGCGAGTCGCCGCAGCTGGAGGGATTCGAAGAGTCTACTCCAGCTGTGTCATCAATACAAGCGGATCAGTCTACTGGGTTCTGAAGCGACTTGACCCGCCGACGCATGACTTACCTTCTTTTTCAACCATTTCGGACTGCTCATTCACCACAGGTCCTTCCGCCGGAAGTGCGACCGAGGACACAAGTGATGTAGTTGCTTCCGTTTTCGAGACAGTCTCAGCCTTTCGATCGCTCAACGCAGCCACGTCGACACCTTCCACCGAAGCAGGACGAGCGACACCGATCTCTTGTCCTGTATGATCACCGTGAGTAGGGTTGACACTTCCATCATGAACCGCGGAGAGGCTCGATACCGATTGAGGGTTCGGGTTCCCTTGCTGATTGCCGATCTGACCACCTTCTAGATCGTCATGAGCGGGGTTGCTGCGTTGGTGAGGAACAGGAGCCTCAAGATCCTCGACGCTTTGGGAATGCGGTCCCTCGGTCTGCTCTCCCGCCTGATCGCCATGAACAGCGTTCAAACCGTTGTGAGGTGCGAGCGCTTCTTCAGCGCGAAGACCCGGTACGACAGGGTTTTCGTCGTTGGGTGCATCGCCAAGTTTCTTGAGGGCCTCGATAATCGAGTCGTCGGCGGTGCTGGGTGGGAGAACGGCGGTCGGATCTTCCGAAACGGCTGGGGCAGGCGGCTCGACTACCTCCGCTTCAGGTTGTAGCTCAGAAGTCACCTCGACTTTTGCGCGATCCTCTGAGAGTTCGGGTGCTTCGTCAACGACGATAGTAGGCGCAGGAGTGAGGACGGGTGGTACCGTCTCAGCCTCAACGATGGGTTCGACTTGGGTATCAGTAAGGGTAGGTTCTTCAATGGTCGGAGGGGTTGGTTCCACAGTGTCTTTGACAGGGACACCGGTCGCCTCGGGAACTCGTCGAAATTGATCCCCCACCGTCGTGGTCGTTTCAGGGTCAACTGATGCCATCGAACTTTGCGCCGGCTCCTTTTCCGGACTCGTAGCAACAACCACCACCGCCGCCGTCGTCGTCGTCGCGCCAGACGCTAGCATCGCTGTCGCCTTCAAATCGACCGAGTTCCCCCTCGCTTGCTCCACGATCGTTTCCGGCTGAGGCGACGTCATCGATTTCTTCCCCACCGAGATTCTCGATTGTCTCGGTGAGGTCACGGGAGAAGGCGCCGTAGGAGTAGAATGTCCACTTGTCGATCCACCATCTTTCCCGCTTCCAGATCCAAATCCAGATCCGGATCCGGAGAATAGTTGACTTGCCCTTCTCCACCTCTTCGAAAGTGTAGATTCAGCGACCGACACGGACCTAGTAATACCTTTAATCGAAGCGGAGGATGAAGAATTAGTCGTTCTTGAGAGCGGTCGAAGTTCGATCAATTTCTCGGTGATGAGAAGATGATCGATCTTGGTTTCGAGCGAGCTGACGAGGTCCGTTTGAAGTTCGGCGATGAGGAAACTGGGCCAGGAGGAGCAGATCCCGGGGTCCGAGAGGGTCTCGAGCCATACGTCGGCAAAGTCATCTTCGATTTGGGTGAGTGATAAATTCAACAAAGATCGAAGTGGCTTGATGGACGTGGAAGAAGAATGGACACGAGAGGGCGAAGAAGCCTTAACGGGGGTGCGTTGCCCCATTGACGATCGACTGTCCTTGGCCTTGCCACCCGTCGTCTTGGCGCGTAGACCATCGCCGGTGCCTTCACTCAAATCGACCAACCCAAACTCGTTCGCAGGGACGGTATCGCTGAACCCGGTGGAAGCGAACTCGCTCCAGTTCGGAGTAACGATCCGTGAAGCTTGTTGAGGGGCCGTCGAAGGGCGGTTTGAGAAGCGGTTTGGCGCTCCGGAGAGTTGGGAAGGCGATAAATGGGTGACGGAGCGATTAGGGAAACTGCCGGAGACGGGGGTTGTGAGGTTCGAGAAATCGAATCGAGGTAGTGGAGAAACGGATTCAAAGCCGTGCGAATAGGAGCGTTGACGACCATGCTGAGGGCGTGCGTCATCGGACAAAGGAAGCGTTGACCACGTAGACGATCCACGATCGAGCCCGATCAATCCGAGCACTCGCCTCGTTTCGTCCGACAAGATCGCGATCGGTTCGCCGTCGTTTTTCGCCTCTTCGATGATCATCTTCCATACGTCTTTGGTGCCTTGCTCAACATCATCCAACTTCGGATCATGCATGGCCTCGAAGGCGTCCACGAGAATATCGACCGGATCCCTCCTCTTGATCCCACCCGTCGACAAAGCCTGTCGCCCACCTGCACCGCCACCTGTACCCAAAGCGACGACGAGGCCGGTCCTCTGATCATTAACTTCAACAGCCATGACCCTACTCCACACCTCCGCCTTCACCTCGATCTCCACCTTGATGACCGACTTGAGTTGACTCTTGACGACCCTAGGAGGAGGTGAAGGGTACGCCTCGACCAACTCCCTCAATCTCTCCGGGAGATCCGGTTGCGAACGAACGTAGGCTCTCAAACATCCCTCGAGGGCGTTACCGGCGTTTTGCCAGGTGGTGTAGAGTTCGGACCAATCGGACCAGGCTTTACCACGGGGCGCTAGACCGAAGAGATAGATGCCGAGTTGGCGAGAGAGACGATGGGCGGACATGGCGTTGAGTTCGGTAAAGGCCGCGACGGCTTGCATGACTTCGAGGAGCGCGGTGAGCAGATCTTGTGAGGACGGAGGGAGCGAAGGTAGTAAGAGGGTCGAGAAGGCCGTCGTAGGATGTTTTGCGACTTCGGATGCGAGCATAAAGTTGTCGTACCAGGCCAGGGGTTGGGGTGAGGGTTTGCCCGCGAACGAAGTCGAATAAACGAGGTGCCGAAGACCCTATCGTAGCACAAGTAAGGAGCCATCAGCTCTATCGACCGTCCCGCATGCATTTTGTAGAACGTACCCATTTCAATACGCCGACCACGTCATGCACATTCGCATACTTGATCTCTTCCTTGAACGCGTCCAACTTGGCCCCTTTAGTCTTTCCCCCACCGACCCTGAACAAACCATTCGTGTTCCTGGGTTGATCCGCAGCTCGATGAACCGAAGATCGATCCAATGCGAAAGCGTAAAACAACAAAGCCAATCGATCGATCTTGAGCCTCGATTCACCAATACGATAAGGTCGGAACAGGCCCAATGTGGTCAAACCTCGTTCACGAATGACGACACCGCATTCCTTGAGGAGGACGATCACGTCTTCAACGGTCAACATCGCTCGACGAAGTCTCTTCTGATCGTCAACGTTCAGGGTGAGGTCTCGTTGTTGGAGATCGGAATGGGAATCATGTTCGGTCAAGGTCGCGCGTTCGGAAGCATTCTCGTCACTGTCGTCGAGTTTGACCCAGGGTGTCGTCTCGGTACTACTTCGCACCCCCGCTGCACTCGTCGAGATCCTAGGCGCCAATGGAGAGGTAGGCAGCCCCGTCGCTAATGCGGCTTGATGGATCGTCGTCCCATCATCCTCGAGCAAGTTGACCGATGGCAAGTCAAGAGGAGGAAGCGGGTTCGCCGAAGCCAGACTAGGCGAACCGGGAACCGCTAGGACTGCGGCGGTCTGAGCCGGTGTTTGGTGGCGGGTACTCGCTCTAGGTAAGCGGATGAAACTCTTGCTACTCGAAGACGAGCTCGAGGGGTTTGAATTGGCGCGGATCGATTTGGTCGGGGAGCTCGAAGGCGTCTTGCGACCACTGTCTTTGTCACCGGAGCCATTATTGGAGGGACCACCGGCACCTGTGAGCCGAGCGAGGAACGAGACCATCCAACTATCCGTTCTCGTCTCGATCTATGGGAGGCACGGGGTATGCTGACGAAGATGAGTGGGGGGAAGACTGGGGTCAGCTGTTGAAAAGTAAAGTGAGCGGCGTCGACGTGGTTTGGCTGAACTGAACTGGGCGCTGGGCGCTGAGCGCTGAGCGCTGAGCAGGGGTCTCCTCTCGAGCCGTGAAGCAGGAGCCTCCTCCTCCGCAACTGGAAGCAGTAGTGCCCACGTCGAACAGCCCGAGTCCCGGTGAGCGACACAAGATGCTGCGACTCATCGAAGATCAAGACCCGTCGCAGCGTGTCAAGTCCTACTCTCCTGGGGTGGGGGTCTCGGATGTGGCCCATGACGACGACGACGACGACGATGACGACGTGGTGGTGGTGGTGGGGCGGGGGCTCGCCCGCACTCGCACGGTCGAATGTGGTACACCGTAAGCACAGCACCTTTCCCCCTACAGCCCATGACGACCCAACACGATCCCATAGAACCACACCCGCACCCAAGAGCACCCCGTAACCTCTCATCTTCCCCTCCCTTTCACTCCTCCACGACCCACGGCAGCCGCCCCCAAGTCCGAGAGAGACACGTGAGAAGCCTCCGCTTACACCGAGATTGACGAAACTCAACGCGGAGGAACGCCGGGCCCTTATTTGATCTTACGCACCTTGGAGAACGAAGCTGATGAACCACTCACCCTTCTCGACACGATCGAAATACACCCGATCCGAAAGAATCCCAAGGCACGTTTTTTTTTCCGGAACCCCAAGAGCTCGTTGGAGCCTTTCGAGAAAGATGAGGTTCGAGTCGGGTCAAAACGAATGGTCTTGAGCCAAGAGGGGGGCGCGCTTCGTGGTCGCGCTAAAAAGGGAAGATCGAGGTACGACATCTTTTCAGGGGGAAAAAGGGCTCGTGCGCAAAGGTGTTCAACATCTTGGCGTCCTCTGAAAGAAGAGTGGATAACAACAGGTAAAGAAGGAAACTACAAAAATGATAAAAGCGCCCTTCTTGGATCTACGGCTCTATGGGTCTTGAACAAAACCCTTCTATCAAACCTCGACCTAACTCCGACTCGACCTAACTCCGACCAGCTGAAAATGATCGCGAAGTCTCCGGCCCCCCTTCCTCCAAATCATTCCGACCACCACCACCACCACCACCACTAATCAAACCCATCGATCCCGGTGAACGAGCCAATAAATACTGCGTTCCACCTAGAGTCAAACTCAATTTCCGACTCGCTTGTTTAAGCGCTTTGGTGGGGGAATGTCCCAGACTTCCGAAACGACTTGTGCTCGTGAGCGAAGAAGGGTCTATGATGGAGGGTACTTCGAGGGATATAGGATGGGGGAAGTCGAGTGGTGTGGAGGGGGTGTAGGTTTGGGTTGCGTGAGAGGCGTTCGTATAGGTCGGGTGGGATTTGCCTTCTTCTTCAGAGTGGTTCTCTTCGGAAGGCGCATCACCGGTCAAGAGGTAGACGCCTGGGACAAGGCCGAAGGAACGCTTAGTCTCTCTTCAACACCTGTCATCCACGAGATCACTCACCTGCACCACAAATCACACACCCAAAGATAAAATTGAAAAAGGAAGAGAGGTCGACGCCGTCGAATTCTCGATAGAGCACCGCTGAGCCGACTGGTGCCAGATACGATGATATGAAATACTCAGTGAAGAGCTCCCGCACGCTGAGAGGGATGAGAAACCTACCGATAGTCGACAAAGCGAACGAGGTGAACTGGATAGGGATCACGACCCTCGAGTCGAACCTACGGGCGCACAAAAAGCTTTCTGATCAGCGATAACCTTTCTAGAAAGGGGAGGGGTAGTGGCAGAGCGCACCTCTGCAAGGCCTTGTTGATAAAGTTGATCTGCAACATCGCCGAACCAGCCAAGACGAGGAGAAGGGGATAGGTGATCCAATACTCGAACGTTTGCAGAAAGAGGATGTTGAGGAACGACGAGATCGCTTTCGTCGACAAGACGGTGAAAGCACCCTAGAGGAACAATCAAATTTTTAGCCCTAGACCCGGTGAGCTGGGGATGGGAATTTTGGAGAAAGTGCTTACAGACAGAGCACAAATCCCCAGATCGATCATGACGTATCGATCGCCGTATTTTGATCTGGACAGAACGACAAGCACAGCGATCGCGGCGATGGAGGCGATCGAGTAGGCGAGGAAGAGAGGCGTCGAGATCGCAGCGACCATCTCGGGCGGGTAAAGCTTTGAAGGGGAAGAATGCGGTTCGGATTTCAGCGGGAGCGTCAAATTGAATTCGTCGAGATTTTGCAGCTCACAAGTTTATCCTGGGCCTTGGAGGCCCATACGATCGTGACGGCGCCCATGGCCGCGAGCGCGCATCCAAAGAGGTCACGTTTTCGAAAGGGCTGTGAAGGTTTGGTCGGCGGCCCCATTAGGGAAGACCTGTGATCAAATGGTCCAGAGGAGAGGAACGGACCTCTCCACAAATCAACGGTGCCAGACCAACGTTTGCTACCAGAGCCACCGAGCCCAACTGTGTGCGTCGACGAGCCCCTCGATCAGCCCAAGAGTTTTTCGTCCCCGATTGAAGATGGAAAGATCGAACGGGGTGTTACGCACCGGGGCCACCAACGAGGCGGGGGCGAACGAATAGCTCAAAAAGTTGCCAAACTCGCCGAGGGCCAATAAGGAAAAGCCGAGGAGCCATAGGGGTGATTTGATGAACTCCTTGTCCGTACGAGGTGGGTGAGCGGGGTCGGGGTCATGCTCGTCGGGGTCTGGCTGCTCGGCGGGGTCGGATCGAGTGTGGCTCACGGTGCCATAGCTTTGAGGCCGATTGCCGTTAAAGTAGATGGTCCGGGACGAGTGTTTGCGGAGTTCGTTGGTCGGTCTCGTGGGCGGACCTGCGGCGAGGGAAGGGGGGGCACGCGGATCGGATCGAGGCAAGAGGTGAAGAAGATTCGGAGACAGGTCGCTGATCTCGGGATCGGAGATGGACCGCTCGAGTTGGGTCGGTGGGGGTAGCTCGGAGAGCAGGTGGGTGTGCTCGCCGATGGGGTTGGAGGGTGTACCAGAGGTTGGGATTGTTGGTTGGTGGTCCTGGTCGGGTTTATTGAGGGGAGAGGGGGAGGAGGAAGGTGCAGAGGGGTTCCGATGACGACGTTCGAGTCGGGTATGAGCCAGTCTGCGGGATGGAATCCAGGTCAGTGAGCAGCGCATCGGCTTTGCTGTGTGAGGTGGCTCACTTTTGAACATTCAACGCCAGCGAAACACACGTATTGCCTGCGCGACGACCGCACACGACTCAGCTGTTCGCTGTGCACCTCCGTGCGGTCGGAGAGGGAGAGGAGGTAGGACTGACCGGCCACACAGATCGCGACCCCAATCAAGGTCGACGTCCCCTGGGAGACGGTCCCTTCTCTCCAAGCGAGCACGAACGCAGCTTGCAACATCGGCCTCGACGGGTGAGGACGCCGTGAGGACGCCGTGAAGACGCTGTGAGGACGCGGTGAGGACGCTGTGAGCACCGATCGGAGCGAAACCGCCACGCGCTCAGGTTCGGTCTCACGGCGATCGGCGTCCCCGAACGGCGCGTCAGGCTAATCCTCACTTACTCGTCGCAATTGCTATTACAGATCCTAATCGCGCGTGATCGACCCGGGACACTCTCGACTCATTCGACGAGAGTGTTAGGGTTGTTCGAGGCCAGAAACACCATGGCCGCTGCTACGACACCTTCCACATCAGCTACTGAATCCAATTTCCGTCAAGGACTATCCGGATGTACGTCCCCTCCCTCTGTATCGTGTACGGTCCGAGCCTCTCTACACGGCAAACTGACGTCGCTCTCCTCCCCCCCACTCCACTCCTCCGCTGCTCGCGTTCAGTCGCTTGGGCACGACCAGGTGCAGTCATCGACGACTCGGCAAACTCGACCGCGCCGACCAACTTCTTCACAAGATGGACTTCCTCCATTTCCGGCGCCATTCCCGTCCGGTCGGGTGAACGGACGAATGAGGAAGAGGCGTCAGTGAACCCCACTAGCGCATCGCCTGATCCAAGGGGCCAGCTTGCGACGAAGCAGCTGACGACGTTCCCCAAAACAGCTACTTTGCCTTGTCGAGATGGGAGCGCTTCTCCGGTTTCTTGCTCTGCACGGCAGGAGCGGCGTTGTGCTTCTTCATCGCGTTCTTTATCGGCTTGCCCTTGCTCGCTCTGAAGCCGAGGAAATTCGCCGTCAGTTTTCAAACTGCCGAGTTCCTGTCGAGCTTGAGCGCAAGCACATACTCACCGAATGCTGTACCGATCTTACACCTCCAGGTCTCGTTCTCGTTGGGCAGTGCAAGTCCAACCGTCGAAAGCTTTGCTCGAAGCGAGCCTTGCATCTCCGAGCTAATCTGACCTTGAACCCTCCTCCCCTCCTCTCGACCAAAAAACAGATCCTCTTTATGGTCGGGTAAGCTCCACTCTCCACTACGTCGCCCCTTTGTCAGAGACTCATCCCACTGTGATTCGCACCCACCCTAGCTTCGCGATCCTGCAAGGCCCCTTGGCGCACCTCAAACACATCTGCAACGCCGAACGACTCCCCTTCACGGGAGCCTATTTCGGTTCCTTGTTTTTGACTCTATATTTCGCCATAGGAGTTCGTCCAAACACCTCTTGGGGGAACACAAGTAAAACCAAAACTTCGTTGGCTGATTCCTTGTGGCTCCGACCCCCCGCTCCGCCCGAATAGAGACAAGCCTATCTACCGACCCTAATTCTCGCGATCGTGCAATGCGCCGCCCTCGTTTCTTACTTTGTCGCTTATTTCCCGTACGTCCCCCCCCCAACCCGAACCCGAAAATATTCAAAACTTCGTCGACTGCTTTCTCTCAAAGTGTATTATCGGAAGGCTGATGTTTCGCTTTCGTCGTGTACGTGCACAGCGGAGGGATGCAAACTTTACAATTCGGTTCGAGGATGGCGTTGAGAGGCGCCGGTTCGGTTAGTTGCTGCCCATCGATCCTTACCCGAGACGAGATGGCTGACTTTTCCTTCTTTGGAGTGTTAGTTGTTACCCGTATAAAAGATGGGATACGCCAGAGTCAAAACAGGTCTCGGGGTTCGGATCCGAGGTGATGAAAGCTGCTCTCAGGAATCATGGTAGGCTAGGTTCGATTGGTTTACATCCTCTTTTTCGACCCCTTTTGTCTAATCTTGTACAAAAATATAATCGAAGCCCACACCCTTACTAAGCCCAGCTCGTTTTTTCGCTGGAGAAAACTCGGGCTCCCAAAGTAAGAACCCCCCATCCCCTCCTACTACAACCACCACCACCACCACCACCCCCCTGGGGAACTAGACCCCTCCAGCGCCCATGAGGTTCATCAACTGATCATAAACCGTAAACACGATCCCACCACTCAACACCAACCTCATCAAACGAGGCGTCGCACCCTTCCAGAATCGAAACAAACCTTCCTCGGCGAAGATTCGAGCGGCGCAGTGGAACGAATTGCGGTATTCGGTTCGAGCGGAGAGCGATTGCATTCGGGTTTTGATCACGCTGGGGGGAGATTTTTTTTCCGGAAGGGGACGTGAGAGATTAGTTGGATTCTGGGTTAGGGGACCACTTGCACTTACTCTAATGGCATGGTCGTGTAAACTGTAATCACTCCAGCGACGGCACCGATCCCAAAGGTGATTCCGGCAGGTAATGTTTCCCCCGGTCGGGCGTTACCCGAGACAAAGGACTGTTGAGCAGAGAACATGGAGATTCGGGATTAGAGATTGGGTCGGGGTTCGGTATCAAGGGTTAGAGTAGACCGTACTTTGAGAGTGGAGAAACTGGTGAATCGGACTGCCGAGTTGGCCCCTTGCCTTGCAGCCTGAGCGAGAAAGGAATCAGTGAACCTGACAGATTGATACCGATCGTCGATTCTGGTGACGTACGACCGGTCCCAATCCCCTGTAAATGCCACCGATACCTTCCTCCCTGACGATCGCCATCGTACCCTGGATCAAACCGGTGTATCTCGGTTGAGCGCGTTTTTGGTCGTCGATCAATTTGGTTCTGAAATAACAGGGTGGTGAGTTGTTGCTCGGAAGGGATTGCTCGTGGCGAGGAGACTGACTTTATGGTCTCGGAGGGGGTGACGGCAAACACGGCTTCGCACATGCCTGCTCCTAAGCCAGCTGTGTAGGCAGGACAGGTGAGCGTTTGGGTATGATCCCAGAAGTAGAGACTGAACACGACCTACCCAACAGCGACCTCGACCCACTCAACTTGCCCTATTCGGTAACCGATCTCCAATCAGCTCAAACGATCCCCACCAACGGATATGCCCATGATGAACTCACCTCCCTATCGACCAACATCTTTTTGAACTTGTCATAACTGAAGAAGCGCACGCCAGCCTTGAGTGAGTTGCCGGCGACCAGAGCGCCGACACCGGAGTAGAATCCTCGGATCCCGTGGCGTGCGTAGGTGTTCTTCGCGATGCCGATGATGCCTGGTGGCTGTCGGAGGGAGGATGGAGTTTAGATCGTGGTGGTTTTGCTGGTTTGGGAAGGGGTTGGGTGGGATTGTGAACTCGCCTTTGATCGGTCGTTGAGTTTTTGGGCGAATTGAGCTTCCGTCTTGAGGACTGGGTCGCGAAATCACAGCGAGCATGAGTGCAGTCCGTTCAGGACATCGATCAAGTACCGAACGCACACTCGAAAGGATAAGTGATGGCGCCTTCGACCGCTCCGGCCGCCGCACCCGCGAACAAGGCCAATGCCGCGTTCCCCTTCTGTGAACCTCACACACACACACACACGACCACATGCAATCCAGGCATCAGCAACGTCGCACCGGGCGCCGGTGGTGGTGTTGTCAACGCGTCGTGGGAACTGACCTTTGTTGGCTTGGCGGTAGAGGTCGAAGCCATGGCTGGAACGCTGGGAGTGGGAGGTAGAGCACAGCAGAGCACAGCAGAGCACAGCAGAGTGAAGTCGATCGGTGACGCGCTCACGTGCAATTCGAAACAACTCCAACTCCGCGGCCTATGTCCGATTTGAGCAAGTGGGAATACCGCATTAGCGATCGGTTGATTAAACCCCCCTGGACGGAATTGCAAGTGTGGGGGTGGTGTCGTGTCCCTTTTGCTCTTCTCCGCCCCCACGCTCTCTCTCTCTCTCCTTTTGCAATCCCCCAATCCCTCGCCTCAACTCGATCAATGAACTCATCCTCCACACCATGACACCTCCCCTCTCCACGCGCGCACACCTCCTCTTCGTCCGCACCCCTTCCCAACCTGTGCCCCAAGATCCTTACCATTCCTTCGCGTGCTCGTCCCACTTCACGCCGCATCATCTCCCCATCCTCGAAACGACCTACCAAAACATCCCTCACCTAGCCCACCTCTTGAACGGTCCTAAAATCTACGATGGTCTGATCATCACTTCGGCAAGATCGGTACAAGCGATAGCGAAAGCTCAACGCGTCGAACCTACCCAAGCCGAAGGATTGGGATCTTTCTACCAAACCCCCATCTTCGCAGTAGGACAAGCTACTGCCGAAGCCTTGCGAACTCAACTTTTGCGACCACCACCGGAAGAAAACGTTCTAGGTAACGATGGCACGACTGGAAGTGGGGAGAAATTGGCGAGGTTCATCAGTCGGTATTTCAAAGGTGATCCTCCGGGGAGGAAATGGAAGCTGTTGTATCTCGTCGGAGATAAGAATAGGGAGACGTTGGCGAACTTGTTGGAAGTGGACGATGGCAGGTTCGAGTTGGACAAGTTGAGGGTTTATCAAACCAAGGCTTTGGAAGGGAAGCAATTGGAGAACGAGGTCGACAGGGTCGTTCAAGAGGTCGTAGGGGGGGATGGGGAACGAAACGGACAACGAAAAAGACTTTGGATCATCTTGTTTTCTCCTTCCGGCGCCAAGGCCGCTTGTCAAGAGTTTCGGAGGAGAGGGTGGATACCGAACGTCGACGACAAGGATCAAGATGGGGGATTTCAGATTCGAATCGCGGCGATTGGACCGGTCACGAGGGCCTATTTGCAAGATGACGAACGCTTAAAGGTCGATGCAGAGGCAAGGACACCGGATGCCGAAGATCTGTTGAGGTGTATTATAGAGGTCGAGGACGAGGAAAGCGGGCATGCCAAAGTTGATGACCTCGCTTTGGGTCGGGGTGGTCGAGCAGTAAATATGTGACGGTTTCGGTAGCATATAGAGGACTTGTAAATAGACAAGGTACCCTAATCACTCAAAGACACACTCTGTATATTCCAAAACCTACAGCGACTGCGCCGAATCGAGCCTCGGGCAACTGGCGAATCTATTTCGGGACAATCGACGTCACGAGCTTCGATTCTCGCTCGACCTTTGATGATCCACCGCACTTCCCACCACTCACTGCTTGCAGCCCACTCAACCTCAAGCCGATGGCCTCTTCCACCGAACAACCCGAATACGGCGACTACGAAACCGCGCTAAAGACGCTCGTCGATCAATCGGCCGGTCCTAACGAAGTCAAGAACGGACCTTCGACGACGGTGCGCGTGCAAGGCGATGAACTTGAACAAGGTCGATTGAACGTTCAGGCTCCGGCCGCGGAGCGTACGACGCACAAGTGGTTGAGCAGGTTTGTGCCAAAGTTGGAAAAGTGAGTTTAACGGGTTCATGGAGCCGAAAAAGGGGGGAGGGGAGGGGAGGGGGAGGGAGGGAGGCGTCGTCGTTAGGATGTCTCGGCGACCGCGGCTGCCTGCTCGTGGAGCATGTGGGGCTGCACCGTTGTCAGCTCACTGCAGCAGGGCCGTATGCTCGTATGCTGGCAATCGAAAGCTGGGGCGGCCCGAGCGCGAAGAGCATATAACAAACACTAAAGTGGTCGTCTACTGATATCTCCTTTTCCGGCTGTGATCGCACAGTGTAAGTCCGCGTCCCATCTTTCATCCGACAAGCGCCCCGCGCTCCGCTTGGTTTCGCGCTTCTAGAACGTATTTGTATTCGTCATCAACAGATTCCGAAAGAGCTACCTACTACGAGCATCTCCAAGCGGAGATGTCATTCTTCCTTGCCACATCGGTGACACCAACTTTCCTACTCCCAAAATCCTTCCACAACTCGCCTCGAAAGAACATTTCGGCAACTTGGTCGCCACGGCGCGGGGTGAGAACCCACCCAAGATCTGGGAATCGATGCCTATCTACGTCCGACTAGGAATGCAAGCCCTCTACCACGGTCGAGAACAAGCCCATCTCTTAGCGACCAAGAGAGTCGAATCATTCCTCCGTGAACAATCGATCAAACAAGGCGAATTGTACGATTCCCCTCAAGGAGCGTTGCAACATATTCAACAATTCGTCAAGACGTATTCGATCGATACCCAATGTCTTTTACAACCGAATTTGGAGGAGTACAGGACTTTTAACGAGTTCTTTTACAGAAAGTTGAAGGAGGGGGAGAGGAAGGTTGCGGCGGAAGGGGATGAGCGGGTGGTGAGCTCGGCGGCGGATTGTCGGTTGACCGTGTTTCAGTCTGTCGAGTTGGCAAAGGAGTATTGGATCAAGGTGAGCTGGTGACTATTCAACACATGGCAAGGTTGAGGTCGCACTCGGCTAGTTTATCGTGCCGTCGACCACAGGGCCAACAATTTACCCTAGCCAACCTTTTCCAAGACGAAGAAATGGCCAAGCAATTCGAAGGTGGCGAGGTCGCCATCTTCCGACTAGCGCCGGCCGATTATCATAGGTTCCACTCGCCTATCAAGGCTGTCGTTGGGCCGACGAAATATATCGAGGGGCAATATTATACGTGAGTCATCATCCGAAGCGAGAGAGGTGAGATGGGGCGGGGGAACTACGCTGATTTCGTGCTGGAATCGATCGGCGTGCGCAGCGTCAACCCTGTGGCCGTGAACGAGGATCTCAACGTCTTTACCGAAAAGTGAGCCAACGTCCTGAATCAAGAATAAATTCAGTTTCATTGGGTTTCTGACCACTTCCTACTGTGTTCTTTAACCGGCTGTCATAGTAAACGAGATGGTACGGAGGTGGCAGCACTCGAACAATCCGTCGGCTCGATAGGACTACCGATCAGCTGACCCCTTTTTGCTTGGGCATCCAGTCACTCTTTTGAGAATTCCTGATGAAGGAATTCCCAAAAATGTTGCGTTCGTTCAAATTGGCGCTATGCTGGTAAGCGACCTACCTCAATCGGCAGCGTTTCTGACGGGCATCTGGCTCACACTCTCGAAACTTCGCCTCTACCCATCAGGTCGGGAGCATCGTACAAACGGTCGCTGAGGGTGATCAAGTCGCGCGAGGAGGTGAACTAGGATATTTCGGTACGTTTTCATATTCAAGTCGGAAACAAGCGATGGCCACCCAGGAGTTTGGGCTCCAATCTCCGAACCGAAAACGCGCCGCACGAATTGATCACGACCTTTGGTCGCGCGCACAGCTTATGGCGGTTCGACCGTCCTATGCGTCTTCCCAGCTGGTCAAGTGCATTGGGATGAGGATCTATTGCGTAACTCCAAGCAGAAGATGGAGACCGCCGTCAAGGTGCGTAATGTGAGAGCTGAGAATGATGGCGGGTGAGAGAGGGGGGGCATAGAAGTGGGGCGCCGCCGCCTCCATGCGCTAACTTTGGAGTTTCCCCACATTTTTTTTCGAATCCGCAGGTCGGCGAACAGATTGGACGATTCGTTTGAGTCGTCTACTAGGAGGTAGGTAGAGTAGTACATTAGAAGTGTGTCATAAAAATGTCTCTCCTCAAATAAGACACAGAACCCGGAAGAGATCGGATACAATAATCGATGCAACTGAGAACTAACCCACCGGCGACCAGTCTCCGCAGAGCGAAGATGAAGGTTCGAACAATCCGCGGCTATCGAAAGTTGGTCCGATGAGGGGCACGGCGCTAAAGAAGCGTTCAAAGCTTCAACGATGACTTGCTCACGTGCCCACTGCTGCCGACGGCGGCCCCGCTCTTCGTCTGTGGAGGGTTGCGAATTTCTCCGAGGGTCCGCCTATGGAGGGTTGCAATTTTCTCCGAGGGTCAAATTTATTGGAGAAAGTAACGATTTTTTTTTGGGAGTCTGGGCACCACAAGATCCATCATTGGTGATGAGCGCAGCGTAAGCGGCAGACTCGGTCATATTGGAAGGACCGAGCGCCCCGCATCAAGGTCAAGTCCAAATTGACTCGGCTGGGCTCCACTTTTTTTTCGATCGAGGCGACCCGACATCGTGGTCTGCGCCAAAGTGGTGCTCTTGCTTGCTTGCTTCCTTCCTCCCCACACTTCTCCATACAACAACACCATGGCAGAAACAGCAAAACGAATGATCGCACATCACGAAGAGGCTACCCAGGATGCTTCACACACCAATGATGTCAAGGCCCCTGCGTCACAGGACCCCGTCGCCATTTCTCAAAAGTGAGTTGGAGGCTTCCCCACATTTCTGGGATGGAGTGCTTTAGGGAATGTCCATGATTGGGACTGGGAGGGCAATGCCGGGTGATTGTAGGAGGCTCATACGATACCTACAACGAGTGAGTAATGTGCGACATGTACTGACCACGCGTGTTTTGTCCCATTACTGCGAATGTGGCGCACAGATTCCTCGACCAGATCCAAGCCGCCATCACTGCCAAGGATATCGACGCCATCGTCGGTTGCTTCATGGACGATAACCAGGGCTACTGGCGTGATATCCTCTGCATCGACCAGACTGACTTTAATACCCTTCAAACCAATGATATTGTGAGTGGCATGCTGGTGTTGGGAGGGCCCTGCAGTGGGTGTGGCGATGCCGAGAGGAAGCGGGGGACTCTTCCCCACCTTTTCTCCCCGGCGCCGTTTCAGATCGATTCAGGTCGATGAGGTGCCCCACGTCTGCTGTGAACCCCCGCCGGCTGCCCGTTCAAACACCCACTGACTTGAATCCCCCTCACCGCACCTGTTCATCTTTACTCCAGGCTGGTCACCTGAACAAGTTCGGCGTCCCCGCCATCCAAAACCTCAAAGTCACCAAGCCGCAGTCGGCGTGCATCGTCCCCGCTTCGGAAGAGATGGTCTGGGCTCAAGCCTTCATCACCTTCGAGACGGATGATATTCGAGGCAAGGGGATGGTCAGGTTGAGAGAGAGTAAGGTTGGACGAGGAGATTGGAAGGCGTTTGTCTTCTTCGTGAGTGCATTAGTTATGTGCTCTTGGGGCATTTGAAAGGGCTGCGCACTGATGCCACTCGCAACCCTCAGACATCGGTCGATGAAGTCAAGGGTCATGAAGAGTTCGGTGGCTCGCGACGACCCCTCGGTGCCGAACATGGAGAAAAGTCGGACCCCAAAGTTAACTGGCTCGATCGACGCAAGGCGTCGTTGGAGTACAAGGACGGCGACCCGACCGTCATCATCGTCGGCGGTGGCCAGAACGGCTTGATGCTCGCGGCGCGCCTACGCATGCTCGGCATCAACCACCTCGTCATCGAGAAACATGGTCGCGTTGGTGACTCGTGGCGCAAGCGCTACCATTCGTTATGCCTCCACGACCCCGTCCATGGTGATCATCTGCCTTACATCCCGTTCCCGCCCGGCTTCCCCAAGTTCATCCCCAAGGACAAGATCGCCAACTGGTTCGAGTCGTACGCCGAGTCGATGGAGCTCAACATCTGGCTCAACTCGACCGTCGAACGAGGTGCCAAGTTTGATCCTCAAACTCAGAAATGGGAGGTCACGGTCTTGCGCAACAACGGTGCTGAGAAGAGGGTCTTCCACGTCAATCATCTCGTCCTCGCTTCCGGCTTCTCCGGTGAACCTAGGCTGCCCTCGTTCCCTCGCGACGAGTTCAAAGGTGATGCGTATCACTCTTCGGCGCATCAGAGTGGTGCCAAGTACGCGGGCAAGAAGGCCGTCGTCGTCGGGTGCTGCAACTCGGGTCATGATATCGCTGCCGACCTCGTCGAGAACGGCGCGGATACGACCATCGTTCAAAGGTCGTGGACGTACGTCATGTCCTCCAAGCATGGACTGCATGAGCTGCTCAAAGGCGTCTACGAAGAGAATGGTCCGCCTTTGGATGAGGCGGATCTTATTCTGACTTCGCTGCCGACGAATGTGTTGGCTCAATTCCGTGAGTTTGCCTTTTGGCTCCGGCGCGTGCGTAACAGGGGCTGACCCTCTCCTCCGAACGATAGAAACCGAGGCGACCAAGGAGGTGACGCGAAAGGACAAGGATCTCTTGGACGGTCTTCGCAAAGCTGGCTTCAAGCTCAACCCGTACCCCGAAGGTCTCTTCCTCAAATACTTCCGCGACGGGGGAGGTTACTACATCGACGTCGGCGCGTCCAAGATGATCGCCGATGGCAAGATCAAGATCAAGCAGGGTGTCGAGATCAAGAAGCTGACCAAGGATGGGGTCTTGTTCGAGGATGGGACGGAGTTGAAGGCGGATGTGGTTGTGATGGCGACCGGGTACACTTCGCAGCGTGAGACGATTAGGAAAGTCATCTCGGATGAGGTTGCGGATGGGTTGGGGCCTTGCTGGGGCAAGGATGCGCAGGGCGAGATTCCGGGTGAGTACCCCTCACTGATTCATACAAATCCAATCGAATGGGGGCTGATTTTACATTTCTATCACACTGCTTTCTTTCATTCCAGGCTGCTGGCGCAACTCGGGCGTGCCTCGCTTCTACCTCCAATCGGGCAACATGTTCCAAGCGCGTTGTTACTCCAAGTGGCTTGCTCTTCAGATCCATATGTGCGAATTGGGCTTGACGCCTAAACAGGCCGAGTACCCCAAGTACAAGGAGGTTGTCGATCCTAGGTTCTGAGTCGGGCGAGGTCGCACCGTGGGCTCGGAGTCCCCCCAGTTTTTAATTTGGGGGCGGTGACCCGGCCAGAGCTTGTGTTTTTCTCGGATGTCTTTCAAGACGTGTATACATGTATGCTTATCCCCGCTATGACGTCTTCTGTCTTTGCATTCCATCCACACAAATGCCATTGAAATGAAAGGAATTGATTTGTGACTCGGTCGTCTGCCAGCAGTGTCCGGCTTCATTCCAATGCATTGAAAGCTGACAGAATTTTTGGCGGGCCCGCTGCCTGCAGATGATCATCCCTTGCCGAGTTGAATACCTAGATATGTATGTAATTAGTAAGGTACTTTGGTACTCGGGATCCCGTCGGAGACATTTCGGACATAGCGGGTCGGGCTCAAGAGTCATTTCGGACATAGCGGGTCGGGCTCAGGAATCATTTCGGACATAGCGGGTCGGGCTCAAGAGTCATTTCGGACATAGCGGGTCGGGCTCAGGAATCATTTCGGACATAGCGGGCCGCGTTCAGGAGTCATTTCGAGTCATTTCGGGTCATTTTAGCGGGGTCTGCGGTACTCGGGATCCCATCGGAAGCAGCGGTTGTAGCGAAGTCGTTTCGATCGAAGCAGGGTCGAGTTCCGAAGTCGTTTCGACGGCCGAGTCGGGAGTCGATTCAATTTCCACTAGTTTCGGCAGAATTCTCAGCGATTAAGCGGTCCCGGATAAACTCAGTACTTCGGTGACTCGAGACTTGACTGTCAGCGACGAATCATATGGCGGGATTCGAATGGAAGACCGGGCCGGATGCGCGGATGAAGGGGAGAAGGGGAATGAAAGGCTATGAAAGGAGCGCAGCGGTTTGAATGGTCGGAACGTTTGAGGGGAATTTGCTTCTTGTTCTTAGGCAGACCACTTCTAGGAGCCAATACAGCATCTTAGCTGGTTCTCACTTTCTGCGTGTTTCAAGTCTCGTTCGGCCTCGTCTCCAGTCTCCAGTCTCCAGTCTCAGCGTTTCTTTCTCGTACTCGGTCTCGTTTCTCGGTTTGGGCCCCTTTCTCGTCTCTCGTCTCTCGGCCGTTCCGGTCGCTCTCTCGTATCTCGTCTCCCTCGTCTTTGGTCTCGGTCCCGTCTCTTCCCCGTATCATTTCATATCATCTTTGATCGACCGCTTTGCTATACCATAGTACCGCTGGTCGGATTCATATTTGACGTAGGACCCAGAATGATGCTGTAATAATTTGGTTATGTGTGAGAATGAGGAACTCGGATTCGGCCACTGCAGCCAGCTGCAGCCCTTCCGTCAGTCTTGGGCCGTCGCACTGCCGTCGCCTGGCCGTCGCACTGCCGTCGCCTGGCCGTCGCACTGCCGTCGCTCCTCGGAGGCTCTCTTCCAAGTCGGGCGCGCGGCTCGTCGTGGCTTGGCTTGCGGCTATTCCCCAACCCCTGACGCACAACAACACCCCGCGACGCTCCCATCATGCCGCGCCAAGGATCTTCACGTCGAGCAACCACAAGTACACGATCTGCCTCATCGCTGCTGAAGCCGTCATCGGGGCCTGCACCACCTGCGCCGTCCTCTTCGTCCGGCTCGGCGATGTCAAACAACACGATCACCCCTCGTGGCCGACGCGTGCCACGGGCCTCGGTCGAAGCTCAAGCTCAAACCCGAACAGGCCGCTCCTCCAACTTGCCTACGCCTCGACCGACCAACCGCAACAAACCGACTCGTAGTCGTGGTCGTGCATGGAGGAAGAGTCTCATGGGACCGGGCCGTGGCGCTCGTTCGAGGACGCTGGATGCACGTCAACAAGCCGTGGCGATGCCGACCCAGATCGCTTTGCAGGCTTTGTTGGATATGGGCAAGCGCCAAGACACGAATGCGGGGTCCAAGACTAGGATGGTATTGAGTGAACAGGATGTAAAGGATTACAATGCCTTCAAAGGTGAGCGGTCTTGGAAGCGCGCCGCGAGCGACCACGGGGTCACGTGGCCAGAAGCTGGGTGTATGCATGTCGAACTGACCCTTCTCTCTGTCCTCGATTCCACCTTGGCTCAGGTGTCAAGGAAGCGTATCTGTCTACTGCACCCTTCCTCCAACCCGCTGCCCTGAACCCGCAGTACGCGCCGCAGTTGAACGACCCGAGCTCGCCCTTCAACCAACTCATCCGCCGCGCCAACCTCGTCACCTTCCTCTACCTCGTCTTTTCGAGTGGGCCCGATTCCGAAGGGCATCGACGACGAGATGCAGCGACCAAGTTGACCGAAGCGGCGATGCACTTCCTTACGCTCGTGGTGCCGAATGAGACGCAGATCCATGATGGTGTTTTGGCGATGTTGACGGGGTTGAGGATCCAGGTGAGGGGCCGAACACTTGAAAACTTGGGTATCCGTCACCCCCCGCCCAGGTATGCTGATTCTATGATCTGGTTTGGCTTTGTTTAGACCTACCTCTCGCATCTTGCGACAAGTCGCGAGCCTTACCCACCTTCCGAATTCCTCGGTTCACCACTCTCGACCTACCTCTCGCAAGAAAAACTCTTGGACAACCGTTCCGCAGCTATCCGCTTCACGGCCTTGCAGAACGACGCTTTGGCTGCGATCGAGTCGACCGAGGCCGATTTGGAGGTCTTGGAGACGCAGTACAGGTGGAATGATTTGGTACAAGAGTTGAGGAACTATTGCGAGAACGTCGTTGCGGATGGTTCTTTCAACCTCGAATCGGGGAGATCGGACGACGAGTCCGTCGATGATGATGTCGTTACGGAGGAGGAAGAAGAGTCTGCACGTCGATTGACAAGTTCTGACGCTACGCCGCGCGGGCCTCAAACTCCTCGAGCGACGATCGTCCCCAAGTCACTCAAGAAGAGCGCCAAGAAAGCTGTGGCGCCCGTGCAGCAGACGACGCAAGAGACGCCGTCTGACGTCGATGAGTTATTATCCGATTCGGCCCTTGCCAACCTCGAAGTTGCATCCCAATCCGACGTCGACTCGCTCGAGGAAGAACACGAAGTCGAAGAAAGGCTGCGCTACTCTTCCGCCGATGCGGAGACGGCGGACGCGACTGCCACTGAGTCGGATAGTTATGAGACAGTCGGGACGGTACAGAGGAGGCACGTACGGGCTTTCCGAGCGTTGGAAGAAGGATCCGAGATGTCCCAAACGGCGAGTATTTATCAGGATGGCGAGCTGGGAGAGTCTACCGAGGCGAAAAAGTGAGTCATAGGATGTGGGCGGCGCTTTCCATTTTGAGGGGACTGATCACAGTTTTTCAATTTCAGACCGACGATGGCGGCTCAGATGCGAGCACTTCAACGCTCTCTCTCCGACGAACCGAGTACTCTCGAAGAAGAAGACAAGGAAGACTCTCTCGGGTGAGTCAGCATTTGCTACGTGGTCTTTGAGAGGCCCTCTTTGCTGACTCGTAGGTTTTTTGTGGACACTCTAAAGACCCATGCCGACGCGAGCCAAGGAGATTTCGTTGTTCTTGAAGGAGTCGACTTCCGAACTCAGCACGCCTGAGACCCAGGCCGAAGAGGAGACTCTCGGGTAAGTCGCCGACGGTTTGTGGCGCTGAATGATCCAGTCACTGACCGCGACTGGTTTATACGATCACAGCCTCCATCAAGCTTCGCGAGCCCAAGATCTTCGACAAGCCATTGCTGAATTTAGCGACGAAGACAACGAAGAGGTAGATGAGCTTGATTTCAAAGTCGAAGTAGAGGAGCATGCGTTGTCAATCGAGACGACTCCTCGGGCTCAACGAAGAGATGCGAACGACGATGGAATGGTCACTCGACTTGCCTTTGGCCAGGGCAATCAGTTGCAGCGTGTGCCTGTCGACAGCAACGCCGTGTAAGCCCCGGCTCTGCTTCGCACATTGGGAAGTGATCTGATTGGCTTATTGATATTCCTCTGGATGCAGTGCTCGGTCCCTCCTCGTCCGACAAGCCAATGCGGAGCGGTTGCGCTTCGACTCACAGGGCGGTGAAGACGAGGACGAAGACGATCAAGTCAAATCACCGCGCAAGAATCAACGTGCCGCGACCACAACCAAGGGCAAGGGCAAGGCTAAAGGAAAAGAAAAGCAAGCGACATCGCCCCAAGCTGTCGAACAAGGTCGGGGTCAAGTCAGCCGAGGAGGTCTGCGGACCGAGTTGCTTGCCCTTGAGGACGAGGACTCGGATCGTTCTGCGGAGGAGGAGAGGGAGAGAGAGCGCGGCACGGTGGAGCTCGAGGAGGAAAGGAGTCGATCTCGTCAAGGTAATGACAACGACTATCAAAACGATCCCTTCATTGATGATCGCGAGTATGGGGGTGGCAACGAAAGCCTAGAACCGGAAACTTTCCGCGGTTTCGACAAGGAAAGCACGGTTTCGTCACTCGAGGTTCACCAAGTCTCTGGTCGCGATCGTAAAGGCAAGGGCAAGGAGAGGGCTCGAGAGGAGGAGAAGGAGACGCCAACGGGTACTCCGATTGTGACTCTTGATCCGGATAACGAGTTGACAATTTATCTCGAGAATCGGCGAAGAGAAGTCTTGGACGCTCAAGATCAGGGCGTTGGCACCTCGTCGGGGTCAATGCAACGCGCATCGGGCTCGCAGAAGAAGTCTCGACGGGATCGACCGGAAGCATCGGGTAGCGCCGAAGGCTTCGAGACGGACCAAAGCTCCGTCGATGATGAGGTTCGACGTAGAAACCGACGTGCCCAACGACAGGTCGTCGATGACGAAAGCGACGGGGACGACCGACGTCGTCGCCGCAAGGAAGCGGTTGCCGGGCCTAAGCCACCAAGCAAGAAGCAGTCCCGCGTGGAGTCGGACTCGGATGACTCGGACGAACAGGCGAATGCTCCAATGCGCGACTTTCTGAAGGCGACGCACACGCGCAAGCGACCTCAATACGAAGGCGTCGTGCTCTCCAGTGATACGAGCGACAGCGACGACATGCCGCCCGAACCACCTTGGTGCCATAACGTAAATACTACAGCCCGATCGTACAGTGTTCAAATTTACTAACTTCATCTGGCCTTGACCGTACGTGGCGGGCGATACAGATTTATCGCCAGAACCGCAACATCCCGGGTGCCCGCATTGCATGGTGAGCCAAGGCCCCGCTCACCCACCCATACCTTGCGCGCTAACTCTTCGGGTCGTCGACGGGATCGTGCTCAGGTCTTATGAAGAGGACAGGTGCCTAACGGAGGCAATGAGGCACCATCAATGCCGCTGGAGTCAAATCATGGCGCTGCACGGCCCGCAAGGAACGATCAATGACATTCTCAAGCATCGCACTTCAATGTCTCTTAGGGATCGAGCGGTGAATCTCAAGGTAAATCTCGTCAAGCAGCGGTTGAGAGTCCCCAGTTATCTGAAGCCAGGTGAGACCTTGCTCGCTCCTTCTTGACAGGTGTGTGAGATCTGGAGCGCTGATTGAGCTATGAGTTCCTACAGTCAATATTGGGAAGCGAGCAGGTTGAGGGAGTCTGTACTTTTGATTGAAACTGAGCCCCGATTCAGTGTTCACTGGGCATGACTCGAGAGACGGCAATGAGGAGGCCTGAGCGTTCCAGAGACCGTTCCGCGGACGCCGCCCTCACTGTCCAACCTGCACGAGCCCCTGGCGAACCTACTCGGCGCACGAGCGCTTGAGGCGTGCTGAGCACAGCCGAGGCCAGTTCGTGATTACGGTGTCCGGCTTGGTATATATGCCTGTTGCTCGTTCGCCTCTTTCCTTCTCATTCATTTCCTGCTTCATCAATTCGCATATCACGATGCACACCCCTTCCCTCGCGCTCGTCTTGCTTGGTCTAACGTCGGCAGTCAGCGCTATTGGTGAGACAGCTCGAACCATGTGTGCATGTGAAGTGGAACTGACGCGGATGTGAGCCGATCACTACACGCCAACTTTTTTCAGCCGTTGGTGAACCCAACCCTGCCACCCCCAAGGCCCATACTCAGCAGCTCGAGGCGTTCTGTAAAAAGTTTACTACCAGTGTAAGCGCCCGCTTCGAGGCATCAGAAGGAAGGGAAAAGTCAATCACTTCTCAGGAAGCTGAAAATGACCTTTGGCCCCCCTATCGACAGTGCTGGTCGACGGTGAAGACGAAGAGCGCAGGTTTGCACAGATGGTACGTTGCAGGCTGCGCTCGTGTCCGACGGCATGCGTGGTCCGACGTTCTGCAAAATTTTGCTGATCGTCTCTCTTTCCACGCTGGCAGCTATTGGAACAAGAAAGAAGACAGTGTCAAGACCTTTTGTGGAGAAGTCAAAGTCGTGACCGAGGTAATCAACTCGACTGGCCACGTCAACGCGACCGTTCAGAAGACCGAGCTGCCCAAGGACGGCAAAGTTTCGCTTCCTACGCACCTCGTTCATGTGCACAAGGAGGTCAGGAAGTTCAAGTTATTCGACTATGTAGGGGTATCCTATCGGGTTTGGGAGAGGTATGGAAGCTTGCACTGACGTCGTCTGGTATTGTAAATTCGCTTCACAATCGAAACAGACCCCTAAAGTGCTCAAGCATCTCAGCGCCAACGCAACCACCCCGACGCGCCAAATTCTCAAATACACCAAAGAAGACACGAGATTTAAGAATGCTACTCGGGAGAGGTTGGAAGGCCGAGTGGTGCGTGTCATCAAGGCGCCCAAGCACGCTCTTCGCCCCGAACGCCTTTGGAAAGTTCTAGCTTGAGAATGTCACATCTTCGGGGCAGCTTGGAAGGCTGCTATAATATACATCTTCTAACTTCTGTATAAGGATTCTCTGAGTATGTCCTGAGAGTTTCTTCATATCAATAAAGACGCAGAGTTGCACGAGATCGCTTTTCAAAAGTGAAATGCTGAGCAGCCGCACGTCGAGCGAGGTTTTCTGTGCGACGCTCTTGAAAAAGGAGCCCATTCCCTCGCCTCACGTCGTTTCAGGAATGTTTTTCGCATCAAGCTGATGATCCAGCAAAGCCATACCGGAGATGGATCCGCGCTCGGAACTCTGATCGACGCGCACTCGAACTTGAACAAGACCTTCATATGCTCACTGGCACCTTTGTAGGCCCGATCCGCGTTATCGACAAGCTCGAGCGAGGAGTTGGCCGCTACGGTATAGCAAAGCGGTCGATCAAAGATGATATGAAATGATACGGGGAAAAGACGGGACCGAGACCGAAGACGAGGGGGACGAGAGACGAGAGAGAGAGAGCGGAACGGCCGAGAGTCAAGGGAGAGAAAAGGGGCCCAAACCGAGAAACGAGACCGAGTACGAGAAAGAAACGCTGAGACTGGAGACTGGAGACTGGAGACGAGGCCGAACGAGACTTGAAACACGCAGAAAGTGAGAACCAGCTAAGATGCTGTATTGGCTCCTAGAAGTGGTCTACCTAAGAACAAGAAGCAAATTCCCCTCAAACGTTCCGACCATTCAAACCGCTGCGCTCCTTTCATAGCCTTTCATTCCCCTTCTCCCCTTCATCCGCGCATCCGGCCCGGTCTTCCATTCGAATCCCGCCATATGATTCGTCGCTGACAGTCAAGTCTCGAGTCACCGAAGTACTGAGTTTATCCGGGACCGCTTAATCGCTGAGAATTCTGCCGAAACTAGTGGAAATTGAATCGACTCCCGACTCGGCCGCCGAAACGACTTCGGAACTCGACCCTGCTTCGATCGAAACGACTCCGCTACAACCGCGGCTTCCTAAGCTCGAAACCCTCCACTCTGTGGAGGGGCTTGTACCTTATCGGCGCGTTTGGCTGAGTTGCCTATCGAAATTTGGCCCAGAAAAGTACCACCTTGCTGTAGCTTGGCAAATAAAATCACCTATACAATATGTAGAAAAACGCGCATTCTTATGCTATTTTTACGAGCATCTGCCCAAGGGAAGACTCTTGCATGTCCTATTCATTGAGCTACAGCGGTGAGAAGTCGTTAGTTTCGACTTGGAGCTGGCTCGCGCACGGACCCAGAGGGACGGTTCTTCGCGCCGACGTGAATCAGCCAGCCGCGCCTCACTGGCCTCACCTTCGGTCCACAACGCCAGTCCACGACGTTGCTACCGCCCTCATGATCCACCATGCCCGTACAAACGCCAACGCCTGTCAAGGGCACACCTCGTCGGTCTCTATCGATTGAGTTCAGAGAGTCGCCCTTACGATCAGCTTCGAGGGCAAAGCCAACGACATCAAGGGACCATCACTCAACCGACACAACCCCCGAACTGCCTACCCGTCGCTCTCGGGCTGCTCACTGGAGATCACAATCAACTCAAGAAGATCGAATTGACCCGATTGAGTTACGCAAGAAGCTCAGACTCCTCTTGGTCGACAAATTTGGCGAGGACTTCGTCCCCCGGCCGGTGCAAATCGAAGCTCTCGCGGGACTTTTTCAGCTCGAGCGGTTCAAGACTCGAAATCAGTATGACGCTGTATTCGTCATTGCTCCAACGGGTTCAGGGAAGAGCTTGATATTTCAACAAGCCATGTAGTTGGTTTACGGACGCCGGGCTGTGACCATAGTTGTCAGTCCTCTGACTGCGCTGAGCCAACATCACGTAGGTTTTATTCGGTTGGCCGTTGAGGCGACGCGGGTGCTGAGTCCCACGGCCTTGATACCTTTACAGGCCGACAATCTCAATCAAGAGCGAAAGAACGCGGTTGACATATGCAAGGAAACATGGGGTGACGGAGAGCTGTACCAGCAGTTGAGCGATCCCTCCCATACTGTCTCATTCATCTTCATCGTACGTGTCCATTCAATCCGCCGCAGGTTTTTGCATGCTCACAACCCCCGTACTGATATCTTGCTACTAAAAATCTCCGACAGTCTCCAGAGATGCACAATGGAGACAAGCGCTGGGCTGAGCTGATATCGAAGGACTCCTTCCGAGAACGAGTCAAGCTGCTTGCCTATGACGAGGCAATCAAGATCGCCGAGTGAGGATTCAGCGAAAGGGAGCGCGCCAGAGCTATGAGCCACTTAATGGAATGGAAGGCTCGACTGCATTTCGCCCCGTATATGGGCAAGTTGCGGAGCGGCGTCTCATACTTGGCTGTCAAACACTCTTCCTCACCGCCGGCGCTCCACCCTACAAAATCAACAAGATCCTAAAGGTATCCAGTCTCTCCGAATTGCGGACGTTCTTCGCCAAAGCCGACCTTTTCCGACCAAACCTACGCAATATTGTTGTCGAGATGAAACCAAGAACAAACGGTACGATGGGAAGTATGAGGGATCTCCTTAACCAGCGGCCAGATCCCAGCACCTTTCCCCAGTCCACCATGTACTTCGACAGCCGGGACGCGACGTCAAACGCTTGAGCTGGGTCCAACTACTGTTGAAGAGCTTTGGCCTATGATTGTGAACACCATCGTGTTGTGTTGACGGGCTGAAATACCACGAGAGGTATTGACCTGAGGTATTGACATAGTGAGAGCTTGTGAAGCCGAAACCGAGCGAATAGATCCGCCTGACGGCGGCGATCCTGGCGAGTCGTCGAGTCATAGCGTCTGCGGTTGCGCGTCATTCTGAGATAAGCGTGGTGTTGCACCGAGAACAAGCGAAGAGCATAGTACGGAGAAGACGAGTGATGCGGAATGGACGGGAGAAAAACCGATGCGCACACGCCGAAGTGCGCAAGCCGGCGGCTGCAGCTGTGCTGCCGCTCGGACCACTCGGGACCGAATTGACCAAATTTACACACTTCAGATCATTATAGCTTCGGCTACAGATGGGGTATCCTCTTGCCGTTCGGCACACGCCATTTTTCTAGTAGAAGATCAATAACATCTCTGCGTTTTGGATAATTGTAAGTACTTGCCACGCTACAGAAAACCACCCCAAAATGGCCCTGAAATTTCGGAGGGCAACTGGGCCAGGCGCGCCGATAAGTCCTAAGCCCCTCCCAGAGGGAGGCTTAGTTGAGCTTAGTTGCTTCCGATGGGATCCCGAGTGCCGCAGACCCCGCTAAAATGACCCGAAATGACCCGAAATGACTCCTGATGGGGCGCGCTATGTCCGAAATGATTCCTGAACCCCGGCCCGCTATGTCCGAAATGACTCCTGAGCCCGACCCGCTATGTCCGAAATGTCTCCGACGGGATCCCGAGTACCACACCGCCCGCGGCATTGAAGTCGGATAGCTGATCCTCGTCGAGAAGGCCTGGTACCTATTTATCACACTTCCCAAGATCTGAACACCGCGCCTCTACTTTCGCACTGGCCAATCACAAGAGATCGCAGACTCTGAGCGGTACCGCGCCCAAAAGAGGGACGATGACGCGGGATGACGACCGATGACCGCAAGAACGGTCAGCAAGACAACCAGACAGCACATCGAAGTGCAGTAAAAGATGGTCGAAATCCATAAGACAAGAACGAGCAAATCGCTTTGGGCATCTTCTGTACTTGGTAGCTCCTTTTCGCGGGGCCTGACTTGTGCGCAGCTTTGTAATCGACCCTATTGCGACACATTCTGCAATGCACCCGAACATAAATCGAGAATGAGGTGAGTAAAGTGAGGACACAATGGTGAACACAACGGAGATACCCTTCTCGGAAATTCATCACTGGTCGGGTACTTCAGACGATTAGAGGACGAGCGAGAAAATTGCAGCAGGGCTCTATTGTTCCTTTCGTGGCCCAGACAACTCCTACGTTCTCTAACACCTCGGCACAAAACTGACAACGGCGTACTTCCCACTGACGCGCCAACTCGGGTCCGTCCGATCCAACTCCTCAGCTTTCCCTTCTTCCAACCCTACGCACACGTCGGCTTTGCACGTTCGCAGCGAGAGAATGTCGAATTCGCCTTTCAGGGGACCGAGGGTGTCCTCGAAGGACGTGGTCGTCGGCCAACAGGCATCGTAGGTTAGTTTCCGCTGGAGAGGTGTGTCAGTGGAGATTCTGTCAGCTGGCAAGTAGCGCAAGTATGATTGTGTGAACGCACGTAGTTGAGATCACCCTTGAAGATAACCAGGGACGCTTTCTTAAGCTCCTTTAAGAGTTCGGGCGCTTCACTCAGCAAATCGGCGAACGCTTGAGGACCGGTCCAGACTATGAAAGCCCTAGCGGTTCGTTAGTTCAACTGGACCAGTCATTGTGAATCAAAGTCTTGTTAGCTTACAGTCAGCGATCTCGCCACCCGGAGCGCCCATCTCGAGATCGAGCGGGGTGCTTAATCGGAAGACACCCTTATCGACGTAGGACTGCCATCGTTCCACCATCGCCTTCAGAGCTTGATGGTCCTCGTCACTCGCTCCCGAGTCGGAGGGGAAAAAAGCTGGGTCGAGCAGGGAAGAGAGGAGAATTTTGAAGTCGTGAGGTTGACTGTGAAGAGGCAGACAAGATTCAGAAATCACCTATCCCCAGTGCAAACAGATCTGAAGAAGATGCAAGTACTCACACGTCGCTGACGAACCACGGGATGAGCTTCGGGTGGAACACGACTTCGGAGCAGAAGGGAGAGAGAGTCTGGGGGGGGGGGGGGCACGAGCTCGAGATCAGTTTGGTTTTACAAAATCTGAACTAGCTGCGGACCCACCAAAAGCCAATCTCCAAGAACGAGATCGGAGTAGAGTTCGAAGCCCGACTGAACAAAGTATGGGATCAATCAGTCTCGACCGACACCTGGAATTGAGTACTTAAAGATTGCGGCTCACGTTGTCCAAGACAATATCGATTCGCTTCTTGTCGAGCGTCTTGACGTGCTGCCACACCTTGGCGAAATCGTTTTTCAGGACAAAGTCGGCGCCGCGTTCGACACTTTGCAGTGCTTGGATGTCTTCGTGCGTGAGCGATGTGAGAAGGGACAGATCCGTCGCGTTACCTGAACGAAACGAGAATCCGCAGGCAGAACCGATCGTCAGCCTTAGTCAAACGGCCATCACGGCAAATACCCCGTTTCGACAAAAGACTGACCCCACAAGCAGATCTCGAGCATCTTGATGAAATCGGCATGGAGCTCTTGCTCGCTCGGTTGACCCTTCTTGACGAGGTCCTGCACGGATCGGGCGAGGGCATAGATGCCCGAAGCCGAAGATCGGAAAGCACCGAGCTTCTGACTGGCGAAGCAATCGAACGATCGCCAGTGCTCGGTGGAGGAGAACATTGCTCGAAGACGACGGTACCTTTCAGACATGGGCCATCCATGATTAGCAAGGTCGTATGTGTGAGGTATGCCCCGACTGAACTTGCATGTAACATTCGGCATAGAGCCACGAAGCATTGAACCACTTGATCGGCTTCCCCTCCGCTCGAGCGGTCGCCAAGACGTTATTGTAGACCTTGGCATCGTCAGGTAAACCCGCACTGGCATCAATGTCGGGTAGCTCCCTGTCGTGCCGCATTTCGTAGATGAGGCCGGCGATGTTGTTGATGAGCACTTTCGACTCTTTGAGCTTGCCCTCGTCTTGCGGTTCAAGGAGGTGCCCATTGAGTTTGGACAGCCCATCGATCACACCGGTCAGGATGGTGGGCCATCTGGGAGGTAGACATAACGCGGAGGGTCAGTCCTGCATCGCTTGAGCGTCATTGCGATCGCGCGAACGTGGTCATTTGAGCGCTGCGAATGCCGATCGTATGAGGTGGGGGGAGGAGGAGACTCACCGCTTGACAGTGGATTCATAGGCGAACGAGGTCGGTTGGGAAGCCGAGCACAGCTCAACAGAAGGCTTCCAACTGGACGGCATATCGTGTGCAGGCTCCTTGCGGACGTGGGAGGAGGCAGAGGAGCCAGGGCAGCCCGAGTTGACGCGACGCGATGCCCGAATCGATCCAAGTTGATTGAGGGGGCGGATTGCCTCTGCTCGGAGCGGACCTTTCCTGGTGTAAAATGTGTGTTAATTCTACTGACGATCGTTTTTTATTTTTATTATTTTTATTTATTCCTTGGAGATTTCATGCAGCCCGAATTAAAATTACTACAAAATCCTCCCACCATCTAAGCTAACTCTTCGAGCACCCCACGCCCGACCCCTTTCCTCCTCGTCTCAACCATCCTTACGCCCACCTTGTCCAGCTCCTTTAGTAGCGGTTTCCAAACTTGGGGATCCGAAGGCGTGACGATACCCGTCTTTGTCAGTTGCTCGTCTAGAATGAGCAGAGCTCCGATCGCGATAGGTACGCCGACCGTTGTCGCCATCGCCGAAGCTTCGGAAGTGCCGTACTGATGTATGAAAGCAGGAGAACCCCATGAGTATTACAAACATCGACTTCATCGTTTGACATCTCCCTCATTCACTCACTTGAACTAATGTGCTCGAGAATAACTCCACCTCACCAGTCTTCTCATCTCGGGTGCATAGCTCGTGGTGGAGCAGGACGGCATCTCTTTCGTCAGGCCTGTAGGCGAGTTGGTGGCCGAGGAGGATCGAAAGCAAGTCCAGAGGAGCTGTGAGCTCGTTCGGGATAGTGGGGAGGGTTTGAGCGGCAGTGACGGTCTGGGCGTCTGTCGGGGCGAGACCGAGTCTGTGCGGATAGGAGTAGAGGATGAGACTTTGAGGGAGGTGAGCAGGGCGACTAAAGTCAGACCCACTCTTCTAGCGTCGCCAAACAATCTTTCGCCAGCTTCTCATCAGCGCCCAACGCCTTCGTCATAGCATCGATCCTCTCATCACGAGTCTTGATCGCCCGATGCCCAGACTCAGCGAGAACGGCGTCCAACAACCCGCTCCACCTCACAGGCACCGTCTCGAGCTTGTCCAACGACAGCAAACCCAATCGCTTGAACCCATCTACGAGCCTCGAGAACCCAGGATACCTCAGAGTACCTCGGAGAATGGTAGGAAGGTCCTTGGGAAGTCCGTATTGCTCGAGATAGGATACCGAGTCTCGGTTCGCCACGCCTTCGAGGGAGAAGCCGGGAAGGATGGGGACGCGAGGGAAGTTGGAACGCAGGAGGTCGGCACCGGGGATGGTGCGGTCTTTACCGTTTAGTCGGAAGGTCGCTGAGTTGAGGGCGGCGGTGAGGACGCCTCGTGGTGACCATCTGAGAGAGCAAACAAAAAGACGTCAGACCATACCTCCAAGGGTGAGATTGGGAGCACACTCACGAGAACTTGTAGCCGAGAGGACCGTTACTCAATTCCGGCCCTGGCAGACCACCACAGAAGGACACGAACGAAGTGATCTGAACGTACTTACCTCGGTATCAGTTAGGGTGTAACAGACACTGGCTTGAAATTAGGCTCACCTTGTTCCCAGATTCTCGTGCCTCTTCGATCAATTGGCATCCACTAGCATGGTCGATTCCGGGGTCGAGACCGAGTTCGGGAAGGATCGTGATTCCCGCGGAAGCAGCCCTATGATGAAGATGGCAACCCATTCAGTGAGCAGACTGATCTCCGTCTCGAAAGTTGGGATGCACGTACTTAGACTGTAATGCAGCCATTTCGGGAGAGACGTAGCTCGCGGTAACCAGCGAAGTCGATCCCTTGATGCAAAGCTCCGCGATCCCGACGTGTAAAGGCGCGGGCAATAGACTGCGCAGGATCAACGAACCAGCAGGTCAATGACTGAAGAGTGCTTGGGTTGTGCCGCATTCACGTACCTCAACACAACATCTGCGCTCGTAACCAGCTCTTCGAGTACACCGTCTCTCGTCGCATCGAGAGCAACTGCCTTGGCGTTCTCGTAAGGAGCCGCGAGAGCTTCGGCTGCGGGGAGATCGTTGCTCGCCACAACGACGTCCAAGGCCTTCCTCGACGCAAGCGTTCGGATCGCAGGGCCGGCAACGAGACTGATTACCCAACATCATCAGTAACGGATTTGCGACATTTGACCAGAGTGCTTTTCTCCCTTACCCTGAACCGAGGACGACGACTTTGCGCCTCTTGACACCGACCGACTGAGCCCCTTTGAGCGCCTCGTACAAATGTTCATGACCAGGCGTAAGTTGGCCCCCCTCCACTAACGTCGCCCTCTTCAGCGATTCAACAATTTCGTTGCCATTCTTGACTCGACTCGTCTTGGGCTCCTCCAACAACGCTTCGACGTAAGGCAAGATCGATTCGGAGAAATGCTCCGAAGCATCCCTCGGCAACGCGGCGGGGTAAATCTCAACGGCCGAGATTTGCGTGGCTCCTTTCTGGCTCGGTTCTCGAGAGATGAAATCCGAATTGGCATCGTATTGAATCACCGGGTCATCGATCGTCGTCGCGGCCTTGACGAACTCGAGAGCCCCGTCAAAGTCGCATGCTGCGTCGACGATCGCGAGCATTCGCTCGGGGGATCCGTCCTTTTGAATCTTGGCTAGTTGAGACGTCGATAGAATGCGAGGGCATCCCGGAGCCCAGTAGGCGCCGTTGAAGAAGAGCGTCGTGTAGGGAGCAACCTATCGAAGAACACTCCAAGTCAGGAGTGGCTCAGAATGATCCCAGACTACAGGTAGAAGCTCACCTCGGTATCAAATCTGGACACATAGTTGTCAGGCTGAGATCGATACTCTTCCCTGTCAAAGTTCTTGCCATCTTTGTGCTTCAAGTAGTCCGAAAGTTCGAGATGAACGGCGTAAATCTTGTTCTTGTCCGAGTCTGCGCGTGAGAAACAAAGTTAGCTCCTATTACTTAGGTCCTACCGGAGCTGAGCCCGGCAAGGAACTTGCGAGCGACTTACTTGGGTTCTCAACGGCAGATTTCAGTCCTTTCAAATCGACCCATTCGACACCGAAAGCGTCCAGCACCTCTCGTGCACCATTCCCAACCCTCCCCTTGCCCGCCACAGCAATAGTCACCACCCCGGTCTTGGGCCCGTTCCATTCCTTGCCAGCTCGAACAAGTTGCTGTTTCAACTCTTCGACACCGCGACTCGAATTGGGACGAACGAGACGGATCAAACTCGTGTCCACACCTCTAGAAGCCAAGAGCTTGGTCCCGAGGGATGACAAGCCGTCGCACATGGCTGCGAATCCGGCAAACCGACCGAAAGCGGTTGTTCGTTCGAGCTTGCCCGACGGCCCTTTGGGAGCGGTCAAGAGTTCCCAATCGAGGTAGCGGGCACCAGATTGAAGCATTGTCGAGAGGAGGGGCATGTTGTAGGACTGGCCCTTATGGGTGTGCGAGAAAAAGAGGTACGTCGGCTGTTCCCTCGGGGTTTTGGACGGCGAAGGGAGAAGATGAGGTATTGGTATCTCTTTGATCCCGACGATGACATCGCAGTGGGGTAAGAGATCATCGCTAATAATCGCACCGGCCTGAAGATCGAGACCCGAGTCGAAATGTCAGCTCATTATCGTCGGACGATCGTTCAGCGAGCGGCGCGCTGACTGATCGGATCACGTGACTTCGAAAAGGGGAACCCCTCGCAACCTCTGGGCACCACGCGGGCGCGAACCCCCACTTGAAGAGCCGGTCGGCATCTCGGGACCGTTATCTCTCTCGCTAAACCCTACATGACGATGCCCATCTTGGCTAAAGTACGGAACCCCTATCCGTACATACTTTAGGCCAATGGCGCGTTGTAGCACCTCTTACCGCTCGGCGTGTGAAGATTTGCGGTATGCTTCGGCTCGGCGCAGTCGGATTCGGCCGAGCTGGGGCACACACCCCACCCACCGGCGACACGAGACAGCCAAGGGCTCGAAGGCGATAAGGGATGTTCTTGTAGAAGGAAGGAAGGGAATGACTCACATCTTGATATTCTTGATCGGTGAAGCATCGCTTCTCGGAAGGCATGACCAAGACCTTGTGCTTGCCGTCTCGGATCAAGCGCTGGACGTGTGTCGGCGTCAAGGCGCTTCTTCGTTCCCAGATCCGTTTGGCATCCTCGGCGCGAATGCCGAGAGTGCCGAGATTGTATCGAGAAGAGTGGAACGAACGGGGTAGAGTGACTCGTAACATACTGCGGTGAAGCTGGGGGTGATGCGTGAAGCAAAGAAAGAGCGAACGGACGCAAGCTTCAGACTGCTTGAAGGACGTCAAAGTCGGGAACTGAGCGTCGAAGACGTCCCAAGATGACGGTCGAGCGCGAAGCTGTTCGCACTTGTTCGCATACGCGCCGCGCGTGACCGCGTGACTCGGCATGCCGATTTGCCGACGCCAGCCGCCAGCCGCCTCGCCAAGCAGGTCGACCGCAGCCGACTCAGGGAGATTCGAATAATTTCAAGTAGTACAACAACAGCAAAGCCATAAGCAGTCGCTACTCACTTTCTAGCTCTAATCAAATAGAACCCCAGCTTGCCCTTCCCCTTCTTTCCGCCCCCCGAATACCACTTGACGAACTTGGCATAAATCTTCAGCCCTGACCAAGTTGAACCATGCAACCCAAAACCGAGGCTCTGGTCATGGCGGTCCATGAAGTTGAGCCATCCAGGCCAGACATCGTCCGAGATGTCGATGAGCTCAATCTCTTTGTAGCCTTGATGGAGGAGATTGGCTCGATATCGACTTGGCGTTTGCAGATTTGAGAAAGGGAGAGAAGCGGCTTTGCAGAGAAGACGAAGGAGGAATCGATCGCGCATCACGAGGATTCGGGAAGTTAGGAGGAGGTCCGTCATACATAAGTAGCCGTGGGGGGAGAGGGCTTGGTACGAAGATCGAAGAAAGTCGTCTCGCGAGCGGAAGCTGGGAGTGGTTGAGCGGGGCAGGCGAAGGGTTTGCTCCGGATGGTGAGCCAGTGTTCCTCTGCTTCAGAACAGAGACGAGCTTTGTAACTCACTGATAAGCACAGTCGACAGCGACAACCACATCAAATGCTCCCTCTTCACAATCGCGAAGCACCTTGACCGCATCCCCGTGCACCACCCTGGCCTTCTTGAGCTCGGCCGTCCGCTGACCTGCATGGAGGCGCCCCAGATAGTCAGTTCCGCACAGCCTCTTTAAGAAACTCTAGTTCACAAGTATCCCACCTACAGGCCCTTTTATACTGAGCTTCCTCCAACGTCACGCCCGTGTACTCCAATCCATCGAACGACCGCTCCCAAACGAGGGTAGAGTCACCAGATCCCATGCCCGCTTCCTACTCGGACCATCACCGACATGCTTCAGTACCGAGAAGCTAAAGCATGAGATGCCTGGTCTTTGCCCTGACGTACGAATACTCGCGTCGTGTGAAACCCTTTTCGATCTTTCACCGCTTCCTCCACGACGAGGCGACAAAGTGCTTCGCATGCCTCCCCGAACGTCTGCTGGGGTCTGTGAAGGCATATGATCGCCAAATCAGCTTCCCGCAAACGCAACTCAAACCAAACACATAAGGTTTGTACCCACCCTCCCACCCAATATCCCATATTGAACCATGCATGCTGAGGCGCAAGGACGTTGAGTGCGAAGGTGTCTCGTCGGTCGGAGTAGAAGCCTTCTCCTTCTACTTTGGATCGGGTCAGACGGTCAAGGAACCGGGAGAGGAGGAGACGGAGGAAGGGTATTGTGAGAAGCCCGAGAAGATAGATCACTAGTGAGGGAGCCATGGGCGGCCACGACGGACAATGCGAAGGAGGAGCGCAAGGGGTGACATTGATCTCCCAAGTGGGGCCCCAGCTTTCGAGTGGCCCATCTTTCAATCAACGCAAAGCCTTTGGAAGATCGGGAAGAGGCCAAAGAACAGAAAAATTGCATTACTCTTGACGCAAACGGGAAATCGACACTAAGTGAGATAGTCGTACACAAACAAGTCCACTCTCTGTCTCTGCCGTCACCGCTAGAGCCCCTCACGACTCCTCATAAACGCCTTCTCCTCCTCGTATTGCAGGGAGTATTTGCTCCTCAATTGTTCCTCGAGACGATTTTGTTGTTCCGCGTAGTCGGTTGGGGAATCTGTATGGATTCGACGGGTTCGAGCGTCAGCGGAGTTGATCATGCGAATTCAAGCAGGGGCTTTCAGGAAGAACTCACCATCCCTCCCACTAACGCTCCTCAGCTTGCCCAAAGCCTTCTCACTCGGTGCCAAAGGGACAGCATCGGTCGAATCGACAGAAGCTCTCGTATCAACTCGAGGACGAGTAGTTGTAGAAGAACCCTGCGCCGTCTCGGATGCGAAGGGGTCCAAGTCATGGAGGTCGACTTGGCCGTAGGAGCGCTCGGTGTGTTCCTCATCCGCCGAGGAATCGTGTGTTTTGGAATTTGTCGTCGTAGCAGAATCGGGGATTAGATACCCAGCGTTGTTATTTCGGGGTGGCGAGGATAGGTAGGCGGCATAAGGGTTCCGACTTTCTCTCTTACTGCTCTCGTCCTGTTGAAACTCCCCAACCGCAGACGACATCTCATCCCCACTCCCACTCCCGCTCGCACCATCACCCCGTGTATGGTCCCGCTCATCCACCTCCAAGTGATAATCCCCATTCCGATCCGGAGTCCCTGCATTCGCGCGGTCGAACCTCGTCTCGATCCGACTCCTCGCTTCGGCCTCTTGCACCTGATAGTGCTCCAATAGACGATGCTGATGATCGTCATAGAGCTTCAACGCTTCGATCACTTCGGTGTGAGCGGCCAAGAGCGTCGCAAAAGTTTTCTCTTCGTCCGTCTCTTCTGCCGTTCGTCGAGGAGTAGACTGGGATCTCGGCGGACTGGACACGATCGGCGCGAAGGGATTGTTACTCGAGAATCGATGCTCGTTCCTCGTTTCATTCATCGTCGTAGGGAATTCTTCTGCAGGTGGTGCTTCTGCGAGCGCTTGGTCCGCCGCGACGCGTGATTGCTCGGCTTGAACCGTCGCCCATTGCAGGTTCTGCGTCAGATAGTCCTGTGCTCCGAAGCATTGTGCGTGGAACTCCTGTAGTCGCGGACGCGCCCAGCGTCAGACCAGGGTCCAAAGAGTGAAACCAAAAATAAAAAGTACGAACCTGAACTATCTCGTTGCTCTTGAGATCCTCGTCCTCCTTGGCGAACGCAACCGCCTCGTTCAGCATTCTCGCGTATCCTCGCGCCTGTTCGGATTGGGAGCGCAAGTCCTTCATCTGATCACCCATGGAAGGCATGCGGTGCGGTTCTCCGCGTCGACTCTGATGGTTGCGGCGGGATGATTGCATCCGAGGATCCGCGGTCGGGGTGAAGAGATCGTCTTCGGGGTTGAGAGGCTCGCCATTGAGTGGCGTACCGTCGGGTCGGATCTTGTTGTACAATGCAGTGATAGGTTTGAGATCGGCATCGCGCTGTGTGAGATTGTGATCGTGATGTGATTAGCGATTGTTGCGTCGTCGTTCCCAGATCCATCAATATAACTCACAGCATACTCGTAGGCCAAGGGCGACAAAACCCTCAGAACCATCTGCTTTACCGGCGGTTCGGTACTCCTGCTCGTGGCCAAGTTCTCGAGCTCGGCCAGAAATTTCTTGCTCGCGACTTCCTCTGTAAGTTACAAAGGTCAATGTGAGATAATTGTCAGTTCGGTCTACTTCTTCACGACAATGTTACCGCATGGACGTACTTCTGAACCGAAGGTCGGCATTACGAGCGAGGATCCCGGTCAAGCGGACGGCCCGCTCTTGTGCCGATGGGACGGCGTGCTGTGAGCCACAAGTTACCACTTTAGCTCTAAATCACTCTGGAGCTGTGGAGGTCCCGCACCCACCTTGAACTCTTTCCTCAAAGCCTTGGCCGCGTCCTAGAAAGCAGCAGCACCAGGATTACGCGGGCGTCAGTCCTCGGCGTCACGTGTTCGTCTCGGGCAGAGTGTTTGGGCAGAGCCGTGTCTTACTTTGGAAGCGGCGGTGGAGAAGCCGATATGGTCGGCCAAAGCCAAGACGTAGGTAAAGTCGAATTGGGGGGCCGCACAACTCCATCCTGCGATGCGATGGAAGGCATGCTCAGCGTGCGTGACACGAGGGCGGCCCGAGCACGCCGGCAAGGGAGCGCAAGCAGGAAGGGCCGGACTGACCTATCGCATTGATGACATCCCTTACTCGAGGGGGTCGCATGACGACGGGTACGAGTTGGGGCACCATCTGGATCGCGTAGGCTTGGGGTCCGATCGGTACGGGCACAAAGTCGCCTTGACCGCCGGGCCCCTGTGCCGGGTATGGAGCGTCGGGGCCCTGTTGCGAGGTTTCTGAGAAGAGAAAGTAAGGTCGTTAGTACCTGCAAGTACAAACCAGAGCCTGGGCGTGTGTACTCACGGTTCTGCGCATCGTGGACACGCTGATCGAACGTGGAGGGTGGCGGTGGCTGCTGAGGTGGGGGTGTCGACGATGTCTCGGGAGCTGTAGCCGTGGCGGTTGTAGTCGCGGAGGACTTTTTATTGAAGAGACGCTTCATCATGCACAGGAAAGTCGGTCTTCCAAGAGGTGTGACTGCTGTCAACGCGCGCGTCGGTAGGCAGTTGTCGGGTGGGAAGAGCCTGACGTCCGAGCGCGCTCGGGCAGGGTGGCAGTGCGCTCGCAGTGAACACTTTGAGCTTGGCGATTTCTCGCAGGGACTTGGCCTCCACGTGTCGCCGGAAGCAGGTCTCGAAACAAGTTATGATCAACTGCATGACCTCTAGTGCGCAACATAAAATTAGGTAGACCGTATCACACGACACTCTCCCTCTCTGTTCTGACATGAAATTGACCTTGCGGAGTCGGCGATCGCGCTGCTGTTAATTTCCGGCTCGTGTGCGTGCCGACTAGTACTACATACTGCCCACCCCTCAAGGCGGTAACTCGGAAAGGGCTCGGAGCATTTTAGACCATTCTTGAAAAGGTGTGTGCAAACAAAATTTAAAGTGTTTCCTGATGTTGGTGCTGCGGATGGTCAAGCGATATCCGGTATTGCGGTGCACGGATGGTAAGGAGTGGGTAGGACTTGGAGGTCATTGCAGTGGTATACATGCAGGTGGTGGGAAAGGACGGGTGCAGAGCTGCAGAGCTTGCCAGGCCCGATGCCAGGACGATCAGGGGGGCCACTTTGGAAAGCTTTGGTGAGTGTTCGGCTGCACTTTTAAGCACTTTTTAGACCACCTCTAGGGAAATTATCAGGTTAGGGACCCGTTTCCTAAAAGTGGTCCGAGGGCGCTTTTAGCACTGTCAGGGACGGTCCGTGTGAGGCCTAAGCCTTTGGCCTACAGAGAGTCGCGAGGAGGATGTTAGATCGGTGAGAGGCCGTAGATAGTACTTCTTTAACTGGGTTTCAGCTTTGAAGTCAACTACCAAGAGAGAGAAAGAGAGAGAAAGAGAAATGGGGAAGGGCTTCCCAATGAGGCCGGGCGGGCCGAGGCCTGTGCGTCGGCGTCAGTCTTGGGCCGTCGATCACGGGGTCGAAGCATCGCCGTTGCGACTGTTCCGGTAGCGGATTCCGAAGACTGGCACGGGTTGAGCGAATTCAGCAGCGAAGCGAAGGCATAATGCGAATGGTTCAGTTAGTAGTAGTGGCGCAGAACATCACAGGCCTTTGATGCTCAAAAGTGGTCTTAAGAGTGTTTAGAAATGCAGCAGCCGAGCACGAACTCGTATTATTAATTAGCGGTGGTCTCGACTATGAACAACTGCATTTATCCCGCCGTCAATTTTCTGCTACTTTATTTGCTACAATATAAAACTTTCCCCATACCTATGCCCCGAGGCAGTCTGGTGTAGCACAACATCGGAAAGCAGGCAGGACCGCCCGGGATGGAATCTCTCGGAAGCACGTCACCCCACCCCGGCCGAGCGGCGTGGAAGCAGCTGGAAGGCAGCATCATCGCAGCATTCTGCGGCAGTTCTGCGGCCTTGCAGAGCCCTGCGCTGCCCTGCGCGCTCGAAGCCCGTACCCCCCCCCCCCCCCCCCGCTCCTGGTGGGATCCCGCTTGACTTGCTTCCCCGCTCATCGACAGTTTCATGTCCTTTATCGCACGCTCTTCGCTCTTTGCCCAGACGACCCGTCGCGCCTTCAGCACCTCCGCTACCAAGATGTCCAACTACAACGTCCAGTCGATCCTGTCCCAGTCGCCGGCCACGTTGCCCGACTTGCCCTACGCCTACGATGCGTTGCAGCCTTTGTGAGCAACCCGCAACGACCGAGTGCATGCATGCATGAAGGCAGCAGAGCAGCACACTGAATGAACACACGAGTTCGACCACACAGCATCTCCAAGACGATCATGGAGTTGCACCACCGCAAGGTAAGCGCTCCCTCCTTCCGCTTGACTCGAGTGGGGCTGGGGCTGCACCTGTGCGATCCATGCTCGATGCGTGCTCCGTCCCACCTCAGCTCACCACTCGCGCGGCCCGGCGCGCTGCCGCACCTCGGCCTCTGCGTGGCTCTCACACAGCTGCTGACCCAGTTGATTCATTCTGACCGCACAGCACCAGTTAGTCTACATCGGCCTAGAACACGCCCCTCTGGCCCCCCCGCGTTGGCCTACAGAGGGCGATCTGGCATCGCGTCTCATGGCGTGCGCTCCCACTGACGCCATCGCACCCGTCTGTCTACTGCCGCCCCACCGCTCCACCCCGAACTTGACCAACCAGTCAAACCTACGTGACCAACCTCAACAAGGTCAGTCCAGTCAATCACACACCCCCAGATCCCAGATCCGCGCCATCGAACCGGCGCTGACGGATGATATCCCCGCTTGCTTGCCCGTATCTCCGTCCGACGCCACGATGGCGATTACGTAAACCGGAAACTTTCCCCTCCCCTCCTCCACCAACTCTCACCGACCAGGCCGTGGAGGACTACGCTTCCGCCGTCTCGTCCAAGGACATCAAGAAGCAGATCCAGCTCCAGTCGGCCATCAAGTTCAACGGAGGTGGTGAGTACCCCACTGGTCTTTTGCGCTCACCGACACCCCCTGTGTTCCACTGATCACGAAACTCCCGATCACGATCTTGCAGGTCACATCAACCACGTCAGTGTAGAGACATGCACGTCCAAGCACACACGAGCCTTGCAGCTAACTCCGAGCCGTGATACCCACCACAGACCTTGTTCTGGGAGAACCTCGCGCCCGTGAAGGAGTCGCAGTTCCCCGAGTCGGGCCCCCTCGCCGATGCCGTCAAGGCCTCGTTCGGCTCGCTCGACAACCTCAAGAAGGAGGTCAACGCCGCCGCTTTGGGCATCCAAGGCTCCGGCTGGGCCTGGCTGGGCTACAACGCGTCGACCAAGTCGCTCGAGGCGGTCGCGACCGCTAACCAGGACCCCTTGTTGGGCTACACGGCCTTGCTCGGCATCGACCTGTGGGAGCACGCCTTCTACCTCGACTACAAGAACGTCAAGCCCAGTTACCTCGAGGCGATCTGGAAGGTGATCAACTGGAAGACCGTCGAGGCTCGCTTGACCGCTTCCGGCGCCAAGCTTTGAACGTGACGAACAGATTCCTTCTCACCCGAACCGTTGCTGAGCGGTTTCTGCTCGGGAGAAGCCTCTCGAACCTCCGTGAATGCTTCAAGATCAAAGAAAAACCCTACAATGCCCCGTTTATAGTCAATCCAAAATCAATGAAATCTGAATGGAATGTCACATGATTCGTCTCTAGATTTCGCGTCAAGTCGAGAATCGTTGAGGTGCATGCATTGATGCGAGTGATCCGAGCCGGATGACTGTGCCGTTGGCCAATCTGAGCCAATCTGAGCTATGACCCCATCGCTGTTTGACGTTGAGCGTCGACCGACTTGTCTCCTCGTCTGGTTCAGCTGCTGTCTCTTCGTGCCGCTGCAGGAGCGACCGCAATGGCGGGGTGTAAGACGATCAAGACAGCCCGAACTCGTGGACCTGTACCATCATGGCCTCGAGGACCCTCTCTGCCCTCGGTCCTGCTGGCGTGGGGCATCGCCTCGTTGTTCGCAGGCACGGCCCCACCGTTCGCTGGTACTGGTGCTGGTGCCGGCATGGGGGTCTATGCAGCAACGACTCTCCTCAACATCAGTAGCTCCACAACGACGACGATCATGCTTGATGATCCGTCTACAAGTGTGTTTAGCCTCCCCGCTGGAACGATGGCTTCGTTCGCGATTGCTGCTCCCTCGGACACGGCGATGAGTTCGAGTTCGACAACGGCGGTGCAAATCATGCTTAGCGTTTGCCAAGTACCGCTTTCGCTCCAGAACGCCGATTCAACTACCGCCTTTGCGTTCTTGGCGATCACTCCGACCTTGTTCATCTCGAACGACTCGTCCCTCACTTCCAGTCCCGGACCGAATGATGGTGTTACCGAATTGGCTCTCACCAAAGCGCAGAGGAAAAATTATGCGGTCCAAGCTTTCGTCGATGGCTTCACCGATGCTTCCTTTACTTCGACGACATCGGGTGGTGGAATTTTTATCGGGGTTTTCGCACCCAACTCGACTGTGTCGGATCAATGGACTTATTCACTCTCCGTCACTTCGTCCACTCAAGAATCGGATTCGATCATCCTCGAACCTACCGCCGGACTTCGCGTCGAAGGCACGGACTCTTCCTCCGCACTCTTGACCACCAGGGCCTATCCCACCAACTCGACCACCCCGGCCTTTTCGAGTATGATCGCGCGAACATCGATCCTATCCACCACGCTCGCTTCATCGTTGTGCTTCCTTCAGAACGGATTGGAGGACGTCGTTTCGAGTCGGAGGATCAATCAGACGACGACGACGAGGAATACGGCGCAGGGGTACGTCAAGACGCAGTACTTGGTCGAAGGATTGAGGAACGGAGTCAATTACACGGCTTGGTTGGTCGAGACCGCGGCTGATGGGTCGCGAAAGTTGTATCCGCCGAATTATTTCGCTACTCAGACTTGTGAGTTCGCTTTACTCGAACTGCTCGACCTCGATTTGGATCTATTGATTGCTGTCGCTAACAAAAGAACGATTCATCGATAGCAACCTCATGTCAATTGATCTACGACGTCCCTTTGTGCCCTCTCGTCGCCTACGCCGTACCTTCACCACTCAGCGTAACGCCCGAAGCCCTCATTTCCTTCTACTCCACGAACCTCTCCACCTACCTCTCAGCCTTCAACCGCACCCTATCCACCTTCCCCTGCAACGACTCGACGGGTGATTTTTCCCCTGTCGCGACGTGTCAGGATTGTTTGGACGCTTATACGAGTTGGCTTTGCGCCGTCACGTTCGTGAGATGTACGGATGCGCCGGAAGGGAGTACGGTCTTGGAGAAGGCGAATTGGTCTGATTCGTGGACGTTACCTTCGACCACTGCGACGGGAACGAATGGGACTTCTTCAAGCTCATCTCTATTCTCCAATGAGGGTAAGACCGAATGGACTTCGACTATCGTACGAGACAATCCAACAGCTTCCCGAACCTCATCACTCTCGTCCGATAACCTAGCGACCTCTTTCCCTTCCCTCGTTTTTAATACCTCTTTCACGCCCGAAAGAGCGAGTCCGTTCCCTTACGCCGAGGTATTACCCTGCTTGGAATCGGTGTGCGAACTCGTCGGAGCGAGATGTCCTCCTTTGATGGGGTGGGCTTGTCCGAGAGCGAAAGGAGGGATGGGCAAGTCGGGTTATGCGGTGCTGAAAGAGGTTGGGAGAGGGGAGAGACAGGTTGAGAGTTATGGGGAGGCGCAGAATGGAGGGATGGTCAAGGAAAGTGTGGAAGGGAAAAAGAGGGATTCGGATCGGTTTGGGAACGTCTTGTAGGTCCTCGTTTGCGAAAGCGAAGATGACGAGAAGACTGATCCGCTTAAGCACTTTTTCGCCACAGTTGTAACTCCTTGGGGTCCGATATGCTCTTGGCGCAGCAGTTTGGTTGATGAATCTCAAGTCGGCACAGGACTATCCGCATTCTCATGTGCCACTTTGGGAACATTACCTCGTCTTACTTGATGGATCGCCCACCGCTTCAATCTTTCTCTCCATCTGTCCATTGTTGTAGTGTTATCGACGTGTCAATTTTAGAAAGTGGCTCACAGTTGACGGAGTGTAGGCAGATAAACTGGTCGTATTCCACCAACACCGAGAGAGCTCCAAATGCGTTACAAGGGGAGCATGCGGAAAGGCGATTAACGGTGAGGGCCGCGGCTAACACCAGATAAGTAGAAGGCAATAACACAACAGCGAAAACGGTGCGGAGCGACACAAGTGATGTTACCGTACCCCTTCGACAGGCATCTCAGGTTTCGGTAAACGATGCTCCGGATGACGATGGCTGGTTTCCCGAACCTTTTCCTCCCACTTCATCAGTTCGGCCATGAACCCAATGTTGGGACTGACGCCTTTCCTCCGCTTGCCCACGAACGAATAGGCCTGATCCAACGACATCTTGTGCGATTGAACCAAGTAGGCGACGACAATCATTACGCTGCGACTCTTCCCTGCGCGGCAGTGCACATAGACGGGTTCGTTGCGAAGCTGGCATGCGTCGATGAGCTGACACGAACGACTCAGGACGGCTTGAATGCCCGTCTCTTCGACGACGTCGCGCAAGGGGAAATGGTGATATTGGTTCGCACGCGAGTACACCGACCGCACCAGGGAGTCCTTGCACTCGATGGCGAGGTTCAATATGGTCTCCACACCCATCGCTTGGAGCTGTTCAACATCGCTCATGGTCGCCGGCTCAGGGCCGAGGTAGAGGAACGACGGGAGGATCGTCGAAGGGTCGAAATCCGACTCGTCGGAGCGTTGATTTGAAAAGGCTTCGGAGGGAACATTGGCCGACGACACGGCGCGTGGGATCGCCGGACGTTCCGAGGGGCGTTCCGAGGCTTGTATGCGACATAAAGACTGGAGCGATCGCGCGCCAGGCATCATGTTGGGCGGCGCCGTCGGAGCACCTTTGCTCGTATTCCACCCCAACGAGGATTCGGACGTGTCCAAGCGCAATGGTCGAGCGCGAGGTGCCGCGCTACGAGGCGAGATGGACATGCGCGCCGGTGCCAAGCTCAGGAACGTCGGCGTCGTTGGCTGTTCGGGTGGCGTATCTCCAGAGCCCATCACGGCGTTGGCCGTGATCGACCGACTGCGGGGTGACGAAGGTAGAGCAAAGGTAGGCGTCGGCTGAGATCTGGCCGGTGCCGAATCCTCCCTCCCGATGCAGCGCCATTCGGCACTCAGACCGTTCTCCGACCAAGCGTTCGCGAGCGATCCCTTCAAGACACTGACTTCCTCCACCTCTGGCTTCTGGCGCAGTATCTTGAGCAGAACTTCGACAGCGTCCCTTTCGCTACTATGGGAGTCGTGATCGTCCTCATCGACGTCGCCGACTACGATGACGCCATACGAGCCTCTGATCGAGTTGACAATGAGTTTGCCCTCGTCGGTGGTGACGAATTGGTGCAGATCAAAAGAGCAAGTCTGTTTCGAGCTCTCTCCCGGCTTGCTCAGACGCCGCATCAGCAGAGCTGGGAAGGCCATGTTTCTGTGTGGTGTGAGATCCGTGGGAGTGAGAACGGAGGTAGACAGGAGAGGATCGCGAGGCGGAGCGGTTGGATCAGGCTCTGCAAACTCACACCGAGCCCTTGATCCTTCCATTGGGTCCCAAGAAGTCTTGCACCGGCCTCACGTCAATAACGAGCGACGTAGTCGTGCTTTCGCGATTGCGCTCGAGTTTCTTGGATAGCTCGTGCGCAGTGATGTGGACACCAGCCTGAGTGGGCGATTCCGAGGTTGGGCCGGGCGACAAAGGGAAAGCGTCTCCGCTGCTGGTTTCGGTCGGCGATGTCGAGGCGCGAGGTGGAAATAAGAAGACGCTTGACGAATTGTCTCGGTCACGGGACGATAACGGGTAGGCAGATTGTGCGGGGGAGGTGACTAAGAAGCGGCCGTAGCGCGGTCGAGAGAGTATGTGAGCTGGCTGTATGCAAGTTCGGATCGGCCGGCTCGGAAACTTACTTTTAGTCGACGGCGCGAACAATGGGCCCAGCACCGGTGTCGCAAACGATGGTGTAGCCAGTGGGGCCGTGGTCCTCACCGTAGTATCCAGGCTCGATGGCGCTGTGGCTGACGGCCCCGACGACTTGGGGTGATCGACAGAATCGAGGGGTCGCGAAGTGAGCGGCAGGGAGTTACTGTGCCGGGTGGGGATCGGGATTTTGACCGAGATGCCTGTCGACGGTGGCACGGAGGAACAGCTTTCTGACTTGGGCCTGTCAAAGATACGGTTGCCATGCTTGATCGTCCGCGCAGTCCTGGACCTCGGTGTAGTCGTAGCTGTGGCGGCGAGCACATTCGCAGTCGACCCCCCTGTTCTGGACCCGGTTGCACCGCCGCGGAGAGCCAAGCCACCAGCACTTGGCGCGCACTGCTCATCCTCGTCGCCGAAGTCGGAGTGGTCCGTCAACATGGGATCGAGGTCTTTACCCGAGTCGCTCCTGCCCCACAGCGTCGTGCTCGCATTCGAAGAAGCGCCATCATCATCATCGTCGTCGTCGTCGTCGCTGCCGCTGCCGCTCGCTTGGCCGGGGATGGGTGGCGACGCGCCCCTGCTCAAAGAGCGCTTCGAGGCGGGCGAGCTGGTCAGCCGGTCCAAGGTCAGGAGGAGGGACGGACTGCGCCGCGAAGGCGTCGTAGGTGGTGCAAGCCGGGCTGTGTGCAGGTCGGGCTCGTTCTGTGGCATGGCGGTAAAGAACGCGAAATCACCGACTTGGCCGACGGCGGCAAGGTCGGATCAGCCTTCGGAGAGGGTGGACCCCGCTCGAGTCCGAGGCGTGTATGCAGAACTGTCCGGGGAGCAGCGCAGGCGGGCAGGGGGGCAGGGAACCTCCCGAAACCAGGTTTCAATGTTGTGATCAACGTCAATGCTGTGGGGCGGAGCCGAGTGCAAATGGCAAGAGGACAAGTGCAGGCTGGGGTCAGAGCGCAGTTTGGGCTCAGCGACCCGCCAGATACTTTGCGGAGCGCTGAAACAGGACCGCTGGAAAGGGAAATCCTGGGGAAACAGGCCGAGTAATCGCGCACAGACCGCCCGCGGCGGCCGAGAAGGACCCTCGGACCGAGATCGGATCAGCACATACTGTCGCTCGAGAGTAAAATCGCTTTCGTGACTTTACAGAGCGTCGAACTGTTTCTACCTCGTAACCTTGAATTGCATTCATGTCTATGGAAATCGTCAAGATTCTTACGCGTCCAAAAAGCTATCAAGGGGTTCGCCCAAGTGTTCTTCGATCCTCGTGATCAACGATCGTGTCGCCCTTTCGACCCCGCCTTCGCTTTCCTCGAGTGTCTCGCTCAGGAATGGTGTAGTTTCGGGGACGAAGCCGAGCATGCCGTCCCCGAGCGCGACCCAGACCTGTTCGAGAGCTTCGACGGCCGCTCGCTTGACACGCAGATCATCCGAGCGGGTATGCATTAGTAACGACATGTTGAATTGCTTGAGCAAGCGCTCGTGGGCCACGAGTCGCAACGAGTACTGCGACAGCAGAGGCTCGTAATGCGACTTGACGAGGCCAGGTGGCAGCACTTGGCGAGAAACGAGCACCTGGTCCGCAACAGGAGTCGATAGTTTGCCCAACCGCAGGGGCGTCCAGAAGTCTGCGAGAAAGCCGAGTAGAGAGGAGTCAATCGAGTCCAGCTGTCTTTCCACCTGATCTACGGTACATGATTCAACAAAGCGGAACTTACTGCCTTCGTCGTAGTCGATCGATTTGGTCAGAGCCGACGTCACAGCAGTCCAAAGTGCGACATCTTGATTGTCGCCTCGGGCGAACGCCACAAGCAGCTCGGTGGTTTGGTCGAGCATGAACGAGAAGTAAGGCACGACGATGCTGCGCAGCTGCGTCAAAAGTCGATCCATCAACTTGTAAAGCACGATGCGACGAGGGTTGAGCGCAACCTCGCCTTGTTCCACGAGATCGATCGCAGCCCAATCGTAGGTGCGTAGGAACAGGGGTCGGAACGTCTGCTCGTTGAGTTTGAGGATGAACTGCACGAAAGCGCCCAGTCCGGTGTCTTCGATGCGATCAAGGTCTTCGATGAGGAGCGACGAAGCCTGGAGTCGACGAAGATCAAAGATGGCAAGGAAGAGCTTGAAAATGGACCGGTAGGCCCCTGCAATGTCTGCAACCTTGCCATATCGCAAAGCGCGATTGAGAACGTCAAGCAGACCGAGGACGCCTGAAGCAGTGGGACTCGATCCTAGCGAGGCATGCATACGAATGATAGAGGGATACAGGACCTTGGCAGGAAGCCTCTTTGCGGCGGTGGAAAGGAGTGCTGCGCGGGCTTTGCTGACCGCCGTCCCCTTGGTTCCGGCGAGCACGAGCACGTCTGGCGAGAGAGTGAGCTGTAACACCTTGTCGGTATGCGCGCCGATGAAGTTGGGGATGGAGGAGAAGAGGCCCTCAAGTGTCTCGAAAATCGGAGCCGCAATAGCCGACAAGCCGGCGGGCTGCTTGGCGACCGAGTGGAGCGTGTCGATGGCGAAAGGCACGATCTTGGCGACAAGAGGGATGAGACGAGGACCGAGACGGCTCGTGAGCTTCGTGACGATGTTGATTGCCAGCACCCGAGTAGCGACATCGTTCTCTGCCGATGATGCCACTGCGATGAGGTACGGAACAACCTTGGCCAAGGCGGTGTCTTCGTCGGGATAAACCGATGATGCGATGATGAGCAACGTCTCGAGCGCCCCGTCGCGGTTCTCGGTCGTTTCGGACAGCAGTGTGTGCGCCCGGTCTACGACACACACCACCGCCGGTGAGATCTCGGCCCGCCTGGCGGGCTTGATCTTGGGCAAGCGGGTGCGCAAGAGACCGAATGCGCGGGGCTGGATCGTTGCGTCGGACTGATCGAGCAGCCAAAGAATCGCCTCCGAAAATGAGCTCGTCGACATGAGGTGGACCGTCGACCGGATGCACGAGTTCGTCACAGCCACTAGCTCAGACTTCGCAGTCTGCGGCAAGGTCGAAGTCGGCGGTGGCACCAAATTCAACAGGGCCCGTATAAGACTAGTCAAGCTGGAGTCGACATCTTCCAAACCGGCAGCACGAGCCGCATCGACCTTGCCAAGTAGCTGTCGCGATTCGAGCGCGGATGCGAGAAGCGACAGTTGTCGATCAATTTGCAGTGCCATAGCGTTGTTGGCCTCACTCTCCATTTCCACGGTGCTGTGAAGCAGATCCCAGAAATCTCGAGTAAGCTTCCTGGTCGTAGACCGTCGTTCCAGCGTCACAGGAACACAGGAACTTACGCTGCGCGCGCATCCAAGAAAGATGGCTCGCCTTCGAGCAAATGTCCAACTTCGGCCACGATCTGATGGAAAGCCGCTAGTTGGACCTCGATCGAGAAGTGCTCGAGCACCAACGAAGACAACGGGCTGCCGTCGGCGGTCTTGATATCGCGCTCGGCGAGCAACATGGCCATGGCCGACAGGAAATCTTGGGAGCCAAGCGTCTCGACGAGTCGCACGATTAGCCTGGAAGAAGGCAACACATATGCTTGTGGTTAACACTGAGAATGAAATGGAGAGCTGAGCGAAGAAATGGTACTCACTTGATGCGTCGATGCCGAGGCATGTGCTCGGCAGCATCCGCAAACACTTGCAAGAGATCTTTGAGGTTCGCCACAAGCGCCTCGCGGTCCCCAGACTTGCGCTTCGTCGACTTGACTAGGGCCGGGATAATGCTCTCTAGCGTTTGATCAACGACGCGCAAGCTGTAAGCGTCGTCCCGCTGGATCACGTTCGCGCCGACAAACGTAAAGATGGGCATGACGTGGTGAACGAGTTGATCTGGTACGAGCGGGCCGAGCTGGGCGAGCAAGAGCAATGCTTGGTGATACGTCTGCGGGTTCGTCGAAGTGCGCATGAGGTCGAGCACAGGTGACATCCGAATCGAGTCGGTGATGATCGTGTTCGCGTTGGGATCGACATGCGACACCAGAGCAGACAGACTTGAGAGCACAAGTTGGCCCGGGTATTGCACATCGACCTGAGCGGGGGCGGGGACCTCAATCATGCTGGAAAGGAGATCGAACAGCGCCAACAGAAGGTTGGGGATGGGTTCCAATTTCGCGAAGTCCACCGACTCGAGTATAACCACCAGCTCCGGGACGCGGTCGGTCCTGCTGCCTGCGGTGACAGACGAGTTGCCCAACGAGGTGCGTCCTCGTTTTGCGCCTTTGCTGACCGGGGACGCCAAGAACAACTTGAGCTCGTTGAGGACCAAAGTGACCGTTCCAGCATCAATTTTTATGGCGCGCACCGCCGCCAATGGGGCCGCCGCGAGCCGCGCATCCTGATGAACACCAAGACGAATGAGCCGTTTGAACACGTCGAGCCTGTCCTCGCCCCGGACCACGGAGAAGAGAGATGCGCCAAGGATCGTGAATGCCTGCTCGCGCAGAGCGCCGCCGATCCCGAAGAGTTCCTCGAGGCTCATCAACTTGACCAAGGTCTCGAAGGCCTGATTGTCCGCGCTCGATTCGATCCACTTCTTGCTCGCGTCGTCGAAAGGTTGCAGCAGTTCGCGGCTGAGTTGGACGACAACGTTCGAATCCACGTCCTTGGAAAGGTTGAACCGTTCCTCGGCTGTGTACTCGGTTATGACTTGACGCAAGATAGGCAAGACCAAATTGGCTTTGAACGAGTCTCGGACCCGCGACAATATGCGCAAGAACGTGAAGCGAGTCACCAAATCACTCCTCCACGCCAACGCATGGGACAGCAGGAACGTCGCGACTTTGACTTTCAGCGTCGTCTTCTTCTTGGACGGGCTAGGATGACTAGCCGATGATTTGCTCGACGGGGCATCCAGTAAGGACTCGTGGATCGAGATAAGGTAGGATCCGTCCATCAAGATCTCAGTCTTCGCAGCCGCGATCTTGGTCAGATATTCGGTGGTATCGGCGACGTCGAGGTATTGCAAGACCGAGCTTGAGAAAGCTCCGTAAAACTTCTCGCGACCGTAAATGTGAGCTGTCGACATGGGCATGGCCTGCAGCACAGCCGAGACCAGATCCATGGCTTCAACTCGGACGCGACGATCAGGCGAAGTTAGTGCCAAGACGATAGCTGGAACGACGACTTGCCAATCGACAGGTTTGCGCAGATCGGGCGAGGCTTGGGCCTGCACATACACAGCCGCATCCCGCAAGGCGATGACACGCAGCTCGAGAGGCACAGTGCTTGAGGTGAAGATCGATGCCAGGAACGCAAGGACGTCAACGACCACCATGTGACCAAATAGCGATCGGAGCAGGGAGCTTGCAAGTGTCGAAGGAGCGGACTTCGTCGCCGATTGAGCGTGGGCGAGTTGGTAGACCGCAAGAACGAAGTCCTGCAGATCCGAGTCGTGGTCGCCGTCTTGGGGAGCGAGCCAATTCCACCGTATCCTCTCATCACTCCGTACTGTTTCCACTACACTCAGGAGGAGCACTGTCCGTACCCATCGCAAAGTGTAGTGCTGGTTAGGGCGGGACACGACAGCATCCGCTACCGCCGCCGCTGGCAGGCCGTTGGCAAGGTTGGCTACAAGCTCGACCTGACCGTTCTCGAATGAGTCGATTCCGAAGGCAGTCTCGGTGATGCGACCGAAGACGTGGAGAGCGAAGCGACTACGCAGCTTTGGCTCAATGATGCCCGCAATGCGAGCGGAGACGAGACTGGACAGCAAGTGAGAGCTGGCCTCTGGCAGAGATGTCTCACCGGCTTGCGCGATAGGAGTGACACTCGACAGAAGGTAGTCTTGTGCAACCTCGTAGTGCTCTCGAGCCAAGCCAGCAATATTGCGCGCTAAGGTGTCGACCACGGCTTCGTTGGCACGAGTAGCACCCGCGGCAAAGCCGTTATTGCTGGGATCGAGCTTGAGGTCAAACGAGGATCCTACGCCGTTCAACCAAGCGGAAGCCGTCTCGAGTTTAGAGCCTGTAAGTGCAACCCATGCCACGACTCGCTGGGCGTGATCTGCTTTGGCGCTCAGGAGGCGGCCCCAAAACACTTCCCGAACCACGCGGTCGGCGAGCTCGGGAAACTGAACGACGAAATGATCGGCGAGGTAGGCCAGGACGAGCTTGACAGAAGCGATGGGTGCAGTTGCACCGAGGCTCATTTTAAGTGCTTGCAGTTGATCGACGCCACCCACGTAGTTGTTAAGGATCGAGAGGGCGGAAGGAGCCAAGACCGCGGAGACGACGGAAGCATCCGACTCCGAAAGCCGTGCGACCAAAGTGTCGTGAACAAAGGAGGGATTCGAGGCCGCTATACTATCCGCTGACAGCAGCACATCATTGAGAGCTTTGACTCGCACTGCTGCATCGGGATCGGAAGCGGCCAAGAACACGCTTGACGACTGCGTATCGTTCGCAACAGTGCGTCCGCCCGAGAGCACGGCGTTGACCAGGGACCACAGCTTTGGCTTGTCGTTCGCCGGGAGGGTGCTCGTGCGCACGCTGAGCTCCTTCGACCAGATCGACGGCCATCGTTGATGAACTTGCGAAAGTGCGCGCACCAAAGGTTGGGTTGATTGGCTTGACGACGCGCACAGTGCAGCGGAAACAACGGATCGTGCCAGAAGCGTCACGATGGTGTCGGGGAGTACCGTGGGCGAAGTTTGCTCGGATTCACCAGTCGGCAACAAAAGCTTGGACAGAATGGCGGCTTCGGCCTCCGACTCGACACTGTGTCAATTATGTTTTTAGATCAGTCAAGCCCCCAGGGGAAGCGCTTAGAGCTATCAAGACTTACGCCTGCGCCGCCAACGTATTGAGGAAGGGCGTCATAAACTTTTGTGCATCGTACTGATTGCATAGCTGAATGAGCAGATCGCAAAGACGTTCGACCTTCATCAAGCTCTTCCAGCCACTACCGCCGAGGAACTTCTTGCCCTCGCCGACATCGACCAGACCCTGACCAAGGTGGGTGACAACGATGAGGGTTGTGATGAAAGCCGCGTCGGTCTCTTCGTCGCCGGTATCTCGCCTTGTTTTGTTGCTGACGATCGTTTTGACGACCACCCGCAGCGTCTCGCCTTCGAAGGGTAGATGAAGCGCGTAGCGGGCGAGCAAGATGTAGGTCGCAATCAACAGATCGGGATGATCCCTCGACGACCGCAGCACCTCGAGAATCGTAGACAGGACGGCAGCACGTTCTCCCTCGGGAAGCTTCGTGCCGGCGCGGTCGACGTAAGCGGCTACGAATTGCAGCCAGAAGCCGATCAACGCTCGGTGGACTTTCTCGTCGGCCTCGAGGTGGGAGAGCGGCAGTCGAAGCAAGAAGTCGAGAAGGCCTCGCGCTGTCGGACGAGGGTTGAACGGAGGAAGGAGGGAGATGAGGTCGGGCAAGGCGAGGGGCGCCAAGGAGGCTCGGACGTCGAGCAAGAGCGAGAACGGCGCGGCCTCTCGCAGGGTCGGCTCGGCGATGAGGTTCAAAGCGGACGGGAAATGAGCGGTGGTGTGGTACGGCATGAACATGGCGATCAAAGACGCGGTGTTGAGATCATTGACCCTATGAGAAGTGAATGCGTCACACATCGACGGCGGTCAGCGGCGGTCGGCGTAGGTGAGAAGATGGGTTAGACTTCGCGTCCACGACTTTCTTGAGCGGACAGAGCCCACCAGAACAGCAGAACTGACCTGAATCTGCGCAAGAGCCATTCAAGTACGACTCCAGCTGGTTTGAGCAGCATGTGCTTCCCCAGGGCCCGGAGCACCTTGTCGAGCACTTGGCCGAGCCGATCGTTGTCCTCCTTGGTCAAGGCGCTTCGATCGATCGTCTTGGCTTCCTCCCCCAAGATGCGAGCATGGTAGCGTTCGAAGAAAGGGTCGAGGTTCGACAGCTGGTCCCAGGCATTGGAAGCGAGTGCATGAAGATCCGCGTTCGAAACGGACGCCGCATGGCGCGGCGAGAAGATGAACGAAGGTGGGTTCTTGAGCGACTTTGCGGACTGCAATCGCACGGAGTCGAGTGTGGTCCTCTGTGCGAGTTGCGCCGCCAGAGAGCTCGACATAGTGGGCAAATGTGGGTGGGGTGGCGTGCGTTTCCGGGGCCAAAGCTCCGATGGAAGGCTAGAGCGAGCGAGGCCAGTGAAATGGTTCGCCGGGTGGGTGTGCGAAGGGGGGGCGTCGGCGGGCGTCGGCCTCGGTCGGCTCAATCTTGGCAATCTTGAGCTTGATTGCTGCGAATGGTCGAGCCGGCTGCGAAGTCGCGGGTACTGAGCGCTGAGGTCACGTGCCCCGAGCCGCGCGTGGACTGAACGGTTTGTAACGCGATTACTTGGCGACGAGTTTGAACGGTAAGGGATTTGCGCGGGACCCGCCCAAGCCCGCCCAATACGGCTGAGCCAGGCTGAGCCCGTGCGCCTCTCGCGTACCAGGCCAGGCTTGCGCTTGCGGTTCCTCTGCCTTCCACACCAACCACCTCATTCTTTGCCATCATGTCTGACACCGAGGTAAGCGCGGCGAGCGCGATAGTGCCACCCGCGACCAGAGCCATGTTGCTGACTCGACTGTACTCTCTTCTCTGTCGGTCGTTGCTGTGATGCTCGTTCGTCGCTCACTCCGCCGCGGCCGCCCTTTTTTTTCCCTGACGCCCAATCCGCGCCCGGCGACGACACTCACCTCGCTCTGGCCCTCGCCCTCGCCGCCTGCCCGCGCTGACTTGGTGCTGGCCGCTCGCCTACTGCGGTACTGCCTGCCCACCCTCGGAAACGAACGGGCCGGTCGTCGACTGACATCCTCCCGGGTCTCCCTCGCCCTCTCGCTAATCGACACCTGCATCACGCCTCTCACCTCGACTCGGACATTGCTTATTGCTTCTTTGGAACCAACAGCAAACCAGGGACCAGGAGCATGAGGAGACCACCTTCGAGTCGGCCAACGCTGGTGCCTCGTTGACCTACCCCATGCAGTGCTCTGCGCTCCGCAAGGGTGGACACGTCGTCATCAAGGGCAAGGCCTGCAAGGTCAGTGGATAGCTTCTTCGTTGACCTGCACTCTCTGCATCGTCATCGTCTGTCACTGTTGCAGGTGTACACATCAGCGTGGTCGTATATTTGGGTCGTAGCATGAGTTGTGTGGAGCCCGCGAGTGACTCGGCCAGACTGGTCCGAAAACGCGGCCAAGGCCACGAGCGCACCCTCGACCGGACTTTGCTACGAGCGCACGTCCATCAGCCCGCGCCCTGTTACCCACCGCTGGCTCTCTTCTTCGCTTTGCCGTCACGCCAAAGCGAACGGCATCTTCGACAGAACACTGCTCTTCTCCCCGAACTCGTACCACTGCTGACCCGTGCTGCACCCACACTTCCATCCCCTCCTTTGTTCCGTCACCCCGCCCTTCGTTGGATGCCCTTCTGTAGATCATTGACATGTCGACCTCCAAGACCGGCAAGCACGGACACGCCAAGGTCCACTTGATCGCCACCGACATCTTCACCGGCAAGAAGCTTGAAGATATTTCGCCCTCAACCCACAACATGGACGTCCCGAACGTCACTCGTTCGGAATACCAGCTCATCAACAGTGCGTTGTGGCCCATTCGCACGCCTCGTCCTTTGTGCACTGATCGTAAATCTTGCTAACGAACACGATTGACTCCTTCGAACACAGTCGATGACGGTTTCCTCAACTTGATGACCACCGACGGTACCGCCAAGGACGACGTCCGTCTCCCCGAGTCCGAGATCGGCGACCAGATCCAAGCCGCCTTCGATGACGGAACCGATGTGAGTGACAAGCAGGCCATGGACAGACGCTTGACCGCTTGTCGTGTGCCGATACTTACGCTTTCTCGTCTCGTGACGTCCTATCAGCTCCTCGTCACGATCATCGCCGCCATGGGCCAGGAGCAGGCCATCGCCTTCAAGGAGGCCCCCAAGGTTCGTCTTCTTTCCCGGTTCGGCGGGTCTCAAGCAGTAGCATGGATCATTGACGCCCCTAAACGTATGCTATCGATCCTACAGATGTAAATCGCTTCTCCAACCAAAAGGAATCGACACGTCTGCCCCCTCTCTTCTTCCCTCGTTCCCCTTTGCATTTCTTCTTTCCGCTTCCCGCTCCTTCCTTGCCTCAAACTCTCTCCCCTCCTCCCCTCCTCCCCTTCCCCACTCCCTTCCTCCCCTAACCCCCTTCTCCTTCCCTCCTCCCTCGGTCTATATGGTGGTTCGATCCGGTCGTCATCTCGTGCTCAAGTAGGCGGTCGCCTTGGTTGGTGAACCTCTCGCCTGAGCTTGGACCGACGTCAGCGAAATCGAATCATAGAATGTGCTGGACGTATGTGTCGCGTGTGTGCTTGTGTGTGTCCGTCGATGGACAGTGGGTGGTGAATGTATGAAGATGGCGGTGTTTTGCGATGGGTCAAAAGCCTGGCTCGTCTTCTCCTTGCTTCCTTTTTTTAGATGCAAACACGAAAAAGGATTCCCTCGATCCGGGCCGCCCCAAATCACGGTAGCCCGGGTCGAGGGCCGAACTTCCATCTTGTGTGCTCCGAGGGATTCTTGTTTGGAATACAACCCGGTTCTTTCTGTGTCGTTTGAGTTGCCCGTCTTTCGTCGCGAGCAGGGAATTTTTGCACCTGCGACCTTCGGTTATGAGGACACTTTTCAGTTGCAAATGACCGTCTCTGCTCCCAGCAATGCTTCAACTTTCCACGGACACGCCTACGGCCTGTCATCTCCACTCAGTAGGCGGTGAGCGATACAATCCTTTGCACAGAGTGCACCTCCGCCATAGAGCCAGAAACGGTCATCGTGACCGTCTGCGATCCACTGTCACTCGATGGTAGCAGCGCTCCAGCGCGGCCTTGCAGTGGCGGCTTAAGTTAGTCGCAAACACTCTTTCCCAACTATCGGCGATGTTTAAAACCTGATGCAAGGCTTTCAGAGCTGCAAACAGCACGTATAAGTACTCTCTGCTTTCGAAGCGCCGTGGAGCGCGGCGAAGCTCCCAGAGTCCCAGGTCCGAGTCGAATCCAGGCCAGGCTTCTTCAAGCGGCCGAAACGTTCGCGTGACAGCAAGGATCAAGTCGATCTTTGCATTTCACCCTCAATCTTCTTTGTCCTGAGACCTGATCTTGAATTTACACCGCATTGAGAGACTACGATCGCAAGTTGCAACCCGCCAGGTGAGCAGGGGACTGTCTGAATTTCGAGGTCTTCGGGCTCAAAATCTCGACGCTAAAGACCTCGATTTCCCGGCGATCACTATTAGATCACAGCTTGGCAGCCGGGCGGCGCGCACACCGCATGCGCGGCCTGGTAGATGGGACCGGGCAGTGGGCACAGAGACTCAACATCTTGTAGCACTGCACTTGAGACTGTGTCGCTGACTCAATGTGAGTGCCTCAGCTTCAACCCACCAACTCGCGACCGTGGACGAGATTTTGCATCACTTCGACTAGACTCGTCCCCGTCTTGTCCACCTGTCGACTTGCTCACTGTGCTTCTTCCCAGGTTCGGACATAAGCTCGTCGATTCGCGCTAGTTATCGTTATCTATCTACCTATCTACCTATTCTATCTTATCTTTATCTTATCCTATCCTATCCTATCCTATCCTATCCTATCTACAGAAACAACGTCAAAGAACGAAAGACAAACCACGTGGCGTGCCTTCCGTCCGCTGTAAGCCGTGCCTTCACGCCTGCCCTTTGAGCCTTGTTCCATAAGCCGCCCCCCGCGCAGGAATTTCTACCCAAGCCCGCTCCTCCAGCCTTGTCAGTTCCGTGCTTGCCGCTGCTGTAGTACCAAGGCTACGCTTAAGCTTAGTTGCTCCATAGTTAGTTAGTTAACTATGTGTAAAATCCCATCTTCCAGCCATAACTATCTAACTATCAACTATGACCCAATAGTTAGTTAACTAACTATAGTTGGGATAGTTAACTATGCAAAACTATCAAAATGGCCGCTAATAATGGCGCACGCCGAGCGTCGTTGAGGGCTTACCAGCGCAATTACCCCATACGGCTCAGCAGTATACAACAATTGTTTGGTTGTATTGAGCCTATTGAACCTCTGGTTCTGCCACCGACTTATGAGATCCGCTCGATGCCTTGCTCTCAAACTACCCTCTTATGATAGTGTAATAGTATAGTATATATGAACTCGAACAACCGTTGACAACAGTAATCTGATTCTACATGACAGACCTACACCTCATCATCATCATCGAGCTAAATTGTTTCTCTGGCGCGAAAGACTCTGGGGACCAGGCCTCGCCCGCGGGCGGAGTAGTTTGGCATGAGCGCTGCAGCAGTTTTTACTAATTATAATTTGGTACCTGGCGGATACTTCCTGGCTCATCAGGCTCGGGTATCGGAGCTGCACTGGAGCTGTTTGATCGAACACTAGGTGTCTAGGAAATTTGGTGTTGCACTTCCAGCACTTCGACTGGGGCCTATAGTTGCCATAGTTACAATAGTTAACTATGATATCCTCCGAGCCAGAACTAACTAACTATCAACTATGCCTCAATAGTTGGGATAGTTAGTTAACTATTTGCGGTGGCGTAGTTAGTTAACTAACTAAGCTTAAGCGTAGCCTTGTGTACCAGTTCATCGCTGTGTACCTCTGCCACCCTCCTGCCAAGGTTGGTGTCCGTCCTCGAACTCTTCCTGTCACTACGCCTCAGGCTGACAGGTTCCGAGTCTCACACAGGACCTTCCCGGGGCTTCCCCAGCGATCACGGACGCACCCGCATCAGTCTCTGCCAGACTGCTCGGACAACTGCCCTCTGTGTACGCTGCTTCTTCAACTTTCCTTGTTGGACGGTTGACTAACTGCTCATACCCCTGTATGCAGCCCCCGCCCTACGCCTGCCAAGCGTAGCCGTGCCTCTTGCCATTGAGTACCGCGTCTCGCTCCTAGAGCTAAGGTACATCGCCATTCCTCTCCCGGGCTCTGCCCCAGGGGTACTCCTACTCACAGCTGTCCTTGTTGGGCATGCTGACTTACTTGGCTACCTCCCTACGCGGACAATCCTCTTCACCCAACGTGCCAGCGTTCCGGGTTGATTATCTCTGTTCGTACGCGACACGCTTTCCACGCAAAGGTATGCCAAGTCTTCCCAGTCATTTGCAGTAATCCTAGGTAGACTGCCCTCTAGGTAGCTACTTTGGAAAAGTCGGAGGGAATGCAGTTAAGCACACTGGCACTGGCTAGGCCAGTAGTGTAGGACTCATTGACCCTAAATCAGAATCAATCATACCCACTAAAACCCCCCTAGGTAGTTTACAGAGACAGAAGGAGACCCTTGGACTCCTGAATTGACGCCCGGAGCTCCTCGAGCGCCGTTTCGGTGATCGGTTCCAAAAGATCCGACGAAAATCGGCGGCGGCGAGAGAGCTTCCAGACTGAATGGAAGAAGAGAATACGCAGCTCGACAAGTCGGCGTTCCAAGCGGGAGACGACCGGACACACGAATGCGACGAAGTCGGGGTGTGGAGCCGGCGAGAGAGCTGACCAGAGACGGCGGGCAAAGGGGCAGAGCCAGAGACTCGGGTGCTTCCAAGAGGCACATCACACAAGAGACAGAGCGATTGTTGGGGCGGGAGCTGGTTGGGGATGCAACTTGGCTGCCTGGGTGGAGGAATCCCAGGGAGAGGAGGTGGGCGGTATCCTCAGCGTCCGAGTGAACCTTGCGAACCTTGCGCAGAGCCTTCCACCATGCGTTCCAACGTTGCTCGGGCAGAGAGAAAACCTTCTGGTGTCCGTCAGGGAGGATAGGAGGGTAGAGGAAGGCGTGGTGGCGTTTAGACGCGTTCACAAACGAAGACGGAGTCATCACCTCGCCATCGGGCCCTCGAAAGAGCGTTGGGTTCACCGACAGTTGGATTCCGTGGCCCGCCGGAAAGAAGAAAACGTGTGTCGCCCATCGCTCGAGGTTCTGTTTATTGGAAAGTTCGGGGGGATGAGCGTTGTCACCGACGCCCAGGCTTCGAAGTAGCTGACCCAACGTTGAGGGAGAAGTCTCCTCGTCTTTCTCACCGCATGGTCCCACTTTGGGGGAGAATGGCAAAAGTATGCCCACCAGATCCAGATCCACCGGCGACGATGCTGGTTGGGGGCCGGCCTGGACAAGGTGAAGGGGTGCGCCGTCGGAGTCCGCTGAAACTTGGGAGCTTGAGTCTGATCTAGTCTGAGGGCAGCCAGATGTCGTAGCTCTCTGGCCACAAGACTTCTCCTGTGCCACGTGCTATGACGACAGAGTACTCGCAGCCATTGGCGTTCATTCACCGGCATTCTGCATGTTACCGGCATTCTTCATGCGAACTCGTGGATCCTGGCGTAATGCCAGAAGCTTCCAGCGGCAGCCAGGGTTGTAACATCTCACAACAAGGCAAACGGACCAGCCTCGCGCGAGATCACCACTGCATGCAATAAGCACCTTTTGCTTGTCTTTGGATTGCGAGTACGGGCGAAAACTGGTCCAGACATAGCTGCCCTGCGGCGAAGTACACTACGATTCACCAGGGGGCCGATACCTGCGGCGCGTCCTCCTCCCCGTCCCCGTATCAGACCCCCAGCGTCTCTGCCAAAAATGCCGCAATAGCCAGAATCCACCTAATAGAAGGTCGATGGTCGGTTGGCGAGGAACAAACTGCGGCTCTTGACGACTCGGTGGGGCAAGGGGAAGCGAAGGTTCGGGGTGATGAGTTGCTTGATATTGGGGCGGCGAACGTCGCTGTTCTTCTCGATCTCGGCCACGCGAAGAATCTAGAACCGTGGCACAAAAAGGGCACCCAGTGAGCTTCATGGCTCGGACTCGAGCCTGCGAGGCCATACGGATCAACCGTGCAGCAGAAAGTGAACGGCCGGAGGGAAGGGGTGAAGGCTGCCGGCGGAGAACACTGCCTGCCACGACGCGATACCGGGACTGAAAAGTACTAACCTGAACCGAACGGAAGCGAGCACGGTGACGTGCAGCCATGTCTTGGTAGCAGGCGTGTACGGCGTCTGCACGGGTCAGCTCACGGTATTCCTTGTACATGTTGTGGGTTCCCGATCGCGAATCGTAGCGGAGCCAGATACCGAAGTTCTTGACGACAAGGGGCTTCTTCTCGCTGATCTGTAGGGAGATGCGAAGAGCCTACGATCAGTATGAGAGCAGACTGCTGGCACCGCGGCGGCGGCGGCGAAGGCGAGGGCGAGCCAGGCTGGACGATGGACCAGGGCCACGTACGACGTTGACGGCAACCACTTCACCAGTCGCCTTCTTGACCTTGCGCAGTTTTCGCAAAAAGTACCAGAAGCGGGACTTGGCGACAACATCGTTGGGCGCAAAGATCCTCATGCGGTAAAGCTTGGGCTGCGGCTCCTTCTCGGACGGCAGCTTGCGGCCGATGACCTGATATTCCTGGAAACGTCCCATGGCTGTGGGCGGATCGGCGCGGCGCGAAGGGGAGACGAGACGACGTGGCGGGACGGGGCCAGGGTTGGTACAGGCACATAACCAAGGAATGATAAAAAATAAAATAAAATAATAAAAAAAGCAAATGTCAGTGATTCGTTGCTCAAGGAGTTCAGACACAGAGCGAGACGGGCAGGGCGGCAGGGAGGGAGCGTTGGACGCTCAGAGGAGGGGGAGGGGGGCGTAGGGCACGAGAATGTGCGTTGCGGGCGGGCAGCAAAGGCCCATCGCAGCAACGTCGGCGTGCAACACGAGGGACGAGAGGCGAGTGCACGGCCAGTACAGAACGAATGCGATCTTGTTCCACGAGTGTCAAATCCACCACAATCCCGGGTGCGACTGGGTCTAGATACGATCGCTGCGTGGGACTGACCTTGTGTTTTTTGGTGGACGCAACACGAACGGGGGAAGGCAGACAGAGATTTTGTCGCGGCCGGGCCAGAGCGACTCAGCGCCCTCCTGCGCCCTCCCTCGCCCTCCTGCGCCAGCCTGCGCCAAGTCAGCCCAAGTCAGTCGCTCGCTTCCGCGCACCGCAGTCGCCTCGCCAGGCAGCGCCAGGCGGACCGAGCGTTGCCCAAGCCTCAGACCGCTTGCAGCTCGGTCGACTTTGGGCCGAAGCTAAGCTCGACGCCCCTCCCAAAGGGAGGGGCTTGTGAGTTATCCGCGCTTTGGGCTGAGTTGCCCTCCGAAATTTTGGCCCTGAAAAGTGCCCCCTTGCTGTAGCATGGCATATATTGGTGCTATTTGAACATTGGAGGGATACGTCTTTACTTCATCATTATTGATGAGGCTTCACCGAAGCTTGAAGTCTAGGAACGCTTGATCATCTCGCTACAGCAGCTTGAATCAACTGATTCCGAACGAGACGCAGGTCGGCGCACGGACCAGTCGTAGTCCAGTCCGCGTCGAAGGCTGCATAGATCCAGGTCACTTAAGCCCGGCCGCGCCTCACGCATCCTCTCTCTCCTCCACTCAACATCGCACCTCACCTCATGATGAGCCATGTCGGTACAAACACCCAGGCCGGTTAGGCGACCGCCCCGTCGACATCCATCAGTTCAGGGCGTCTCCCTTGCGATCAGCTTCAAGGGCCAGTCCTACGACCCCAGCACCGAATCGTTCAACCAATCCGACAGCCGTTCTCGGTCACTGGAGGCCACGTTTGACTCACCAGGACCGACGAGATTCCAGCGAATTACGCAAGAAGATCAAAGTGATTCTGGGCGAAAGTCTTGACGAGGACTCTACCCCCGGCCTGTGCAGATCGAGGCCATTGCTGCCCTTTTCGAACTCGATCAATTTGGGAACCGGAATCGATATGACGCTGTGTTCGTCACAGCGCCAACGGTTCAGGCAAAAGTGTTATCTTCGAAGCAATGTATTTCATTTACGGACGCCGGGCCGTCACCATTGTTGTCAGTCCACTGAATGCACTGAGCAATCATCAGGTAAGTTTTTCTGCCGACTGGGCTTGCTGGACGACATTCGTGCTGATTTCCGCAGTCACATGCTTCTTTCAGGCTGCCAATCTCAATTGAAAGGGAAAGAACGCGATTGTCGTATCTGAGGAGACCTGGAGAGACGGCGAGCTGTACAGGCAGTTGGACGACCCCAATCACAAGATCTCCTTCATTCTGATCGTATGTGCCGGTTGACCTCCTGTTTGAGTGAAGTACACATGTGTTGATTTTCCTTCCTGTTGCGTGTCAAGTCTCCTGAAATGCATATGAACAATGCAGATTGGGCAAAGTTGATCTCTAACGAGTCCTTTCGAGAGCGCGTCAAGTTGCCCGTCTATGACGAGGACAGGGGGGTGGTGTGCATCAAGAAGACTGAGGCCAAGATGAAGGACCAGTCGAGCAAGCGCTCGACATATCTGAGCTTTTATCCCGGTTGTAGATGACGAGTCGGATTGGGGAGTTGGGAGGAGATGCTGGAGATTGACTCGCGGTAAAGACGCTTGATGTGCAGAGTAGGCTCGAAGGTTGTAAGCGCCGGCAATATCTCCGTTCTGAATGTGGGCGTAACCAAAAGTTCGATGAAGCAGCTCGGTTCGTCGATCCAATTGCCGATCGTTGACGTGATGTGTGACGTCGATGTTGTCAACGGTCACATGGAAGTACTTGTTCGAGCCAATCTCCTTCAGTTCCGTCGAATTCGCCTTCGTCAAGCTCGCAGCTGCCTGGAGAGTCGCCCAGCGAGATGTCGTCAAGCCGCAATCGTACAGAAACATTGTCAATCGGTCGTTCGCTCCACATGCGAGAGTCATGAGACCGTTGCGATGCTGCATGGCGTTGTTCCTTCGGTTGCAAGCGAATGCGATCTGACCCATGACACTGCGGTAAAGCTGCGGCCAGCGTGTTGAAGTTTTTGGTGTCAGTTCGCTGCGATACCCAGCCGAGCCATGGTCAGAAACACTCACAAACTCGATACACTTTCTTTCGTGATCAGGCTCTTGTTCTTGCCCCGGATCGGAACCATTCTCCGGGGTGGCTTCTTCCATCTCGACATCAGTGGAAGCTGTTGGGTCCTTGTCGCGATTGATTGGCTCGGCCGGTGGAGGGTCTCCGCATTGTGATAGCAAGGTACGAACCCGTCCGCTGATTAAAGGGTTGTCTTCGGCGATTGCATCGAGCCGGGCGTCGATGTAATCGGATGCGAGGACTTCGGGAGTCAAGTCATGGCTAGCGACGAAGGCGGACTTGGTTCGCTTCATCTCTTTAATGATGATTGAGTCGGCCTGCACGCGGATAAGGCAAGTATTCAGTAGCTTTTTCGAATCCGGAGAATCAATCCGAGAAGTACGAAGTGTTGTCCACCTGCTCGGCGATCCAGTCATTGATACAAAAAAAAAAAGATTCGGCTTCTTGACTCTGCGCCATCCTCGTGTGCAAGTCGTAGAATAAGATCAAGTACACGCTTGAGGCTGGACCAGTTGCTGTTGAACAGCTTTGGTCGGTGTGTTTGAACTCCTTCAAATCGTGTGGATGGGCTGAAGTACCACGATAGGTATTGACATTGCGAGAGATCGCGGCTACGAAATTCAGCGAATAGATCCGCCTCGCGGCGGTTGTTCTGGCGAGTTGATGAGGTACGGCGTGTGCTTGTTCGGGTCATTTTTGGTTTTAGATATTGTCGCGCTTGACGTGGACGACGGTGATCGTGAAAAGAGGAGAATAGCGAAGCGTACGCAAAGGGATCAAGCCGAATTAGCAGGCTCGCCGATGATGGGAGCGCCAATTACACGATGCGCTCGGACCATCTGAGGCCCGATCGACCGAAATCGCAGACTTCGGATCGCTGTAGCTCCACCCACAGCTTATGAAAGCTCTCGCCACTTGGGGTATGTCATTTTTAGAGCATAAAGAAAAATAGGGTCTTCACTTTCGCATGGATGCGCCTACTTGCCAAGTTACAGAGAACCACCCCAAAATGGCCCTGAAATTTCGGAGGGCAACTCAGCCAAAAGCGCGGATAACTCGTAAGCCCCTCCCAGAGGGCTCCAGAGGGAGGGCTTAGTTGAGCTTAGGCCGAAGCCGAGCGACGAACCACGCTGAGCTGGCATCCTACTACCCAGCGATGCTCGACTTCAACCCGACCAAGTTGCGTCAGTGGCTGCTACAGCAACTCGAACCAATGCAAGTCAATTTCGATTGGGTCGAGTCCCAAAACTCACCATTGCTGTGGACCGCGGCGCACCGAGTGGTTTTCGGTGGTCTTGTACGGCGCGAGAGAGCTGATTGGGCAACTCCTTGACGCGAACAGTTCTGATGCAGATCCCCACGTTCTCGCCGAGTACGTCTTGGCCTTACTCAAGCATGGCGCGCCTTTTGAGCAATTGAAGAAGCATTGCGCCAGCCAGCTGCAGGAGTTCTTGGGCCCTCGTACGTCCTGTCTTCGGCCTCAGCCGAGTCGGCGCCATTGGGGTGTCTGGTCGGGCCACTGGCTGACATTCGACAGCACCATTTGGTCTCGCCTGTTGCCGCTTGGGTTGTCGATTGCACAGAGACCTCCGCCTTCATCTCGCGCCTCTTCTTTTACCTAACTAGCGCTTCTACGTCGTCGACAAAGCCAGATGGACCAGTGCCGTTCAGTAGCTCGTCCTCGGCGGTAGCGGCCTCGGAGACGCAAGCACGAGGGCCGCGAGGTACCAAGAGATCACAACTATCTCGAAGCAATGCTAGTCAACTCGAGGTGGCTGCTAACCGGATCCAACCGGAACCCCGAACCGCTGCCGCTGGATGGGCCCCTTCCTCCAATCTGAGCCCCTCCCCGCTCACGCCGTGGCCTTCAACCAACCCAGGGCCTCTCTTGTGCGAAGCTTACCACCGTAAGTGAGGCACACTACGAATATCGACACCGACTACACCTGCGCCGTCCATCTCCTTTGCTTGCGCCGCCTAGAGCCCTTGCGTCTCGTTTGCAGAGGCTCGGGACAAGCTCTAATTCTTCGACGGCTCGGACAAACGAATCTCTTCCCTGCTCGGGCCGATGGCTGGACCCCGTCTGTTGCGCTAAAGTCAAGCTGTCTCTCTCGCAGGCTACGGCTTCTGTCCGCGAAGCTTGATGTGCATCTATCTGCACGACGTGCGCGGCGATGCGGGTGCACTGCCCCCGTCGAAACGTGCACCCCAGGATCCCGCTGTATGCCCTCATCAGCTTTTGATGCCGGCAAGTGCTGCTGCGTGTCCTCTAGGGGCGCCGCCTATCGCGCCGATCCATACCAAGCGTCAGCGACCCACTGAATCCATTGTGTACGACCGCGTGGCAGAGCCCGGATCGGGTCGAGAGCGGAAGCGGCGGGCCCTCGTACCGCCCCTTTCGACTTGCGCGATCAGGATCGAGAATATACCAAGCGACAAGGTCGATCAGGATGACGTGGTCGAGTGTTTTAGTAGATTTGGTGACATCTCCTCTGCTGAGGTGAATGCGGCTTATCGTCGTGCGGTCGTCATCTATCACGCTCCCGCACAAGCCGAGCTGGCGCTCAACAGTCCCGATGCCGTTCTAGGCAACCGCTTTGTTCGGGTGTATCGCATGCCAGCCGACACCCACCATTCTAGCTCCGACGTACGGATAGGTTTTTCACCGCTGCCCTCGGATCCTTGGGAGAGGGTACCTCATCTGGCGGCCTCTGGTGCCGGTTCGACTGCTTTGTTTACTCCAAGTGTTATGGCCGACCATTTGGCACGCCTACACATTGCGGTCAGGCTCGAGAAGAACGCGGCTGAGCAGAAGAGACTGCTGGAGAAAGTTGGTGCATGTTCCGATAGGGCAGAAAAGGCTGCCCTCACGAAGAAGTTGCGTCTTGCGTCGACTAAAGGAGCCATGTTACGGACGGAATCCGAGCGTGCGGAACAAGCTGTGAAGGGCGATCTCGAGCTCGCACGCTTGCGAGCTGAAGTGAGTGTAGATGCGATCAGTCGCTTCAGATGTTCCCGGATTGAGAGGGACAAATTTTGGTCTTGGTTGCAGGCTGCAGCTCTCGGGATCGATGCTTGTTCGCAAGATGCTCTATTATGCCATGATGGCAATGGAGGAGCAGGTCAGGCGCAGCGAGGACGAGGATCGCATAGTGGGCGGCCATGGAGCAGTGCGGATATCTGCAGGCATCGCCTCGACAACCGTTCGAAAAGCTTGCGTGTTAGAAGCATCCCCGCGGGCACAGATATCGCCACTGTGCGCGAGGCTTTGGAGCGACACGGGATTGTCACGAGCATGGAAGCCATCCCAGAGCTCACCAACCCGCCATCGTACATCGTGGAGTCCGAGTCGATCATGGAAGCCGAAAGGGTATGCCAGGTACACGAGAGGGTATTCAGCTGCATGCGCTGACCCAACGTGTTGAACCGCAGATTATGATCCATTCATCGGAGCTGAAGTCGGAATTCATGGGTTTGGAGTTATCATGGCGGTGAGGTGAAAGACTTGAGACTTGGACGAGCGGGCAGTGCTCCAGCGCCATTCTTACGATCACCCGTCAAAGCTTCGAATCGGCTCCATCCCCTTCCACGTTTTTCTTCGATACTAAGGTTCGGCGGCGCGCTCCGCGCGCCACCTCCCACCGTAACCGTTGACCCGCTGAAATGTGATGTACTTTGCTGCAACAGCTGCGGTACTGTTCAGTAACGGAAGCCTAGTGGTTGAAGTCGGGAGAGGAGCGCGCGACGACGATCAAATGTACAGAGCCTTCATTTCATCACTGAACTCTTTTTTTGTTCTCTGGGAGCCCGATGATGGGCTCAGACTAAGCTCGACCCCCTCCCTCTGAGGGGATTTGATGAGCTTAGGCTCAGACCGTCGTCGAGACCCGCGTCGAGTGTGGACCTTTTCATGCCTCCCGACATCGACATCCCTCACCTGCTATTTGCCGGAGCTTCACTATGGAGCTTTGAGATAAATCTTCATTTCATCAACTCAAGAACCATTCTAAAAACTATGTTTTCTGTTACATTATCCGCCTCTCCGTTCTCAGTCTGATGAAGCAAAACTCTGACACCGTCCACATTCGTTGCTCGGGACAACGCGACGTACAACTGGCCGTGAGAAAAGACGGGCGTCTCCAGACACACTCCTACCTGCGCGAGTGACTGCCCTTGCAACTTGTTGAACGTCATAGCCATTGCCAGCCGAATCGGAAACTGCGTCCGATGCAGAGTGAACGGAAGGAAGCTCAGCTGATGACCCTGTCTTCAGCGTGATCCGTGGCAACAAAACTGGCTGTCCAGCATGATCTCCTGTGAGAATGATGGCCTCGAGCAAGCGGGTGTGTAACCGAGTCGACAACAGTCTTGTGCCGTTGCGCAGCCCCGCGGCGGGGTCCAAGTTTCCACTTTGAATTTTGCAGCGTGCAACGCCATCCCGGCAATGTTGAGACTCTGAAGGTACTCGATCGAGAACAGTGATTCGTCTTCGTTGCGAGCACCATGTCGTTGATCTGATCCACCTGCGAATCTTTGGGCGCCAGAATTGCTCGATGTCGGAAGTATTCGACTTTTTCACCTATCGACATATTGTCCAGTTCGAGCGCGGGGCCGGGATAAACGTGTCTGATCAACCCGGAGCTGTTCCTCGTGGTCGCCGCCAGGAGAAGCTCACGTGGGAGCGCGATAGAATGTTCTGTTTTGTTCGCCGAGCCGTCTCCAACTCCTAAGAGCCAATCTGCAAAGCCCTGTGCGTTTGCCCATTCCGTTTCGGTCATGCGGTCTGCAGCGGCCAGAAGACGCATGTTGGTCTGCGCTCGCACCGTGCCGCTGTTAGTATAGGGTCTAAAAGTCAGGCAAGGACTACTACTTACAGAGAGATCCCCCCAGAAGTCAGCATTCCATGACGCAAGCGTCGACGATTTGTGCAGGCGACGACTTGAAAATAACGGGAAGGTATCGCTTCGAATCCCCTGTGATGTTACAGTCCAACCGGTCAGTTAGTCATGCTGCCCTGCGCTTTGCTTTTGAAAGATTGGCACACACCTGCCAACACGACGGTCACTCCACACTCCACCGAACCGAGCCGTTGAGGATCTGCCACGAAATGGTGAGCCTCAATCCACGGAACCAGAGCCTGTTTTTCTGCTTATTACAACTATCAGTATTCTTGCTGTTGTCCATCTGTAGCGATGGTAGTGAAGACTCACATTTAGTGTCCCATGGACCGGGATTCTTGGCGGTACAAAGTCAATCCTTCAGCTGTATTTTTCCGTGGCCTTTGACTTCCCGCTCTGCCTTGTATTAAGCACATGACTGCACATACGTCCCCCACCCTTAAAATGGTGTGTGCGTACAGCTCAGCATGCCTGTCAACGTTTATGGGTAGCGGCGTAGCGTAAGACTTTGCTACTCTTCAGCCATTGTAGCTTCCTTCGCGAGCGTTGTTGTAGAACATGTGGTATCTGTTGGCATGGATGTCGTTTTCCCAGGCAGGCCACGGCCTGCGTTGGGGCTTCTTTGATGAGTGGCGATGGGATGAGGTGCGGTGGGTAAGGTCTGAAGAGCAGGAGGGAGAAAGATGGAGAAGCCGGAGCCAGTATAGTAGGATACCTGCCAGGTTTTTTACACCTGCCGTACAGGCGCTCGCCATACGGGGCTCGCACTAATTTCGTAGGACCGCCATAAGTTTCGCGCGCGCATGTGTAGGCGTCAGTCAAACGGGTTGCAGCGCCCGAGGCCTTCGATCGGGCAGTAGCAGAGCCTGCTGCGGCGCAGCGGCCTGCGGGATGACGTCAGGCCTTGCGCTAATTTGCCCGGGTCGCATACGCGGATGCGAGCGTGACCTCGGCTGATTCGCCTCTTGATGTCTTACCACCCACTTCCGATCACCCACAGGCGTCTTCGCGCTCGAGGCGCTGCCTCAGACATCATGGTAGGTCCTTTTCACCGCTGTGCTTCAAGATCATACCCCACGTGCTCCATTCGACCTCTTCTGGCGCACTCGACTTGGGTCGACACCGGCTGACCGACACGTCCACTCCAGCGTGCGCCTGCTCGACGACCCCAAACGACGCAACAGAAGGTGGCAGCTCCCAAGACCACGGGCAAATCACTAAAATACGTGATCAACGAAGACCCAGCCAAGAAGTCCCAAGATGAGCCTGCGGACGACACTACCACTACGTCGACCCCACCATCACCACGCCGCGACTTGGCGTCCCCACCCCTCACACGAAGACCTTGACGGTTGGCACCACTACCGCGGAAACCAGTGCCTCACTTCTGTTTGAGCCGATTTCTGATGGAAAGAGCCATGTCGCCGTTGTCGGCCCATCCGCTCGCCACGCGGCCTCCGCGCACCTCGAACCCGAAGCATCGCATGGCCTCAACCTCGAGGACTCGGTGGTATGTCGCGCAAGCTGAGAATACGACTCTGTGATCTGGTTTAGTCTCGGCTGACGTCCTGTCGTTTGTTCAAGGTGCAGCGCAAACAGGCTCCCTCAGAGAACGGAACCAAGCGCAAACGTGCCTGGGGAGTTGCCGACGAGGTCGATGAGGTCAATCCAGAATCAGAGGTAAGGTAGATCACAGATACTCGTCTAAAAGCTAAATCTCCCAAGCTAAACCTCCCGCCAATCAGGAACGCCTGGACGTGCAGAAGGTCGATACCAAGCCCGACTCATCTTCCTCTCGCTTGAATCTAAGCTCGGAATCCGACGTACGTCCGAGCCCGGCCTGGCTTTCCTCTAGTCTAGCAGTAAGACGACACTGACGAAGTGTAAACCCGCACAGAGCTCTGAAGCTTCTGGTGACGGGGACGGCAGTGATAAGGATGGCAACGTACCATCCGAGACGGCCTTAGGTGAAGATTGGTCCAAACTAGCCAAGACGAAGGTCGTCTGCTCAGACGTAGACGACGAACCCGACGACACGTTCGAGGTGCGCTCTTGTGTGCCTTGAGAGGAATCCGCATCCTGCTGACTGCCATTGCTTCTCCTGCAGGTCTGTACTCGCCAGTTGAAAGGCGCACAAGCGCATATCGATAACCCTTGCAAGGTGAGCTGTGACGGATGCGATCATCCGCCACGCTTCGCGCCACTGACAAGAGTTATGACCCACTGCTCTCTGGCATCGACCGTCGTTGGCCTGCCAATCTTACAGTCCTCGACCGAAGAACCCGATGCCAAGAGCCTTGATGATCAGCTTGGCCAGATACGGCGCGACCTCCAGACATTACGCGCCATGCTCGAGCCAGTGATCACGTTCATCAACACGCCAAGCATTGACCATCTTAAGGTACGTGTGATCTCCACGCGTGAGGACGCGAAACATAGATTTAACTGACGAGACGTATTCCACAACCATTGGCAGAACCGACTCCCCCCCCGTGGTAAAGATCTTTGTGGCTACCCTCTTCTTCTACAAGCAATTGGCCTCGGCCGGTCTTTTGCAGTACGTGACCTTCACTTCGGTACCAGCGCACGATTGTCTCATACAGGCTTCATCACCCGCAGATGGTCTTGACGAAAAGCGGCATCGTCCCTACCGAAGCGTACAACAAGAATCTCACGTTCCGCCACAACCTGCTTTCAAACATTCCGGCTCTGTTGGTGCAGGGTCGTAGTGATCTCCTCCGACACGTGAGCAGACGCCTCGCGTCTTGTGGTCTCCGAGCGGTCCTGACAAAATTATAACTCTTCCCAGATCAATAAAGCTCAAAAGAACAAAGCTACTCTCGGCCGTACCATGCAGCAATGGTACAAAGGCCAACAGGTTGCCATAACCCAAGGACACGTCATCTGGTGGAGTATACTGGTGCGTATATATGAAGAGCTCGCCTCAACCCTCGATCCTGACCTGCGCTTGTAATCACCATACCAGTGGCAGGCAATGAAGGCTTCAAACATCCTCGATCCAAAAGACTCCAAGGCCAACAGCTTCGCGAACATGCTCAAGCGCTACGGTGACAGCCTCGCCAAAGACGCCGCGACAGCACACCTCGCGGGCGGCTACAAGCGAAATGGGGGGTTTGATCATCAGGCGTGAGCTTCATGCTTCATGGTGAGATACATGGCATAATCGAATATGCTGACACTTGGTGACTTTCTTGGTGCGTACAAGGTTTCTCTTCGACATGGTCACGGTCAAGATGAAGCGACATTCCGGCATCCGGACGGCTGGCCACAACACCCTCTGCGACCACATAATTCAGGCGGTCTGTTCCGAAGTCGTCGAGGATCCAGTAAACAACCTCAGCTTTGCAAGCCGAGTAGCCGTGAGTGGCGCCCTCAGTCGACCACATGCCGAACTTGGACTGACGAACGATCCCCGGAGCGAACACAGGACGCAGTCCAGGAGATGGGTGAAAATTCGGGAAAGCCGAGGAAGAAGAAGAAACCCAAGACCACCGAAAATGAGAAGCAGATCGAGGACGGGCAACCCTAAGCAACGCGCTATCGAACAAGCTCTCTGGAGCATTCGACGTGTGCAAGGGGACTCGGGCGCGACTTGGGGTGGAGTCGGGGTGGACCATGGGTGGGGCTTTCTGAGACTTATATAACGGGGGTTTTTAGACTTGTATTAACATGTTTTTAGTGTTTGCAATGAGTGTTGCTTCGTGTGATAAGTCTACAGGAGCAAGAAGAGAGCAATATGTACCTACAGCACCTGGTCCAGCATTACTACAGCGTCCCCCTGGTCTCCTCATTCATACCCTACGTGTACCACATTGCGTCCATGCTTCTACAGTCCCACTATGGCTTCCTTCGGGGGGCTATATCAAGCCGACCTATGGCTGCCATATGGCTCACACGTATTCGTGCCCTATGGGCTGGCCATATATGGGCTATATGGCTATTCGCCTAAATATTTAGCAGGGCCGTATGCCGGCGCCGTATGGAGCCGTAGGGATGCCTTACTAATAAGGGTGCCATAATTCTCGCGCACCCATGTGTAGCAGCGCAGGGCTGAATGCGCTTTACGCGCTTTACGCCGGATTGTTCTAGATCGGCTCTGAATGGCTCTGAATTGTTCTGAAGCGCGCGTGGTAAAGTTGCTGATGATCTTTGACCCGAAGCCCCGCCAAAATGTTTGAACCTGGAATGATACACTGGCTTCCTTCACTCGTCTGTTTCATCCACTACCAGAGCTAAGAGTGTTAAAGAGAGGCTCTAGACATTCGAAGGGTGGTATTGCGGTGGTAATGTGAGTAATATCTGCTTGGAGGGTTGTTCCCCCGGCCTCTAGATTTCCGTACGCGCACGTGCAGCGTAGTTATTAGTAGTAGTAGTATAATTTACCGGGTTCTGGGGTTATTACCAACGACGTCGATTACTGTCTATCAATAGATCGTGCCGAAGACGCTTCTTCAGTTGTGACCTGGTACAGCCAACTTACTGATATCCATGAAGCGTCCCGTGTGTCTGCAGAAACTCTTGCATGCTTTGTCAGTCGCTCCCCCGCCGCAGCAATCCCGCCGGTCCCGTCCAGAGTCCATGATGAAGCAGAATTGATGCCCTGATTGCGTCGACCTATGCGGCAATGAGCAGCAGATTAGCAACCCGAGATGCCGAATGGATCTGAAGAAATGTGCAGTGAATGAGACGCTGCCAGCTACTTGAGACGCTGCCAGAGGCTTGTGTGTCGTTCGAAAGCGCCGTGTCGTCGAGAGCAGCGAGCGCCGAATAATCGACGAACGCCATCATTCGCGACACGGTTCGCTCTGCGGTCTGGGTCGATTATGGCGAGCGGGTTGCGAACCAACTAGGCATAGGTCGCGGGGGATGGAATGGCTGGGACTGGGACCAGACCCGCGAAACACGGGGAGCCCTAGAGTGCCCAGTCGAGTCTGGTCACAGTAGGCAGCGAGCAAAGTGAAGCAGTGCCGACAGTGCGTAAGTTGTTGTACGCGGCGTCGGACCGCCCAGCGCTCTTGCGAAATGCTTTAGCTCCTGTGTGCATGGTGATACGGTCGCAAAGTTCAGGATGTGGATCTACTGCAGACGAGTTTTGTTGGACGGAGCAACTGACTGCTATCCGAGCCTGCAAGCAGCTGTCGATACTCGGGAAAGTTCAGTTGTGCTGGGGAGGGGGAGGCAGCTGCACCTTGCCCTGCGAGCAGGACGTGCTAAAGTGTCCGGTCGACTTCGTCCTTTCGCACTCCCCGTGTCGAGCCTTGCAGTGTGTGCCCGCGGCCGTCTGGGGCCCGACATAGTCGCGGATGAAAAAAACTTTGGGCTTGAGTGGTTTAAGGCGATTCTAGCCCTGCGCACTCGCCTATCTGCTCACGGTCCCTTTTACAATCATAGGTAATGATTCGATGGATACAACATGTGAGGACTCTTGTGAAGGCGTCCAGTAACACTCTATCTATTGCCCAGCGGCCGCTTGTCGCCGACCGCCCATGGTGCGTCGCCGTTCCCTAAAGGTCCGCCGCGTCCGCCGCCCGCAGCCTCTCCCAAACTTCCTCACCCCCACGAATTACGGCATAACTTGCTATCTTTGACCTCAGGTCCGGGTCCGAGCTTTGTAAGCAGCCGGGCTCTCATACTCGGTGGATGCTTGAGCCCACATGCCGACTTTTCGACGTCTGCCGGGCGAGATCCGATGGCGATCGACCGCATGGTTCAAAACACGTCCCATTCCACGGTCCTGAGAGTTCTCGAGTCAAGCTCACCTGGCTTTCGCTTCGGTTTCTTCGAAGCGGTGAAGTAGTCCTGCGTGAACGGCGCCTCCTTGAGTGTAGACCGTGGCAACTGATGTCAAATCGATGTTGGTGAGCCAAGTGGAACAGCAGCAGCACGATTGGGATCACAAGCGGCCGGCACTTACGACCTCGCTTCAACATCTCTTCGCTGACGTTCCGTCGAAAGATGAAAGGGAATTTGCGAACGTAAGCCATACCAACCTTGCAGCCCGGGCGGATGATGCCAACGAAGAATTGCGGCGCGGGGCCAGTCAGCTGGCAGCCTTCTCACACGAGCTCTCGTGACACTCACTACCCTTCCGTAGCGGTCTCTACTGTAAAGCTCGACGTGGACAGTCCGTCCGAGCATGCTTTGGGTGAGCCTAACACATGTTGCGCGTCAGGGTGTCGGTCAGCTGAACTGCGCAGTTCTCTCTCGCACCGGGGTGGGCTTGAGACGAGACAGCCCTTACCAATCCAACGCCTCGGCCGAATAAGCCTGAGCAGGGTTGCCGAAATGGGCAAGCTATGAGATATCCTCTCCGACGCATGACGAGGCGAATGAGCCATTCCGCGGAGAGGGTGGGACGAGAGTTAGCGATCGGGTCAGGGCCAACTCACCTCGGGCGCATCGACTCCCGCCAGTCTGACGTGCAGAGTCTGATTCTTTAGGCCTGCGACAGGAAACGCGGTTCAACGAAAGAGCTTCGGGGCGTTTGAGGTACTCGCCTTGAACCGAGGTTGTGACGATGGCACTGCAGCACTGCACTGCAAGAAACGCAAAGGGCTTCATCGTGACCAACCGAACCTACCGGCTCGAGTGGTGGGCACTCTTCGATAGAAGGCCCACCACGGTTTGTGGTAGAGCCGAAAATTGTCGGCATCGCCCACGCTGAGATTGGTTTGCCGAGCCAAGCCCCGGTCGGCGGTGTGATGTGATGTGATGCGATGTGATGCGATGTGGTGTGGTAATTCGACGTCATTGTGGTTCGTTGCCATACGGCGAATGAAATTGTCAGCCCGCGAGCACGGCAACCGGAACGCGCCCGACGCGACCCCACATCACGTCGACTACGAAAGATCACGACGACCGACCGACTTACCTCGTTACGATTCCGCGCATGGCGCGCCCGTTGAGATGCGCTGCGGTGAGTTGCTCGACGTTCGCAACCCTACGAAGATAGCGCGCCCAGATCCAATAGCTCGACAGCGTCAAGCCCACCGCCGAGGTGCCCACCAGCAATGGGTTGGTATGGTCCAGCCGGAGCAACGAGCTCGTCAGCGTGGGTGTGAGTGCGGACGGAGCCGTACTCGAGCACTCCGGGCGCGGTGGGTCTGGGGCCGACGATGCTGCTGCACGCGACAGCTCTTTGGATCGCATTCGGGCACAACCGATGTCGGTCACGGGCACAACCAGGACAGGCCACCGACAAACGATGACGGAAGGGGAGGGACCGGCTGGGCTTGAATGGGAAGAGCGTGGGCACGGCAATCGGGAAGGGCTGAAACAACTGGAAGAGCAGGGCTAGTCGGGGCAGGTCGGGGCTCGTCAGGACAGGTCAGGACGAGCGAAGCAAGGCGAGGCAGGGTGAGGCAAGTGCGAGACTGTGCGAGAGAGTGCGAGAGCAGGCGAGAGACTGCGAGAGAGTCGCGAGAGCAGCCTCAGTGAAGCCTCCTGAAGCAGCCTGAAGCGTGAGCACTGAGAGAGCCTTCCCTCTCTACCAAAGTTCTACCAGTCTCTACCCCTCTCTCTTCGCTGCCTGCGAGAAAGCTACTGTCGGCTGCTGTACCGCGGCTATTCCGCGATCAAGCCCGAGTCGAAATCAAGCGTCACGACTGCAGGCATTCTCGCCTATCGTGTCCAGTCGTGTCCCTCCAAGCGCCGCCCGTTCCCACTCTACCCCATTTCCCACTCCTCTCTTTCCTCCTCCTCCGCTACCAGTTGAGTGTCCGTGGACGTGTTACGGCTGACCCGCGTCTCTCCATCGGTGCATCAACTGAATTTTGCCTGGTCTCGGGCGCTCGTAGCAGTGGTGTACCATACCGAATGGGACACATTCACGCGGGCCTCACGCCAAGTCTACGCGGCATCTCCCGGCGTGGCAAGTCCCGAGTCCCCCACGCCGTCGCGAACTCGGACTCGGCTGCAATACTAACGAGGTCGTGCCTGACCCCTGACGAATCGCATGGCTGCAGACCAGGTACACGATACGCTGGGGACACGATCTTGGAATGCTAGTGCTTAAAGTCACGGATGACCTTCAGGTACGTCGACAACTCTGCTAGACTTGGCGACCCGATCGTCGCTCTTCGGTCAGTATCACTGAACGCGAGTCCGGGCTCGGGAATCGGCAGTGCATCAAATTCAAGACTAGGTCGGGCGCGTTCATAAAGCGATTCGAAGCATTCAACGTTGCCATGCAAACCAGTATGCACGGCAGCGAACCTTCGGCTTTGGATCAAATTGTCCCCGCGGCCGCCCACCACGCCTCAGCCGGAGTCGACCCGAAAGGTAGGTAGACTTGCCTTGAGAGAACTCTTGGCAAACTTGCTGGTTGGCATCTCTGATCTCCGCAGGGTCTACGCTCCCCCATAGCTCGGGTCTTGCAGCCGCTCGACAGTCTTGCTGTTCCTGCTGCTGCTGCTGCACCGCCGACCGCAAAGTCAACTGCGCCACCCGAAATGGAAAGCACGGCGAGGAGCAAGAAGGCGAAGAAGAAGAAAAAGTCTTAGTCGCAGCAGTCGTAGCAGTAACGATAGATGATAGGGCGAATAGGCACCCATTATCGCTTCCGAACGTGCATCGATGATGAGGAACACAAGGGATTATTAGAGTTGGCAAGATTACCTTGTGGAGTGCTTTGAGAGAAAGAGAGGCCGTCGCCGTCTTCCATCATGATTGCATATGCGATTTACAAATCCAAAGTATGCGCAAGGCAAGATAGACCAGCCAAACCTGTGCTGCCGATGTTGAGGCACCGACCGAGCTGCGAGCGCGTGGGCTCGCGTGGGCCGGGCCAGAGCCTGCAGCTCGGGCAATAGGCGATGTTTGGTGGACATCCAGGCTGCTGTTGGGTCGTTGGGCGTCTGGAGGAGGGCTTCGTTGTAGAGGTTGCGGACGGTGGAAGTGAGGTACTCGCAGGTCGCATCGCCCTCGATCACGTGCAAACCCAGCTTGAATTTGCCCGGACCGATGTCGATTGCGCCCGGCACTTGGAACCGTGCCACAACCATTGAGTGCGTCGATTTGAGGACAGGAGCCCAAATTTTGTGGTCGTGGAAGAGGTCGACCCAGTCAGGCGAGACATAGATGCGGTCAAGGCGTCGGCACGTGCCGGGCGCTGAGCGATTCGTCATGTCTCGTCCTTTGGGATGGTGGAGCCGATATACGTCGAAGATATTGTTTGCCGTGGCAAGGCCGCGCATCTCCTGACCCCCGTAATTCATACCTTTTTGGTTCTCCGAATCGAGGAGTTGGGACTCAACACAATTCCAGTCCCCCCCGACTAGGAGCGCAGGCGGCGAGGTTCGTCACGTACGACTTGTCGGAGGGCGGTGCTGAGATGTGAGAGGAAGCGCTTTTTGTCTGGCTTGTCGGAGGAAGGCGCGACAACCCGGACCTTTGAATCACCCACACGAAAGGTGGCGTCGGTGACTCGGTCCGGGAAAGAAAAAGAGGCACGAAGAGTGTTGGGAGGCGACTCGGGATCAATAGTAATTACCGGCGAGTCACTCTTCCAGAGTATGGCAGTATTGTTGAAGGGGGTGAAAAGAGCGGAAAGCTTCAAGTCTCGGCACTCCTGAGTCCACTGGGCAACCCGATCAGGGGGAGGTCGGCCAGTTTCGCTCAGGAGAAAGACATCGGCGTTATGGGATCGGAGATTGGAGAAACCAGTGGGAACCCGTTAAATTAACGGGAGGATGAAATTCAAAAAATAGCATGATAATCGAACAGTCTACATGATATCAGCGCAGAGGTTAAGAAAACACAATACGAAGTACAGCAAAGAAACAAAATCCATTCATCTTCCATTCATCGCCGAAACAGCCTGCATGTCGCTTGTTGCCGGGCTTGGCTTCAAACACTCGTGCAATGAGATCCGGACGGTTGCATGCTTTATGGCCCCAGTGCAGCCTTGATTTCCGGTGAGTCGGGGTCGTACGTCATCGTGATGAGCAGCGGAGGCTTTCCATGTTTGACAACGCACGCCATCGCATCCTGGTATCGCTGCGTGATGTCGCGATTTGGTTCGGGGTCAAGCCGTTGATGCCTTGGGTCGTGGTGAGGTGTAGGTTCTCTTGATGCAACCGGATGTGTTGAGTCAATCGGTCTTGACTTGGGAGTACATCCGTAAATCACAAACTCCAGGAAGGGACGTTGGGTGCAATGCGGGATTGAGAAGTACTTGTCACCTTTGGCAAGTAGTGCGCAAAGAATTGTGAACGCGAGACTCGCCACCTCGACCTCGACCCCTTTACTTGACCTTCGTCCTAGGTGTTCAAAAGTTCAATGTCAGTCTGTGCTTGCGCCTTAGACAGAATGGAACATCCGAGAAAGAGCCGAAGACGCGTACGTTCACCATCACCATTCTCTTCGTCCCCTTCCTCGCCGTCTTCATCCTCATCGTCGCGGTCTTCGTCCTCCTGTACGTCTTCGTCATCCAGACCGAGACCGGCAAGTACCTCGCGCAATTGGACACCATTGTCGATCTGCTCTCGGTTTCTGGCGATTGGCGGCCCGGCTTGGTGGAACCCGCAAAGAGGAATGTTGGGGTGGAAGCCATCTTCCCCTGCAGGACATAGTAGTGGGTAACGGAGAGGCATCGCGGACGGATGGAGCGAGCCAACGACTTGGTATTTGGGCCGACCCTCGGGACATCGATCACCGTGCACCTGGAGAATAAGGTCTTGACGTCCACGATCTCCCGTGTTGGTGTCGGAATCGCAGATGAGTATCGCCATTTCCGTGCTCGACGTAGGAAGGTTGTGGGTGCGTCGGTCTCAGCCTGGCGGGAGGCAGAGGCGCAGGATCCACTATTTGGCCGTATCCCAACCTGCACGAACTTTGGTCAATGCAAACAGCCTCACAAAGCGATTGTTGGTACGCAACTTGGACTCGAGCTTGGTCAACGTAGATCTTTGTATGCGACGGTCTGGGCTGTTGGGTCCAAGTCGAGTGTCGGTGGCCTCGACCGGGTCGATGAGCCATGTCTGAGCAAAGGCTGGGCGTTGATTCACGGCGGGGATCAGGGCACCGAGTCGATGATAGAGGTGACCAAACACGCGAACACGGGGGTCCTAAAGTGCCGAGTCGTATCTGGTCGAAGTGAGCAGCAAGCGAAGTGAAAGACAGCGCGTTGTTGTACGACCGGGCATTCTCGCGGAACGCCGGAATGCCTTAGCTTCTGTGTAGGTGGGTCGCACAGTTCAGCATGTGGGCCTACTACAGACGAATGTCGTTGGACGGAGCAACTGACCGCTATCCGAGCCTTCAAGTAGCTATTGATACTCGGGATTGGGCCGGAGAGAGGAGGTAGCTGCACCTTACCCTGCAAGCAGCACGTGCTGAAGTGTCCGGTTCGTCCTTTGCACTCCCAGTGTCGAGCCTTGCAGTGGGCACACACGGCCATCTGGGGCCGAGGTAGTCGCGGATGGGAACGTGGGGCTTGAGTGGTTTGAGCTCGATTCGAGGCCTTCGCACTTGCCTCTTGCGCAGGAAGAGGTGGTGGTGGGGCGAGCCGTCGGATCGGCCATCGGGTCCTCGCGCTGACCACGCTGTTCGTTCTACAAACCTGTACGGCGGACGCTTATACGGGTCGTAATACCAAGATCGGTCGAGTGGTTGTCATCACGCGCGGGGAGCTGATTCTGTTGATGGGAGCGGGACGAAGAGGAGAGTCGAGCAGCGGGCCCTCGAGCAACCTCGAGCAGTACGACGGTACGCTATCGTACGGCGCTACCCTCGCGCCAAAGACTTGGCGCGGTTGTCACGAAAATTCGATGAGTGGGAGGGAAAAGGCGAAAATTGGAGAGAGTAGCGCGGGAGTATTCACAGCGCCCGCCTGAACGTCATGTTGTTGTTGAGTCCCTAAAACCGGTGTCGGGATGCAAAAAACACGTCACGTGATCGTCGGGGCATCGCGCAGCGTAGCCGCGCCCGCGTCCGCGCGTCAACGACAGCGAGACCACGCCTGAGCTCTGTAGAAGAAGTGTCATGCAAACCCACGCGCTTGCTATACATTAAATCCTACACAAACAGCTCAATAGTTCCCCACCATGTCAAAATTCGACAAAAATCGTAGTCGGGCTGTAGGTCGACTTTTATGGTCCAGAAAATGCAGAAAGGGTCGTACATGACTTCTGGTCGAGGTGCCGATACCACAGGCAGGTGCGGCAGACCCAATAGTGTACAGGTACATCCATCTTCCAGGCCGCAACACAGACAAAAACTGCGATTTTAGGAACATGGGTCGCGGATCGACCTTTTTTTTTTATACTAGATAGAGTAAAGCTCAACTAAGCCCTCCCTCTGGGAGGGGCTTAGGACTTATCGGCGCGCCTGGCCCAGTTGCCCTCCGAAATTTCAGGGCCATTTTGGGGTGGTTTTCTGTAGCGTGGCAAGTACTTACAATTATCCAAAACGCAGAGATGTTGTTGATCTTCTACTAGAAAAAATGGCCTGTGCCGAACGGCAATTTTTATTTTATATTTTATTTTTATAAGAGGATACCCCATCTGTAGCCGAAGCTATAATGATCTGAAGTGTGTAAATTTGGTCAATTCCGTCCCAAGTGGTCCGAGCGGCAACACACTGCTGCAGCCGCCGGCTTGCGCACTTCGGCGTGTGCGCATCGGTTTTTCTCCCGTCCATTCCGCATCACTCATCTTCTCGGTACTATGCTCTTCGCTTGTTCTCGATGGAACACCACGCTTATCTCAGAATGACGCGCAACTGCAGACGCTATGACTCGACGACTCGCCAGGATCGCCGCCGTCAGGCAGATCTATTCGCTCGGTTTCGGCTTCACAAGCTCTCACTATGTCAATACCTCAAATCAATACCTCTCGTGGTATTTCAGCCCGTCAACACAACACGATGGTGTTCACAATCATAGGCCAAAGCTCTTCAACAGTAATTGGACCCAGCTCAAGCGTTTGACGTCGCGTCCCGGCTGTCGAAGTACATGGTGGACTGGGGAAAGGTGCTGGGATCTGGCCGCTGGTTAAGGAGATCCCTGATATTTCCCATCGTACCGTTTGTTCTTGGTTTCATCTCGACAACAACATTGCGTAGTTTTGGTCGGAAAAAGTCGGCTTTGGCGAAGAACTTCCGCGATTCGGAGAGACTGGATACCTTTAGGATCTTGTTGATTTTGTAGGGTGGAGCGCCGGCGGTGAGGAAGAGTGTTTGACAGCCAAGTATGAGACGCCGCTCCGCAACTTGCCCATATACGGGGCGAAATGCAGTCGAGCCTTCCATTCCATTGAGTGGCTCATAGCTCCGGCGCGCTCCCTTTCGCTGAATCCTCACTCGGCGATCTTGATTGCCTCGTCATAGGCAAGCAGCTTGACTCGTTCTCGGAAGGAGTCCTTCGATATCAGCTCAGCCCAGTGCTTGTCTCCATTGTGCATCTCTGGAGACTGTAGGAGATTTTTAGTAGCAAGCTATCAGTACGGGGGTTGTAAGCATGCAAAAACCTGCGGCGGATTGAATGGACACGTACGATGAAGATGAATGAGACAGTATGGGAGGGATTGCTCAACTGCTGGTACAGCTCTCCGTCACCCCATGTTTCCTTGCATATGGCAGTCGCTTTCTTTCGCTCTTGATTGAGATTGTCGGCCTGTAAAGGTATCAAGACCGTGGGACTCAGCACCCGCGTCGCCTCAACGGCCAACCGAATAAAACCTACGTGATGTTGGCTCAGCGCAGTCAGAGGACTGACAACTATGGTCACAGCCCGGCGTCCGTAAACCAACTACATGGCTTGTTGAAATATCAAGCTCTTCCCTGAACCCGTTGGAGCAATGACGAATACAGCGTCATACTGATTTCGAGTCTTGAACCGCTCGAGCTGAAAAAGTCCCGCGAGAGCTTCGATTTGCACCGGCCGGGGGACGAAGTCCTCGCCAAATTTGTCGACCAAGAGGAGTCTGAGCTTCTTGCGTAACTCAATCGGGTCAATTCGATCTTCTTGAGTTGATTGTGATCTCCAGTGAGCAGCCCGAGAGCGACGGGTAGGCAGTTCGGGGGTTGTGTCGGTTGAGTGATGGTCCCTTGATGTCGTTGGCTTTGCCCTCGAAGCTGATCGTAAGGGCGACTCTCTGAACTCAATCGATAGAGACCGACGAGGTGTGCCCTTGACAGGCGTTGGCGTTTGTACGGGCATGGTGGATCATGAGGGCGGTAGCAACGTCGTGGACTGGCGTTGTGGACCGAAGGTGAGGCCAGTGAGGCGCGGCTGGCTGATTCACGTCGGCGCGAAGAACCGTCCCTCTGGGTCCGTGCGCGAGCCAGCTCCAAGTCGAAACTAACGACTTCTCACCGCTGTAGCTCAATGAATAGGACATGCAAGAGTCTTCCCTTGGGCAGATGCTCGTAAAAATAGCATAAGAATGCGCCTTTTTCTACATATTGTAGAGGTGATATTATTTGCCAAGCTACAGCAAGGTGGTACTTTTCTGGGCCAAATTTCGATAGGCAACTCAGCCAAACGCGCCGATAAGGTACAAGCCCCTCCACAGAGTGGAGGGTTTCGAGCTTAGTTGTTGTCCATCTGGGAATGCTTCATCGAGGCCGCACTAAGCGACTCACGACGCCGTTAACCCCCCTTAACCCCCCCGGTGCGAATCTTTAATCGACGGTCTCGCGCGTGCCCACTTTGCTGATCACGTTGGTAGATACCATCCTTGATTGGCAAACGCACCAACTTGCGCGAAGAATGCACCATTTGTAAGTGAACTTTGCACCTTACTTCCGGGGGTAGATGCGTCAAGGTTCGGGGGTAAACGCGCGCGCGTGATTTGTAAATGCACCATTTACTCGCGGCATTATGTATGGATGCTATTCTGCTTGGGGGCCTAAGCCGAGGAGAGTATGAAGACTATGGCAAGAGGAGGACGAGCGGGGAGTTTTACAATGTTGTAATGTAATGTAGTACATTTGGGCATCCCAACAAGCAAACCGGACCGGTTTAGTAGAAGTGTGGTCGAAAGCAGCGCAATTTGGCTTAAATGGTTTTTGCCGGGTCGTATTGGAAGTCGGGGTAAGCGAGTGGAGTGCGATACACGCCGTCGTGTCTAGGGCGCCGGAGAGTTGCATCGGGGGCAATTGCGGGGCCGTCGCGGCGTGGTCGTTGGTTGAGGTCGAAGCAGTCGTCATTGCCGGTACTGACAGGGTTGAAAAGTTTCGCGAGTGTAGAGGCAATGAGCACTGCCGTTCGAGCGAAACGAATAAGGTGCAGAAGCGAACAGGCATTTCTCTCGCCTTACTTCACTCTAAGCGCATGCGCGCCACCCCAAGGGGGGCGGCCCACCCGTAGTGGTAAGCGTATAGCGCGGTTCGCTCGGGCTCCTGCCGCTCAGCGTTGCCCATGCTCTTCCAATAGCAGACCAAACGCAATGTTCTCGAAGCTTGGCCGATACGCCGCCGTGCTATGCCTTTGCCATGTAGCTGCACAGATAGGATCTGTGTCAGCCGACAAGGTTCTGGTTGTACTCGAGAAAGATCTCGAACAGCAAGACTATGCGCTCACTTGGAGCTCGCTTGAAGGTGAGCCCGGGCTCGCCCTCCTGTGCTGCAATGGCCAACTGCTTGCTCCGCACCATCACCCCTGCGACAAGCCACGTCGACCGGATTGGCTTTGTTCCAACGTATCCTGAACAGACAGACGCTGACGCTGCTCTTGACGTGGCCACACTTGCACAGCTCGAGGGCACGAGCTCAGCTTCCGTGACGCTTCTGAGCGTGCCACGTCGACGCTGGAGGCAAGCCAGTTCCAACACATCCTCTTGTTTGCGCCGTCGGCGAAACGTGAGTGCTTTCCACCCAGTTCAGAGGCCGGACGACGAGCCCTCAGTCTGTGGAAGTATCTGCACGCTGTTTCACACCTCGGGTCAATCTACCGGTCGCGAGCCCGGCAGCTTGCTGTTCCGCGCTTGTCCCCCCACCCCCCCACCAGGTTCTCGAGGAGGCGGTGGTAGGCTGAATTCGGCCGAGCTGAGAGCCTGGGACTGACCATTCCACTTGATGGTCGTGTTGCTCGCGCCGATCTAGAGCTTCCGGAGGACTTGAACGCCCAACGTCTCGTGGAATACACCCAACACGGCAAAAACCTGCTCGTGGCGCTTTCGCCGCATGTCTCGGAGTTTTGGCGCGACTTTGCTCGCGAGTTCGACCTCGAGTTCGACGATCGCGGCACTCGAGTCATCGACCACTTCAGTTATGACGTGAGCTTGGACGACGACTCGTCGCATTCGGTCATCGTTGTGCCGCTCTCCGGCTCCCGATCCCCCTTTGTTGCACCCGAGACCAGCGCCGGTCCTCCCGTATTGTATCGAGGTATCGGCCACGCCGTCGGCCGTCGGCCGCTCGCCACGAATATTCTTTACGCTCCTGTAACATCTTATAGCGGCGATCCATCGCGCGTTGGCAATCTAGCCGACGATTTGCACCTCGCTGGGACGTCTACAGGGCTGGTCACTGCTTTCCAGGCTAAAAACAACGCTCGCATCACTTTCGTCGGCTCGACAGATGTCTTCTCCGACGTGTTCCAGAGCACGAGCATTGAATCAAGCAACGGACTCAGGCAAGTGGACTTGGCTTTGCCCAGTGTTATTTAGTAGCCCCTGTCAAGTGCTAATGCGCGCTTGACAGGTATCCGCGCTCCGGCAATACCGCCTTTCTCTCCGATCTCACACGGTGGACGATGCAAGAGACTGGCGTCATCCGCATCGATGCTACTCGTCACTATCGCGTGAGCGACGGCCAACGCCAAGATCTCTACTGCATGGGGGAAGAATTGGTGCGCTAGCTCAGCCCCCCCCCCGAGACTTCGCTCAACTGATCGGCCTAATTCGCGAGTCTACAGGCCTACAACGTGGATCTTGTCGTCAAGGACAAGGACGCAAATCTGCTCGCCCATCTCGATGATCTGCAACTCGATTTCACGATGCTGGACCCCCACCTCCGCGTTCCGCTGACGATTTCGGACCAAGTTCACGGTCGCATGGGCGAGACCGCAGTACGCTACACGACAAGTTTCCAGGCGCCGGACCGCCATGGCGTGTTCACCCTTCGAGTGGACTACCGAAGGCCCGGTTGGAGCTTCCTGGATGAGAAGGCGGTAGTATCGGTGGCACCTTCGCGTCACGACGAATTTGAGCGGTTTATCACTGGTGCTTTGCCCTACTACGGTGGTGCTCTCAGCGTTTCGGTAGCGACTCTCGTACTGGTTATTTTGTGGACATTGCAATGACCCACCGCCCAAGGGCTGCGACCATTTGTCTTTCCCTCGCCCCCACCAAGAATTCATGGTTGCGGGCCAGCGCCCGGAGTTCACAAGGTGTACCATCTCCGGCGAGTCTGTTGTGAATACACCTGTGTATATGTTCGGAGATGCGGAGACCATTCAGATTAGTTCGAAGTGAAGCGCATTGCAACGTATTAAGCGAACACGTACCCAATGCCGAGACACGATGGTAGTGATTGCCAAGATCGACAGGGTGACTCCGAGCTGGATCTTGTTAAAAGAGGGGCTGAGCACGTCGAACGACTTTGATGGTGATATGCGAGTCCCAAAAAAGTCTGTTCCGATCGCAAGGATCGACGACTCTGATTCTCGATCTCCAGGATAGCTAAGCATGAGCTGGACGTCGGACAGCTGTTCAGGCAAGCACGACCGCATACAAGAAAAGGTCAGAGTGCCGTATTCGTACGTCCCCGTGTTGAATACAGACTGACCTCATAGGCCCGAGAAAGCACCCATCTCGGGTTGTTCGGAAGAATGGCCTCGTAAGGTATGAGTAACTCTTCGAAATCTTCGCGGGTCGGCTTGCGTGTGTGCCTCCGGGGGTCGAGGTGTCGTCGCGGCAAGGCGATAACCTGATTCATCGAATTTGCAACTGCGTCGGTACACATGGTCAACGTTTGAGTAGTGACATCTCATTAATCGATGCGAAGACACGGTTGCACGCACAAATGGCGCTGAACGACGTGATCCCGAGCGGAGTGCGTGTCAGACCCCGAACCCTCAGTCCGTCAGTCGACAGAAACGACTTGGAGGAGACGCTAATTCTGGCAAGATCAGGCCGCAGCGATGACCTGTCGGCGATTGGAAAAGATCAAATTCATTCCTAAAGACACAGCAACGCGCGATACCATGGTCGACTCACAAGGACCTCCCGGCTCCGATGGCAAAGGACGACGTCTGATGGAAGAGCTCGATGGAATGCACCCGTGTAAAAGTAGAAGGGTCCTCTTCGGCATAGAGAGTGTAGATAACCCAGTTGTCGCGAATGGATACAGAGATCTCTTTCGAAGTGCGGATACCGTCATGCAGCGCTTCGTGCAGGCAGCGCCCACTGACAGCGTCCAAAATACTCAGCGTCAGCTGCGAAGTTGATTTCGAGATGGCTACCACAGCGACGACGCCATGATTCAGATACTTGAGTAGCGTTGAGCGGTCTCCGAGAACTCGCCCTGGTGACGCCACTGCATCTGTGAGATATTACGTAGGATAGACATGAATCTGTTCTCGACTAAGATGTTTGCACCAATTTTGGCGAGCTTACCTAGCATGTTTCGCACTACACGGACGACAGTGTAACCGGCAGGTAGTTTGTATCTCCAGGAGAGGCGCTGAGCACAAGGGCAACGGTCAGTATACCCGAATCGTCCACCTCAGGCTCCAGCAGCGAATAACCTCACGCTCTGTCGGTCACACAGCGACCAGCCCTCGACCAGGCCATCACCAGCCTCAATCTTGCTCTCACAGCCCAAATCCACGCCACGGAAAGAAAGATTCGAGGTCGAGCCCTGGTGGTGCCGTGGCGGGCGACGGTCCTCCGTAATCTGATGATCCAATTCTTGGCCGGTCCGAGCGTCGAGTGAGATCAGAAGCAAGCGACGGTCAGACTTGATGTTCGGGGAGGTGTGACAGAAGCTCAAGCATGTCAGTGTATACAAGGACTGGACGGCCAAAGCTGGACCCTCACCGTTCGGGCCGTTGCATTGACGCGAACAGACGAAGTAGTCCCGGTACCATCAAGATGAGCGAGGAGAATGGTTTCCCATTCGATGCGCCCTTCCAATGATACAAAGTACCGCCATACCACTTTACCGTTGTCTTTCGCATCAAGCCCGTGAATGGTCTGAGATCGAGAGGAAACAACAACGGCGAGGGGAGTCCTTGCCACATCGCCATTCTGCGACCAGGCATGACGACGAGATCAGCAGTTTGTCGCAGATCTAACGAGCCTTCGCCAAGACTCACAGCCCCATACCGCAGTAGTTTGGTTATCGGGGACGTTCGGGCCCCGGAAAAGCCGTCTGAGATTTGAACCATGGCTGGCAGATGGTCGATCTCGGCCAGAGCCTCGTCACGAGCCCACGCAAAGTGTCCATTTTCTCGCGCCTGCAGCAGGCCGGACGTCGACGCAAAGCTGATACGACTCGCCACAGAGTAGTCGCGAAGCGGTGCGGTCTCGATCGCAAACTTCGCGAGCAGGAAAAGGAGCAAGATTGAACTTGGTGGAGTCAGCGCAGATGGCGAACCTACGAGCCCAGAACGCAGCTTACGCTCAACAGATCGCCGACATCTTCCGGATTGAATTTGAAAGTGTGTCCTGTAATCACCCCTTGAGGCGAGCCTGGAGTGACCACGAGGGAAAAGATTTGCACGCTTGCCAGCTGGGTCCGCAAGTCTGATCAGGGTTGCTGCGTCTCCTAGGGCGCGATGAAAGTCAGGGACCTTACCTGGAGAGTCGGAGAGAAGGATAGATGGCCGATGTGGGCCTCATTCTCGCGATCTACAAAGCCCGAGAACAACGAAGCGAAGGACTGGAGAACGCCATCGTTCGGCCCGGATTCCACTTTCAGTGCCAAGTCTTGCAGACGAGGGCAAAGGGAGTAACGTCACTCACCGAATCGTTCAGGTCCCACAGTTTGGTCAGGGACACCCCGGTCCAACGCAGCACGACAACCGTGCCATCCCGCCGGTGCGCCAAGAATATGCCACGCCCTGCGAGTCCAACGTTATCCACACGAACGAAATCGGATGAGGTGCCGTCGGCTAGGGCCAGGACGCCCGAGCTCGAGCTCGCTAATGCGAACCAACGTACTGACGAACCGCCGACCCAGACGAGAGCACCGGAGTCGCTCTTGTCGCTGGAGGATGAGACCGCCAAAGGCATATGGTCGGCCGATGTCCGCAATTCCACGCGCATAGTATCGCGCAGTAGGTTGCCGGTTGAAGCGTTGTAAATGCGCAAGGAGCCCATGGTTAACTCCCTCTTCGGCCATGCAAACACGAAAATCAGGTTGGCTTGCGATCTTGCCAGCCGCACTCGGTCCGCTGGATCCCACCTGCTCCGGTGATAGGACGGTTCTTTCAGCCACGGTCAGCGCCGGATTGACTCGAATGCATCAAGTGTTTGGGCCAGTTTTTAGCGCAAACAGGCGGCAAAGTTGGGCAAATGACGTACCCCGCAACCTCGACGTGCCAACCCTCAGCGCCTGTATCCACGTCCCTGCTTCGCAAGATACCCCGAGCATAACTGACCAAGGTCCGATTAGGACCATCATGGTCCCCCCAGCAGATCGCATCGCCTGCGACCTGCGCCGGGCCGAGTACAAAGTCGTCGGCGCCGCTCGTCGGAGACGCCCATCGAAGCTCGCCCGTCGTTGCGTCGACAACTTGCAGGTCGCCAAGGTCGGCCCGTGACGACACGACGAGACCTAGTGCGGGGGATATCAAGCAATGGATTCAGCACCCGAGATCGATAAAGACGCGGATGCGGATGCTACATACTGTCATCCCCGCAAGCAAAGTAGCTGAGCTTGTGCGCGTCCGGACCGTACAATCGTCGCCATCCTGGAAACGAAGATACCGAAGTGCACAGCAGATACGTGCGGACATGTACATGTCAAGCTCGCGGGTTAGTGTCGGGTATGCCAGGCGGGGGTGGGGCCACGTAACGAGGTGCTCTAGCCAACGAGACGAGCGACGAGTGACTGACGGAGAGTGCCATTGGCGGGGTCCAGCGCGGCCAGAATGTTCTTGTCGGTCACAGTGAGCAGGATCGAACGTTTTCGCGAGGGTCCGTCGTGGCTTGCGACGTGCTTGAACTGATGCAGTGGCTCCGCGGTGAAGTCGACGCGCTCGCGCGGGACGCCGATCTGCACTCGATGCCAGTCTGCCGAACCGAGTGCGCGGGCCGCCGTCGAGTGCAACACGGTCAGCAGCAGCGGCAACATCCAGCGCACGCGAGGCCACATTTCGGGTCCGACGCAGCGGGCGAGCGAACGAGCGTGTTTGCCGAGCGCAATGTGGGTGGGTCGAGAGGGGTTGGGAGCGTCACGCTCCGGATAGACACAAGTGGGGCGAGTTGGGTCAGGCCTGGGTCTGGCTGGGTCTGGCTGGGTCAGGTTGGGTCGAGCGGAGTGGCTGCGGAGGGCTGCGGCATGCGGTAGGCTGCGGTAGGCTGCGGAGGGCTGCGGTCTGCTGCGGTGCGCCTCGCGAGGCCTCGCGCACTCTCGCGCCACAGCTCGCGCCGGCAGCCGCCAAAACAGGACTCCAGGAGAGAGACAGTCGTTGTCTTCGCACACGACGCACAGACCTACTTTACCAAAGGGTGGTGCTATAGAGACTTCGCAGGCTAGGCACGTTGAGGCACCGCCGGACGTCAGAAAGTGCATGTGCAGGAGGCCAGGATGCGGGAAGCCTGAGGATGGGACAGTAAATTTTACGGGCGAAAGTGATGCTGAGATGATGCATAGTATCTGTAGCCAGAGCCAGGAATCCCAGGAACACAAAACGATAGAGCAATAAGAACAATCGAGGTGAAAGCGTTTCTACTTCCCGAAAGTACAGCGTCTCCAGCGCGATCGCGTGAGGTGGTCGATCGCCGAAGTAGTATAAACTTGTGCTCTGGTGGGTCTCGGGCAGTCGATTCGATTCGCCTGATCACGCCCGACTTGCCTAATCTGCATCGGATTGACGCAAACCTTGCCGGGACATGTTCCTACCGCAGTGGCGAGCATCGAGCACTAGACGGCCGACCACCGACGCTCATCGTCCTTTCGACGGTCTACAGGCGGAGGGTCAAGTCGCAAGTCGCAAGTCGCAAGTCGCTCAGCAATGCGACAGAGCGTAAGGAACCGTCGTTGGCTCACCGTCCTTTGTACGGCTGCCTAGAAGGCGCGAACTGCCCGAGTTTGAAGCCGACCATTTCCGGCGTCACATGCACGGGGACGTATTGCTTGCCATTATGCACGAGGAAGCGCATCCTATTGCCCATCCCAGGCCGACGTAGCCCCATGCAAGTCAGCGATCTGCCTTCGCGCCAAGGGGACTGAGCACGATGACACACTCGACGTCGATCGACGCCGATATCGATGTTCCTAAGGCGACGCACCCGATAAAGTTGGGCAGAATCGTACACGATCTGGCGGTCGTTCGAATCGGCGTGTTCGTTCGCAATGACTCGGCGACATTCGGAAACGACGTGAAGAACGGCCCTGCAGGAGCACCAAAACGGGGTCGCAGCTTTAGCAATCGCCCCATGCCTGGCAATGCTATCGGATCCCCAAGTTCGCGAAGGCGATCCAGTGAAAGTGGAGTGTTCGGCGGTACTGACCCTTCCATGCCGACCGGGCGAGCATAGCAATCGACGGGCGCATCGTTTCCGAGTTCGACGTAAACAGAGATGAACACGCAGACAGGTGCGCGATTGAAAGCGCGGGCAAGTTCGGCATCACCATGTCAGACCATGTCTTGGTCAAGCTCTACCAAGCTAATATTGAATCTGGCGCGCACTCATATACAGCCAGACCACGATTCAGGGTACCTCATCTGATAAGGTGATCTCGCAAGTATAAGATATCTATCTTAAAAAATCGTGCTCTGGCTCTGATCTATCTATCCCTGAAGCTCTTTAAGTTAGATAGAAAGAGCTGGAGGTTTGTTCAACGAAAATGGGGGGGGGGAATTGACGACAACCAGTGGGATCCCGTTGTATTAACGGGAATATGATTCCAAGTAGCAGGAGAAGTGAACGGTATAATGACGAAAGACAGCAGAAAAACTATTTTTCACTCATCGCGGCCAAGACTTGGCGAGGTTGCGATGGCCCTCCTTGGCGACCTTAGGACCGGGACATAGTGGCGAGGGTTTCTCCTTGAATGAGTGTCACAAAATTCGATGAGAGTGGGAGAGAAAAAGAAAAGGTTAGAGGGAGTGGCGCGGGTTTGTTCACGGGGTGTGATTTGTTGTTCAGCACCTAATGCCGCTGGTCGGCTGCCGGAATGACACTGACACCGCTGGCGCGCCGCATCACGTGACAGACGCCAGCCCTCGCCCCGCCCGTCACGCGGAGCTCTGCTGTAGAAGTCATGCAAACCCACGCGCTTGCGGTCCATTAAAATTAAATACAGTATGAGTGTAAGCACTGTTCGCTTGTACATGACTTCTGATCGGAACATGGACACCACGGGCAGGTGCGGCAGACACAACAGTATGCTGGTACATCCACCACAGCACCTAGTTAAAAACAGTGATTTAGGTACACTAGGTACGGCGGCGCGCTCCGCGCGCCACCTCCCACCGTAACCGTTGACCCGATGCAATGTGATGTACTTTGCTGCAACAGCTGCGGTACTGTTCAGGAACGGAAGCCTAGTGGTTGAAGTCGGGAGAGAAGCGCGCGACGACGATCAAATGTACAGAGCCTTCATTTCATCACTGAACTACTTTTTTGTTCTCTGGGAGCCCGATGATGGGCTCAGACCGTCGTCGAGACCCGCGTCGAGTGTGGAGCAACGCCATCCCGGCGATGTTGAGACTCTGAACGTACTCGATCGAGAACAGTGATTCGTTTTCATTGTCGACCGAATCCGCGCTGTAGAACGTTTGAGCGTCGCCCGGAAGCAGGTCGAGCACCATGTCGTTGATCTGATCCACCTGCGAATTTTTGGGCGCCAGAACATCAGCAACTTTGCCACTCGCGCTTTAGTGCAATTTAGTGCCATTTAGCGCACTTTAGCGCACTTTAGTGGAATTTAGCTCGTTTTCTATGATCTCCGGTGGGTCGCTAAATCCTATCCTCCTATCCTATCCTATCCTATCCTATCCTATCCTCCTATATATATATATATCCTCCTAAACTACTAAAAACAACTGTCGCGTCAGACAAAGAACGTCAAAGAACAAAAGACAAACCACGTGGCGTGACGTCATCGGCAGCTCTCGGTCCAGCGCGTCCCGGTTAGCTAGTGCTGTTTCAGCTTGGGTCGGCCAGCGACAGACCGTTTCGTCTACGTTCGCCGAGGTTCCATTGGATAGCACATGACTCTCTGCTTCGGGCTTCACTCCACGTCGTTCCGCGGCCTTCCGCGACATTCTATGAACCCGGTTTAAACTGAGGCGCAGCCTTCTCCATCTTTCTCCCTCCTGCTCTTCACACCTTACCCATCGCATCTCATCCCATCGCCACTCATCTCATCGCCACTCATCTCATCGCCACTCATCTCATCGCAACTCATGAAAGAAGCCCCAACACAACTCGCGGATGGCGAACGAACAGCTCTGTCAGTCGATGACGTCGATCGACTTGACGCAATACGGTCCTGGCCCAGGACACGGCTCAAGTAGTTGTCACAATGCTTGGGAAGATCGTATCGATTGATCGATCCCTCCACAGGGATGCCTCCCGTGTAGTAAGTGACGCGAACAGCAAAACGTTCAGGGGAGCAGCCCGTTGATATACCTTCATGATGTCAACCAACCGCCCATTCAGCCTCAGAGATGCGGACAACGAACGAGTGGGCCGATCGGAACTGTGCTTGAGACAAATCGGCCTCGAGCTCGCGACACCCGAAGCGGTCGTCGTGGAAGCTCTGCAACGAATACGGGATCAAGGAATGCCTGCCGCATGCAACATAGCTACGAATTCGAGTAAGTAACTCCATGAACTGTGCTCTTGGTGTGGGATTGTTCAGAAGCTAATGGAAAACTACCAAGCAGAAATTCCCTTCAACACGTCCTCTCTGAATGTCAACCCTCGAGTTGTTTCTTCACCGTCAGCTGGTGACACTGCATGCGGCGTGAGTTATCCCTTGACATGGCTGTGCAGTCTTGGATATGACGGAAAAACTGATGCGAAAAACAGACATTGAACGTCAGTGAAACAGCGGAAGCATTGACTTCGTACGGTTGAGAATCCGGGTCATTGGGACACTAAATGTGAGTCTTCACTGCCATTGCTACAGATGGACAACGGCAAGAATACTGAGTTGTAACGAATCACGCCAGAAAACAGGCTCTGGTTCCGTGGATTGCGGCTCACCATCCCGTGGCAGATCCTCAACGGCTCGGTTCGGTGGAGTGTGGAGTGACCGTCGTGTTGGCAGGTGTGTGCCAATCTTTCAAAAGCAAAGCGCAGGGCGGCATGACTAACTGATCGATTGGACTGTAACGTCACAGGGGATCCAAAGCAATGCCTTCCCGTTATTCCCCAAGTCATCGCCAACCCGAATCGTCGACGCTTGCCGTTCCACGCTGCAAGTTACTGAACAGTACCGCAACTGTTGACCCGCTGAAATGTGATGTACTTTGCTGCAACGGTTACGGTGTGAGGTGGCGCGCGGAGCGCGCCGCCGAACCTAGTAATCCTTAAACTACTAAAAACAATTGTCGCGTCAGACAAAGAACGTCAAAGAACAAAAGACAAACCACGTGGCGTGACGTCATCGGCAGCTCTCGGTCCAGCGCGTCCCGGTTAGCTAGCTTTCTTCTACGTTCGCCGAGGTTCCAACGTTCGCCGAGGTTCCATTTCCCATCAAAGCAGCCTGACACATGACCCTCCGCTTCCCGAAGCAGACTGCGACGACCTGTTTTGCGTGTCTACCACATCGTAGCGTAGTTCCTTCAATCATCCAGCTCCTGCGACTGCCATGTCATCTGCAAACTTTCACGTCCCGTCTCCTGTACGACAATCTTCACGCCGCACGGAGAGCAGAGGGGCAGCAGAGACGTCGGCATCGTAAGCGAGCTGAGCCTCCTCCGTACAACCCGACTCCTGCTCTAATCGCACAGTCGCCGCCGCCAATCGATCAACACGACGTCGCGCAAACTGGTTCGTCAAGTCAATCTGCACCGGCAGCACGTCGGGTAGTGTCGGCCAGTGCGCCAATTCCGCCATTAGGGGCCCGCCAGCGTGTCACAGCTTGCCCACACCTTACCTTACGACCACGACAACGACATGCACATTAGGCGTCTCGCGACACGTGTCCTCGCAACCAACGCGGTGATCCCGTCCACCCCAGCCCAGCCCCAGCGCCCGCGCTATTCACCACCCAACAACACGCTGACATCTCCTCAGCAGCATTCGACCGTCCTCTATAGGACCTGTTCGCCGTTCGATCGCATATGGCCTAGTGCCGTAGCACCACCTCAACCCCCTTGCCGACCTTGGCAAAGGGACGGGGAAACCCACCAATCGATTAGCGGTGCAGACAGAACCTTGCCCAGAGGTGGCGAGTGCTATCTGACTCCACCTTATTACATAACCACTAGCCAATCTATGAACCGTCTCTCTTCCATTGATCATTTGCTTTATGCACCCATGCTAGCCTTCGAAGCGCTCCTCCTAAAACGACGAGTACTGCACGGACGCTATGCGCACCTCAAACTACCCAACCCTACCCTACCCGCTAACATATACATACACACGCACGTCCTAACATACCCTCATTCCTTTCTTGTGACATTCTATGTTCACTATCGAGGACTACTGTTGCCAGCGCTGCCCGAAGGACAGGATAGGAGACCCCTTAGATGCCTCTTCGAGGCCGAGAGTACCACCCAGACATATTTTCTACGATACCTTCGCCGGACGGAACGCGCATCTGACCTGCTTCATGACCCGTACAAACACCAACTCACTACTATCCGGCGGCTCTATCCGGCGGCTCCATACCACCTGGTTGCTTGACGATTCCCACACCCTAGATAAATCACAGAGCCCCGCACCACACCTCGACTGGAAGTCGACAACGCCCTCTTTCTGGGTTTGTAGGTCATCCAGCACGATCATAACATACTTGTATCGCGGAGCAGGCGTTCTGAGACCTGCCACACACGCCCTCGCTCCACAAGGGACCGCCTCGGGCGCTGAGCCCAAGACCTACTCCTTGAATCAGCGCGCGACTCACTTAACTAGGAGAAGCTACCCCTGTCTGACACCGAACCTGAGCACGTCATTGATCACCTCTTGTAAAGCCCGAGCGCTTAATTTCCCACCCGTTCAATGCCTGGTAATGAATAACGGCCCATTTTCTCCACCCCTGAGCACGTCATCGAGTGCCCCCCTGGGAAGCCCAAGTGTTTCATACTCCATCCGTCCGGTGCAATTTGAACCCCATACTCCTTTCACCTCGCCCTTGCCCCCTCCCACACAACAACCGCTTATACGACACGATGGTCCCCAGACCCTACGTAGAAACCGACTTCAGAGCCATTCGGACTACCCAACCCCTGGCACATCGACTCGTCATCTCTAACCTTCCTGCTACTTCTGATAACATCGCAAAACTGACGGCGGAAGGGACCATTGAACACCTACTTGTCCAAGCCGGCATTAGCGTCAATGAGCAGCCAGTTTTCTTTCAGTCGCACGAAGTCCTTAACCTCACCGGGCTGTCGGACCCTCCCCAATCAAGATACAAGGCCCTAAACACGGATTATTTTGAGATCATCGGGCCCAAGGACGAAATTGATTTCACCAGCAAGATCTTCAGTTTTCTGAATAACGAGAGCAAGCCGTACTGTGAGTGGGACAAAAGAACGCCGACCCTCTCCTGTTCACTACAACAGCCTCTGACAGCCCAGACTTCCAAACGTCCAGACCCTTCCTCGTTCGAATCCGAGCTAGTCGACGAAAACAATCACCGTTGGCCTCGTCTTTTCGCTCATTTCACCGACGTGAAGGAGAACGACGAAGTACGATGGGTCCGTCTAGCTTTTGATTCCGTAAAGCATTCCGGCAAGGAGAGCTACGACACCATCGAGCGAGCCCCGGAAGAAGCAATTCGAAAGGCGATAAAAGCACATTTGGACAAACACTTCGAAGACATGAAGAACGTCCCCGCCGAGTCGTGCATTTCGGTCACCAACGATTCAGGTACACGCGGCGATCAATGCAAGGTCCTGGTCGCGGTTCGTATGGCGAGTGCTTTTATGGTGGACAAGATCACAGCCACGAAGGACCGGTCTACCCTCAGTGCAAAGGTCAACATCCCAATGCGACCCACGTCTCGTTTGACGCCACAAGTGACTACGGAACCACTGCTGGTCGAACAAACCATCACCGGGGTTTTCAAACGCATCGTGAAAACGCGAGGGATGCGAGAGCCCTTCGCAATCGTCGTCTTATGGGCCAAATCGAACAGGGACCCCCAGAGTGTGGCCTCGTACCTGATGAGCTGCCTTAAGGATGCCGAGACTCGACATGCCGCCGAGTACCCCCAGGATCCCATTACGCGACCCAAAGGCACAATTGTGACGACGGACTACGAGCCGGCTACCGGCCCGGGCCAGCACCAAAAAGTGGTCTTTCGGTTTTCAGTGTCCACATCCGCCCTGGCAACACACATCGTGCAGATGGTACCTTTCTGCCGGCCCACGACAGATTCGGCACGAGTTGGCATGATGGCGACGAACGTGTAGTCATCAAGGTCTGCCTAGACAACGAGCGTGCTGATGCTATCTCTGCCCGATTCAATAAGGCCACGTCGGAGTCGCAAGGGGCTATCGCCGAAAGTGCTCGACACATCGAAAATCGGATCGACATGATCCAGGACGTCTTCCAGACCCTCGCCACAACGTACGCGGAGGACAAGCGAAGGAACGAACAGATCGCGCAAGAAACTCGGCAAATGATGCATGCGCTCCACATGAGCAATCAAGCGCTCTTTTCATCTCTATCGGGCGTACAAGCGTCAGGTCAAGCGCAATTCGCTGTGATGACCGCCAGTACCCAACTCAGCAATCTCAGGATGGAGCTCCTATTCAGTAATCATCCCAAGGACAGTCAGGAATACCAAGAACTCGCGCGAGAAGTTCAAGAGGCACGAAGGACGGTGTGCGACGCACAGGCAGCATACCAGCAAACGCAACACCAAGTCACCCTGGCGCTCCGACAAGCAAGTCCCGTATACCTGCATCAACTGGCCCATGACGGTCCAACCATCCCCAATGGCAACAATGCGAGCGGCGCCGCAGATAACGCGATGGACGAACGTGAAGAATCCGGAGGCTCGCCGAGCAAGCGCGGACGACACAATCAAGAAGGTGACGTGCACACGACAAGCCCCCAGCCACAGAGTCGCAGCGAGCATGAAGGAATGTCTATAGTAAGTGACTGGTGGCAGGTTCTCCAACGCCGCTCGCCTGATGATACAATCACCACCGCAGGATTCGTGAAGGTCGAGACCGAACTCCGAAGCTGGCACCTCCGCCACCACCCTGGGGTGTATAGCAAACTCAGCACGTATGGTCTACTTGCAATGACGATTTTTAGTTCCACCATACCAGCACCGGCGAAATGCCTCACCGTTCTCCTCGCTATCGTTTTGAACAATAAGTTGGCCTACGCAGCAACGCCAATATCAATTGCCAGCCTCAACATAAATGGAATCGCAGATCCCATCAAGCTCCAACAAGTCCAGAATAATCTGCTACACTCAGAACACCATGTCATCAGTTTTACTGAGCTCAAATTCAGAACTGACACGCAGCTTCCTCTCAATACTGGGGGTTTCCAACCGGTCCTCACCCCATCAATCCGGGCGGGTTCCGTCATGAAATGGGGGACGCTCCTTCTCATTCGCAACAATCTGCCGCTACTGGCTTCCTATACTTTTACCGATGGACCGCTGGCAGGACGGGTAGCAGCTGCGGATGTATTGATTCGAAGTCAAGGAGGAGCAAGGATGGTGCCAATCCGGATCGTATCCGCCTACTGCCCACATGGAGGATACGCACGCAATGCGGAAGGTGACGGTAATGCGATCAACGCTTTTTGGGCGGCCCTCCAGGACCTCATACGAACTGGGCCATAGTGGGTGACTTCAATGCAGTGCTCGACGCTCGCGAGACCACAGCAATGGTTTTCCCACGACTCAGACCCACCGCGGTAGAATACTGCCGCTTCTTACGCCAGACCAACGGCCACGATGTGTGGAATGAAATGGAGTCGGTTTCACTCGCGGAAAATTGGACACATAAGGCATACGGGGAAGCGCAAACCATCAGCATCATAGACCGTCTCGCAACGTCAGCGCCGGCGGGGAATGCGGATATCCATATGTTGCGTCAGGTTATGGCCACTGATCACAGACCAATTCATTGCAGACTATGGTTCCCGGGTCTCTGTGCGACACTTGAGGAGGCGAGCGACGACGGACCTCGGAGGGTTAAAGTTCCGCCGCGGAATAGCGACACTCGGCCAAAATTTCGGCAAGAGATGGAAGAGGGCGTTGCTAATTCGCAGTCTTTGAATCGAGTTGCCAAGGATGGAACAGTAGCCTCACAAGAGGCTTGGAATGCGACTTACGATGAATTTTCCAATCTAATAGTAAACACTTCCCTCCAAATATTCGGCGAACGAAGATCGCCAGCGGTCGGGAAACGCGAGTTTGTCGGATCGCCAGAGTTACGACAATTGAGTCAGGACCGTCACCATATGAATCGCTATATATACGCACTCAAGACTAACTCCATTCATATATTGAGAAACAAACCGGACACAAGAAGATGGTTCGAGGAGCTCCATACCGACCTAGAAACGGCGACATTGCAACATCTCCAACAAGAAACAGGCAGAGCAGTGTGGTACCCCCCCCCCGAGGATGAAGTGTTAGAAACCGCGACTGTCTGGCGCCGCCAACTCTGCAAAAGAATACACGCACAAGAGAAGCGGGAGCGTAAAGAACTGGCACAGAGGTCTGATGATTTTCGGATACAGAATGTCATCAACGGAGGTTCAGTGAAGAAAATCCTGATACCACGTACGTCACTGATACAACCACGTGCGGTAGAAACTGTGGATGGAAATCTTACCGCTGACCCCACAGAGGTACGGAACACGTGTAAGCAGTATTTTAGCGCTTTATTCCAAAAAGAGGATGACAATGCTCTGACAGACAAACCTTGGATGAATACGGAAAGTTCCCGGAAGTTTCGGGAGGCTACGCAACGCGACCCATTTGTCTGGCCTAGGCCCCTGATGCTCAGCGACCTCCGGGCGCTCCTCGGCAAAGGCAATAGGGAACCATCCCCCGGTCTGGACCGATGGGAGAAATGGACAGTAACGATACTTGGAGACCAAGCGATGTCTGTTGTTCTGGCACTCCTGAACTATGTACTGGTGCACAACTACTTCGACAAGCTGCGCGACCACTATCTGCTTCCGATGTTCAAAAATCGCGGACTGTCTTCCCAACTGAGTAATTACCGAGCGGTCTGTTTTGGCAATTTCTTGGCGGTCACAGCGGCTGGATGGTTTACACGTCAGGGGCAAGCTTACACAATGAAACACCACATGATTCCAGAAACACAGGTGGCCGTCCAGAGCGGTGTACAACAGCGCGACCTCACAAGTTTCCTAGCGAACCTAGAAGCCTGGGCGTTCCGGGCCAAAACTCCGATCTACGGGCTAGTACGAGACCAAAAGAAGGGCTTCGACCTGCTCAGACCAGAAGCTGGGTATGACGCCTACCATTTTTTCGGCTTTGGCCCAAACGCAGAAGCTTTTGACCGAGCCCGATTGGCACACGGCGCTTTTATCGTCAAGACACCGTACGGCCTCGCGGAACCTTTCGAAGTGGACGGGCAGATGAAACAAGGGGATCCCCCGAATCCTCTTCGTTTCTCCTTGGCCATGGCTATGGGCTCTTACTGGCTGGACGAACAAGCGTTCGAGGACCCACTACTCATCACAACACAGAACAGGGCACGCTCAAACAACCATACACAAGCGGATGAACTGACCCTCAAGATTACTCAGGTATCTGCGATGGACGACACCATACTACTGGCCAAGAGTGAAAGGACGCTGGCAGCGATGACTCTCTACATGGAGCATTTCCAGGAAGCCTACGGAGCCCAAACCGACTGGGGTACAAAGACTCGAGCCATCATAATGGGCCTCGGCAACCAGTCTGATACACCAGGGACAGTCCAAGTTGCCACTCCTCATGGGAGACGACAGGTCACTGTCGACCCAGCACACGTTTTTCTCAAAACACCGTTCGCTGCGCCGGACCGACAATACACTCAGCTGGAAAGTATTGTGCGATCGATCGGGTTCCCGAGCACGCCAACGAGGCGACTCCCGCTCTCGGCATTACGACGATTCATCGAACAAAAACTAATTAGCAGGCTGAGGCCACGACTGGCTTTATGTCCTATCCGACCGGACGATGCCCTTAAGCTAGACCAGCTTATAGCAATGCGGATCAAAGAGTACTATGGATGGGTTTTCACACCGAGCGCTAAGTTGGTCACCCTCCCCGTCGCTAAATTTGGATTCGAGCTTACTAGTCTGTGGCGACTGAACGGGGCTATGGCAGTCGATGGACTACTACGAGACCTGAACCATCATATTCCAGCTTTCGCACAGATGGCAAGAATAACGCTGGCCGACCTACAATGCCAACACCATGGCTGTATATCGCCGCTCCTGAACCCTAAGCCCCTGTCTTTCAAGCACTCGCAGCAGATGGTTCCTCAGATCTGGAATACGGCACTAGGTGCGCTACAACACTGCGGGAACCTCCGTGTACTCGAAACCGACCAGTCGAATCGCACCGACTCAGGTATTAGTGCGGAACATGCATACCTCCAAAGCGGAGGGGCCAAACGAAACGAACCGCAACTACAAAAAGCCATGGCGGCGCTTCCAGCAGGCCTGACGGACCTCCAAGTGCTACGGAGAGGCCCACAGCGCGATAGACCCGACCTCTTTGCTGGATGGCTGCACCCGAACACGAGATTGGTGCGACAATGGTCTAATCGCTTTGATGAAACTTTACTGGCGGACGGGCCGGTTAGGTTGTTGAAGACGCGAGCACAGCGACAAAACGACGCCGAGCAGCAGATCAAAATCACACTCCTTTCCCTGATAAATTTTCGAGGCCAACAAGACCAGAATATTTGGGCTACGGATGGCTCACTCATCGTGTTACCCACAGGACTCACATCTGCGGCGGCAGCGGTTGTAGGGCCATACTCGGCGGCTCGTGCGGCACTACCGGCGGGCGCGACTATCATGCAGGCAGAGGTGACAGCCCTGATCATAGCGGCACTGACCTCACACTTAGAGACCTCACATTTTGGGTCAGCAATTCAGGTTGTCGCAGATCACCTTACCTCCGCCAAATTCACTGAGAATCTGAAGAAAGATCAAGTTGCACCAAAGAAACCGAGGGCCGCATTTGCACACTACACTTGGCTCGAACACCTGCTGAGAACGAGTGATTCGATACAAATACGGCACGTTAAAGCCCATACGGGTGGCGGAGACGAAGCATCGCGTGCAAACACTCGAGCAGATGAGGCGGCGAAATCGGCACACACTCAACCTGACTTCTTCGTGCTTTTCCCGGACTTTGCACTCCCACAATGGACAATCCAGGCATCCCTTGGCGAGCAAACTGCTTGGATAGAGGGTGATGTGATCAAGAAAATCTACGACCTACAAGAAGCATGGCAAATCAAATCGCTGCCCCAGAAGATCGGTAACGACGTTCAATTGCTACTCCAAGTCGCTCATTCCGCAGGACGGTATCCTTACCTTCGCGCAATTTCGACGTACGCAGCGCAAACACAACTCCAGCTGCGGGCACACATCCTTCCCACCGCCTCGCGATGCTCAGAACGATTCGGTACGTCGTATTTGTGTACTATTTGTGGATTGGCAGAGGAGACAGAGAAACATGTTTTCAGGGAGTGCGAGGCAGGTCGTGGACTGCGGGAAAGAATTGGACAGGACTTGTTTCAGATGACGCGTAGGGAACTGGAGATGAGACACCACGAATGGACGGGAGCACAAGTATACGAGCTTTCCAATTTCGCTGCAGGGCTAGTAACGGGACATCTATGGTGGTATGCGATGCCGATGATCCCAAAACCTGACATCTACTGGGCCCTCGATGAGCGATCTCGGACGCGGCTGGATCGGACATGGCATCACGAGCTTATAAAGGGAGCCGGACGGTTATGGGCGGCGAGAATGAGGAAGTGGTGGGCACTGCAAAGGAACACGGAGCAAAGGAATTCGCATTAGTGACAGAGGCGGTGGTGGCGGCATTCCCCACCTGCCTTTGAGGGCGGGCGCTGAGCTGGACGAGGGAAAGACTGATGTAAGCCCTGGAATGGGGGGCATCGGTCCTGGTGACAGCAAGGTGACGGCCTACGTGACATGAATATGGTGGTCCAGCGGATCTAGCAATTTGTTAGATTCTGTCTTTAAACAAGACTAGCTGGAATATATGGATTAAAACATTAAAACTGGGCTTCACTCCACGTCGTTCCGCGGCCTTCCGCGACATTCTATGATCCCGGTTTGAACTGAGGCGCAGCCTTCTCCATCTTTCTCCCTCCTGCTCTTCACACCTTACCCATCGCACCTCATTCCATCGCCACCTCGAGCTCGCGACATCCGAAGCGGTCGTCGTGGAAGCTCTGCAACGAATACGGGACAAGTTGCAGCATGCAGCATAGCTACGGATTCGAGTAAGTGACTTCATGAACTGTGCTCTAGGTGTGGGATTGTTCAGGAGCTAATGGAAAACTACCAAACAGCAATTCCCTTCAACGCGTCTTCGTTGAATGTCAACCCTCGAGTTGCTTTCCTCCACCATCAATTGGTGACTGCATTCGTGAGTTTCACGTGACATTGGCTGTGCAGGCAGGTATGACGGAAAAACTGATACGAAAAACAGACATTGGATCGTCAGTGACAGGAGATGACCCTATCCCCGAAAAGCGGGGGCACCCACCGTGGCCTCTGTGGGAAAACGACATCGATGCCCACAAACACCCCTTATTCTACAACAACGCGCGTGAAGGAAGCAGGCCACGGGAAAATACAGCGGAAGGATTGACTTCGTACGGTTGAGAATCCGGGTCCATGGGACACTAGATGTGAGTCTTCACTGTCATTGCTACAGATGGACAACAGCAAGAATACTGATAGTTGTAATAAACGAATCACGCAGAAAAACAGGCTCTGGTTCCGTGGATTGCGGCTCACCATCCCGTGGCAGATCCTCAACGGCTCGGTTCGGTGGAGTGACCGTCGTGTTGGCAGGTGTGTGCCAATCTTTCAAAAGCAAAGCGTAGGGCAGCAGGACTAACTGACCGGTTGGACTGTAACATCACAGGGGATCCGAAGAACCCGTTATTCCAAGTCATCGCCTGCACAAATTGTCGACGCTTGCATCATGGAATGCTGACTTCTGGGGGGAAGTTGATAGCCGAAAAAGTCGAATACTTCCGACATCGAGCAATTCTGGCGCCCAAAGATTCGCAGGTGGATCAGATCAACGACATGGTGCTCGACCTGCTGCCGGGTGACGCTCAAACGTTCTACAGCCCGGATTCGGTCGTCGAAAACGAAGACGAATCACTGTTCTCGATCGAGTATCTTCAGAGTCTCAACATCGTCGGGATGGCGTTGATCCACACTCGACGCGGGTCTTGACGATGGTCTGAGCCCATCATCGGGCTCCCAGAGAACAAAAAAGTAGTTCAGTGATGAAATGAGAGGCGCCGATGCAGCGCCGTCGACAGCGCCGTCGATGTTTCCAGCTGGTCGAAAGGATGTTCCAATTCGATTGGCAGCTCGCAAGTCAAGCTTGCGACACCCGTGAAAAGGTCCACACTCGACACGGGTCTCTAGGTTTCCGTTACTGAACAGTGCCGCAGCTGTTGCAGCGAAGTACATCGCATTGCAGGTCAACGGTTACGGTGTGAGGTGGCGCGCGGAGCGCGCCGCCGAACCTAGTCCTATCCTATAAATGAATCTGCCGCGTCAGACAAAGAACGTCAAAGAACAAAAGACAAACCACGTGGCGTGACGTCATCGGCAGCTCTCGGTCCAGCGCGTCCCGGTTAGCTAGCGCTGTTTCAGCATCGGCGGCCAGCCACAGACCGTTTCGTCTACGTTCGCCGAGGTTCCATCGTTCGCCGAGCTTCCATTCCCCATCAAAGCAGCCTGGCACACGACCCTCTGCTTCCCCAAGCAGACTGAGACGACCTGTGTTGCGTGTCTACCACATCGTAGCGTAGTTCCTTCGATCATCCAGTTCCTGCCACTGCCGAAACGAGATATCTGCAGACATTCACGTACAGGAGACTCCAGTGCGACAATCTTCACGGAGAGCAGAGAGGCAGCAGAGACGTCGGCAACGTGAGCGAGCTCATAGCGCGCCCCCCCGTGAGACTGAGCGCGCCGCCAGCGATGCTGCTTCGGCTCCTCCTCCGCACAACCCGACCCCCGCTCTAATAATCGCACAGACGCCGCCGCCCAACCTCCGCCACTGCCGAAATGTCATCTGCCAACAGTTTTCACGTCCCGTCTCCTCTACAACAACCTTCACGGAGAGCAGAGGCGCAGCAGAGACGTCGGCAACGTGAGCGAGCTGAGCGTACCGCCCGCGAGGCTGCTCGCGCTCCTCCTCCGCACAACCCAACTCCCGCTCTAATCGCACCGCCTCCGCACAACCCGACTCCCGCTCTAATCGCACAGACGCCGCCGCCGCCAACAACCTCGAACAATCGCAGATCGCAAGCTCAGCGGCAGCGACGCCTTCGCGAGAAGCAGCAGCGCGAAATAGATCAGCACAACGTCGCGCAAACTGGTTCGTCAAGTCAATCTGCACCAGCAGCACGCAGTCTCAATGTCGCACGGCAAGTGCGACGGGCCCGCAGTCCTTCACCTCCGGGCTTGAGATTCGTTCGTCCACGCCTCGAAGCAGTTCCAGACCTCTCTCGCAACGCGGGTTCAAGTACAGACGCAACTGCGACTTCAGCCACTACTGTCGTCGATCAAGGAGTCGCGGAGCAGCGTCAGCGACACCAACGCGCAAGAGAGCGATCGAGCCAGACCGTCCCAGCTGCGCTGCTACCGTTGCCAGAAGGGCCTTTTCCCCGGCACGATCTCGGATCAATGACGTTGCAATGTCCGATCTGTTCGGCTCTCCACTGGGAGTTCGAAAAATCACCGACCCCAGGCAGCGCCACACCGTTCAAAATCTGTTGCGCGGACGGCAAAGTTCGATTGCCCGGAATCGAAGAACCTCCCCCCGAGCTGCTCGCGCTTCTGACTGGCGATGGCCCAGGTTAGTACACGTCGATTCGTTTAACCTGCTAGATTAAGTACATCCGACTAACGGCCTTGCTGACTATCCGTGAAACAGTTAAGAAGATTTTTCGGGACCGCATTCTTGCTTTCAATGAAAGCTTTGCTATGGCATCATTCGGCACGAGCAAAGGCCATGGCATCATCAGCGGCTCCGGACCACCATCTTTCTACCTGAGCGGAATGGCGTTTCACCGTATCGGCACCCTAGCTCCAGCCCCAGCAGACGACCCCGTCTTTGCCCAGATTCTATTCCTGGCTCCGACGGAACGGATTGAAGCCCGACGAAGATTCAACGGACCGCCTGAAGAAGTTCGACGTCTGGACTCGGCGTATCAACAGATTGTTCCTCTGCTCGACGGCATGCTACAACAACACAACAGCCGCGTCAAACTGTTCTTGACAGCACAAGAGTTCATGGGCAGTGATGCTTCTCACATGTACCAGCTGCGTCTACTTGCACCGCGCAATCGAGATCCGAGAACCTACAATTTGCCGACGCAAGAGGAGGTAGCCGTCATTCTACCCGGAGACGAGACCGAGTACCGATCTTCAAGAAGAGAGATCGTCGTTCGGTTACGTCACCCGCCAAACAATGACAGTCGCGGAATTCAATTCATCCCCGATGGTCACCCTGGACTCATGGCACTCACGTACCCGCTATTGTTACCGTACGGCGAAGACTGGTACCACGACAGAATTCCGCTCAGCCAAAACGCTATCGCAACAGAAGCAGCTCGGCGCGTGCGAGATGAAAACGGCGTCTTGCAACGCACAACGGATAACGCCAACGCCAACCCACAAACCGGAAGGGCCGGATCCAAACGTGTGACGCAGAGCCAATTCAACGCGTTTTACTTCCATATTCGTCCTCAGAATATAAGTTACCCGACGTTGTTCCTTGGGGGCCGGTTGTTCCAGAAATTTGTCGCGGACGCCTGGGCATTAACTGAACAAGAACGACTATATTGGATGAGAGCGAATCAGCAAAAGCTCCGAGCCGAAGAGTATTCGTCCCTTCAAGCAAGCCTGGCTGAAGGACTCGATCCCGCGCAGATTGGCAAAAGAGTCATTCTACCGTCGTCACACACCGGATCGCCACGCCAAATGGTCCAACTTTACCAAAATGCTATGGCCATCGTTCGTGTTTTTGGTGCTCCGGACCTATTCATCACAATGACATGCAACCCTGCCTGGTCGGAAATCGTCAACGCATTGCTTCCTGGCCAAACCGCATCCGACCGTCCCGACATAGTGGCACGGGTCTTTTACGGCAAATTGAAAGCTCTTCTTGCGGATGTACTAGGCGTTGGTCGTGCGCCGGGAGTCTTTGGAAAGGTATGTCAATCGACGCGGTCAATACAAAATGGATAGGATGCTCACAAGTCTCAATTCTTTGCGCAGGTCATCGCATATGTCTATGTTGTCGAATTTCAAAAGCGCGGGCTGCCTCACGCCCATATCCTTTTGATTCAAAGTGGGATGTCCCGTCATGCTCCTCAGAAACTTGGACTCCGCCGCGGGGCTGTGCAACGGCACAAGGCTGTTGTTAACTCGGTTACACACCCGCGTGCTCGAGGCCATCATTCTCACAGGAGATCATGCTGGACAACCCGTTTTGTTGCCACGGATCACGCTGAAGACAGGGTCATCGGCTGAGCTTCCGTTCACTCTGCATCGGACGCAGTTTCCGATTCGGCTCGCAATGGCTATGACGATCAACAAGTCGCAAGGCCAGTCACTCGCGCAAGTAGGAGTGTGTCTAGAGACGCCCGTCTTTTCTCACGGCCAGTTGTACGTCGCGTTGTCCCGAGCAACGAATGTGGACGGTGTCAGAGTTTTGCTTCATCAGACAGAGAATGGAGAAGCGGACAATGTAACAGAAAACATCGTTTTTAGAATGGTTTTTGAGTTGATGAAATGAAGAGTTACCTCAAAGCTTCACTATACCTTCATGATGTCAACCAACCACCTCCGTTACTGAACAGTACCGCAGCTGTTGCAGCAAAGTACATCACATTTCAGCGGGTCAATGGTTACGGTGTGAGGTGGCGCGCGGAGCCGAACCTAGTGACACTTAAAAGGCACTTAACTTAAGTGCACTTTGTGCCATTTAGTGCTTCCGTGCCATTTAGTGCACTTATAGTGCTTTTGCAACAGCAAACTGATTTCAATGCTTTTATGTGTATAACCGCGCTTGAGCGATCAATGCCTGGTAGTACTGGTATATGCTTGCATTCCATTCATATTACGCAGTGCTAAGTACTAGGCTACTGCCAGCCAAACAATCTATTCTGAGTCCTCTTCTTACGTATCATTCGGCGCCTAGTGTTCCTATAAAGTGCCAGGCCCCCGGGCTTGCCTCGAGCGAGTCTTTGGCCAGGCGAGTCTTTGGCCACTGTTTCGCCGCCTGAAAACGGAAGCATACCCCCCCCCCCTTTGCCCGCTGCGGAAACAACCCGTGTATGTCGCAACATCTGATGATTGAGACTCACCGGAGAACCCCGCAATCGGGGGCATCACCTTTTCGAGAGACACGCGCGCCTATTGCTGAGACCGGTAGACGAACGCTAGGTCGAATGTCAGAGGAATAAAACCGATATCCGCGGAAGATCTCTCGACTCACCGCAGCTTAAGCGTAAGAGCGTAAGATACTAGACCAAAAGCCAGGGCTTGGTGGTCCGGCTGCGCCGCATTGAGGGAGGCCAGCTTTTGGCTCTTGGCGCAAGCTGCGAACACGGCGGCGAGATCGTTCAACAGTGAGTTTGACAGGTCGCCTGGCTTCCGGCCGAACTGGAAATCTCTCTGCAGTAATGCAAATACTTACCAGCGAATTCCTGCTCTAGACAACAGTATAACTTCCTCAAGCTCACCTTAACAGTGGGGCCACAGCGAAGTTCCAAGAACCCCTCCGAAGATGGTTAGCGTTGCCAAGATGTGACGTGCGCCTCTCTCTGCTTCGTGTTTGTTTTGACCGCGCATTGGTCCCGCCGGACGCTGGCGGTGTCTTTGCCGGCGGCTTGTAACGCTTCAGCCATACCTTTCAATGGCTGTGCCATACAGTCGACTCACTCGGAAATGGCCGGGGCCAGGTTGAAAGATGATGGTGGAGGCAAGAGGGAAGAAGGGGTGGGCATCGCGAGCGGTGTCAGTGAGTGGGAGGAAGGAAAAGGAGGTTCGCGACGGCGCGTGGACTTGGTAAACAACAACGCGGCCGTGGCCTGCCGTGGCCTAATGCGAGTCACTTGGTCGCGACGGCGCTTGCACTGACTGGCGAAGGCCCGGTTCACGCCATTTGGCGCGCCGCGCGCGGCGACTCGCGCCTTACTCCCAAAATTCCAAAATTTGTCTAAGTCCCACTCTGTTCGTAGGCGCAAGAGGCGCATTTCCTTCTTCCGTCGCCGCACAGCAACTTCAATCTACGACACTCGGTTGAGGATGTTTTGTTTTACGATCGGAGCTTAGGCAGGTGCTACTTTGACAAATGGAGATCACGCCGGCATGGAATATCCAGAATGTTGTGGACATCTGGAAAGACCAGTTGACTGTAAATCTGTGAACTTGTGAGCATGTATGTTATCGCTTTACGAGATTATTTAGCATCAAAATTCTACGTGATCAGAGAACGCCTCAGAGTCGCGGGAAGGGGAAAGGGAGGGCGGCGCGAATGGATCTATCAGAATAGCCCCTGTCATGATTTTGGTCAATTGAATCAACAGTATAGCTTCAGTCCTTTGAGAGTAGATTATAATACTGCAAACAGGTGTTGAGAGCAAATCATGTCTTTATGTATCTACTAGGCGCCGAATGATACGTAAGAAGAGGACTCAGAATAGATTGTTTGGCTGGCAGTAGCCTAGTACTTAGCACTGCGTAATATGAGTGGAATGCAAGCATATACCAGTACTACCAGGCATTGATCGCTCAAGCGCGGTTATACACATAAAAGCATTGAAATCAGTTTGCTGTTGCAAAAGCACTATAAGTGCACTAAATGGCACGGAAGCCACTAAATGGCACAAAGTGCACTTAAGTTAAATGCCTTTTAAGTGTCATTTAGCGACCCACCGGAGATTATAGAAAACGAGCTAAATTGCACTAAAAGTGCGCTTTTAGCACTAAAGTGCGCTAAATGGCACTAAATTGCACTAAAGCGCGAGTGGCAAAGTTGCTGATGACGTTCTTTGACGTTCTTTGTCTCCCTGGTTTGTCTTTCGTTCTCTGACGTTCTTTGACGTTCTTTAGCCACACAGTTCTTTTTAGTAGTTTAAGGATTGCAGGTCGAGTACTTGGTATACTGATACCTAGAGTTTGTAATAGGAAGAATAGCAACCAAGGTCCTGACATTGTTACACCTCACCACAGCACTCCTCCAAATTTTAAGTGTCAACTTCATCAGACTTTGCTAAGTTCATCAAACAGCGCCATTTTGTGCGCCATTTTGTGCCATTTTGTGCCATTTTGTGCACTTTTGTGCACTTTAGCGGTTTAGCGGCTCGAGATTTATTTAGTGGCGTTTAGCAAAGTGGCAAAGTTGCTGATCAGTGTGTGCCAATCTTTCAAAAGCAAAGCGCAGGGCAGCAGGACTAACTGACCGGTTGGACTGTAACATCACAGGAAATCCGAAGCAATGCCTTCCCGTTATTCCATGACTCGGTTCGGTGGAGTGACCGTCGTGTTGGCAGGTGTGTTTCATTCTCTCTAAAGACAGCGCAGGGCAGAACTGACCGGCTCTGCTGTAACCTCACAGGGGATCCGAAGCAATGCCTTCCCGTTATTCCCAAGTCATCGCCTGCACAAATCGTCGACGCTTGCATCATGAATGCTGACTTCTGGGGAGATCTCTCTGTAAGTAGTAGTCCTTGCCTGACTTTTAGACCCTATACTAACAGCGGCACGGTGCGAGCGCAGACCAACATGCGTCTTCTGGCCGCTGCAGACCGCATGACCGAAACGGAATGGGCAAACGCACAGGGCTTTGCAGATTGGCTCTTAGGAGTTGGAGACGGCTCGGCGAACAAAACAGAACATTCTATCGCGCTCCCACGTGAGCTTCTCCTGGCGGCGACCACGAGGAACAGCTCCGGGTTGATCAGACACGTTTATCCCGGCCCCGCGCTCGAACTGGACAATATGTCGATAGGTGAAAAAGTCGAATACTTCCGACATCGAGCAATTCTGGCGCCCAAAGATTCGCAGGTGGATCAGATCAACGACATGGTGCTCGACCTGCTGCCGGGTGACGCTCAAACGTTCTACAGCCCGGATTCGGTCGTCGAAAACGAAGACGAGCACTGCAATTCCCTTCAACACGTCCTCTTTGAATGTCAACCCTCGAGTTGTTTTTCTTCACCGTCAGCTGGTGACACTGCATGCGTGAGTCATCCCTTGACATGACTGTGCAGTCTTAGGCATGATGTCAACTGATATGAAAAACAGACATTGGACGTCTGTGACAGGAGGTGACCCTATCCCCGAGAAGGGGGGGCACCCACCGTTGCCAACTTGGGAAAACGACGTCGATGGGAACAAATATCACATCTTTTACGAAAATGCTGGCGAAGGAACCTACAATGGGCGAAAAGTAGCAAAGTCCTACGCTACACCGCTACCCGTAAACGTTGACGGGCATACTGAGCTGTATGCACACACCATTTTGAAGGTGGGCGATGTATGTGCAGTCATGTGCTCCATACAAGGCAGAGCATGGAGATCAAAGGCCACCGGAAAATACAGCGGAAGGATTGACTTCGTACCGCTGAAAATCCGAATGAAGGCTGTGTACATTGGATCGTCGTCGCGCGGTCCTCTCCGGACTTGAACCACTAGGTTTCCGTTACAACAGTAGCGCAGCTATTGCAGCAAAGTACATCACATTGCAGCGGGTGTCAACGGTTACGGTGTGAGGTGGCGCGCGGAGCGCGCCGCCGAACTTAGTATTGTATTTAATGGACGGCGAGCGCGTGGCTTTGTATGACAATGCTTCTACAGCAGAGCTCCGCGTGACGGGCGGGGCGAGGGCTGGCGTCTGTCACGTGATGCGGCGCGCCAGCGGTGTCAGTGTCATCCCGGCAGCCGACCAGCGGCATTAGGTGCTGAACAACAAATCACACCCCGTGTACAAACCCGCGCCACTCCCTCTAACCTTTTCTTTTTCTCTCCCACTCTCATCGAATTTTGTGACACTCATTCAAGGAGAAACCCTCGCCACTATGTCCCGGTCCTAAGGTCGCCAAGGAGGGCCATCGCAACCTCGCCAAGTCTTGGCCGCGATGAGTGAAAAATAGTTTCTCTGCTGTCTTTCGTCATTATACCGTTCACTTCTCCTTCTACTTGGAATCATATTCCCGTTAATACAACGGGATCCCACTGGTAGAGACTAAATAAGGTTCTCATAAGTCGCGCCCAAGGTTCTCATAGTCGAGTCAGGTTCTCATAGTCGCGCTCACCCTGCGTAAATGAAGCTCGTTGCGAGCTCCGCCCGCACCTCGAGCTCCGCCCGCACCTCGAGCTCCGGAGAAGAGCTGTAAGATATGCGCCTCTGATGTGCATAAAATACAATCTGTCGTTCTTGAACGCTAGGCTAAAAGCAAGTCGTAACTAGAACTCGATAGTCCTAGCGACTCAGAGGCTACTTATGGGGCTGTTCCTGTAAGGCATACAACAAAACAAAACAAAACCCTTACAAGAGCCCTTATTGAGACTTTTTGGAGAGTCTTACCTATGGGGTAATACCCAAGGGGTGGTTAATACCCGCTGGTCAGGTATCTACTCAGGTGGGGAATACCCGTCACCCCGCTACAAACGTCACTAAAAATAAGTGTTCCGTTACCCCGGCGAAGTCGACGCGCAGAATTTGATGTTCCCTTTGTCCCAATTGGTCGCGCGGCGGGTGGCAGGTGTTAAAGTGTTGGCCGCCAGCTGCCTTTTACCGGCGCGCTCACAAAGGGGAAGGAGGGTCTGTGATCTACGACGTCCAATTCGACCGTCAGAACTTGCAAGTCGTCTTTGACCGTGAATCTAAAGCTATTTCCACGCTGCAAACACTTCGTCACAGAGGTGAGATCTATTACACGGTAAGTATGTAGATGACTGCCCAGCGAGCGACGCCAAGCTCGTCCATCCTTTCAACCTCGAGGTCGGCCTTCAGGCCTTCAGGCTTCAGGCGAAGTGTTACTCAACCGGGGTGCTGGCTTCGATGTCGAAGCTTAGTGCCAACGATCTCGAAGCTTAGTGCCAATGCTGTACCCTAACATCACGCGGAAATTGAGATTACATACCTTTGTTTCAGACCCTTGACCTTCCATTCTATCTTTACTAGACGCAGGAGCTCCGAGTGGACTTCGAGATGCAGCATCTACAAGCCTTTCTGGATTCAGCACCGGCGCAGTTGCACGCGTCTCGTCCTCGACTCAACCCCTCATTGCTTGACGGCGACCTGCCCACTACCCCGCCAAGCCGCACTATATTACGCTTTAAACTTTCTGACCAGGAAGGAATTTCTTGCATACTCTGGGAGGACAAGTTCTATATTACAAGCACTGACATACTGCGGATTATAGCCTTTCGCCTAAAACTGCTGGGTGGCCCCGGGCCGCTTCTGTCATGGAAGAAGCTTGAAGGAGGTGTGTTCAGCGATCTTCGAAATCTCAAAGAGGGGCATGGTTCGATAATGTTGGAGTCCAAGGTACGGCAAGTCATGACTTACTCACCATCGTTGGTAGCGACTGATAGAATTGCCACAGTCCAAACTTCTGCAGCTTTTGTTCCAGCATCGATGCGTCCGCTCTCAAAAGAAGCAAAAGATTTTTCTTTGGCAAAGTGTTCCCCATGAGCAATTGTACCGTTCAACCGTCAACAGACACGGCCTGCTTCCATCCGTCGTTATACAGCAGCCGAGGCTGTTAGGACACTCAAGCAATGCGTCCAGAGGCGTCCACTCGACACAACAGCGATCGGTGAGCATTGGACAAAGAAAGAAGGCGCTCTATGATAGCATGTCACTGTCTGATCACAGTAGTTATAGCAGGAACAGACTCTCCAAACTCATGGTGCCACAGCAGAAGGCCCCAACAAGAACTTCGCATGCCCTCTGGCTTCCTGCGACCGCAAATTTTATCGGCAAGAGCATTCACTGCGCCACCTCAGAGTTCACACTCAAGAGCGACCACACACATGTCCGCAATGCTTCAAAGGCTTTGCCCGACTTGACAATCTCCGGGCCCACGTGAGTTCGATCTTGTACCGGGTGACAACGGAAGAAGCTGAGCATGACGCCGTCCATATAAATTCAGGAGCGCACGCATCGCAGGCAATGCGCAGCTCGAGACGGGTGTGGAGAACTTTAGGACGGTGCCGATTACGCTTACATCACTTGTACTATAAATATGGACCCCCGAGCTGTTTTCTAAGCATGTCGAGTGTGAACTCCACGACGAGGAGCAGCACTCCGCCACCAGGCGCGAGTCGGAGTACCTTTGGCACGAACCCTGAGTAGAGCGCACCAATGCCCTCCGCCCGAGCGATGAGCAGGAGAGAAGGGAAGGTCCAATTGTACTTGGGAGTCGATCCTGCAACCTGTGGGTAGCATTATGAGAATACAATCCAGAGAGCGAAGGTCACGCAGATGGAGGAGCCGTAAGTATGGCAAGAGTCGCTCAGCGTTCCGATCAACGACATGAAAAGCACGGCAGGATCGGCATCTTTACGGACCTTGATCGAGTTCTGCACGCGGGATTTGACCACATCGACTGGTTTTTGAAAGCGATAGATCCGAGGTCAGTCCAGACCGAAGCAAAAGAGGACAGAAAGGAAGAAGGCAAGTATCTAGATCGAGTAAACGTACATGGGGTGTTGAAAGCCGTTCCAACAAAGCCACCAATGGCACCAGACACGAAATTGTTGAACAGCTCGCCAGATTTGTTCTGTTTAAGACAAGCCGTCAACGGCTTGATTCAGCCCGCAGAATGTCAAAACGCAGACCAGACCCGGGTTGACGAACCTCGGCCTTAGGCATCAGAGCGCGGACTTGGAAGATGCACCCAAAGTATCCTCCGTTCCATGTCACGTGGCTAAAGTGTAGGGGGCTCGCAAAACAGGTCAGCCCAAGCAGCAGAGAGTCGCGGGGGTCGACGTACCGCCAGAACGTAGGTTCGAGGCCGGCATAGAGGCCCAACAAGCCTTCCTTGCGCACGATCTGGCCCACAACATCCATCGGCCCCTTATAGGTGCTATTCTTGTCCTGCAGTCGGATCTTGACCAATTCAAAAGGCACGACCACCACACTTTCCGTGGCCCCAGCGCTGCAACCCGTGAGGATCGACAGCCCCTGGGTCATCTTGTCAGTTCCAAGTGCCGATTTGTACGTATTGCCCCAGAAATCATTGGCAGCGAACTTGATGGCGCGCTTGGGTGCCTCAAGCATCAACGGCGGCACGAGTCCCCGGTAAAGGCGGCCAGCGCTGATCAAGGAGGCAGCAGTTCCACATGAGTGTCCCTGTCCCGAGCCGTGACCGGATCGCATCTGTGAACTGACCCCTCGCGAGCGATGATCTTTTTGAAGCAGTCGACCATCCCATTGTAATGCTCCGCACCAGCGACGGGTTTTCCGACCTGAAGTTGCATACGGGTCTTGACCTGCATTGCCGGGGGGGCAGACGGCAAAGGGAGAACAGAATGTCGGCTTGGCTGAGACGCAACTCAACGAGACCTTAGGGCATCTTGTCGCGCAGACTGACCACATCTGGTAGACGCCCGCGATTGCACACGAGAGCGGTTGGAGCAGACGCAACGGAACGAGGGGAGAAGGAGAGGGTGTGGGAGGGAGGGATGATCAGCAGCGGTAACAATCGTGATTCGGGCGGTGACATGTCGAGGGGACGAGAGACGGACCTAGCGGGTAGAGGCACAACAGCTCGGTGACACCAGCGATTGCACCCGCAGTGAACTGATAAACGAAGGGCAGGGCTGAGTCGATTTCGCAATGCGGTGGGTGGAGTGGTGGAGTGTTCGAGTGGTAAAGTCAGCAAGGGGGACCCTGTCAGGCTGTCACGGAGATTAATCATGCCATCGTCCAGGATGGGGTGGGGACTGACGCTTCCTGCTTCGCGCGACCGGCGTCGAGTCATTGGAGGACATCACGAGCAAAGAAGACCAAGTCCGGGGGGGTGAGAGCCTTGCAGCTACTCGTGCGACAGTTGCAGGAAGTAACCGATGAATCCCGAGAGCGACACCAGAGATGGGGAACAGGCTAAGTTCAACGCCGGGTGACGCCGGGCTGTCCAAAGGCAAGAAGTCTAGCGTCGTCTATTACAGTCTACTAGGTGCGGCGGCGCGCTCCGCGACGGGTGGGCCGCCCCCCTGGGGGTGGCGCGCATGCGCTTAGAGTGAAGTAAGGCGAGAGAAATGCCTGTTCGCTTCTGCACCTTATTCGTTTCGCTCGAACGGCAGTGCTCATTGCCTCTACACTCGCGAAACTTTTCAACCCTGTCAGTACCGGCAATGACGACTGCTTCGACCTCAACCAACGACCACGCCGCGACGGCCCCGCAATTGCCCCCGATGCAACTCTCCGGCGCCCTAGACACGACGGCGTGTACCACTTACGATGGCGCTTTGTTCCGATGTCGTGTCTGTCACGACACCAACAAGTCAAGATGAGTCTGAACTATGGTGTGGGTCTCAACGCGCGGTTGGAGGCGGGTCTGGTCAGGTCTGGTCTTCGACGGTTGCCTGCCGCGCACGCATTGGCAGGACGCGCGCTGTTCCTATGTGCTCCTTATCTATGGGCCGCCGTTTGGGCAACAAATGGATCTGCGCGCCCGGGGCCTCCGCGCGCAAGAAATATGGATATGCGCGCGCCGCCGAACGCTTCTGCGCGCCCGCGACTCGTCTAGACTCGTCTCCGGTCGTTCATGCGCGAGTCACACGCAACCTCACGCGCGACACTCGCGCGGACTCGCGCGGCCGCCTTCTTCCACACACACCGTGGCACCGCCCCCACGTCAACCTTGTCCAAATATTCCCCGCTTTCATAACGACTCTGTTTCACTCAACAGCCTTCAAATGGCATCATGAGAAAATTAGAAGGCATCATTCCGACTTGGGAGAGGGACTCGGAGTTGGCCGCCAAGGGTGCAGGTACGTTGCAAGCTGGGAGCTCTTTGTCGAGTCTTTGAGCCCTCCTGCTTCAGGCTGGATCAGACTTCCAGTGCTGATGTTTGATATACGATTCTGCTGCTGCATACCAAGACTCTTGGCCAGGAGCACCGGCGCAGGATTTGTCAGGCCTCCCCGACAAATAATTCTCTGGAACGAGCCCTAGCTCTAGGCTGGAGCTCTGGAACGTTAACGTTGGAGCCGGAATGCCCAGCCCTGAGCCTCGAACGCTTTCAACAGCCACACCACCAATCCAGTACACCATAGCAATGTCACTATTTGCAAATACATCAAGACTTAGCAATCGGAGCAAACGCCCTCCTGCCATGAAAATGAGATCGACACCGCGGAGTAAAAAGGCAATCCTCCTCGTGTCGGTTGTCGCGCAAGTAGAAAAAGCCGCGAGCGAATCAGAGCGCCGCGAGCGAATCAGAGCGCCGCGAGCGTGAGAGCGTTTCCGGTCGCGCGCATCTGCGATTCTGCGAGCGTGAGAACTGTTTGCGAGCGCGCGTAAGCAGCTTCCGAGGCGCGCAAATCGTAAAGAGCGGGGAGTGCGGGGTTCGGAATTTAGCTATGAAAATTGAAAAAATTGAAATTGTTTTTCCGATTTTATTTTTATTTTTGGAAAAATGCCAAAAAGCGCGCAGATTGAGTAGATTGCGCGCGCATGAGTGCGCTGGAGCGCGTGTAATACCCCCTCCGTGCGCGGATACGCTGGGGCGAGCGAGTCTAACAGCGAGCGAAACGCGTGGACCGCCAATAGGGGCCAGAAATAGATGTTTTTCCTGAAAAGCGCGCAACTCCGAGGACTTCAGAGCGCGTTAGAGACCAAAAGTGCGTCCAAGGGATGCAAAGCTGTGAATGACGCGCGTATGAAGGCCCAATGGCGCGCAATTGCACGATTTTCGGCGCGCGTACAAACGAGTCGTAACGCGCAAATGGCCCCGGGCGCGCAGATCCATTTGTTGCCCAAACGGCGGCCCATAATTATCAGCGGTCGCCCCGATGACGGCCTCGACCATCGTCCGAGGCGCACAGTTGCCTTCGGAGATGTTTGACCGCCACTCTGAGTCCGTTGCGATGCGGACCTGTGACTTGAACTGGTACGTCATGCGGAAATACGACTTGATGGTTCGTTCTTTGTGGTGGTCGGGATTCAAGGTCTCGTAGATAAAGGGTGTCGGACCCTTCGACCAGTCAGTCGATCATGGCTCACGTCTCGGCTGCCCTCAACGTGCCCTCGAAGTGGGCTGAGCTCGCGGCCGAGCAACAGTCATCGTAGGCCCGGGCGATGGAGCGCCCGGTGGACGATCTCATCCAGGCGCGTGGCCGCATTCAAGCCATGGAGGCCGCAACGCTGGGGGACGAGGATTGGAAGCCGATTCTTCCTCTCCTCAAACCTGTAGTGGTGCGCCTGCAGCGGTAGTCGTAACTTCGGTGGTTCCGCTCAGCGCTGCGGCTGCCGCGAGCGGCAGCCTGCACCAGCGTTCGTGAACACGCGTGTTCTTTCTGTAAAGGCCAGCACGAGGCTTATACCCACGTCGGGTCCGCATGACCCAGTTGGCGCGTCTGTATCACCATCCTTTCCCTCTTCTCGTGTCGTGCCGTCACTTCCGCCTCATGTCCGCGTACGTGTAGATGCCTGGTCCCGACGGGCCCTGTGCCCCTTTCTGAGGTTGTTACCTCAGGCATCGCGTCGCGTGCCTCCGTTCTCTGGTTCAGGGGTCGAATCCCCCGCCGTTCGCGCCTCCTCACGTCCGCGTACGTGTAGATGCCCGGTCCCGACGGACCGGAGGGGCGTTGCCACTTCCTGCACAGCCGAGGGCTGACGTGCTGGATTTGGACCCGGTCTCGACGGGCCCTGTGGCCCTTTCTGAGGTCGTCACCTCTCAGGCATCGCGTCGCGTGCCTCCGTTCTCTTGTTCAGGGGTCGAATCCCCCGCCGTTCGCGCTTCCTCACGTCCGCGTACGTGTAGGTGCCCGGTCCCGACGGACCGGATGGGCGTTGCCACTTCCTGCGCAGCCGAGGGCTGACGTGTTGGATTTGTATTTCCAGACCCGCTAACCAAAAGGAGACGTCCCGTTCGTGTCTTCAATGCCCGCGCCGGGCTCGTCGCCAGCGCCCGAAACTTCCGCTCGCATGCGAATTATGGCTCGCGAAGTCGACTCGTTCCATGATGCGATATACAAGATTGTTACGCCGCTCGATGCTGGTGCGTTCGAAGCCAACATTAAGGCACTCGCAAAGGTCGCGCACGTCGCGCCGTACCTGGCCACTATACCGAAGCAGATTCGAGAGGGCTTTGATCTCGGCATCAAGGACCCTCCGTCGGAGCGTCACATCGCGAAGAACGCACCACTCACCGAGGAGCAACAACTGGTCATGGACGGCGAGATGGAGCGCATGCTCGATCTCGGGTACATCGCGGGGCCGTACGACCAGGACGAGCTCGAGGCCGCGGTCGGTCCTTTCCGCGCGAATCCAATCAGCTATATGCCCAAACCCTGACGAAGCGAATCATCCGTCGACGAGCGGGCATGGACCGTCGCAACGGAGTGGTTCGTCTAGCCGTCCGAAACTCGTTTCCATCCACGACGACCTGAAGTCTGCGAACTTCCCTTGCCGTTGGACGACCTTGCCCATGTTGTACCGCAAGTTTCGCGAGCTTCCCTTGACGGCGGAAGCCTGCGGTTGGGATTTCGGCGATGCGTTCTACCAACTCCCTTTGCGATGGGACCAGCGATCGAGCATGTGCATCTTGTAGCGCGGCCTCATCTTCGTACGACGAGTCCCATGCTTCGGTGGCAGGACTACTCCCGGTGTCTTTGGGAATGTCGCGGACCTGATCCAAGACTTGGTCGAATGGAAGTTCCCCGGCGTGTCAATCTTCAAGATGGTTGACGATGTTTGCGCGGTCCGAACGTCGGATGCCATATCGCAAGAAGCCATTCTTCTTTCGTACGATCCCTCGGCTGGCGCCCCGCGGAGCAGAAAGGCTTCACGTGAACGCGTCAGTTTGTCCACGTCGGGATTGACTGGGATTTGGATCTAATGACTGCGAGGGTCACCGATCAGAAGCGGATGCGCTACATCGACGCCTTGGTGAAAGGTAGCTGCGCCGATTGTAATACCCAGGCCCTTCACGACTAGGTTACACAGTCCAAAAGACTGACGATTTCAATAGATGCATATTGAAATCAGAAGGGTAGTTAAATAGCGTAAGGCAACCGAGCCTTACACCCGCCACCACCAGACTTAGAGATACTCTAAGCATGATTAGACGAATCTCTAATGGCCCCATCGTTCGTTCATTCATTCGTTACAGCCATTAGAGACCAAATAACTAGGTCAGCCCAAGGGCTGCACCTTGCGCCGGTCCTGTTCGGGCTTTTTCTCCACGGCTGGCAAAATAGCATCCTTCAAAAATGCACCACCGGGATCCGAACTGCCGACCTTCATCTATTGAAATAGTGTAATACCCCCGTAGGAGTGTACACCGGAGCGACGACGATAGGATCACAGGACCAAAGTATGTAGGATTGACACTGGACACTCTACGTTAGTCGCTACTACAAGGGATCGACGTCGTTGCTTTATAACCTCTTTTAGCTCTTTTTGTAGCGGTCCCAGCCAACCCGAAGGATTGCAATTTATGAGCCCCAGTAAAAATACAAAAACGTCGGCATCGAGGATACCGACGTCGATCCGTCGACGTTCACTCCGGAGCAGCTGACTATGGGGCTCCCCCTTTTGCGGGTTCGTGGGAGAACGACCTCGAAATGGATGTGGGTTCGGCTGGCCTGCGCGATCGGTTTCCAGCGGCTGCACCTGCTCCGCTGGCGCGTTCATCAGCGGTTCGAGCTGGACAACGTCGTGGCCCCTCCCTCGCTTCCCAGTGCGCTCAGAGCGTTCGAGCGAGATTTTCTCTCTCGGGCGGGTTTTGTGCCTGGGGTTCGAGATTGGGAGGTGTGATGACCGAGTTAAGTCCTTCCTTCCCATTTTCCTCCCTTCCTTTCCGGTCAGAAGCTGACTGTCTTGAAACTTGTTGCGCAGTGGAAGGCTGCGCACCTCTCCCTCTCTCTACTTTGTGCAGTAGCGGTTTTCGTTCTTGGATGGATCGGCAAGCCGGGTCGATCGTCGTTGCGTTGGAGGCTTTCCACTTCTCCTTTTATTCCTAAGCCGTGTGTTGGATTCCGTCGAATAGATCGTTCGTTCGCGTTGGTCAAGATCTACGGCATGGATCGGGAAGAAAGGTCGCTCGTTTTTTTGGTCAATATCCTCGCGTCAAGGCGAGGCTCGTTTCGTTGTATTGGATCGTTTTCGCTCGGCCCCGACGGCTCAACAGCCAGCACTCGAGACTCAGCCAAGGGAGGACATCAGGCGCTGTCGGGGTGACGAGTAGCTGGGGCTTGGCTGCGGCCTGTCAGTCCCTGGGGACCTCTAGCTCTGGCTTCGACCCCCTCCCTTGGCCCCTCGGGTGTGTTCCCCTCCTCCTCCCCTCCTCTCTGTCTTAGTATTCCTGGTTCTCCGTGTTTCCAGTCGTGAATTTTTGTATATTCTCCCCTTTTCTTTCTCTAGGCGCTCTTGCCTGGTTTTCGAGTATCTTCGCTCCCGCTCTTGGGACGTGAAGCGGCAGCAGTACTCACCGCCCGTTGGAGTCCGCGTTAGGTGCTCGGCGGGTTTTGATCTGCGCAGCGCTCTTTGCGCGCAGGGGTTTGACTTTCACCCAATTGCTTGCCGTCGTTGCTTTATAACCTCTTTTAGCTCTTTTTGTAGCGGTCCCAGCCAACCCGAAGGATTGCAATTTATGAGCCCCAGTAAAATAAAATAAAACAATGCACAGGCGAGCCAGTATACGCTGCTGAACATGGCTCGCCCCTACACAGTCCGTCGCATCCGCCGGGTCCTGAACGCGAAGGCATTTACCAACATGCTCGGGCTCAAGGGACCACCGCAGCCGGACGACCTCAGGAGCTTCTGGAAGGCAGTCAACTCGAAGGCACTGACAGCGAGGGAGAGGGAAGTTTGGTTCAAGCTGATCCTCCGCTTCACCCCGACGCGCAAGCTCCAGCACGAGCAAAAGCACGACACTTCTCCCGCGTGCCTCGTCTGCGAAGCGCCGGTGGACGACACCGATCACTACTTCTTCGGCTGCTTCGACTCGCGAAACGTCTGGATCGCGGCGAGGGGCGTGCTCTGCGACGCGCTCGGATGCGACACGATCGAGGACGCCGAGTACACGACGCTTCAACGACTCTTTGGCCTCCCCAAGCTCAAGGCCAAGCTCAGCGCACAGGAAGGCGCGGGCAGGACGATCGAGATCTTCACGGGGATGGTTTTGGAGATGATCAGCAGTGGGAGATGGAGGATGCAGAAGCACGGGACGAGGATGGAAAGCGTGGAGAGGAGGAGGGTGGTACTGGAGGAGAGGATGAAGTTGAGGGCGGGAGGAGCAAGAGGCAGGCGAGGGCAGTAGAGGCTAGGTTCGATTTCCCCCCACCCCATCCCACACTCACACACCCCACATCACACATCCTCTTACAAAAACTGTATACTAAATATATTTTCTTCATCTTTCTTTCTTTTATTACAGGTCTGCCTCCGTTGCTCATGGACCGGCTCGCGATTTGGGATTGACTCGACGGTGGCTCGCGCTCTCTGGCTTCGGGGTTCTGAGTGTAAGGGAGGGATCAGCAGACACAGGCAGAAAGTCGGCTTTGAGGGGCCAGGGACTGCTGAGGTGGAGGTTTTGAGGGGCCTCCACCGCGTCTTGTTGTGACCGAGCATAGACTTGGGATTTCGCGGGTCAGGGTAGCTGCGCAGTCGCTCTCCTGTCTTTGTCTCGACCGAGTTGGGAAGTGGGTGCGGGGTGGGCCTCTTGTCGTTAGTACGCCAGTTCTTTTTCATTTTCTCTCTCTCTCCTTCTCTCTCTCATTCGTCTCCTGGGGGGGAGCAACCGCTTGGCTGGGGCACTTGAATCCGAAGTATCGGATTGGTGGACTTGGCCCGTTTCTCGCATCTTGCGGGCGGTTTGTGTTATCATCGTCGACTTCCATCTAGTTTTTCCGTAGGCCAATCAGGGGGAACAGGAATTGGGGGCAATATGATGAACGGTTTCTACAAAAAAAAAAATCCTGATCCACTTGTGCTCACCTGGACACTCTACGTTAGTCGCTGAGGAGAGACTAAGAGTGCCCAGGCGCGCGCCCCCTCCTTTTAAGGCCCAGGCGCACGGGCCTTACACCGATCAGAAGGAACGCTCGGAGGTCGAGTCGGTCACTGGGTCGTTGGGGTATGTCGCCTACATCCTACCTGCATTACGGACCCATCTCAACTGTCTATACAGACAGTGTATCGCGCACGGGGACCGGAAGGCGGTATCGCGGGCGCGTCGCCTGGACCGTCGCACGTACGATCAACTCGAATACTGGAGAAGGTCCCTCTCGTCGGAAGGCCCATTCTCCACGTTGTTCGAGGCCCTCCCGATCCCATCGAAGCTTGCGCTAGCGTCGGATGCCTGTATGCACGGACTAGGCATCGTCATCAACGGATACTCCGCGTACTTCGCTCTCCCCGAGGGGTGGACGGATCTGCCACCGCCTCGACACTCGGTCTCGATCACGAACGCGGAGGCGTGGGCGTCGAGGCACTGGCCGAGGCAGCGTTACGAATGTCTAAAGACGATAGACATCTCGTCCTCCAATGCGACAACACCGGGGTTGTGCTTGGATGGAGGAAAGGGCATTCGATGAATCCCTTGTTGAACTCGTCGTTTGCAAACCTGCGCAGCCTTGAGGAAACTCGAGGTGTGAAGTGGTTGGTTGAATACATCAACACGAAGGTGAACCCCGCGGACGTTGTGTCCCGGCAGCCAGGCCGCCCGCGGCAGTACGAACCGTTCCCGTTCATGATCGCGCACCCACTTTCGAATTTTCCGGCGGGGCGCGAGTTGCTGCGGGCGGCGGGAGAGCCCCTGTGGGCGATAGGCTGAGATATCTGACTCCCTTTGTGGAAGGTGGAGCTTAGTTCGTACAGAGTTGCATATCCACGGTTTACCTTCGTGAAGGTCTACACACGGATCACACATCCGCCTTAGCCGTTGGTCATTGAATGCCTTCGACAGGTATTGGCGGCAGCACAAGAAGATTGCAATCCAAGTGCTGAGCAAGGCTAGCAAGCTTGCACTCGATTCGGTTAGAGCTTGAACGCGTTGTAACGTAGGCATCTTTCGCTGTGTTTCCTTGGTTGTGAATGTGGGGGGCGTGACCTGTGGTACGCGTCCGGCGCCAGGGCGCCTGTCCGAACCGAGGGCTCGGGAATTGGGGTGTACGCATCATCCCAGGGTCCTGTCCAGGAAGATTAATCATCTTCCTCATCCCAACACAACCAAACAAACCGAAAGATACACAAGGAAGGTCGCAATTCCCTTCCCGCGCTCGAGAACCCCATTGGCATCCGATCGAGACATCGGAGGGGAAAAGCGCGCCCTCGCGCGCCACCTCCCACCGTAACCGTTGACCCGATGCAATGTGATGTACTTTGCTGCAACAGCTGCGGTACTGTTCAGGAACGGAAGCCTAGTGGTTGAAGTCGGGAGAGAAGCGCGCGACGACGATCAAATGTACAGAGCCTTCATTTCATCACTGAACTACTTTTTTGTTCTCTGGGAGCCCGATGCAGTGATGGGCTTAGACCGTCGTCGAGACCCGCGTCGAGTGTGGAGCAACGCCATCCCGGCGATGTTGAGACTCTGAAGATACTCGATCGAGAACAGTGATGCATGACCGAGACGGAACGGGCAAACACACAGGGCTTTGCAGATTGGCTCTTCGGAGTTGGAGATGGGTCGGTGACCGAAACAGAAGACTCTATCGCGCTCCCACGTAAGCTTCTCCTGCCGGCAACCACGACGAACAGCTCCGGGTTGATCAGACACGTTTATCCCGGCCCCGCGCTCTAACTGGACAATATGTCGATAGGCGCAAAAGTCGAATACTTCCGAGATCGAGCAATTCATCAGCAACTTTGCCACTTTGCTAAACGCCACTTAATAAATTTCGAGCCGCTAAACCGCTAAAGTGCGCAAAATGGCACAAAATGGCGCTAAAATTGGCACTGTTTGATGAACTTAGCAAAGTTTGATGAAGTTGACACTTAAAAGTTGGAGGAGTGCTGTGGTGAGGTGTAACAATGTCAGCACCTTGGTTGCTATTCTTCCTATTACAAACTCTAGGTATCAGTATACCAAGTACTCGACCTGCAATAGATACATAAAGACATGATTTGCTCTCAACACCTGTTTGCAGTATTATAATCTACTCTCAAAGGACTGAAGCTATACTGTTGATTCAATTGACCAAAATCATGACAGGGGCTATTCTGATAGATCCATTCGCGCCGCCCTCCCTTTCCCCTTCCCGCGACTCTGAGGCGTTCTCTGATCACGTAGAATTTTGATGCTAAATAATCTCGTAAAGCGATAACATACATGCTCACAAGTTCACAGATTTACAGTCAACTGGTCTTTCCAGATGTCCACAACATTCTGGATATTCCATGCCGGCGTGATCTCCATTTGTCAAAGTAGCACCTGCCTAAGCTCCGATCGTAAAACAAAACATCCTCAACCGAGTGTCGTAGATTGAAGTTGCTGTGCGGCGACGGAAGAAGGAAATGCGCCTCTTGCGCCTACGAACAGAGTGGGACTTAGACAAATTTTGGAATTTTGGGAGTAAGGCGCGAGTCGCCGCGCGCGGCGCGCCAAATGGCGTGAACCGGGCCTTCGCCAGTCAGTGCAAGCGCCGTCGCGACCAAGTGACTCGCATTAGGCCACGGCAGGCCACGGCCGCGTTGTTGTTTACCAAGTCCACGCGCCGTCGCGAACCTCCTTTTCCTTCCTCCCACTCACTGACACCGCTCGCGATGCCCACCCCTTCTTCCCTCTTGCCTCCACCATCATCTTTCAACCTGGCCCCGGCCATTTCCGAGTGAGTCGACCGTATGGCACAGCCATTGAAAGGTATGGCTGAAGCGTTACAAGCCGCCGGCAAAGACACCGCCAGCGTCCGGCGGGACCAATGCGCGGTCAAAACAAACACGAAGCAGAGAGAGGCGCACGTCACATCTTGGCAACGCTAACCATCTTCGGAGGGGTTCTTGGAACTTCGCTGTGGCCCCACTGTTAAGGTGAGCTTGAGGAAGTTATACTGTTGTCTAGAGCAGGAATTCGCTGGTAAGTATTTGCATTACTGCAGAGAGATTTCCAGTTCGGCCGGAAGCCAGGCGACCTGTCAAACTCACTGTTGAACGATCTCGCCGCCGTGTTCGCAGCTTGCGCCAAGAGCCAAAAGCTGGCCTCCCTCAATGCGGCGCAGCCGGACCACCAAGCCCTGGCTTTTGGTCTAGTATCTTACGCTCTTACGCTTAAGCTGCGGTGAGTCGAGAGATCTTCCGCGGATATCGGTTTTATTCCTCTGACATTCGACCTAGCGTTCGTCTACCGGTCTCAGCAATAGGCGCGCGTGTCTCTCGAAAAGGTGATGCCCCCGATTGCGGGGTTCTCCGGTGAGTCTCAATCATCAGATGTTGCGACATACACGGGTTGTTTCCGCAGCGGGCAAAGGGGGGGGGGGGGGGGGGGGTATGCTTCCGTTTTCAGGCGGCGAAACAGTGGCCAAAGACTCGCCTGGCCAAAGACTCGCTCGAGGCAAGCCCGGGGGCCTGGCACTTTATAGGAACACTAGGCGCCGAATGATACGTAAGAAGAGGACTCAGAATAGATTGTTTGGCTGGCAGTAGCCTAGTACTTAGCACTGCGTAATATGAATGGAATGCAAGCATATACCAGTACTACCAGGCATTGATCGCTCAAGCGCGGTTATACACATAAAAGCATTGAAATCAGTTTGCTGTTGCAAAAGCACTATAAGTGCACTAAATGGCACAAAGTGCACTTAAGTTAAATGCCTTTTAAGTGTCATTTAGCGACCCACCGGAGATTATAGAAAACGAGCTAAATTGCACTAAAAGTGCGCTTTTGGCACTAAAGTGCGCTAAATGGCACTAAATTGCACTAAAGCGCGAGTGGCAAAGTTGCTGATGACGTTCTTTGACGTTCTTTGTCTCCCTGGTTTGTCTTTCGTTCTCTGACGTTCTTTGACGTTCTTTAGCCACACAGTTCTTTTTAGTAGTTTAAGGATTAAGGATAAGGATAAGGAGGATAGGATAGGATAGTAGATGTAAGGCCCAGTCATGGGGCCTTGCAAGTAACAGGATACGAGTATGTATTCCAAAGAATAAACTGATCAGAAGGGAAGAGAGGGTCTACTTCCCGACAAGGCTTAAAGCCAGACGCGCGTCAGGCCTTGAGTAACTACGGAGTATTACAGTAGACTACTAGGTTCGGCGGCGCGCTCCGCGCGCCACCTCACACCGTAACCGTTGACCCGCTGCAATGTGACGTACTTTGCTGCAACAGCTGCGGTACTGTTCAGTAACGGATCCCTAGTGGTTCAAGTCGGAAGAGGACCGCGGGACGACGATCGAATGTAAAGAGCGTTCATTTCAGGACGTTTCTGACATTGTCCACATTCGTTGCTCGGGACAACGCGACAAACAACTGGCCGTGAGAAAAGACGGGCATCTCCAGACACATTCCTACCCGCGCAAGTGCCAACTGCTCTTGCAACTTGCTGAACGTCATAACCATTGCCAGCCGAATTGGAAACTGCGTCCGATGCAGAGTAAACGGTAGCTCAGCTGATGACCCTGTCTTCAGCGTGATCCGTGGCAACAAAACTGGCTGTCCAGCATGATCTCCTGTGAAAATGATGGCCTCGAGCACGCGGGTGTGTAACCGAGTTGACAACAGTCTTGTGCCGTTGCAAAGCCCGCGGCGGGGTCCAAGTTTCCACTTTGAATTTTGCAGCGTGCAACGCCATCCCGGCGATGTTGAGACTCTGAAGAACAGTGATTCATCTTCGTTTTTGACGGAATCCGCGCTGTAGAACGTTTGAGCGTCACCCGGCAGCAGGTCGAGCATCATGTCGTTGATCTGATCCACCTGCGAGTTCTTGGGCGCCAGAATTGCTCGATCTCGGAAGTATTCGACTTTTCGCCTATCGACTGAAAGGCACGAGATCGCTCTCGAGCCTCACTGATTCCGAGTCCAAACTGAAAGGATCAAACGGTGTAATTCGCAGGCGAAGAAAGACTACTAAAAGGACTAAGGTCAAGAGACGCGGCGGCGCCGCGCGCGAGGGCAAGCGTGAGGCCGGTTGGCTCGAGGTCGTCGTGAGGCGTAAGCGGAGCGGCGCCTTACACTCACCCCTCCTTGAATCAATTCCCTCCTCCAGCTTCTGATGCAAGGGATCGTTCGTTGTTGTCTGCCTCTGAAACGCTTGAGAGTCCTCCGGGTTCGTTCGTAACTGTTGCAACTTTTTCTTGTTCGATCTGGCGCAGGAGTCTGTTCTTGTTCGGTTCGGATCGATTCGGGTCTGATTTCGTTCGGTTCTTGTCTTGTTCCAATCGGTATCTGGGGCGGGCGTGGTGTTGAAGCCGTCTCGGCGCGCCCGTTGGTCGCCTTTGGCAACCGGCCATGATTGGGCTGGCCGCCTCGAGCGCCGAGGCTACACGCAGCTTCCCCACCCCCCAACCACCTTGACGACTGCGAGGACCGCCTCTCCCGACTAGGGACGCCTGAGACACGACCCACGGCCCACGAGACAAAACGAGAGGATACACGCAGTCCCAGCTATGGCCTCCATTTTACCGCGGGTCAGTCGCGATGTCCGGAGTTCCAGACTCGCCGCGAAATTGCACGGGCGGAGCGCCTGTCCCTCAATCGCTGACCCGTGAACCTCTTGATTCGTACAGCTCACTACGCACCTTGCCATTGCTGGCGGAACCTCTTCTTTCTTGCTCCAGAGGCAAACCATACATGCCGAAGACAAGGATGCTGAGCTCGCACCCGCAGCCACCTCTCGCCGAGCCACTGTAAGTCGACTGACGGTGTATGGCGATCCTTAAGGTGTCCACGTCCGTATCACAATATGGCAAATGACGTTCGATCCGACTCGGTCATTGCTCCACAGCAGATGGCGATCTACGACAAGGTTCCCGTGCCCCCCACACTACTGCCAGCACATATGCCCCTGCAAGACGAAGTAGCTCAGGCACGCCGATGGTTGCAGACATCCTATGCTCAACTCCACGCCCAGGTTCGCAAGGGAGCTCGTACTTGGATCAAATGGGAGGGAAAAGGCGAGGGTCAGTTCCATCAAAGTTTGCAGCTACCCGCGTCGGGCCGACCTGGAGCTCACGCGTAACATCGACGCCGACTGTTGGGCAGCGCAAATGAAGTCGATGATTGCTCCGGACGAGACGCTTGTGCCGGGGGGACTATAGTATGTGCCGCATCCTGTCCTCTGTCAACGTCATTCACGAATAGTCTCTACAGGACTTACATATCGATCCCTGTCCCGCTCGGATGACAGCATCACCATCGCAACACTGACTGGGTCGATCCTCGCACGCAATCGTGGGTCATACCAGAGAATTGATTGATCAGGCTTCCCCGCAGCGCTCATCACTCCGTGTATCTTGCTGATATGTTGCAGGTAGCCTCATGTTACGATTAGCTCTCCCTGGCATGCTTTTCGGTGGGGGGCTGGCGTACTTTCTTCCTAAGACCGCCGCCGAGATCAGTGCTCAGCTGCAAGTTGTTCAGCAAAGACGTGCCCCCGCCCTCTCACATCCACTGCTTACGATTATGGGCAAAGGTCAGAGCCATTCATAGTTAAACTTAATAGACGCGCGAGGTTGCTGTGTGTGTGTGTATGTGACGTAATCACAACGTCGCAATTCAAGGCTCTACGTTTGCAGCGCGAAGGCGCGATACCCCCAAGGACAATCTTCGGATCAGTTGTCCTACGATCGATTTTCGTTTGCACTTCTTTTGAGGTGCATGTCCTTTGTTGACCGCAATTTACATTATCTGAACAAATGGGTGCAGCCGAGTGAGAATACTTTGATCGCATTCAATTATGCCACTCACGAGCTAGCTGGCCCAGTCAGCCTGCGCAGGAATTTACTCTGAGACTGAGCAGTGCCACTGCATTAAGTTGCCGACTGTCACTCAGACTCATGTAGGCATTGTAGGGTATTCCTCGGAATTGCCACGAGTCCGTGGTTGCCACGAGTCAGAACTGAACACACTCACGTTCTTGGAACACAAGAGTGATCCCAAGTGGACCTATGCCAGCCACTGCAAACTTGAGATTGCAAGGAGAGGCGACGCGCCGTCGCGGTCGCGGAATCTGTATCAGTGTGACTGACGGCTGTCGCGGACTCGACGATGTGAACGCAGCGTCTCCTCTCCTCCTTGGAGGGAGAAGAGGAATTGAAGCGATTCCAAAACTTCTTGAAAAGGCCAGCCTCAATCCCTGGGTGCCCAGGAAAGGACTGTCGACCGGAGGCTTTGGAAAAGTTGGTAGGTACCACTGCCTAGACGCTTCGATGACAACTACCCGGTCTACCCGTTGAATCTTCCCGGCTGCACCTTCTTTGTAGGTATGTTGCCTATCGTATTGTTCATGAGCAGTGCCCTAGAGCACTGGCCAAAGGGCCCGCCGAATCAAATCTCGGGATCGATCGTCATTTTTCGGTGGCGATCTATATTTCCCTGTGACCCGACGGCGTGGTGCGATTCGGCGCTCCGCGCTCCGCGCGGTCCGGTGACTGTGCCGTAGGAATAAAGGGACGGCGCTCTCTTTGTCAATACAATGAGGCTGGCTTAGTGCATGCTGGCGGCGTGCGCTTCCAAAACCAGAAGGAAATCGATGCAGTGCTCTTGTTCTCTTCTTCAACACTCGCTCGCTTCGTTCACTCTTTCCTCACACACCTCTACCCGAACGCTCAACTTCGCTACCATGGCCCCCATCTCATTGTCCACCCCTTTCGCCGTCTCGGCCAAGTCCCAGCCTGCCCCGAGCCGCCTCGAAGAGCGCGGGTCTCAAGTCAACGTCACGAGCACCTACTCTCACTCTGAGAAGGACAACACTGGCAATCTTGTCGACGAGGAGCGTAATCCCATGTCCAACTTTTGGGTTGCGGTCTGCATCATCGCCTGAAGGGGGACGCCTGCCTGAAGTTGTGGCCCTTCGGAACTGCATTAAGCCGGGCTTGTCACGGTGGCTAGCAGCCGATGTGTAAGTCTGATAGATGTGTCAATGGGGATTGATCTGAAGTCCGATTGATCCGCCAGTGGGACTTGAACATGTATTACATGCGGCTGACCCTACTCGTACTTCTTCGACGTCGAACCTACTCTATCGAGTCCTCAGTCCACCAGAAGGCCGGGACTCGGGGCGATGTCGACTCAAATCACATTCTGATCGAGACCTCCTGTCCCATTGGGGGGGGGGGCGCTGAGCACCACTTAGCCGGGGCGGGTTCTTCCCCTCCTTCGTGATCCCTGCGGACCTTGGTTATGCAATGGACGAAGTTTCTGTGAGATATTTACATTATGCTTAAAGCCATGATATAAACCTCAAGAGAGTCGTCACTCGAATGATCTGCACAAGGAAATGAGCTGAAAAGAGACAAAAAATGCGTCTCTGAATCATCATGCTATGTTTCAGAAGCATATCTGCCAGACGGGCACGAGCTATGAACAGGACATCAATTGCGTAAGTAGAGTGAAGAATTTTAATGTTGTAGTCGAGGAAGGATGGATGTCGCCGTAGTAAAAAATGGATGAATGGATGAGAAGAGAGAGAGGGGAGCGAGAAAGATTACATCATTGCGGCGAGGGCGAATTCGGTGCAACAGATCCAGCAGAACATTGATACAGCAATGAAACAGTGGACTATACACGTAGAAGAGTTGCTCAACGCTTGACCAACGTGGTGTGTAGGGTTGTGAGCACGTTCCAGTCAAGCGGGCCGAGCTGTCGGAGTCTCGGGCGCTGTCGCCTTGCTTGCTGACAAACACTCTTTGCGCCGTCGACGGAAGTCGCCGACGGTCGCTTACGACCGGACCTCTCGGCGTCTTCGGAGGTGTTCCGCACCTGCTGGAGTAGGCTCCAGCGATCCCACCTTATCTTGGCTCTCTGCCACACTCGCCTCGAGAGCCCACCCAAAGCAGCCGTGCTACAACGGGGAAGACAAGCCGGCAAGGCTTAAGACAACTTACTGGACTGGTGGGAGGCGAGCCGCGCAGCCGTGCGCGCAGCCTGTCGACTTGCATGACCATGGAAGCAATACAAAGCATTGCATAGGCTGTCCTAGCCACCCTTGTATCAATTGAGAAAGACAAATTGGTCAGGAAGGATGATGGATTTCACCACCGGTTGGCTGTCAATAAGCACAACTAAGCGGATCCCCCGAGGTATGATACTTCCAGCGGCCCTCTATTCCCTGCAGTGGCCGGAACTCCTCATGCCAACTCGATCCCGTGCCTTCCTCCTTGTCCCTTGTCTCCTGAATTGTTCTCCTCCTTCCTTCTACAATATCGGATTCCGTCCGTCCCGGTCTGTGAGGATTGAACCGATGCTGAACGAGTCAGGAAATGCTAGGTGGCAAGAATCAGCAAAAGTACGAGTAGGGTCAGCCGCATGTGTTACATGTTCAGGTCCCATTTACAGATCATTCGGACTTACACATCGGCTGCTAGCCACCGTGACAAGCCCGGCTTAATGCAGTTTCGAAGGGCCACAACTTCAGGCAGGCGTCCCCCTTCAGGCGATGATGCAGACCGCAACCCAAAAGTTGGACATGGGATTACGCTCCTCGTCGACAAGATTGCCAGTGTTGTCCTTCTCAGAGTGAGAGTAGGTGCTCGTGACGTTGACTTGAGACCCGCGCTCTTCGAGGCGGCTCGGGGCAGGCTGACGACCAACGATTTGCATTTTTCCTTTGCGCAGTCGAGCTCGATCTCTGATGTAGCGACCTTCGACGAACTCGCTAATCTCATGTCGAACCGGTTCCTCCTCGCGAGCCCCTTCACCGTTCGCTGCACGCTCAACACGCGCCACAGCTCGATCCGGACCTTTGTACACAGACTTGAAGAGGTTCTTGATCGCGCCGATTGTTGTCACAGCCTCCACGTTGATATGCGCGTTGTACCTGGCTGAGAGATAAGGCGAGTACGGCACGCAGTCACCATCGTTGTAGATGACCCCCCCCCCCCCCCCCCCCTTAATAACGGCGTGGCGAAAGCGTAGGCGATACAACGGGTAGCCATCAAGGTGCATGCGGGTATGGGGGTTCTTTTCGCGAGGAAACTGGCGCTTGCACCTCGGGTTACCGTACTTGTCCTTTTCCATGCAGGGCAGAGTCGGGTTTCCGCCGCACTTGCCATGCAGCATGTGCTTTGTGACAGTCTCGTGGACATCAGGATAGCGTGAAGGATCGGGTATCTCGGTTTAGATCACCTTGTCGATCGCTTCCGTCGACAAAGAATGATCGTCCGGCGCGAGGGTGTGGAGGATATGGGCATGCGGCAGGCCCTACTCGATGACGTGTGTATGCGCCAGAATGACGCCGAAACAGCCTGCCCGTTGCTTGTTGCCCAAAAACCATCGCATAGTCGAGTCAACTTGGCTTCAAACACTCGTGCAATGAGATCCGGACGGCTGCGTGCTTCGTCATTCGGCCCCAGTGCCGCCTTGATTTCCGGCCATTTGGGGTTGCACGTCACCGTGATGAACAGCGAAGGCTTTCCATATTTGACGACGCAGGCCATCGCATCTTGGTAACGCTGCGTGATCCCGCGCGAGTTGTTCTCGAACCGTCGCGTTTGTGCAAGTAGTATGCAAAGCATTGAGAACGCGAGACTCGGGTATATCCACCTCGGCCCCTTTTCCTTGACCTTCGTCCTAGATGTTCAAACATTCTATGTCAGTCTGTGATTGCGTCTCAACAGATTGCAACACGTAAGAAAGAGCCGAAGATGCTTACCTTCACCTTCACCATTCTTATCTATCGTCGCGGTCTTCGTCCTCCTCTTCGCCTTCGTCATCAAGACCGAGACCGGCAAGTACCTCGCGCGATTGGACACCATTGTCGATCTGCTCTCGGTTTCTGGCGATTGGCAGCCCAGCTTGGTGAAACCCACAAAGAGAAATGTTGGGGTGGAAGCCATCTTCCCCTGCAGGAAATAGTAGTGGGTACCGGAGAGGCAATGCAGACGGATGGAGCGAGCTGATGACTTGGTACGTCTGGACATCGATCACCGAGCACCTGAAGGATAAGGTCTTGCAGTCCATGATCTCCCGTGTTGGTGTCGGAATCGCAGATAAGCATCCCCATTTCCGTGCTCGACGTAGGAAGGTTGTGGGTGCGTCGGTCCCGGCCAGGTGGTAGACAGAGGCGCAGGACCCACTCTTTGGCCGTACCCCAACCTGCGCGGGCTTTGGCCGATGCGAACTCCCTCACAAAGCGAGTTCCGGTGCCCAACATGGACTCGAGCTTGGTCAAAGTAGATCTTTGTATGTGACTGTCTTTTCGGTGTAGCTGCTCAAGTGAACAAACCAGTTGTCAGCTCTTTTCTTGGTATGACGAAATGATGGATTGTACTTACTTCGAGCGTGGATGTCCTTGATCACATTTCAACTTTCGGTCTCGACATTGCGAGCAAGCTTCCCGCCGACTGGAGCTCGGGGTCACGCTTTCTGCTTCCGAATAACGGCATTTGCTAGGAGTTGCAACAGCGGAAGTGCTACTCTCTTGGAAAAGGGTAGAGTGCTTGCATTACTTTCTTTGGTAGGTGTTCGATATCGCGCGTGGCAACTACTGGCGGAAATGAAGGAATGGCGAGGGAACTGATGGTCAGTCTTGAGATGAGAAACTTTCCTGTGCAAACTCGGAGCACACACTCACTTTCGAATGCGAGCGTGGCCGTGTTGGCCTGCCGAAAGACTTCTTGACGCACCAACGCACGAATGAAAGGGACTGCACGTCGGACGTTCGGCGGAGTTTGGCGTCGTTCGTGATTGCCGAGGGTGTACCCCAGCGCCGATGAAAGATCGTCGGCCTGAACGAGGGTCTGCACAAGGGACGAAGGAGAAAGGAAAAAGGGTGACATGTCAGCCACCCAAACCAAGTTCCTTTGGGTTTATATCCGAGATGATCACCTCGAGTTGAGTAGAGCATGTTTTCCCGGGGTCCTGTAGTTTCTCGTTCCCAAGTTTGCCATCCTTTCCCCGATCTCTTTTGCGGGCCCCCGAGCAACGATGGCCATTCGTAGAACCTCCACAACAAGTCGACCTTCGCGGGTTGACTCCAAGCTTTCAAAAGGGTGATAGGCACTTCTGGAGGTCATTCGATCCCCACTGCCACCTCCGACGGATGTTGATGATGAGCAGACGAGGGCGCACGAGGGCGCGTTACCGTAAGGTCGCTCGACGACAGCGAGACAGCATTCATATTTGCGTGGAGCCCACCTATGCTTCTGTTGATCTCACCAATAAGAGTTAGGTCGATCACAGGACGAAACGAAACGCAGCGCAGCACGCAGCTTCGACAGACCTCTGTAGCTATGAACCTTGGGAGCTCCAGGACAGGAAGTCTGCTTACAAATTTCCATTCGGATTTCTGCTTGCGAGGAACGAGCGGCCTGAGACTGAGCTCGTTGTGCTCTGTAGTCGTGAGGATTATGTTTGAGAAAAATGCTTCGCGCGTCGTGTTCGACAGTTCGTTGTTCTGCGTTCCGCCGAGAGAGCTCGCAGGTATACCGGTCCAAATCTTCTTGTCTTTCCGAGCCAGGAGTGGTGCGGAGACAATGTTGTTAGGTAATTTCTCATCTGAGCTGTCTTCTTAGACTCCGTGGTATGAATCGCTTGCCAAATCCACTTCGGAGTCGCTGGAACAGTTCTTGTGAGAGTTTGAAAGCCCCGAAGCTGAGGAGGTGCGAGACGTCGAGGACTTGGGGGGAACCGCGACCAAAGCTGCCGAGAGTTGCTGCCGAGAGTTTCGAATCGTCCTCATCCTCATATAGATCCGATTCATCTTCCGATAGGTATGGCTCTGGCGAGCTTTGTTGTTGCAGCGCAATGGGTGAGCGGCCCCCTTTGTCTTGAACTTGCAGTTGATTCGTCGCTTAAGTTGTTGACATGAGCGTACTTGGCGCCTTCTAGAAGGTACCCCATTCAGGCGTTGTTGTGCTCGAAACGGACGAAATGTCCGCTCAACAAGGAAGGGAAAGAGTGCTTTGGGTGAGGATTGTATGTGTACGAGTGGGAGAGTGGGGGTTAAAGACGAGGAGCGTACGAAGCTTCAATGAGGAGCTCGTATGGTCTTTTCGGCTTTTGCTGCAAGGATTTGACGCGCCGATTCAGGCTCGCGCGCACGGACCCTTTCTCCCCCGTGGATGCTATAGCTGGAACAACGCTTGGTCAGTCATCACCGATGCCAAAGGTGAAACGGCGGTTCCCCGCCGCGACTGACCCAGTACACTCCACTCGGCTCGATGCAAAACAGCTTGGGCAACCCTTCGGCTTTCTTTTCGGCGATACCATCCGGTGCATCCCATCCGGCCACGATCGCAGAGAGGGCGAATGGTCGTACGGACGAGTAGAGCGTGTAGGCTTGGAAGTAGAGGGATAGTCGTTCGATGACGGGAGACGAGCCGAATGGCAAGATCTGGTGGCCATGACCAAGGTTTTGATCCTAGACCGAGCCCGTCAAATGAGGATTCGTGCGCACATCCCGGAACTCAGCTCGGAGGAGCAGCTCTCCCACACGGTCCATGCACGACTCGCTGCTCGCCGAACGGCCATCAAGATCGACACCCTTCGTCTGGCGGATGGGTCGCCCTCACCGGACCTTACCAAGTGCTTGGACCACGCGCGAGCATACTTCCAAGACCACCACACGCCAGATGATCGCGATCCCGCTCAAGTCGAAGCTGCTCGCTCTACCCTTCTCGATCCCGTACGACGCGCTTTACCAAAAGGCAAGAAGCACTTCGATTCAAGGTTCATGAGGCCGATGACTGCGCGACACGCCAAGCTGCTCGAGGAACCTTTCACTGCCGACGAGTTTGCAGCCGCAATTGCCAAGACTGACAAGGGCCGAAGTCCAGGAGCGAGCGGGCTACCTTACGAGATGTATCAGTCCTCCCCAACTGTCTTTGCGGAGCTACTGGCCTCGACTTGTAATGAGGCGTGGACGAAAGGTGCTCTGCCTGAATCGATGACCAAAGGAATTGTCCGCCTCCTCAAAAAGTCAAAGCCTGACGCTGACTACTCGGACCTCAAGTACTACCGCCCGATCACGCTTCGCGAGTGCTCGTACAAGTTGATGACCAAGGTCCTCGTAGCAAGGCTGAACAAAGTGCTGCCATCCGTTCTTCCCCCTTCACAACACGGTTTCATGCCTGGTCGAAAGGCCTCAGACGCGGGAAGTCACTTGTCCCTGCTCCTTGAACAAATTCGCTCCCTTGACCTTGCTGACTCGGCTCTCCTATCGCTTGATCAGGAAAGCGCATATGACCTAGTTGATCATGACTGGATCATGAGCGTCTTTCGAGCGATGAGAGCGCCAGAAAGCTTCCTTGGCCTTCTCAACGTTATCTACAGATCGGTGTCACTTCGTTACATCATCAATGGATACCTCACGGAGGCTGTGCGCATGCTGTGCGGGCTGGGGCAAGGGTATCCCGTGAGTTGTCCCATCTGGAACGTGTGCTTTCAGCCCTACCTCGATGCCCTAGTGAGGAGAAAAATTGCCCTTGATCTCAGTGCAGTATTTCTTCCCACCCGGGCTGCAATCCTCACCCACCTCGCCTTTGCGGACGATGCGATCGTGCTCGTCTCGTCACCGGCAGCACTCGATCTCCTGACTGGTCTCGCCGTCGATTGGCGCTTGGCTACAAACGGACGCTCGAACACGGCCAAGACGACTGCTCTCCCTCTCGGCTTGGGCTGGACTCAGGACGCGCGGGCTAGCGGGATCGCTACTGTGCGCGCTGGTGAGTGCATGACTTGGGCTGGCTATCCGGTTTCCATCGACGGCAATCTCTCGCTCTTCTGGAGCACGACACTCAACCGAGCAAAGGCTCGACTGGAGGCAGCGGCGAATCGACGTGTTCCCCCACGGGCTCGCGCGATGTACGCCAACTCGTATGTCACTTCGAGGGTCATCCACTTGCTCTCGTTCGACATCCCACCCGTCACTTTCGTCGACGCTTTCGAACAAGCGCTCATCTCCTTCGTGTGGCACAACGACTCCTTCCGACCCGTGACAAAAGAGGCGGTCTTCCTCCGTCGCGATCTTGGTGGATTGGGCCTGCTGAGCATCGAGGACATTGTTTGCTCTATGGCGATCCGGTTCTGGGACTGCGTTGCCCATGGCTTCGAGCCGATCTGGGCTACACTCGCACGGATCAGCTGGGAGCGCACATATTCGGAAGAAACGTCGATTTGGTCAACACTGATTGCCTCACCTCGCCGCGCAACCCACGCGCGGTGGACGAAGGTCATCAACGTTGCGCGACTGATGCTGCCCCATGTGTTCCCAGAGCTCCTTCGGTCGACCGAGGTGCTCGTGATCCCACCCACTCTGCCTTCCTTACACCCACAAGGCCTGTCGGACGATGCGCGCAGGCGGCTCAAGAAGTTTGGGGCAATCATCGATCTTTACCGGAGGCCGCAGACGACAGGGGACCCCGTCAACCCAGGCCTGCAACCAGAGTCGTTATTGGAAAAGCTTTGGGCCGATGTGAGTGCTAGCTCTCCGATAGCCTCTGCATTGCCCCAGCCCGCCGCCGTCCGGACCGCCATTGGCGACTGCTACTTCCTACGACCCTGCACCTACACGTTCCTTGGCGCGACCCGTCCTTTTACGATCAAAGCTCTGCGGCACTTCATCAATGAGGCCCGCTATCCCTCGCTGCACGACGGCTCACGACTCAAGTGGCCAACAGATCTCACAAAGTCACAGAAGCAACAGTTCTGGATCTGGCTCAACAGTCAATGGGCAACAGCGGTCGAAAAGGACGTTCACTGGAAACTGATCTTCGGGGCGACGCCGACATGCGTTCTGCAACATCACCATGGTCACGCTGCATCTGATGGGTGTCCACAGTGCGGCCAACGAGACACCTTCATGCACTTCTACTTCGAATGTGATCATTCACGTGAGTTCTGGCGCCTGACCTTGCAGCTGCTGAGGGTTGCACTTGGCCAGGCAGGTGACTTCCAACTTGGCGAAGTCGACTCTCCTCAGATCATGCTTGGCCTTCCTCGGGTGCGTGGCGAAAGTCGTGACTCTCGGACCTACATCGTCGTTCGGGTCGTTCTTGCGATTGCTTTCAACAAGCTCTACCTTGCTCGATGGCATCAGCACAAGGATCAAATTCCCCTACCGACCCCGTACTTTCTTACTCGCGAAGTCCGCTCGCATCTCAAATTCTGACTTCGACGTCTGCCAGACGGCGAGCTTCTGGACCAGATGATGTGACTTGACGTTTTCATGAGTACGGAGTTTCTGAGTTTTCTCTCCTGATTTTCCTCCCCTCCCCTCTCTCTCTTTCTCGATTGTGCCTATTCTTTAACACCGTGGAATAGGAAGGGTGGTTGGTGCTCACATGATTGGAATCACACTTTTGGTGGTTTCAGGAGTGTGGGGGCTGCATAGATCTAGTGGCTATAACTTTACATAAGTCCAACCCCCCTTTTCAAGAAACATTGATTTTGCGTAGATAACCGAATATGTGAAATCTAATCAGGCTTGATACAAAAAAAAAAGCCTGCTATAGCTGTGCTTCCCACACACGCGGGCTCACGGGCGGTACTCGCAACGCACGTTCCCTTTTTTGGGCCTTCACTGCGTTGTCGACGTTTTCTTACCAGCTTCTGCGGCTGCGTTCACCACCTGTAGGGACAGGTGCGTTCCTCACTCCCAAGACTACCTCCCAGCTGACGAGGTCGCTGATCGAGAGTTCCATCTTGCCGGACGTTCACAGCTGCTAGCAGCTCGTTATGAAACCCTCGACGTGGCTCGCTTAGAGTAGCTCGAGGTGAGTGTCAAGATACATCTGCGCTTGTTGCGACATGTACTCTGCACTCTTACTCCTACAACTCAGTTGTACGGGCAATAGCTCTGTACGTCCTTGTTGGGCAACACAGCATGCTAATTGCACAGCTCTCAGCAGAACCTTTGCCTCCTCTCGCGCCATCTGCGCCGATCCGTCCTTATACAGTGACTTGACTTGTCGCAAAGGTATGCTGAGCCGATCGATGGACTTTCCATCATCAGTTGCAGCCGACTGACATTCAGAAGCTTTGGTCGCAAAGCTCCAAATTGTGATTCCCAGTCTTCGCTCCTGCTCCGACGACCATCAAGATCTTCCCGGGCATATAGCCGGCTGGTGCGCGTCATTCACACATCCTTCAGGACGCGGTGGTTTGCGGGCCAACAAGAAGGCGTGATGTCCCTGGCGCATGGCACAGAGGGTACTAGACGATGGCACTACGCAATGACAAGTCGATGAACTACGCGCGCTGAAGGACCTTTCCCTATCGACTTGAACGCTATCAGGGCTCGTCCGCAGCTGATCGCATAGGATCGCCCCACATGGTCTACCTCCATGACTGGGCTAGCGATTTGCTCAACGTCGACTCTGCGTGCCCGCATTCGAAGCTCGTCGCCGACCCTACTCCTCGCAACGACAACCCGCCCGAGTCGCATCGTCGAATTCTAAGCTCGCTTCGACGATCGTCTCTGCGACGACCTGACCGCGTCGATCCTCTCCGCCGGTGTCTCGCTTCGTCGTCGCCCGCAGCAATCACTGAGAGGGAGAGGGGAAAGGCAGGCCAAGGTCTTCCCTCGGTCCCGGACAACATTCTTCATCTTCCGAGACATCAACAAGGATAGCAATACACCAATGTTGTCCTTCGTCTTGCTGCAACTCGAACCACTATTCCGCTACGACTCGCGCGAGTGGTCAGGGGAGTCGACACAGATGTTCCTCTGACTTGCGGCCTACACCGTATGATTTCGAGGAATGGTGACAGTATTAACGCACCGCGGGGCGGCGCCCAGTCCCTGAACCTCCAGTGCCCTCTATCAAGTCACTCACAACCATGGCCCGAGGATAGGCAGTACCTCCTACTTAGCCGCAAGCGAATAACCACCACAAGGCAAGGCCTGGCAAGGCTAGAGACTCTAACGACAAATCCACATTTCATTCAAGAGCCAGCCGTGCGTCCCGAAGAGACTTCACCATCTTTGTCGGCGGCCTCTGCTCCAAAGTCATTGACGCCGTCGCCTGCGCGTGAGGCGGACTTCTTCGGCTGACGAGCCCCGCATGCACGAAGTCGAACCTCTACAGGATTACGAGCTAGTATCTCAACTGCGTGTTCCTGGCTGGGAGCAGATTCCAGCTTTATAGCCTGCTCCCATCCCTGAGGCGGGTCGGGCTTTACGGCCTGCTCTCATTCCCGAGCCTGGTGTGGCTTTACCGCCAGCGCTGCCTCCACTTCCTCGTTTTCAACGTACGGACGATGGCGAGGTTGCTCCTATCGATCATCGACGTGAGGAGGCTGTGGAGGCTATCGACAGTTACGAAGGTGACGACCCTGCGGAGCGTGATCCACCTCTACCTCCTGACGATGGTCACGAGTACCGGCCTTATCGTGTCGGTCGCAGTCCCGGTCTGCTCGAGAACATTGACGAGGGCAACATTCTACCGGTTCGCACGCGTGCTCAGCGTCGCTTCGCCGCCCTCAGTATTGTGTCCACGCGCAAGGTCGTTCGTCGCGAACCAGAGCTCATCGCGTCGTTTTCCACTAGTCACCCACCGCTTCCCAAGACCTTCAAGGATGCGATGGCTTCGCCCGAGGCCGAGTCATGGTACGCTGCGTCCGTCAAGGAACTCAACTTCATGGGCTTGCACAAGGTCTTCAAGCTTTCGAGGCTACCCACTGGGGCTCGTGCACTGGGCTATCGTTGAGTGTTTACTTAGTAGGAAGACGCCGAAGGCAACATCATCAGCTACAAGGCTCGTCTAGTCGTCCAAAGCTTTGCTCCACGACTGGGGATCGACTACAACAAGACGTTTGCTCCTGTCTCGTCGATCACGACGATCTTGTTCGTTGTCGGCCTTTCTGCCGCTCGCCTGACTGATTCTCGAACAGTGGTCCTGACTTCTCGGCATCTGTGAAGCACTGATTCCATTCGGCACGGATCTCAGCTTGGAGCCGGGCGGACGCAGGAGTATAGGGCGAGGACCGCTCAGCTTGCGAAGCGTGCGTGGTTCGGCGAAGCCATGTGTCGTCGTCAGGGCGGCTGTCATTGTTGGTCGCCGCTCGTCGTCTGTTCTGAGTCGCATTCTCGGTCAATGACCTTTCCTCTCGTTCACAAATCTCCTTGCTCAGTTCTGCTTGACACGACTCCAATGTTTTGTGCCGGTAGACCGTGTGGCGGGGTACGCAATGCCGTCTGGGGACCAGAATGACATTGGCTGTGCTTCGCTTGAAGATGTAGCCACTCTCACATGCTGGACAACTCTCAGTGCATGAAGACAATAGAATACGCAAAAACAGTTCTCTAGCCCTTGATCGCCGAAGCAAGTAGCCTTGCAAGTTGTGAGTCTGACAAAGAATCTGCACTGCAGTTGTTCCAAACGAAGTTTGACGTTGGACAAGACGAGCTGTTGCAATGAGCACCTGATCACTAGGTCGTCGTCAAGCGAATGTGAGGCACCAAATCTGTTCGGTCCATAATAAGCGTACTGTACTCGTTCGCCATGTTGGCACGAGCGACTGCCTGTTGTCAAGCCAAGCTCCGAGATGCTGTCTAATGTCGGGAGGCACGACTAAGACACGTGAACTGGGAGAGATCGACATCGCCGCAGGGTGGGTGGACAAAAATGCCACTTGATACCAATGACTGGTGTGTCGGACCGACTGAGCACCGTTTGTGACTGATGAACTACTCCACGGTGCTCCGAGGAGGGCTGTACCATGAGCTACTGAGATGTTGATGTTCGCACACAGCTATCAGACGGGCCGAAGCGCACGCCTACAGGACTTTGCACTCCGTGCCGTTCGCCGCCGTTCAACTCTCCCAAAAGCCGCTTGCACGCGTGAGCTATTTAAGCGAGTCGAGTCATAGTTGCAGCAAACCGGTAAACTGAGTTGTAACTAACAAGCACAGTCTGTATTTTTATTTTTATTTTTATTTTTTTGGGGGGGAAAAAAAAGGAAAAGTGGAAAAAAAAAGGAGAGCACAGGTGAACAAGGGAAGGCGGGCGGGAAGCTCAAAACAGAGGTCTTTGCGAGGCGTAGCAAAGATTGTATTTAGTGACGTGCAACTATGACATGGGCTTTGCGTAGCGTGATAGCGTACCTTTGCGAGGCGTAGCACGAGTGTCAATGAGAATTGAAGCACTTAGTGCGGTCTCGGCGGAGGTAGCCTGTAGAATGCTACGCGTCAGCTTGGATCGTCCAACTAGGGCGTTCCGGTAGGAAGGGCAGTTTCGTACAAAAGCTTGTGCGGAGACTGCTGTGATGCAAGTGAACAATGAGTACGTCGTGCAACTAGCCGAGCGTAATCTGGACACTTACCTCGAGCGCGTGGCAGGGCCTGCGGGCGTCGAGGGTTTTCTGGATGCAGCGGCTGCTGTAAATCCTGTGCGAGGGGGGCTTCGCGTGAGCGACGGATTGCTTGGATGAGGATCCTAAGGTGGTGGCTAACTGACCCTTGGCAGAGGGTGGCAATGCTGGAGCAGCGGGCTGGCAACAGAAAGCGTCGACGGTGCGGAACCGAGGAGGAGTAAGCGGCGCGGACGCAAATACGCTTGAGGGGTGGAAACCTTTGAGGACTCACGGAGAGGCCTAGGGACGCTGAGCGCTCCGGAGAGGCTAGGAAATAAGCTCGACGCCCCTCCCAAAGGGAGGGGCTTGTGAGTTATCCGCGCTTTGGGCTGAGTTGCCCTCCGAAATTTTGGCCCTGAAAAGTGCCCCCTTGCTGTAGCATGGCATATATTGGTGCTATTTGAACATTGGAGGGATACGTCTTTACTTCATCATTATTGATGAGGCTTCACCGAAGCTTGAAGTCTAGGAACGCTTGATCATCTCGCTACAGCAGCTTGAATCAACTGATTCCGAACGAGACGCAGGTCGGCGCACGGACCAGTCGTAGTCCAGTCCGCGTCGAAGGCTGCATAGATCCAGGTCACTTAAGCCCGGCCGCGCCTCACGCATCCTCTCTCTCCTCCACTCAACATCGCACCTCACCTCATGATGAGCCATGTCGGTACAAACACCCAGGCCGGTTAGGCGACCGCCCCGTCGACATCCATCAGTTCAGGGCGTCTCCCTTGCGATCAGCTTCAAGGGCCAGTCCTACGACCCCAGCACCGAATCGTTCAACCAATCCGACAGCCGTTCTCGGTCACTGGAGGCCACGTTTGACTCACCAGGACCGACGAGATTCCAGCGAATTACGCAAGAAGATCAAAGTGATTCTGGGCGAAAGTCTTGACGAGGACTCTACCCCCCGGCCTGTGCAGATCGAGGCCATTGCTGCCCTTTTCGAACTCGATCAATTTGGGAACCGGAATCGATATGACGCTGTGTTCGTCACAGCGCCAACAGGTTCAGGCAAAAGTGTTATCTTCGAAGCAATGTATCTCATTTACGGACGCCGGGCAGTCACCATTGTTGTCAGCCCACTGAATGCACTGAGCAATCATCAGGTGAGTTTTTCTGCCGACTGGGCTTGCTGGACCGACATTCGTGCTGATTTCCGCAGTCACATGCTTCTTTCAGGCTGCCAATCTCAATTGAAAGGGAAAGAACGCGATTGTCGTATCTGAGGAGACCTGGAGAGACGGCGAGCTGTACAGGCAGTTGGACGACCCCAATCACAAGATCTCCTTCATTCTGATCGTATGTGCCGGTTGACCTCCTGTTTGAGTGAAGTACACATGTGTTGATTTTCCTTCCTGTTGCGTGTCAAGTCTCCTGAAATGCATATGAACAATGCAGATTGGGCAAAGTTGATCTCTAACGAGTCCTTTCGAGAGCGCGTCAAGTTGCCCGTCTATGACGAGGACAGGGGGGTGGTGTGCATCAAGAAGACTGAGGCCAAGATGAAGGACCAGTCGAGCAAGCGCTCGACATATCTGAGCTTTTATCCCGGTTGTAGATGACGAGTCGGATTGGGGAGTTGGGAGGAGATGCTGGAGATTGACTCGCGGTAAAGACGCTTGATGTGCAGAGTAGGCTCGAAGGTTGTAAGCGCCGGCAATATCTCCGTTCTGAATGTGGGCGTAACCAAAAGTTCGATGAAGCAGCTCGGTTCGTCGATCCAATTGCCGATCGTTGACGTGATGTGTGACGTCGATGTTGTCAACGGTCACATGGAAGTACTTGTTCGAGCCAATCTCCTTCAGTTCCGTCGAATTCGCCTTCGTCAAGCTCGCAGCTGCCTGGAGAGTCGCCCAGCGAGATGTCGTCAAGCCGCAATCGTACAGAAACATTGTCAATCGGTCGTTCGCTCCACATGCGAGAGTCATGAGACCGTTGCGATGCTGCATGGCGTTGTTCCTTCGGTTGCAAGCGAATGCGATCTGACCCATGACACTGCGGTAAAGCTGCGGCCAGCGTGTTGAAGTTTTTGGTGTCAGTTCGCTGCGATACCCAGCCGAGCCATGGTCAGAAACACTCACAAACTCGATACACTTTCTTTCGTGATCAGGCTCTTGTTCTTGCCCCGGATCGGAACCATTCTCCGGGGTGGCTTCTTCCATCTCGACATCAGTGGAAGCTGTTGGGTCCTTGTCGCGATTGATTGGCTCGGCCGGTGGAGGGTCTCCGCATTGTGATAGCAAGGTACGAACCCGTCCGCTGATTAAAGGGTTGTCTTCGGCGATTGCATCGAGCCGGGCGTCGATGTAATCGGATGCGAGGACTTCGGGAGTCAAGTCATGGCTAGCGACGAAGGCGGACTTGGTTCGCTTCATCTCTTTAATGATGATTGAGTCGGCCTGCACGCGGATAAGGCAAGTATTCAGTAGCTTTTTCGAATCCGGAGAATCAATCCGAGAAGTACGAAGTGTTGCCCACCTGCTCGGCGATCCAGCCATTGATTCGGCTTCTTGACTCTGCGCCATCCTCGCGTGCAAGTCGTAGAATGAGATCAAGTACACGCTTAAGGCTGGACCAGTTGCTGTTGAACAGCTTTGGTCGGTGTGTTTGAACGCCCTTCAAATCGTGTGGATGGGCTGAAGTACCACGATAGGTATTGACATAGCGAGAGATCGCGGCTACGCCTCGCGGCGGTTGTTCTGGCGAGTTGACGAGGTGTGGCGTCTGCTTGTTCGGGTCATTTTTGGTTTTAGATATTGTCGCGCTTGACGTGGACGACGGTGATCGTGAAAAGAGGAGAATAGCGAAGCGTACGCAAAGGGATCAAGCCGAATTAGCAGGCTCGCCGATGATGAGAGCGCCAATTACACGATGCGCTCGGACCATCTGAGGCCCGATCGACCGAAATCGCAGACTTCGGATCGCTGTAGCTCCACCCACAGCTTATGAAAGCTCTCGCCACTTGGGGTATGTCATTTTTAGAGCATAAAGAAAAATAGGGTCCTTCACTTTTGCATGGATGCGCCTACTTGCCAAGTTACAGAGAACCACCCCAAAATGGCCCTGAAATTTCGGAGGGCAACTCAGCCAAAAGCGCAGATAACTCACAAGCCCCTCCCAGAGGGAGGGCTTAGTTGAGCTTAGCTAGGAAAGTACGCTGAGCGCTCCGGAGAGGCTAGGAAAGTACGCTGAGCCGCTCGCGGGGAGGGCTAGGCTCTGAGCACTCCGGGGAGGCTAGGAAAGCTGACGCTGAGTCAGGGACTGGATGCACGGATGCGCGCTTGAACATTGAGCGTGGAACTCTTACCGCTAAAGCTCAACAGACATCCGCGCCGGCCTCTACAGCTGGCAGGTCTGTGCCGGCTTGTGCGGGTGGCTGCCGGCTGCTGGCCTTGCGCGCGGGCCTGTGCCGGAGCCGCCCCCCGCCAACGAGAATTAGTAATGTTGAGATCGCCGTCAATTTCCCAAGCTCGCGGCCCCCCCAAGCCGCCCCCCGCCGTTGAGATCGTCGTCAATTTCCCCCCCAATTTCCTTGAACAAACCTTCAGCTCTAAAGAGCTTCAGGGATCTATCAAATAAAAAATAAAGAATGGCTAGGCTTTCGGGGGTCCTATGGCGTCAGCTTCCTACCCGTGCCAACCTACCGACAGTCCATAGCAAGAAAGGCCAAAAGGAGGCGACCATTTAGACCGGTGCCGCACCTGGCCCAGGCTGGCCGGTCACCTCGAGAGTAGGCCCCGGGGCGGACAGGGTACTATAGGTGGTGTAGGGCCTTTATGGGCGTTTCTGCCGGCTCTGTCATGCTCTACCAGCTTCAAAAAGTATGCATACGGCAAGGGAAGACGATACATGCAGATTAGCGGAAGCTGTAGCAATTTCATTTTTTTCAGGGCGTACCGCACATTTGTTGGCGGAGAGTACGCCCCAAACGGCCTTCGCTCCGCCTAATGGGGCGTACTTGGTCCGAGGCCGGTACGCCCGGGGCCTACGTGAATTGGCACACGTACGCCCCAAAACTTTAGATCGCGTTTGCAGCTGCTACAGCGCATTGCATACACTCTGACAGTCACCAGTTCGGTCTAAAGGCACGGCTGCACAACCCTCTAGCAGATGAAGAGATACAAGTCGATGGTCATAGAGTCGAAGCTGTGACCACGGCGCAACGACCCCGTCACCCCGAGTGAGGCCGGCCTCAGGTACGAACGTTGATATGTGTATGTGTGCTAGTTTAAAACAAGGCGGTAAGATGATACCTAGTTCCAGCATTGAGTATGGTCAACCCTGCAAAGTCCTACTTAGCCGTGACAGATAAGTCAACCGTCGCGACTTGACTAAGAGAGTACTAATTTGTCCGACAAATTACGTCTCACTTTCAAATTAGGTCTCACTTTGGCGTCAGTGCTAAACGCGGCCATCTGCGGGCCCGCGACGGAAGGTGCTTCCTTTGAGTCGACCACACTTGAGTCGACCACACAGGCCACCAACGAGGGCCCGTGGAAGACGAAACAAATGGACGCCAAAGGCTCATACCCCACCTCCGATATCTGAGCGAGAAGCAAGACTTCAATCGCGTCGGACACGTCTCCAAGTCCTCGACCTACCTGGTGCCGCTGCGTCGCCACCGGCGTTCTCAGCTACTTTCCCCTTGGAGCCAACACACATACATGAATCGAGCTCAAAACCTCATTGGAAATCGAGCCTCGAAGACGTGTTTGAGGATGTTGAGCCCGCGGGGTCATCCCAGCGAGGCTTCTCCGACGACGTTGACGCGACCCATTCACATTCACCCGTCAGACTGCGAAGAGTGCGTACTGCGTCAGTCACCGTCGTTACTTCCACCCCTAATTTTATGTACTGCTTCTAGTCTATCAATGAAGTGGACCTGTCTCCTGGATCGGAGAAAAAGCTTTACGAGCCACAGATTCGCCAACGAGTAGACTACAGCTCGGTGAGCAAACGGACATTCTCATGGTCGCGGCTGCCCGTTCATTGTCCATCGTCAGGGGCCATTTCTGAACTGACGTGATGGCTCATTCCACCCATGGCCCGTTCCACCCAAATCGACCATTTGGGCGCTCTAGTTACAATCGAGGAGGTCAATGACGTCGCTCCAAGGAATGAATTGCGCCGGCTCATCAAAGCGAACTTGCTCGCCCTTGGTCATGGAGATCATAAAACTACAGGATACGCCAACGCTGTGGTCCGTAGTCTCCAGCTTCCAGCACTTTTGGACGCAAGCAAGCTGACCTCCGAGTCGGCTTTCACAGGAATGGTGGCAATATCTTGCTTCATCGCTTTTCAAGCTTTCTAAGACGACATTGCCGCCACAGTCGACCCGAATGGCCGAGACTGACTGGGTTTTGGACGTATCTCTAAGCAAGTGGGTTGTTTCAACGTATCACACAATTAAGTATTGTGCATGCGCAAGGGTGTCCTCGCCTGAGATGCCAACGAGTTCTTCCGTTCTCGACCTGGAGGCACTCCTGCACTGCGCACCTCTCAAGCTTTCGCAAGGTGCGGATATGAATTTGCAGTCCGTCCTGTCGCACGATGTCGGAGGCATAGGTTCTGTCATGGATGTCAGTACGTGCCGATGTTGTGCAGGGGGACAGAGAACGTTGCTTTCGTTCACTCAAGTCCCCATGTGCTTCACCATCATGCACAACGGAAGCACCGTACGCTGGACGCCGGACGCTCGAGGCTCAGACCTCGTCTTTTGCGATGACACTGGCTTGCAGCACCGTTGGTCACTCCGAGCCGTCACTCAGCTACGCCATTAACACATCTCAACGAAAGGTAGGGCTGCAATCGGTCCGGATGGCGAACTTCAATGGCATCAATTTGATGGACTCAATCCAATGGTGTCAATTGCGCATCTCGCCACCGAGCTGGTCCCAGATTTGCGCGACACGGCTTCTTATAGCTGGTGGGTGTACAAAAGAAACCGGAATGCGCTGCGATCACTCAATACCTTTCTGACAAGGCGATGGACGATCTCGCTAAAATTGATGATTACCGACCTCGAGCCATCTGCTGCGCAAACGTACGGCGCGCGCAGGCGAAACCCCGATGTGAACGCTGAGGGACCCTTACTACCGACCGTGACTATGGCGCGTCAGCGCTACGAGGTCATGGGTCTGGAGTTGGGCGTCGTGGAGGAGGGAGCACAGGCGGGCCGCCAGACGTTCAGAAAAATCAGGGTAGCGGGCTCCGCCCGCAAGTACCAAATTGACAAGTTAAGGATTCTGGAAAAGGTACGTTCGTGGACGTGATGGCGCATTGGCTGCCACGATGGTGGTGTCACGGCCATCGGTTCTCTGAACATCCTCTCTTTGTGTACAGGCTATCGGCTTGCACCCAGGGCATTCGCTGTTCGAGGACGAGTATCGGGCGCACAATCCTGTCATGGTCAAGCTCAGATGCCCAACTTGTGCCGCGGGACGGCTGTGTAGAACGCCGATCGCCTTCACTCAGGACCTCATCCGCTGTAACTTATGCGGATTGTACTTACATAAGTTGCATGCCGAGATCTCCAAAGAGGAACGAAGAACGACAAGATGCATCATATGTGTGAATGTGGTGTCAACGAAGGATCTGCGCGCAGACGAATTCAAGAAGCTCTCTGGAACGTAAGTGGCCTCAATGTATGCCGCTTTGTGGAACTCCCTGTGTTCCAGAATTACTACGACTTTTTACTACAGTGTTTCGCTTGCACGTTCATGCGCATGGGCTTACATCAGTGAGGCTTGGAGGTTAGTTGAGGTCCATGACTATGGAGTTCATCGGGATGGGCTCGGAACGCGGGCACTGGCTGAAGTTTCATGTCCAGAAGAAGGCGTCAATCTCCAGCTGGTCCCGGGTAACAAACTGGCATGGTCTTTCAGCAATGCGAAGCAATTGGAAGGAAGCAAGAATCGGGAGATTTATTTGAGTGTGAGTCAGTATCCTGAATGGCATGGCAGAGTGTGCTGGCTTGGCTGACCGGCATTGCCTACTTGTCACTCTTCATCAGTTGCAGGTCCCACTGAGGCAATACTCAAGAAGACTTGGGGCACAAATGCTAGTTTGGTGAAGACATTTATCAAAGACACCAAAAAGACTATCAAGCATCTGAACGTAGGCAAGTGACCAAAAACCGGTTTGCGCAGAAAAAGCACCTGGCCGGGAGGTTCGCCACGGTTCGGCGCGCGCGCGCGAAGTTTTTCACGGTGTGGGACCTCGAGGAGCGTCCATGACGGTGTGGGCACTTGAGGTGAGGTTGGTCACCGTGCATTCACTCGGTCCAAAGGTGGCAACTTGGTGCTCAGGTTTTTCAGATTGTGCCGAGGTTCTCCAACTTCAGTACGGGGTTCTCCACCTTCGGCGTCAGGTTCTACAAACTCGGTGGGCGGTTCAGTAACTTCGGAGTCAAGTTCTCCAACTCCTTGCCGAGGTTGCCAATGGTTCAAAACCAGGGGTCGGGTTGCGCACGGTTCGCTTCGTTTACCAAGGGTGGAAGACCGGTCGAAAGAATTTGCACTCCTGAAACCTCCTTGATACGGTGGACACGATCATAGTAATGACGATCGGATCTGAGCTCGACTGGTCACCGTGCGCGTCGGCGATTTTGTCGTTCTTGGTCCTCCACCAGATTCAAGGGACCGTGTCGTATTCGCCCAAGTCGAAGCAATTTTTAGCGTCGAACTAGACGAAAAGTTCACCTTGCTCCTCGTCACCTGGATGGACGAGAGTCAGACGCGTAAACTGGCCAGGTTAGAGTGCTCAAGCCTTTCCGCGCGGGGACTTCGAGAGTCATCGGGCTCGATGCCATCTCGAGCGAGCAAGGTGTGCCGATTCTGAGGAATTACACAGAGATGAGACTGCACATAATAGTACCCTACCAATTTTCGACAATCTGATGGGGGTCTTCATGTGATCTAGGGTCACCTGCAATGACGTCGCGTGAGAAATGCTACAGTCTTCGAAGCTCTTTTCTTGCCGTCGGCCGTGTCGGAGGCATGGACATTTCGATGAAATCAATGCAGCAATCTTGCTCCAACCTTGCCAATGCATTTTTTTTTTCTCGATTCCACCTGTTGATAAGAGACAGTCTTCGCTTGCGAGTGTGATTGTGAAGCTTTGGAGTAGTTGATCTGTCTGCGGAAATTCGACTGAGGTGAGTATAAATAGGCTCCCTGTCGTCGGTCCGCTCTTCTTCTTTGGCCAATCACTCGCCGCTCGCTCACCCGCCCGGTACCGCTTTTCCCGTCGCGATCTCGAGTTGGACCTTTCACGCAGACCTCGGTGACCTAGTGATCAACGAACGTATATCGCGCACACGACCCACTTTGAAGAACGTCGCGTCGTCGTCATCGTCATCATCGTCATCTCGCTGACGACTACGTCGCACCACCTTGCTCTCTAGGTCGGCATCTCGGTCCACATTTTGCGGACATTCGTTCCAAGCCTACAATAAGGCCTTTGATCACCCGTTACAGACCAGTCGTCGTCTTCTTCCGATTCTCACCCGCCATTCGAACACCTGTGGACGCTCGTTCAAGCCTGCTCGCGGCCATGACTCGATTCGCTCCCACCCAGGTCTTGCGGTGCCCACGCCCACGCCCACGTCCCCATGACCACAAAGATATCTTAGCCCGAACCATCACCTCCTTGTAAGTGCTTCACCGCTCTGGCTACTCCTCGTATGGTCGTGGCGATACCACGTTGTGCGACCGAGACTCGCTGTGGTGATGGCCCTGCGGGAGCTGCACTTGCGCTGACGCTTTCGCTCGTGTCTTAGTTCCTCAACAGCGATGTTACAGGTGAAGAACCCTCTGTTCTGTTTCGAGCCCATCTATGACAATCCCGGCCTCTATTCGTGCAGGGTGGGATGGCCGAGCGATCAAGCTCCTAACCAGAAGCATGACGTCATAGCCTGGCTCAAGCTTGATCAACAATCACCTTAGATCTCATGTAGATCATAACCCTTCTCACCCATGCATCGCCAACAAAGGTGAGTACATTCCATCAAACTACTGGTGCGCTTTCACGTTCCTTCCGAACCGTGGGATGGCGTTGATTGCGTCGCACCATCACCTGCTCACCATCACGGTCTTCCTCCAATCGATGACACACCCGTGTGAGTGAGCTTGTGCTGGCACACTGCACTGCTGATTTGGCTTGCTTCACAGCACTGGATTGCCTTGGGATGGTGGAACGTTCAAGTCCGATTCATAGAATCGACCTCGGCTGTCGGAGCTTCGCACCCTTTCTCGTCACGCTCGAGCTCCTTCCCAAAACACCCGAAGGACTGGCCCTCCTCAATCTCTGTCCTTGCTCAAGATGATATACTGACACACTATCATGATCCACCCCATTCCTGTCCCGAACCCAGACCCGACCGAGTCAAAGCTTTGGCTTAGCACAGCTGTTTCTGATGATGATTAAAGTCAGTGAGTCCACTCAAGTTCATGGCACTATCGCTTGTGATATAGTAAGCGAGTGTGGGCTGGGTTTGCTAGTTCCTGTGCAAGGCGATCGCTGCCTCTCAATTTGAAGATGACCGTGCGAGTCCCACTGCTGCGGTTTGAAAACCTCAGCCGAGGTGAAAACTTTCGCCGCAAAGTTGTGAACTAGTAACTAAAGTTTAGCACTATGAGCTCAAGTTCTAGACCTTCGCTCAAAGTCCCTCGCCCAAGCCCCAAGCTCCAAACTGTATTGTTCAAGTCCTATGACCCTGCCCCAAGTGTCGAACCTCGAGGCAGAGTTCTCAATCTCAGACCCAAGTCCCCAACTTCGCCCCTAAGTTGAGAACCTCGCGTCCCAATTTGAAAACTTGAGCCCCAAGTTTGAAACTTCGCCTCCAAGTTCAGGACTACGGGCACGGTTCCGGAACCTTGGGCCCAAGGTATATCCGGTTCCCACCCCTGGCACCTGGTGCCACATGGTGTAGGGGTTGCCAACTTCGGGCAGGGTTCCCCATTAGATGTCCAGATATCTATCTTAGCATCGCTAAGATATAGATGCCATCTTATCTAGGGGCCGAATATCTTAGATAGATAGATAAGGCCCCGGGGGTTTCCTTAGATATCTTTAGGATATCTTAACTTTTTTTGTGTCTGATACAGACTCCTGTTGCGCTGGAAGTTGTAGTTTCCACTAAGGAGGTTCTTGCTCCTTAGCGAGGACATCGAATTTCAAGTCGTATTCGGCTCAATCCCCATGTTTGTGCCGCATGGTTTGGCCCAAGCGCTGACCGCGGGTGAGGCGGCACGGCTTGCCGACGGGCCAATTTGGGAGCTGAGGCTTTCAGACGTTTTTGCTGCCAGAGGGTGCTTATCAACTAATCACACAAACCACACAAAGAAAGGAGGTGCAATTGCGACATTTTGTGAACTTCGCAATGTACCCCGGCGCCGTTCTCTCTTCTTTCTTCGCTCACTTGCACTCTCACACCTCGCCAAACGACTATAATCAATCTGAGTCTGTGCTGAAGCAAGATGGATCATGAGCTCCCCACTGCTGAGGAGGACCTTGTGTGTACGGAATTCGCCACGGACAAAGAAGCGCAAAATCTACTCTCAGCTGAGAGGTGGCTCCGCGAATGATCGCTGGCAAGCTCGCTGCGCCGACGCTTTGATTAGATATCTATTAGATATCTAATAGGCATCTATCTAAGATATCTGACTAAGATGGGAGATAGATAGATAAGGGCCAGAGCCCAATTTTTTTAGATAGATATCTAATATCTGCGAGATTATCTTATCTAATGGGGAACCCTGAAGTCTTCGGGCGGTGGTGCGGAACCGTGCGGCACCGGTAGAGACGGTCGCCTCGTTTTGGCCTTTCTTGCTATGTCCAACCGCACGGCACTTGACACCTCTCCGCACAGCCGATCACTACCGCAGCATGAGCATCATCAACATTCAGTCAGTCCATGCATGCCCGTACCACCTCCCGCACACGTTTTACTCAGCTCGCTCGAGCGTGGCAAACGCCCTCGCCCCGCCCCACCTCTTTGCTATCACGCGCGTCGCGTCGCGTCGCATCGGATTAGAGCTTTGGACCGACGCCAGGGTCTCGCATCCGCCCGAGTGACCCTATCCCACTGATCATCTCGTCGACTGTGACATTATGACAGGGACGTCACTGTACTGGCCAATCCAGCAAATTTCACCGACCCATATCTCTTTCGCATCACCTTCGAATGCATGGCCCCGCTGGCAGAAGGTTCGCTTCGTCCGATCGCTTGGAGACAGGCTCAGTGGCGGTTCGAGGCTGACCCTCGTCCAGACCTGACCTGAATCGCTACCGTTCCCAGATCTTGAGTGGAAGTTAATCTACGTCGGCTCAGCCGAGAGCGAGTCGTTCGACCAAGAGTTGGACACGTGCATGGTCGGGCCTGTCCCCGTTGGTGTCAACAGCTTCGAATTCGAGGTTAGTCCCCTTCCTTAGCTCGACAGTCTGTCCCCCCTGCCCAGCCACTTCGCTCGATTACATCGCAAGTCTGTATCGAAGCCATCGGTGCCTGTGTGCACCACCTCTCACTCTTCATCTCCGCTCATCATCTCCAGGCTGCGGCACCATCGCCTTCGCGAATTCCACCGTCGGACCTTATCGGTGTCACCGTAATATTGCTCACCTGCGCGTACGCTGAGCAAGAGTTCGTTCGAATCGGCTACTACGTCAATACCGAGTACGGAGACGCAGAGCTCAAGGCGCAATACGATGCTTCGCTCGAGGAAGACGCTCTGCAGAAGGGCAGTGTGGCGCCCGACCCCACCAACAACGTCGACAAGATGGTCCGAAGTGTGTTGAGCGACAAACCTCGGGTGACCAAATTCAACATCAAATGGTGCGTCAGTCCGTCTACCTCGCTCATGCGCTGCGTGTCGTCATCTGGTCGAGCGGTCCTGACGACTGTAGCCCATCGCATCGCGACCTGAACTTAGGGACTTGTCGCTGCCGTCAATGCCCGTCTCAACCTCAACGTTTCCATCACTCGGTGGACCAGAGCAATCGAGTGCTTCAATGCCTCCCCCTTTCAATCCTTACTCCGCGAAGCCTTAACAGAGATGTACTTTCTTTATTTGAAGGCGCAACCAATCTACATAAAGCCCCAATTACACTATATGCTCTTCCCTTTGCACCACCACCTTCACACCATCTCTTGCTTGTGAATGGAGGGCCCCATCATAAGACACTTGAAAAGCGGAGTTCTCTCTGATCGAGTCAAAAAAAATCTTGCTGTCAGTAGTTGTTTGAGAGCCTGCCGAGTTAGCGTCTAAAGCGGAACTTGCCTTTCTTCCTCGAATAAAGGTCTGGAGTTCTTGGTCTTGGTGTGTTGCACTGCCTTGGCGAGAAATGCGCTTGCTTTGGAGTAAAGCGAGAGGGCCTCCACCCCGAACCCGAAGGCCGCAAAGAATACGACACCCGCGATGACGTCCGACCACGTTCCGATATTGGCTCGAGGCGGAGTTGACTCGATCAAAATCGAATGAAGCTTCCACTGGAATTCAACGCTGAAGTCAGTAAGCGACCAATACGACATTTCATTCTTCAGCTCTGCCTTAACCGTTGAACGTTGTGTGCTGGCCAAGGAATTCGTATCTAGGTTTCAGACTCACTGGGGAATGAATATATGTCCATGAATATTCAAGATAACGACCTGTGATGCTCAGATCGATGATAGTCCCGTACACGGCCAAAGGCATGGCTATGAGAAGGTAGGAGAATGAGAGAATCGCTAGTCGAACAAAACGGGCTGTTGTAAGCGCGGAGTGGGAGCCAGCCACCGCCCGTCGAAAGTTGCGCCTATGTCGGATGAGACGATACACGGTGTATACTTCCCCAGTAGCAAAAAGCCAGTAAGATAGTGCTGGAACGTATGGGTGACTTTCCGTGCTGGAACGTACCGGAGTAGAGCACTGCGGCCGCAGCGAAGAGGGGCGGCCAAATGAATCGGAACACCAGGGTGGGCCAAGTCATGAGAGCTGTGACGTTGCAGCCATATCCCTTCACAACGGCAAACCTTGCTGGCTGCCAGACATAGTGGAAGGCCATTACAAGAGAGGGAACTCCAAATGCGATCGAGTAGTCGAAGATAGCGCGGCGGCGGCGGTCGCTTTTTGTAAGTGCGGTCGCTCTCGGACTAACGATGTCAGCCAGAAAGCGTGCAACACAGAAAATGGAGGCCAGTCGCCCTATCTCGGCACCTATTCTGATCTGGATTTGGTATTCAGGGGTAATTCTTTTTCAGTACACCCACCTAAAGGCGTGTCAAACTTGGGTAATGAAATCATCGCAGGATTTGCTCTCACCTTGATGCTGATGTCGCAGAAGATTGGGGCTCGATTCAGGGCGTCTTGATACCAGATAGTGAAGTTGAGCTGCAGTTTATGTCGAGATTAACGTACACATTTAACCTTCCGATGTGATGGATGACTCACAAATGTGTTCAAATTTGCCAAGGCGACCCAAAAACCCATGCAGATGGCGCCGGAATTGCCACTCAAAACCTGCCAGTACAGTGGGCCGATGTTAAGAGCGAAAAGCACGCCATTCAATACCACGAGCGGTAGGAATGCTGCCGTCATATTGCTTGATCGTGTCTTGGTATCGCGAAGTAAAGACGCGGAGGCACGGGATGCCCGCGATCCCACGGCTGGCAATCCGCATTCTGGAACAAAGGAACCCGACAGGACAAAGCGGCAAGGCGACAATGGTCTTCTGGTCTTTTCAAAACCAAAGTCTGGGCTGCCACCCATGTCCAGGGAGTTGCCCGCGAAGCGGAAAAAGAACAAAAGGAAATAGGAAATAGGAAAAAGGAAAAGAGGAAAGAAAGAAGGAAAGGCAGAAAACCAGAGAAGAAAATTTGAAAGAAAGGAAAGGAAAGAGACAAGAAACAAGGGGAAGAAGAAGGAAAGGAGAAAAGACAAACACATGATGTACATGGTCGTATTACTCTCCTGCTGCATAACTGGCAAACCGAAGTCGGTTTTGCTACACTACATCAGGTACACCTAGATTTGGTATGCCTAACCTTGAAAAACGTGCGGGGCGTCCCGCTCGCAGCGGCCTCACTTCAAAGCCTGTTCAAGGCTCGGACAGCCGTGTTGAGAGCAATAGGAAAGCACGCTTTGAAGATACGGATTACGAGTAATACTCTTCGCATCACAAGCATTCCCTTCCACAGAGCACATAAACTATGCGAACATCTCACCGTGTACGGAGTTCCAATAGCTAGAGCAAGACACCGGTCAGTCGAGATCGCAGATTCGGCAAGGCCAATTCTGTTAGATTTCCGCACAGTTCTGGTAACTTTCGTTGGTCGGCCAAACGATGAGATTGTGTCGATACGGTGCACGGTCGTAAAGTCCGAAACAGTGAGTTACCAGTGGGCGGAAAAGAGAAGAAAAGCTACGGAAAAGACTCGCGCGCGCGCCGACCGCACTCCCTAATTCCCTAATACCCCACTGATAATAAACCATGCCTAGAATGCCTTGATGCGCCAAACGCCCAAATCCAACCGAGCTACCAACGCGTGTCGAAATACCCTTCTTGAGGACCAGCTCTTTGCGCTCATATCCATCAGAGCACATTCTGATCGATGGAAGAAGTCGTACATTTGAAGATTGATGAACCATCAAAATAACGAGGATGTCTATAGAAGAAGCGCGGGGAAGGATGCCGATTGATACCGATGCCGATGATGATCAAGCCGAGGTCATAAGATCCTGTCATATAGTCCGCCAAGCATGAACTCATGCCAGTCCTTCTTCTTGCGAGCTTCGATACAGAGTTCGTTGGTAGCGCGAAGTGAAGGCACGCTGGATGGCAGGTCCTGGAGCCAGTCTGCGTCCTCCTTGTGTTCCGATCTTAGCGGTCGCATCGATCACGATTTCGTCCCGCCGCAGTCCCAAAGCACATCTCCCTCAATCGCCGACCCAAAGTTCTGGCCGTCTGATGCTTGTAAAGCGTGTTCGGTCTTCTTGGCAAGGATTGACTTCGTTGGTCGCTCTGCTTACTTGAGAACAGGCGCTCGCTCGGATTTTCAACGATACCGAACAGGTGCCAGGTTCAGAATCTGGAAGTTGAAGTGAAGGGTAGCTCGAAGTGACCGATAGATGCCTTGAACTAGTCGGACTTGATATCGGTACATGAATGGGTTTCGTTTCGATCGCTTCTGGGAAAGGGAAATTAATAAATAAACGCGGCAATCAGTACACGAGATCGAGCGGCACGGCGAAGGCGCTAGCGATGGCCCGGGCGACGACTCCCGGTACCTTTTTTCGAAAGGCTCCTATTCATAGCAGATGATGTAACGATGAATGTCAGTATAGCGATGGAGATCACAGAGAAAATCCTTAGTATTCGGGTTGTTACTACTGACCTGCACTCGTTTGTGAAGTCCACTCAGATCGCGGTGGGGTGACCGACGTTGGCTCCAACCTGATCCTTATCGGCGACTCCTCAACTTGCCCTATCCGAAGGTCTCGTTTTGCCTGTATCCCAAGTTTTGCTACTTGCTTCGTCTCTCGGCCTTCTCATCCGCTTTGTGGCGTTGTAGGCGTTTAAAGGCGATGATAGGCGGTTGGCTGTCTTGCTCGATCGATGGCTCTTGTAGGTTGGTACGCATTGCATAACAGCCCAGCTCCGCGCCTTCATCGACCTAAAGTCTGAGATGTGCCAGTTCACGTGTCTCGCCCAGGCATGCCGAACGCATCACATCGTTTCGATCGGCTTCAAGTTTGCTGAACGGCATCGAAATGGATGAACGATTGACCGCGGGTCTCGCGGTGACGTGGCGAAATAAATTGTGTTGGTTGGGCATAATTCAAGACGGGTAGGGGGCTGAGAAAGAGCTTCATCCGATCGACTCTCCTGACCACTCGCGCGAGTCGTAGCGGAATAGTGGTTCGAGTTGCAGCAAGACGAAGGACAACATTGGTGGTGTAGGAGTTGTTAAACAAATACCTCAAGCGGTGAAAACCCAGCCTTCTGGGGAAAACCGCAAGAGATTGATCTAAACGGCAGAGAGTGGGCCGAACTTCTTGGTGATACACAGGGATGGTGGGCGGGATGACAAATGGGAGCTTTGCGACCCAAGCTTCTGGATGTCAGTCGGCTGCAACTGATGATGGAGCAAGTCCACTGATCGTCTCAGCATACCTTTGCGACAAAGGCAAGACACTGTATAAAGACAGTTGGGGCGCGGTTGGTGCAAAGGACGGCAAAGGGTCTGCTGAGAGATATGCGATTTAGCTCGTTGCCCAACAAGGGCCCGGAGCAAAATGCCCCCACAAAGAATTTGCAGGGATCCAAGTGCAAAGTACACCGTGCAACAAGCTTGGGTGTATCGAAGCACTTACCCCGAGCTACTCTAAGCGAGCCACGTCGAGGGTTTCATAACGAGCTGCTAGCAGCTGTGAACGTCCGGCAAGATGGAACTCTCGATCAGCGACCTCGTCAGCTGGGAGGTAGTCTTGGGAGTGAGGAACGCACCTGTCCCTACAGGTGGTGAACGCAGCCGCAGAAGCTGGTGAGGAAACGTCGACAACGCAGTGAAGGGCCCGAAAGGGAACGTGCGTTGCGAGTGCCGCCCGTGAGCCCGCGTGTGGGAAGCACAGCTATAGCATCCACGGGGGGGAAACGTCGACAACGCAGTGAAGGCCTAAAAAGGGAACGTGCGTTGCGAGTACCGCCCGTGAGCCCGCGTGTGTGGGAAGCACAGCTATAGCATCCACGGGGGAGAAAGGGTCCGTGCGCGCGAGCCTGAATCGGCGCGTCAAATCCTTGCAGCAAAGGCCGAAAAGAACCATTGTCGCGCCCCGAGTAACACGTGACTTTACCTAACTTGCCGTGGGCATTGCTACCCTTTCCCCACCTTTCGGCCAACTTTTCCCTCGCCTCTGCCAACTTCGCCGACTTCATTGCCTAAGCGGGCCCCAAGCGCACCTCAAGCGCGTGCCCACGCTTGTAATTGGCAAAAGTTGGGCCTGGACACCGCCAGTTTTTAAGTTGTTTGATAGATTTCAATAAAAGTATAATTATATTATATTAATACCTAAAAACCAGCGCCCCATCTTTGGGCCGCCTACCATGTCCTCTTTGTTAGGTCTTATAACACGTGAGACTGGCTGTGTAGACTAGCTGAAAAATTCTCATTCCCATTAGTGTATCAATGAGTTCTACACTACTGGCCTAGCCTAGCCAGTGTGCTTAACTGCATTCCCTCCGACTTTTCTAAAGGTTTCTAGGTATTGGTATTACTATACTGTTATTGAAATCTAACAAATGAAAGAATAAAAATGCTAGCGTGCGCTGCCGAAACCAGAAAACCAGAAGGAAATCGGTACAGTGCTCTTGTTCTCTTCTTCAACACTCGCTCGCTTCGTTCACTCTTTCCTCACACACCTCTACCCGAACGCTCAACTTCGCTACCATGGCCCCCATCTCATTGTCCACCCCTTTCGCCGTCTTGGCCAAGTCCCAGCCTGCCCCGAGCCGCCTCGAAGAGCGCGGGTCTCAAGTCAACGTTACGAGCACCTACTCTCACTCTGAGAAGGACAACACGGGCAATCTTGTCGACGAGGAGCGTAATGCTATGCACAACGTGTTGGTTGGGGGCTGCATCATCGCCTGAAGGGGGACGCCTGCCTGAAGTTGTGGCCCTTCGGAACTGCATTAAGCAGAGCTTGTCACGGTGGCTAGCAGCCGATGTGTAAGTCTGATAGATGTGTCAATGGGGATTGATCTGAAGTCCGATTGATCCGCCAGTGGGACCTGAACGTAACACATGCGGCTGACCCTACTCGTACTTTTTCGACATCGGAGCGACTCTCTCCAGCCCTCAACATGGTGCGCATCACCAGAAGGTTCTGGTGATCGCCGCTGATTATTGCCCCCTAGCATTTCCTGACTCCTTCAGCATCGGTTCGATGCCCACAGACCGGGACGGACGGAATCAGAATGATGTAGAAGGAAGGAGGAGAACAATTTTAGGAGACAGTGGACAAGGAGGAAGGCACGGGATAAAGCTGGCACGAGGAGTTCCGGCCACTGCAGAGAATAGAAGGTCGCTGGAAATGACATGCCTCAGGGTTTCGCTTATGTGTGCTTATTAACGCACCGCGGGGCGGCGACGAGTCCCTGAACCTCCAGTACCCTCTATAAAGCCACACTCACACAACTATGGCCCGAGGATAGGCACTACCTCCTACTTAGCCGCAAGCAAATAACCACCGCAAGACAAGGCTAGAGACTCTAACGACAAATTAAATCCGCATTTCATTCAATTTCGACTTCATTTCATTTCAAATTTTCTTCTCTGTCTATCCTCATTCAAACATATCTATTTTCGTTTCCGCTGTCTAAACAAGGTCCATGAACCCTTTCTTTCCTCACCATTCGCTTGACCAATCAAGCATGAGCCTTCCCGGTCCTGCGGTAGGAGCCAGCCGCGCGTTCCGAGGAGACTTCATGATCCTTGTCGGCGGCCTCTTTCGCCTGCGCGTGTGCCGGACTTCTTGTTGTTGTCAGTGACTGTTGAACGCCAAGTAACCAAAACCGTCAGCCGGTATAAAAGGTTTTGTGGGAAATTGCGGGCTTGAACTCATCCTCATGACCATCGGTGCTCGACAAGTCAATATTCAGCTCGGCGTCCATTGCAGACTCCGCTTGACAGGGGAGGCGATGACCCGCCTAGGACTGTCGGCGGGGGCGTGGTCTGGCGTGTCATCTGCCGCACATCAGACAAGGAAACTACATCAGGCCCATACAATATGCACAAAAGATTTGCCGGAGGACCTATCCCTCCAAGCGCGAGCCTCGACGGTGCAGATAACCGCACACAGATCACCTTCACCCAGGCTGCTTATCGACAGTCACGGGGAGTGGCGTGGGATATCCTTTGGCGTACTTGCGACTGGTGAAAGCCCCTCCCGGACCTCCGCATAAAATCGACTGTAATCGGGCAGGTCGAGAATGTTCTCCGAGTCCAACTTGAAGTGAGACAGACAAAATCACGCCGGCCTCCAGCACCGGCTCGCCCTCTGAGGCTGTGAGTCGATCATATCTTCAAGTTCCCAATGACTGCACACACCCGTGTCAGCCCAATCATCAGACGCTGGAGCACACAAAAGCAAACATATACATAACTACTTACATCTTGGGTGTGATTAACTGGTGGTGGATGAAGACCACCTGCGGCTTCGAGCTAACTCCTCTAATAAGGGATGTTTTAGTGGGTACAATGCTGGGTGATGCTTCAATTGAACGAGCTAAATCTACTTCCTTAAGTATCGCTTTCTTCGGGGCATTCTGAGCTTTTGGTAATTTAGATTATGCTACTATCTGTAGTTTATCACCTTATACTAGGTTCGGTGGTGCGCTCCGCGCACCACCTCACACCGTAACCGTTGACCCGCTGAAATGTGATGTACTTTGCTGCAACAGCTGCGGTACTGTTCAGTAACGGATCCCTAGTGCAGTGGTTCAAATCGGGAGAGGACCGCGGGACGACGATCAAATGTAAAGAGCCTTCATTTCAGGACGTTTAAGAAAAGACGGGCGTCTCCAGACACACTCCTACCTGCACAAGTGACTGCTCTTGCAAGTTGCTGGACGTCATAGCCATTGCCAGCCGAATTGGAAACTGCGTCCGATGCAGAGGGAACGAAAGCTCAGCTGATGGCCCTGTCTTCAGCGTGATCCGTGGCAACGAAACTGGCTGTCCAGCATGATCTCCTGTGAGAATGATGGCCTCGAGCCCGCGGGTGTGTAACCGAGTTGACAACAGTCTTGTGCCGTTGCACAGCTCCGCGGCGGGGTCCAAGTTTCCACTTTGAATCTTGCAGCGTGCAACGGCATTCCGGCGATGTTGAGACTCTGAAGGTACTCGATCGAGAACAGTGATTCGTCTTCATTGTCGACCGAATCCGCGCTGTAGAACGTTTGAGCGTCACCCGGCAGCAGGTCGAACACCATGTCGTTGATCTGATCCACCTGCGAGCGCCAGAATTGCTCGATCTCGGAAGTATTCGACTTTTTCGCCTATCGACGTATTGCCTTTGCGCGTTCCCTTGCGGTCATGCGGTCTGCAGCGGTGAGAAGACGCATGTTTGTCTGCGCTCGCACCGTGGGCTGTTGTTAGTATAGGGTCTCAAAGTCAGGCAAGGACTACTACTTACAGAGATCGCCCCAGAAGTCAGCATTCATGATGCAAGCGTCGACGATTTGTGCAGGCGATGACTTGGAATAATGGGAAGGCATTGCTTCGGATCCCCTGTGATGTTGCAGTCCAATCGGTCAGTTAGTCCTGCTGCCCTACGCTTTGCTTTTGAAAGATTGGCACACACCTGCCAACACGACGGTCACTCCACCGAACCGAGCCGTTGAGGATCTGCCACGGGATGGTGAGCCGCAATCCACGGAACCAAAGCCTGTTTTTCTGTGTGATTCGTTTATTACAGCTTTCAGTATTCTTGCTGTTGTCCATCTGTAGCAATGACAGTGAAGACTCACATTTAGTGTCCCATGGACCCGGATTCTCAACCGTACAAAGTCAATCCTTCCGCTGTACGTTGCCGTGGCCTCTTGTCCAGTTCGAGCGCGGGGCCGAGATAAACGTGTCTGATCAACCCGGATGTCTGTTGAGCTTTAGCGCTAAGAATTCCACGCTCGACTCCTCCATAGTGCGCGCTGTTTTGGCGTTTGTTTTAGGATGGAAGAGTCGAGTTGCAGTGATAAGAGAAAAACCCGCACTCCGTAACAAACGGAGGGTTTTCTAAACAGGAGTTATGAACAAGTAGGGTGGGAGGGAGGAGCTCAAAAAAATGGTCGATCGGCTTTGCTCAAAGAGCGCAGGTCCGATTAGTAACTAAAACACTGCAACTGACTTGGGGGATAGGGCATACCTTTGCTCGAAAAGCGCAGGGCGATGGCAGGGGAGGAAGGCGACGCGGTAGGTAGACGCGGCCAAACGAGGTCTGTATACAAGGTAGCCCCATGAGTCAACTTGCCCAACAAGGACAAGGAATTTGGCAACATGCCCAACAAGGACAGTCGTGATCCGGAATGCGAACCTTAGCTAGAAACAGCGAGCCGCGATAGTGCGAGTCTCGAAAAGTTCGCCCTTGCTCTAAGCAGTGGGTGCGATACGACCTTGCAAAGCAGCGGGTACGGCGGCTGCTTACAACGTAGTGGCAGGCTAGCTCATCAGTCCAACTGTCCAACAAGGGCAGAGGGCTTACGAGGGATGTTACCCACTTTGAGTGAGTAGAGACTGGCAGGGGGGGTGCCGGAACCACAACACGAAACGCTAAGGCGTGCGGGACGACGAGGGAGAGGGAGAGGAAGGGCCCGCGCGCGCCAGCGGGTGAGCAAGGCGGGAGGCCCAAGGGGGCCGAGAAGAGTGCGTGCTGGCACAGGGTCCAAAGAATGCGTGTTCGAAGAGTGGAGCGCGAGCGGGCCCCGTTAGGCCGAGACCAGCGCGCTTGAGCTGTCCGCGTCAAAATCTTGCAGCAAAGGCCGAAAAGACTATGCGGACATTTGTACAACCTCCTCCAAATGGATGGTCGCTACCCTCCTTGAACAATGGCACGCGCAACGTGCAGCGTCCAAGCAGATCCCTCTGAAAGAGCAGCGCAAAGAGGTAGCCGAGATGCGCAACGTCATGTTCAAGCTTGAGCTGGTTAACAGAGACATCGCAGCATGCCGGTGGGTCTGAGCTATCGTCGTCGTTTGGGAGTGAGACACGAACCGGTAACCTAACTTCGGTATTCATTTTTCGATTGCTACAGAGAAGAACTAGCCTGCGTGAACACCATAGATACGAATAAGCTTATAGAACAGTCGACTAAACCTCAACAGCTGGTCAAACAACGGCAGGTTCTTGATGATCGACTAAACTCCTTACGCACGTCGTCACTCCCTTCTTCCATTCTGACCCTCCGGTGTGATCCCCTTTGTCCTCGCTTAAATATTTCAACACCTTTGATTGGCACAGACTATGAATTTGCCTGCACATTGATGATCGCATCTCGCTCGCTGTGGGACTTGGTCGTACAATATCGACAGGGAGCTGAGAGGCTGCGGCTCCCGCGACTAGGCGGTAAAGCCCTCGGTAGGAAATCCATGGTACGAGTCTTCTGCGCCGGCAGAAGGAACGCTGATGTGTAGCAATGCCTGCTCATAGGTACGAAAGCGGCTGGTCTCCTGGTCAAGAATCTTAATTCTTTGCGTCCAAGACTCATGAAGGCAGTGGCGATGTATAACGACGAGGTGAAAAAGTATGCTGCCATCCGCGCCAATTCTCAGAATTCCCATTCGATCTTGAGAACCCGAAGGGTACCGCCATCAGCCCAGAAGATCTCAACGAACTGCTCAAACTCGACATCTTGGCGCCGCTCTGGAACAACGGATTATATAGTCATCCCACTGAGCCGTGGGCCTACGATGATGATGTTCGTGTCGGCATTCCAGCAGCATTGTCTCGCGCAAGATGCCAGCAAGAAATCAAGCGACTTGGATGGGAAGTGCGTCGCATTGGACGGTGGCTGATAAGCCGTCGCAAGAGGTTTCAGCAAGTTCGCCAGCAATTACTCCAACTAGATGAGCAGGATGACTCTGCGATGATGCTGCTCGAGCAAGAAGAAGAGCGTCTTAGAACTATTGCGCGCCGATGGTTAAGTTCGAAGGGCGGCCTAGATCACCTGTGGGAATGCACCCGGCAAACCGGCGAACCGCAAATGGAGGAGTGGGTCGAGCTTCGAATGTGGTGCACCGACGACGTTGATGTTTTTCAACGAACCACAGCGGGATGGCTTGCCGGATCACACATGGCCAGACTGCATCAATGAAGGGATGGTCGGAGAGTAGGACGACATCACTACGGATCATGACGCCCTTCTTGACATCAGTGATCATTCGAGCGATGATCTGAGTCATCATTCCGTCGACACTACCGATTACGGCGCCTTCAGTGACGAGATCAACGAGAACTTTGATGAAGACGATGGCGATGTTTTTTTGGGAATTTGATATTGATCATGTATAGTTGCAGTCTTCCAGTTGCTACTTGCAATAGTAAAGAGATCAATGATGCGTTCATTTCGCTAGTAGTTCTACACGTTATACGACGCTTTGCCAGGAAGTGCAACAAAAGCGATCAGACATCCAAGACCCGGCATCGCTAAATCGCTCGATCTTGCGGTGGCTCGCTTGAAAAAATTAATGTCGCTCGAGTAAAGCTGGCAGCCGAAAGCCCAACACGACCGGTAAGGTTTAGAGGAAGAGCGTGCTACACTGAGGGAGTGAACACAAACGTCCATTGCATCTTTGCTGCGCTGACTGCGCTGAGATCTCTTACAGGTAGAACTTACCGCGCTCCCTGCCAGTCAGCCACATGTGCAGTCCGTGTCGTGCCTTGGGTGACACTTCCCGAACAGATTGCAAAAGTACTTATTATATTCCGACACTGCCGACTACATTTTTATGTATACTTGAACGAAGTCCTGATCCGGCTCACAGTCCCAACGTCGTACAAAGGTCTTCTGTGGTGTTGCCACGGCCACTCCGAGCCTCACACTCGACCAGGTCCGTTGAGTGTTTGCCTCGGCACTTGGTTGATGACTTTTCAGACGCAAGATACAGAAGTTGATCACCCCTAACAGTCTTTTTCTGTATGATATAATGAATTGTACATTGGTGGCACGTTAATGAACTCTTTGCTAAGTTGCTAAGAGCCAGCGCACTGCTTTGTCGCAATTCCTTCCTGCGCAGTTCACACGCTCACTGTAATCTCGACGCGAAGTACGTCGTCACGGCGCTTGCGTTTCAACAGTCGAACTGCAGCAAGTTATAGTCACCCATGCCCAAAGTAATGCGCTGTATATGACTGAACGAAGCCACGAGCGAGTCAGATTCACCTTGATACACCCCTTGCTCTGTCGTTGCTCTACGTTTTCTCATCGCATTAGGCGGCTTGAGAGTTCTGCACGCTGTTATGGCCTGGACCTCCTTCTGATATCGACCGACCGACGGCCCCGCCGTGGTTTTCGGTGATGGCAGGTCATATAGTTTTTTGTGACACCAATCAGGGTTCAAACCCAAGGTGGACAACACGTCGTGTTGGAGTCAGACTGAAAGTACCCAAACCGGGAGGGTGTTTTCAAAGTTCTTTTCGACGGGACATACCGTCTTGTCATCATTGTGATGGTCATCTTCTTGGTCTTCAGTTGGGTCTTATAGTTGCGACGATGGGTGAATTCAGGATGGGACATGAAAGGAGAGGTCGAGCTGTCGTCTGACCCCTGTATTGCAGTCCCACCGAATGACCTCACAGTTATCCACCGTCCGGTTTTGCGGCGCGCAGGCAGTTGAGGGTTATGCAGTGGCAACCGGTCCGACCTGAAGGTGAAGTCAGATTGTATCTAAGGGAAGAAGACAATGGTAGGCCAAAAGGTCAAACAGACTTATGCAACGAGACACAGTCAATGGTACGGCGCCTTCGGACGAAGCATGGATATGAGGAATGATTAGGAGGGATCGGTTCCCAAGTGTGTTTGAAACGGGAGGCGCAAGAAACGGCGATGAGGTCGAAGTTGGAAAAGGTGTATGGCCATTTGGTTGTACATCACAAGTTCAGAAGAAGAAGAAGAAGAAAGAGGAGACGCGTTGGCCCGAGAGCCATTCTAATTTCGTTGACCCAAAGGTAAATAGATTTGCAAAGATGTCGCCTTGCCTGGATGCGAGCGCCACATCGTTGTGCTGCGGCCCATGCGGTGCGCCCCGAGTCCCTGTAGGACAAAGGTGCGGAACCATTGGTGGTGAAGTATGCCCAGTGATCTTGGCAGAGCCTGATAGAATGAGCATTTTGATCATATTGATTTGCAGACCGACTCAGAGCATAATATGCCCAAAGAAAGACATAAGAACGGTCTCAATCCATCGACGATGTTTTGCTTCATTCATCCTCCGGTCTCCTCCAACACCCCCTCGGTATTTCTTTCCCTATCTTTTTCTCCGCTTTTTTCTCCGCCACGTACCTCTCCGCCTTCGTCCCCGGCTCCACCAAATCTTGGGCTCAGGGGTCCTTCTCCGCCATTCGAGTCATCGTCGCTTGCCTCTGCCTCCGTATTGTCGTTCGGGTCCACCGAGGGTACGATAGCGAGGTGGCCGCGACGGAGGTCGTCAATGATAGCCTTGAGCTGAGCAACGGTTTGCTTGGCGATGTCTCTGCACTATGATGCAGAGCCATTTCGTATCTACTCTTCGTTCCGGGCTTGATCCGCAATTTGACACCCAGTGCCTTCAAGCCCTGGGTAGACCATATCATCTTCTTCTGAGGTGTGAAATCGCCTGTCGATGATCCCGTGTCGGAACGGCGATGTATAGTCTCGAGAGCAGAGTCTGTAAAGGCGGAAATGATTAGCACGGAGTCGAGCCCGATCAGATGCAGACTACTTACTGAGTTGGGCGCGGAACAGAATGCCGTGCCATTTGCCAAGAACGCCGCGAGTAGCACTGTCCATCGAGCGAGTGTTTGCTGATAGATGAGACGAAAACATATGTCACATAATTGGTAACGGTAACGTGGTCTCATGCGCGCATAACTTGCGGGGGCGAAAGGCTCACCCTCCTTCAGATCTGCCGCTTCATTGGCCTTGAGTGTCTCATCCCAGCTCATCTTGGAAGCAAAATTAGACAACAAGGAATTGCCGGATGGATCCTTGAAGTCGTTGCAGTGAGCTGCAAATCTGAGCCCACCTATCGAATGCACGGTCGCCTTCGTCGCTGGCGACACGTCGTCTTGATAACGAGGGACAATAAAGGCCAGGGTTTCCACTCCGTACAGCTTGGACATGCGTTGCGCCAGGTCTCGCAATTCTGCAATGTACTTTTTGCATTGCTCCATCCGAGTTGGGGAAGGAATGTCGGATGGCGACCGTGTGATGATGGTGGGTGGTACTATCGAAGTGAAAGTCGTATTATTTCCTGCCTCTGCCGCTGCAAAAGCCGCGCGAACAAGCTCTTCATCGTCCTCGCCAAGTTGGGCAGATCCGAGGTCCCCCTGGTCTCTCAGGAAGTTCCAGAGTTGAGCGGCAAGTTTGGTGATGGATTGCGATTTCGAATGATCCAATTCTGAACACGTTTAACACACCCAGGGTATGTAAGAACAGATATTGCGGACGCAGCGGTAAGCATAAGCGAGAGCGTAGGAGAGTGGAGTGGGCATGACCGGAAGCGCCCGGAGGACCGACTCACCCTTGCTTGCTCGCTGGTGTAAAACCTTGATTACAGGGTCCGAGAGAAATCTAGACCACGCATTGCCCTTCGAAGCGAGGCTGTTGAACTTTTTGACGGCCTGAACGAGCCTTGCATGGGATATGCTGAGTTTCGCGGCCATCTTGAACTCCGAGTAATATCTTCGAGCGGCCCAGCGCTTCAGCGAGGTCCACTTTCTTTGACTCATAGTACGACCGGTCGCGTTCCGATGCGAGCCATGTATGGCCGTCCAGAGCCTGATAGCTCTTCGATGGTCGATCGCGACATCTTCAAACTCGCTCTCACTCTCACCGTCACTGTCGCTGTCGTCAGCCGAGGATTGACTGGAATCGCCCAAATTGGGCTCGTCAGAGTCGGAGTCGGACAAAGGGGTTTGGGGCACGGGCATGCGCCGCTTTCTCTTCCGAGTCGGGCGTGGAGACGGTTCATTCAGAATTGTACTGGCTTGTGAGGATGCCCGACGGCTTTGATCGTCCCTCCGACCTGCAAGAGGTGTGAGAGACCAGAGAATTGTTCAGCTGTCCGTCAGGATTGAGTAGATAGAAGGATGAGGTCGATGACTGGCACTCTGCTCTCAGCCCTGCTACAAGGGATCTTAGTTGGCACACCAGACAAGAGCACTCACTCGGATGAGCGCCAAAGGAAATGGACTCTGCTGGAGAACCTTCCCTAGATCCCACGCGTATGTCTGACGGTCGCGTCATGGTGGAGCAACACAATTAGGCCCATGAAGGGGGATGTGAGGCGGGGAAACGCGTCCACATACCTCCTTTCGGCAATAGCATCGATGTTCGTTCAACAGGCGCAGGGAGGTTTCAACGTATTGAGATGCGGGGCGTGGCGTGGGTCAAGGGTGCGCGTTGTCGCGTTGACGTGAGTGTCCAAGAGGTCAACGTGTTAACGCAGAGGGCTCGCCAATCTGAGCTCCGCGTGCGACCGCACAGCCCCGCCTCAATTTTGCCTCTTCAACTTGTTACTCTCCGAAGCAAAATGGCCACGCGCGCGAACCCGCTTAAGGATTCGCCCGAGATTACGCGCGCTTAACAGCGCTTAACGGTGCATAAGATGTGCATAAGGACGCATACGCGCGCGGCTGAATTGGGCGAACCTCATAATCCGCGCATAGCCAGCGCTGCGATGACTCGCCCTGCTTAAGGATCGCTTAACGCGCGCTTAACGTGTGACCTCGCTTACACTTCGCATACGTAACTGCGAAGCCTGTACTTGCACACGAGCGGGCGGATTGCTTTCTTGACCCCAACAAGTTTCTGTGCTAAAATCCCATCAAAAGGCGCTTCACTTGATTTTATTCAATGAGGCTAAGGAGCATATATTCAGGAAGTAGTTGGTCCATATAACACCGTAATTTCTACAAAAATAACTTTCCAGCAAAATCTATGAGTCCGCCACTGGAGGCCGTCGAGCAGGCCGCAATGTGCCCTGCAATGCTTCACGTAATAGATTTATGGTGAAATGACGCCCAAGGTGACGAAAAACATGTTGATCCTGGGCGAGATTCACCACAAACTCCCCATTCCATTGATCCATCACATTCCGAAAATCCAGGTCGGGTGCCAATTCCTCATGGCCTAACAACGGCTGAACAAATGCGGGGCGAGCCATCGACGTCGCAGTCGGGCCAACTGTTTCTGAGGTTCTTCTGTCGTCTGCGGCGTCGGCGAAAGAACTCTTGGCGAGAGCGCTGTTGTCTAAGAACTTGGAGGTGACTTCGTTCAGCAGCCGATGACGTGGGTAGTACGCGGTCGAGCGGTCGGGGCCTTTCGTGAACGTGCAAATGTGCTTCGAGATTGCGCACATGGTGGAATGATCTCTGACAACCAATGTTGCATCGGAATTGACTCATTTGCGAACGAGAGCCTTCATGTTCAAGCGACATCCCGAAGGCCTGTACGACGAGTCTACTGTCAGCGAGAGTGGACTGAAGCTGGAGGAAGGCAAGGGACGCGCGTAAACACAGCCTGAATGCAGGCGTATTTTCTCGAAATGCGCTAAGTTGTCCAAAACTACGCCGCGCAGCTGGCGCGTTGCGGCGCGACGTGGCAGCATAGGGGCCACTGCATATGTTGGCGCACGCTAAACCGCGCCCTAAAAAAACACCGAACAACAAATGCGACGTGTCACGCGCGCTCGTTCTGTTTGCCACCTTTTGACTCCCTCCCTCTTCCTCCTCACTCACTCACCGTCCCTTCCTCGCCTCTCGTCTTGTCTCGGTCGTAGCCCTTCCACCCAGTGCCTGTCCAGCGATCTGTCCACATGTCTTCTCGACCTTCTCGAGCGAGTGCCACCGCGTCTGTGCGCCTTGCTACAATGCGGGACCGCGACACGCCGGCGGACCGACGGGAGAGGGCGCAAGCCCAGCAAAAACGAAAGGCGGCGAACACGAAGGCGGCCGACAACAAGCGGCGGCGACTCGACGTCGCTGTCGGTGTGAGCCAAATCAACGCAGCGAAGAAGCAAGACGCTTGGCAACGCCACAAAGCCGCAAAGGAGCAGAAGGAGAAGTACGTGCAAGTGTGATCTCTTAACTCTACTGTATCTTTTCTTGAATGTAGGTGAACTGAGGCCTCGCCCGTCCTTGTTTCCAGTGCACCCCCAGCAGCCCCTGCACACGCGTCCAGGCTTGCGGTGACACGCACCTCTTCTCTTCACACCGTTCATGCAGATACCACACGTCAGCTTTTCCGTGCACAGCAGACTTCTGTTGAGCCATACAGCGACGAAGATAGCGGCGACGAGGACTCCTATATCGATCCTGCTATAAAGGACCTTGTGTTGGGTGGACAAGCCGAGGGCCCTGTGACTTTTCGGACAACGGTCAGGACGAGGCAGACTCGGACGAGGGCGAAGACTTAGTCGGACCCACGGTTGTGGATGGCGCCGATGGGGCCGCAACTGTCGCCATTGTCAACAAGGTAGCGACCAGCATCATGGACGATGATGACGAAAGCGTCATTCCAGGCGTAGTGAGTAGCATTCAAGCAGGTTTCGGTACTTGCGTGCAGGCATTCAATGGGTCGTATCAACACTTGCAGACGCCCCAGCCCAAGGCTCAGGCTCTACAGTCCTCAATCGCCGGACAAGCTTTAAGACGCAATCCACCGCAAGGTAGGGTTGCCAGTCGTACACCAGGCTCGTCTTCGTCGTTTGCGAGATCGTCGCCCCTGGTCAAAGGGAACCTCGATGTCAATGCCCCGTACGACGGGGCGCACAACCGCAAGCCAATAGATCAAGAGACTTTGGATTCAAAGCCCAACCGCTGACAAGCATCCGACTTGACTCTAGAGCAGAAGATGGTCGCTGGCGCCTGGTTTCAAACTATTTTCATGCAGAATATTCTCGACGGCCAAGGCCTGTGGCGAACAAAGAGATCGCTTTACGCCCAGTCTCAGCTCGTAGCGGAGGTCTACAACGAAAACGCTGAAGAGGCCTATCGAGTGGTCATCGAAGATCGCCGACCTTGTGCGGCATTCTTCCCCGGCTACGGTGATACCTTGCCAGCGCTGACAACACCTGTGTTTCCTTCAAGCAGATCGTTTCGAAGAATCTGGGAGTCTTGAATTTGATCAAAAGGACGGCGCTGAAATACACCTACAAAGCATACAAACTGGACCCGAACAGGCAACGTGAGGCATCGACCGCCAAGGCCGTACTCTATCTCCAACCTACTAAATGGGCGGCCAAAGAGTTACGTTGCGGTGCGGGAACGGTAAGCCTTTCCAAAGCCCCGCTACCAGCTCCTTCGAGTGCGATTCAGCGTTGTGGCCATGTTTTGGCACCAAGCTGCTTACAACATCTTTCTCCCTCAGGGTGGGGTCAACTCGAACGATTGCTCCTTCGAGGCCGAGGATGATTTTCAGAACGACCTTCTATACGAGATCTTTGTTCAGATCGTCGCTGGCATAAGGAAAGAAAAATCTGCTGCTTTCCAATGGCCAAAGGAAGGTCTCGACCCGAACGACAATGATCATCGCGAGCTTGCATTCGCTCTTTTGACTCATGCATATGCCGGCGTAAGTTCCTCAACTGTTCAGCAATGTCCATTTCAAACTACCAATCATATCGTTACATTCTTGCTATGCCGGATCAGGTTCGGTATGCCATGCAGGTCCTTACGCCGCCCCCATCGCTCCCCGAATCGTCCGACGCTGGCAGAAATGCGAATGTGGCGAAGCAAACCGTAGCGCTCTGGCACGAGTTCTCGGCCACTCACTATCAGGGTCCCGTCATGGCCATACTGCGTAGGCGTCGTAGAAAAGGCTCTGGGCCTTTTTACTCAGAAGCTATGCAGGTACGAGTCACCAATCGAGTACAGAACAGCGTGGAAGTAGCACTCCTCGAGGAGTATCGAGGGCCCGGGGTTTCTAGGCGGGGAACCAGTGACGAGATGAGAATCACAGCCCAACGGGCTTGCGACTTTGAAGAGTCTCTCTTCACTTGACTGTAGTATATGAGTGTAACATAGGTTTATAATGACAACAGATCAGGGGCTGCGAAGATAAGACTGCCTAAACAGCCGCTTAAAACACGGTCTGTGGTTCGGATAAAGTCGCTTTAGGACCGCTTTACGCCGCATAAGAGGGCTTACGGACCGCTTTGCGTATGCAAACAAAGCGCGCGAGGAGTCTTAAGCGCGCCGCAAGCGCGCCGTATGCGCGCCGTAAGCGCGCCATAAGTGCGCCGTAAGAGTCCCTTATCTAGGGACACTTAAGCGACACGTAACGCGCGCGCGGCTTAACGATTGGTTAAGGGCGCTTAAGAGCAGCTCTAGGCCGCTTAACGACTGCTTTACGAGGTTCGACTCCTCCATAGTGCGCGCTGTTTGTGGCGTTTGTTTTAGGATGGAAGAGTCGAGTTGCAGTGATAAGAGAAAAACCCGCACTCCGTAACAAACGGAGGGTTTTCTAAACAGGAGTTATGAACAAGTAGGGTGGGAGGGAGGAGCTCAAAAAAATGGTCGATCGGCTTTGCTCAAAGAGCGCAGGTCCGATTAGTAACTAAAACACTGCAACTGACTTGGGGGATAGGGCATACCTTTGCTCGAAAAGCGCAGGGCGATGGCAGGGGAGGAAGGCGACGCGGTAGGTAGACGCGGCCAAACGAGGTCTGTATACAAGGTAGCCCCATGAGTCAACTTGCCCAACAAGGACAAGGAATTTGGCAACATGCCCAACAAGGACAGTCGTGATCCGGAATGCGAACCTTAGCTAGAAACAGCGAGCCGCGATAGTGCGAGTCTCGAAAAGTTCGCCCTTGCTCTAAGCAGTGGGTGCGATACGACCTTGCAAAGCAGCGGGTACGGCGGCTGCTTACAACGTAGTGGCAGGCTAGCTCATCAGTCCAACTGTCCAACAAGGGCAGAGGGCTTACGAGGGATGTTACCCACTTTGAGTGAGTAGAGACTGGCAGGGGGGTGCCGGAACCACAACACGAAACGCTAAGGCGTGCGGGACGACGAGGGAGAGGGAGAGGAAGGGCCCGCGCGCGCCAGCGGGTGAGCAAGGCGGGAGGCCCAAGGGGGCCGAGAAGAGTGCGTGCTGGCACAGGGTCCAAAGAATGCGTGTTCGAAGAGTGAAGCGCGAGCGGGCCCCGTTAGGCCGAGACCAGCGCACTTGAGCTGTCCGCGTCAAAATCTTGCAGCAAAGGCCGAAAAGACTATCCGCGCGCTTACGCGCGTTTGGCCATTTTGCTGATGCTCTGGGAATTGATGCAGGACTAATTGCCGCTGGACCCAAGTCGACCGTCCGAAGGGGCTTCACTAGATATCCATTTGCTATACACAGTGCACACCGTTCAGAATAAGCGTTTGTCTGCCCGAGGTCCCGAGGACCGATCCAGGATTCCACTGATTCCAGGGACCAGGCCGACCGATCCCTCCCTCGGGCCCAACAGACACGGTGTGTACTCCCTCGGTCGTATCCAAATTAACGAATATAAGAAAACAGGACGAAAAGTTCTACACAGGATCTGTCGTACACATATCAGTTGATGGTATATGAAACTACACGAATTGCATGGACTGACTACGACAAGCTGTATGACATTTATGACATAATTCGAACTTACGAGTCTTCGGAAAGTGTTATTCGTGATGATGGTGAGTCTTACACACTAGTAGCCCCTTATTACTTATGACCATTTGGGGTGCACTGAGCCGGGGTGGGACGGGGTGGGGAGGGCATTGGTACACCCGACCTGTACCAACATCCAACCGGGCCAAAAAACAGAAAAGCTGCCCTAACTCGCCCGCGCGGGGGAGCTCATTTAGCTGGGTTAACGGACCTGCCGATCTGAATCGGCGCGTCAAATCCTTGCAGCAAAAGCCGAAAAGACCATCAGGCCGGGCTTTCTACGGTCCTCAAACCCTCTCAGACCTACTTAGACTACTCTCTCGGACGGGAGAAGTTAGCGTGTCCGAGACTGAGTCGGTGCCATTCAACGCTGTCACGCCTGGTCCTCTGGCCCAGCGGCGTGTCTTGCCCATAGACGAATCAGCACTGCCGGACCGGAGTGTGCAAGTCGGAACGCCGACCCGACCCGACCCGACCCCAAGATACCCACCCATCCGATGCTCTACCTCTCGCGGCTCAATCCGATGTTCAAGTCTCGACGAAGCTCGCGCTTGGTGCTGACGACCGCCTGGCAACTCGCTGCGTCGACCGCCGTGGTTCGCTCGACCCGCTCGCCCCGCTCGCCCCCGCTGCTCCAGTCATATCTAGCGGCTGCCGAGCTCGTTCGAAGCACCCCCGTGCCACTGGTGCGAGACGATTCGGCTGCGGTGCGCAAGCCCGTTTCCGAGGCTCGTCCCCACCTGTCTCAGCGACGTCATGCGCAGCGACCCATCCCACTGCCACTGCCACTGCCACTGTCGGAGGCGCCGACGACTAGGACGACTGCATCGCCAAGTTCCGAGGGCGTGCGCGATCATGCGTCAGGCTTTTCGAACGAGCTCGCCGGTCATGCTCCTGAGGACCCCCACAAGCACGCCACTCGTCGCACTCGAGCGCCGCGCCGCCAGTCCCAGAGCGAGGTCGTGATTCTCAATTCGAGTATGGACCCCTGTCCAGCGACAACCTCGGTATGGCCACCGTCGCCACCGCCACTTGGCGACAAGCTGTCGCAGACCCTACCCTCACCTCCGATTGAGCACATAATCCCTTCCGGTCACCACGCCGAGCGACAGCACGCGAGGCCTCGCAGCGCGCTCGAGGGCCAAAACTTGGCAAGCCCGGCCGAGCCGCCGTCACCCTGCCGTCTCGATCAGCAAGCGACAGACGATGGGGCAACTTCTGTTCAGCGGCACGGGGAATCTCCCCCTTGTTTCCCACACTCTGACGACATCAACCACGCCATTCAAGCGTCACCGAGTCACATGACGCCAGGTCCGTTGGACCGCCCGGGCTCGGCGCCGCGGACGATGAAGGCATCCAAAGTGCCGGCCTCTCAGCTCGGCCGGCTACTACACTATGGAGGTAAGTGGAATGCCCAAGCATACCAGCGAGCGTGGCGGATCGATCTCGCCAGCTACGCTTTTAAAAGCTGATGTCGTGGCTTACTGTACCCACCTGTGAAAGGTCTCGCTGCTGGTCTGGGGTTTGGGGCCGCATCCGAGGCGATCAAACGCGTCTCCTTCGGTGCAAAGGCAAGCGATCGCGCAAGCTCCCTGTTCATGAGCGAATCCAACGTGCGCCGTCTTGTTGACAAGCTCTCGAGGATGCGAGGTGCCGCGCTCAAGCTCGGGCAATTCCTGAGTATACAAGGTGACAACCGCTCACGTACTGAACGAACGAAGTGCGGACACAAGTTGTTCCTGACACTTCCGGGACCACAGACGCGAAAATGCTACCCGAGCAAGTAGAAGATATTCTGAAGCAAGTTCAAAACAGCGCCAACTACATGCCTTTCGATCAGACCGAGGTGCGCAATCTGTAGCTAAGTCCGCAGACCGAAGGAAGTCTCCCGCTGACCGCTTCGCTCCACTTGTCGTCCTTTAGCGAGTGTTGGCGAGTAATTTGGGAACCGACTGGCGTACGCACTTTGATGACTTCGATATGATCCCCTTTGCCGCCGCATCGATTGGCCAGGTCCACTCCGCACGGCTGTCCAGTCGATCCTCCTTTGCGGCCCAATACCCACCTTCGATGCGCGTGGCAATCAAAGTGCAATTTCCGGGGGTGCGGGCTTCAATCAAAAATGACCTCGCCAACCTCAAGTGGCTGCTAGTGGCGAGCTCAATACTGCCTCGAGGACTATACCTCGAGGATACGATCAAGGTGATGGAGCGCGAACTCGACGACGAATGCGACTACGAACGCGAGGCACATTGCGGCACCAGGATGCGAGATCTCTTGTCCGAGTATGACATGAGTGCTCGCTTCGGAGCTCCAAGGGTCGTAGAGGAGCTATGTGGGTCCATGGTACTCACTACGGAGTTCGTAAACGGCGTGCCCTTGGGCGAAGTTGCCTCAGAATCTCAACGTGTCCGAAATGAGGTCAGCGCCGAGCAAGCCGACGGTTCCCCAGTTGGACAGACCCCAATCGCTCATGCCCGCTGCCTTTATCGCAGGTCGGCGAAAGCTTGCTTCACCTGTGTCTGATGGAACTTTTACATTTCAAATTCATGCAAACCGATCCGAATTGGAGCAATTTTTTGTACGATCGAGACACCGCCAAGGTCTGTTCTTCACCGAGTCGGGCGTACAGAGATTCAGGACTGAGCACGATTGCTTCGAAACGAACTAGATCCAATTGATCGACTTTGGCGCCACTAGGGAATACTCCGAAGACTTCGTGCAAAACTTCCGTGCTCTATTGCTCGCGGCCGTGCAAGAGAACGAAGCGGAGTGCTTGAGCGTCTCACGGGAATTAGGTTACTTGAATGGAGAGGAAAGCGAGGTAGGATTGTTTTGTCATTCCTCGGAGTGCTAAGAAGGAATTTGATAGAGCACTGAGCACGCTTCATGTTTTGAGCAGGAAATGGTGAGAGCCCACTTGGCCTCGCTTTCAGCATTGGGGGTGCCCTTCCGCGCCACCTCGCCAACACCTTTCCCATTTGGCGATCTCGGACCTGTGATCACTTCGACTATTCGGGAGCAAATACCCATAATGCTCAAATATCGCTTGCGGCCTCCCCCAACAGAGACATACAGTCTCAACCGCAAACTCAGCGGCGTGTTCCTGTTGTGCGAGCATTTAGGCAGCCATGTCAACGCTCGTGAATTATTGGATGATCGTCTGGGGAATACGCTGTCCCTTCGAGCTAAGACGGTGGAACTCGGCTAGTCAAGTGTAGACTTATCAGCATCCGGATAAATCTCAGTGTGACAGTCAAGATATGACGAGTACCACATCTTTGTGCGCTCATTTCTGACGGCGGAGCTGGCTTGCTTAATGCACAGTCTTTTGAGTTGGTTCAAGGCACAATTATCTGAGACTGAGATGATTATCAAAATTTCAGCTGAGCTACACAAAAGAGACGCATGCTGGTTATTTCCGGAGACATTTGAAAGTACTCGGGAAGAATGAGTTCCTCATTTGCAACACTACCTCAATGACCCGGTGTCCTGCCAAAGTCTCTCAGACTTGTGGAAATCAACGGAAGATGCTTAATACTTGGTCACTACATCTACCTTGAAGTCTCCTGGAAACAGTCGAGACTTCTAATGGATCGAAGCCGAGGCGCCGAAGCGTAGGACGCCGGCGCGCTGATTTGAAGCGGAAGTGCAGTTCTTTTCGGACTGCGCGCGCCAGTTATCTATGGTCTGCAACACGGAATTGGTGTTTCACCAGCCTCGAATTGTCAACTGCCAATCGACTGCCCAGCTCCATTGTGGGGTACAGTGGAATTTCCACCGTGCACTAGCAGCATGTGTATGATTGATTTGTACTCAATTGCATTGACACAGCAGCTACAAGGGGGATAAGTCAGACGCCGTACTCCCGACGATACGCCTCCATGGTCAGTTTTTCTGCGTCACGATGTTGCCCGTCCAGCCATGCAACGATGTCACGCATCTTGACGACACTGAACACAGGAAGACCGAGCTCCTGTTCGATCTCTTGCACCGTGCTAAGAAAGCCGGCGCCGCGTTCTTCGCGGTCAAGGGCTTCGAAGATCCCAACGGTGTGGCCTTGCTCAGCCACGACTATCTGGTGTGCTTGGCGAATGGCCGTTCCCGCAGTGATCACATCGTCAATGATGAGCACACGCTTGCCCCTGAGATCGGCGCCGACGATTGATCCACCTTCGCCGTGCGTCTTGGCCTCCTTGCGATTGTACGAATACCCGATGTCGCGACCCCGACGGGCGAGCTCGGTCGAGATGGCCGCCACGAGTGGGATACCCTTGTAAGCTGGACCAAACAGAACCTGGGGAGTGTTGTCGTCGAGCGAGCCGGATGCAGCGGGTGCAGCGGGTGCAAGACCGATTGACGGAAAAGCAGCGATGATCGCATCCGCAAACGCGCCCGAGAGAGACAGCAGCAAGGCCCCCGTGTTAAACAAGCCGAAGTTGAAGAAATAAGGCGATTGACGACCGGACTTGAGGGTAAACGAGCCGAAGCGTAGGATCGGCTGCCCGGACGTTAGCGAAGCCGAGATGAGCGTCGCAGCGTAAGGCGAGCTCGATGATGTACCGTCAGTCGCCATGTCGATCGAGTGCAGCTGAAGGCTGTAGGCGGGGAGCTGTACGACTCCGACTCCCACATTAACATCTAAGCCGAACTTAACGGGAAAGCAGTCAGAGGCAAGGACCGTCGTACCCACCTGCAGTGCTAGCGAGGAACTGTTGCGAAACTCGCGAGGCTGCGAGAGCGGGAGAAGACGGAACTTCGGTGCATGTATCGGCGGAGCTGGCGAGAGCTGGCGCCGAGGGTCGCCTAGGGTCGCGTTCTGTCGCGTTCTGTCTGGGTACTGCCTGACTGTTCGAAAGTGTTTGAAGCTTGTTCGAAAGCTTGCGTGTTGAGGTCCTGCGTTTTGTTACATAGAGTCGCCTATTGTTGTACGCTAGCTGGTGTTTGAATTCTCAATTCAATTCTCAATTTGATTCGAGGGCGCTCGACTCTCTGGTTCATGTAAGGCAGGAAAGTCACTGCGGGACCCGGAACGAGCCTGCTACCGCCAACTGGCCTGACGATCCGATGATTCAAGCTTTAAGTCTTGGGTGGGGCCGTGGGGGGGGGGGGGGGGAGGGGGCTATCGTCGTACCTGTACTCCTCTCATCGCCTCGGTAGGCTTCCGCATATGAGACCACACCGAGTCGGCCCAGCGTCCGTCGCATGGCTCGATGCTCTCTTGAAGACTTCGAGCCTCCCACCCCACTGAACGTAGCCGGTCTCCTGTCGGCCACACTAACGCGTCCGCCTGTCGGCGGCGATGGGTAGTACTCCGATGCACACAAATAACCTCAGCATTGAGCGGTAACGTCGTCGTCGGAAGCCCGTTCGAAACCTTTTCGCAAAGGCGAAGCTCCGTTCGTGCAGGTGCAACCTCAGCCTCACACGGGCTGAACGCACAGTAATGGATACCAAGGTGGATATTTCAGGCTGGCCGATCCTTACAGGCGAGGCTATGCCGCGCAAAATCGACGAAATCGTCTATGACCGACGGCCACGCAGCTGGAGAGGGGAGGCGCCAGACGGGCTAGTCGGTCAGTGCTGCAGTGACGCAGCAGCGTATCGCGTATTTCGCTCACCTTCTTCGTCGTGCTCCTGGAATAGTGGATCGATTGTGCGCGTAAAGTCGAGAAACTGGGATTGTCACCGAACATCGTGGTCAACATTGCCGGGCCAGTGTGAGCGTCTCGGCAGGCTTTTCCCCCCACATGGAACGAGGAGGCATCCAGGACCTGTGTTGAGGCGGTTGCGCAACCACTCTATGTCAGACGTACCAAATTCCACGTGTCTTTCGAGACCGGTCTTTCCCCGCGCGTTCGCAGAAACTCCAACCACAAATCGAGGTGCGATGTGGGAAAATCTGCAGCAGGATCAGACGGAATGAGCAGCTTCCACAATTCTTGCGCAATCTCGTATTCTGCACGATTGATGTATTCGATGTATTCGCATCAGTTGGACATCTGAAGAATGCACGCAGGATACGCGTGGCGCTTAAGATCGACGGACGCATGCTCTTTTGACCCTCCGCTTTCGCATAGTCAAAGGTGAAGGCATAGACCTTGCGAAATGTGTCCCCTTTGTGCAGGTCCGCTCGGAGTCGATCAATGTAGGAGCGTTGGAGCTCAATTGTATCTCGTCTGCATGGGTAAGGAATTGGGCCCACATCAGTCTTCTTCCACACGTCTCACGCCCCGTTCGCAAGCGAGCGGGTCGCTGCGCACCTTGCCTCTCTCCAGCCATCGGTCCAACCCTTTTTGGAAAAGTGACCCATCGTAGGCGCTTTGGTGAGCCAGGCAACCGCGAGCATGACGATATCCTCAGGTGCAATGCCCAGATCTTCGCAGTAGCGGATCGTCCCTTCGAAGTGGATCTCGTCGGGCTTTTCGACATCTGCATCCACCGCGACAGTTGAGGTACCAGGAGACACGTAAGCACGCGCGTGCCTTCACCAGGCGACGTCGTCTCGAAGCGCCGCATACGAGCACACACCTCGGTACTTGTCCCATAGCTTGTCTAGGTTGCGTATCGATGTCCCACCTTCGCCTCCACTCAGTCGTTGTTGCTCGGCGGCGCGCATCGCTGTTGGGTCGTTGAAGAAGGCTTCCAGCGCGGCATCCAGCCGGTACGAGGTCGTCTTGAGGAATCGGGCCGCTTCCTGAGGCCTGTAGAGATCAACCATTCGATCCAATGAGTCAAGTGCGGGTTAAAATGGCCGACACAATCGCACAGAGGGTTTGGTCCGGGCGGCATTGTCGATGATAGAGAGAGCTGTAAGCTGCGGGGCTGGTCGTGTGCGTTCGGCAGCCAGTCGGCAGCCTCCCGCAGCGAGAGCGATCGAAAGCAAGTTGGGTGAAGCGAGGCAGGCAGTTAGCTCGAGCGGAGCCAAACTCACGATGCACCTGTGATGTCGATGAACTCGCGAACACGAGTCTCCCGGGCGGCCTTGCTCGAGCTCTGATGACGCACTCGCCTCACGTCAGTTCTCTGGCAACCACAGGTGAGCACGAGTGAGGCACAAGAACAAATGTCGCGCTGACCATGGTAGGAAGACGACACTGGGCAGTGATGCCTAAAGTGGTAAATGATGTTTCCACTCCTCCGCCAGAGAACGCGCCAGCAGACGGAGAGCACCGGTCGGGCACTGGGCAGGTTCAATGCGCCGAAAGCCCTGCCAGAGGAGGCCAGAGGCTGGCAGGCTGGCAGGCCCTGCCACCAGCAGCAGGCAGCAGCCAGCAGTCGCTTTTCGGCTTTTGCTGCAAGAGTTTGAGGCTGAGGACTTTAGCGCGCGCGACCTCAACACCCCCCCGCTGTAAGCCGTGCTCGCACGAGGACCCCAGAAAGCCCAGCCAGAGGCGCATGTGGAAAAACGCCCTTTTTTGGCCTTTACTACCTAGAGGGCAGTATATACTGCCCACACAGTGGGGCAAGGCACTGGGCAGGCCTGCCCGGGACGCGCGCGAGCGCCAGCCTGAATATTCGAAACCAATATTGAGCTCGGGCCGCCTTGTTTGAGGCGTGCCCGAGGCGGATGCGGGCGGTGTGGGTCAGCGTGGGTCAGCGCGCGAGGCCCAGCGCGCGAGGCCGGGCCCCTTACTCAAATGTTTTGGCCACATTCCACTCAGAGTCGTTGGCTGGGCTGGCGGTGGCATACTCCTTTGTGGCGATTTCGCATCCTCCTTTGCAAGCAGCAGTTCGAGCTGCTCGAGTCGTGTATCCATCGCAACCCGAGTGCCTTGCCGCTGGTGAGTGGATTGATTGTCGAGTTTGGCCGGCACCGTGCACGCGTCTGTCCGTGATGAGGTCGCGAACGAACTCTGATTGACTTCACTGCGTTTCGCATCTCCACTCTCCTCGCCCGTATTCGACTGAACGAAGAGGGCGCCACGTCTCCCTTGACCTACTTCGACTGCCTATCTACTTGCTGTCGACTCGCACGACCGTTGTACGATCTCTCTTGATCAACACTGAGTGCGCTTGGAACTTCCTCACGTGACCGTCATTCCGAGCTCTCGGTTGAACCGACGAGCTCTCGTCTCGACCGATCTCGGCACCAACGCCACCAATTCCGCAATCGACTCACAGTATTTTCAGACCAACGCGACGAAAGGAATGACTCCCAATTCCTCCCCCATTCGTGGCTCGGCTAGCACCGCGCACTCAGTCCCTGTCACCGATTCGAACGCCGATTGCCGCGACGAATTCGAATGTCGAGAGGACGACGGCGAGCACGCCGAGAGTGAGCATGAAGCAAGCGAGGGTGAGGGCAATGAGCAGGGCATGGGAAGCCTTGCTGCACGACGTGAGTCTCTTGTCCTATCCGTCCTCGGACTCGGGGCAGACCCGGGACTTTGGCGCGAATTTTTACTGACGGTTGCTGCTCGCCACCCGCCGTCTGGCTCTGGCCGAGATTCTAGTTCAAGCGTCGAATAACGCGATCATCGCCAGTTGCACTAGCACATCCAACTTGGCGCCCAAGACAGTCAGCGCATACGAAAAATCGCTCAAATCTTACACCAAATTCATGGCTGAAACGTGGCCCGGCGCTTGCGTTCGACCGATCGACCCAGATATGGTCTTGAATTTTTTGAGCTCCGAGTCCAAGCGACCCGCGCGCAGATCAGGTACGGGTGTCGATCAAGGCGAGGACATTGAAGGCACGACCATTGGTGTTTCGGTGCTGAAAAATGTGAGTATTATATCTCAACTATGGCTTTTGACTGGCCTCTGCACCTAGCGAATTGGGCGTCTATTGATCGCGCCATGCCGGCTTCCCCACCGTTCATAGCATCTCAACGCCCTCGAACATGTAAGCTCGCATGCCTTTCCCTTCGTACCCGCAATGAATCTACTCCCTTGAATAACACATGTTGCTTGCTTTTGACGTGCCTCCAGTACCGTGTAATCGATTAAATTGATCGCACAAGCGTTGCGGCCCGGGGCAAGCCGCGAGATTTTCCCCCGATCGGTAATCTCGAGGCCGGCTGGAAGAAACGCGAGGCCGGTCGAAAGAAGTCCGCCCAGACCAACAAAATCGAAGGAACGGCATCCGACAATGTCACCAAAGAAGAACAACTACAAATTAGTGAACACCTTCTTTGCCAGGGGCCGACCGGTAAGCTGACTGCCGTACACTCGGTGACCCGGTCGCTTCGCAACCGCGCCATGTGGGCAGTCTCGCTCGCCACGCTATTCCGCGGCGACAACACTCGTGCTCTCGCCTTCTCGGATTTGTCAATGCGAGCGCTCGAGCGCTCGAACGACCGGATCACCCGCCGATCAAGACGCTCTATATCGTGGCCGATTCGGGCAAGACGAACAAGGAAGGTCGTCTCGACTACAAGCCCGTTGCCCGTCATTTCGACCCTCGTATTTGCAATGTCGGCGCGGTCGCCTTCTACATGTGGTTCCGCGATGAGTACACTGGAGGACTCCCATATGGTTCGTTCGAGCCAGATTTCTCTAAAGGCAGTTCGAAATACGGGTATCGAGAATGGTACAACGTCCCCCTTTTCCCGAGCGCATTTAGCGGCGACGCACAGCTGCATCCGATCTCCTACTCGGGTGAGTCGGCACTCTTGGTGCCTGATCGGAGGGCGCTTAGCTCGACTTGCTGAGATCGGTCGGTCGCTGACTGAAACCTTTGCTCGTCTTCGCTTATGCCTGCGATGGGGATGGGATCTTCAACTTCGCCATCTTCTTCGTCTAGGTCACAACGTTGCCGTTTCGACGTTCCTCAAGGAGTGTGATGTGCATTCTAGTCACACGACTCATCTCAGCCGCATTGCTGGTGCCCAAATGTCGGCGGAGAGAGGCGCGAATGAAGCCGACACGAAGGCTCTTGGAGGCTGGAGCGATGGCACCTTCCGCAGCGTCTACCAACGTGGCGATCCAACCACCTCCTTCATTGCCCTCGCCGGTTTTAATGGAAAGTTTCCCGAGAGGTACTACGTGGCTCGTGATATCGAGGCTGGTATGTCTACTCCTTCATCGAGCTTTTTGGTCTGGCAATATTGACCTCTCCGTCCCGTCGCTTTCCCAGATGTGCCTGACGATCTTCAACGACTTATCTTCCCATGGGTCGAAGCCGCTTTGGCCGAATTCGAGGAGCGCTTTGAGGCCGATGAGCTCTGTCAAGACAAGGCGTTGGTTGGTCACTTGAAGCTGCTCCAATGGTTCAGACTCGTCATCCTTCAAGATGCGGCGTTTTTGATTCAAGCCTTTCCAGATGCACCGATTTTCCAAGCGAGCCTGTTTCAGTCGGACCGATTTCGAACGTGGGCTCCGCATTTTGTGGCCAGTGTGGAGGGGAATGGCCGTGAAGAAGCCGCCCTCAAAGTGGTGTACGGCGGCCTCCTTGATTCCATCGTCGACAGGCTTGGCGCCCAGCAATCCTCGGAGCGCCAGTCTGCAACTGCTCACCTTCGCAGCGATAATCGTCGAATCTTGGAACTTCTCATCGAACAGCATAATCGAGGCGGTCACTTTCACGGTCATGTAAGGAAGCGACGACGACACGAATTTGTCCGCGACTTCGATGACGACGATGACAATTCCGACGACGATCGTCGTGATTTGTCAGATGCGCACATGTCCGCGCCTACAAGTACGTATCTGCTACCTTCTGCGTGCATCAACTGGTGTTCCTACCCAATGCTTACTTGCCTCTCCTTTGTATTACCCTTGTATTAGGATATCGAGATGCTAGTCGGAGGCCGCACCCACCGCAATCGCCTTCGTCAAGCCCAGCCTTAGCTTCGCCCTCATCGTCTCGAGGAGTACCGGCACCCGGGGCCCATTCCCCCGCCTCGCCGTCCCGATCTGTCAGTTTCCGAACCCCGCCTTCCCGATCGACGAGTTTCCGAACCTCGCCAACCCAACCAGCGATCTCTCATACGGCCATGCGCGCAGCTGTCCCACCAGCCGCCGCGGGCAATCGATCGGATCGCATGCGCGTGGGCCAATCGCTGGCGTACCGATTACCGTCTCATCATGCGACCATGGACGCACTCTTGCGACCTCCAGCAGGCGACCAGTTGGAGGATGTTGGCCACCTGCTCGCCGAATACCGACGTGTCAAGGAGAGAAACCCTATGTATGTCGATCCGCGACTCGAAGCGCTGGGCCTCGATGATCTTGCCCGGTTCCCTGGCACGCTCGTAGAATGGAGCACCACCATCACACCCCCCGGATGGCTTCCCGTCGTTAAGTTCAATCCTGCTACAAATGTGGAGGATGTGTATCTCCTTTACGAAACGGGTGTGGCAAAGGATGGGGATCGGCGAAACCCGTCGATGCCTTGGCGCGAAATGGAGCGCCGCTTCGGAACTCGCTGGCGCGGTGCGCCAGGTCAAACCGCACCCGGTGTCGAATGGACTCGCATAAACAGGGTCCTGAAGTTCATCAACGAGGCCGTGGAAGGAGTTCCATCTCGACATGGTACCTTACAGCAACGAAGTGAGCTCGTTGTGGCAAGCATCAAGACGGCGCTTGCCCCCGCGGACTTCGCAAGGTACCGAAAGTTCTACGAGCACATGCAGAAGAAGGACACGCGCGAAGTCAATGGAGCGCAACTCAACAACTACGATGCTCTCAAATTGGCGGTCCGAGTCCAGTACCAATAGTGTATGGTCGAGTTGGGCATATTTACCCCACAACATGCATCGAGGCTGGCACTTGGTTCGCTTCCGTCGGGGGGCATCGGCCCCTCGCCGATCTGTTCATCTGTTCGACCTCATCTCGCCCCGGCCTCCGTTGTTTCTGTTTTTCTGAACCCTCTCTGTCTCTCTTCATCTGTACCCTCTACAGCTGGCTGCACTCTGTCGCATTCCGTCCATCGCTTTTGTTTATTACATGTGCGAACCCTTTTGTCTGTGGCCGACTCGTGATCGGTTCTGTCCTCCCCCCGTTCACTTCGTTCCCCGCAGCTTCACTTGGTGGCTTCCGGTTCCACTGCCAGAGGCGACCACTTCGGCCCTTTAATTTATCTTCTTTAGCCTTCCTTGCGAATGCATTTTCAGTCACTTTCATTTCGTAAAAATCTTTGCTTGCTCAAGTAAGTCAAAATCAAGCCGGCCTTACAAAACCTCGCGATCTCCGCGAGCTGATTCGGCACCTCATTTTATTTTGGCCGGAACGAAATTGAGCGAGTATCAAATTGAGGAGGTGCATATAATACACTGATTCCTGAGGAGTACCCTAGATACTAGCCCTCGTTACGAACAAAAACCCGTATTCTACTCCATTCCATAGACTACTCCATCTGCATTTCCCATCGCATATCTCGAGAGGAATTCTCGCTCCGGCGCTTTGATCACGGCAGACCGAGTCTGAATAAAATCACACTAGCAGGCTACCTGGCTCGACGTGATCAAATGTATCCAAACGTCGAAAATCCTCAACGTACCTGCTATTTCATGCGTTCATTCGATGCGATCGCGATCTCGGGCTGCTTTTCGCTCTCCACAGTAGTATGGGAACGGATTTTGTGGGGTCGAACGAGTCGAGTCGAGTCTCGCGATCGGACCTGATCGATTGCACGACGTCCTAAGGCTCCTGAGACTGTCGGGGACCTCACGTAGCAAGCATAGCATAGGACAGGTGTACACTTACCTTACGGTAAGAGGAAATGATAGGATTGACAAACATTGAGACGATGAGAGCGGAGAGCGGAGTTGAAGTTGCGTTTCGAGGACGGCACGTGAGAACGGCGATCCCTCGGCCGCGCTCCCTTGTTCCCTTTTCCTACCAGCCCCAGGAGCCGCTGACTCCGTGTTTTCCGGGCCTCCGTGGCCTAGAAATCCTACAACTTTTTGAAGGACTTTTACATTTGAGATTATCCGTTATCCACCTAGTCTTATTTCAAAACTGAATCAAATCTGAATCACCGTGTCTCAGATGCGCCGAAATCCCGTAGCCGAAGCATAAAACAGCCAGGTTCGCTCAGGAAACAAGCTCAGGCCCTGTCCTTGCGCGCGCACGGTCCCCGTCGACGAGGCCGCGCCGCGGGGCGGAGGGGTTGAAAAGACTCGGACGAGCTCTCTAAAAAGGAAAAGAAAAGCACGTGTAGTCCGTCCGCCAGGTACACACCAGATAAATCTAAAACGATGAGATATTTTATTAGAATAAAAAAGCCAAGGTATAGGAAGTGATAGTGATAGTAAAGGAAGACCGTCAAGCTGGGCGGCTGGGCCGGCTGGGAGGGGGGACGGTGGGGGGAAAGATATTATTTTATTTCAGCATAATATAAAAAAGTAATAGGAAATAGGAAGTGATAGGAAAGGAAGACGAATAAAAATTTAAACAAAGGTATAGGTATAGGGAGTGACAAGGATAGGCAGGAAAGGAAGGAGCCCGGGGGCGCAGAGGAACGGTGGGCGTGGCGCGACCGGTCTGACTATCCGCTGCCTGGGCCTCGAGTGGCGCTGCCCGCTCGCCTGCCCCAGCATACTATCCGGGATAGGATCAGGGTCGCGCGGGCACTATCCGCGCTGCCCGGGGGGCGGGCGCGGGCAGGGGGCGGCGCTGCCGGCGCGCGCGCGGGGCGCCTGCCGAGCGCTGCCCGGTCGTGCGGGCGCGCTTCCTACCTCTATATATATAAAAAGGTGAGTTAAGGAATGTACCTAAAATCGCTGTTTTTGACTATGTTGCGGCCCTGTGGGCCGCCTATGGTTAATGTACCAGCATACTGTTTTGTCTGCCGCACCTGCCTGTGGTGCCCATGTTCCGATCAGAAGTCATGTACAAGCTCTGTGGTGACTTTTGTATTTTTCGCGCCGCTCCAACGAAGCTACAGCGCTCCCAGTATTTTCCTTCTTTTTTTCGTTGAAATAAATCAAGGCTTACACTCATATTGTATTTAATGGACCGCAAGCGCGTGGCTTTGCATGATATTGCTTCTACAGCAGAGCTCCGCCTGACGCCTGACACGCGGGGCGAGGGCTGGCGTCTGTCACGTGATGCGGCGCGCCGGCGGTGTCGGTGACATTGCCGGTCCGGCAGCGGACCAGCGGTATCAGGGGCTGACCAACAAATTTGCCCGTCCGGCAGCGGACCAGCGGCATTAGGGGCTGAACAACAAATCACACCCCGTAAACAAACCCGCGCCACTCCCTCTAACCTTTTCTTTTTCCCTCCCACTCTCATCGATTTTTAGTGACACTCACTCAAGGACAAACCCTCGCCACTATGCCCCGGTCCCAAGGTCGCCAGGGAGGGCCATCGCAACCTCGCCAAGTCTTGGACGCGAGGGTAGCGCCCTATCATGGGCCTGCTCGAGCGCCCGCTGCTAGGCGCCCCGCGGCTCGACCCTCCTTTTCCTCCCGCTCTGATCAACAGAATCAGCCCCCCGCGCGTCATGACAACAATTCAACCGATCTTGGTATTGCGACACGTTTACGAGCCCGCCGTGCAGCTGTGCAGAACGGACAACGTGGTCAGCGCGATGGCCGACCCGACGCTGAGCCCGCCCCACCACCACCTCCTCCTGTGCAAGGGCGCGTGCGCCGGGCTCGAATCGCGCTCAAACCCCTCAAGCCCCATGTTTCGATTCGCGACGACCTCGGCCCCCAGACGGCCGTGTGCACCCACTGCAAGGCTCGGCACTGGGAGTGCGAAAGGTCGAAGTCGACCGGACACTTCAGCACGTACTGCTCGCAGGGCAAGGTACTCCCCCTCCCCAGCCCAATCTCGAGTATCGGCAGCTTCTTGAAGGCTCGGATAGCGGTCAGTTGCTCCGTCCAACAACATTCGTCTGCAGTAGACCCACATGCTGAACTGTGCGACAATCTTCCCCCGACAATCTTACCACGCACACAGAAGCTAAAGCGTTCCGCGAGAGCGCCCGGTCGTACAACAACGCGTTGTCGTTTACTTCGCTCGCTGCCCACTGGGACCAAACTCAAGTGGGCACGCTAGGACCCCCCGTGTTTCGCGTATTTGGTCGTCTTTACCATCGACTCGGCGCCCTGCTCCCTGCCGTGAATCAACGCCCAGCCTTTGCTCAGACATGGCTGATCGACCCGGCCGAGGCCACCAACACACGACTTGGACCCGACAGCGCAGACAATCGCGTACAAAGATCTACATTGACCAAGCTCGAGTCCATGCTACAAACCGGCAATCGCTTTGTGAGGGAGTTCGCATCGGCCAAAGCTCGCGCAGGTTGGGATACGGCCAAAGAGTGGATCCTGCGCCTCTGCCTACCACCAGGCCGAGACTGACGCACCCACAACCTTCCTACGTCAAGCACGGAAATGGCGATGCTTATCTGCGATTCCGACACCAACACGGGAGATCGTGGACCGCAAGACCTTATTCTCCAGGTGCACGGCGATCGATGTCCCGACGGTCGGCCCAAGTACCAAATCGTTAGCTCGCTCCATCCGTCTGCGATGCCTCTCCGGTACCCCCTACTCTTCCCCGCGGGGGAAGATGGCTTCCACCCCAACATTCCTCTTTGCGGGTTCCACCAAGCCGGGCCACCAATCGCCAGAAACCGAGAGCAGATCGACAATGCTGTCCAATTGCGCGAGGTACTTGCCAGTCTCGGTCTGGATGACGAAGACGAAGAGGAGGACGATCACTCGATCGTGTTGGCGTCGATCTCTCCCTGCATCCCGTCTTCACTCATGGGCAGCTGTATGTGGCATTGTCTCGAGCCATGAGTGTTGATCGAATCAAGGTGCTACTGCCCTCTCGCGACCCCGCCGATGATGACGACGACCTACCTGCCGTCGATCGAACGGCAGCCGCAACCACCGTGACCCCAAACCCAGTACTCCGCTCTGTTCTCAGGGCAATGAATGGAGAATAGTTTCTATGTTGTACTTCGTATCGTGTCTTTTACCTCCACTGAGACCATACCATTTGATTCTTCTTACTGTGACTTTTTTACATCTGCTGAAATCATAAATACTCTTCAATTCTCCTGCTATTTGAATTTCGTCCTCCCGTTAATTTAACGGGTTCCCACTGGTTTTGTCAAAGTTTTTTACCCTATTTTGGCCCCAAAATGTCAAAATTTCACATGCGCCTCCGAAATATTACCAAAATGTGTTCTACATGCTCCAAAAATCGCTCAAAGGTCTTCGAAAACGCGTTCCGAACGTTTGCGGGCGCGCGGCGGCCGATCGAAAGTGGCTTGCGGCGCGCGTCGCTTCGGCTGGTGTCGCGCGTGGCTCCAGGCATCAACAGGGCCTTCCTTGCTTTACTGGCGGGCTCGCTACTTCGTTGTCAGACTTCCGTTTTCCTGAACTTGAGCTCTTTGTATCCGCGGTGGCAGTTATGCGGCTTGTAGAGGTTCTACCGGCGGTGTCTCGCGGCCCGGGCACGCTCCGAAGGGCGGCAATCTTTGCTCGGCATGTGCGCACGTGCTGATTATGCGCTCGTCGGGGTAACATGAGGTAAGGTCCTTGTGGGACAATATGTAGTCGTTGGCGGGCCTTATGACTCGATGACCTGTCGAACATCAATCATGCGAAACGGCATGGTGCCATCAATGAGGTGAGTGGAATAGCATGCTTGCTCGATGAGGCGAAGCTCCTATGGACAGCGGTTCTTCTCCATAAGCAGTTTGATCGCAGCTGCATGCCACGCTTGAGGCCAAAGCAGATCAGAGATCCGATCTCCAATGGTGTGGCAGTGGTTACAACTCCGTCTAGCGATCCAAAATGACGAGAGCGCTGTGCTAGCGCTCCGTACTGCTTGTCGACGCGACGGCCAAAGGTCGATATCCATTCTTGCGTGCGTTGATCAGAACATCGGTGGCGAGAAACGCGTCTCTGGTCTGGAGAGTCGGGTAGGGTAAGTCATTACTGGGTGGGCTCGTCTTTGGACAACTCTGTGCGAAGAGACGCGTCGGCGGGAGCGACATCGAAGGCGGGACTAGGAGCTCGGCGATCGTCATGTTGGTGAGCGGCGATAACCGATCGAAGTCATCGTCCGTTCAAATAGTAGCCCTGGTCTTCGTCGAGAAACAAGCATGAAATCTTGTGTTCGTGCTATGCTTCAATGTCAGAACGAAGTGAAGCGGAACGGAACCGGCGCCGCTTCAACCGTGGGAACTATTGGTACCTAATCCCTAACAGTCATTGCACTAAGGTGATTACAAAAAATGACTAGTGCGGACTTCGAGGGGCTTCGAGCCTCTATTCAGGAGTCTAAGGGTCGCCTAGTGTCTCTGTAAGCCACCAAAGGGGTTTTAGTGGGTATGGTTGATCCTGGTTCAGGGTCAATGAGTCCTACACTACTGGCTTCTGCCAGTGTGCGTAACAGCATTCCCTCCGACTTTTCCGAAGATTTCTAGGTATTAATATAATTATGCTGTTAATGAAGTCTATCAAATAAATAAATAAAAAGCGTTTGCTCCCGAGAAAAGGTGCGTTTACCAATTAAGGATGGTGCATCTACCACGTAGCTGGGCAATCCGCTGTATCTCGTGTAGTATGCCATGTTTCACACTGAAACTTGACGATCCCTCTTACATGATCATCAAGTACGTCCACCCTTGTTAAGAAGCACTCTCATCGGGATCTCATGTAGTTGAAAATCGTGCCCGTACTCCCTCCCCCGGGCTCGGCGAAGACCCCCAGGCATCGAAATATTCGCTCTTCCTTTTACTGGGTACTACAACGGGTCAAGTGATCCGAGCATGCGTGCCACTGCCTATGCAAAGTAGCCCTGCATCCACTACACAGCTGCGCATCGCCGCATGCGACCTTGGTCAATTTGTCGGGGTGCAGTGCATGCAGTGACGCGGACTCACTGCAATGATCTGTCACGTGACTCACGTCTCCGGGTCACTCCATCCGACTCAACCCTCTTGCCGCAATTTGGATGCTATGCTATCCAACAGGTTAGGTTGTCTGACTCTGACCGCTCAATCTGAGGATTGCTTCGCGATTCGCCCAAACTGAGTGAGCATAGTGATATCGCCCGCGGGTTTGGATACGGACCGGTGGTCATTCGCAGCCTGCCTGACGCGTCGCGTCGCGCCAATCGACGACTTCTACTTCCGACTCATGCTCACCGCGCCACGCCAGTTCCTACCATCCGTTGCCCTCGACCGATACTCGCCTTGGTTGCAATGATCGTGTCGTATACGTCATGTCCAGTCAGCAGATGAGTGCATCCCTCCAGAACAAGGGTGGCCGACCCGACCAATCGACGTGACCCACCTGCACGTGGCGCCTCCGTGACGTCCTCGACCAACGTCTACCCAGAAGAAAGACTTGTGTCAGCCGTCACCCGATCTCATTGTCCAATCTCCCTCAGTGACGCACTCCAATCAAACCTCAATGACTCCTGAGGGCTGCTCCGACGATGTCGACTCGACTCAGACCCCGCCATCGACGACTCCGAAGCCAGCTCCTCCGATGGCGGCGAAGAAGCCATGGATCGACTGCGCCAAGTCGTCAATCTCCTCGAAAATTATGCACCCAACCATCTACAGCTGGAGTATGACACAATGCAAGCCAAACGTCAAGCGATCATGTGTCGAACCGCCTCTGGTCGGCGGAAGAGATAGCCGACTACGGCAATGGCCGCTGACTCTTGGCAACCGAAAGAAGCAGACGAATGTAAGCTCAAGGACACCAGACCAATTCTCAAGCTTCCTTTGTACATAGACACCGAAGTATGTCGGCGGTGGTTCCAGGCATAAGCAGTCATTGGTGGCTAGTCGAAGTTGCCGAGTGGAAAGCAGAATTGACAACATTCTTCCTCAACAATCCCCCTCCTATCCTTCATTGAATCAACCGAAACAGGAGCATGAATGGACAGCGTGCAAATAGGAACGTTGTGTCGCCGTAGTAGAAATTCGTCACGGTGCTCCATCGATTTCTTTCTTTCAGCATCCGGCGAATCACATGGCATTGATCGAATAGCACCCGCGGATCGGCGAAAATTTGCAATCCATTTGGAATCAATCACGCAAAGAAGTGCTTCGCATATTGCACCAGTGCTCGGGCGCTTGCATGCGCTACACTTGAGACGATAGGAAAATATACTACAATGCGCGGCCGAAGGACAAAGATATCGAGCGCGAATGCTCTTCACAATTGAAGGTGAGTTGGCCAAAACTTCAGACTTAGAGATCCTTCGTTTGCTGTCTTTGGGTTCGTGGCTTTTGCGCATGCGCTGACACCCATTTCGTTACCTGCACTCTGCTTTTGTAAGATTATGATTCCAGCCAGCAATGTCTCGGTCGCCTTGATCTACATACTTGGCGACCATGAGGGCCGGGTGACTCTAGAATCGGTCAGGAAACCGGCCACGGTTATGCGGACTATCGCTCGTCAGATAGTGCTTCGTTGTGGCAGCACCCGTAACACTGCGTTCCAAGGTGAATCACAATCATCATGATGTGTCCAAGAGAAAGCTGTACTTGTCTGCTGATCGCATCGCTGACTCGGGTTCGTTCACAATTTACGCGAGAAGGTGTTGTCCGACTATTGCAAGAAGTGGGAGAAGATCCACCGGGTCACTCGCCATCCTAACCGGGCCATTTGGGCCAAGCAAATCAAAAGACGCGCGTACGTGTTGGACGTTATTATACATACTCGCTTGCGGTGTGACATGGAGTCGGAAGCAAACTCTGAGCCCCCCTCCCCTCGGTTTGACGGAGGGGACTGAAACTCCTCCTCCAGCTCCTCCTCCAGCTCCTCCTCCGCTTTGCGGTCAGTCATTCTACTGTTGATCTCAATGATCTGATCTTAATGACAGTTCAAAGTTGCTTTATATTGAGGCTGACACTCATGTGTATGCAGAATCTGTCCCACTCGCGCTCAGGGAGAGTTTGCTGGAGCTCGAAGTAAAACCCCTGGGATCGCCCAAGGTTGAAATTTTCGCGCCTACTCCCGTCCTAATTGATCCTTCCATCGTCACGATGGACACCTCTCATTCCAATTTCGATCCTCAACGTACCACTCCGTTGGTTTCGCGAAACCCGCGAAGCTCCCCAGCACCGTCAAGCGCAACAATTGGTCTGATGCCAGCTACACCACCAATGAGACTCCAAAGGGTCGTAAAAGGTCGACCCAGTAGAAGTCAATGTGGCCGTGCACCAGTCCGCCCGCCGCGGCTCCCAATGGGAGGGAGAACCGCCGCCGGCTTGACCCGGGTGCGCCGCTGCTTTGATCTATTCCCGCTGGTTGAGTAGCTCAGAGGTCAGAGCAACTCTAATTAATGGAGTGGACCTGAGTTCGACTCTCAGTTCAGCCAAATCTTATTTTGTTCTTCGTAACACTCAGTTCCGGGAATTCCCATTTCCCAACTGACCCTACTCCCTCCCTGCCGGTGTCCGAGCCACTCGAGGTCGTTGGTTCCTTGTCAAGGTATCAAAGACGGACACTAGCCGCCCGGTCAACTATCCCTATATCCGCAAGCGCCCAAGTCCTTGCCAATCGAAGCACAAGAGGGAAGAACCCTCTTTCCAAGCTGCGCGGTTTTGCTCAAGCCTTGCACTCAATGTCGGGCTCGCAAGACAAATTTAATGTTGAAGTCACTTGCTCAAGGTATAGGCTCTTCCCAAATTGCAGCGGATCCTTGTCACCAGAACACACACTCACATTGGTCATGGTTTAGTGACTCCTTTAGCAGCTGCAAGAAGAGGAGTGAGATCGTCGATCCTAAGCCGTGTCATGATGAGTAGAACTGCAGGAAATGTACATAATGAGGTGATAGTTGCAGCTAGTGACCATTGCGAGAGCTCTTGGTGATGTGCTAGATGAACCAGGACAGGTTCGATGATATGAAGAGGCAATCAATGATCTTCGTTGTCCAAGTTGCTGGGGCTGGAAACGCGGCAAGGAATACTATACTACAAGGTGTCCCACCCCATATGGACAGATTCAGCAGCACCAGCATGATTGGTGCTCTTAGTTTGGTAAGAAGAAAAGGTGGCTGAACTGAATCCGGGGGCCTTCGCCGAACTTAACCCGGGGGGATTTGTTACTCGGTCCGGACCATGGCCGCGGCCGGGACGAGGACCGACCCTGCCAGTACGGGCACGATTTTCAACTACATGAGATCCCGATGAGAGTGCTTCTTACCAAGGGTGGACGTACTTGATGATCATGTAAGAGAGCTCGTCAAGTTTCAGTGTGAAACATGGCATACTACACGAGATACAGCGGATTGCCTAGCAACGTGGTAGATGCACCATCCTTATGGTTCTTTTCGGCTTTTGCTGCAAGGATTTGACGCGCCGATTCAGGCTCGCGCGCACGGACCCTTTCTCCCCCGTGGATGCTATAGCTGTGCTTCCCACACACGCGGGCTCACGGGCGGTACTCGCAACGCACGTTCCCTTTTTTGGGCCTTCACTGCGTTGTCGACGTTTTCTTACCAGCTTCTGCGGCTGCGTTCACCACCTGTAGGGACAGGTGCGTTCCTCACTCCCAAGACTACCTCCCAGCTGACGAGGTCGCTGATCGAGAGTTCCATCTTGCCGGACGTTCACAGCTGCTAGCAGCTCGTTATGAAACCCTCGACGTGGCTCGCTTAGAGTAGCTCGGGGTAAGTGCTTCGATACACCCAAGCTTGTTGCACGGTGTACTTTGCACTTGGATCCCTGCAAATTCTTTGTGGGGGCATTTTGCTCCGGGCCCTTGTTGGGCAACGAGCTAAATCGCATATCTCTCAGCAGACCCTTTGCCGTCCTTTGCACCAACCGCGCCCCAACTGTCTTTATACAGTGTCTTGCCTTTGTCGCAAAGGTATGCTGAGACGATCAGTGGACTTGCTCCATCATCAGTTGCAGCCGACTGACATCCAGAAGCTTGGGTCGCAAAGCTCCCAATTGTGATTCCTGTAAGGCGCCGCTCCGCTTACGCCTCACGACGACCTCGAGCCAACCTCTGCGGCCTCACGCTTGCCCTCGCGCGCGGCGCCGCCGCGTCTCTTGACCTTAGTCCTTTTAGTAGTCTTTCTTCGCCTGCGAATTACACCGTTTGATCCTTTCTGTTTGGACTCGGAACCAGTGAGGCTCGAGAGCGATCTCGTGCCTTTCAATTCCCAGTCTTCGCTCCTGCTCGTCGCGACGACCATCAAGATCTTCTTGGGCATATAGCCGGCTGGTGCGCGTCATTCACACATCCTTCGGGACGCGGTGTTTACGGGCCAACAAGCTGAGGGTACTGGACGATGGCGCTACGCAATGACAAGTCGATAAGCTACGCGCGTTGGAGGTCCCAGCGTTGGGGCTTTCCCTATCGACTTGAACGCTATCAGGGCTCGTCCGCAGCTGATCGCATAGGATCGCCGCACATGGTCTACCTCCACGACTGGGCTAGCGATTGCTCAACGTCGACTCTGCGTGCCCGCATTCGAAGCTCGTCGTCGACCCAACTCCTCGCGACGCCGACCCGCCCGAGTCGCATCGTCGAATTCTCCGCTCGCTTCGACGATCGTCTCTGCGATGACCCTACCGCGTCGATCTTCTCCGCCGGTGTCTTGCTTCGTCGTCGCTCGCAGCAGGGCTTTCCGCGTCGAGTTTCTCCGCGAAGGATCTCGCGACGAGCCTGCCGTGCGCTGTTCGCACTTGCCGCTCGTCGTCGATTTTTGCTCCAACTCGCTTAGACGACCGTCTGTGCGATGACCCTACCGCGCCGATCCTCTCCGCTGGGGTCTAGCCTCGTCGTCGCTCGCAACAGGGCTTTCCGCGTCGAGTTTCTCCGCGAAGGACCTCGCGACGAGCCTGCCGTGTCTCGCTTCGTCGTCGCTCGCAGCAGGGCATTCCGCGTCGAGCTTCTCCGCGATGGACCTTGCGACGAGCCTGCCGAGCCCGGTTCGCACTTGCCGCTCGTCGTCGATTTCCCCAGCTCGCTTCGACGACCGTCTCTGCGATGACCCTACCGCGTCGATCTTCTCGAGTTCTTCAGGTCCTCCAAATTTCTGAACGGCTTGAACAAGATAAGAAGTAACCTGCACGTTCGGCTATACAGTGGATGCCCCTCTTTGACGCAGACGACGCCATTGCCCAATATCTTGACAGGGACGGGCCGATTGGTCAATCTCAGCTGATGTGACTCGTGTTGCGGATGTGGCTCTATGAAGCTCCCGCGGGGATCCCGAGGGCGACCGGGCCCACTCTGCTTCCCTCCTGACCTCGACCGTTGGTCTCCAGTAGTTTTGTCCGTCATCGCCACCATCTCGTACAAGTTGAGATTATCGAAGGCCGCATTGTCTGGCCGCCAAATCTAGTCCTGGAACTGCGGTTGTTCAGTGTTTACTTGTCCAGCTCGACTCCCAGAGCTGCTAGTGTGTATTCGCAACAAGGGAGTGTCGAGAGCCTCTGCTCCTGGCCACCGCTATCCCCACTGTCGTCGCCAGTATCTTCGTCGTCAGAATCCGCGCGCATTTCAAAAGGAAAATGGGTTAATGCCGCGAGCAAACGGTGCAATTACAAATTACGCGCGCGCGTTTACCCCCGAAGCTTGACCCATCTACCCCGGTATTAAGGTGCAAAGTTCACCTACAAATGGTGCATTCTTCGCGCAAGTTGGTGCGTTTGCTCCCGAAAAAAGGTGCGCTTACCAATTCGACTCTCCTGACCACTCGCGCGAGTCGTAGCGGAATAGTGGTTCGAGTTGCAGCAAGACGAAGGACAACATTGGTGGTGTAGGAGTTGTTAAACAAATACCTCAAGCGGTGAAAACCCAGCCTTCTGGGGAAAACCGCAAGAGATTGATCTAAACGGCAGAGAGTGGGCCGAACTTCTTGGTGATACACAGGGATGGTGGGCGGGATGACAAATGGGAGCTTTGCGACCCAAGCTTCTGGATGTCAGTCGGCTGCAACTGATGATGGAGCAAGTCCACTGATCGTCTCAGCATACCTTTGCGACAAAGGCAAGACACTGTATAAAGACAGTTGGGGCGCGGTTGGTGCAAAGGACGGCAAAGGGTCTGCTGAGAGATATGCGATTTAGCTCGTTGCCCAACAAGGGCCCGGAGCAAAATGCCCCCACAAAGAATTTGCAGGGATCCAAGTGCAAAGTACACCGTGCAACAAGCTTGGGTGTATCGAAGCACTTACCCCGAGCTACTCTAAGCGAGCCACGTCGAGGGTTTCATAACGAGCTGCTAGCAGCTGTGAACGTCCGGCAAGATGGAACTCTCGATCAGCGACCTCGTCAGCTGGGAGGTAGTCTTGGGAGTGAGGAACGCACCTGTCCCTACAGGTGGTGAACGCAGCCGCAGAAGCTGGTAAGAAAACGTCGACAACGCAGTGAAGGCCCAAAAAAGGGAACGTGCGTTGCGAGTACCGCCCGTGAGCCCGCGTGTGTGGGAAGCACAGCTATAGCAGGCTTTTTTTTTTGTATCAAGCCTGATTAGATTTCACATATTCGGTTATCTACGCAAAATCAATGTTTCTTGAAAAGGGGGGTTGGACTTATGTAAAGTTATAGCCACTAGATCTATGCAGCCCCCACACTCCTGAAACCACCAAAAGTGTGATTCCAATCATGTGAGCACCAACCACCCTTCCTATTCCACGGTGTTAAAGAATAGGCACAATCGAGAAAGAGAGAGAGGGGAGGGGAGGAAAATCAGGAGAGAAAACTCAGAAACTCCGTACTCATGAAAACGTCAAGTCACATCATCTGGTCCAGAAGCTCGCCGTCTGGCAGACGTCGAAGTCAGAATTTGAGATGCGAGCGGACTTCGCGAGTAAGAAAGTACGGGGTCGGTAGGGGAATTTGATCCTTGTGCTGATGCCATCGAGCAAGGTAGAGCTTGTTGAAAGCAATCGCAAGAACGACCCGAACGACGATGTAGGTCCGAGAGTCACGACTTTCGCCACGCACCCGAGGAAGGCCAAGCATGATCTGAGGAGAGTCGACTTCGCCAGGTTGGAAGTCACCTGCCTGGCCAAGTGCAACCCTCAGCAGCTGCAAGGTCAGGCGCCAGAACTCACGTGAATGATCACATTCGAAGTAGAAGTGCATGAAGGTGTCTCGTTGGCCGCACTGTGGACACCCATCAGATGCAGCGTGACCATGGTGATGTTGCAGAACGCATGTCGGCGTCGCCCCGAAGATCAGTTTCCAGTGAACGTCCTTTTCGACCGCTGTTGCCCATTGACTGTTGAGCCAGATCCAGAACTGTTGCTTCTGTGACTTTGTGAGATCTGTTGGCCACTTGAGTCGTGAGCCGTCGTGCAGCGAGGGATAGCGGGCCTCATTGATGAAGTGCCGCAGAGCTTTGATCGTAAAAGGACGGGTCGCGCCAAGGAACGTGTAGGTGCAGGGTCGTAGGAAGTAGCAGTCGCCAATGGCGGTCCGGACGGCGGCGGGCTGGGGCAATGCAGAGGCTATCGGAGAGCTAGCACTCACATCGGCCCAAAGCTTTTCCAATAACGACTCTGGTTGCAGGCCTGGGTTGACGGGGTCCCCTGTCGTCTGCGGCCTCCGGTAAAGATCGATGATTGCCCCAAACTTCTTGAGCCGCCTGCGCGCATCGTCCGACAGGCCTTGTGGGTGTAAGGAAGGCAGAGTGGGTGGGATCACGAGCACCTCGGTCGACCGAAGGAGCTCTGGGAACACATGGGGCAGCATCAGTCGCGCAACGTTGATGACCTTCGTCCACCGCGCGTGGGTTGCGCGGCGAGGTGAGGCAATCAGTGTTGACCAAATCGACGTTTCTTCCGAATATGTGCGCTCCCAGCTGATCCGTGCGAGTGTAGCCCAGATCGGCTCGAAGCCATGGGCAACGCAGTCCCAGAACCGGATCGCCATAGAGCAAACAATGTCCTCGATGCTCAGCAGGCCCAATCCACCAAGATCGCGACGGAGGAAGACCGCCTCTTTTGTCACGGGTCGGAAGGAGTCGTTGTGCCACACGAAGGAGATGAGCGCTTGTTCGAAAGCGTCGACGAAAGTGACGGGTGGGATGTCGAACGAGAGCAAGTGGATGACCCTCGAAGTGACATACGAGTTGGCGTACATCGCGCGAGCCCGTGGGGGAACACGTCGATTCGCCGCTGCCTCCAGTCGAGCCTTTGCTCGGTTGAGTGTCGTGCTCCAGAAGAGCGAGAGATTGCCGTCGATGGAAACCGGATAGCCAGCCCAAGTCATGCACTCACCAGCGCGCACAGTAGCGATCCCGCTAGCCCGCGCGTCCTGAGTCCAGCCCAAGCCGAGAGGGAGAGCAGTCGTCTTGGCCGTGTTCGAGCGTCCGTTTGTAGCCAAGCGCCAATCGACGGCGAGACCAGTCAGGAGATCGAGTGCTGCCGGTGACGAGACGAGCACGATCGCATCGTCTATAGCATCGGGGGAGAAAGGGTCCGTGCGCGCGAGCCTGAATCGGCGCGTCAAATCCTTGCAGCAAAAGCCGAAAAGACCAAGCACCTCCGGCCTGGACCGTAATGTGTAAGCCCCTCCCTCTGGGATTTGATCAGCTTAGGTCAGAGCGGGTAAGACAACCTTTCCTCCTAGATAATGTATTAAAGTACCACAATATGTACTACATCTTTCTGGCATGCAATATGAAATGGCTGAATCAACCATAGTAAAACATGAAAGCGAGCATTAGTAGTAATGCAGCTAACGCAGTGAGGAAGCTAATGTGAATTAAGCTCGGTCATGCTCCCGAAAAGAGGCCCTACTGAGCCTTTTTGGATAGCTTTACCCAAATACCGAAGGGAATTACCGTCTGCTTGGGTAATACCATCGTCAAGGGATAATACCCGTTACCTGGGTAATATGATTCGCCAAATGACCCTCAGTGTTGGTCCCGTAAACCTTGATAGAGCTTCAGGGATCATTCTTTCCTAATCACATTTCATGCTGGAGAATATTTCAATTGTAAAGTATACATCCTTTAGGGCTTCCAGTCCGATTCGCGCGGCCTCAGTTGTCACATGAATCAGAAGTACAAGTACTCTAAGGTCGGGTCTGCTCCGAGCAGCCTCTTCTGCAGCTTACTTCTTCTTGACCTCTTTACGTTTTATAACTTCTTCACCAACAAATATCCCTTTTCCCTATGGAGCACCGTCAATTCAGAAGGCTATGTTAGCGCCCCATTCAGAGCCGAGCCTGTGGGGCTGAGTGGCATGCTTACATTGTAAGGTTCGGGCACTCGCCAACTGCGTATGCGAGCGGCGACTTGGCCCAGACGTTGCTTGTCGATCCCGGACAGGACGATACTGGTTGTCGAAGGCACAGAAGCACGCACATCGTGTGGCAAATCGACGAATATCGGGTGCGCGAAACCGAGTTTGAGATGCAGCCGCTGTGCGCTTGAGGCGGGCTTGGATGACGTGGATGACGGGGGTGACGGAATCTTTGCCGGCGCTGTAGATGCAGGCTCCAACGATGCGCGATAACCGACGCCGACGAGCCGGATAGGAAGGCTGAATCCTTGCGATACGCCATACACGGCGTTGGCCAGGAGCGAGCGGGTCAGGCCCCAGATTGCGCGCTGATGCTTGATCCGAGAATCCTGCACGGACAGCACGACCGACGATGGCTCAGCTCCGCGTGCCACTCCGCGACTGGCGGGATCATTGGTCAAGCGAGGCGAGGCGAGTTTCATGAACGATGGGAAATCCACCGCAAGTTCGCCCTTGGGTCCTGTGACGAGCAGCCGGGTCGAACGTTGCCGCGCCGACGGCCCGCGGGGGGCTACCTCAACGACAAGTTGTACTACCGGCGGCAACGCGACGGGTTGTGAGCCGATGTGTGACGGGGCGACACTGCTCGAGCTGAACAGTCGAATGCGCTGAGCCAGCATGAGTGAGGGCGGGAGCGAGGGCGAGCACGGCGACGATGACGACAATGATGACGGGGTGCGGAGACGGGTTGTAGTACTGCAGCAGATTGAGCAAAAGTCGCGTGCACCTAGGGCCCGTCTGAAACTGCTGGCCATGAAGTAGCTGCAAGCGGTGGTCGGCGGCCAACCTAGCAAAGGACAGCAGACGAACTCAAGCGCTGCTTTCGCACGGCAGTCACACGGCTGTTGCCTGCCTCTTCCAGCTTCTTCCAGCTTCTTCCCTTCCAAGCCCGTTCGAGTCTTGCTGGCCAGCCCTCTGCCCAGGGTCCCGCGCCGTCTGCCCAGCCGCGCCACTGCCGCGCGCTCGCCCTCGCTCGCCCTTCCGGACCCTTGCAGAGCGGTCCAGCAGCCGCAGCGCCCCGACGCGGGTCGAGCTCTGCCCGCACCTCGACAGTTCCGCCACGATGCCGGGAACGACCCACTACGAGTCCGTTCAAGCTCGCCGACTGGTCAAGATTGGCAAAGAGTCGGTTGAACACGTGTGTCGCACTCTTCAGACCCACCCGTGACTTGGGCATGTGGCCGCCGTCGGCCTGTCGCCTCTGGGTTGTGCACGTGATGCTGGCTTCGCAGCCGTCGCGCCGGATGCTGACCCTTATCGCGCCCCGATCTCGTTCATGCAGGTGTCCGCCACCGAGTTCCCTGGCCACTACCCTCACGAAGACCATGCTTGGGACTTTGCTCACTTCCAAGAGCATCTCGCCGTGACAGTCAACTCGCTCAGTGACCAGGCGATCGAGTTCGACCTCGTCGGCGTCGACGCCAGCGTTGCCAACGCGTTCAGGCGCATTGTCATAGCAGAGGTCGGTCCACCTCGCGTTCATCTTCTTGTCACAGGCGTAGCCTTCGAGCCCCGCTCGCGTCGGCAATGCGGCAGCTGTGGTCGGCAGAGCAAGCCACGCCTGGACTCGTCGACCCTTCGCTGCTTGGTTTGGGCGCCTGGGCCCCCCGCTTCTCTGTCACGGGTCGAACAATCTCTGATCCGGAGGGGCTTGTCTTGGTCGCCTTTATGCGTATTCCAGGTGCCGACAATAGCAATCGAGACTGTATACGTTTGGAACAACACGACGATTGTGCAAGATGAGGTGCTCGCGCAGCGGCTGGGGCTGATACCTCTTCACATCGACCCTCGCAAGCTGCAAAGCAAGCAAAGTAAGCGGCGGCAGTCGGCGCCCGGGGGCAATCGACCGCGCACAGGTGTGGCCATTCGCTCATCTACATGGCCCCTTTCCTCGTCAGGCCCAGAAGACGAGCCAACAGACCTCAACACGGTTGTCTTCAATCTGGTCGCCCGCTGCGAGCGCCGCAAGGACGTCAAGAAGGGAGAGAAGGATTCTGCTAAGGTCTGGACTGGTACAGAAGGTGCGTCCGCCGCGCCATCTCCCAAATACTGCACCTTGATTGAACACCAGTACCTCTGACCGTCTGAGGAAAGTGCCATCGCATTCTGCGCACCGCAGTTCTGTCTTCGCAGTTGGAGTTTGACCCGAAAGGATCGCAGGCGGAACTCTTCGGCCATGACACACCGCGGGCTGCCGCCAGCGACATCCTTCTCGCCAAGATGCGTGGAGGCCAGGTACGATGATGCACCACCACGGAGATCTACATCAGACGAAGCCGGGCCGAGCGAGCCGACCGTGACATGGCCGCATGCTGACGTATGTGGAACGACTTTCATCGTGTGCGCCCAGGAGATTGTGGCTGAACTTCACTGCAACAAAGGGATCGGAAAAGACCACGCGAAATGGTCCCCTGTCGGTGCGTTGTTGACGAAGGCGCAGGGCCGACCATGGCCCCGCAGAAGCGCACTTAGGGAATCTGAACTCACTCGTCCCACGCCGGTCATCGCAGCTACTGCCTCCTATCGGTTGCTTCCCAGGATCACACTGAAGCAGGACATACCCGCATCATTGCATGTCAAGTTCGCTGCGTGCTTCCCGTCTGGAGTCGTAGACATCTCTTCGGGATCCGTTCGCATCGTCAATGCTCGCGCCGACACGGTCAGCCGGGAGGTGCTCCGTCACGCAGAGTTTGAAGAACTGGTCGAGTTGGGGCGCATCCGGGACCATTTCATTTGTAGGTGGCCGCCGGAGTGTTGACTCGCATGGCATCGCTCTGTTGGTGCTTACTCGCCGCTCCTCTCTGCAGTCTCGATCGAGTCGGCCGGGCAATACAACCCGGACGAGCTATTTCCTGCAGCTGGGGACGTCCTCCTGGCCAAGATCCGAAATCTGAGGCAGTGCCTCCGGGCCGCCATGTAGTAGCGTTTTGTGATGGCTTGAATGGGGCTAGGCTACTTGCGAAAAACGGAAAATTCAATGGCCCACTCCGTGCAACCCTGGGATGTTCGCAGGGAAAGGGCTTGCTATTGGCTACTCCCCGCTTTTCTTGACTTCGACCAATAGATCTCGCAATGATAACTTCGAGCTCGAGGTCTGGGAGAGTTTCGTTGTAACGCCACATTTGCTGCGACCCATCAATTTAACCGCTTGTAGGCTTTCGAGAGCGATCTGTTCCTACACTGCTCTTACAGCAATCTTCAGGATGTACGGCGTCCACGCGGGCAAAGTTCGCGACCCCCCTTTAGCACTGAGCCCGCGCCGCCACCGACATTTCCAAACCTCAATCCAGGGGTTAACGGCGCCAAGGGTCCGCACGAGATCAGATCACCACCAGATGAGAACTGATTTCTTCTGATTCTCCCTTGACCTATCTGATCTTGATCAGATCAGATCAGATCAAATCAATTTGATCTGAGACATGGAGCGCGATCAGGGGTCGCCGCCGCGCGGTGCGTCAATACCATCGTCACGTGGGTAATACCCGTCGGGTAGGTAATACCCATCTCAATGGGTAATACCGCTGCCCAGGGAATACCCATCTGAATGGGTATTACCCGCCAGAAACGTCGCTCAGTGGAGCTGCCTAATTTGGCGCAGGAAAACTACATGTTGAAATCCTCATCTTCTTCCTCATCCCTGCGCTGTATCTACCTAAACTATTCTCTATCTACCTAATTGAAGCGCCCCCCGAGCCCTAGTCTATCTCTCTATCTCTCTCTCTACCTACCTACCTACCTATCTACAGTGGTCTTTTCGGCTTTTGCTGCAAGGATTTGACGCGCCGATTCAGGCTTGCGCCACGGACCCTTTCTCCCCCGCGGCTCGACCCTCCTTTTCCTCCCGCTCTGATCAACAGAATCAGCCCCCCGCGCGTCATGACAACAATTCAACCGATCTTGGTATTGCGACACGTTTACGAGCCCGCCGTGCAGCTGTGCAGAACGGACAACGTGGTCAGCGCGATGGCCGACCCGACGCTGAGCCCGCCCCACCACCACCTCCTCCTGTGCAAGGGCGCGTGCGCCGGGCTCGAATCGCGCTCAAACCCCTCAAGCCCCATGTTTCGATTCGCGACGACCTCGGCCCCCAGACGGCCGTGTGCACCCACTGCAAGGCTCGGCACTGGGAGTGCGAAAGGTCGAAGTCGACCGGACACTTCAGCACGTACTGCTCGCAGGGCAAGGTACTCCCCCTCCCCAGCCCAATCTCGAGTATCGGCAGCTTCTTGAAGGCTCGGATAGCGGTCAGTTGCTCCGTCCAACAACATTCGTCTGCAGTAGACCCACATGCTGAACTGTGCGACAATCTTCCCCCGACAATCTTACCACGCACACAGAAGCTAAAGCGTTCCGCGAGAGCGCCCGGTCGTACAACAACGCGTTGTCGTTTACTTCGCTCGCTGCCCACTGGGACCAAACTCAAGTGGGCACGCTAGGACCCCCCGTGTTTCGCGTATTTGGTCGTCTTTACCATCGACTCGGCGCCCTGCTCCCTGCCGTGAATCAACGCCCAGCCTTTGCTCAGACATGGCTGATCGACCCGGCCGAGGCCACCAACACACGACTTGGACCCGACAGCGCAGACAATCGCGTACAAAGATCTACATTGACCAAGCTCGAGTCCATGCTACAAACCGGCAATCGCTTTGTGAGGGAGTTCGCATCGGCCAAAGCTCGCGCAGGTTGGGATACGGCCAAAGAGTGGATCCTGCGCCTCTGCCTACCACCAGGCCGAGACTGACGCACCCACAACCTTCCTACGTCAAGCACGGAAATGGCGATGCTTATCTGCGATTCCGACACCAACACGGGAGATCGTGGACCGCAAGACCTTATTCTCCAGGTGCACGGCGATCGATGTCCCGACGGTCGGCCCAAGTACCAAATCGTTAGCTCGCTCCATCCGTCTGCGATGCCTCTCCGGTACCCCCTACTCTTCCCCGCGGGGGAAGATGGCTTCCACCCCAACATTCCTCTTTGCGGGTTCCACCAAGCCGGGCCGCCAATCGCCAGAAACCGAGAGCAGATCGACAATGCTGTCCAATTGCGCGAGGTACTTGCCGGTCTCGGTCTGGATGACGAAGACGAAGAGGAGGACGAAGACCGCGACGATGAGGATGAAGACGGCGAGGAAGGTGAACGTGAACGTAAGCGTCTTCGACTCTTTCTCACGTCTTCCATTCTGTTGAGACGCAAGCACAGACTCACATAGAATGTTCGAACATCTAGGACGATCAACAAGGAAAAGGGGTCGAGGTGGATCAACCCGAGTCTCGCGTTCTCAATATCTTGCATACTACTTGCACGAACGCGGCGACTACTTCTCAATCCCACATGCCACCCAGCGTCTCTTCCTCGAGGTCGTAATCGACGGATACTCCCAAGTCGAGACCGATCGACTTAACTATATCCGCTTTCATCAAGAAAACCTGCGCCTCACCACGGCGCAGGGCATCACCGACGCCGTTGCCAACGGTTTGACCCCGGATCAGATTGGACGTTCGGTGTTATTGGGGTCGACGTTCAAGAATAGCCCGCGGGAGGTCACGCAGCGTTACCAAGATGCGATGGTGTGTGTTGTCAAATATGGGGAGCCTTCGCTGTTCATCACGGTGACGTGCAATCCCGACTGGCCGGAAATCAAGGCTGCACTCGGGCCAAACGACCAAGCAAGCAACCGTCCGGATCTCATCGCACGAGTGTTTGAAGCCAAGCTGAACCGACTCTGCGACAACGGTTTTGGCAACAAGCAACGTGCGGGCTGTTTCGGCGTCGTTCTAACGCATACACACGTCATCGAGTATTAAAAGCGGGGCCTGCCGCATGCCCATATCCTCCTCACCCTCGCGCCAGATGATCATCCTCTGTCGACTGAAGCGATCGACAAGATGATCTCAGCCGAGATACCCGATCATTCGCGCTATCCTGATCTCCACGAGACCGTCACAAGGCACATGCTGCATGGCAAGTGTGGCGGAAACTCGACTCAGCCCTGCATGGAAAAGAACAAGTACGGGAACCCGAGGTGCAAGCGCCATTTCCCTCGCGAACAGAACCCCCATACCCGCATGCACCCTGATGGCTACCCGTTGTATCGCCGACGCTTTCGCCACGCAAGGGGGTGTCATCTACAACGATGGTGACTGCGTGCCGTACTCGCCTTATCTCTCCGCCAAGTACAACGCGCATATCAACGTCGAGGCTGTGACAACAATCGGCGCGATCAAGTACCTCTTCAAGTATGTGAACAAAGGTCCGGATCGAGCTGTGGCGCGTGTTGAGCGTGCAGCGAACCGTGAAGGGGCTCGCGAGGACGAACCGGTTCGAGATGAGATCAACGAGTTAGTCGAAGGTCGCTACATCAGTGCTCCAGAAGCGGTTCACCGCCTATTCGGATTCTCGACCGGTAGAGTGTGGCCGCCCGTCAATCGACTACCGGTCCATCTGGAGCATCAACAATCTGTGCAGATCAATCCCGACGAACCGCTGCCCCTCGACACTCCGCCCACTCGCTCCAAATTGACCGGCTTCTTCGACCTGTGCGCCGCAGCTCCCGACGGCGAGCTCACTGCCACGTTGCTCTACACGAATGTTCCCCGCTACTACTCCTGAAATAAGGAGAAGCTGCGCTGGAAGCGCCGAGTTCGTGATCGCAATGTCATCGGACGAATTTACACCGTTTCACTGCGTAGTGGGGAGCGCTTTTACCTCAGACTGCTCCTCGAGGTTGTCATGGGTCTCACGTCGTTTGCGGATCTGCTCAAGTTTGAAGACGTTGTGTATCCTTCCTATCGCGCCGCTCGCGGACTTCTCGCCGACGATGGCGTGCACCACATCTGTCTCAGGGAAGCTGCACAGATTCGGACCGGTGACCAACTGCGGCGATTGTTCGTGTTCATGCTCATCCATGCGACCGTTGCCAACCCACCAGCTTTGCTGGATCGCCACTTTGCTTCCCTGAGCGATGATGCCCGTTATCACATCGAAAATTATGAAGACGTACCCGTCAACGATCAAACCATCCGCCTGTGGACGCTCAACAAGATTCGACTCCTTCTCGCAGCGAACGATCGAACTTTGGCCTTCTTTGATCTCCCCGAGCTCACCAAGGACGAAGTGCAGCTTTTCGATCGTCCCGACGATCGGCTTCCCCGTTTCGATCGCGAGCAATGTGCGCAAGATGCCGAGCAGGCGCGTGCTCGCCTGAACCACGATCAGCGTATTGCCTTTGACGAGTTTCTTCGTGCGGTCGAGCTCGATGTCGTTGATCAGATGCGCGACGACAACCTTGGGCCGCAGCATGTGTTTTTCCTGCTTGCACCTGGGGGTACTGGCAAGACTTTCGTCGAAAATGCCCTTCTCGATACGGTGCGAGCTCGAGGCGACCAAGCGATCGCGGTGGCGTCCTCGGGAGTCGCGGCGTTGCTTCTCAAGGGAGGACACACGGCGCATTCGACTTTTCAAATTCCACTCGACACGTCGCCAACCTCGACGTGTCCGGTCGACAGGGAGAGTGATCTCGCGCTGATGCTGCGTACCACCAAGCTCATCATTTGGGATGAAGCACCAATGGCGCATCGATTCGCGGTGGAAGCGGTCGACCGTTTGCTGCGTGATCTCCGAGAGACCGAGGAGCTCTTCGGCGGGGTGACGACAGTCTTTGCGGTCAGTTGGGCTCTTCCGCCTCCGCTCTGAACGACTGCACGCTAACGAGGTTTCCAATTTGCAGGGGACTTTCGCCAATGCCTTCCTGTCGTTCCTAAAGGAACTCCCGGTCAAATCGTCGATGCATCCCTCATCAAGGCAGACTTCTGGCGCGACGTTCGTGTCTTGCGACTTACCGAGAATATGCGTCTCAGCTCGAACGCTGATGCGATGGACGAGGCTCAATTGGCTCGAACGCGCGACTTTGCGGAATGGCTACTCAACGTGGGAGATGGATCTGCCAACATGCACCCATACGACAAGATCGCCGTACGTTTGGCTCCCCTTTTTCACCCGACCAACCAACACTAAGACTACCTCTTATTTTGTTTTGCAGCTGCCTGATTACCTGCTGCTTCCGGATGGTCAAAGAACCGCCGAAGGTTTGATCAACTTTGTCTACCCCGGTCTAAGGACCGTGAACAAGGAGTCCCTCGACGACCTGATTCAGCTGTTCTCGCGTCAGGCAATCCTAGCTCCGCATAACGCAACGGTCGATCGCATCAATGCCAAGCTGCTTGAAGAGTTCGATGGCGACTACGTCGAGTATCGCAGCGCAGACGAGGTTGTCGAGGCAGGCGAAGCTGGGGGTGGAATGGCGCCTGAACTGATTTCGCCAGAGTATCTACATTCAATCAACCCATCCAACTTCCCCGCGCATCACTTGCGTCTCGAGGAAGGGATCCCTGTCGTTCTTCTTCGCAATCTGGACCCAGACGCCGGCCTCTGCAACGGTACCCGCCTTATCGTCTCACACGCAAGATCGCGAGTCATTCAAGCCATCATCTTGACCGGAGATCGAGCGGGCACCACGGTCTTCATCCCTCGCGTGCGACTCGAGACAAATGCGACTAGCAGTCGCCAACTTGGTTTCACTATGCGCCGGCTCCAATTGCCGCTTCGAGTTGCCTTGGCCATGACAATCAACAAAGCCCAAGGTCAATCACTCGATCGTGTTGGCGTCGATCTCTCCCTGCATCCCGTCTTCACTCATGGGCAGCTGTATGTGGCATTGTCTCGAGCCATGAGTGTTGATCGAATCAAGGTGCTACTGCCCTCTCGCGACCCCGCCGATGATGACGACGACCTACCTGCCGTCGATCGAACGGCAGCCGCAACCACCGTGACCCCAAACCCAGTATTCCGCTCTGTTCTCAGGGCAATGAATGGAGAATAGTTTCTATGCTGTACTTCGTATCGTGTCTTTTACCTCCACTGAGACCATGTAAACCGTTTGATTCTTCTCACTGTGACTGTCTTACATCTGCTGAAATCATGTACACTCTTCAATTCTCCTATTTGAATTTCATCCTCCCGTTAATTTGACGGGTTCCCACTGGTACTGCCTTAAGAGTAATAGAGTAAAGAGTAATTAAAGGTAAGGGTAGTCAAGGTAGTAGGGTAATCAGGGTAATAGGAGATATGCAAAGATTGATATCTTTCCATCTAATGAGGAACCCTGGGTCACATACGAGACGCACCGCTGGGGATGCCACAAATGAGGCCTAAAGCAGTAGAACAAAGTGCCGAGCAGTAGGCCTCACTCGTCCACTGTCGTCTAGGGTCTTCCGGAAACATCACTAGAAACTGACTGACACTCACACACACTGACTTCCGGGTAGACCGACTCACCTCGAAGTTTGCCATCCTCTGGCCGAGCTACTTCTACGTCAACCCTCCGCCACGCCACCAGGGCTATGCAGAGCACTCCCTCGCTGACGCCATCGCGACGTGCACCACCCGTGCCGACGGCGCCGCACGACCCGGGTTATGGTCGCGGGTACGACACGCATGCGAACGCGCCGTCGTTAGCTGCCTCGAGCGCGAACGCTGCCCACACGATGACCACGTCGCCGACCCACTCCAACAGCGACGGCGGACTGGCATCCTTGTCGGCGTCTGCACTAGCCTACCCGCACGCCCAGACCATCGTCCGGCGCGGCTGGTTGAGCCTCAAGGAGGATGGCCTGCGCGCATGGATCTGGAGCAAGCGATGGTCGGTGTTACGCGAGCACACGCTGAGCTTTTACAAAAGCGATGTACGTCCCACATCGACCGCGCGATCAACGCTGCGTTGCTCTCTCTCTCTCTCTCACTCTTTCATTCTTCTACGCTACGCAGCGTGCTACGGTCCGTTTTCGGGCTCGAGCGAGTTGGGGCGGCGTGCGCTGTGGTGGGCGTGCGCGTTGAACGTTGAACGTTGAACATTGAGCATTGGCGTGGTCGCAGCTGCCCGTCTCGCGTCGACACGGGGCCGCCCGCTTGTCGCTGCGAGTCACACAATACCCTTCGCCTTCCTTGGCATGCTCCAACGAGGCGGTGCTGTCACTGCGTTGCTCGTGCCTTGGTAGCCTGGCCCGTTCGGACGACACGACATGACGCGCCGCAATCAAACCCTGCCCCGCCACCCCACACAACCCGAACCCACCCAAGTAAACGAGTTGTTTAGCTGCTGACTATCCGATCTCCGGTCCATTCCAGACAAGCTCAAGCAACGCCCTGGCCGTCATACAACTCAAACATCTGACCTCCGTGACCCGAGGAGAACTCAAGCCGTACTGCCTCACTCTCGTCACCCCAGCGCGTACACACCATCTGGCGCTCAAGTCGGACGAAGAACTCTACTCGTGGCTGGACGACATCTACTCGCGCTCGCCCTTGATGGGCGTGTCCAGTCCCACGAACTTCGTGCATCAGGTTCACGTTGGGTTCGATCCGGTCTCGGGGGCGTTTACCGGCCTGCCGGAGCAATGGACACGCTTGCTGACAAGCAGTGCCATCACTAAAGAGGATTACGCTAAAAACCCTCAGGCCGTGCTCGATGTTCTCGAATTCTACACCGACATTCAGAAGCGCGAACGAGACGAATTTGGCATGGGCTCAATCTCGATGGGCATGGTCGACATGGCGGACCCACTGCTGTCCTCGACTGCATCCCCCGTGGCTGCGCGCGGTACAGGGACGATAGCAACCGCTCCGCCTGCTCGATTCGACGCTGGCACAGACTATGCGGGCCAACGCAACGACAGCCTCTCACCAGCTGTGGCCAGGTCATCTAGTGCCGACCCCATGATTACCCCGTCCTCGGCCCAATCGTACTCTAGCCCTGGCATACCTGGGGCTAGTGGGTCGTTGTCGCCCATGAGCACAGATCCAGCCACTCCGTCCTTCAATTCCAGTCGACTCGGTGGCTCTGCTGGTTCTGCGGCGCCCGTACCTTATCGACCTGCTCCCGGTCCTCCACCTCGCAGTGGGCCTTCGGCGGATCAGGTATATCATGCCTCTGACCAGCGCCCTTCTGGCGCATCCTTGGTTGGACATCCACGAGCTCCGCCACCACGGCCGACCCTCGTACCCGGCCGGCCCGCTCCGTCCATCCCACAAATCTCCTCCACGAACCTGCATGGTCTGAAAACATCGTTGACCAGCACGTCGTCAAGTGCAGGTCTCAGAACGAACCAGGTTTCAAAGCCAGACGACGCTGTGCTCGCGAGCCATTCCGCAGTACCTCAGATTTCGCACGGCACGCCCACCCTCGGCCCACCGTCCGGTCCCAAACCCCTGAAATTGGTTGCAGGGAATTTTCGATCGAATGAAGCCTCGGCATCATCGACTTTCACGGCTGGTACGTGCCAGCGATGTTCCCCTAGGCTTTTCTTGTGCTGACTATGGCGGTCCTGGTATCGCACAGCCCCAAAAAGGCCTGAGGCTCCAAGGAAGAATGAGAACGGCGAAAGTGAACGAAGGATTTCTACCATGTCGGAAGCCCAGATCATGGCCAAGCTCCGCTCAGTTTGCTCAGTTCAAGACCCAAACGCGCTTTACTCAAAGATCAAGAAGGTTGGTCAAGGCGCATCGGGGTCCGTCTTCGTGGCCAAAGTCCTGGACAGCGGGTCTAAAGTCGCCATCAAGCAAATGGACCTCAGTCATCAGCCTCGCAAGGAGCTCATTGTAAACGAAATTCTCGTAATGAAGGAATCTCAACATCCCAACATTGTCAACTACCTCGATTCGTTTTTAGTCAAGGGGGCAGAATTATGGGTGGTGATGGAGTTTATGGAGGGCGGCGCATTGACCGACGTCATCGATAGCAACTCGCTGGAGGAGGAACAAATTGCCAGTATATCGAATGAAGTAAGCCAAGGCACCCGTGCTTACAAAGCAATGCTCTCGTGCCGCTGACGAACCGGGAACGATAAACGCCCGTTTTTACCTAAGACATGCAAGGGTTTACAGCACTTACATGGGAAAAGCATCATTCACCGCGATATCAAAAGTGACAATGTGTTGCTTGATGCGCAGGGTCATGTCAAGATCAGTCAGTCACGTTTACTCGGCCCCGGCGTTCGCCAATTAACGCCTGATGCAGTGTGCTGACCACGGGGCTCCGCATGATCGCCCCTGTAGCCGACTTTGGGTTCTGCGCGAAGCTCACGGACCAGAAATCGAAACGCGCTACGATGGTCGGCACACCATACTGGATGGCGCCCGAGGTTGTCAAGCAGAAAGAGTACGGGGCCAAGGTTGACATCTGGTCGCTCGGCATCATGGCAATCGGCAAGTACAGCGTTTGCGTTTCCCAGCCACCAGAAGTGAACGCCGCCTGACCACGCTTCCAAGCATGTTCTGGACTTTCGACTCATTGTTCAGAAATGATCGAGAACGAGCCACCGTATCTGGATGAGGAGCCCCTCAAAGCATTGTACCTAATTGCCACAAACGGCACTCCCACTCTCAAGAAGCCCGAGAAGCTCAGTAAAGAGCTGAAGAACTTTCTGGCCGTGTGCCTCTGCGTCGATGTCAAGTCTCGGGCCACGGCCGATGAGCTCCTACAGGTACGCTCCCAACACAAAGAACCCTTCATGTCTTCGTCACTGATGTTCCTTCCGTGCCTTCCACGCCTTCCTCTGCAAACCTGGCATGTTTTTTCGACTCGACAGCACGAGTTCCTACGCAAGTCGTGCCCTTTGTCTGAACTTGCTCCCCTGCTTCGCTTCCGCAGCTCTCACAAGTGAAGCGAATCTTGGACTGCCGCGGGTTGCCAGGAAACGCTGTTGGAATGATCATCAAATTGCCGGTTCCGGCCGCTATCAATGCGCAAGGCTTCGCAGTGACACTTGGCGAGTCCTGCAGACCCTGCTTCGTTGGGCTACCACGATGTCAAGGAGAAACGAGATGCTAGCTGCATTGCATGCGAGAAGTGAGGGGATGGGCCATGATGTTCCTTTGGAACTTCCAAATCTATGATGGAGAGGCGGTAGGCCATCTACTACCGGTCGAGAATGGTGACCCCGGGAATTCTGAATGCAGGAACGATGTATCTCCGACGTGTGCGGTGTTATGAGTATGCGGCGCCGAAAATGATGGAGTGCGCGGCACCGAAGGATGGAGTGGACGTGGCATGAACATGGGACGGCACCGCGAAGAAGCACTCGCCCAAATCACTGCATTGCGCGACGAACCATCTGCCGAGATCAAGCGGAAGACCCGGTCAGCAGAGGGGCAAGATAGTGAACCACCGAAAGCGCATCCACTGACCTCCTTAGCCCATTTCGAAACTTTTTTGGTCTCTGAACTACCAAGCTTGGTGCGGCCAGCCTTGAGCATGTCGGCAACCCAAGGTGAGCCGAGGGCCTCTGTGAGTTGACCCTCCGGAAAGGCTTCGGCGATATCCCCAACAAGCCCAATTGCTGAACGTAACAGGGTTTCGGTACGGTCTGGATCAGAGAGGGCCTGATGGACGAAGGCAAAAATCGAGTTGAGATATGGAAGGAGTATATCCGACTTGCTACCCGACTTGAGACCGCTGACGATGCCGGTATAGGCTTCGAGCAACGCCTCGCGCAAGGTCATCACGTAGTCGATGAGATCGTAATTGCTCTGTCAGATGGTGCGCAGAGGCAAAGTCCGGTAAGTCTGCATGGCGTACTCGTCTAAGCGGGACGCAGCCGGCAGTACTAACCGTGTCTACTTGGACTGTTCCAGCCTGTTGCAACACCGACATCGTTGTCTCAAGGAATGGCTCGAATCCTGGTCCGACCGCCAAGGCAATGTCACCGAAGCAGCTGATGATGGGAGGCTTCACGCTTCGATGCAGAACCGTGCTCTGTAGATTGGTGAGCAGGAGCTCCATGAAGACTTGACAGTACGGGAGGCTGGCTTCGCCCAGTGCCCGACAGAGGTCGCCGATGAGCCCAACCGCGATCGAGCACAACTGGTACTCTTCGTGGCAGTTGAGAGCATTGACGAGAAACGGGAGAAAGGCCTGAAGATAGGGATGAAAATCCTCATCCAGTGCAGCCGTGATAGCGCCGATAGCAAGGAAAGCGTCCTCGAGAATTGGGGACTGCTTCCCAGCTGAGCTGACGAGCTGGAGGAGCAGAGTCATCATCCGATCGGCAAGAGGCTGAATAGTGCGAGAGAGTCGCCGTGTGACGCTCTGTATGTATGGCGCGTTGTCCCTAGGTCAGTGGTATGCGAATAAGACTCGCATGGGACGGGTAACAAACCGTGAGAACCGTGCAGATGTTGACCTGAAGTTCAATGTAGTTGTTCCAGTCATCCGCGCCAACCAATTGGCTCTGTCGAAGAGAAGGTCGCTTGAGCAGAGAGCGGACTTGTTCCACGACAGGGTGGAGCTTACCTGCAGTGCCAGAAGAGTCTCGGAACGATCAAGCAAAGCAAGCACGAGCTTGGAAATCGTAGGTAGGGTGTCTTTTGAGGCGTGCGTTACGAGTGTCGACAAGGCCTCGTAGGCTGAAGTTCGAGCACTTGCTTCATTCGTGCTCCTGTGAAGCAAGCATAAGCAGAAGTTCCCACTCACGGCAAAGAGACAAGAAACTCACTTCTCGGCAAGCCGAAGCAACGCGGAAACGATGCCGTCGTAATATGGACTCATCTCCGTAGACTCAGATTGGGCATCGCCCAGTTGTTCCGCTAAGTTCATGATGCTCCAGCAACAGTTACTGACGATGCGCGGTGATTCTTCGAGACCGCGGACCAAGGCTGTAACCAGCGGTTGCAGTTGGGCATCCAAGTTGATGGTCTTGATCAGTACATCGGTAATTCGTCCGAGCGTCCATGCAGTGGTGTCGCGGACGTGCATCGAGGGGTCGTGCATCATCTCGATCAGCATCGGAAGGGCTTGCGAAACGAGGGGCATCAGGGTTTTCTCCTCGGGTCCATCCAGAATCGATCCAAACGCCATCACCGCGGCTTCCCGCTTGCGCCAATCCGCGTCCTTGATATTCGTCTCGACGAAGGGGATGATGGGGGGCACGATACCATCGCCAACGCATTGCGCGAGAAGTGCCAAGCAAGTCCCTGCCGCCATGGAGACATTCCACTCGTCCTCGGTCGTATCCTCTTCCTGCTTGAGGAGCAGCTGCAACAAGACGGGCAGGATTTCTGGTAGCGCAATGCGAGCAAAATGCGACGAGTCACGTTCCGACTGGTCACCATACTCGGCTGCCTCCTCGGCTTCCAGCGCGAGCTCGATCTCCTCGTCGCAGACGGTCGACCAGAATTCGACGGCTTGCAAAGCCACTTGCTCGTCAGCGTGCTTCATACCCAGTACGGTCAACTGATAGAGTTCGGCTCGGCGTAGACATTAGTGGCGACCCAGAGGCTTGAGGCTTCAGGGAGGACAGCCTGCGGCCAAGGGTGCGGGCACTTGACTCACGCCAAAGAGCGCTCGCTCCATGTAGTGCTTCATATAGTCGTAGTACAGGCTCATGATACGAACGAGACATTCGAATGCGGCAACCTGAACGTCGGACGACGGTGACTGTGTCGCCTCACAGACCACTTGCATGATGTAGTTTCGTTCTCCCTATCGGTAACACCGCGAATCACAAAATCCGGATCAGTCACGCCGGAGGCACGAGCCACGCGTAGGTAGAGAAGGCTCGCAACCCACCTCGCGCTCAAAATTGTCTTTGACGAATTCAAGAGAGTTGTAAAGGGCGTGCACAGCCGCTAGCTGCACGTCCGGGCTAGTAAATTGCCGGCGAACGAGGCTATGGAGTCAGAACTCTCGACGTGCACGGCCTGCGAGACTCGGGTCACACACCTTGGCTCTTCCTTTCGAGCGCCTTGCACGACCGCGGTCAGGATCTCATTTGATTGACTCGCCAACAGCTCGGGTTTCTGTGGGTGGACAGTATGAAGCGGTCACGTTTGGTCAGTTTTCGGCGCGCGTGTCGAAGGGGGTCAGTCCCGCCAAGCATTGCATCGCCTCGGCCCAGGAGCGCGGGTGCCCATATCGTCACAGCCACGTCCCGCTACACGGATGCTTCAGTGAGACGCAAAAGATGGCGCCGAAAATGAACTGGCGCCTGGAGCGAGTGCCGGAGGTACCGGGGCCGCGATCTGCTTCCGGAGCGCGGCCAGGGGCTGCCGGACGGGGAAAGCTGAAGCGCGCCACAGCGCGGGCGCGACTCACGATCGACTCGCAGATGTAACCGATCGCCTGCAGTGTAGCCTGCCGCAGACCTGGGTTGTCACCGTTGGCGACGAGCTCGAGCAGCTGCGCGATCAGGGTGGGCCACATGGCCGCGGGCACCTCGATAGCGGCGATGGCGGCCACGACTTGGCCCGCGACGTTGCGAGCTCCGCGATCGGCCGCGGCGAGGGTCGACATCACGGCATGCTTGAGCTGGGTACGTGTCGCGGGGTCGAGCGACTTCCAGCGCTGGGCATACTCGTCGGAGCGGCTCGTGTCGCGCGCCGAGAGCGCGTTCTTGATGGCGAGGCCGGCCGCATTGCGCAGGTGGGAAGGCAAGTTGGCGTCCGCCAGCGAGTTGGACAGCGAGACGAGATACTGTGTCGGGCTCGAGCTGAGGGACTGGGCCAGTTGAGCGGTCGCATTCTCGCGTTCTTGCGCATTCGGCGACAAGGTCGCAGCCAAGAGTGTCGAGGCGTCCATGGCGGAGGCGAGGCGAGGTGAGGCGAGGCGAGGTGAGCGGCGCCGTGGGCCGACTGATGAGCGCTAGCGCGGCGTAGTCGTGTTGAGTGGTCGGAGAAGCGCGAGCGCGTGCACCGTGAAAAAAAGGGCAGGCGATGCGGGCGGGCCTAGCTATGCGAGGCAAACTGCGGGCAAACAGGCAAACGGCTGCTGACAGTCGACAGGCGCTGCGGCGAAGCAAGTGCTAGGTAGGCAGGTACGATGAGACTAGTGAGAGAGGGCGAACCGGCGAACGAGGGCAAAGGAGCAATACGCGCCGCGATACAGCTCGATCGAGCAGAGTTGGGAAGAGTTGGGAAGGATGCGCAAGCGGTGGGCAGATAATGAACCGCTCAATCGATGACTAGGTGCTGACTAATCCACCTCCGGTAGTAGTTCCTAATAATGCCTTATTTTATGTAGATGTAGATAGATGGTTTGGACTTTGAAAAGGCTTACGATCGTCTTTCCCACACGTACCTTGATGCAGTCCTCTGCGCCGTTGGCCTCGGCCCCAAAGCCCGCCAATGGTACCGAGCGACCTACACCAACCAATCCGCCTCGATCTTCCTCAACGGTTGGCTCTCTGCCGCTTTCGACATCCTGTCGGGCGTTCGGCAAGGTGATCCCCTGGCTCCGTCTCTCTTCGTTCTGGCGATCGAAGGTTTTGCCCGTCAGATTCGATTGAGAGTCAAGGGCATCGAGATTGCGGGCCTGCAAAACATTCGAGAACTCCTCTTTGCCGACGACGCTTGCTGCGCACTCCACAACCTCTCGGACCTCGACCACCTCAATCGGGCGATCGAGCTTTACGAACGGGCAATTGCCAGCAAGCTCAGCAACGCCAAATCTTTCCTCTACCCCCTTGGAGCTTTTCGGGATCGGCCGATCGCCTCAGATCTCGGGACCTGGCGTCTCAACGATTCGCAGTTTCGCTAACTTGGTATTCAGGTCGGGGTAAAGATCGCCGAGGATGCGGGCTGGGAAGATGTCAAGGCCTCGACCATCGCTCGGATACGCTCAATTCCGATGTATGATCTCCCATATGCAGCCAAGTGTTCGATCATCAACATCTACTGCTACACAAAGATCCTGTACTACAGCCGATTCCTCCCCGCCCCCAAGAGCGTTGTCAAGGAGATCGAGCAGGCCGTCATGCTCGCCATTCACGGTCGAGCTTCGGATGGTACTCAGCGACGTCCGAAGGTCTCCCGGTCGCGCCTCTGCACCCCTCTCGATCACGGCGGCTTCGGCTTGATTAATCTGCCTCGGCGTCTAGCGATCGATCACGCGAAGTGGGTCTTCCAGTTCCGGGCCCCGGACGGCTGCTTCACACGCCACCTCTTCGACATCCGCATTCGCCTCCAGGCACCGAACGAACCAACCCCTTTCACCTTGTCCAGACCGGCGCCCAACCAGCATCGTCCGCCCTTGGATCTGGATCTGGTGGGCATACTTTTGCCATCCTCCCCCGAAGTGGGACCATGCGGTGAGAAAGACGAGCAAACTTCTTCCTGCACGTTGGGTCCGATACTTCGAAGCCTGGGCGTCGGTGACCACGCTCAATCCCCCGGAACTCTCCAAGAGCCAGAACCTCGAGCAATGGGCGACGCACATACTCTACTTCCCAGCGGGCCACGGAATACAACTCTCGGTAAACCCGACGCTTTTTCGAGGGCCCGATGGCGAGGTGATGACCCCGTCTTCGTTTGTGAACGCGTCCAAACGCCACCAAGTCTTCATCTTCCCTCCTATCTTCCCCAAGGGACACCAGAAGGTATTCGATCTGCCTGAGCAACGTTGGAACGCTTGGTGGAAGGCTTTGCGCAGGTTCGCCGGGTTCACTCGGACGCCGAGGATACCACCTTCTCTCCATGGGGTCCCTCCATCCGGGCAGCCAAGTCGCCTCCCCAACTAGCCCTCACCCCAACAATCGATCGGCCTCCTGTGTGATGTGCCTCTCGGAAGCACCCGAGTGCCTGGCCCACCTCGCGGTCGGCTGCCCATTTGCCCGGCGTCTCTGGTCTGCTCTGTCCCCGACCCCCCACCCAGTCTTTGTGGACTTTGTATGTCCGGTCGTGTCTCGCTCGGAACGTCGACTTGTCGAACTACGAGTCCTCTTCTTTCACTCGATCTGGAAGCTCTGTCGCCGTCGCCGATTCTCGTCGGATCTCCTGGAACCGATCACCGAAACGGACTTCGAGGGGCTTTGAGCCTCTATTCAGGAGTCCAAGGGTCGCCTAGTGTCTCTGTAAGCCACCAAAGGGGGTTTTAGTGGGTATGGTTGATCCTGGTTCAGGGTCAATGAGTCCTACACTACTGGCTTCTGCCAGTGTGCGTAACAGCATTCCCTCCGACTTTTCCGAAGATTTCTAGGTATCCTACTCCTACTTTACTCTAACTAGGTGCGGCGGCGCGCTCCGCGCGCCACCTCACACCGTAACCGTTGACCCGCTGAAATGTGATGTACTTTGCTGCAACAGCTGCGGTACTGTTCAGTGACGGTCCAAGTCCGGAGAGGACCGCGAGACGACGATCAAATGTAAAGAGCCTTCATTTCAGGACGTTTCTGACACCGTCCACATAGTTGCTCGGCACAACGCGACATACAACTGGCCGTGAGAAAAGACGGGCGTCTCCAGACACACTCCTACCTGCGCAAGTGCCAACTGCTCTTGCAACTTGCTGAACGTCATAGCCATTGCCAGCCGAATTGGAAACTGCGTCCGATGCAGAGTGAACGGAAGCTCAGCTGATGACCCTGTCTTCAGCGTGATCCGTGGCAACAAAACTGGCTGTCCAGCATGATCTCCTGTGAGAATGATGACCTCGAGCACGCGGGTGTGTAACCGAGTTGACAACAGTCTTGTGCCGTTGCACAGCCCCGCGGCGGGGTCCAAGTTTCCACTTTGTATCTTGCAGCGTGCAACGGCATCCCGGCGATGTTGAGACTCTGAAGGTACTTGATCGAGAACAGTGATCCGTCTTCATTTTCGACCGAATCCGCGCTGTAGAACGTTTGAGCGTCACCCGGCAGCAGGTCGGGCACCATGTCGTTGATCTGTGCGAATTTTTGGGCGCCAGAATTGCTCGATCTCGGAAGTATTCGACTTTTTCGCCTATCGACGTATTGCCTTTGCCCGTTCCGTTCCGGTCATGCGGTCTGCAGCGGCCAGAAGACGCATGTTTGTCTGCGCTCGCACCGTGGGCTGTTGTGAGTATAGGGTCCAAAAGTCAGGCAAGGACTACTACTTACAGAGAGATCTCCCCAGAAGTCAGCATTCATGATGCAAGTGTCGACGATTTGGGTTGGTGATGACTTGGGAATAACGGGAAGGCATTGCTTCGGATCCCCTGTGATGCTACAGTTCAACCGGTCAGTTAGTCATGCTGCCCTGCGCTTTGCGTTTGAAAGATTGGCACACACCTTGAAAGGCACGCTGTCTCGGACAGCGGAGCCTCACTGGTGACCGAAGATGACAGGTGCAAGTTATATGGATTACAACTAGCTTCTGGTGTCAGCTCGATGAGATACGATAGTGCTGAGATAGGGAACACCAGTACTCACCTAGCTTCTGGTGTCAGCTCGATGAAGAGAGAGCTGAAGAAGCTAGGCGCGCGCAAGCTCTATTTCTAATGCCTGTGGCCCGTCGTAAGGCCTTGCCTTACACTCTCCCCTCCTTGACACAAAGCTCCCCTCTGAAAAAACACTCTCATTCCTCGTTCCGATGTTCCCAACGGTCCAATGCCTCCGTGTCCTCCAGTGCCTCGGCAGGCTCCCATGAATCGCTATCCGACGGCCATGAAACCCAAGAGACCAAATATTGAGTCTTCCCCGCTCGGACCCTTTCATCGACGATGTCTTCGATGACCCACTCGGGTTCTCCACCTACGTCCACCGGTCCCGGGCGCGCGGGTTCTCGGCTTGGGAACAATTCCGAATCATTTGAGCGGTAGGCCTTGAGCTTGCCCGTGTGGAAGAACGGTACCGCGGAATCGTCCTTGTTGAGTTGCAAGGTGTACGTGGAGATCCCTGGCTGCGCCGCAACAATGCGATAAGGGCCGTCGAAACGGTCCATGAGCTTGGCTGCGCGGCGCTTGCGGGTGTGAAGTCGCTTCCTGCGGTCACTTGAGTCGAGCAGCACAAGGTCCCCGACGGCCCATGAAGGTTCATCCGCGCGGTCCTTGTTGGCTTGGGCGGCTTGACGAACTTTGGACACAGCGAGTTGGTCTCGTGCCTCCTCGCATGACTGGAAGCGAAGTGCGAGCAGCTCCTCAACCGATGGGAGCTCCTCGTCGCCCTCAATAGGGGCAAGCGGGGCGAGGGTGGGTGTGTACCCCAGGACAAGCTCAAACGGGGTCTTCCCCGTCGAAACGTTGACCGACGAGTTGATGGCATACTCACAAGCGGTGAGACATTCAACCCAATTGGATTGTTCCCTGTTGACAAGCGAGCGTAGGATCTGGAATGCGGTCTTGTTCGTCTTCTCGCTGCGCCCGTCAGTCTCGGGGTGGAACGCCGAGGAAAGTTGCAGCTTGATGTTCAGACGCTTGTGCAGGGCGGACCAGAACTTGCTCGTGAACAACTTGTCACGATCCGAGACAATGCGTTGAGGCAGGCCAAAAAAACGATGCCACCCCTCATGAAAGCGGTTGGCAACATCCGCCGCTGTGTCGGCTTCGCGCGCAGGGATGAGGCGGACATATCCCGACAGTCGATCGGTGATCGTCAAGACACGGTCGAACCCCTTGTTTGTTGGCAACGGTCCGACAAAGTCAACGGCGATGTCCGTCATGGGGCGCACTGGAACGGGAAGGGAGTGAAGCTTGCCCGCGACGCGAGTGGTACGGGCCTTGGTTCGTTGACATGAGTCACATTGTTGCACGTATTGCTTGACGTGGCGGGACATGTTCGGCCAAAAGTACGTCTGTATAACAGTCTGGTACGTTTTTACATCACCTAGGTGCCCCAGCGCGTCATGAGCATCGTGAAGGATGGACTCACGGAGCGGGGCTAGTAGTGGAATGACAAGCCGGCCCCGTAAATACAGCAATGCGTCAATAATCTTGAACTCCGATGCGACCGACGCGATGTTGTTCAGGGCTTGCTGGCAGAATGCGTCGGTTTTGTACGCGTCGACAATTTGCTGCTTGACGACATCCGAGAGCGAGACTTGCGAAATGTTGGCCACAATGACGGGAAGTGGCTCGGGAAAGGAGTACCTGCTCATCGCGTCGGCTACAATGTTCTCCCTGCCCGGGAGATACTGGAGGTCGTAATCGAATTCGGCCAAGGTGTCAAGCCAGCGCGCCTGGCGTCGCGAGATGACCGTGCGCTGCGTCTGAAAGTGCTCAAGTGTGGAATGGTCGGTAAGGATGTGAAAATGGCCACCCAGGAGATCAATGCGCCATTCCTTGAGAGCCTCGACAATAGCTAGGAGTTCCTGCTCGTGCGTAGGGTAGTTGCGTTCAGCTGGGATGTATTGACGCGACCAGTAGGCAATGGGGTGTGCGGTCTTCCAATGCGAGCCCTGCAGGAGCACACCTCCGATACCTTGAAGACTGGCGTCGGTCATCACCCAGAATGTCATGGCATCGGCAGAGTGGTCGGGCGGGCGTAGGCAGTCAAGGGAGACGACAATGGACTTGATGGCTTCGAAGTGACGGACCGTTGGAGTTGTCCAGAGGTTGCCGATGAATGTCAGCCCTTTGATTGTCAACGGGGTCAGCGCAGCGGTATGCTCGGCAAGGCCCGGAATGAACCTGCGGAGGTACTGTACCAAACCGAGAAACCCCTTCAGTTCCGTGACGGTCGCTGGGAGATGCCAGTCGTGGATGCGCTTGATCTTCTTGGGGTCGGCGTGTACGCCGGAGCGGTTGATGATGTGGCCAAGAAACTCACACTCCGAGGTGGCGAGGTTGGTCTTTGATGGCGAGCAGTAGAGTTCGGCTCGGCGCAGGGCGTCCAGAACTTGGCAAACACGGGCCTCGTGCTCCTCCAGCGTATCGGCGAAGATGGTGATGTCGTCAAGGTAGACGAAGCAGATGGTGCCGAGTAATCCGTGCAGGGCGTCGTTGACGCGGCGCTGGTGGGTGGCGGGCGCGTTGCAGAGTCCCATGGGCATGACCGTCCATTCGTACAAACCCCAGGGTGTCGAAACCGCGGTCTTTGCTATATCCTCTTCCGCCATCTTGGTCTGAAAGAAGGAGTTGGTCATGTCAATCTTGGCCCAGAACTGCGCTTTGGAGCACGTCGACAGGATGTCATCGGCCAGGGGCAAGGGTGTGCGGTCCTTGATGGTGTGCCGATTGAGGTGGCGGTAGTCGTTCACCCATCGCGGTGCAATGGTCGGGTCCACATCCGAGCCCTTCTTGGGGATGATGAACGCCGGTGACGCGTACGGCGAACGTGAGGGGCGAAGACGGCCACTTGCGAGGTGCTTTTGAAGCAGCAGGTACCATGCCTGGCGATGGCGTTTGGCGACCGGATAGCCGCGCAGGTTGATCACAGTGCGCGGGTTGTCAAGCTCGATATGGTGTCGCACCGGGGATTGATAGGTGGCAACCGGTGGAATGTCGTCAGGGAAGCGATCAGCGTAAACCGCGCGCAGGCGCTGGTCGAGCGCGGCAAGGCGGAGCTGTTCGTCTTCGTTGACGGGCGCGATAGCGGCCACGGGCGACGTGCCGCGCGGCTGGGACGATAGTTCAAGCAGGTCAATTGGCTCCTCCGGGTTATTCTTACACGTGAGGTGGGGGTGGGGGAAATGACCTAGGTCAATCTTGTGCGTGTAGATGAAGTTGCCTCCCAGAATAAGCTCGAGGTCCCTCCCAAGGGGCGCCACTTCGGCGTACGTGGGGCCCGCCGCCCAACGTCCATTAGCCAGTTCGACCGGAACTCGCACAAAATGCGTGCAGGTGAAGACGGTGGGAACTTGGTTCTGCATTGCAAGAGTGTACTTCGTGTGCTGTTCCAAGGCCCGTTTTTCCAATCCCAATCGCTGAACGAAGTCCTCACTGAGGAACGTTTGAGGCGACTCCGAATCTACGAGAGCCGAGGCAGTGAGGGTACCATGAGCACCACGCAGAGAGACGGGTAAAGGCGGGAACGAGCGAGGGGCGTACGAGTAATCATCGTCTTCCGAGTCACTGTTGAGGCCAGCAAACGCGGTTGAATCACCCGTTTCTTGGAACGTCTGGATGGCCGCCACCATACCAGGACGAGTGCGAGCGGCGGGAGCGGTCGACAGGGGAGTCGACGAGGTGGCGGGCGCTCCGGGAGCAGGGACATATCGAGGGCAGTTGCTCGACATGTGATCCGCATTAAGGGCGCGGCAGCGATAGCACCCATGGTTCGCGTCTAGGTAGGCGCGCTCCTCGGCGGTGAGCCGGGGACGGGGTCCCCCCGAGGCTGGGGCGGTGGTGGGGACTGGTCGCATCGTCGCCGTTGCGAAGGCCGTCGGTCGTGTGTTCGGCCGCTGTTGTTGGAGTGCGGCGACTTGGGAAGCAATGGCCGCTCGGCGTTGCGCGATGACGCCCCACTCTTCGCGTCCAATCCGTTCGAATACTTGATAATCGAACTCCCCGGGTTGCTCCGCCGGTGCATCGCTGTAGACGTCGGTTTCCGAGACCACAGCTGGGGCGGGAGCATCGAGAGCGAGTCTCTCGAGTGAGAGATCGGACCATCCAGCTAGCCGCACCTGGTTCATCGGCCGCCTCCGTCGCACCTTCGGATCAGCTTACAGTGGACACTCTCTACGAGCCGGAGGCGCGACTCACTACGCTCTGCAAGGTCTCTCGGCGGATATCATCAAGCGGCTCGGGCGTTGGCGCTCATCCGCTTGGGAGTAGTACGTCAGGGTTTCCCCTCAACTGCAGCAAGCCCTCCTCAACTCAGCATGAACCCACATCTTACATCTGCCGATCATCACCACAATTACACAATACGGGATGCCTGGTTCTTATGCTGCAAATCCGACTCCATCCCAGCTATTTCGGTTCGCATTGCGCTCTTACGATGGAGTCGATGGTCTTTTCTGCTTTTGCTGCAAGAGTTTGACGCCGAGGACTCAAGCGCGCGCGACCTCTACCCTCCTTGCAGTAAGCCGTGCCCGCACGCCTGCCCCTCTTGCAATAAGCCGTGCCCCGCACGCCTGCCCTTCCTGCAGTAAGCCGCGCCCCGCACGCCTGCCTCGAGCCTTGGTCTGTAAGCCGCACTTGCGCAAGAGTTTACCAAGCCCGCTCCTGCCGCACCTTTCAGTTCCCACTGCTTGCCGTTGCCGTACCAGTATCGCTGTGTACCTCTGCCACCTCCTGCCAAGGTCAGTGGCCTTCCTTGAACTCTTCCTGCCGCCATTTGGCTGACAGGTTCAGAGCTTCTCACAGGACCCCCCCAGCGATACCGTACAGCTTCCGCCTTCCAGTCTTCTGCCTTACCAGTTGACGACGAACAGCTGCCACTGTGTACGCCTCTCTTTTTTTTTCAACACTCCTTGTTGGATGGTTGACTGACGCTCCATACTTTGTATGCAGCCGTCCGCCTGCACCTGCCAGTGCTGCGCCTCTTTCGTGTTCGACTGCGTCTCGCTCAAAGAGCCGAGGTACATCACCCACCTTCAGGCTCTACCTTAGGGTACTCCTGCTCTCGACTGTCCTTGTTGGACACGTTGACTGACTTGGCTACACTGCTACACAGACCCACCCTCGACGTGCCAGCGTCCGAGGTCTGTTTCCTTTGCTGTCTTCTTGTCTCCAAGCGACACGCTTTACAAGCATAGGTATGCCATAGTCCTCAGAGTCTTTGCAGTATTCCGAGTACTAATAGAATCGCGCTTTACAAGCATAGTCGTTCTATCTTCGTCTCCTCCCACCCACCCTACAAAATAAATAAATACAAAAACAGCCTTGTGTTCTTTCCTTTACTTTCTTATCTATGGTCTCTCGTGGGTAGATTTTCAACCCATCCCGTTTGTTACGGAATGCCTGGTTCTTATGCTGCAAATCCGACTCCATCCCAGCTATTTCGGTTCGCATTGCGCTCTTACGATGGAGTCGACAACAGCAAGAATACTGATAGTTGTAACGAATCACGCAAGAAAACAGGCTCTGATTGCGTGAATTGCGGCTCACCATCCCGTGGCAGATCCTCAACAGCTCGGTTCGGTGGAGTGACCGTCGTGTTGGCAGGTGTGTGCCAATCTTTCAAAAGCAAAACGCAGGGCAGCATGACTAACTGACCGGTTGGACTGTAACATCACAGGGGATCCGAAGCAATGCCTTCCCGTTATTCCCAAGTCATCGCCTGCACAAATCGTCGACGCTTGCATCATGGAATGCTGACTTCTGGGTTGAAGTTGAGGTGCTGCATCTCTGTAAGTAGTAGTACTTGCCTGACTTTTAGACCCTATACTAACAGCGGCACGGTGCGAGCGGAAACCAACAATGCGTCTTCTGGCCGCTGCAGACCGCATGACCGAAACGGAACGGGCAAAGGCACAGGGCTTTGCAGATTGGCTCTTAGGAGTTGGAGACGGCTCGGCGAACAAAACAGAAGACTCTATCGCGCTCCCACGTGAGCTTTTTCTGCCGGCGACCACGACGAACAGATCCAGTTTGATCAGACGCGTTTATCCCGGCCCCGCGCTCAAACTGGACAATATGTCAATAGGCGAAAAAGTCGAATACTTCCGAGATCGAGCAATTCTGGCGCCCACAAATTCGCAGGTGGATCAGATCACCGACATGGTGCTCGACGTGCTGCCGGGTGACGCTCAAAAGTTCTACAGCGCGGATTCGGACGAAAACGAAGACGAATCACTGTTCTTGATCGAGTACCTTCAGAGTCTCAAGGAAAGAGTGTGTCTGGAGACGCCCGTCTTTTCTCACGGCCAGTTGTATGTCGCGTTGTCCCAAGCAACTTATGTGGACGGTGTCAGAGTTCTGCTTCATCAGACTGAGAACGGAGAAGCGGATAATGTTGAAATGAAGGCTGTGTACATTTGATCGTCGTCGCGCGCTTCTCTCCCGACTTCAACCACTACGCTTCCGTTATTCAACAGTACCTCAGCTGTTGCAGCCAAGTACATCACATTGCAGCGGGTCAACTCTTACGGTGGGAGGTGGCGCGCGGAGCGCGCCGCCGCACCTAGTCAAATAAACAAAAGAGAAAAGGACAAAAATGCCCTCGCTTTTTTTCATGAGGACAGAAATGCCCTTCTCAAAAGGACAAAAATGCCCTCGGATTCCAGACTTCTGTAATACTCGATATATCAGCTCACGACCAAGAGGGTAGCTTCTTGTAGTCTTTGTGATCAGCGCCGTATACTCAGAATCTCCAGAGGTGCCGTGAGAAGTCAGTTATCACGGTCGCAAAGTCAGTGGCCTCATCGATCGTTGACGCGTCGAGGCGCGCGAGTTCGCGAATCGACGTTGGCCTCCTTCCGCATTCTCGCCCCCGGCCCGGACGCCGAAGTCACCACCGACTTTCGACAGTGGAACATTGTTTCAAGAAGGGGGAAAATCTGCACGAAAAGAAGGAGCTCACGGATGCAGGCTATAGATATGCGCTTGATGACCAGAACCAGCTCGACGTTCCGTAAGTCTGACACGCGTCGTTGGCACGTCGTGTGCAAGACATGAGGTCACGGATGATGAGGACGATAGTGACTCGGTGGCGACGAAGTCGGTGCCATTATCATTCCGCCACATTTTCCCAACGTACAGGACGTCCAATCAAGTGCAGGGTCCGGGCCCGACTCCAGGGTGCGGACGATAGGGCCAAGCGCGACACGATCTGTGGCCTCTGCAAAAGGCCCGGACACAACCGAGTTACATGCGATAGATAGATCGACCATTTGAAATCTGAGCATACGGCGTCAAAAGTGTCAATATTACTACAAGTTGAAGGCGTGCTGGTCTGTTTCATATTTACTGCGGTCCATACTCATCGCTCGCTTTCGACTGGGCCTCGTTTCAGTCGCGATAGGCCCCTGACTTTGCGACCGTGATAACTGACTTCTCACGGCACCTCTGGAGATTCTGAGTATACGGCGCTGATCACAAAGACTACAAGAAGCTACCCTCTTGGTCGTGAGCTGATATATCGAGTATTACAGAAGTCTGGAATCCGAGGGCATTTTTGTCCTTTTGAGAAGGGCATTTCTGTCCTCATGAAAAGAAGCGAGGGCATTTTTGTCCTTTTCTCTAAATAAAAAAAGAGCGCGCGCGGAGCCAGGTGAGGACCCGGGAAAGCTCAGCCCACGCGTCTCGGAAATTTGTACTTTTCGGGCCCATTTATGCCTTGTAATATGCTACATGATGTAACTTTTGATGGTAGAGTAAATTTTTCAATATAACTCGATAATTTGGTCTTACACCGGAATACATACACCCCTTGGATAGGGATATTCGGTGTACAAATCGGCCTAAAAACGTTTTTTTGTTTTGAGACGCACCGTGGAGCCAGGTGGCGCCGCCAGATGCTGTAGGCAGTAGCCACGTTGGTCGTTGCCTTACCTCGTCCACGTCAGTGGCAGGCACCCCCCGCCTTCATCACAGACAGGCCCGATTCGAATAAACGAGCGGGGCAAGACTAGACGAAACGAGAGGAGACGACCGCTTTCGCTCTTGTCGAGACCATCTTGCTTTCGAATGAGCGATAATCGAGTACGTGATAGTCCAGCAAGTCTCTTCCTCGGCCCTGAGCGCTGAGCGCTGAGCCCGGACCACCAGTCCAGCTCCTCTCGACGCCCCCGACCCGCGCGCTTCGCAAAGCTCTTGGGCTGGCTGACTCGCTTCTTGTACTGACGATGACCACCCTTCTCGGTGCAATTGCAGGGTCGAGGTGGCCGGGGCCGTGGCAGTGGTGCGGCCCGAGGCGCACGGTCCACGCCGGGGTCTCGCGACGACAAACCGCGCCGCGAAGCGATACTGGATCTGAGCAAGTTCATTGACAAGCAGATCCGTGTCAAGTTCACAGGAGGTCGCGAGGGTGCGTCCCTACTCCATTTTTTGCAGTGTGGTCGGTTCGGATCTGACCCTGTGCTCCTCCCCTTCGCCGGGGACGCCTCGTGCATGATCTCCGTTCTGCAGTCACTGGCACGCTGAAAGGGTACGATCAATTGCTCAATCTCGTCATGGACGATATCGAAGAAGCACTACGAGGTACGAGGCCCGTCGGATCGAATGCATCGGGACTGCTCTCGCGAAGTGCACAGCCGACTTTACTACGCTCTTGTTCGATTCTGACCACTGGCTTCTGTCGGATCTCGCAGATCCCGCCACCGGTCTCCTGCTCGCACCGAGGAGAACACGCTCACTCGGGCTCGCCGTCATCCGCGGCACCAGCCTGATTGTTCTAAACCCACTTGACGGGTAAGTTCTGCTTATCAAGCCTCTTTACTGCATGGTCACCCGGGTTCTTAACGTCCTTGCACTCTATCACCACAGGTCCGAAGAGATCGCCAATCCATTTGCGTAGTGGTTCCGCAGATGTGTTCTGTTTCCGCAACGGGATGATGTGCACATTCTCGAATCACAAGAAATAGCTCTGATTCACAGCATGTGGAAGGCGGTCAGCCACTATTGCAGCTGTGCTTTTCGAAGCTCCCACTTACCGAGGCTGCAGACCGATTTGGAATGCTTTTGTCCTGATTGGGCACTGTGGCCAGAAAAGCAGCATAGTGATACGAAAGTGGAGTGAGACAGGTGGGTGGGGATCGGTGGATACGGCATGTACGGCATGACGCGAAAAAGCGAGTCAGTGGCGGCCAGAGGGAGACCGACATCAGCTGGAGGTTAAGTTTCTACACAAGAAAAGCCCTTGGTTTCGGGTCTTGGCTTTGACATGAAAATGCGCACCTGCTTCGAAGATCTTGAAGCTATCCCTGTCGACGACTGCGCCCTCACGTACTTGCATCACGCTCGCGACGTTGCCACAACGGTAGCAATAATTCGGGGCTGACCAGACGGTCACGAGGTTGTTTTCGGGCGCGAACATGAACTTGTAGCCTTCCTGGACCAGTTGGTGGGCCCGCGCAATCAAAGTGAGCTGGTTCACAAGATTGAACTTTTGGTGAACCCGACAACATAGCAGAATGCGACGTCAGCCCTGAGAATATGTGGGGTTCGCTCGAGTTGCGGGAAATCTTGCCTCATTGGTCACGCGCGCCCCGAACAGCCACCCGGCGCCTCGAGGTGATATGGACCATGTCTCGACCTCGTCTGGGTCGGACCACATCAGATCTAGGTAAAGGACGACCATTTCGAAGCGTAAGTGCATGAAGCGTAGATGCGGATCGAGTTCTATCTCGCATTCAAAGGCGTACCGCAGAATGCGCCTTCGTGGGGAATCTCCTGGGCCCGCGCGATAACTCGTATTTGGTCCAAAGTACGGAGCTCAGGAGAGAGACCGCCGTGTACACACAATATGGACCCATTCACGACCTAGACATCCACAAGGCCAAAGGCTCAATTGGTCAGTCCGGCAGACCTCCCTCCATAGATCGGAGCATGCTTACAGCTGCGAGATTCAGGTAATCGAAGACCGAGCAACACGCCTTCCATACGTTGGCATTGCCGTACTTTTGTTGACACTCGTCTGCGCACGGCGCAGGGGTTCGATCCGCACCCAAGTTCAGCTCGTATTGCACGCCTGATGAGCGAAATATGCGAGGAGACGGACCATAAAAGCCATACACTTGTGTGATTTGCCGGGACTCGTGGTTGCCCCTAAGTAAGGTCACGCGGTCTGGGTACCTGCCCGAATACGAAAGCCACGTATGGGAACACTGCCATCATTTGAAGTCGATCGAGGTCGAATGAGTATGAGCCAGCTTCAAGGAGAGCGACTCACTTGGCCTTCAACGTTAGCAGCAGTGAGAGCGTCTCTAGGCTGTAGTACCCCCGGTCAACGAAATCGCCCTTCTCGGTGGGGATGCCCCGAAAATTGAAAATAAGAGGGACTGTCAGACGCTTACGGCGGTCTTTGTACGAGCAAGTCGCACACCGCTTACCATGAAGATATAGGATGTCGAAGGACAATCCCCTCCCACACGGAGTAGCTCGAGCAGGTCCCACAACTGTCCATGGATGTCGCCGCAGACGGTCACGGGGGAGGACACGGGCTGGACATTCGACTCCTCCATCAGCAGCGCGCGCACAATGTTGCACAGCTGCTTCATTACGGATTCGGGAAGATGTCGGCATTGGCGCAGTTGAGAAATGTACAGGTCGGGATTGAAGTCGCGCTGCAACATCAAGTGTCGGGCCACTGTGAGGATTCTGGTGTCTATTACGACGATGGTGCGAGAAGCAGTAGGGGGGGGGGAGGGTGGACTCCAGAGGACGACGAGTCCGAAGGCTTACCATGGCGAATGACCATACAAATGCGGACCTGACACGGCGTACCGATGTTACGAAGCTGTCGACAAAGCGTAAAGGTCTTGGCAGAGTGCAAGCGTGCTGATAGCCTAGCCGATACGTCCTGCAGCTGCTAGTGGCGCGCTAGATCGAGCCTGTGCGGGTTGATTATGAGCTATGCGGTTCGTACAAGACGCACGAGGTGTGCAGAGTGTGGAGGACAACGAGGCGCAGAACTTTGGCGTTTGCCGTTGTCCAAATGGGTAGCCGTGGTGGTGATCATCGCTGCAAGAGAAGCTGAAGCCCGAATCGTGGGCAGCCTGCGGCGCGCCTCGTGGGAGCCTTTACGGCAGTTTTCACCCGCGGCAAAATCGTTTCAGGATGTGTAATAATAGTCACTAGGTACGGCGGCGCGCTCCGCGCGCCACCTCCCACCGTAACCGTTGACCCGCTTCAATGTGATGTACTTTGCTGCAACAGCTGCGGTACTGTTCGATGGGATGGGGTGCGATGGGTAAGGTGTGAGGAGAAGGAGGGAGAAAGATGGAGAAGCCTGCGCGTCATTTTAACCGGGCTCATAGAATGTCGCGGAAGGTTGCGGAACGACGTGGAGTGAAGCCCAGTGTCGATAAGCCGCTGAATTCCGCGGCTGTTATTGTTTGGTGAGTGACGTAACCGGACGAACAACTGTTGGTATGCTGTGTCTAGACGTCGTACTTTTTCAAGCGGTCCATTGAATCCTCGTCGGGCTTCTATGCGTTCCGTCGGAGCCAGGAATAGAATCTGGGCTGGAAGATCTTCTCAACTGTTTCACGGATAGTCAGCAAGGCCGTCAGTCCGCTGTACTCAATCTAGCAAGTTGAACGAATCGACGTATACTAACCAGGAACGGAAGCCTAGTGGTTGAAGTCGGGAGAGAAGCGCGCGACGACGATCAAATGTACAGAGCCTTCATTTCATCACTGAACTACTTTTTTGTTCTCTGGGAGCCCGATGATGGGCTCAGACCGTCGTGGAGACCCGCGTCGAGTGTGGAGCAACGCCATCCCGGCGATGTTGAGACTCTGAAGATACTCGATCGAGAACAGTGATTCGTCTTCGTTTCGACCGAATCCGCGCTGTAGAACGTTTGAGCGTCACCCGGCAGCAGGTCGAGCACCATGTCGTTGATGCGACCTGCTTGCGAGTGAATAGTGTATGCAAGGTGAGAAAGATCGAATCAAAAAAGATCGCGAGTGCGTTCTGCGTCGGTGTGCATCTATCTCCGGACGCTTTTCTCCAGTGGGTCGTCACGTATCGTCAGCTTTGACATGGACAGCCCCGTAGCTGCGCCATCGCCAAGTTTGTATCCCGCGCCCGCGCTGGTATCCGGAGACCTCATCGTCACGCCTTTCCTCGATGGTACAGCCGCCACCGGCGCTGGGGCTGACGCCGTCGTCGCGCTCCTCGGCGGCCCGAGACTCGGCGTCGGCGTCGTCGAAGCTGAAGAAGAGCTCCCATGTGAATGCATCGTCGAATGGAAAGCATGGTTTAGAATTGTCGAAGGGGTCGCAAAGCTGACGGGTGCGGAGTTGGAGGGGCTCCCGGGTGCTTGCGATGTGGCGGCGATCGTTGAAGAAGTAAGCGTTGCCACGGGTGAAGAGGCGCGGGCGACGCTAAGTTCCTTCAGGGGCATTGGAGGGGACGTAGTCAGGCTGGGGATCAGCCGAGGTACCTTGTTGGTGACCGCGGTGTGTCCTCTGCTACGTAACGAAGAGTCGGCGGGTTCGACCTCGTTCGGGACCGGGTTGGGCAGGGTGACTTGGATCTCACCAAATAAGATGGACTCGCGACCGTCCGGCCCAAGTCGAACATGGGGTACGCTTCGCCCTCTCTGTCTCGGTCTACTGGCCAGGTCCCATTCATCGGCGGGAGCAGGGAGCAAGGGCGGAAGTCCATTCAGTATTCTGCCCCTTGTCGATCCCAGACCTGGTTCCCTTTGCGCGGCGGCCGAATCTTGGGCGATATGGGAGGCGGAGCCATGTTCGGCAACATCGTCGTACGTGGCCAAGGAATGAGCAGGAGTAACTCCCGTGGAAGGGGACGAAGAGGAAATTGGATACTCGTAGCCAGGATTGCCCCAAGCCAAAGCGTACGATCCGTGGGGACGCGGCCCTGTCGCGTTGCCCTCGGTTGCGGTCCACGCTGAGGACGAGCTTGGGCCCGATGTCGCCGGCGGGAAGTTGCCGAAGGTGATCGAGTTTTCGAGTGCAATTTGTTCCCGATCCTCTACGGGGAATATAGGTCCCGGGTTGGGTCTCGTGCCGATCGGATAAGCATAGGTCCATGTCGGCGGAGCAGCAGGGTACCCTCCAGGGTGGTACGGAGCAGCTCGCAGCGGCGGGACACGAGAGTGCGACGGCGCGGTAAATCGCGGCCCGACGTGCGAAGCAGTGCCATCGTGAGCCGACAAACTTGCACGGCCACTGTTACTGTAGCCTCGGCAGCCTCCGAACGTGGCCGAAGCACCCAGGTCCGGACTAGATGGTGCTGTCATTGCCGATCGGTGCTCGTGGCTAGACGATGATGAGCTTCCTTCGGGTTGGTTTTGGAAGAAACGATGAAGGTCATAAACTCCGTTGGAAGGGGTCGACGTCGATGCCGAACCATCCCACGACATTCTTCTCTCGATCGTTGCACCCTCTGCCCCATTCAGCGTCGACGACGTCGGGTGTGGAGCCTGGCACTGCCGGCCGTTCACGCTTGCCGGTTGCAGCGTTGAATGGCTGGAAGGTCGTCTTGGTTGGATCCCGCTGGCAAACGGTCGCTCGGACGGCTTGACCCAGGGAGTCGGCTGTGCGGCCGCCGGTATACCCAGAATGGGGGAGGTTGGGGCCGAGTCGTCGATGAGCGCGCTTCCATTGGCCCTAGCGTCGTAATCGTGATTGTTGGCCACCGGGCCGGGCCCACCGTTCGCTGCGGACCATATCCTGAAATCACTCATCGGGGGCATGGGAGGCACGGCCGGTGCAAGCATTCCGAAATAGCCCGGTTGAGGGGCCATACTCGATCCGAAGTGCGTGGGGACGATACGAGGTGACGGGGCTGAGCGACGCCGCCCCGAACCTCGGCTTTCGCTCGAAGGAGGCTGAATCACGAGCGAATCTTCGCGCTCTTCGCAGAGATCATTGATCACGGCCGTGATGCGGTCCGTCGCTCGCGAAGGAGCGACAATGCGATAAGCTCGCATGAACTCGCCACGGATCTGACCGGGACGGCGGTGAGGGGTAAAACGCGACAGCTCAGCTGAGTACGCCAATTCGGACAGGGTAGGAAAGACATACCGTATATAAACCGTCCTTGGTGACTGTACGAGCCACGTTGTAGTTGAGTTGGAAAGGGTCCTGGTTCAAAAGCGAGGTGAGCGACAACTCTCAGGGCGATCCCACCGCACATCGACGAGCACGCACTTCGATACACAGTTTGTGCAGATCCCGCACAATGACATCAGGGTCATATTCAACCTTTTTTTGGACCAAAGCGGGCACTTAGCGATTGCCACTAGTCTGGTGGCTGATGATATTATCGGCAACACCCACATCGGGATTCCACCCCTTGGCTTCCTTGGTCAATATGCCATATTCGCTCCTGAAGGACAAGACGTGGTGATGGTACATGAAATCCTTGGCGTAGTATCTGAAAAAGTCAATCAAGAGTTCGCCGACGGTCTCGACGTTTGCGGTCTGCCACACGCGAGGTAGTGACTCCATATCATCGAAGAAGTAGACGTCGTGGCCTTGGAATTGGCGCTCTTCAGGCGGCATGGATCTCGGTGGGGGCAAGCGTTGCAAATTCCTGGTGCAGAGCGAAAAAGATGTGGAGCGTAAACCACAGAGCTCGCGCAGCAGTGAAGCATTCGCTGCCCTAGTGACCTACGGAAGAACCGGCGGCGACTTGACGTGGGTGAGGAAGTGGATGACCAGCAGAACGTAGCCATAAGAGCTGAGGGTACCCCGGTAGGGGTTGTTGATCTTTCTTCTTTTGGTCCATACCTTGACTGCAGAAGCATGCGTGGAACGGGACGGGTGTCAGGGTGGCCGTGGTGCCGAGGTGAGCACACGCACCGGCTGCAGTCAGAACTCACGGAACAAGACGATTGTGCGTAATCGCGGGTCGATCATGGCGTAAGTCAAGAGCAGTCGCGTGTTCTCCAATGCGAGTCGATTTTCGAAGCCAATGTCGCAGGCCATGCCAAAGGGCAAGGTCGCCGAGGGCGGTATTGTTAATTTGATGATGGGTATTCGAGCGCGCGGCAACATCTTGACGTGAAAGTTGGTCTCTGCGAGAGGCGCGGCCAGGGCCACAAGTCAGTCAGAGTAGTAGGTCCTGCGACAGAGATCGACCCAAAGCCAACGTTTCGTTCGTTCGTTCAATTTGGACGCACCCTTCTCTATCCGGGTGCCTAGCTTTTCGACCAATTCGGCCGCATTCCTCACTGGCGCATCGGGGGCCAAGACACAGCACAGGTCCATGTCTGTGGGGGGGTGTAGGACGGCGTAGAGGACGGCGTCGGGGGTGCTCATTCGGATGTGTCCGGCGATCGGGTTAGATGTCATGACGGGGATAGGAGTTCGGGGTCGGGTCGGGGTTGGGGGTTGGGGTGGGAGGAAAAGGGAAGCAGAGAAGAGAAGACATGAGCTCCTGAGCCCTGAGTTGCGACCGTCGACAACGCGGCTGCTCGCCTCGCCTCGCCTCGCCTCGTGACTGACCCGAGTTCTTGAGCGCAAAGCCATTGGCCATCGATCTAAAAGGGGTACCCGTAGAAGGTGAAGACGATTCCCCATGAGCGAGTCGAAAGGTTGCGCGGAAAGCATGGGGCGCGCCGTGCGAGGGAACGAGCAGCGCCACACGAAACCCGAAAGCACGGCATCGCAGCAAGAGTGACTGACCCGAACGGCAACAGCTTGGCACCATGGGATACCTCGCCGGCGAGTCTCTCGAGGTAGACCCTGGCCTGCTCCTTGGCGTTGTACTCGTCGGGCATGGGTACGACCGAGGGCACGAGCGTGTGTTCGAGGTAGTGCGCGAGCTCGGGCGCGAGCACATACGAGGTTGGGGCGTGGTGCTGTGGGGGGTGATGGTGATGGTGAGGTTGGTGAGGTTGGTGAGGTTGCTGTGGCTGCTGTGGCTGCTGTAGCTGGGGTGGCTGGGGTGGCTGCGGCTGAGGGTGGTAGTGGTGCGCATGGTGGTGGTGGTGGTGGTGAGCGTGAGCGTGAGCGTGAGCGTGGGGTGAGAGCTGCTGTTGCGGATGTTGTTGCGAATGTTGCGACGGTGTTGCTGCTGATAAGGGTGGTAACGGGGATGGTGTTGGCAGTGCAGCGTGGTGAGCAGGCTGGTGGTGGTGGTGGTGGTGCTGCTGCTGCTGCTGGTGGTGCTGCTGGTGGTGGTGCTGGTGCGACGGAGCGCCTCGCGTCGATGCCGTCGTCGTCGTCCGAGTCTGTTGGACCGGTGCAGTCGGGACAACCACGGCTGCTGCACTCGCTGGCCCCGAGGAGGACGTCGAGGCCACCGGGGCTGGGGTCGTCATGGTCGAGGTCGAGGTCGAGGTCGAGGTCGAGGACGAGGACGAGGACGAGGACGATGACGATGATCGCCGCAACGGCCTCGCGCTCCTCGGCTCCCCACTTGGACCGGCGTCAGCCTGCGTCAGCGGCCTCGGTCGCACCACCACTGCTCAGAGTCGTCACCGTCACCGTCACCGTCACCGTCACCGTCACCGTCACCGTCACCGTCACCGTCATCGGCTTGGCTTTGGCCATCTCGGGACTCGGACGCGTTCGATCGAGAGTATCGTCGTACTGTACTGTGCTTTGGGATGGCGCACCCGACTCGCACACGCAACTCGCACTCGCACTCGGGGACCGCTCGACAACCCGTCGGCAGGCTGCAGTCCACCGTCCCACCCGGAGGCCTGAGGCCTGAGACTAGTCATCACTCCGGGTCCTATGGTCTCACTCTGGATTGATTCACGATGCATGCCGTGGGGTTGTAATCTACTTCGTCGAACTGTACTCACCCGCGCCGAGGGTGATGAACAGACTACGCGACGCTGCACACAAGTCGCAGCAGCTCTACACACAGCTGAGCAACCGTTGGCTTCCGGATGGGTCCAGGCATGTCTACGGATGATGAGCCCCACCCGCTCTCGACAGGTCCAGGAACGCCGCTTCGATGCAGTTCTTCACCTCCCTGTAGCTGACAATCAGGCAGCTCTGCTCGTCCCTCGACACCAGCAACAGCTTCTCGTCGACCCCGGCGTCGAGCTTGTTGAGCGCGACCAGCACGTGCGACAGATCCGTCACCGGTCGCCCTTGGTCATCGACCTGGTGGAACACGTAGTCGCGGAACAGTTTGATGATGTACCGATCTCCCGTTTCGGCCCATCGCGGGTCGTGGTCGAATTCCGGTCGCTCGTTGATGAAGCCGAACTTGGTCAGCAGGCGCACCAGACGACCGTTCTCGACCTCGCGTAGCAACTCGGATTCGAGCGTGTCCTCGGCGACGAGCGACGAGTTGAGCTCGTCGATCACCCTCGTCCCCATCAGGGCGATGACCTCTTCGATCGACTTTCTCGGGCCAGGTTTGCTCAGCAGGTACAGCACCGTGTTCTTGAGGTCGGGCGAATAGACCCGAGCGATGTGCTCCACCGACTGGGGCAGGTTGTGCACGGCCGCAGGGGAACCGCACGCGAGGGTGATGATCAACTTGCCAAACGAGAGCAAGTCTTCTTGTTGCTGCTGCGCCAAGTTGTTGACCCCGTCAAAGTGAAGCACGTCCAACACGCCGCAGCCGGCCAGTCGAACTCGATTCTTGCCTGTGACGAGCAGCCGGTTGACTTCGAGCGTTCGAGCGGCAAGGCCGTTACTGTGAATAAGTTTGAGCACACTCCCGATTTGGACAAGGTAGCTCCATAGCACGCGCTCGGCGAGACCGATACCTCCCCCACCCCCACCTCCTCCTCCACCACCACTTGTTGAGGTCGAATTGACCTGCCCTGCCCCTCGCCCGCGGTGCTGGCCAGCACCCGGATGCGAAAGATGTGCGTGATGGTGGTTATGCTGATAGACGTTGTGGTTAGGGGTGGCCCAGGGGTTCGGCGGCATCGTCGACAGCGGCGAAAGGTGTGATTCCCAGATAGTCTGAGATGTCGGATAATAATCGTAGACGAAGATGATAGCTGCAAGTGTGTCAGAGCCGCAAGGGGGGATCAGTATGGTTGTCTTGGGCGCTCATGTCGATCTGAGGGGAAAGGGAAGTGAGAGACGCACATTGATCGCCAAAGGCTCGTGTGGTGAACGCTTCCCGCACGGACACCAGCCCGGGATGCCTCAGCCGCGTCCATTTTTCGACCAGAGTTATGGCCGATTCATGGTGTAATCGGAACCCTGAAGGCGGGAATGATCTCAATTCCGGTCAGTCATGAAACGGTCCACCATTTTCGGCGGCGTCAGGAACGCACCCTCAATCCTCCTTAGCGCATACGCCTTCCCGTCGCTTTCCTTCCATGCTTTGTAGACCCAGCTTCGGAACCCGTTCCATCCACTCTGTCCCTCTGCACCGCCCCCATTCGCTCCACTGTGCGCCATTCCTTTGTCCAGAGGGTACAGGCCGATGTACCCACCGACCTCTTCGGGCAGTTTAAGGTCAACGGTCGGGGTCGCGTGGGTCGCTTCGAGCTTGGATGTCAATGCGATGTGGAGCGACGGCGGGAGGAAGAAGGATGGGAACTGCTGGGATTGTTGATGGGTTGAAGAAGAGGGCAGCGGATGGTAGAGATGGTATTGTAGCTGTTCGAGGCGAAGAGAGGTGATATGATGCGAACGAGTCTAGATCAGCGAATCTGTGCTCCAGTCGAGCGAAATTTCTGGATCGGAATCGAGATCAAGGGTGAATGCTCACCGGCTGACGAACGAAAGAAGGCATCGCAGATTGATGAGGAGCATAGTACGCATCTTGCGAGCCTGCGGGGCCGACGTGTCCGCCGTAGTCGTACATCGCCTGTTGAGGATCCGACCCGTGCAATGGCCCCGCTCCGACCGCTCCCCCACCATACATCACCGAGGGGCCGCCGGGACCGGCTCGATTGTAGTCTCTGGGACCGTTCTGTACGCCGGGACGGGCAGGAATACAGAAGAATCGGTCAGGATCCTTCTGTTCCCCCATACAGAAAGGGGCGGTGCGTTGCTGACGTACCACGTCCATCGACTGGGCAAAGTAGTCGGCCAGATGATGGTCGTTGGATTGTGTCGGCGTGTGCACCACCGAATGCATGCCGATCGCGTGTGGTGAGTCGACGTGATGGATGTGCGCCGTGGGACCGGCCAGGCCGCGCGCATCCCCACTCCCGCTGCTATGACTGTTGTTGGCGAAATGTCCGGCGGGGGTCTGGTGTTGCAGGTGATGGCGTTGCGCGGCCGGGGTGAAGTAAGGGGCATCTTCGGACAACGCCGGTCTGGGCACGAGAGAGACGCACGCGGCCGCATGAGTTCGGCCCGAGGCGATGGACCAGCGGCATGAAGCCTGACCAAAGAACGGTGGGAGCTCACGTTGTGGACCTCTTGCCGGGGACGAATTCCTGGGCGCCTGCATTCGGTGCGAGGGTCTGTTGGCCGGCGCTCATGGACGCGCCTGGCTCGTTGCCATGAACAGCGCTCGCGGGGGCTGCACCCCCCGGGACGAAGATGGCGGCCTTGGCCACGCAGGCAACCGAAAGTGGTGTTGACCTGCACAAGTTTGAGGCGCAGCGGATGATGAAACGAGGTGGTCAACTGCGAGGGACTTCTACAACTGCCTCGACTGCCAGCTCGAATCGAGGCCACACCGGGGACGTAAGGCACGGCTGGGGAAGGAGAAGGGGACTGACGGTGCAGCTGTTACAGTAAGATATGATGCAAGGTCCTCGGTCAGCTTGGGGGAGTACGTCAAAGCCAGTTCAGATGCAGACACGGCTGAAAGGACCTACGCTTCGAAGGCGACGGCGGCGCGGTGAGCGAGGTCGTCGCCGCTACAGAAGAGGGCGCGACGATCCGAATCGGGGCCATCCGAGCCTGGGATCCAACACGGGCTCAGTGGTCGAGGGAGAGAGAGACCGGGCGAGTAATGCTGGAAACCAGCTGCGAAAGCGCGTTGACGGGGCCAGTCGGGTGGGTTGGTGGTGGACGGGGGTGGGGCTGACCTGTCCAGACCGGTCCCTAGGCGCGCGTCACTCCAGCCCTCTCCAGCCAGTGCCTGAGTCTGCTGCAGTGCAGGTCACTCAAGACTACGAACTCCATCTGTGGGTCTACGCGACTAGATATCACTACTCAGGAAATTGTGGCTTCACTTTCTGACATCATACGCGCCTTTCTTTGCTGAAAGCTGGCTGGCACTGATCACTGGCTTTCAGCGCTCAGCCTTTTTTTATTAATCTAATCGATTTCAAGAACAGCCTCATTTTATTATATCAAGGCCTAGACATTACTGAAAAAGTCGGAGGAGATGCATTTCAATAGTGTAGGACTCCTCGATTCTGCAACAGGACCCTGCAGCCTGCAGAATGGCCGAACGGTTTGAGATTACAAAGCTTGATTAGATAAGGTGAATCCGGGCGACGACCTTTCAGCGAATTTACCTGCTCCCTGCCGCCTGCCGCCCTGCCTGCTCCGCGATTTTGATCGGCTGATCCGCATACCCCAAAGCCTAGAAGGCATGGCACGAGGGGAATAATGACAGCCGTGACAGCCGTGACAGCCGTTCAGCTCAACTCGGGCTGCAGTTCTTCCCCTCCGACGATCGGTCTCGGCTCCATCCATATGCCAGCTAGTACTATGTATGCACTGGCCATGGTCCCGGAAATCAAGGGTGTAGTTGCTGCGGTAGGGCCGACAAGTGCTTCAAAAAATCGTTACCTTGTCCTGTTCCACCTGACTGTATGTACTGGATTGAACGCCGTGCGCCGAAGTTCGGGGTAAGTCCTGAGTGCCGAGTACCTGACCAGGACGGTCGTTCGATGCCCGCGCTCAAAGCTCCGAGCGCCGTCGGGGAACCTAGAGCACCGTAGAGCACTTAAGCAGCAGCACTCTGTCCCGGATACCCGAGATTCCCCTCGCTCCTGCCCTCTTTGTGACCCCTCTCTTCTCCTCTCTTCTCCTCTCTTCTCCTCTTGGCTCCGTCAAGGATCATTTGCCAAGCCCGTTCTCCCCAACGACGAACGTGCATGCACCAGCAAGCCGAATCGGTGGCCACCAGCACTTGCTACTTGCTTTAGTTGCACTCTGGGGTCTGACTTCTGACGATCCGCCGAATAGCTCCACCGCAACACTTCCGGCCGACTCGACGCTCCACCTCCCAGCACAGGCCGACCCCGAAACCCCCATCCCGCGTCGACATCCTCCTGCTTCGGATCGATACCATCAATCCTCGACTTCTCGACTTCTCGATCGCTCGACGTCGACGGTCGCTGGCTGCGAGTGCGATACCCCTCGGTGCGAGCCTCTCTTCGTTGCGATCCGCGTCGAACGAGTGCCCACAGAGTTCTGCGCGGCCGACAGCGCCCACTGCACTCCACCCGGCGACGTTCGGGTAGCCTCGACCATGGCCCGACCACGGCGTCCACCAGGAGTTCGCCACCGTCTAGATCTTCGACCCTGCATCACCATCTTGGCTTGGGCCTTTACACTATGCTCATTGCAACGCACCTCGCTGTCCCCCATCAACGTCTTGGCGTCGCCATTGCCCATGCGCACCTGCACCTCGCTCGCTGTGGGCCACGCGCCCATCGTCACCACGGCCCCTATCCCCCCGCTCTACCGACGCAACAGCGTGTCCGTGCCTAAGAATGATACGGGCCTTACGATCGATCGATCGTCCACCTCGCTACCCATCGCATTGGGTGCCAACTCGACCTCGACCTCGCCCGCCCCGAATTCGACGCCGAGCGCCAATCCGAATAATCAGACTCCCATCTCGGGCTTGTTCGGCGCGGGGCTCACCTCGTCGTGGCTAAAGTGGATCGCTGTTGTCACCGCCGGCGGAATTGGCTTCTCGCTTCTTTTTGCCAGGTGGTTCTGCGTCAGAAGATACGCCCACATCACAGTGCGGGTCAGTCCGCGTCGTTTCTCTCGGACCGTTCAGTCAGGGGTAGCCTCCCTTGCCCATTGCAGCCGTGACCACTGACACGAGCCTGCGGCGGCATTTGCATCTAATGACCAGTCTTTCTTCATCCCACGGACCGGTCTGGAATTCGCCTTTCTTCGTATCAACGGGCCCCCGCTTCGAGACCCCTTGGAACCTCCTCCGACATATCATTATGCAACCTATGGATATGGGCCCTCGAGTCATCGCCAGCGGCGGCGCGATCGTCGAACGGCGGGACAAGGCATCTCGGCCTCGGGTGCTCGAGTCGGCGAAAGAGACGAGGATGATCGGCTCGAAGGCGAGGCTGACTTGGTCGGCGAGCGCTTGCCGGGGTACCACGTTGATCGAGAGCTGCCTCAGTATGCGACCCTCGTCGAGCACAGCCATTCAAGCGGGGCCGCTGCCGCTGATGCGATAACAGCCGAACGCGGGGCCGAGGCATCGGTCAATGCACCAGAGGGCCAAACGGACATGTCGAGCGACGTTGTCGAGATGCCGACCGTGCAAGAGTACGAGATGGCAACAAGACAGCGCGCGGGCACGGGTGGTGGTGCAACGGCTGACGAAGATCGCTCGCTACCTGCAACGTCGGACGCAGCCAGAGAAGTGCGATCACCCGATTCTGCGAACGACGACAATGACTCGTTGAACGACGGCATAGATTCACCATCGATGAACTATCCTCCTTCGCGGCTCATTACACCTCCTCCGATTGCTCGCCTGTCGTCGTCGAGATCAGCGAGGTCCGCCACCTCGCACTTGCCGCATTCGACAGGGGTGGTCCCCACCGGACCGTCAGAGGACCGTGACTCGTTGCGCTCGACGATTGCGAGTTTGAGTTCGGCCAAGCTCGAAGACTTTGACCACCCTCAAAAGACGGATGGGTCGAGTTCGAAAGAGGATGTGCACGGCGAGAGAACGGAGGGGATCGAGATGAAGGAAGTGCACAAAAGGGAGGAGGACGATGCGCACACATAAATGTCGAGGAGCGACGCTTGGGGCCACGTGGTCAAGGGCGCGTATCCGTTCACCTTCTTTCATTCCCTGATATGCTTGCTGGGTCGACGCAGAGATTTTTGTATAACACTTGTATCTGTTGTGACATTTGCTGTGCTTCTCTTTTTCGGCAACGTTTCGCATTTTTCGATTACGTCCCATTTCCTGGTTCGACTTCGCCTCAGTACTGGTGTAAACAGCTAGCTGAGGTGGCTCTTCTTAACGACTGACACGAGAGAAACTTTCACGAGGGTATTTGATAATCAAAAAGAGTCATAGTAAAGGTATGCACCAAGATTGATGTTGGCGACCCAGGGCGAGTCCTCCGGTTGCCCTCGGGGGCCTATCGATACGACCTTTCCACGACTTCCAAGGCTGCCGTAACGGTCAACGCAATCAGCGGCGTGACGACGTAGCTCGCCGTCAGAGTCCTTGCGATCTGGCCTTCGACACGAGGACCCAGATCGGTCATCTCGGCAATGGCAGATAGGGTGAGCGCCGGCGGCCCCACATTTGAGAGCATGAGCACAAAGTCGAGGACGGGGTCGTTGCGCTGTTTTGGGTGACGGGCGTCGCAGGGAGTGAAGAACAACTTAGCGGAGGAGAAGGCTCGCTGGCGCTGATCTTAGGTGCAACGTACGAGGAGAGTGGGCAGGTGGACCCGGATGAGATGGATGGTCGAAATAGAGATGGCGGGCATGACTAAGAAGCGGAAAGAGAACAGCCACACGAGCGCCAGGTAAGACGTTTTGGTTCCCTGCTTGCTGTAGAGATGGCCACCCACTGCGACGACATGGATTTGGATCAGTGTGGCGGCCAAGTGTTCGTCGAGACCCAGTAGTGCACGTACGAATGAACATTTGGAGAACAGTGTAGAGATTGCCGACGTTGCTGATTGAGTCGGATAGCGGTGTCAGCCAGCCACCTTTGTCGAACAAGTGATGGTGAAACCAAGGAATTAGGCCGAAGAAGCACGCCGCCAGACCGCCCAGCAAAGGTGGATTCAAGAAACCGGTCAATGCGGTTGAGGCCTTGCGCAGTGATTTGCCGAGACGATGGGTGACACGCGTCCAAACCGGTGGTGGAGCTGGTTCTTCATCGCCCGTGGAACGTGCTATGGGGAAGGCGGCGGGGAAATGATCGCTGGGCAGCCTGATTTGACCTTCGGCTTTCGGATCACCCCTCAGCAGATCTGGGGCGGAGGGTCGATTGGGGAGCTTGGCTTCAGTTGACCCCTTTTCGGGAAATCATAAGTCCAGCCGTGAACTCACAAGGACCGAAGGCGAAGCGAGTCAGATTTCCAACCAGGGCATTGATGAGGATGTAGACTCGACCTCTCGAAAGGACCAGGGACAGCGGCTCTCCCGGACGGACGAGTGAGTCGAGGGCGCCTGTTTGCGACAAGGCGTGCAGAAGGAGCAAAGGGAGAGATGTAACCTGACTCAGGAGATGGAGTCTAACGTATGAGTCAGCCATGAGCGCTAAAGCTCTGATGAACGGGTCTCTTCGATGAGCGTACATTATTGAAGATTAACAACGGCTGACGCACGAGATACAAACGAAAGAGCAGGGGTCAAAACGTCGTCGAGCGAAAGATTTGAACCAAGGTGGGCAGCTCACGACAAAATGCGATGACATGCCCAAGAAGGTCGAGGCTCGACCAAAGGCATACGAAACAAGCTGGAATATGAGCGTGATGGGGATGATGATGCCGTCTACTCGCGATCCAACGGTGGCACAGATGTGGGGTGGGGTAATCAGCTGAATCCTGGCACGTGGGGTCCAGGCCGGCAGCAGCGCGCGCTCACATGTCTTGATGTTGTCCACGGTCGCCAGCGGTCCAATTTCGCTGAAAAGCAAAGCCGGAAGGAGGATTGAGGTAGCTAGCCGGCTGATGTTCTGTTTTCAGGTGTGAGGATGCGGATGTCAGGGGTCCAGTATACTCTAGGGCGCAGTCCGATCGGCGGCAGAGACTCGGAAGAACTGACACTCTCGCCGGCCTGGTTGATGAAGCCGTATCGTCGTGCGGTGAAACCGTAGGCCTACGGAAGAGAGCGTCGCGTTCAGAGAGTCAACACATGTGTCCAGTTCATCGTATCCCACGAATGGGCAACACCCCCCCGCCTGGCTATCGAGAACGGCGGAGGCGAAGTGGGTCAAGTGGAGGTCATTGAAGCGAGCACGTGGTATACTGACCAGGACGAGGATGACCGAGATGGAAGCTTGAGTTGCAGAGACTGCCGACTCGAACAGTTGGTGGACGTGACTGTCCAGCATTGTTGAACCTGGCTAGAGAAGGCGAGTAGCCCGGGCGGGATACTACGATCGAACAGACCTTATCCCAACTTGAGCGCCGCTTGGACAGCTTGAGTGGTAAAATGTCGCCGTGTATCGAAGCGGAATAGGTCCCGGTTTCAATCGAGCACGAGGTCCTGCGCTGAATCCCACTTTGGTCTTCCGGATGAGGAGTGTACGACTTTCCAATCCGTTCAAGAGGTGTTTGTTGCGACGGCTGCCGGTGCCGGCAACGGGTGAAGACTCGGTAGTAGGCGAAGGTAAAGGGGACTTTACGTCACGAGCTATTGGCGCACGGGAGGGTGGGGACCTGTCGGGACTTGGGTTAATTGAAATTGAGCGCCGACGGAGCTGCGCCTAATGCGCAATTGAGCTACCACCTTACCCCGGCTTTTTCGAGACTGGCCTTCTAGGTATTAATATAATTCTGCTGTTAATGAAGTCTATCAAATCAAATAAATAAATAAATAAACAGATCGAAAGGCCCACAGGCTCGAAATCCACGTTCATGCGCTCCTTCACGACTCGACGATCCGCTCCGGACACCAACCTACAGTGCCTCTCTCAAACGTCCTCCTCGCCATCGTGCGACGACTGCCTTGCGTGGTCACGTCTTCGCTGGTAGTGTGATGGCGTCTGCTGCTGCGGTCGGCACCCGAGCGCCTTACACACGCGCTCGATCGTGGCTCGCGACGCCGCTGCTGGTGGTGCTGATCCCGACCCTCGTCGCCGCCATCTTGGCCCTGCCATTCCTCGCCGTCTTCTCATTCGTGAGTGCTTGCAGTTTTTCGTCGACGGACGAGTCATACGATGCAAGATGCTTGGACTCGCGAGACCTATGCAATGCGCAGGCTGGCAGCTCTCGTTCAGCCATCACAGGCCGTGAGGCGCACGCCCATTTCACGTGTCACCAATGTCACCCCTCCCCGTCGGCGTCGGCCACGCCAGGCTCAGCTCGGTCTCAGTCTGGCCCCTGAGTCCATGCAGCCCGGCTTCTCACTCTCCCAGCAGTGATACTGAACCCATTCGTCTGATCCGTGCCATACCTACAGGTCCCCGTCCTCGGTTTCATCGCACTGCCCTCCGTGCTCTCGATTGCCGTCTTCTCGCGTCAGTTCCCGAGACAGTTCCAGGCTGCGTCGTCGAGCGCGGTCACGTCACGTCACCAAACCCCCCCCCCCCCGGTTCCCGAGCTGACGAAAATTTGCACCACATTCATATAGTCTATGCCCTGCCTTGGATCCTCTATCTCATATTTGCACAGGATGACCCACCCCCATCGGTGCCATTGCCGTACCTCCCCTACTCGCCCTACAAGTGCCTCAAAATCACATCGGCCTCGTTCCAGTTCCTGCGCGACTTGATCGCGTCGGGCTACATCGCGCTCTGGTTCGACCTCCAGATCAAGCGCTTCACCGTGCTCTCGGGCAAAGACGGCAGTGTATACGTCCAGCGTAACATTCCCTACGCCGAGGGGTTCACCGCGAACAAGCTCGACATCTACCGACCAGAGGGCTACGACCCTGTCACCAGCAATGTCGAGGCTCCTGTCATCGTGCTCGTCGGCGGCGCCAACTGGACGCTGTGGAACAAGACTCTCGGGGCTCAGATCGCGCTCAGGCTGAGGCGGTTGGGGTACTGCGTAGTCGTTCCTGACTTGAGGCAGTCTCCAGCCAAAATACCCGAGATGGTCAGTTCACGCCGCACTCAGGGGCATTTCCTCTTCAGGCCGAGCCTGGTCAAGAGCATCTTATTGACGTCCTTTCTGTTGACAGGTCACGGATCTGCGGCTTGCATTGGAATGGGTTGGAGACTTCATCAAGGGCTTTGGCGGGGATGCTGATGCCTTGTACATCCTGGTCAGTCCACCCTCGCAACATCCCCCTTGCTATAACGTGAGCTGACCCGTCACCCAAATCCTGCCTCTCTAAGGGCTACGGGTCAGGCGCTCACCTCGCATCGCTCACCGTCGTGCAAGACGCCGTCGTACGCTCCCGCGACGAGTACACCGCCCTCCATCACACGCCTGCTTCCCCGGGCAAGCTCTCCACCCCAGACGGTTCGAGCCCGATTGAAATTTCGGCCGGGATCCGAAGGTGTTCTATCTGGGGAGAACATGCGCGGTTGCCTCCCATCGCAGGCATGATCCTCGTCGCGGGGGTGTTTGACGTGATCAAGCAGTTGAGGTTCGAGGCCAAGCAGGGTGTTGAGGATATCTCGGCGTTGAGGAGGGTGTGTGGACCGTCGACAAGCACTTCTTTACTCTCTTGGTACGTCGAGGTGTGGAGCACGCCACTTGGGGTCGGACCCTTGGTACGCTGACTAAAGCTCCTGCTTCTCTTTCCCGCACTAAAAGTCCCTCTCACCTGATCTACGGCGCGAAGGAGATCGTCGACCCTGCTCGTCTACCACCTCGATTCCTCATCATCGCGGGAGGCAAGGACACCGCGGTTCATTATACCCAGTCAATATTGTTGAGGTCTCTGCTCGAAGGTGTCGGCGTGCCCGAAGTCCACCTCAAGCTGTATAGAGACTTGACCCATGTTGGATCATTGTGCAGTGAGTACTTCGTCCCCCGTGTTAGAAAAATAACACATGTGGACGCGATAGCTGATTCTCCACGCTATCGTTTGGCGCAGGTCTCATGCATCAGACTCGCTACTCGCCTCTCTTCTTGAGTGAGATTGAAGGTCTAATCTCGTCAGGCTACTGAGTCTTCCCGACTCCACTTGTCGAACGATCCCCCTTCAACCACGCTGTGCTATCCATTCAGTTTCTGATCGCGTTCTTACTCACGAGCCCCGTTGTCGTATTTCCATATCTAGGGTCTTCAACGCTGCCTTAGCCGGAATTCCACACTCGATTACATCTCTGTTGCAATGCATGCGAAACCGGAACAACACAACATCGTTACACGTTCACTCACTCGAACGACCATCACGCCGCCTCTAGTAGGTCTGTTTCGGCATCTCGTCGCGTGTAGAAAATCGATCAGAAAAGGGCCCTCCTCGAATCTCGCCAGACTTGGACAGGTAGCTTCCAATCTGTGCGCAAGACGCGAGGATCGAAGACCTCGAAGGCTTTGTCACCATCTTCCTTGGCAAGTCGATCGAGCCATGAGCGTGCGGGGGTCTGGTGTGAGATTTCAAGACAGCGAGAAGATCAGCACGCGGGCACGCCGATGCAGCGTATCATCGGTGCGCGGGATACATCTGTTGCGTTCTACGAGTCAGCACTTACAAGAGACAGGAATACAGGTCTGGCCCTTTTGGGTATTCCAGCTGTGCCATCGAAACAACTCCTCGCGGTCCTCAGCTCGGCATAAGCGATTCCGACCATGGTCGCGACGGCTTCTTTCAACCCCGGTGTGGAGGGGCCTTGCCGGAATAGAGCTTCTTCTTTGAGATCGTATCTCGAGGCTGAGGGGATCACGGAATGAGAGCGGTCAGACTAATCGCGGAAGTCCATGTCACGAACGGTGGGCACTCCTTTTTTCATCGACTGACCAATCTCGGTGGGAATGACATTTATTCTCTTTTGCGCATGGTGTGGGATCGACCGGAGTAAAGTGGCGATGGTGTTCGTCACGGCAATGTGACTCGCTGCATGGTCCAAGGTCAAGTCGTCGACCTGTTTCGTACTCGTGCCGGATGACGCCCGAGCGGAGGAAGAAGTGGGGTCGTGGTCATGGTCGTGTTCATGGCCGACGTGCTCAAACAGCTTCTCATGTCGCTTCCCCGTCGACAAAGCGCCTGGTGAAGAGGGGTGGGGTGAGGGTGTGGATGTGGCCGTGGCCGTGGCCGTGGCTTGGAGGAGAAGGTACAGCAACGAGGACTGGGTCGAGGCCGAGTACTCTGCGAGGTCCTGGAGCGAGTGGAAGTGGGGGTTGAGAAAGTGCTGCTCGCGCGCGTTGATGATGCGTAGCAAGTGATACGCCGAGAGCTGGTCGAACTGGGGCAGTGAATGCAGTAGCTGGGCGATGGGATGGTTGGGTGGTCGATGCTGTCGGTTGATCATCATGAAGGGGTGCAGATAAGTGCTCGATCCTACTGACGCCGCGATCGCGCCTTCGCAGCATGCGCGCATCGCATCGCAGCGCATCGCATCGCATCACGACTCGAACTGACCTCGAACGTCTGCTTGATCGTGTCCCTCCACCACTGATACCTCATCCTGCCTACGATCGGATTCGAGACCTGGTCGTCGATCGTCGCAAGCTCGACGTTGAAGGCGCGCAGACACAGATACGCCGGCCGCACGCTGGGGGGGTACGCGAGCACCGACCACAGCGAGTCGAGGTCCGTCTGGCGCACCAGCTGCGTCGCATACGCCAAGGGGGAGCCGTACTGTCGCGGTTGCAGCAGCGTTCGAGCGACTCGCATCGTTTGTCGCGTTTCGGTCGCAGAAGAGAGGAGCGGCGCAAGCTTTCTCCGCTGGAAAGCGGTCCAGTCGGGGTCGTCGGGATCGGGAGCGAAGGCAAGCTGAAGGGGGGCAAGGTCTGGTGCACTGGTGAGCTCCACTCGGCAGTCTCGCGACGATCGCTCACTGCACAGCTTTGGCTCGAGGTGAGGTGACTCGTGATCCGGATTTTTGTCTCCATGTCAACGAAATTCGACTCGTGAAATCGAGCTACATCAGCGAACAGCGTCTCTCGCAGGTACACCTTCTGGTCATGCATGATGTGAGCAGCAAGATTTTACGCAACTGCCTCTTAGCATACCCCGAAAGCTGGGGCTCAGAAATTCAATAGACAACGGGTCCCATATATTGGCTTGCTCTTGTTCTTGTAATGGTGATACTATAGGTACAAAGTGGACTCCTTTTCACCCAACCTCACGAGCCCAGATGTATCACCGTCGCAGCCCCTCGGCGGATGAGCTCGCCAATCGGGTCCTCGACGCCGTCCTCGTCGTCGACCCCCGGAGGCGCATCGGCACTTTTCACCGACTCGGCATCGTCATCCGTCGCCTGCCCATAATCGTCCGTACTCAGCTCTCCACTGGTGCGACCTGATTCCCCCGCCCCCGTTTGTTCAACCATTGTCGTCCTTCTCGTTGTCGTCACCTCGTCTCGATTCCCCGTGAGCATCACCGCCGATCGTCGTCGAGTCGTCACGACCGCCTCCGAGATGACGACCGCCTCTGCCGGGGCGGAGGCACCCATCACGTCTTCGTAGCTGGGCAATCGCCTCCTATTCGGGTCGTAACTCGGTGGGATAGGGATGCAGCCTTGCAATGGTGCAGAGGGGGAGGAGGAAGGGGATGGGTATAGTCGGGAACGGGCGAAGAGGTATTCGGAAGGGAGTTGAGGCTGGAAAGGATGTTCGGGCTCGGCTTGGCGATAAGGGGTCGACGATGGGGCGTCCACCTCAGGGGCGGCATCCATGTTGTCGACGCGCGGTCGCAGGTGAGGCGGTGTTGGGCCAGAGGGGTCGTCCTGAGTTGGATGATGAAATGAAGGGTTTATTTCGATAATGGATGATGGGGAGGGTGGAGGTCAGAGGGAGGCAAATCACGCTCAGGCCCACACGCCAAGGAACGTACAGAGGATAAGTGGCTATGGACGGACAGACCGTTCTCAACGGCCACGAGGCGACGATCGATCGCCGACTGGTGCCTAGTCGTGACGAACATGATGCTACAGAGTAGGAGAGAACCGACTACGACCACACCTAGCCCTATAAGCACGGCCATCGCCACGTTCAAGTAACTCATAGACCCTCTGCAGGTGGCAGTGCGTGGGAATAGGACGACGTGGGTGGGCAAATAAGGCGGTCTTCGGCTGCCTGGGCAACAGCTGAAATTGGAGCGACGTTTGCCAGCGATTTTATTAATCCCCAAGGGAATCTCGCCGAAAGGAAAAGGGATCGTCAATTCCCTACCCGCTGGCGCGGGAAATGTCAGACAGGGGAGGCTGTTTCAAGACGAAACGGACGTGCGCGAGAACCGCACATATCCGCTGTTCAAGCTCCTCTCTCATCAGAATCATGTATGTTCTCGACTCGTTGCCTTCGCCTCCAACATCATTAACAAGTAGCCCAGGAAATCCAAGGAGAGTGGCCCTACAGTTCATCACAGGCGTCAGAATTAAACGAACGAACGAAGCTAGTGTTTGTGGGAGAAACGAACGCGTCACGACCGCGCCACCCGTGTGAAACGGGTGAAAAACGTGCTGCTACAAACCAAGCAACAAAAGAAGCAGGAGCCGAACATATGCACAAACCAAGAGCGTAGTTATACGTACATACTTCAAGACTGAATGCAAAAAGACGGACAATGTTGTACAGACGGGAAAGGGAGCGGTATCGTCCCGAAGCTTGATCAAGCTCAGAAGCACAAGCTCAAGCTCGAACTCGATTCCGCCGTGCAGCTCAGGGCTCGAGTCGACGCGACAGTTCGCACATCACATCGGACGACAAAGCCCGAAGCTTCAAGCACTTGAGGTACCAACGGGCATCGGGGTCGTAAGGGTAACCCTCGGCGAACTCCATCGCCGCAAGCACGTCTTGAACGATACGCGCTTGCACTCGGAACTTGTGCACGTTCACCAGGGGTCGCATGCGTAAGGAGGGCGGGAGAGGTGCAAGCGAGTTGAAGGCGTTCGGGTCGGCGAGCGAGACCAGCGTCCCTTCGGCATCGACTTCAGCAGGTGTATCGGTCGAGGACGGGTCGAGGAAAGTGGGCAGTTCGGCGTTCATCGTCAAGTCGCGAAGGAAGAGGCCTGTACCCAAACAGGCCCATGTCAGTCCCTTTCAGAGATCCCGAGCACCATGACCAATGACCAACGACTCACCGAGGAAAGGGATACACCCGAGAGGCACAGGGGCGCCCTTGGTGCCTTTGACGCTTCGGTAAGGATCGTTGGCCGACAAGGGTCTCCGTTGACCAGGGGGACCATACTCGGATATGAGCGCTTTGGTCACTTCGCGCAAGTGCTTGAAGTTCTTGAGGTGCGAAACAAAGACTTGCATGCCGCGGAACTTGCGCATCTCCCACGAGGGCACGCGAGCCCACGTTTTCTTGAGTCGCTCGACTTCGTGCAGCTGCAGCCCATGGATGATCTGGGTTAGGGTTTGAAAGTTTGACTGGCAGTAGCACTTGAAGGCGAGTCGGATGAATTTGGCGATGAGCGCGACTCGCTCGTCTGGGTTGGCCGTGAGTAAAATCTGTAGAATGAGAGAATTGGGAATGAGCACAGCTCTGCGAATCGCTCGAATCGAATTGAACGTACCTCGGAAGCGACCCAATTAGCAGTCAGGTTGAACCTAGCGATCATGGCTTGTACCGCCGAAGGCGATTTACTATCCCCACTCTCCTTGGCGAGTATCTCAACCCGACGACGTTCCTTCAGATGCGCCTCCCAGTCCAGCACCTCGATTTGAGGCTGCGAGCGATCTCGCCAAGCCCCACTAACCAATTCGGGCCAAGCGAGTACTCGGAGCATGTCGCGTTCGATGAGGTAGAATTGCTGGGCAATTACTTCGGTGCGGCAGTGCAACAGGAACGAACGATGTCGTGGCGGTGCAGGTCCTGCGGAGGCTTGGGGACCACGGGGACCAGCAGCAGCACGGGTCGAGGCACGAGCAGGAGTCCTGCCCAGAAGATTGCCGATCGAAGCTTTGCGCGGCACAGCACGGAGTTGGCGTGATACGGTGTGATTAGGGCTGGCCGCTACGGGATGATCGTCAGACGGTTGTGAAGGGTTCGAGGAATTGAGAGATACCACATCTGACGGAGCCACAATAGCAATCTCGCGATAAGCTTCGAGATTAGTTGGGGTCGGAGACACCGGCTGCTCGACCGACACCGAAAGGGAAGCTGACGTCGAAACAGAGTCGCGAGCTTCCCCGTTGGCGGACGCCCCGTCCTGACTTGCAGTCGCGAGCCAGGGTAGACCTTGCTTCTTCCGCTCGCTTTTGACCATCTGTTCCTCGACCCTTTCCGCCTTCTTGCGCTCGCGGGAATCGTCGACGATACCTTCCAGTCGTCTCAGAGCGGCTTCGATATCCCCAGGTTCCTCCTCGTCCGACTCGACTAAACCATCGAGCAAAAAACCTTCGAGGCCAGGCAAAACCCCTGGTTCAGCACCACTGACTTCGTCATCGACCCACGAGACCATCGTCGATTCTCGATCGTGGCCCTCGAACGAGGGTCGGCATGGTGAGCCATACGAAGAGACCGTCTCAGTCGACAAACGATGGTGGGCGGTCGGTTCTCGAGGTACACTCGTAGCGAGGCGCAGATTCGCCGCTCCGGGCAACCGTTTGAGCGTCCTCTTGACTTCGACGACATCGTCATCCTCATCTGACAGATCGACATCGTCGAGTTCGAGACAACCGGATCGAGAGGAGTCGTACTCGTTGTAGGAAGCAGGTTTAAGGATCGGAATCGACGAAGGTGGGAAGAAAAGGGTATTTGGTTTGTGAGGAAAGTCCGGATCGGTCGAAGAGACTGAACTCGGCCAGCGACCCTGAGATGCAGATTCGTCAGGTCCTGCGCAACCGATGACGTGGGTCGCGGGTGCGCTTTCGAGGGGTAGCGATTCGTGAGATGCGGTGATCGAAGGTGCTTGATCCGACTCTGAAGCATCGAGCTGAACACCTTCGAGCTCTGCGACCGGCTGTAACGAGCCCGCCTCGACATGCTGCGGTTGCACCTCTGCACTTGATGTATCCTCTGGATCAGCGACGTCGCGGGGTATGTTGTGAAAATCAAGGTACCGATCTAGGCCGTCCTTGATCCACAACAGATCACCTGTGTCATGCTGCTCGTATTCGACCGCCTCGACCGCCTCGACCGCCTCTGCGCTCGCCGATGGATTCGAGGAACTGGATGAGGCTTGGGCAGCATGGGCACGATTGCCGAGCATGCGCTTGAAGCGGCCGATCGTCCCCAAGGCATTGTTGATGGATCGTGCTACGGCAGATTGCCCTCCAGGTAGAGGGATCACCGATGTCGGTCTCGTCGTGAGCTTGTCCTTGGCCGAGGAGGTGGGCAACCGAGATCGATCACGAGGCGCTCCTCCGAACTCCTTGGGAGCGGTTGGGCCAGACCCTATGGCGGGGACGACATCGAGATCAACATCTTCATCTGACAGGGCGGGCGACTTGGGCATGGGTGGCAGGTCAGTCGATTGTCTAGCGATCGCGGCGCGAGCTTCAATCGTGTCTGTCGGCCCAAGTACGGCGTGCATGTCCTTGAGCCGTCGCACGAGCTTCTTGAGTCCTTTGATCAAACGTTGATCTTTCGGATTGTTCCTGATCGCTTCGTCTCGACCCCTTTTATTGAGCCACTCCGTCAACGTCGTTCTCAATTCTCGATCGGGGTAGAAATCGAGCACAAAGTGGTTCAGGAGCCAATAGCGAATGACGACAAAGGTGCGTACGCGAACAATTCGTCGTGCTGCATCGTCAGCGGGCGATGAGGGCGGTTGCATCGCCCAATCAAAACGAGTAGTAAAGGCTTGAAGAAGGTGAACGGGTTGAAGGAATGTGCGGTAAGTGAGGAAGAAGCTGGCCAGCAGTTCGACCTCGATCTTGCTCGTCAGTTCGGCGACGAGGCGTTCGACAGTCGCGGCCATGAGCACGCGCACGCGCTCGGGCGAGCGGCCCGTCATGGACGACGAGAGAGGGGATTGAATCGAGGACTGTGAGCCGAATGAGTCTCGAACCGAGGTGCCGGGCGACTCGCTCTGGTGGTGGGGTTGACTGAGGCTCCACCGACTCGACGACGAGGCTGTAGCAGGGCTGCTCATGACGGGGCTCGCGACGGGCGGCGCGGGAGCAATGCTACCTCGGCGTTGACCCCCGTCGGAACTTGCAACATTGACCCGACTGTCTTCAGACGGCTTGGACGCGACTCGTGCATGCCCTCTTCGATCTTTGACTCCCCAAATAACGAAGCGCGGATCATCTCCGGGAGTCGAGAGCACCGTGATATCTTGCCCCGTCGTTCTCGAGATGTCCAAGGCCGAGGAGCCTACAGAGGCCGACGAGGCGGCAGGGTGACGACCAAACCGGAAGATTGGTTCTCGGGGCAGTGAATAAGGGTCGAGGGTATCTAAATTCTGAAGCAGATCGTAGGCCGTCCAGTCCTTGTAGCGCGACTGATGCGGTGAAGGCAATGGGAGCCGGTCGTCCACGGCTTTGGCGGTTCGAATCGAATCACTCGAAGCCACTTCTCGCATCTCGCGGCGCCGAGGCGGGTCGGCAAGGAGAAGAACAGGGAGAGGCGAGGCGGTATCAGATGCTGGGCTTCGAGGATGGAGCGAACCTTCGGCCAGTCGCACGCCGGCGCCGAAAGGGGTGCCCGAAGACGGAGTTGGCTCTCGGTATCGCGGCGTCGCTAGTGGTGCACGGCCTTCAAGTTCATCGACTACTGGGACAAGCCATGCACGACAACGAATCAAATCGCTAAGCTGACATGCCCCATGCCGTGAGATGCCAAGCGCGCTTCTCCACTTACAATCTTGCGGCAGATCACTCTTGTCCTCGTCATTCACGTTGGACCTCGTCTCGGTCCCAGGGGTGAACCCAAGATGAGCCGTGCCGCTCGTGCTCCATCCCAGTATCCTCCCCAGTACATCGCTCTGATCCCGCGATGCAGTTCGAGTCGTCGTGGACTTTAAGCCGTCGTGACTTTGCGATCGTGCGGCGCCGAGGGTTGGTTGACTGCCCGAGCGCTGGAGAGCCGTGACGGTGGAGGACTTGAAATAG